CTCGAAGGCCACGATCCAAGAGACATGGCCCATTCGGCACATAGCGGTGGACCTCTTCGAGTACCTCCCTGCCTATGACCAGCGTACTAGAGCCCTGATCGGGACATGTACGCTCTTCGGAGTGAAATTCGCATACACCTTCCGTCGTAAAAAAGAGGCTATGAACGCTCTGATCAGCCTGATAGGATTCATTGAGACACAACTAGAGGTCAGGGTCAAGTTTATCACATCAGACAACGAGGCCGCTTTGGGAATAGCCTGAAAGAGCTTGCATTACGCAAGGGCATTATCTGGGAACACATGCCGCTGTACACCAAGGAACCCAATGGGGCTGCAGAAAGAGCTGGAGGCGTCCTGAACGCAAGGGCTAGAGCCATGATCATAGGCGCCGGCCTACCAGCCAGTCTACGCCCAGAGGCCGTAGAGACAGCCGCGTACTTGTTCAATCGCTCCCCATCAAAAGCCCTAGGATGGAAGACCCTCTGGAAGCGACGAATCGCTGGCTGGCACAGAGGAAAGGCCGTCAAGAAGAAGACTACAGGCCAGAAATAAGCCACCTGAGGGCATTCGGATGTCTCTGCTACTCCCTTACAAAGCAGTACGCCAAGGGGTCCAATCGGCTCGATAAGATGGCACCCCGGACACAAGTAGGCTACCTTGCGGGATACGCCACGTCCAATATCTACAAGGTGCGGGTACCTCACCTAGGCAAGGTCATAATGACCAGAGACGTCCAATTCGACGAGCATGTCTTTTACAAGCCACAGGACGCACTAGTACCGATCACACAGGTGGAGTCCATAGGCCAGGCCATTCAAGGACTCCAGATTCCCGAGCCCGTGACCGGCTTGGCTGAGGGGGTGAGAGAAAGGCCTGGAGAAGAGGATGAAGTCATCCTGGACGAAATCATCGTGGCCACAACTCCAGAGGCCGAAAGTCCACCTCAGCCGGCATCCCCAATATCCAGTCTCTCTAGCAAGGAGGACCAATGGCCCCAATTACACCAGAGCAGACCCCTCAACCGCCAATCACTCAAGCCAACGTACAGATCCCTCATGCAACCGGTCGCGGATCCAGGGACTTGAACGCCTTGGATCCAGGATTGATCCTCCCTGGAGAGGGCCGTCGCACTCGACAGAACCGCTACAACGCACACGCCGCTACAGTACTACGGAAATTGGATCGTGAGAGCTTCTCAATGCCAGAGATTATGCCTACCAGCTATCTTGCCTTTTTCGTCGCCCATCACCATAAGGGTCTACATCGCAGGGACGTCCCCCCTCCCCCAAAGAATTGGGAGGAGATGATGAGACATCCTCCAAGGGACTACTGGCTGGAAGCGGTCAACACCGAATTTCACAGCGTCAACGAAGTATCCTGGGAAAGAAAACCAATTGCCGAAGCGGTAGGGCACTTTATTATCCCTCTGATGTGGGTATTCACGTACAAATTCGATAAGCACGGATACGTAGTACGATACAAGGCTCGCCTAGTTGTAAGAGGTGACTTACAGCCAAGCTCGTCTCTCAGCACGTACGCCAGCACACTAGCCGGACGATCTTTCCGTACGCTCATGGCAATCGCAGCTAAATTCGACTTGGATATGCGCCAATTGGACGCAATAAACGCGTTTACGCACGCAGAATTAGACGAGATTGTGTACGTCCGATTCCCTGACGGCTTCAAGCAGCCAGGATACTGCCTACGATTGAAGAGAGCGCTCTACGGCCTACGCCGCTCCCCATTGCTGTGGCAAAGAGACCTGGGAGCAGGACTGACCGATCTGGGGCTCAAGGCCGTGCCGGAGGACGGCTGTATCTACTCTAACGCCTGGCTCATCTTATTCTTCTATGTCGACGACATCTGCCTCCTCTTCCGACCCCAAGATAGGCCCAGGGCCGACGAATTTGTCACCAAGATAAGCGGGCGATTCCGGATGAAGGATTAGGGGACCTCAAATGGTTCCTTGGCATACAAGTGGCTAGGGACAGGGCCACTCGGCGCCTATGGCTGTCACAGAGGTCGTATATTGACAAATTGGTCCGACAGTACCAAATTCAGACGGTTGGCAACTATCCAGAAGTGCCTAGGAACCCCTACCATGAGCTGAAGCGTTTCGACGGCCAGGCTGACGAAGATACCAAACGACTGTATCAGAGGAAGGTCGGTAGCGTACTGTACGCAGCGATAACCTCACGACCGGACGTCGCAGAGGCCGTCTCCAGACTGGCTCAATACAGCCAGAATCCTGGCCCACAGCACCAAGCCGCCATCGACCAAGTCATACGGTACCTATCCGGCACGAAAGATCTAGTACTTGAATACGGAGGGTCCTGTGCTACAATTCCAAAGGGCCCGGAGGAACAGGATGGCCAGCAGCCCCGTAATCTCGTAGTGTCAAGTGATGCGTCCTTTGGGGACCACACTGACCGAAAGTCCACTATGGGATACGTTATCAAGCTCTTCGGCGGACCGATAGCTTGGTGATCCAGTAAGCAAGATACGGTAGTCACCTCGAGTACGGAGGCCGAGCTCAAGGGGGTGGCAGCTACCGTCAAGGAAGCTATAGCCCTTGAAAGGCAACTACACCAATTGAGCGTCGATCTGGATGAACAGTTAACTATCGAGGTTGACAACAAACAGAGGATTCGGCTTATTGTAGAAGAAAACGCCAAATTACAGACGAAGCTAAGGCACATCGATATTCACAACCACTGGCTACGCCAGGAATACCAGAGAGGCACTATGGACTTGACTTACCAGAAGTCAGCCAAAGTCGCCGCGGATGGACTTACCAAGGCCTTAAGGCCCCAGCAGCACCAACGATTCCTTCAGATGCTGAATCTAGTGCCGTCACCACCAGAGATGCGGCTAGAAGGCCAGGATCCAGCCACAACTACGGCTATAGCTACAAGCCTCTGATCATTTAAAGAATAGCAGAGGGACACTATCGCCAAGTCCCTGACATATTCTTTTCCAAATTGTTTGCCCAAAAGGAAAGAGAGAGGGCGAGAAAGAGAAACAAAGATGGAGAGAAAGTAAGTGTCACGACCTGGGTTGCATCGCATTGGTATAGACCTCGATTAGGTGCTATCGACGAAGATTCTACTCTAAGGAGCGAAGGAAAGAAGATGACAACTTAGGTTTGAGGGAGCGCGACTAAGTCATCCACGCTTGGCGGGGCTCCTACAAGGGTTATGATTGGCTTCCCATCTCACACTGCCACGGCAGGTGTTCCAGCTGTAAGTCACCTGGTTGTAGTGAGTCTGCGAGGGTTGACCGTCACAGTAAGAGAGCGAAAGCAATAAGAGAGCACGGGCCCCGTACAACCCTAACCCTCGTAACCCTAGGGTAAAAACGCCGTTTCCGGCGTCGTACGACCGAGCCGACAACGGCGTTCGATTCTACGTACCGTACTTTGGGGGGGGTAGAGCCTATGTCCGGACGTTTTTACGTCGATACAAGGTCAGATCGATTGCCTCTTCGATGCGATGCGATTTAGAGCACGGGCCCCGTATAACCCTAACCCTGGTAACCTTAGGGTAAAAACGCCGATAGGGGGGTGCACGCCGTTCGATTCGGCGGGCCGTACTTTGGGGGGGGGGGGGGGGTAGAGCCTACGTCCGGACGTTTTTACGTCGATCCAAGGTCGAATCGATTGCCCCGTCGATTTCTCCATCGATTCGACCCGAAGCGGTCCGAGCGCCCAGCGGGGCCGACCAATCAGGGGGCGCGCCTTCAATCGATTCGAGTCGAATCGATTGTCCCATAGTAGCGAGCCGGTCTTCCACGTCGATCAGAGGTCGTTACAACTATCTCGGATGAAATTTGACCCATAAGAAACCTAGTCTCGTCAAAATTATAGATATTCTTCTCTTGAATTCCATACTTATTAATTGTATTCCGTACGAGATAAAACCACGCGCGGTACGCGTCGGGATCTTCGCAGAGGACTCTCTGGTAGTCGATTCTTCGATTAAAACGCGTCCGGAGGTCTGGTTGTCGTCGTACAAAGCTCGAAGCCCAGTTAATACCGACGCGTCCTGCGTCGCGTTGGTGGAGTAGTCGATTCGCCATATCTTCAACACCACTTATTCGAGGAGGAAATGATCGTGAATCTAGGTCGACTATGTAGCGTACGATCGCGTCTTCTTCGGAATAGGTAAGCTTTTGCGTTGGTGATCGTATATCCTGTCGTGAAGTACTGTCACGACCTGGGTTGCATCGCATTGGTATAGACCTCGATTAGGTGCTATCGACGAAGATTCTACTCTAAGGAGCGAAGGAAAGAAGATCACAACTTAAGTTTGAGAGAGCGCGACTAAGTCGTCCACGCTTGGCGGGGCTCCTACAAGGGTTATGATTGGCTTCCCATCTGGCACTGCCATGGCAGGTGTTCCAGCTGTAAGTCACCTGGTTGTAGTGAGTCTGCGAGGGTTGACCTTCACAAGTACCGCCGCGATATCGGTGACGTAAGGTTGTATGAGGGATTGTAACGGGGATACCACACGTCTCACAATATAATAGTCAGGTAGTGCAAAGGGTAGCTAGAAGTAGGCCAGTGTATGGGTGCGTATATTGCAAGACTGATTCTTGAAGAATCTAAACTAGGTGCGAGCGTCTCGAGTTCTCCTCTTAAGCTGGGCGGTTCCGGGGTTCTACCGGATCGGGGGGCGAATCCCTCCCGACTCAGCTTGTCAGCTGAGACCGGCCCGCCACAGCGGCTCTTTCCTTACAGGGATATTATAGATCCGTGCTACGGATCGTACGCTTAGTTTGGGGTTATTTTGAAGCGCTTGAAGCGCTAATTGAATATCGCTTTCTTCCCAATTACGTGCCATTGTAGAAGGTGGAAAATAAGGGATAAAACCTAGGTTGTACGGAAATGCGCGAAAGTATTCAATTGGACCGTGGAAAAGATGGTTCAGTTCTCTCTTGTTGTCAGAAAAGTGTGTTCATATTAGAAAAGTTCTTCTGTGCTTCTGATCAGGCCGAGATTAATGTCTTATGGCCAAGTGTCACAGTGGCTTCAGGCAGTGGCTGTGTACATGCTAACTAGCTCGTGGGGTACGTTAACTATCGGCTGCCACCATGTTTTCTCCACTTTCGCTTCTGTCTCGCTTTCACGACCGCTCCTCCTAGCTTGCAGACTGCCTAATTCTGCACTACTAGCGGTAACAATGGGAGACCCACTATCGATGGCTGCAAGTGCGGTCGGAATTATTTCGCTTGGTATTCAAGTCACTCAAGGCTTGTTCAACTATTATACGGCAGCCAAGGACCAGTATTCCGATATTGTAAGGTGACAGCAAGCCTAGACTATCACGTCACATAGACCAAAAGATCTAGCAATTCTGTCACTTAGTGACAGAATTGAGGCTTAACCCTGCTTATAGCTCTGTATTCCCTTACAGATATCGCCCACACGAGCCAGAAATTAGAATGTCTCCTCGGAATACTTGAAACCTTGCGCTACCAAACCGAGGGTCGTATATTTCAAGCTGACGAGCAAAATTTGCTCCAAAATATCGAGTCCTACCTTGAACAGTGCGAGGAATGTATCGACGAGCTTGCCGACGAGGCGAACAAGTTCGAGCAGAAGTCCACCGATGGTATCCGTACAGCTGCTAAAGCTACGGCCCGCCTTGTCGCCTACCCCTTCCGACAGAGCACACTACAAAAGCTCGACGAGGATATCGACGAGATAGTCGCCCACTTGTCTTTAGCTTTACAATTATTACAACTGAAGGATATCGGCCAGGTTCAAGATGATATCGAAGACGTCAAGGCTCTGCTCGGCCTGGTCCGAAGTAGCCAGATCTCCTCCACCATTCGCGATTGGCTTCAGGCTCCCGACGCTACAATTGATTTCAACGAGGCGTGCAAAAAGAAGCACCCTGGTACCGGGCTCTGGTTTGTTAAAGGATCCGCCTTCACAACCTGGCTCGAAAAGCCTGAATCCTTCCTATGGCTCAATGGCTTCGCCGGCTGCGGCAAGTCGGTATTATGTTCTACAGCAATCCAGTATACCTATCGGTATCGAAGGTCCAATCCACAAGTCGGTATCGCGTTCTTCTTCTTCACCTTCAACGACTATAGAAAGCAAAACACTTCTGCTATGCTCCGAGCCCTCGTCTTACAACTATCAAGCCAGATCGATAGAAATTATACTCTTCTCTCACGGTTGCATAATAGTTATCTCAACGCCACGCCGCCCGACCACGCTCTTCTGGATTGCCTACGTCAACTCGTCCGAATATTCCGAGACGTGTATATTATCTTAGATGCACTAGATGAAAGCCCGCGGGAGAAGCACCAAGAAGCCGTGCTGCAGGTCTTGAATGATCTACGCAACTGGTCAGAACCAGGGCTCCACCTTCTTGTAACAAGCCGAGAAGAAGTAGAAATTCGCGAGGAGCTAGAAGCAATACCGGAGGATATTATTACGATGAAGAACGATGCTGTCGACAAGGACATCGCCTCTATCGTCTCCCAGCATCTCCGCGATAACCGGCGACTTCGGAAATGGAAGGAGTACTATGGTCGAATTGAGACTACACTTACACAAAGGACGGAAGGATTGTGAATCTGCGGCATTAGCACTACATATACTTATTAACTTTATCTAGGTTTCGATGGGTTGAGTGCCAATTCAAAGCACTAATCGGTTGCCCGCAGAGTGAGGATCTACTCGATCAGCTGCTTGAATCACTGCCTGACACATTGGACGAAACATATGAACGAATGCTTGGAAACATCCCACGGACGTCCCAGGCCTATGCTCGGCAAATGTTAACTTTGCTCTGCGGTGCTAAGAGACCCCTGACTGTGTCGGAGCTTATCGACGGTATCGCCGTTGAACTTGGAGACACGCCTAGGTTTAACGCAAAGCGTAAACTTAAGGATAGCGACGCTATCCAGCAAGTCTGCCCTGGATTTATCGAATTGGATAGGAATCTTAACCCTCAAAGAGTTACTGTACGCATCGCCCATTTCTCCGTTCAGGAATATCTGGAATCGGAGAGGATTCGCCAGCATAAGGCCGCTACCCCGTTTAGTGTACAAAAGCAAGATGCCGATACGCAGATAGCCTGCATATGCCTACCAATATTACTAAACCGTGAACTACAAAGTTTGAAGGATTCCGAGGAAATTCGGAATAAATATCCGCTCGCACACTATGCTGCACAACACTGGGTACACCACTTCCTAGATAGTAGTAGAGACGAATATCTTGAGGAACAAGCAGCACAGCTTTGTCAGAACGTGGAGGGCTCATTAAACATATGGGTTACGATTTGGAATGCTGATTCCTATAATATCGTGACGTCTAAGGGGAAGATACCGTCTCTACTATGCCTCCCTTCTCGGGCTTGACTCAACCTTATATATCCTTCTTAACGGAAATCTTTTAGGCTGTTATTTGAGAGTTGATACTCTATCTGATTTACTGAACGATCAATCTGGACAGTACGGGACGGCTTTACAGGCGGCGTCGGTAAAAGGCCACGAGAAGATCGTACAGCTACTCCTAGAGAAGGGCGCCGATATTCACGTACAAGCTGAACATTTCGGGACGGTTTTACAGGCGGCGTCGTACGGAGGCGACGAGAAGATCGTACAGCTACTCCTCGAGAAGGGCGCCGATATTCACGTACAAGCTACATGTTTCTGGACGGCTTTACAGGCAGCGTCGTTCGGAGGCCACGAGAAGATCGTATGTTACGAACCGTTGGCCCTAGGAGGGGACAGTCAGCAGGGGTTAGGAATTTCAGGTAGGGGTTAGGAATAAGTGGATCGGTTCATTTCAGACAGGGGTTAGAATTTTCTGCCCCGCATGTGCACCGCATATGCAACCACATGTGTTAGTAGGGCTTGGACTCGAATAAAAGAAAACCAGGTTGAACAAGGATACAGGTCGTAAATGCAGTGCATATGTCCCACTTCCACTAGCCTTAAACAGAACCCCATAATATGTTATCGCTGAAATTTCAGCAAATTTTCACATTGTTTTCTTCCTTCATAACAGAAATGGACGAACATGAAGACGATGCGTATACAGTGCCACCGGCCTTTTCGACGAAATCACCGACATAAATACTCCCTACCAGGATAACCTCGAAGAAGACGTTTCAGATTCTAATACAGATATCGAATCTATGCAGAGTATATGCATAGAAGAAACAGACCAGTCATCAGACCGCCAAAGACTATCCTACTGGCTTAACGGGGTTGGTGAAGACGAAGATGATAGTCTCCGGTGCGATCCATATAGCTCTTTCTGGAATGCGAACTATACACCGCCCGAGCTGATTCCACACATGGGGTTCAACCCGGTACGTTATAATATTAGGTTTTGCATATACACCGCATATGTCGTGCTAATGTAAGACAGGAAATGGTTCAAGAATTCGGCCTTATTAGCGGTAATGGTACACACCGTATTTGCGCTGAAGAGGTAAGGACTACTATGTCATACCAAGCTGTCCACATACGAAAAAAGAAGGTATTGCAACCTTTGTTCATTGTGGAGAGCCTCTCTTACCCGATAACCCTACGGATAATAATATCCGCGCTGCATTTACAAAAATCAAAGACCAGGTACGTATATCTATATTTATTCTATAAATCGTACACATACTAAGTGTCTTAGATTGAATTTGATTATGCGGGTAGGGGTAGTATAACGAAGTTTACATCAACTTCGTTGAAGTTTCTCGAGTTTGTACATGTCTCGCGTATGCATGGCTTATATTTACAACATATAACATAGTCCACGGTCCAATTGCACACTTCGGCAGATTTTCGTACGCTACCACTTTGACCTGCGGTTTTTCACCACATAACTATGGTTGGTTCTTGGAATGAAAGTGATATGATTCTAGCATTACATGCGCTTCAATCTGATCCAAAATTAAGTGTACATCGCGCTGGTCAGATCTATAACGTACCTTTTAGAACCCTTGCGTATCGACGCGACGGTAAAACCGCTCGAGCGATTACGTTATCGCTCACGCAAAAGTTGACAGAGTGTAGGGTCACTTCGTATACAAGCTGGACAGGACCTACAGTCTCAACGAGAGGTTGATGGGCAGTTACATGACGAATTTCGTCAAATTGGTGGTCGTACGAGGCGGCGAATTGCGCGTGTACGGCGCTGTAGAATCTGCGGCGAGCCCGGACATAATGCGCGCACTTGTGGAAATGATGTAGAGACGTCTGAAGATAACGATTCTGAGTAGTTTCAATTGATGATAGGCGTTGTGGTTGAATTAACTTATACATTGTCGTATAAGGTCTGCCAAAGTGTGCAATTGGACCGTGGACTACGTTAGCCGAGATGGACTCGTGTGACAAATGTGAAAAATGTGATGGTAGTGGGAAACAGTGGGGGGCTTGTCTCAAATGCGTAGGGACTACACTTATTACTAATGATGAAGGGGATGTCATAACGTGCAAAACTTGTATAAATCACCCCAGAAAAAGAGAAGTCACATGCGACAAATGCGGCGGGGACGGGAAGCACAAATAAATCAACAAGGTGTTTCCTTGGGACTATAACACATGACCCAAGAAGGGTCATGTGTTTCATCTCTATGGCTGTCACCCGTGTGACATCGCTATCTCCTCTATGCTACGACTGTTTCGATTGTCCTTTGTCCGGCTTACAGTTGGATGTGTGAGGCTCCGTCGGGGGACTTGGGTGTTTGCAGTGGCTTTACTTTGGAGTAAAACATCCACTTTTTCACTTTTATCTGGTAGCTTTCTTTGCTTTACTATGGAATACGCAGTCGCTTTCCATTTTTGGGTCTGGTTACTTTCACTGGTTTTACTTTGGAGTAAGACATTGGCTCTTTTGATTTGAATATCATTATTAAATTGCGTTTTTGAAATAATTGTGGTTCTTCTCTTTCTTTTCTTTGTTTTTTCTTTTTTGTGTATGTTCTCTCAGCTGAGTGTTGCCGTCTTTTGTCTTTGTGACCAATCGATACCAGTGGTGGCATACTGAAATGAAAATCTCTTTTTGTTTTTTTTGGGGGGGAAGGGCGGTGAAGAAGAAGAAGAAGAAGAAATAGAACTACAGACTTAGGCTGAATGAAATCAGCAGAGATTTTAGGACTGCTTTTACTTGCAGTATTGCAGGTACAAGTCTGTTCAGGTGGGAATCCAAGTGTTCACGAATCTTTCAACCAAGGGTTTCCCATATCTCTCGGACCCAATGTTTCTAAGAAGGTTTTGTAAGTCCATGTCTGAGCGCCATCTCTTCACATCCCAAAATAACCGTCTGTGCTGAATGTCTTCGGAAAACGCCAGATCCATTTCCAGATAGTTCGTGCCGGGCGAAGTGCCAGGACTGAAGTACCATAATCCCCACGGGGACCTGTCCTCGTAACATCTGGCAGTGTCGAGCTCTGGAGGTACAGTTATAATCGTAGACAGTTCAGCCAGTTTTAGCATTGGCATTTGCAAGCATGCTCGCCCGAATGCCTCTATCAATGGCACCAGTGAATCGTCGTCTGGCAATACTTCTTGAACCCGTCCGTCCCAGTCTCTCTGCCCAATTAGAGAGAAGGAAATTGCAGCTTCAGCGTCCTCTTCCTCGCTGAATCCATATCCTGGAGGCACCTCTGTCTCTGATACTGGAGGTGCATTCTCGTAGAAGGGTCCGCGTATCGCCCGCGAAGGGTCTCGGAAGTAACAGCCACTAGATGGCCGTCCCGTCCCAAAGTGAACTGTAAGGTGTTCCAGGTTTTTCTAATAGGGTTCCACTAAAGCATGAGATAGACTGGGCGAGAATATCGACCCGTCAATAGTACCCGATATCGTGAGGTGTCTTAGTGTGCTTATGCCTGCTATGGCCGTACGGATCGCGTTGCTAAGCGTATCAACTGGGGATTCCCCCGGAACATGACTTACGACAGAAAAGTTTGGAGTCCAGAAGAACATGGAATCCATGCGTAAAGTAAGAGACTGCAAAGCCGATAATGGAGGAAAAACTTCTGGCAGCGATGTTAATAGGAGCGCGATCACAGATATTTCTTATCATAGGAAGTGTGAAGAAAGAGCTGACCACAGGTACTATCGACAGCTCCAAGGTATGCAGGAGACGAAGGTATGAGTACTGCCATCGCCAACTACAAAGATCGAAGTTATAGCCGTTGTCTACGCCTCCGTACAGACGCAAAATGTCTCTTATCCTAAAAACGGGCGACGAGCGACGCAGAAAGGAGTGGCCCGCGCTTGAATATACATCTCCAAGGCAAAGTTAAATATAGCCATATTTGCAAACGTCCCAAGTTTTCAGAAAATGGAAGAGACGATGTATTGCAGTCGTGAATACCACATCGTTCGCTCGCCGATGGTCCTCGTGCTCGAACCGACAGCGTACGTCGCTGCTACACGCAGGCAGTATAATGTGATAATTGATGGCGCTCACATATCGGCGGCGGTCATTATGGAAGATCTCTTGGAAATGGTCCAGATCAGTGCTTCTCAGCCGGATGTTCCTAAAAGTGTGTCGTTCAATGGTGCCTCGACCAGTATGGGCTTATTGTCCCGAAAGAAGTTGCCGGCCACGGACCCAACGGTAGCAATGGCATTGGCATCCAGGATTTCAGCCTAGGATTTCAGCACTGATGCAACGAACTACTTGAACGCGAAGAGGAAGGAAATATAATGGTAATGGAGACGAGTGCAATAACGGATTCCGGAGACAACACAAGCAGAAATGCTGTAGATAACACAAACGCTGACGGCACTAATGTCGCAAGTAACGCTACTGCCAAAACTTGCCGTGGTAAAATTGCCGCTGTGCGTGAAGAAGCAACCGTAGATGAGACGGACGGTCAGGATCCCAATCACAGAGCGACCAATGGCTCTGGCTTCTTGGAAGACAACAATTGTGTTGCTCCCATCGGTGTTCCGTGGCGGAGAAGCCTTCCGGGGCCGGCGAATGACAAAAAACCACAAGATGCAGAGACCGGAACAATAAAAAGGTCATTATGGCTTCTTAACAAGAGTAGAAGGAGTAACAGTAACCTCCGAAACTCTACTGGGGAGAAAGATCAGGCTGCTTTACCCACAACGAAATGCGAATTGGATATGGAACGACTGAAGAAATTTACCGACGAGCTGACAGGTATGATAGCGAGCGGTCCGACGGCATCGATGGAGATCCCCGCGGCTTCTTCAAAAGGACGACGTGTGGCTTCGTTGCCGCCATACATCTCGCAGCTCAAAAAACATCAGGTCGCTCGTCTAGCAGTGGGCCCTTGTCTGATTGTTATACTAGTAATAGACATGTGTTCCGTCATAGATATGGAGGGCGTGGGCGTCTCCACGTGACTGGTAGGTATGCGAGCGGTGGCCGTCAGAACTAGTTAATGAATGCATCGGGGGAGATAGAGCGTCACATACAAAACTTAAGAATACAATAACGAATAATATGGATGAAAAGAAAATAGATCGTATCAACCACAAGACTCAACAATCAGAGAGCCTACATACCATACATAGTAACACGAGCAGAAACTAAGCCAACCCCCTGATGCTCCGTGATGAAATTTTGTTTCTCATTTACCGACAGAATGATGGATCTCGAATGACGTAGACCATAAAAACCCAAACCACCCACCCCGCTTACAATTTAGGACGGATCCCTAAGAAATCTGTACTGTACTCTCAATGTATCCCAAGTCTCCGGTGGTGGTATTAGGCGGGGCTCAATGCCATTCGTTCGGGGTTGCCCCATGCCATGCACACAGATAGACTCGACCTCTAGGCAACTCCCCACAAGGAATAACTCGTGATGCTGCGCCTCTTTGGTTAAATAAAAACAAGTTGGTACCAGTCGGTGAGCCAACAGCCATACCAAAGCTCCCCCACGGCGAAGTGATAGTAGGCCCAACACTTGGTGTAATGTGGATGGGGGCGCAGGTTGCAGCAGGGCACAGCAGCTCGCGGCACATCAATGCCGAATTCATGACCTCCTCACCTGCATTCTTTCCTGTTTGAGCCTCTAGACGGGATATGTGCATCAAAAGGAGCACCACCAAGCCAACAACAGCACAACGTCACCAGAATTCCTTCCCCTTCCTTGATCTAGAGTGTTGCAAACCGTCACCCCAAAGTTACGGCTTTGAACTCGGCGGGTTGGCAAGAAAAGGCTCTCCTGTAGCATGGATGCTTTTTCACTTACGGCGTCTTCTGGGATGTGTTGTTAAAGTGGTGCCGAGATTAACGATGCTGGCAACGACAACATCGAAGAGGATCCCAAGGTGTGCTGCTGGGTCGTCCCACATAGTCCTACTACCGGAGGACTGAAACCACGCCTGGGAAGATGTCGTGGCCCAGGCATTGTGGCTTTGCTGTAGGTTGTTGGTTTCTGGGGCTCACCATGAGGCATCCTTCCCGTCGGTCCAGGATGCGTAGTCCCAGCTTGTCGAATCGTGCCACGAGCCGACGCCAGCGATATTAATCACCGGACTGTCCAGCCCCGTTGTAGCCGTGGCGAGTCCCGTGCTATCCTCCCATATGAAACCGTGCGGCTGTTGGCTGTTTTCGACGCACGTTGTCGCGGCCGACTGGCTCACTGGGTCCAGCCCCTGCACGGTGCCGGTCTCAGCGCTGGCATCGCCATTGGTGGTGGTGTCGTCGTATGTGCTAAGGCTCAGGCCTCCCAGGAGCAGGTCCCTGTGGTCGGCGAGCATGGTAGCTTGAATGTCGGTGGCCGAGGTGTCGGGCAGGGAGCTCAGGTGCTTGTATAGGCTGTCGTCGTTATTGTTGGGGTTGATAATTGCGTCGTCGAAGCTGTAAGTGTAGCTTGGGGATGGGGATACTGTAGGGAGTGTTGTGGAGAGACCGCCCGAGGAAAAGCTGTCTAAGAGGTTTAGATTGCCGAGGTGGACGTGTTGCTGGTCGGGTAGTGCTTTGTCAGTTGTCTCGTAAGCTGAACCGAAGTTCTTGTGCATAGCGCCATTGAAATGGTGTTCAAAGCCTGAATCGGGTGACATGATACTGTCCGATAAGACGCGGGGCGATCCGTTCACATACGCACGTTGTTGGTGGAATTGTGAGGTAGGGTCAATTTTGGTGACGAATCACCAGTTTGTTCCCGGTGGTATAGTGATGACCTTGCCCTTATCGTCGACTTTGTTATGGATATTCTGAAAGGTCCAGATAATGACGGAGCGGCGTGTCCACTTGGAGTCTTGAGACCTGCCGTTGGGCGAGGACCAAACTTCCTGGTACATAGCGACTTGTGATAGGAGTTGAAGAGGAGTTGATGGCCTAGAAGAGGCCTTCTGCTTCTTCTGCTTATCTTCGTAGTCTTCCTTTTTCACTTTCGACGACTCGCGGCCCGAACGGCGATTCTTCCTCCTCCTTTCGGTTGTTGCGTAGCTACTTAGTCGAATGAAGGTATTGGTCCAATTCGTCGCAGGGAACGGCACTACAATGACGTCCTTCTGTGGACCTTAAATGCGCACGGATTCACAAAATTCGAGAATGATTTATCCGCGTCGCTGCATTCTAACTCCCTAGGCTTAATGATGCTGGTCACGGAGCGCTAACGATGGTTTGCCAGCTCAGCGCGACAGATTTGTAGTTCAATCATACCCTCCTGTCACGGGATTTCAAGTGCAAAGTGAAGGACGAGAGTGCTCAAGCGAAACAAGCTGCCAGTCACCAGGTAGGTACCAATAGCGTAGTATAGGGGACTCAATAACGACAAGTTAATCGCTGCCCTCTCTAAAAGAAGAGGGTCACAGCAGCCTAGTTATACATTTCCGACCCCTGTCCAGGCCAAGCCACTGTGGCTTATTTGCACCTGACACCTCCAAGTATATGACAGCCGTAAATTGACTGGTCTTGTGCAAATTGAGACAGGATAATATCGCAGGGGCCGAAGACGCAGCGAGAGGAGCGCTTATGTGAGGGATGGGTATCATTTAGGGCACCTATCAGCTTTTTGCGAAGCGCCTGGAAACGATGGTCCTATTTCGCCGAGATGTCTCTTATCGAGCTAGACTCCTTCTGTGTCATGGCTCTGGTGTATTCTTGGAGGAGATACTTTGGCGGATGACCTTCATACCTGTCCCATTCAAGGTCTCGGCTGGTCTCCTTGTTGCTATTCAGTATAAGATGGGGGTAGTCGCCTCCGATATTGTGGCATCAGCGCTCAAGCAGGTCCCATCATTGGCAAACGCATTCTTGCAATCATGCATCTGTGAGAGTTCGGATGACGAGACATAGATCCAGCATGTCTTTGGCCTCGCGAATACCTCCGAATCACCAGAAATCAGGTGAGCGGAACAGTCTTAGTTTGGTCGGTCGTCCGGAAGACTTCATTCGGCCAAGGAAACAAGAATTTTATTATTCATGAAACAGTTCATTTCCTCTGTATTGTAGTCGCATCAGAATAAGTGTAAAAAAAGGTTGAAGTCAATGGTTATAATATACAGCATCATTTTTAGGGCGTCCCACATGTGGGGGTGTCCCGGATGTGGGTGTGTCCCGGATGTGGGTGTGGGACGTTAATGCTTGCCTACGAGGTCAGGTCTGAATCAATGGGAGAGATATGTATGTGCGTGCGGATACTTGGGTCGCTGCCGTGCTGGCCTGGTGCGGCCACTGGCATTTTCTTGCATTCTCTTAAACCTCATTCCAGGTTTTGAAGTGTTAACCTTCGTCGGACTAACCGTATACTGAAATTACCTCGTCGTCGAATAGTTCATTTAGACGAGTCACCAAGTCTGCCGTTAGTGTTTCCGGATCACGGAGCAAAGAGCGTCTTGTTAGGAACTTACGCTTCTGAGACTTGAACAGTTTACTGATTGCTACTTGGTAGTTTTGAGGACTATGCCACAATGACAAAGGTGTATTCGAGCTTGTCATCATTAGTAGTAATAAGGTGGAGAATATTGTAGCTTATAACGTCGTTATTCCCGATGTAAACGCCAAGTTGGTGCCGATCCTCTTTGTTCGGCCCGTCTTTTGTAACTATGAGTTGCGGCTGCATCTTCCGTCGCCTCTCTCTGCTGTAGCACTCGTACCCCTACTTCCCCACCAAGCACAGCCATATTTCCTCTTGCCTGGCTGTGAACCACTGCTGATCTTCTTGGCTCTCACCTTGCAGCCTCTCGAGGACGATGATGAGGAATGTATTTTGGTCAAATTGCCTGTGGCTTAGAAGAAGAGGTCATGACGTTGATGGTCCTTACTTCTCGTAGACTAACTGTTTGCCGTTGACCTCGTGCTAGCGCTGTTGCTGTTCGGGCAGGTTAGGGTTTAATAATCAGATACGTACGATAGGTAGGGACACCTAAGATAGGCTATCTTAGACCTAAATCAGCCGTTCTCCTTATAATAGAGGAACGGGTATCTGTATTTATAATCCTTCTCTCTTCTTTAGTTTAATATCCTACGATAGAGATTATCTAGTATCGTAACATTGATTCGTCCTCGAAGTATCTCTGCCTCATTATAGTAGACCGGATTACTTTGTTTGCATTATGTCTATCGGGCCCTACTGTCTGCTTACATGACTCGTCAGTAACAACTTGTGGAACCCGGGCACTCGTGAGGAGATCCATAATGATGCTGCTACCTGACAGGCCCCATCGCGGGCCGAGTACTTTGATACGTATCAGCATTCAACACTTCGAGCTACCCCCACCCCCACGAAGTGCCTAAGTTGTCTCCCTAATGAGTATCAAGTCTGTGCATCGTGCTCCGCTTCTCCTAAGTTGAAATTACGACTCTTCTGATTGGACCTTGACCAGCTCATGTCCATTGACAGGGGTCTGCAAATGTCCAGGGTCCCCGCTGTCTGCCAATGCCTTGTCCTGACAAACCAGGTTTTGATCCCTGCTCGCTCAACTGCTATCTACGAAATAGGCTAAAGGGGCTTCACTTAATACTGTCCTGATGCCAGCCCTGGTCAATTGATTTCAAATTTAGCAACGATACGGAGACAAATGCCGATCTTCACTCCTTTTCCACTGAAAGTGGTGTTTGCCTGCTTTCAACTCTGAAAATCTTTCTTTCCACGACCTTTCCAACAGACCCTCAATCCGCTTCGAGCCGGGTGAAGACACCGCCCTCCAAGCTCAGCCCGCCCACCATTACACGCCCTCAATCCTTGAATGCGCAATGAGCACATCCTAATTGAGAACCCGTGCTCCCGGGTCTCCTTGAGCCGAAGCCGATTCTTCCAGCCTATACCGAGTCTCCAATTGCCAACAACCTTCATGCCATAACCTGGCACCTTCACGTCACTCATTTAGCACTCTTTAACCACAGTCGCTCCTTTTTTGTTCCTATCTCTGTAATCATAATATCTTCAGGTGTTTCTTGGTGCGATTCGAAATGAGGCTATCTCTGACCTTCGCCGCCGCCGTCGCGTCATTATCCGGCCTGGTTCAATCTTTCCCGACGGCGCAGAACTTTGCCAAGTTGCTGGAGCGGGATGCGTCGTTCAACTCGCCCGAGAAGCTCCACGCCAGTCTGCTAGCTCTGAAGAACAAACGTCTTCTGTTTGACCCGTTGACCACGCCAATTGACGTGACTGGCACTCATGCATTTCAGCCGCCAGACTTCGACAGTGGAGACCAACGGGGTCCCTGCCCTGGTCTCAACGCCCTGGCGAATCATGGTTACTTGTCGCACAATGGCATCGCTGGAGTGAGCTTTAATATCCCCAAGCTCCAGCTATTTGCCCTCTAGAGAAAGATCGGCTGACAAAAGAGTAGTTCGTCGATGTGATTGCAGCCGCAAACACCGTCTTCGGCATGGGCATTGAATTGATCACTGTGCTGGCTATCATGGGAACTGTCGGTGTCGGGAACCCCCTCTCTCTCGACCCCGGCTTCTCTATCGGTGGCGAGAGCTCTGAGTCCAACCAAATCCTAGATAACGTGCTGGGTCTGCTGGGAACGCCTCGAGGCCTGGACGGCAGCCACAACTGGATCGAGGGGGATTCCTCAATGACGCGCAACGACTTGTACGTCACTGGCGACGCCTCCACTTTGAACATGACGCTGTTCATGCAGGCCTACAACTCGGTCGAGGGCGACGTCATCACGATGGATGATCTTGCAGCACGTGCGGCCGCGAGATTTGACGAGAGCATCGCCATCAACCCATACTTCTACTACGGCCCATACACTGGCTTCATCGCCCGCAACGCCGGATACATCTTTGGCGGCCGCCTACTCAGCAACCACACTGTCGAACACCCCCGTGGTGGTCATCTCAGTTTGTTTTCCCTCCCATTTTCCGTCCACGAAGACTGTGTTTGCTAACTGGGTACAGCCAAAGATGTCTTCAGAAGTTTCTGGGGAATTGTCGAGGAGAATGACCAGCTGGTATACAAGAAAGGTCACGAACAAATCCCTAGCAACTGGTACCGCATTGCAGTAGACTACGGTCTGGGCGACACTAACATCGACCTCACTAGCTTCCTTGTCCAATACCCGCAGCTGGGGGCCATTGGGGGCAACACGGGCAAAGTTAACACCTTTGCTGGTATTAATATTGAAGATATTACCGGCGGCATCTTGAACGTGGCAACCCTCCTGGAGGGCAACAACCTCATCTGCTTTGTATTTGAGGTAGTCAAGACGTTTGCACCCAACTCCTTGTCGACACTTTTCAAGACATTAACGGTTCCGCTGAAACTCATTAACGATGCTATTGCCGACCCACTGCTGGATCTTACCTGTCCCGTTTTCACCGATCTCACTATGGGCGAAACAGATCTTCTCAGCGGGCTGCTGCAGACATACCCTGGTGCAAACAAGACCGGGTTTGCACTATAATTTATGCATCCTAGACAGGGCTATTGGATTAGGTAGATTTTTTGCTATGAATATTTAATGATTCCCCTGATCGAAACATATCTACAAGACATCGCTTTTCTCTGCCTCCTTATATCTCCCAGTCGGCTGGTGTAGTTGGTCACTTCGCTGGTAGATAAGTCCCGATTTGAGCCTCGCCCACTCCACTTGGGTCGGTGACGAGTCGCGGGTTCGAATCCCGCAGCTGACACACAAGGGGGTTTAGTCAACCCTTACGGCGCGCTGCCCACCTTGTTGACTTCGCCTACCTAGCAATAATAGGGAGATTGGTGCAGTTTAGGATTACGAGCATCCTAGCCAGTCGACTGTCAAGCACTACGTCGGCGGAATATAACTCGACAGCCGGTCCAGAATTCGAATCGTTAATCCGACCCCTTATCGGACCTCGCCTATCCGATAACGCTCGTCGGCGAACCCGTCCCCTCACGATAGAAGGCGCGCAGCACGCCCTCTCGCCGCGATTCTTGCGAGCGTCTAGACCACGTTACGGTCTATCCACTTGAGCGTATGGTTGAGATGTATACGCTCGACGAGAACCCCAATTAGCAGATACTACGACTTGTCGCGACAAAAAATAGTCGAGCATCTTCTGCACATCAGCAGCATCCCACCCCTGAGGACGAATTTAAGTGCCACATTACCACACTTATCGGTAGTTCAGGCAGGGGTTGTAGCACAGACTTAGGGAGGGACAGGAGGTTTAGTAGTCGTTTGGCTACAAGTTTACCTGTATAACCGCCCGACGCGGCTTAAGGGCCCGTTATATCATCTATAACCCCTTAAGGGAGTACTTGTAGAGGTACCGAGGGTTAACACCTACGGTGTATTTAATATTATTTTATATCTCCCAAGTACGCAGGATGTGTCGAATATCACGTGTGTCCAATCGAGTAGTCAGAAGTGCATAAGATTGTATATGAATGAGGTGTATTGTTCTCTGTGTTCTATTCTCGCGAACTCCCGTTGCTCTGCCCTTTATAGATTCTTTCGGAAATGTCGGAGGTACATTGTTCAGGTGTCTGACCCCTAAGTGGACCGTAACTTTGGTGTTCCTTTCGGGAAGAGGGGTTCATTTCGTCGTCTGAACTTTAAGTGACACTAGTCTTCTCTAGTGCCATATTATTTCTGAACCTAGGAACCAGGTGTCCTATCTGACAGGATGGCCTGCGAGGCAACATGTTACGAACCGTTGGCCCTGAACCAACATTACAGGCCCGCCGGCAGGCCAGGTGGATACAGACGCTAGGATCACGGGATCCCGCATCGGAGGAAGGAAAGGACCGATAGGTCACGTGACCTACAGGGGTGGATATGTTGGATATGTTGGACAACCAACATATCCAAGTGGGGATCTATCTGCCCATCGCACTGAACAGGAATGTTAGATGAAGACAGTCCCCTGTAACATAGATTCGACTAGCATAGACCATGCCGGCACTGCGCCCGGCACGTCTCACGTGATGAGACGTTAAATTTCAATCAATCAATCAATCAACCAAGTGGGGATCAGTGAAGGAGAGATGGGTATATAAGGGACAGGACTCCCAGGCATTTCATAGATAGACAGTCTCTACTTCAGTGATCAATCTAAGCATCAATCTAACCCATTGGTGAGGCAAACTGCCTTAACGACTCTATTCCCGATTACCCTACTTGAATACTTCAGTTACCCAAAGCACTCTACTCCATACGTCAAACCCCGATATTATTGCTTGAGGACTCCGCAGCAGGACTTACTTACTAGCACAAACCCTTATAGACTCTTTAGTGGTTTACCCAGCTAGACTATTAGAGGTTTCGTTACAACGGGTTATATATAGGATATTACTAAATTACTTAAAGGTACTAAGAAAAGTGCGAAAGTAACTTATATGCGAAAATGACTTATAGTTCACGTTATACTAAAGATAGTAGAGATAAATATCGGGGATAAAAATACCAGAGTTAATAGAGAGACTGTCTTCATAGCCGCACTGTCTGTCTGTGTTGCACGTCCGATTTGAGAAGTAACTAGGTTAAAAGCGAGCTGAATCTCATTCTGGAGCCTCTTTTCATTGGAAGCTGACCAACAGCGCAAACTCTCGATCATGTTCCTAGCTGCAACCAGGCCTTGATAGAGGCTCCATAGTAGGCGGCTAGTTGTTGGTCTTGCATCTGAACAAGGCTTAAATTCGTACTCTCATGGTCCAATACTACCCCAGGCTTACGTTGTGAGCAGCCTGAGACGCCCGACATGCACATACGCTTTCTCAATCAACACCCCGTGCTTGAGGGACTGCATGGAGACAAGAATGATATCACTCCAATATGGGCAGTGCGACTCATTTCGTGGTGGGCCTCCATGCTTATCGGCGCTAACGCAGACGTGCTCATTGGGTACATGTTGGTTTGGCGCATGTCTCAGGACAAGGACTTCGACCAACAAGGTGGCGCAGTACAGTCATCGAAGCGATATTAAAGACTCTTTGATACCTTCAGTCGCATTGTAACTTCTTAACTGAACGAGTTCCGCACATATACGTCACCCACTCTACCAGCCTAACAGTCTTTGCACAATATCGTCTGACATTATGCTATCTGACAAAGCTCGCCTGTACGTCGCATTATATGCCAGAGGAGGGAAATCTGTTATGCCCGGTGGCGAAGACAAGTCAGTCACTTCAACTTCAAAACACATGGAAGGTCAGCTCAAACAACTTACCAAAATTTTATAGGTATCACTGGGCCCTCCTAGTTGGTCCTAAGAGCGAGAATGACGGTTCGGGGGGGAAGCGTTATCATGCAAAGGAGAAGATGGTTTCGGTGCAAGGCGAGGTCCAATCCCAGTGGGCGTATGAAGAACGAGAGATTAGCATGGCGGCAACCTCGATGATTCTAGTGCGTGTTGTCATTGGTAAGATCAAGGATCGCTTACGGCTTGTGTCCATTCTCGAGTCTATCCAAATTCGAGCAAGTCAGCCAGGATGGAATTGTGTTGGGTGGATTCAAGAAGCTTTGGAGATTTTGGCCAAGGACGGCAAAGCACTAGGTACCTCTGTCACAGACTGGAAGACGATACGCGACACCGTGCTCTGGTACGTCCAGCACAAGGAAGCAGAACACAGATTTGATGGCAGAGCCCAACCAGGTCAGTTCGATAATACCAAGGTGCCTACCTATGACTTGGTTGACAAGAGGACCGAGACGACACCATGAGGTTCGGTTATGCTTTCCAACAGACTGCGTAGAGCACATATAGGAATAGAAGATGTCACTAGACGTCCCCAAAGTACCTCTGTCGAATTTTCTCCATTTCCAATTCGTGTGCCATGGGTGTGAGGTATTTGCCGACCTCCTCCTGCCAGAACTTGTTCTGAGGGTTGACATTCCATGCTGAAGTGTATTCCCAGTAAGGGGGCATCCAACCTGCCGTTTCCCAGTCGATGATTCCAACGATCTCATCACCACGTGCAAGAATGTTAAGACTGCTGAGGTCGCCGTGTGTGAAAATTGGTCCTGCCCATGACTGATTGTGAAAATCAATCAATCCGCGGAGCTCGGCTGCTAACGACGGATCCTGAAGATGTTCGACTTCTATGCCGTTCCGGAGCTCCCTGTGGAAGTCATGAATAGTTTTGAACGGCCCCCAGCTTGATTGTTTTGGAAACCGCTGGTCGTAAACGGGACCTCCATGAATATTTGCAACTCCCATGTTGGTCGGTGGCGAGATGCTACGCAATTGTAGAACTATTGATCTCAATTGTTCATGGATGCGCGCTTTCGAAGCTTCGGACCTTCTTGCCCATCCTTGCGCTAGGTTTTGGCCAGAAATCCTCTCCATTACGATGTAGGTCCGGCCGGCATGCTTAAAGGCACAGATGACCCTGGGTACAGGGATAGAGGTATTTTCCATCACGAATTGCATTGTATTCGCCTCCGCCAAGGTGGTAAAGGGTGTTGATTTGATGCAATACTTGGACACAAATACGACATGACTTGAACGGTTGGCTCTTCGCCATAGGTATCCCTTACTTCCGAGCTTAAACGCGGAAAGTGTGAGAAAACGATTGAGGAACCCGTCATTGAAGGATTTGGGCTCCATGAGTACACATTGCCGACCGTGGGGTAGGTCTGGCCGTGTAAAGTCACAGCTGCTCTCAGCCTTCTGGAGGGCCGACGAGAATCGATGAACTCGCTCAAAAGTTGATTCTTCGCAGAAGTAATGGCGTGGACCGGGGGTTGGTGGGATACTGCACGATGGATGTGTATGGCTTCTCAGCAATGACGAGTTTTGTTGGGTGACAAATTTGTGGCTAGCACAAAACGTACTGTGAGCACTAGGGAGGCGCGCTTGGACCACCAAATGAATGGCACCTCAACGTCGACTCGGTGGCTAGCAGCCAGTCGGCCGCAAAACAGCACCGGCGCCCGATATCCCTTTCGATGGTGATGCAAAGGAAGCTCATGCCAATAAATTGTGTATAGCCGGTTCAGGCGCGGAACAAAGTCGCTCGTTAGAGAATGTCTCATTGAAGCGACCGAAAGCGGTGAGGTGGGGCTACTGAATTCAGTCAGCTGGTCACTGGCGTGGTGGTACCCGAGGCCTGGAAGGCGTTGGTTAGATCGTGCGTCAGCTTAATTGGCTCATGAGAACCAGTAACGAGATCCCAAGGGTATGATATGCAGTGTTGTATAACAGTAAGGTAGCAGAGATGCTTGCGAGGTAGCTCGCGGCATGTTGTTGAGAGCGGGTGCGAATGAATCACAGTCGTGTGGCTTGGGCGGCTTATCAGGAGAAAAGAAGATCTCGCCCACTAGTGGACATGTTGCGAATGGGTTAAACAACGTCGGATTCAACTCAGCGACTTGTTTGTTGCGCTATTCATCAATTCAACCCTGTCATGTGGAGTATCTCCCTATCATCTCATCCCTAGTTATGGTCGCGGATGCCCCTCCTAGGTGCGCTGGCTCAATAGTACTCAGGGGAATGTAGGACAGCATCGCTCATGACTGGCGCGTAAAGGGCTGCATGGCCACGATAGTTCAAGCAGCAGTCGAAATGGAGTACTCTACACAGATATTTCGGTCTTGAGCACAATGCTGATCTGTCGAGAGATCGGGCATCTCACTCTCATGGCATTGCTCTAGATTGTGACTGGTTTCTGGATATGAGGCGTTGGGAGGAAAATGGGTTGTTTAACTATGGTACACCGTTGGAGTTGAAACGGTGCGAAGCTAAGTGTGACCCATTGTAATCCGGCGGCATGGTAGAAAATAGTCTATAGCGGGGTTGGCCGTCGACTGAACCCACAGCAAATCGTCTCCATCTCAATGTCGCTAGCTCTTCAATGGAAAGTCACACAACTCTCGCTGCGATGTACTGATCGTTCCATTTGTTAAGGTGGGATCTGTTCATGCTGGGATAAGATGGAGATTGTTAGACAGTGCAAATACCGATATTGTGATCTGGCATGAAGCCGCCCCACGAGGTGTCGGCAGACTGGAAACGGTTAAGCGAGCTAATTTGGCAGACAGGCGTGTCATTGACGCGACTCGAACGCGCTGAGCCCGACAAGGGGCATCTGCAAATCAGCCCAGTAATGTCGAAGCATCTAGATAGCCCTTAATTGTTTGGCGTGGCTTACGGACACCCGTACACAGTCCTATGCTAGTCGACATTAATCGCGATGTGGCTATGGTGGGCTGATTGCTCCCCGTCTTCTGCAGGTTGAGGCAGTCTGCCCGACCAGCGCAACCTCTCATACATTACCCCGCAGTCGTCCTACAGTCGCCGTCAGCCTGTCGCGATCTGAGCTTTCGGTGAAGACGTTCATGGAGGGTCGAACTGAGCAATCATCGTTGGCGGCTGTGCACCATCAGCACAGCCGCCTCAGCTGCGATCTTGCCATTATTGATTGACAATACGCTGAGGCGTAGCACCACTTCGTCAGCGCGGGGCTCTTTTCTTGCCGCAAGGCTCTGGGCTGGGCTCGCGCTGAATACTCAAAAACGTATGACCGAATCACATCGCGGTGGCCCAGAGGTTCACTAAACTGGCCTGCATTCTACCATCTCGCTCAGCTAATCTAGGTGTACTGTATAATAATGGAGCCAGCAGGGTTAGCAATCGGCATCGCGGGACTGGCAGGAATATTCAGCGGCTGCCTGGATGTTGTAGAACGAGTCGACACTTACAGAGACTTTAGCGTGGACTCGCGCGCTATTATCTCCCAATTTGATGCCGATATATTAATGTTCAAGCAATGGGGCAAAGCCGTTAGCTTTGACGGCACGACACTCAGTGATAACCACTATGAAAAGTTGGACGATGCGGAGACATTGTCGGCGGTCCGGAAGATCTTTGCGATTATCCAAGACATCGCAAATGATCTTGACGAAGGCTCATCCAGCCAGCAGTATGGACCGGACTCCACAAGCTCTATGGGCAAGTCTAACGACTCGACTCGCGGCGTATACGACTTCAGAAGTTTAGAGGGGTCGCTTCGCACAAGACTAAGCTGGAATGGGCTTTGCGGCATAAGACCAGATTTGTTGCCTTATCATAGCAGTTTGGAAGCCTGGTAGGAAACTTGCGTGCCTTGGTACCTCTAGATAGCTCCAGATCGGTGGGTATAATGACCGGATAAACACGCCGTGTGACTACCTCTAGCGATAGCGCTTTTCCTAAATGATCCAGAGGTATCGACAATATCTCGCGCTACCTCGACTCACAGCGGATCTTAATAGAGATAGAAAAGTAGACCTAACGTATATATCCCTTGAGTACTCATTTGCTCTAAGCTTAAAGTGATAGTGTAACGAAACCTCTAATAGTCTAGCTGCGTAAACCACTAAAGAGTCTGTAAGGGTTTGTGCTAGTAAGTAAGTCCTGCTGCGGAGTCCTTTAGCAATAATATCGGGGTCTGACGTATGGAGTATAGGGCTCTGGGTAACTGAAGTATTCAAGTAGGGTAACTGGGAATAGAGTCGTCAAGGCAGTTTGCCTCACCAATGGGTTAGATTGATGCTTAGATTGATCACTGAAGTAGAGACTGTCTATCTATGAAATGCCTGGGAGTCCTCCTTCACTGATAACTGGGGCCATTAGATCCTTCATGGATACTATTGGTCCTAACTGGATATGTTGGATCATTTCATATCCAAATGATCCACCCTTGTAAGTCACGTGACTTGTGATCATTGTACTAGCTGGCTCCTCCTGCAGCTAGCCACTCCTGTGTGACTTTCCCCTCCTTCTTTGTCCTGTATCCACTGGGCCTGCCATCGGGCCTGTTGCATTGGTTAGAATCGTAGATTCGTAACATAGGCCTTCCGCGCCGATCAGAAGTCGTCACGACCATTTCGGACGAGATTTGGCCCATCACAAAACCGGTCTCGTCGAAGTTGTAGATATCCTCCTCCTGGATCGCGTATTTCGCGATTGTATTCCGTACCAGGTCAAACCACGCGCGATACGCGTCGGGGTCTTCGCAGAGGACTCTCTGATAGTCGATCCTTCGATTTAAACGCGTCCGGATGTCTGGTTGTCGTCTTACGAAGCTCGAGGCCCAGTTGACGCCGACGCGTCCCGCGTCGCGACTTTGAAGTAATCGGTTGGCCATATCTTCAACACCACTCAATCGGGGAGGAAATGCTCGCGAATCTAGGTCGGTTATATGTCGTACGATTGCCTATTCTTCGGAAGGAGTCAACTTTTGCGTTGGCGATCGCGTAATCGCTCGAGCGGTTTTACCGTCGCGTCGATACGCAAGGGTTCTAAAAGGTACGTTATAGATCTGACCAGCGCGACGTACACTTAATTTTGGATCAGATTGAAGCGCATGTAATGCTAGAATCATATCACTTTCATTCCAAGAACCAACCATAGTTATGTGGTGAAAAACCGCAGGTCAAAGTGGTAGCGTACGAAAATCTGCCGAAGTGTGCAATTGGACCGTGGACTACGTTAGAGGTTATCATTATGATGGTGTACTTAAGATACACCGAAAACCCAGGAGCGGGCTTCTTGCTTTTATCTTACATGTATATAGGTAAGTTAGTGTTTCGTCACCTGAGAATGTAGAGTGGTGATCTTAAGTCCGCTCATACTCAAGTAGAGAATTAGGATGAGTTGTTTTGGTTGACGTGTGGAGGAGATATGTCAGGGTACGGCTAGGCCGAAGGCAATAGTACAGAGTGATGGGGAGTAACGGGCGTCCCTCCTACGTAATACCGGGTGGTCACTGGCGGTCTCAGGTAGGGGTGCCCACGGTGATGCATTGATCTCTGCCCTCTCTATCTTCCTCCGTCTCGACTCCTTACTTATAGCCAGCCGAGGTTCTCTCTTGGATTCTGGATGTTTGCTTCCGTATGTCTGTGTTCCTCCGACTTCGGCCAATATCTTGGACAGCGGCTCCTTATCTGCAACCAAGCGATTCCCTATCCGCTGCAAACGGCTTCAACGGCTCTCATTCGCCCCAAGCGGCTCTCTAGCCGCCACAAACGGCTTCCTACCTGGTGGAAGCCGGCCCGCCTCGGATGACACTTGTGGCTCTGACAACTCCTTCGCTATCCTACTTCGAGATGGTCCTTATATAGATAGCTAGGCCGCCGCTTGGGCACGGCATAACAGCAGGGTCGGCGATGCCAAGGATCTTGACTCTCGTCATCCTAAAGCTTCACATAGATTGTAATCATGATTCGGGAGTCTTTTGTCCGAAACACCCCTCCGGCGGCCCGCCGGTGTCCTGCGTTCAGTGTCCTGACACCCACTGGTGCCTATGGCATTCTGTTCTCTGACAAGATAAGAGAGTAGTAATTCTTGTGGATAGTTTATGATGATGATGATTCCTGACAACGAGAGGAATAAGTGCTAGTCTAATACTTGTTCACTCACGACTGTACCATGGTATTTGAGAGCCATCTGAGATAACGGTTGTCAAAGAAATCTAGCGAGATATGAAATGCGGGGACCCGAAAGCTGTTGGTGATGGCGATCTGACTGACTGATATCAAGGAAATCTAGTAAGATATAACACATTGGATACCGAAAGCGGCTATTATTGGGCACCTGACTGATTGGAATCAAAAATATCTAGCATGATATCATATGTTGGACAACGAAAGCTGTTGGTAATGGGGATTTAAGTGATTAACAACAAATAAATTTAACATGTTAGCCATTGAAAGCTGTTGGTGATGGCCATCTAACTTACTAATACCAAAGAAATGTAGCAAGACGCTGGAATCCGGAAGCGGTTGTTACCGGGCATTTGACTAGTTGGTGTTAAAAAATTCTAGTATAACGTTACATGCTGGACATCGAAAGCTGGTGGTCATGGATATCTCAAACGACTGCACAGCGAAAGCATTTGAGAGACAGGCTACTTTTAGGTCTTCGTAATAGCCATTCAAAACCACCCCAGCCTCGGAGGAAGAGCGGCCACTGATCGAGACGCCATTCGTTCCAAAACGACATCCGACCCTAAGCAAAATGCTAGCAGCTGGAGAAGGCCAGGTTCAGTGACCTAAACGAGGGCGATTATGAATTCTGGAGCTTGTTCCAGGCTAGTGCTCTGGAAGCCCTAACCAGCAGAATGAAGACAGGACCAATGTTCCCCCAGTCGCTCATGCCATGAGGGTCTCCAGAGTAACGCGTTCAGCCAGCACCGTCATTCAAGGGGCCAATTTCTGAAGTCCGCACACCACCCAAGTTGAGGACGCTCTCAATGTCTCTCTCACAACTAGGGCCATAACGCAGGAGAGTCCATCGATGAATCTCGCTCAACTAATCGGCAAGCTCTCGCATCCCATACTCGTCCATACACGATGCTCCCGACAGTCTCGTCATGATACACCCAGTCCACCGGCAGTCTTAATCGTGCTTAGGCTCTAGCATCCAGAAGACGAAGCTGGGGCACACTCCTTATTGTATCTCCGTGTGAAATGATAATTGACAAAGACTGGCTTGATGGTATTGTTCAACGTTTCCGATAGACAAGGTAAGCTCCTGTGTCAATGATAATGACACAAATGCAAGTGACTGCCGTAGCCATGGACCAGGGTGTTTTTCCGCTTTTCTGTTCTCCTATTGTGAGGGGTTATGGGTAGAAGAAATTCAATTTGTCTTTGGTAGCGCGAAGGGCATGGCTACTTGTATCTGCAACAATTGCAACATGTTGAAACTTGACTATAGACAACATACGTCTTTGCCTCGACTCCTAACTATTACACGAAGAAAATTACCACTGCGAATATCCACATCCCACACGTCGCCGCACCTATTCTGAGTGGCTCAATCCTTAGGTTTTGATCTCATCGTTGAAATTGTGCCCTTTCCAGTCGAACTTTCAAGCCTCAGGGGCGCAAGGTGAGACTGGGGTTCTCAACGGTAAACGGTCCATCGACTTCAAGAAATCTGTAGTTGCGTACCATCTCCACAAGGATAATCTTGATCTCCCGCATCGCGAACAAGCGACCGAGGCATATTCGGGGACTGTTGGAGAATGTACTGAATGCATACGGTGATTGCGCCGCTTCGCTCAGCAGATCCCATCGCCCTGGATCAAAGTCGTCAACATCATCGCCCCAAATCAGCGGGGTCATCAGTGATACGTGCGGCACCACGCCGAATGTCGTGCCCTTGGGAATAAAGGTACCGCAGATGGTCTCATCGACATTGGCCTGGCAATGTATGGTGGTGGCTACGTGATAGTCAGCAATAGGAACAATTCAATCGACCGTGGAAGAGCGAAGACTCACCGTTTGCATAAACACGAAGCGTCTCCTTCACGAAGTTGTTCATATATGGCAATGTATCCAACCGCTCGAATGTGATTTCCGAATCTTGTCCAAGTTCCCTCGTCTCATCTCGAAGCTTGTTCTGTACTTCGGGTTTCGTCGCCATGAGATACACACACCACGAAAGAACATTTGCTGATGTATCGTGCCCGGCTGCCATGAGTTGGAGCAGCTACTATGGTCAGCGCAACTGCAGTGCTTCCTATCGAAACCATGAGAAAGTCCGGAAGCAAAACCTACATTGCCAACTATTTCCTATTCCGTAATTTCCTCGGCGGGCCCTCCCGGAAGACTCTCCTCCATAATGAAGGTTAAGACATCGTGGGCTTCACCCCGTGTATACTTCCCAGCTGAAGCCGCGATTTTGATCTCTTTTGCACGGTGACGTACAAGTTGCGTCAAAACGTTTCGATCCAGTTGGTTGCGAAGAGGTAGTTCCGATTGGTCTTGATCAGAATCCACCGAATCGGGACGAATGCATTGGCAAACATGAGAAGTTTCCCCGGCGTGTCTTGTCCGAAGATGCCGTCATATGCTGCGTGAAAGGTAAACTCTTGCCCCTCGGCCTTGTGTTCTGCTTGGTTTTTGTCGCCAGCAAACCTCGTCGACCTGAGTCCAGAAAGGTCCACCCCCACCCCCACATCCGGGACACCCCCACATGTGGGACGCCCTAAAAATGATGCTGTATATTATAACCATTGACCTCAACCTTTTTTTACACTTATTCTGATGCGACTACAATACAGATTTCACCGTCGCTAGGGTTTTCAGACTCGCTAGACTCATCTGTACTATCCTCAATTTCACCAGCCTCGATTTGAGCCTTCCGAATAGCCTTGATATTAGTAAACTTCGAATTTGGGCTCATCTTGACCTTCCTCCGCTTCCTAGCCCTACTAGCCTCAAGATCTGCCTCTATTGCCTCAATCTTTCGCTGTGCGACAGCTAATTGGTAGTCCTTCTCATCAAAGCCCTTTCGAACTTTCCGAAAGAGTAGCCGCTGGGTATTTGGATCACTATCAAGCTTGCTGAATAAGCTGAGTTGATCTTGGAGCTCATCTCTCCTCTTAGGCGTTGACCAGGCTACTGCTGATGTCTCTAACGCCCAGTCCTGACTACCCTTACTATCAGAGTACCCTTTGCAAGTCTGACTAGGCTGTCTGATTGGTGCTGACGTATTCTCAAGGAGCAGGGGGCTCATAAGGGGTCTAGCTATGCTCGAAGGCCAGAGACCAGTATATTTCCATCCACTGATAATGTTCTTAGCGGTTAATGCTGCTAGACGTGCCTTTCTATAGCAGAGGAGAAAGTTTCTCTTCCCTACGACAGTAGTAGTATCCCATCGGTCAAGGTAACCAAGCTCCTTCTTATAGGCTGCCTTGAGGGGTCCAAAGACTGACTGATCGAGAGGCTGGAGAACGTGGGATGTGTGTGGCGGTAAGAAAAGCAAGTGTATCTTGTTTATGAAGCAGAGGTACATAAACTCTGTCGTTTCGTGGCTACTATGCCCATCTAGGATAAGTAATCTAGTCTCTTCAGGGTCCTCTGGTTGAGTCAAAGGAATAAAGATCTTTTGTAGCCACTCAATAGCCGTAGAGTCTGACATCCACCCATTCTCTGTTGCTGTAAACCTCCAGGCTTCGTATGGAGTCAAGTCTAGAGGAGACCACTGCTGTTGGACAGACTTCCCCTTGTATATCACAAGTGGGGGTAGTGCAGTACCAGTCGCAGAGATACACTCTATAAGAGATGTCCAAGCTCGAGATCCAGGCTGTTTCTTCCGTATAGAACGAGTCTCAGATGATCCTAGAACAAGACCATTTGATCCTCTACCGTCTAGAATACCTGTCTCATCCATATTGTATCGATTCGAGGCCTTAATAGCTTTGATCTCAGGGATAGCGAGGTATTTGAACCATTGCCTGATCACATTTGCTGAGGCTCCATTAATACGCTGGGAATCGATAGCTCTGCTTCTCTGGACCTTGACTGAAGGGTTCCTCTTGATAAAAGCCTGGACCCAGTTCTTTCCAAGTGGTTCGGTGTCTCCGTGGATCTGTAGGATACGCTCGGCGAAGTCTTTGAGCTGTTGATGGGTTGGTAGGAGGCCTAGGGCAGCCTGGATTCGAACCCATTCAACCAGATGGGATTTGTTAGGCAACCTTGGTGGGCTTTGCCAAGACCACCAAGGTTACCACGTGACTTAGCCCTTCGGGACTAAGTCCAACCTTCGTGCTCCATAGGATTAGATAGAATGTCATGCTTTTACAACCTCACAAATCTTTGACCACCTTTGCGTGTAACAGGATTCCTGGGCTGGAGAGAGCCTCTGGTAATCAGCGAAGGCTATATATCTTGACTGGGCTACCTGAATCCGTCGTGAAAGAGTAGACCTTGGGACACCATGCTCATATGCTGCTTTTCGGAGGCTTTGACCGGTAGCTATTGCTTGAAGAGCTCGATAAATATCATCTTCGGTATATTGACTCATATTAGTGTAAAGAAGACTCATGTAAAATTTCGAAACTATTGAATCGATATTGGTAAAGATAAAAGAGGTTGAAGTTAGAGGCTAGCGGTGTTGATGAGGCATTTTTGGGTCTCCCGCATGTGGGGGTGTCCCGGATGTGGGTGTGGAACGTTATAGCAACGCCCATGACATCCAATGTAGCTTTTGTGAAGGTTCCAGTACAGTCTATGACACTACTTCTTCCATCACCCGCGGCAACCACACGGTCAAAAAGCCAGCCGACCTCCTTTGCCTTGTTTTGGAAGACGGGCTCCAGTCTGCGGATATTGTTGAGTAAAAACACCGGGTTGATCACTGCGAGACTCAGACTTGATCTCTATACGAATATTTTATACCCATGAGGTAGAATGATTCAGTGAGAACGCAACCAAAATAGTCAACTCACTTTTACGGTGAGCCCGATGTGCTTCACCCTCCATGGTAACCAGCCCGTGACCAGTAATCTCCCTCGTCAGTCGCCTGAAGAAGTTACTCTTGCGGAAAGAGTAACACTTCGTTTGTAGCACCTCTTTGAATGAGTCGAGATTGCTGCACACAATCACTTCGCCGTTTGCAAATGTGCGAAACTGAATCAGCGGTGCTTCGGGGTGCTCTCATCCACTTGATGTAGAGTGCCGTAGGGGTTTCGGCTTTGATCAGATTAATAGATTGACCAAAAAAGAAATGGTTGTCCTGGGAAAGTCAGCACAACACCGGCACTAAGTGCATTGCAGCAACGCCGCTTGACTCAACTATACCTTTGGGCCAGGGAGGTGGCGGAGTGGCGAGAAATAACGGTGGTATAAAAAGACTCGATAGCACTTTACAGTTAAATACTGAATGAGAAAAAAAGGGCAGAACATTTGGCTGTTGCTCCCGTCGTTCAGTAGACGCTGTAATGTAGTTGCCTCCAGCACCGACGCAACAGCACATCTGATCACATCCATGATGCTCACTAGGGGATATTTTCCACAACAGTATACACAATAGAGATATTCCAGCACAATTTGACCCAATACTATAATCGAAAGGATAATGTGCTATGTAAGAGTCCCCTGCTGTGAACGCTTAATTCTATACCAAGAATCGTTTCCCTCACAATTTCACGGCTACTTATTAAACTAATCATTTTAAGACGGCGTCGGCTATATCATTCTATGGTCTGCTGTGGAGAGTGCCGCTGGCATCATCGCCGGCTCCCTTCCATCACTACGGAAGCTTTATGGTTTCTACGTCGAGACTTATAACAGCACTGATGCTCAGTTTGCCGTGGTCAGAGTCGATGCTAAGGGCACTATCGGAGGCACACCATTCAGTAAAGCTGAAACGCAGGTCAAGATGAACATACTCACGCCAAGGGGCAAAGGTTATACCTCTGCAGTCGCACCAACGACCAGGGATGAATGGGATCAGTTGGATGATGACAGTTCCAGTCATAAGATTGTGTTGTAAATGACTGTGCACGTCGAAAGCCACGCTAGGACAATTATCGATGAACATACATAATTATTTTTGAAGTTTGGAAGCATTCCATCGAGTGCTATGATCCAGATCATATTAATTTCATGCCGTACTTGAGTTGTGCTGAGAATTGGGGCTCGCCACCACTTCTCACTCATAAACCAAGAGCCCCAACTTCCCAACGGCCCCTTCCACGCAAGTTAGCACCATTCAATATAGGATCTGGTGTGTAATCTGTCAAACTGGGCGGCAAGCTCTCGATATCAGTGCCCCATTTACTTTCATTGCGTCCCAGCGTAAGTACTAGCTGTTTGCCTTCGGTGAAGAATGAGTGGTCGAGCCAGTTCTTGGTGTAAGGAACCCCATTTAGGGTTGCCTGCTGGATGTAAATAGCCTCATATGTTGGGTCAAAGTTGATGTTTTGGATTGTGGCTGTCTTGTTCGTAACGGGGTTCGTTATATTCACCGACTCAAAGAACGGAGGCGTGATAAGGTAGACATCCTGGCCAGGATTGGGGAACAGACCCATCATAGAGAATGCCACGAAGGAGCCCACTGGAACAACGAAAGTCAGTATTTACCACTTGCGGATATCCGAGCGATAATTGGAGATTGCTAAGTCGTGTCTCAAGAATAAAAATACCACAGGTGATTCTTGCTCCGGAGATAAAGTAGAAAGAAGAAGAAAGAACTCTCGAGGCTACTTACTGGCGCCGCTGTCGTCGTTGCCCGGGAGGCCTCCAGGGGTAGGATTGAAATACCTAGGGATGTAAAAATGAGACCGGTGGGCGGAGAGAGCGGGCCTGCCAGCGTAGTGGTACTGAAAGACAGTCAGGAAAGAGGGCTCGTTCCCAATGTACGTAATGTTTTGATCATGGAGGAAGTCGAGTCGGCGGACAAATTCTTTCTGGCCACCGTAAAGCTCGACCAGCTTTGCTTGGTCGTGAGGCACGAAACTTTGATCAGGTTAGCCACTTCCTGGTGGAATAATAGAGCATGTGGGAATCTCACTAGCCGTATTCCCAAAGGCTGCTCTCGAATGTTTCTTGGCCGTCGATCGTCAGCGAGCAAGATGTTCCCGTAGTGTCGATGTTGCTGCACACCAGGGGATCCTGGTGACCCCAGGTCTGGTTGAGATACTTGGATTGGAAAAATCCGGTAAAGGTGGTGGAAATATTTGCTACCATTGATACTTGGTCTGTTTTGAACAAGTTGATCCAGTTACCACTTGATTCGCGATATTTGACCACATCATCGCTATTGTTAAGACCGCCCGCCATCTGGGCAATGCAAAAGTCGTTGTAGCTGTACTCCAAGGTGCGTGAGACGCTCCGGGTCATGGTACCGAACCCCTTGTAGTCGAAATCTTCGACGGGAATGTAACCGAGTCCTTTCCAGCTATCGAGGCCACCTCGTCCCTGCACGGCCCAATTGTGAGGTTCGACTTCAGCATCCTTGCGTACGGCTTCATAGCCCTTTTGCCACTGTAATCGTGTCAGCTGATGCAGTGCTTGGGTGGATCGATAAATCCACGAAAAACAGTGGGCATGCTTCACATGTCACGTACGTCTATATTTTCACTGATGCCCTTGATAAAAGCATCCGCAAGAACAACGTCGGCATTTGAGCCACCCTGCATTTAAAGTTTAGTACTTCCAAGTTTCCTGGGCTTCATGAGTTTACCTGTGTGTATCCTTTGCTAAAGGTCATGCGACAATCAGGAAGCCAGCCTTCGTGTTCATAGGTATCGATCAACGAGCGAACCATTTTGGAGACGGCTGCGGGATCAATGACAGTCAGGAAGGGGATCTGCGATCGGAAGCTGTCCCATAGACTAGGGGCCTGTTAGACCAGGGGCCGGATAAAAGGCAGAGCGGCTCACCAATAAAAAGAGTCGAAATAAGGGGCATCCGAAGTCCACTTTGGATTCTCGCCAGTGTAATCCTGTGGATTGACCATGGTTCTGTATATACCACTGTAGAAATTGGTGATCAAGGTCATGTCAACACCGCCACCCGTAGACACTCTGACTGGTTTCAACTTTTCCTGCCAAGCACTACGGGCAGCTGACTCGACGGTTTCGAAGTTGTAGTCGGGAATTTCAGCCTCTGCATTCTTACATGCTTGCGCGGAGCTGATGAAGCTCACGCCTGTTCTGGCAAGCACAGTACGATCGGTAAGGTTAAATCGCATAAATGCGCCCCCTGGCAGTGGATAACCGTTGATTCCACGGTTCAGGTCGAGCAGCTCATGGACACCAGCACTAGCGCGGCTGTTGACGAATATGCCGCGGTCGCGGACTTGTGCCCCAGAGAAGTCGGTACAGAAATAGGCCGTGTAATTGCCCTGCCCGAAACTAGGCGCGAAGACCGCACTACCGGACAGCCGTGGCCGTTCAGGGTCGGCAACAATACTGGCATTATCCAAACGCGAGTCGGAGAGGTCCGTCAGATCCTGAAGGATCAGAGGAGAGGCGACACCTCCGGAAGTGCTGGGCGGGAAGGTGAAGCGAAACAGGGCAGCATGCTGGGTTGTGGTCATCTCAGCCTCCACGCCGCTGTCCAAGGTGATGCCAAAGTAGCCGGGTCGTGACTTCACAGTTTCGTTACGGAACGTGCCCAATTTAGCCCGGGCCTTCTTGGGAAAAACGCATTGGTTGATGTCGTCTTGTGGACAGCTGGCGTAGGCAAAGAGGGGGAAATTCCCAAGTGAAGGCGAACCGCCAGTGCCCGAGTCATGCAGCACCGAGAAGCCGGTGACATTGCTGTCGTCGAGTGTAAAGCCGCCCTGTCTCGAAGGACTGTTCGTGTCGGCCACGGCTTTCACCATGCCGTAGGGCAGTGATGCGCCGGCGAAAACGTTTCCTCCATTCGTCGTGCCGATGAGGGAGTCGACATAGGAGAGAGCATCGAATTCAGCCTGTCCGTTGACGAGAAGCGCGAGAGTGAGTGTCAGAGCCCTGGAAATAAGCCCAGGCATGGCGCCAAGTTTGATCAGGGACCTAGAGCGCTTTGCCGGTTGAGTTGGCATAGGAAAAAGTGAGGACTGAATTAATAAAAAGAAGATGAGAATACTGCAGTATCTAAAAGTTATTTTAAAGCGACGACGGTGGTGGTTGTTATGATCAAGGGTATGACGGACCAATAACAATACTGGCTACTGGAGGTGTGCAATTTGACCGCGCCTGGAGGGTGGCTCGACCATGGGAAGAGAAGAGACACGCAGGGGCACATGAAGACAGACATGGGTCGTAATCCATTGTTTTGGCCATATCGTTGGTCCTAATTTCCATGCTTCTTCGCGTTTGTTATGCCATGCGCGAGCGGTAGAAAAACACCGTATCGGTCGTACTCTGTATAGCCTGCACGCTACCACTGCAGGCCACCGGATCTCCCACGAGGTTTGCGCCATTGCAAATTGTAATTACGACTTTGTCATGCGACAGTTGAGCTGCTATCCTAACCCAGGGACTTCGCCCTGCAACTTCCACGGGCAGATTGGGTAGGAGGGATATGGTCGCCACAGGTCAGAGACAAGATGGAATGCGAGGACAGCTGCTTCGTCGACTAACACCAGCCCACCCCACCTCTTGTTGCGGGACACTACATGACCATGTCAGCTTCCTGAAATGGTCGGAGAACTGCTACCCACTTTTGGTCCTGTGCGCGTCAGACCTTGGGTCCGACACATGCATGGCCCATAGTGAAGGTTAAGGTATGCTCGTTTGGAACAAGGAAACCCCTTGCTTCCTCCCTGCATGCTGCTGCAGGCGAGATGATCGCTTATGTCACTGCAGATATTCATATACATCGAGAGCGCGAGGGGAAGATCGTCTGAACAGGTCACGGGCGCAGGCCTTGAATTGGGAATTATCGAGTCCCGAGGACAATTGTCTGCCTCTTTGTTGGCTCCAGTGTGAACAGTATTGCTTTCTACCGCCGCAAGTGCCGTTGCTGTTCTCAACTCCCCCGCATTTCATTACAACACCCCCACCCACCCTGGTTAAGGTTCTGACGCCACCTCCCGTTCTTCCCGAACGGCCCAACTTTGAGTTGCAGCTATCAATACGAAGTAGATCTAATCTCCTTTAGCATTCGACACAATTACCGTCAGACTGCAAGGTTCATTCTAGGACTACGCCCTTTTTACCTCTACAAATAGGGAGTCCTGAAGGGAACCAGGACACTTCGTCCATTACCCTCTGCAAGTAGTTGCCAAGTAGTTTCCCAGTAATCACAATATTACAAAAAGCCAACTCGGCTACTTCCATCTGATCCCCTGAATGACTGTTTTACCTATGTGTTCTGATATTGAGTGCCCAGAAGCACTGGTTAGGCGACTCGAAAGATTCTCTGCGCGAGGTTTCATATCTACGCAATAGCTCCTATTCGATAGGTTTCCGCCCGCACACGATCTACCTACGAATAAGTAAGTTTCGATGAGGCTCGTTGGGCAGAAATGGACTTACACATATGTATAAAGGTGACGGGAGGTGTCTGCTAGCTCTTGTTTAACGTTATATATCAGAGCGTCTACTTCTCACGGATAGCCCGGCGCCCCTTGGCAGTTTGTACGTGACGCCAAGCGCACCCATAGGTATCCTGATACTCAACCCGCCCTCCGGGATTCAGATTCTAAAGGCTTGGCGCATGATAGCTTTGGGGTCTTGGAAGTTAAGATAAACGAGCCGAAATGAACGTAGCCGAACTTGAAAGGGAAAAGCCACTCATTATCAGTTTTGGGGGCTCTTTTATAGCTCTTATCTATCTTATCTATAGCTACAGGGTAACTCCCCATGGGGTCACGTATCAGCTTTGCTATTTTTCAAGTAAACAAAGTCCTTTGTGAGGTATGTTTGTCCATCACCATTAACCCACCTGTGATGAGGCAGAGGCACTGCAAGTTCAAATCAGGGTTGCGACATCAGTCTATCTCTGTTGACGAATACTAAACTGAAGAAGAGAGAGAAAGAGATCTAAGTGCAAGTGCCCTTTCCTACATTATAAGGAAAAGGGCAGCGCGTACAGGTGGGACACCCATACTAGGGTGTCCCTGTGTTCGTCCAGGGGCCCAGGGGCCAGGCATCGTGACCGGCGTCACACCACCAAACTCATCTCGGAGTTATTTCGAAGTTTCGACTTCGCCATTGTGAACTCCACAAGCCCATGGAAGTCATGTGGCACTCGTGTTTGGGGAATTTCCGACATGTTCTTAACAGCTACGGAGAGGCATAAAGCATGATATGCACAATTCAAATTTGAGAGGCTCTAGGTAATACAGTGACCCTTATAAGTATTCATGGGGTCCCCAGTTCCCGACTAAAACTTACCAAACCTCACGATATTGAAAAGTAGAGTGAAGATGAGATTAGAGTATTAAAATTCCAAGTATACACCATGAAGTTGGTGGCCTGAAGTTACAGTAAGGTACATACACTTGAGATACTTTAGTACCCTTGTATACCTGTGCCTCCTTTCTTTATCTTCTTATACAGCTGGAATGCCAGTACTACTATGATATTACATATACTATGATGATTAGTTAAATTATAACGTGGTTTATATTCAAGATGTTCGTCACCCTATTGCAATGAACATTGGAATGGAAATCTATACTGCTTTCTTCGACTTGCATTTGTTCTACTACGTGCTAGCCATTCTTCTAATCAGCCAGCTCGGTGCACTCTTCCCTTCCACCCCTGCGTCACCTGTTTGACACAACCATGTTTACACCCAAGAAGAGGCAGAACCATCCGGATGCACGGTTCGATAATTCCTCGCATGGTTCAATGGTTAGAAATCCAAGAATGCTAAGCCTCGGGTTTGCAACCTTCGTTGTCCCCAAGCCCCCGCCGAAACGATATCCGACCTTGCCCCGACTTTGCCAGTTGCGAAGTGAGTCGACCATCCGAATCGAGCATTCCTCCTACCCTCCGAAACTCCATGTTCAAGATACTCGCCATCACCATGTGCGAGTGCAGAAAACTAGACTAGTAGATCCACAGGCAGAGGAAGCGGTCGATAAACTTCACGGCTGTTCCTCATAGCTGGCCGGTATACATTACCAGAAGAACCAGAGATTAGGTACCACCTTGGTGATGTAACTCGGCTCATGAGTCCAGATCGAGTCCACTGGAGTAAAGGCGCGAGAAGTAGTAAACCAGTAAACGAGTTCAATTATCTCGGACACACGGGTGGCCTTTATTAGTGGGAGACATCATTGTTACAGCGGTAGTCGGAGCTCTTCGCAGTTATGTTGGCGCAATGGATATGGAGCGCAAGCATTTTGCTTCATGAAGTGCAACGCCCAAAATGAACCAAGACAAATCAGCATGATAGATATTGACTAAACTCATGATCGTCTGATCCTGGATTTGGACAGCAATTACAACCCACAAGCTAATACCTGGAAGATAGTGAGTAATATTTGTTAGGGCACAACCACCTTCGTACACGAACAAAAATAGACTACATAAAGACTTGAAATATGAGAAAGCGCTCTGGATGACTTTCCCATTGGATCACACTTGGAGCACAATGCATATGACTTGCAGCGTCATGCACTTCAAACTAAGAACACCAACCACCCAAAAATGGAAAGGCAACTCGCACCCATCGGCTTTAACGCTGCACCTTCTCCAACGCCACGTAGCAATATTTGGGATTTGACGTGAGGCTGTCGACCGCCATACTTGATGCCAGCTCTCCTTCCAGCGGCTTGAAGACGAAGTTCCAGACCAAGAGTACTAGTACCATCCTAATCTCGAGATAAGCCAGCCTCTTACCAAAGCAGCTCCTCGGGCCCAGGCCAAAGGCCAAAAAGGGGCCTGCTTGGGAATCGTACTGGATTTTGCCCGTCTCGTCTGTCTTGAGCCATCGTTCAGGATTGAAGAGATGCATGTCCTGCTCATTCCACTTTCCTCCCCAGTGCTTCGTTCGCGACGTCTCGCTGCGCACATTGTCGTTGACGGGCAGAGCTGGCATCAAGATTCCAGGGCCGCTAGAAGGCATGAAGATGTCAGTGCCCTTGGGAATATGGTGGCCGAGCAAAATCGTATCCATGGTCGTCTCACGGAGAACGACGGGAAGGGGGCTGGCATAGCGTAGGGCCTCTTCGATGACGGCATCAACGTAGGCGATACTGGTTTTCGTGATCTCAGTTTCGTTCGGTTGGCGGGATTCGGCGAGGGCCGCTGGGTACGCCGCCTGCAGTATGGAGCGTAGTTTGTTCTGGACGTCCTGGTGTTCTGAGATGAGCTTGACGATCCCTGTGAGGTGTATTAGTCGCTGTGTATTCGTATTGAAAAGAATGGCGGGGAACTCCCATTTTAGAGCGCTTGAGCTGGTATCGTGACCCGCAACAATGTAGCCAAAGAGCTGAGTTATTATAATCAGCGATCCATCCGCGTTTCCCAGAGAGTCAGTCCGAGTACGAACCTCGTCATAAATTCGCCGCGAATGAAAATCGGGTTTCCGCCCTGCTTTCTTGGCTGCTTCCCTCTCTCGTTGTAGCATATGGTCCATGGCAGAGAACATAGTATTATCTCCACTCTCGAAACGTTGGAGAGATTTGTTGATCTCCTGTGTGATCAGTTCATCTTTGCGAGCCAAGTTGCGCCGAAACGAAGAATCTGTAAGCAACTTGAACTTGTGGGACAGCTTTGGCTTAAGTGACTTGAATTGATTTCCAATGTGATCACACAGGGCATGGACGACGGCAATGTCGTCCAATTCTGGGAGTTGGGGGAAGTCGACTGAGCCGTCGGGGTTGACCGGTAATTGGCGACTGTCCGTGGTAGCAAGGTAATCGAGCTGGTGTTTCACTGTGCATAGGCTGTCGTCGAAAGCAAATGTGGCAGCGTTGATGATATCGATGGCAGCGTCAAATATATCCCGGCGAGCATCAAATGGTCTTCCATTGGCGAGTTCTGCCTTTAGCGTCCACAACTCGACCAGGGCTGTGGTCTTGGAATAAATTTGGGGGGCCGACACCTCCTCATCGTCAGTGACGTCCACAAGAGCACTGTAGTTTGGTTGATGGAATACGTACATCATACAGAAACTTAGGAGTCATCAAGTCCCGGACTAGTTCCTTGTTGCCTTTGAAACGGCGGTCAGTCGAAGCCATGGCGATGTGGTGATCTGGAATGGTCAAAAAGACCTGGATACTCCTCGTGCTGCGATCAAACTCCTTTGACCGTCGAAGGAGAATATCCTGCGCCTCTTGATAGTCGGATAGAATTAATTTTGGTTTGCTGAATGGGGTCATCCAGAATTGTATCAGAGGCGAGCCGTGTCTGACGGGCTGCTTCGCGAACCAAGGTCGAAGCCGGCCATGCTCTTTCATGTAGGCCACGATGCTGGGCATATCGCCCATGATTCTCCCGGCAGCCTCTTCATTGTAGGGGATGCCAGGGATAGGTTTGGGGAGGGCCCACTGGTAGGCCAGATATAATAAGACCCCAGCTACTATGAACAAGAAAAAACCTGTGAGGAATGAGTGTGGATTCTGTAAGACGAGGTCATTGTTTGTGATTCCCATTGTGTCGACTGAGTCTATCTCAAGTAAGGGTGACGTTGTACTCTCTTTCCAACCTTGATAGAGCGTGTTCAGGTGTTAAGTACTTGAGCGGAGCCGGTGTGATAAATCAGTCCTAAACTTCAGGGGGAGAGAGACTAGTCCCAGATTCCTAGTTACGAGTCAGCACTAGAAGAAAAGCGTGATGGCATTATAGCGTTCAGTCCTCTTCATCAGCCACATTTCCCACACACGTTACCCCGGCACATTGCCAAGTCTGGTCAATTCTGTTGGGCCGATGTGGCCGCACTTTCAAAACCTTCGAAGGTTGCTCATCGAACAGGGGTATTGGTGGAGAGAGGGTCCAAATCAAAAAAAAATATGGGCAAAAGATTTAAATACCCTGCACAACCCCTGTAAAGACCTATTTACCCTGCAATTTCCCAGACCTCCCACCGCCTTCCCAATCCATCAGACCCACCGATCGGGCCTATCAAGCTATCCATGGGGGCGTTGGCACCTTCTCATACTATGTCCAGTCTCACCACAACTAGAGCATCGCGATTGTGAGCTCTGTGGAGGGCGGCGAGAATCCCCCTTTCGAATCCTCTCTTTGACAGGGCGTCCTCGAGGTACTCCAGTAATTGGAGGGTTACAAGGGTCCTCTGGCTTGAGCTTGAGCTCAGAGACGTTGATAGCTGGCATCGGGCTACTATACGTGGCAGCCCAAACTGTCGGAGAGAGAGATTCTGGTAGATAAGAGGTTATACCGTCCCCTCCTGCTAGTATTACGGTAATGGCATGCCCGCAAGGGATTCCATTCCTTTGATACCGACGGCATGAACATGTCCCTGCTGTCAAATTTACAATGCAAATAAGGCCGTCAGGCTGTACTACTCTTGCTTCCGTTGGTGACGAAAACTGAGCACGATTACTAGACGCCCATTGCCTCCCTTCTCGTAATTTCCCTTCAACGAATGAGGTAGCTGTCTTCCCTGCCTCTATCAACCGTAAAGCAGATTGAAGCCGAGCTGCCCTCTTCTCCATAACCCGGTGCCATATTGAGCCGAGGAGAGCAATAATTGGAAGTTCCCGATCAAGCTTTAATACTCCGTTTTGCGACTCGACGATATTACTTGTATCGTGGCCATATCGACGCCCAGAGAATAGCGCCTCGGCCCAAAGCGAAGGGTTTGCCGCCTCTAGATATGCCGCAGCTTCGGGCTTTTGTTGTCGAAGCTTGTCTAAAGCTGCCTCGTATTGGGCTAGAGGTGGTGCTCGGGCGATAGTCCAAAATAAAGAGGCAAGCCCTCTCCCGAACTTTCCCGTGAACTTCTCCTTAATATGATGACAGCACCACGCCCCTGTAGCTAACAGACCGAGGACCTTCTCCGAGTCAAGGAGTCCTTTACCTCGGTCTGATAGAATTGTCCTCTGCTCTGTTGAGACCTCTGGGATAGTCCAACGAAGGTGCTATAAAAACCATGTCCAAGAAGACTTATTTTCCGACTCGACTACCGCCCAGGCCAAGATAATAGTCTCGCCATTCGCATCGATCGTGACGGCAAGCAATAGAGTAAGGATGAAATGACCCTTTAAGAAGGTTCCGTCGATAACGAGGAGACGTCGGCAAAGGGTATAAGTAGAGTGGCTCTCAGCAGGGCAAATGAAGATTCGTTCAAAACGTTGATGGCGGTCTCGAAGTAAGTCGATATGGATAGCAGGAGAGATGGTCTCTAAGAGCTCCTTATAAGCGGGTAGTAACTGGAAGCTATGTCGTTGCTTGCCAATATCTCCGTCGAGTAGTCGCAACTGTCACGACCTGGGTTGCATCGCATTGGTAGAGACCTCGATTAGGTGCTATCGACGAAGATTCTACTCTAAGGAGTGAAGGAAAGAAGATGACAACTTAGGTTTGAGGGAGCGCGACTAAGTCATCCACGCTTGGCGGGGCTCCTACAAGGGTTATGATTGGCTTTCCATCTGACACTGCCACGGCAGGTGTTCCAGCTGTAAGTCACCTGGTTGTAGTGAGTCTGCGAGGGTTGATCTTCACAGCAACCGGCACTCTTGAGCTCTCTTGTAGTTGATATCTTCAGCGAATTGGATACGGAGGAGGTCGAGTATTTGTTGTGGGGGGGTCTGCTGTGTTACTGCAATATTGGCAGCGACAATACGGTCTAACCAGTCTTTCTTAGACGCAGAGGAGAATTTTTGCCTTGCAGCTCCGCTACAACTATGCTCGGTTTCGAGAATATGAATCTGCCAGATATCCTCACTAGGGGAATAGGTTGCTCGGCAGCGCCATAAACAGCCGCTTAACGCAGAGGCACACACCCAGGAGCCACGGGTCTTATCTCGCCGCTCAACCCGATAAGAGAAATTCTCCTTTACAGCCCAGTTGTCGAGGGCAAGCGATAGAGTATCAAGGTCAAGGAACTCTTGTCCATCAATAGGAATAGATAATAGGGGTAGCGACGTCATGTTGAGCTGAGGAATAGTAGTCGTATGCTAATTCCAGAGGCATGAAGTCAGAAAGCATGGCGGAAATGTGGAGAGAAAAGCGACAGAAAAATTGCAGGGTAAATAGATCTTTACAGGGGTTGTGCAGGGTATTTAAATCCTTTGGCCAAAAATATTAAATACGCCGTAGGTGTTAACCCTCGGTACCTCTACAAGTACTCCCTTAAGGGGCTATAGATGATATAGCGGGCCCTTAAGCCGCGTCGGGCGGTTATACAGGTAAACTTGTAGCCAAACGACTACTAAACCTCCTGTCCCTCTCTAAGTCTGTGCTACAACCCCTGCCTGAACTACCGATAAGTGTGGTAATGTGGCACTTAAATTCGTCCTCAGGGGTGGGATGCTGCTGATCTGCAGAAGATGCTCGACTATTTTTTGTCGCGACAAGTCGTAGTATCTGCTAATTGGGGTTCTCGTCGAGCGTATACATCTCAACCATACGCTCAAGTGGATAGACCGTAACGTGGTCTAGACGCTCGCAAGAATCGCGGCGAGAGGGCGTGCTGCGCGCCTTCTATCGTGAGGGGACGGGTTCGCCGACGAGCGTTATCGGATAGGCGAGGTCCGGTAAGGGGTCGGATTAACGATTCGAATTCTGGACCGGCTGTCGAGTTATATTCCGCCGACGTAGTGCTTGACGGTCGACTGGCTAGGATGCTCGTAATCCTAAACTGCACCAATCTCCCTATTATCGCTAGGTAGGCGAAGTCAACAAGGTGGGCAGCGCGCCGTAAGGGTTGACTAAACCCCCTTGTGTGTCAGCTGCGGGATTCGAACCCGCGACTCGTCACCGACCCAAGTGGGCGAGGCTCAAATCGGGACTTATCTACCAGCGAAGTGACCAACTACACCAGCCGACAGTCCAAATCAAGTTCCAGAACGAAGTACAACGACCGTATGACCATAACCGCGAGGGTAGTCTAGTATGAAACGGACGTAGAATCCTCGGTGAAGGCCTTTACACTATTCCGCCTGGTCCTGTCGGCAAAAATGTCATCAATCTCCCCGTCTTTGTTTTTCTTTCGAAAACGCCGGCTCCGTTCCACGTCATCACCGCAAATTCAAGTCAAGTTCGAGGCTCATGAGCATTTATTTCCAGCAAGAGCACGTTTTGCATCACTCATTCTACGTATGGAAAAATAGCTGGTGCGTAACGAACTGCACGAATCTCAAGTAGATCGGGACTGGGGCTGTCATCAACTCGGCTCCAACTGATTGCTGCTAGGTTACGTCGTAGTTGATCTGTCCGATTGTTGTCTTGGCAACAGATAGTGGTGTTGACAGTGTCTAATTAGGTTTCAGAATGACTCGCTCCTATGGCCACGAGAAATATCAATGAATCTCAAATTGGGAAACCTCACCACGGTCCAAGATCAGTGACAATCTATGCTCCCACAGGTCGAAGTAGTATGTTTTTTCGCCATTCACCAGCATCAATATCTCTAGGCCGTAAAGAGCTCCGGGATCATGATCAAAGCCTTGTAAGGAGTCGAGACTTACGGTAGAGCCATAGCTTGGACCCAATCTCAGCCACCGCTAACGAATCTGATCGGCAGCGCCGCGTCTTCGTCTGCAGAGTTGTCCACAGCTGAGTAATGATGTATATCTTGATGTGCAATCGTGCGCAGGGCTTAAGCAAGCGGCGGCGAGCCTATTCAACCCAGCGCGACAGAAATCAACCGTCTAGTGTGAAGGACATGCTGTCACATCGCTCAGCTCTTCGCCGTCCCACCAGCTATGTGTGCTACCGTCGTCCTGGCAAAATGGGATGCGACGAACAGCTGATGGGAAGCGCTGTCCGTCTAAATAGATGCGGGCCAACCACATGATATCTATTGTGCTGAAGGCTCTAGTGACTGGAATAGAGTTTTGAGAAGGATGTCCTTCAAGCCAGCTCTCACCACTAGTTCTCACCCATTAGCATCGAGTATCCATACCTCCGTCCTACCATTCGCAATGTGCAAGTATAGTTGATAACTGGAGCGTATAGATAGATGTCTTACTTTAGAGCTAGGAGCTGTCTGGAAACAATTGCCCCACAAAGCACTCGACTGACTTCGGCATGCTATTTTATTTTTGGTTCTTCCGTGTCCCTTGTCAAAGTCCTCGGATCCGGACCCAGTCCACTGGTGGCCAGCACGAGCGAATACCGGTTCCAACGCCAACGCTATGCATCAAACAAATCAATTCAGGCGTCTTCTGGCACGACTACTTTGCCACATCATCTCGAATGGGGCAGACCTCTGCTTCAAGTTCGCCCTCCACTGCCGACCTTGAACCCTTCCATCAGCACTACCCACGCCCCCTTGTCGCCTATGACGCCGCTCTCGCCAACGGCAATGCGGCGCATGAGCAGTGTGTCTCTTGCCCCCTTGAAGCGCTTTGCATGCCCACTCGTCAGCGCCTCCTTGAGCCAGCCCTCCTCGTTCTTGTACAGTGGGAGACTGGCGAGCTGATAGGCCCTCTCGGCGCTCTCCTCGTCTCGGGCGTCCCCAAGCACACTCATGACCAAGCGGTGGAAGAGCTGCTGTTGCATCTCTTGGGGCCGTGCACGCGAAAATTGCAGCGCCTCGGTGACGTTGGAGTGGGCCATTGCGTCAAACAGGAGTTGGATTGATGTCGGTGACTTGAGGACGGGCTGCACGGTGTGATAGTATGCCAATGGGAGGGTGTAGTCGCCGCCTTTGGATGCACAGCGCACGAGGACGGTGATAATGTCGTCGGCGAACTCGGGAAGCAGGGAGGGGTGGGCCAAGAACTCCAATGCGGCGGTGAAGGCTTGTCGGTCGAGGCACCAGAGGCCGCGCATGAAGACTTGGTATTTGGGTGGGACGCCAGCGCGCGAGGCGAACCGGTCGGCGCGGGAGAAGTTGGCGGGCGATTGCTCGTCAATGTCGAGCAAGAAGTAAAACAGCACGGAAAGCTTGTGGTGGGTTGCGATGGTGGCAGGAGAGGCGATAGACTCGTGGATCTGGCGGAGGATGGCCTCGGATTTGGGAGGGTAGTTTTTGACCACTGGTGCATTGCATCATTAGTTGGTCGTCATCTGATGGAGATCGGGAGAGAAGTTAGCGAGCAGGCTCACCTTTGGAAAGGCCCAATGCACCGAGGACGCGATCGATGAAGAGGGCGCCATCGAAGCTGCGACGGTTGACTTCTGCCTCTTGAATGAAATTGCGGTGGTAGGGAAACGAATCGACTGAGCCAAAGACCCGGTCGAAGTTGCTATAATCCATCATGTTGGGCGAATTGTCCGTGTTGGCGAAACCATGGAATGCTCGGGGAGTGCCTCTGTCTGTCAGCGCTCTGGCGAACGAGGTTATTCCCGGAGTTTCCTCGGGAAGGGGTTGGCGCTGTGAAGGCGCATTTTTGATCTGACGACTAAACACGCTAAGATTGCTAGACACAGGGGTCAAAGGTGGGGTGTTGATATAACCAAGGTTTTGTTTACTTTGACAATGCAAGTGCGCCGTCGCATTCAAATCTTCTACGCCAGAGCATCCGACAGATATTAAGTAATGACCAACACAAGCATAGTCTTTGCGCATTTTTGAGTCCATTTTCCCTATCGTATCCCTTTTAAGAATACGAAAAAAGTTTACAATGTCGGGTCGACCTTCCCGCCGCGCAGCAGCGGCACGACGTGCAGCTATCGTCGACTCGGACGACGACGACGAAATCGCCAATACCACAGCCATCAAGAGGCAGGAAAGCAGCGGAGATGAATTTGCCCCTGAACCAGAGCCAGCGCCAGTTGCCAAAACCTCCCGCCGCTCAACTGCCGCCAGACGAAAAACATCCACAGCGCCCACCGCGACCCCACGCGCAAGCAGAAAGAGCGTCGCACCCGCCGCACCCACTGCGTCCATCGAACCCAGCGAAATACTCGACCCAGACCAGTCAACCGCCACTGTAGCCGACGAGGACGTGCCTGTGAAGAAACAATCGCAGAGGAAGAGGAAGAGTGTCGCTCCCCGAAAACCCAGCAAGGAACCAACACCAGAGCTGCCGCCATCACAAGAGTCCCTGCCAGCCCCCAAATTATCAGCCTCACCTGAGCCATCGCAACTCCCCACTTCGCCGCTGGCGGACATCACCAACCAAAGCATTAATGAGGCGCAGAATTCGGGCGATGAGACCGTCACCCAGGTCAAGCCCATCAAGCCCCTCGACACGATCCTGGAAAAGCCAATGGACATTGTGCTAAAGTCTCGCGCCCAGATGACACTGCCTGTAGCCGAGGACACGGGGCCGAAGCCTCGTATCGTCATTACCTACCTGATCTTGACCAATTTCAAGAGTTACGCGGGAAGACAAGAAGTCGGACCCTTTCACTCGTCCTTTTCATCTGTTGTTGGGCCCAACGGTTCGGGCAAGTCCAACGTCATCGACTCCCTGCTTTTCGTCTTTGGCTTCCGCGCCAGTAAGATGCGACAAGGCAAGATTTCGGCTTTAATCCACAACTCGGCAGCATTCCCGGACTTGGACCATTGCGAGGTGGCAGTTCACTTCCAAGAGGTGATGGACTTGGTAGGTGGAGCCGATCCAGGGCTGTATCGCGCAAGCCGAACTAACCGATGATGATAGCCCGGCGGCGGATCTGAAGTCATCCCCAACTCGCAGCTTGTCATTTCGCGAAAAGCCTTTAAGAACAATGCGAGCAAATACTTCATCAATGGCAAGGAGTCCAGCTTCACCATCGTTACAACACTCCTAAGAGATCGCGGTGTCGATCTCGACCACAAGCGATTCCTCATCCTCCAGGGCGAGGTCGAGTCAATTGCCCAGATGAAGCCAAAGGCTGCCAACGAACACGATGATGGTCTGCTTGAGTACCTCGAGGACATTATCGGCACATCCAAGTATAAGACGCCGATCGAGGAGTCCGCCACCGAGGTTGAGACACTCAATGAGATCTGCATGGAGAAGAGCGGTCGCGTGCAGCACGTCGAGAAGGAGAAGAACGGCCTCGAGGATAAGAAAAACAAGGCTCTGGCTTACATTCGCGACGAAAACGAGCTCACGCTGAAGCAATCTGCCCTCTACCAACTTTACATCAGCGAATGTAACGACAACTTGGCTGTCACTCAAGAGGCAATTAGCCAGATGCAAGCACAGTTAAATGCGGAGTTGGAGAAGCACCAGGGCAATGAGCAAGTTATCAAGCAACTGCAGAAGACGTACGCCAAGGGCAGCAGGGAATATGATGCACAGGAGAAGGACCACCAAGCTCTGGTCAAGGAGGCTGCTAAGTTCGAGCAGGAAAGGGTCAAGTTCGATGAAAAACGCAAGTTTCTTACGGACAAACGAAAGAAGCTCGAGAAGAGTATTGTCAACGCCGAGAACTCGGCTGCCGTAGCTGACGAAACCATTGAGCAATGCACCGAGGACATATCTTCACGCACGGAAGAAATTTCAGCTCTGGAGCAAACAATCCAGCAGGAGGAGGCCGCATTGGCCAGCATCCGCGAGAGCCTCAAGGGCAAGACTCAGGTCTTTTCAGACCAGATCGCACTCAAGCAGAAGTCTCTCGAACCCTGGAAGGAGAAGATCAACCAGAAGCAGTCTGCCATCGCTGTTGCCGAGTCCGAGATGACAATCCTGGAAGACAAGGCCAACGCTGGCGCCGTTGCCCTACAGGATATGAAAAACAAGATCGCTGCAATCGACGAAGGCCGGACGGCCAAGCTTGTCCAACTCGAAGAGTGTAAGACCGAGAAGGCTGAACTCGAAAAGGAAGCCAAGAAGGTTGAAGCCGACCTGGAGCAATTCACTTCAAAAGAGCACATTATTCGTAACAAGGTGTCCAACGCCAGGCAAAAGGCAGACGAGGCCCGCTCCAGCCTTGCCCAGAACCAAAATCGCGGCAATGTGCTGACGGCATTGATGCGTATGAAGGAGTCCGGTCGCATCGACGGCTTTCACGGCCGGCTAGGCAACCTTGGCACCATTGATGAGAAGTACGACGTCGCCATTTCTACCGCCTGCGGTGCCCTCGACAATTTTGTCACCGACACTGTAGAGGCGGGTCAGCAGTGCATCGAGTACCTACGCAAGACCAATCTTGGCCGAGGCAACTTTATATGCCTTGACAAGTTGCGGGCCCGGGGGCAGGACTCCATCGCAACCCCCGAAAATGCACCCAGGCTGTTCGACCTGATCACCCCAAAGGAGAACAGGTTCCGTCCGGCCTTCTACCACGCTTTACAAGACACCTTGGTAGCCAACGACCTGGCACAAGCCAACAGGATTGCCTATGGCGCGAAGCGATGGCGCGTTGTCACCCTTGCGGGAGAGTTGATTGACAAGAGCGGTACTATGTCTGGTGGTGGCAATTCCAAGAAGAAGGGTCTGATGTCCAGCAAGCTTGTTGCCGACACGTCTAAGGAGCAAGTCGTCCAGCTTGAGGAGGACCGCGACGTTCTCGAGCAGAAGTTTCAGAAATTCCAAGACCAGCAACGAGAGCTCGAAACACGCTTACGCTACTTGAATGATCAAATCCCGCAGCTCGACACCAAGATGCAGAAAATCAGTCTTGAAATCCAGAGTGCCGAGAAGACCTTGGTCGATGCTCAGCGTCGCGTCAAGGAGCTTGGCAAGGAGCATCAGCCTTCGCAGACAGACGACAATCGTGTTGCCATCTTGCAGAAGGAGATCGCGAAACTGAACAAGGAGATTGAGAAGTTGCACACCGAAACGGAAGGACTTGAGGCTGAAATCAAAGGGCTTCAAGACAAGATTATGGAGGTGGGTGGCGAAAAACTACGTGCTCAGAGGGTCAAGGTCGATTCCATCAAGGAGGAGATGGCGACGCACAATGAAGCCATTTCTGCAGCTGAAGTGAAACGGGCCAAGGCTGAGAAGTCCAAGACTAAGCTTGAAAGGGACCATGCCAAAGCAACCAAGGAATTAGAAGCGGCTATACGGGACCTCGAGAATCTGAAAGCAGAAGTCGACAACCAAGGTGAAAAGTCGGAGACGCTACAAGCTCAGGTTGCCGAGGCGGAGGGGGGCTTGGCGACCAAGAAGCAGGATCTCTCGACGTTAAAGGCCGATCTGGACGAGAAGACTGCCGAACTGAACGAAACCAGGGCGATTGAGATCGAGATGAAGGAAAAGCTTGAGGAAAACCACAAACAACTTGCCGAGAACCAGAAGAGGCTTCGGTACTGGGACGACAAACTGGGCAAACTGGTCCTGCAGAATGTCAGTGATCTGGAAGGTGCCCCAGCCCCAGCAGCTTCATCTCCCGTCAAGCCTGCCGCGCCCGCCAAAAACGGTGATGAAGACGGGGACGGAGACGGAGACGAAGACGAAGCCAGTCCAGGGGCTCAGCTTGCAGCAGAGGCAGAAGATGCGACCGAAGAAGAAATGCAGTCACAACCGGATGAATTGCCTCGTTTCACCGAAGATGAACTGAAGGACATGTCAAAAGAGGCCCTGAAAGCCGAGATTGCTGTGCTTGAGGAAAAGACGCAAAATGTCAACGTGGACCTGGGTGTACTCTCGGAGTACCGTCGCCGTGTTGAAGAACATGCTGCCCGCTCATCCGATTTGGCCACGGCGATTTCGTCGCGCGACGCGGCTAAGAAGCGGTGCGATGACTTGCGCCGCCTGCGTCTGGAAGGCTTCATGGAGGGTTTCGATACCATCTCGCTGCGCCTCAAGGAGATGTACCAAATGATCACTATGGGAGGCAATGCGGAGCTCGAGCTCGTTGATTCCCTAGATCCGTTCTCTGAAGGCATTCTATTCAGTGTGATGCCGCCCAAGAAGAGCTGGAAGAACATCAGCAACTTGTCTGGTGGCGAGAAGACACTGTCCAGTCTGGCACTGGTATTTGCCTTGCATCACTACAAGCCGACGCCGCTGTACGTCATGGATGAGATTGACGCTGCGCTAGATTTCAGAAACGTAAGTCCACCCTTACTCCACCGCCGGCGCCCATGCCCCTCTTTTATTCTTACATGGCTAATTTTTGTCCTCCACCAGGTATCCATTGTTGCCAACTACATCAAAGAGCGCACCAAGAATGCGCAGTTTATCGTCATTTCACTCAGAAACAACATGTTTGAGCTGGCTGCACGGCTAGTTGGTGTGTACAAGGTCAACCACATGACCAAGAGCGTCACGATTGAAAACCGCGACTTCATTCAACGGAGCGCTGCAGCAAGAAGTGGTGGCGCCACGGCGACTGTGGGAGGTTAGTGGATAGGGGATGCCATATAACTGGATTAGCTGGGCTAAATGTAATGAAGGCATGACTTGAGTGAGGCTTCTTGTTTCTTTCTGGGTTTGCTTGGGGCATAGAGCCCTCGCGGGAGTATCATGGATGATGTATTGAGATGATATCAGCGTGCTGTGCTCGGTGTACGTCTTGTTAACGAACTCATTATGCCAGAGACGCTCTGTTCATTGATTTCGACCAGTGTTGGACGATTGGGAGGGTTGTGCGCGACCTGCCTGCAGAACGTCTTCCTGCTCATCTCTTTATATGTATGTATATATATAAAAATATTTGCCGCCGTGTTCATTATTTTCGCTTACGGCGGCTGTTCATGAGCAGCAGGGCACTCACTCTTCACTGCTGGTCAATGTTCTGGACAGTCACAGCCATGCTGCTGTCTGCCCCATTTGAAATATTTGTCCCTTTCGCCCTCCTGTAAAATGGATATAGGAGGGGCTGTTCCATTAACCTTAGCTTTTCTAATGCTAGCTCAACTAACTGCCATATTATTATTATTAAATACGCCGTAGGCTCGAAGCCCCCGGTACCTCTACTAGTACTCCCGTATGTCAAACCGTGCCCTAATGGCTGGACTAAATACATACGCTGCGTCGTCGGTTCGCCCTATTGGCGACTGCGTTGCGTTCACTACCATACTACGTTGGTTCTCAACCTACCAACAAAGTCCCCCCTGAGAAGATCGATGCTATCTGGGCCTTGAAGCTGTCCGACCCGTCCCTAGCAGCCATCTTACAATAGTCCCACTAACTACTGGTTCTCCTGTTGCCGTTGCGAGGTCTCTGCGAACTGCCATATTATTTCTCCTCTATTCATACCGGAGCTCTCGGGTTGGATTGGTTGTTGTTTGCAAATGCATACTAAGCATCAATATTTAATATGATGCGAGGTGAGAAAGTCAGGGGTATCATGACCAGTTAAGCCGAGCCAGCAACTCACCTACATGTTAGTGTATTGCTATGTTTGTCTTGGCCACAGATTCGCCCAAGTTATTGCTATGGTAAGTCGGTATTCCAGGCCCCTTAGTTTGGATGGGGTTATCGAGCGCCCCTCTCTTTTCAGTATGCCTCGCCTAGCGACATCCATGGCACACACGTAGTCAATGCAAGAGGAATTTGTGCAAAGATCGACATTTTATCTGTGAACATGCCTTCAAAGTTTCTTTGAGTTCTAGGTGCGCTCTAGATTAGCAGCAGCATCGTTGTATTCCGGTCTGATATGACCATGTTACCAAGTGGGGGCAATATAGGCAAGAGAGTTGTATTGGTGATGATGATGAGATGAACTCCGAAAGGACACAGCTACGGAAGGGATATCTATGGTTGGCCCAAGCGCTGCACCCAGCACACAGCTGGTGTAACTGGGGTTCACAACACTAAGCTATTCTAAGTATGTTTGTGCTCCGCTTGTGGTGCGTTGTGACAAGTGTGGGTGAAGGAAGCCGGGCCGTCAAAAGCCGAGTTAGTCAGTTGTGCTAATGAGGAACTGGACTCCATGCACTTTACTTGTTGGGGACAAGGTGTAACATCTCTGCTGTGTTGCGTCGCACGTGAGATTAGGTTAGATCTCAGATCCGTCTCGTACTTGGCTCCTACTGCTTCGCCGAAAATGATTAGCGCTTCCCCTTTGTCGGGCTTGGACAGACACTACATACATGCAACCCCAGTGTGCAGGGCTAGCTCCGCAAACCTGACGGACCGTTTATATCCCTAGGACTAGTATATAATAGCTGCTGCCACGGCCGCTATGGTGGACAACTGGAAACCACTATTATAGCTATGGCAAGTGGAACACACCCGGTCAAGCTTTAAGCTTCTCAGGATACGCTGGACATTTAACATTGTAACCCTTCGCCAGATCTATTGGTGGCTTCGGGAATAATTTCATTTCCGACGAAAAATGGCGTTCAAGACTAGCTGGTAAGGAGTCTACAGCTGATAATATGGAGTGTGCAGGTGGGCACAGCCCCTGAGCATAGCACAGCTTGAATAGCCTATCTCCAGCCCTCCTGTGCGTCCCGCAACATGCCGGTGGTGCAAGTTAGTATTATTTTCTGCTGAGTAGCAATTTGGCCCACATGATACAAGTTGTCCGACGTTGCGCTGTACTGACTTGAACCCAAGAGAGTTGAAGATGTGCCACTGCACCAGCTTGACGACGCCAAACCTGACGGAACCGTGTTCGGTTTGGTGCCAGGAATACTAAGTTGGTGCCTGCAGGACTTTTGGTCATATGGGCCACATCAGGCTTCGCAGCACCACGCCATATGTCGCGTGTTGGGTTTTTGGATTTTGCTCATATGTCGTCTCAACTCTTTTTCGGTTATCTCAGGTCCCTGCATCCCGCTGAAGATTCAATATGGAATCATGTTGCGCGCCTTCGACCGTACATACACAGTACAAGGAAGCATGGAACCGTTCCACTGATCAGTGCTGTGGCGTAGTGCCATTTCTGCGCACGTCAAATACCATGTGAGCCCTAGCCAGCGCATGTCTGACACATGCAGCATCCGAATGCAAATGAGCGTGTCTTTTGCTAAAACATGACATATTACCAAAATGTCGCAAGAAAATTTTCGGGATAGTATGGCCGCAGCTGAGTAAGCACGCAGCGTCGACAAATCAGTCAAGCTGACCACCACTAAAGGGACTAAGTAAGCACCCTCAGTGAGTGCACGCTTTAGACTGCAGCCCGGTGTTTAAGTCTGTGTGCTTCCTCGGCTGCAGGACACTTTCCCCATCACAACTCTGGTGGCGTCTCCATTACGGAGGGGAGTGCATGAGAATGAGAATGGGAATGATAATGAGAAAAAAGATGAGGGGTAATTTTACACTGGGTGAAATTGGACCTGAAATGAGACTTGAAATGGAGCCTTGGGTTTCTCAGACCCAGGGCGACACAAAGGTAGAAGGCTCATATACCGTCTTGTACGCTGTTGAACATCCATCTCCATCCACCCACATTGTCCATCCCCTGGTGCTACCGCTGCCGCCCATAGCCATGGCACATTAACTGTTCATCCGTAGCAGAACCTATCCAGGCTGAGTCGCTCCTTTTGCTGATTATTTTCATTATTCTCCTTTGATGTCCATTGCCTTTCCTCGCATCGTCCTGACCATGCGCCCCAAATCACCGTCGCTTTTCGGCTCGGTCGGGGTCATGATGCCCATGTCGGTGTCGGTGCAGAAGGGTTGGAATACAAACAAACCCGCGGCGCTGCAGTATATGCGGTCCCTCTCCTACTACGGGGCCCTCACGCGGCGAAGGCGAGAGACCTTGATGACGATATGGGCCGCCTTTACACTCATTACCATGTACATGATGTACGTGCGCATCAACTCGTCGGTGCAACTGGCTGAATATGATGACTACAACACGCTGAGTAAGAATCCTACAATCTCAACGTCGACCACAACGGAAGCCGACATAGACCCGGATCCCCTGATCCCCCGCAAGATATGGCAAATATTCTTCACAGAGCGCAGCAGTACTGGCGCCCTCACCGATATCGACACAGAAAAGTTGTCCGACACGGCGTCGTGGCTGGCCAAGAACCCGGATTACACGTATACCCTCGTGGGTTCCAACGGAGGTGATGACTTTGTGCGGCGGCACTTTGCCGACAATTGGCCCATTCTGCGCACCTATCGGGCCCTCAAGAATCCGGGACTCAAGTCCGACTTGCTACGATACTTAATCCTCTCCGTCGCGGGCGGCACTTACACCGACACCGATACGGAGGCGTACCGGCCCATCGACGAGTGGGTGCCGGCCCAATATCGGAATCGCACAAGGGTTGTGGTCGGCATCGAGTTTGATCGTCTCGACGGACCCTTCTGGGCCGATATCCCTCATGACCTACAATTCTGCCAGTGGACCATCGCCGCCGCCCCCGGACATCCCCTTTTTAGCTCCATGGCAAATCGCGCTGTCGAGGCCCTACACGAGCTGGTCAGAGTACACAACACCACCCTACCGCGGCTTAAGGCCTCGAGTATCGAGGTCATGAACTCAACGGGGCCGGCGGCCTGGACTGATGCCGTCTTTGAGCAGCTGAAGTTGGCCGATCCAGTCGGACTCACTGACCTAAAGAACCTCAGCGGCATAACGGAGCCTACCTTGTATGGAGATATACTGGTCCTGCCAATTGATGGATTCGGCATGGGGCAGCCACATTCCATGAGTACGAATGACGGAAGTATACCCGAACAGGCCTTGATGAGGCATCATTTCAGGGGGTCCTGGAGGGATGATTGATGGAGCAGGGGAGAGATGTGCGATGAAGATGCATGATAATGCTAGACGATGAATACGAATTAAAAGAACATGAGTTGAGGATAATGGTTTGTGTTTGGAATCTTGCAGGGTAAAACGTTTGGCTGACTGACGCATTCAGGGGGTTGGCTCATTTGATTCGGGGGCCCACTCACTAATCCATTCAACACCATGACAAGGAATCGAGAGCACTTGATCAAATTAATGTTGAAACAAAGCAGCCTTCCCAAACGCATGATATTCTCGTCGCATCTGGACTGACTGGCTATTGGATTTTTGGGGTTTGTCTCAGTCCTTGCACATTGTTCACTCATTTTAATGGTGTTGGTCACGTTGGGGTATAATGGGAATATGAGATGCTCTCTATTATCAGATTATCTCTCTAATCCAATTACACAAGAACCATTAATTTGATGCTTTCTAGCAGTAGATGATATATTGTGATGGTTAGAATTGCTCCCACTTTTGCCCCAAAAACAAAGTCTGCCCCTTTACAAGCTGGCCTGCTTCCCGTGGATGCATAGATGCACTTGATTGTCTCCTTTTCTTTGGCCGGTAAGAACTTCATATATGAAGCCTTTTGATGATAAGTCTGGCCAAAATATGTTAAAGCCATCTTCTTTCCACCATAAAACGCAGTTACTCTATAACGTGAATGTACACCGAGCTGGCCACCCTTACATAACCTCGCATAGAAATTTTATGATAGTAAAACCACAACGCCGTAAATCAATTGAAACTACTCTGAATCTTCCTCTCCAGAAGATGGCAATGCGATCTTACAAGTTCGCGCATTATGCCCAGTCCCGTTGCAAATACCACAGCGCCTCAGGCGCGTTTCAACACGAGTTGGACAATATGGGCCCTGTGGGCCATGTGGGTCCTATACTTGCCACTATCGCCACCTAGAACGGCGACCATCCCCACATACCTCTATTACGAGAAATGTGGCGAGGATAGAACATTCCCTACTTATCTATATGCTTCTACAACTTGTCTGAATTAATCAGCAAGTCTACCATTCATTGACTATATAAGAACCCTTTTGTTTCCATACATAGACCCTCGAAGAGAGGACCAGAGTTAGCTACAATACATACAGGTTAGGCATATGTGCCCTCCTTTTGCTCCTTCAACGGGAACATAAAATCCAAGTACACGCTTTGCGCGACCACCATTTCGGCGCTCTTCTTGCTGTATCTGCATCGCCAACTCCCTAGAGTCCCGTAGGTCCTGTCCTTCTTGGAAAATAAGTGATTATCCTTCCCGTAATTGCATTTTTTAGCCCTCCGGCGCCGGCTTAGCATCTTATTTGCCTCTCGAAGCTCAGCGCACTCGGCCCGTACGAGGGCGAGCCGCCGTTTTTACGCGTTTGGAGGGTGCTTCGGGGGACTTGGTACGTTTTTGCCGCTTGTCGGAGACTAAGTTTTTGGTCATTTTTGAGAGCTTGAAGGGCTAGCATTAAGTCTGCTTCGTTGTATGACTTTGCCATAATTGGTTGTTGAGAAAATCAAACATTAAGTTGGCCGGTCGCGTTGGCGCATCAAAGTGGCCAGCTCGGTGTCATGGCCAGCTCGGTGTACATTCACGTTACCCCGGATCGTACATTAAACTTCAACGCACTGCATAAACCATGGTATTCACCAAAATACACTGATGTCAGACGTGTGACTTATCTTACTGCAGGCAATCGAGATTCGATACCTTTCATTTGGATGCTACTGTAGATGTTGAATGCTCTATGTGGAGTGATGCATATAAATACTAATTTGTTGATACAGATGTTAAAGTTGGAGCATAGACCCTGAAAGATGAGGCCAGTTTAGACTTAGTAACCGCACAGTTCCTGGAAATAGATTATCTTGGTTACCAGTCGCGTAATTCTATGTCCAGAGGTACATTGAACATATGATTTCAGCTTGAGGACGAATTTTAATGGTCGTCATGAAGTTCTGAGTGGAATTTCATCATGTTACATTTGACCCTGATAGCGCCGCTTGCTATCCGGGTAATCATTAGCATTAGGGTTTGAAGGTCAAAGGCAGTGTCAAATGTTTTCTATTTCTTTTTGTTTTTTGTTTTTTTTTGACGGACCGGTGTGTTTCTGTGCGACTCATCTATTCCATGATGCCAGGTTAACTTGCTTCTTGCGGAAATACATATATATTTTCATTAGACGGACTAAGCATCTGACGTGGAGATTTGTCCAGCAAAGATGCCCACGTAGAAAAAGAATTAGCTCTACGTTATATTAGAATGAAGAGCAAGTGCGTGCATTATACAAAACTCAAACTCTGCACGTCTCTGACGATCACATCCAAACCTCCTCGGAGAAACCAGACAAAAGCACACCCAGCGATACACTGCGTGCCCTAAGTCACATTCGACGCCACTCCTGCCGAAACTCAGAACTAAACCGAAGATTCGTCCCGATAGCTACCGACTAGCAGCATGAACTCAAAGAGGAGATTTGGATAAAATGAGAATACCCTGGGTTTGTCACCCTTAACGCCAAGGTTGTCCGCCCAGCCTGGTTCAAGTTCAACCACGAGTTTAAGGCCACCCAATCACCTTCTCCTGAAAAATCTATGGAGACCCATAGACCTTAGGCAGCAAGCTTGTCAAATCGCCCTCATCAAGAAATGTTAGAGAGTGGAAGGATACCCTGCTTCACGGACGAAGTCCGCTGCGCCGAGGAGCTCGATCCGCTTCGGTGGTTGACTTGGACGAGACGGACGAGCTTTTTGCTCTAGGCTTTTTTCTTCTAGTAAGCTGGCGCTTTGCATTCTCGTGAGGCCTTGAAAAAAGTTGACACGTTTGTGGAAAAAGTATGTCAAGGTCAGGAAGATGAAGCAGTCATATAGATAGGCCCCACAAGGATGATATAGAACCTAACAGAATGGCCTTGGCAGACATTTTACCATCGGCCAACCGTCGGTTTCTTGAGCATGAGTGGTTGTGGCTTCTCATAATGCCATTCATTCAATGTTTACAGCGGGGGGGCTAGTGGTATTCGAAGCATGGGAGTAGTTTTCTGTTTCTTCAGGTAACCATTTTTGAGTCAAGCTAAGGTCTATTTTATTCCATAGGTAGATCTCTCGTCCAAATATTATGGGGAAACATCGTTGCTTTGATGAAAGACATGATTATTAGGTTCGGTGTTGAGTGGAAAGATATAATCGGCTCACCCACATTGGTACACAAGGGCCACCGGCACAGCTGTAACGAGGCAGAGATGCTGCGAGTTCAAATCAAGGTTGCAATACCAGATAATCCCCATTGTAAATTACTAAACTGAAGAAGAGAGAGGAAGGATTACAATTACAGGTGCCGTTCCTCTGTTCATCGGCCTGGTCTTGGGTGACGATGTAAGCCGAACTGACTGCAACAGCCTAGCTAAATAAATGCCAGGGAGATAACCCAGCTCACATGGCACAAGGGGGACAATGACCTATCGTCTTCATGGCTCAACATGGCCTTTGACCTCGAACGGCTGTTTTCCCCGCTTCCGGCTACAACAGCCAGTTGGCCGGATGCTGGACCCAGTGCACCAAATCCTCTGGTGTACCAGCCACTGTTGTGCTCAGACGTGCTCAGAACTCTCAAAATGGGCAGCCAAGAGGCACAATTTTCTGTAAATAAAGCTCTTATGGCCACCTTCACTTTTTTGACTTGGGAAGGACAGAGACACATTAAATCCAACACTTTGTCGTAGTTTGTCATAAGTCTGACAATTCAGCCTGGAAGATACATAACCAGTATTATTATTTATAGTAACTATGTCATTATTTCCTTGAAGTAACTTATCATAATAATTAACTTGGTCTCTATGCTCATGGCGATGAATAAAGCAGAACACATGTCCGCTATAGATAGATGTAACAGTACGGGCCAGCAACCGAGCTGACATGGTTCTTGATAGCGAAAGGTGGTGTGTCGGCCGGTGCGGCGTACATCAGGTCAAGGATGTCTTCCACGGTTGCGTTGCGGCTGGGAGGATCATTGAGCAAAGTGAGCGTGCCGTCAATCATGAAAGCCCGGTCGGTAGGCTTCTGGTTTTGCCAGATCCACCATGAACGATCGATGCCGCCATGGTGCAGCCAGAACAGGGGGTCATTCGGGGTGTTGTAAACCTAAAGCATGAAGATGGGAGTTAGCTGACGGATCGGTATCGAGACAATGCAGGAGAAACGCCCAAAAACACGTACATCACCTCCCGGATCAGCAGCCCAGGTAAAGTATCCAGCTCCGTGCTGACCCGGATCGCACTGGTCGAAAGGCTTCCCCTGCAAACGGTCCTGGTAGGGCCCAATGCTGTCTTGGTACAGCGGGTTAGTCAGGAGATCGAGATGCTTGGCATCGGTAGAGAAAGTGGCGGTGATGTTGGGCGAGATGTCACGCCGGATGCACCGCGGAGCATAGCTCAGCTTCGTCCCGGCGACAGGTGCATCGGGTGCGACCAGGCTCGGGCTCGTGGCGGAGATGTTGCACATCCTGCCGACATAGGGGCCAGTTTCGACGCAGCCGCCACCACGCCCTTCAACGACGGGGATGCAGTACTCGCAACCCGGCACGGGGCTGGTGCAATTATGCGGCGCCCAGATGCCGTTTCCGCCCTGGGAATACTGGTCTCCGTTCATGTGGGGAGAGTTCATAGGATCCTTGGACGTCTTGCCCCAATTCCAGTACGGCAAGTATCCCTGTTGGTATGTTAGTCCAAGTCAAAAGGGGCGGTACAGGATGCACTGGATATTGCTCCCTTACCGCGTAGCCACATTCATCACGAAGGGCCCTTTCAAAGCTGTACATGTAATACCTATGCCATGACAAGAACGAACCCGTGAAGTGAATCGTCTCAGTCTGGTTGACGTGGATAGCCACGAAGTCATCATAGCGGGACTTCGCACCAGGGGCGTCACCGGCTGGGATCTTGGAGGGGCTGTCCATAAGACATGTGACTGATGTTGAGATGAAAGTAAGTACGTGGCTGTTCTTGGTCCATTAGAGAAAGATGGTGGAACCATCAGCAACTCACCGGCCTTAGTATATGCCAGCTTCTCCAGATCCGTCAAATTGGAATACTCCCGCCTAACGATGAGGTTCGAGAGGCTGCATGTCTGCGTCACATTCTTGGAGGCGAGCGTCTTCTTCAAGCTGCCATCGGTCACTGCCGCAGTCAGCTTGGCCAGACTCTTGGCGGCCTCGAGATCTGTGCTCAGAGTCGACTCGGGGTACCATACAGCAGCGACCACACCCGTCGTCAGGGCCAAGATGGTGACGGGTAGGGAGGAATGCATCGGGGCGGTCGCGCTGCGGTGTGGCAGAGCAGCGAAGATGTGACATTGAAACCGAAGAGGTGAAAGGAAGGATGGATGGAGCAAAGGGAGGATGACACCTGCAACATCAACTTGAACGTGACAGTTGACCGCGGCTGCAGAAAGGGAAAAGATGGTTGCCACGACACGTGGGGATCCGATTCAGATATACGAGGCAAAATGCCGGTAACCAATGGTAGAGATAACCGACGAGATATGCAGACAGGGACTATAGTTCTGGGCTAGTGACACCAATCTAGGGAGATGAGGTGCCATGCCAAAAGCTCGTCAGGCGAGCTCGGAACAGTCACCTTGCAGCGAAGTAGATTCCAGGATACACGACAGGGATAAATGGGGGCGAATGCATGCTATCGAAGGGTCAGGTTGTTCGATACATGAGCGAACGTAGGGTACATCGGCTGATTGTTTCCTCGAAATGCATTCAAGTCCCTTTCGAGCCTGTAAACCGGATTCCTGCGTAGGCGAACATAACCGGGGACGTTGGAAAACGACCAAGCCACCTGCATAGCGAACAACGCCACCCAGGTGTAAGTTCACTCCGCTTCAGGTTTGACAGAGAGACCTCGGGTGCGACGTAGGAAGGGGAAATTATGTAACCTCGACAGATATTGAGCGTTTGGATTTTAGGTTGTTGCCGCTGATAGCTCGAAAAACAACCGCTCGACTGACAACCGCTCGACTGATTTTTCCGTATGGTGTGATCTTTCTACCCGTCAAGTTTCTCTCCATTTCTTTTACCGCCTCTGCAGTGTACCCCTGTCCCGGTGCAACTATCCATGTCTTGGCGTCCCAGTCCCTCGGAACCAACGTCCCAATTAGGAACTGCTGGGGGAACCGGCCCACGAGCAGAAGGGGTATATGTAAGCGTGTACTAGATTTACACAGGATTCCATCATACTGTTCTCCTCATCATAAAATTTAATAAGGAAAAGAGCATCGCTTCCGCTGCGGAACAATACCGTGGTCGCGATCTACCACAACTGTCGGAGCCGCCCCCAATGTGCAGATAGAGTTGGGGCCTGGTCGGTCACTAACCTCTTCCCCAGCTCCATCCTCCACTCGGGTTCTAGCCGTGAACTCCGGCCGACGGCTAGACTAGGGCTCTGGTGATCGGTTGCACCAGACCTTCCCGAACCGGAGAAAGAACTGGGTACTTTTATGCATAGTGTGTCATAGTGGTCACATCTTATTTGGTTATCGTATATATATTAATCCTGGCCTTACCTGGTCCAATTCTTGCTCGGCTTCTCGGCACGAATGAAGCCGCATTGCGCGCTTCATTCTCTATGCCGGGAATTGATCATTTTTAGATGTGCTTCGCCATGAAGGATAAATCGAGGCGAAGGCTAGTTTTTGTCGCAACCGGCTCAGAACAGTAGTTCATTCCGCCGGAATCTGTGCCGGACAGCAAGACTTGGTGCAATATAACATAGGCGAGACTCGCTATGGCTTACCATGACAACCACGTTCACGAATACGCGTAATAATATAAAGTACAGGGTCGATCATGAAAGCAATTTCCTCCAGGTTCGGCTCCAAAGCTTGGTCGTTGGCAGAAGGTGAGCCAACCTTACCCTCAATCTTGAAGCTCGACTATTCAGAGCAGGTGGCAAGGCGGCATTGCGTGTGACATATACTACGGTATCAGGCCAAAGTTTTCACCCCCTTGACAAGTACCAGTGGATCACTGCCAAGGTAACGCTATACTGATTCTTACCTAGCCTACTTATACTAACGAAAAGGTACTTCTGTGTATCCTGGTCGATCTACCGCACTGGACTCATGTCACGAATGTCAAGTTCATTGAATTCGTGCCAAGTCAGCTGTGTGGTCAGATCTGTTGATTCGTGGATTGATTCATGATAAGTCTAGGTTTCTATGTAACGCGGTAACAGCGTTGGCTTTATTTCCACTTTTGTGGGGCCTAGGGCCACACTTGTGGGGCTTGGGGCAAGCCACACTTATATCCACACTTCCACCCCTGATTCCAACTTGCTGTTAACGCGTCCTAATTATCGCGTATGTAGCAACTATAATAGGGACTAAACACCTTATAGAAGCAGATCGCCAACGAATTCGAACCCTCTATTTCGACGGTGGTAAATCGAAAGCCGAAATTCAAACTACTACAACGTTTTCTTTAATCTGATTAAGACAGCTATTAAGGTCGCTTTAAGCTAGGTAGCTAAGAGTTGGGTCGTGCCTAGGTGGAGCACGGTACAAACACATAATTGAAAACTTACCTATGATACCATAGTACACCGGTACCCGCGTGCGGATGCTTAGTAAAGGTGTGTGAGTGGTGCCAAACAAGCAATACGTGGTACCTGCAGAGCCGTGCTGCTCCCTGTATCAATTGCTGAAGTATGTGTACGTTCGAATTGCGTTTTTGATAACTCTGTTTCTTGATCCTAGCGCCTTATAAAGCCCAGCTGCACCTAGACCCAAACCACTTTGCCATGCAATAAACAACCATGCATGGGATTTTCGTCGCGCCACTTCCCTACCGAACCGAATAACATGGCACATGTTCCTTAAACCTCCGCGTTTGTGTAATTTGTCCTTGGCGATCTTTTAATCCTACAAGATGGCGGCGGTACCAGAATAGCAGGCATTGTGGGTTTTGCGCCGTCATCTCCGGTGTGACTATCGCTACGACTCGGCCGCTTCGAAGACCATGAAGTAAGTCTTGACGATTATATGTATATTTTATCTCCCATTACTACCCGTATGGTTGTTAGACTGGCTCCTTTTAATGCTGTCCTCTTTTTTCTTTCGCAGATTCTTCCCACCGCAACCTAAGAGCATGGAAAGCCTGAAATCGAAGTTGCCCCTCCAGTCTGGAGAAAAGGCGAGGCCCTCTAATGAGCCCATGGTTTTGGGTGTCATCAGTCTCTTGACTGGGCTCTCTTTGCTCACTGTCTCCCTGAGGCTTTATGTTCGCCAGTTTATGGTGAAAGCTATGGGAATAGACGACGTTTTTATCATTTTGGCCCTGGTCAGTCCACGGTCTCCCCGATCCATCCCCATGTACTGCAAAGTAAAGCTGATATATATTCGAGTAACAGCTTGCTGGCATTGGTGGCATGATCTGCTTCGTCGGCGGGGCCCGTGATGGCTTGGCCCACCACATGGACGACATCGCTATCCCGGACGAGTTGGAGAGACTTACCAGATGAATTTACATGCTGATGATTAACTTTATCACGGGCATAAGTCTTGTCAAAATCTCCATTACCCTGTTCCTGCTTCGTTTCGTAGAAGGGAAGATGTACAAGTGGTTCCTTATATGTATAATGGGTTTGTGCTCCGGGTTCAATACCAATTTTGAGGCTGGCGCTGACGGGTTCGACCTTCGAAGTCTTCATAAGCGTCATCACCATTGCCTGCGAAGGCCCCATGATTTTCCAATGCCTCCCGGTATCCGCCATCTTCAAAGTCGAAAAGCCTCCTACCGCCAAGTGTATTTCCCAGGACGCCTTCAATAATATCGGCATCCTCAATGGGAGCGCCAACGTCTTCACCGACTTTGTCCTCGTTGTCTTGCCGATTCATATTGTTCTGAAACTCCATATGAACAAGCGAAGGAAGATCGCCCTCGTCTGCATTTTCAGTCTTGGAATATGGTAAGAAGTTATGGTCCATGCTGAATAACTTCGGCTGCTAACCGACGACAAGCGCTTGCATCATTGCCACGGTTCGGGTGTCCATAGGGGCCAGGTTCTTCACAGCTGAGAATCGAGACTACACTTGGTACATATACGTGACCTCTAGAACTGCCTAGCATACTCTCGCTGACATGCATAACCACAGGAATTGCGCCTCCTTCATCCTGAATGCGTAAGTGGCCATATCACCACCACAAGATGGCCAGACTATATTGACTCGAATTCTTCCTCAGAGCCGAGCTGCACATCGGAATCCTCGCCGCCTCCCTTCCATCCCTTCGCCCCTTATTCTTCAAGATTCTCGACAGCGCGCGCAAATATGGTACGGGTGATCTCCCAACATCTCGATACGGAACGCACACCGACAGTACACGCACGGTCCGAAGCGGATACTGTAAACAGGAGGACATTCCCATGAACAATATGAAGCTGCGGCCCCCTGAAGGCCGTTATAGCGACCAGATTGTCAGCTCGGTTGGGCGGGGAAACGGTGATGCTAGTAGTGAGGAGGGTATATTAACGCAGGGCACCATCAGGATGACAACTGAGATTACCATTTCGGAAGAACCGAACAGAGATAGGCCAGGGGTGGATCAAGGCGTGTAAAACTAGATATTACTACTTTATCATCAAGTATGCTATTTACCTCACCTAGATACTACTAGTAAACTAATGTTACTCTCTATATTACTTACGATGTCTCAAGGGATACTATTTCCCCCTAAATCGTATATTAGCTTGGATTCTAGCTATTCAGATTGTCAATATAAATTATAAAAGACACAAGAGCAGAGAAAAAATCTACGCCATGATTGTTTATCAAAATAACGTGCAGAGGGAAAAAGAAAAGAAACAAAGAAAATTGAGCTCCTGCAGCAGTACCGCATTTAAATCAGTGGTAGCATGTGCTGCACCAATTAGATCCCTACTATCTTGGGTAACTTTGCTCCCAATAGTACCACTTTGCGACAAATGCGACGGGCTGTGTGTCTAACCAGGGGTTGCGCGTTGGATTTATTTACAGAGTATGCGTCGAAGTTGTTCTGAGCACCCGACAGACTAGACACCCAGACAGACAAGGACAGCGTCGCCACGGTAGTCCTGGAATACAAAAAGGAGTATGAAGTCAAACTCATGAGGCATGTTAAGCATCCAAGTTACGTCGTTTCGTAGTGGGTTGCTTACAGACAATGAACCACGCCCAGCATTACCTGCGGAAAGGCGCAAGATATACAGCAAGGCTAGTAAAGGATTCGATGTGAAATAACCGAGATGACTACTACACACATACACTCACACCCGTCAGCTGCGAAGGGACCATGATGAGACGCAGTGCCATTATACTCCTGTTCGACAAGCTGCATCAAACCTCCCATGAGTAATTACCACCTCTCAAAGAAAGTCACACGTCAAATCTCAAAATCAAGTCGATATTTGGCAGTGGAATTTGTTTTATTTCCAGTCCAGGGTCTATGGCCCTGGTAAATGTAACTGACGCGCTGGTTCAAATTCGAAACCAACAGAGTCGCTATATACACATTGAATAGATGAAGTTGCGCCTCACTCCTGAAGACGCATACTTCCCTCCTCTCGACCGAGTCAGGCTCTTCCGCCCACTCCGAGGTTAGGCACTCAAGCAGGGCAGCCCGTGCTGGGGTAGTTGCAAGTGCTAGTCTCACCTCCACCAGTGATGCTGACGCCGCTGAAGCTGAAGTCGCTGCAGCTGCCATCACCGCAGAGGATGTAGTAGTTGTAGGCATCGTCGGTGGCCGTGCCGGTAATATCGTTAAAGCTAATGCCCTTGATAGTGACACCGTTGGTGGGCTCGCCAGTGGGACCGCCGTTGAGATAATCCTGCTGGACGTCGATACCATAGTTGGTTATGCCGCTCATGGTGATGTTACTGTAGACGATGTTCTCGATGGTGCCGGTGGTGCCCGAGTTGGACTTGATGCGGCAGCCGTTCTGCGAATTAACGACGGTGCTGTCCGAGAAGGTGACACCGGAAACGGTGTTGTTGCTCTTGCCGCCGATGGAGCCGATGGACAGGCCGTGACCACCCGAGCAGTACATGTTAGAGACGGAAATGGCGGTACCGGAAGTGACGGCGACACAGTCATCTTGGTTGTAGACCTTGATGTTGTCTAGGATCACATCATCGGAGCTCGAGATGTCGAAACCGTCTGAGTTGTGGGCGGCAGCCTCGCTACCACTGGCCGAGTTGGGCTCGTCACCAGCCGAGTTGTCAAGGACGAGGCCGGTGACGGACAGGCCCTGGACGCCGTTGATGTAGAAACAGTGAGTGGGCCAGTTCTGGATGTTGAGGTTGCTGATGATACCGTTGTAGACCTTCTTGACGACGATGAAGTGGTCGGGCTTGTCGGAGCCACCGTTGGAGCCCTCGCCGTCCCAGTAAGCGGCACCGTTGCCGTCGATAGTGTGGCCGGCGGCGCCGGTGATAGTGATATCGTGGCCCGAGATGACCATGGGGTCGAAGTCGGAGTCCGCGGTGGTGCCGAAGGTGGTCTTGCCGGCGAAAGTGACAGTGGTGCCAGTTTGCAGCGACTGTAGGTCGATGGTGCTGGATGCCGGGGCCGAGATGCCCGACAGCAGGATGTCGGTGCACGATGCGACGGCCGACGCGATGTCGGCGTACGCAGTCACGGTGCACGTGGTACCGCCAGTGGGGTCATCGGCGGCCACAGTGGTGGTAGCAGGCTTGACCGAGGTGGCCAGGGTGGTTTCGGCGACTGAGGTGGCCTTGACGGAAGTGGCCTTGACTGAAGTGGCCTTGACTGAGGTCTGATGAAAGGGTCAGTATATTTTTGTCACGCACAAAAGAGGTGCAAACACAAAATAAACGAGGAGGCAACTTACAGCAGCGGCAGGGGTGCTGGTGCTGACCTTGACCACCGAAGAAGTCTCAACAGACACAACAGCCGAAGTAGGGGCAGCAGCACCGCCCGTAACGTAGCAGGTGCACGCACTCGACAGCTTCTTGGTCTTATTGGCACATGCCGATCCGAGGACGGCAGGAACACCGGTGGTGGCGGTGATGGTGTCGGCAGTCCAGGTGGCGCAGAAACTGGAGGCAGCCGCCGAGGAGCTGACAAAAGCGCCGGCGCACGCGTCTGTATCCGGGTTGGAGCACCCAAGCACAACCGCCGGCAGCGCAGCCGCCGTCAGGAAAAACGAACGCATATCTTTGGGTTGAATGGCCGAACCGAAGTCGGACCCAAGAATAAAAGAGTGAATGTAAGTTGGACTGGGTCCTATAAGCGAATGAAGGGAGTGACTGGCAAGCTTTGCTTGGCGATGACCAGCTAGATGTCTGAAGTAGGCCGCGGCAGCTTCTTTATATTGCAGTCAGCCCGGCACGCCAGGGGTAGCGCCTGGCCCGCCGTTCAGTCCACATCAGACAACGTTTGTTGGGATGAGAAGGGGGCACGAGGGCCTGTTGTGAGCCTCATCCTTGAGAGAGCACGCGAGATAATTGAGAGGTTGGCCCACGCATGTCAGCTTAGCGCGAGAAGTGCACTCTAAACCAAACAACACCATTCCTCAAAGAGATCATGCAGAGCCTGCATGTTCGCAAAATTCAGACCCGAATGTCGGGATTCATCATCCCAGTTCCAGTTGATCCACCAATGGGCAGCCCTCCAGATTTCAACACAGTGGAATGAACCCGGTAGGAAAACCCATTTGGAGCGGCAAAGCGAAAGCCTTAAAACAATTAAATTAAGGTGGACTTGCAGTGTTTCATGCGAATTTGCGTGCGTGGATCTTAAGCCCAGGCTAAACCCGAAATTGTCACTCATCACCTTTTTAATGCTCTGTTTTCGACCTGATGAAGTCGGAGTCGCCCAAGCATGCTAGCCGTGGACTCGGGGTCACTGGGATCAACACGGAGTGCTGAATGCGACCCGAGTCCCTGACATGCATGGAGCATCGACATATCCATCAACCTATAGGCATCCCAGTGAGAGATGCTATAGTCCAAACGAACGATGTCAAGCTTTTGCGACGTTGCACTATCCGCCTTTTGCGAAAGCTTATCTCCGACCTAGGCCCTCGGCGCATACTATGGAGGCTAATCTCAGGCAGGGATAACAGTCTTGGCGTCGGCAGGGACGCTAAGCACTCAGCAACTGGCATCCCCCTTTCAATTTTACTGATTGCTCCATCAGAATCACAATCATAGCAACAATTAATTCATCTTTTGGCCACCGTGTGCGTGTGAACTTTCTCGTCTACTGTATGTGTACATGTCGCATTTTGCTCCTGAATCGTGTCTGCTGATGAAGGATGGCCTGCAACCTGGTAGCTAAACGCCGGGAAATGGGATCGAGGCAGCGGTAAAGACGGCCCGTATAGCGAGGCACCGGTCCACTTTATCAATACTCCTTGCTGGCCAACGCCGCGCAATCTTGCCAGGAAATATGTCCCAGCCCAGATCCCAAACCTCGATTTCCGAGGCAAGTACTCTGACATGAAGCTGAATCATGTGACTGTTCCCAACACGCGATTTGCTCCTATGCGCCGCAGAGAAGACGATGCGTAAGGTTTGTGGGTGTGGGTACAAGTACGGCTTGACGTGGGTGAGGGTTGGGGGTAGATCGAGTGTCTCAGCAGTAGTTAGCAGGCTACTGATAATCATACACGAGCGCGCAGGACGGGTTCAGAGTTCCTCGTCAGCGCTAGACACGTCAATATCCGCGACATGGCTGCCGTTGACCGTCTGCCACGTCTGTGAGGGCGACTTCGGGTCGGGCAAGTCGGAAGGCAAGTCGCCGCTCTTTTCTGGGACGACACCCTCAATGGTCTCCATTTCCAGGTCCATCTCATCAGCCCCAGCCGCTCGCGTCTCGACGGCAGCACGCTCTGGAACGTCGACAAGTCTGTCCTTGTCATCATCTCGCACGTAGGCAAGGTAGTAAGGGTCGCCACCATTGCTCAGCTCTTGCAGCACAGCCTCGGAGCCCCGCGTGTCCTCCGTCACGTTGCTGTCGTTGAACTTGAGCCACACATTCTTCTGGAAGTCGTGCAGCCATATCCAGTAGTGGCCCGACTGCGTCCCGCCCCCGTGGCAGATGACGGCGTGCAGACGGTACTTTTCTTTGCGCATGTCCTGGAATGCGTCCTGCTTCATCCCATCTAACTTGCGAAGCTCTTCTTCATCCAGCTTGGTCATGTCTGTGGTGAGCTTACTCAAGAGGGGGATGTATGGGTTAGTATGGACTGTCGACTTAGCGGGGCTCGACAGCGACGGCGGCGGCGCGAACAGCGGCTGCGAAGTCGACGACGTGGTGCCTATTGCCATCTGCCGCTTATGGGACAGGTACTGGATATAATTAGCCAGTGTCCGTTCTTGGGGCAGTCTCCGTTTGAGGGAAGTGAATGATGAGGCGGGATTGGATGGTGGTACCTTGGGTCCTGGTACAATGGCGTCTAGTTTCTCCCACTCGGAATCAGAAGGCGAGCACGATCGAGCATCACCACCCCATCCACTTTGGCCCGTCGACCAACTAACATGTTGCACGTCAGGCTCCAGAGCCTTGACCTCATGCTTGGCATCCTCCTTCACCGTGTAGCCTAGCTGGTTGACCCGCTCCTTAAGTGCCCAGATCTCACGACGCTTCCGCACGAGGTCAAATTTGTCGACGCTCTCCGGGTGACCGTCGAGGGTCTCCATGTAACGATCCATGTAAAGCTCATCCTCGATCAGAACGGGGTTTCTATTCTTGCTGGTGCCCGTTCGCTGAATGCAGACGTGAAGGATGGGAGGTAGGGAGCGAATGACGGTGTGACGAATCAAAGTCTCGTCCATGTATTCGACGTCAAAGTTGCGATCGAGAGCCTCGTAGATGGTAGTCGTCTCCCCCTCAGTGGGATGGGGGAACGCCGTGATCCATCGCTCCGAGTTGACCTCCTTGTTTACCGTCGGCGTGCCGTCGACGAGCTTCACAGTGCAGTTCACGATGGTGGGGTTGAAGGTTTGGGTGATCCGGTCAGATTGCATGCGGGGGTTATCGGCCACGCCGCCGTCGGCACGAATAGCACGCATCAGATGCTCCATAATGTTTTCCATGGTCTCTTCGACATCCTGTTGCTCCGTGCCACTGCGGTCCGAACGCTCCAAACGTTCCGAGATGTCTCGAATCTTGTCTTCGATCGTAGCAGCGTCAAACTCGACCATGTGGCCGTCCTTCATTTCGATGTCGTTATCGACTGCCTCCTCTTTGCCCTCCTTGGTATCGACATGGTTGATTTCAACCAAAGAGCCTGTCGAGGCGCCTTCGAGGTCGGTGACCAGAGTCTGAGAGCTCACTGCGCTGGCCGTCTCCAAGTTGTCACTGACCGACTCGATCGTCACGTTGATCATATCTGTGTCGTCACCCTTGGTGGGCGGTGCAGGAGAAGGGCGGGCCGGCAATGGCGGAGGTTTGCTTTGAGGGTCTTCATACAAGAGTCGGGCCGTCTTTCTTAGGGCTGTGTTCGCAAGCTTTTGGCTTGGCTGAGCCGCTGCCTCTGATGTGGTTTGGAGATCCTTAAACAGGACTTGAAGTGTCTCGACAACTTTTGCTGTTTAGCCCGAGGTGTGCCCTGCAGATGATGGAGGGGACTTACATTGCCTTGCCACAATGGCTTCTTCAAGATCAACGGATGTAGCATTGCCACCTGTCTTGCGACTGTGGACGCTCTCGGCGTTGAGCTCCAGCTTATACTGGTCATAGTTCAGGACTAGATCCCGGATGGCCTTGACGTGATAGAAATATTGCAGGATGCTGTTGAGATAACATGTGTTGCCGATGTTGCGCAGTCCAGGCGGCGTTTTGAGACTAGCGGCGTCATCCTGAGCCACGTCTTTCTGCAGCAGAGCCGGGGGTATTTCTTGGCCAGGCTTAAGGGCGTTGAATATGCCCACCATGCCTTGTAGTTCATCAACTGCCTGTTGAGCCTCTGCGTTGGTGCGGTCATGACGTTTCCACTCGGCGAGCACTCCAAGAGCCTTGGCCACTTTCTGACGATCATCGTCGGTATATAGAGTTTGAGCCTGCGATACCCGTCAGAAGGAAAGCAAAGGAAAGAAAAGGAACCGGGGGGGATGGTGAGAAGGGGGCGGCAAGAAAAGAAACTAAAGAAACTCACCAGATGGTTTACAACGTCTCGGATGAGTTCGAGTGACCAGTTGAGCTCAATGTTCAAGGTGCTGGCAGCCTGCTCGATCGTCATGCCGCCGTTAGTTGTTTGCGCAGTAGCTCCCATGTCGTCCAGCACTCTGTTATCGATTCGGCTGACAATATCCTCGCCCAGATTGCCTCCGATGATCTCGAGGTGCTGGTAGAGGCGAGCCCGGGCCTCGTCGGTTCGCTGGACCTGACCAATGGCATAATACTTGGTGAGGAAGTAGTCGGCATCTTTACCGTCGCCGGGAAAAGCGTCAAAGGCGCCAAAGGCATCGACCGCTTCGGCATCCATTTCGCACCCCGATTCGAACTGCACCAGCTCAATCTGCGCATCTACATCGCGCTCCAGGTGGCACCGTTTCGCAGCATCGACGAATAGTTGGCGGCAGCTCTGGTTTTTGGGCAAGGTGGCCAAGACAATAGCGGCCCATACGAAGACTTTGGGCCTGTAGTCGGGCAGACAACCCAGCAATTCCAGGTCCGCCTCATCTATGACTGCGCGGACTTGCGGCGCCTCATACCCACCGGGGAACAGGTCCAAGAGCGTCTCCCAAGATTGCGGCAGGTCTGTCGAACCACAATGACCGCTGAGGATCATCAACTCGGCCACGACGTCCTCCCATTTGGCTCGGAGCGTTCCTATCGGCGTCCGCGCTAATGGTTTGCCAAGCGAAGGAAAGACCCACGAGTCCTCATTTTCAACCATCTTGGATTCAAACCCGAGAGAGACGAGCAGGTCATCAAAGTCATTGCTGATGGATACCATGAACTTCTTGTTTCTCTTCTTGATTCGGCGCAACGGATCATGCTCTTGCTGGTTCAAGCCGTCGTTCATGTAGGTGAGGAGCATTTGGATGGGGCCCTGTCCATAGTTGTCGGCCGCGTCCTTGTATCTGTCACTGTCTTCTCTGCGGGCACGATCCAGGTGTTGCTTGACTCGCTTGACATCGCGAAACTTCTTAACGACTTCCATGTCGATCAAGGGGGGAAGCATCTCGATTTCCAAACCACAGGAGCAACCCGAGACTTGGCATTGCAGGCTGACCCTCTCGAGCAGTTGATTGTGTTGTTTTTCCAACCAACAGGTGGGGTTTAGCTTACGCCGGCTCACTTCAAACATGTGCATCCGATGTTTGTGAAGCCTGGCAAAGTCTCTCATCGATTGAGCCAGATCATTGCATATAAACTTGACATTGAAATGGTACCGGCAATCCATGCAGACCAAGGACAAATAGATGGCCGTGTCCGTGCTACCTTTCTGTCGCGGCAACAAGAATAGAGTATGAGTATCCTTTTCTTTACAAGGCGTGTGCGTCTCTAGTAGCTGCCCGCTCATCAAGTCTCGTAGTGCGCGCGGTGATGTCGCCACTGCAAATGGTCAGCCAGCTGCTGCTTCAGGGTTCAGGATATTGCGATTGACGTGACGACCGCTGCGACCACAAGCTTCATCCGTCTGTGCTTACTTACTAACGGGTGCGTGTGTCGATCGCTTGAGCCACTCAGCGCTTATGCTGGCAAACGCCGTGTTGGATGGGTCCGCCATGGCTACTGCGATTGCCTTCTAGAGATCTTGTCAGCATCGGCGAAAGGTGAGATTTGTTCAAGACATACAGATTTAGGCAAACAGTGGCGATGCAGGAGGATGAGGAGGTCTGGAGAGATACTAAGATGAAAGATCCTCCAAGTCTGCCCAATAGCATTAGCAATGATGGCAAATATGAGTGATAAGTTTATTTCAGGAAAGTCCAATGCGGGGAGAGTGTGGAGGGAAAACAAAAAACATCGAGGCTGCAGATGCAGCTGCAGAATTGGCAGTCCCGCAAAAAATGATCGGGGCGAGGGGCAGGGGCCGTCGAAGGAGGCAGTCAGCTGTTAGGCAAACAGCACATACTGGTCATAACAATCCCAAATGTGAGTAACGAATGTGGTACGTGAATGAGAGTGAGAGTGTGAGTGTCTGATGAGAGAAGGTTACCGGTAGTTGTGCTTCGCTCAAGTACCGGGTTGTACTAACCAATGCCTTCAAGTGAGACCATGCCAGTGAGAACAAAAGGGAGAGGGTGAAAGTGTAGGTTAAAGCATAACCGAAACAGGGGAACTTCAAAGAGCAAAGATGATATGAGAGCCGGACTTGGCATTAATACTGGTGTAATGTTGAAGAGCGAGGACCAAGTTTTATGAATGCCCGAGGGCAGGATGGAAAGACAGAGCCAAAAAGAGTGCAGGACATATATCCTGGATAGGCATAGCGAAGGTGCACTTACCAAGACCTATTTGTTGGGCCAAGCAACATAGGGCTTGCAAGAGTCTGGACCCCGCTTTCTTCTCCCCTTCCAGCAACAAGATTGATAACTGTCTGGATCTTCGCAGTCGGTACGGTAAAGTCGGCCTTATTATGCCAATGACCAGGTCAGTTGGCTAGCTCGTCACGGGTTGTAATTGACATAGGGCCTGAGGTTGTCTCGAGATCTGCGGACACTCTGAAGCTTTGGGGTTGCCGACACGTCGAGGCCTGGACTCTATGTAAAGAGCTGCACCAAGGTCTGGATGCTGCCTCAGGGTTCATATAATATGATAGGGGCTGAGCTGGCACGCTGGACTTCGGGTCTCTTGGGGCCAATCACTTCAAAAAGTCAGCTCTGGCATTAAGTGCAAAACTATAAGCTGGCATACAGTTATGATGCAATTCGTGGAAAAGCATAGATACAAAAGAAGAAGAAAACATCAAGAGCACTGCGTCCCTGGAATAGTTCAGCTCCACTGCACATCTCGAAGTTTCATTTGTCAAGGTGCAACATCATTCATGATCCACTAGGATAATATGAGTTAGCTGAAACCTGGAAGGGCCGAATCGCTGCACCGCTCTTGGATCAGACTGCAAAAGCACATATGAGAAGTTGCACTTGCAGTTCCATACATTGCCTGCTGGGCACCCCATAATCTTCCGATCCTCCAGTGTGGCCAGGCAGCAGCAGCTCAAGTCTAAGCGATATGCTCTGGGACAACCGCACCAGATGACGGGCTTGAACATATCCGAGAGGAGCAGAATATCAAGGTTCTTCTTGGGAGTCATCCATGCAGCCAACAGTGGACAGCTATGATGGCTGGGAAGTGCAGCGCTGCTGCAAGGTGTTTCCAGGCAAGCCCCCAAAACCCGTCACTGGCCAGGCAACAGACAGACAGATGCGAGTAATGAAAGAAAAGTCTAGATACCTCATGAAACCGGTATCCCTCACCAAAATCTGAAAAGGCCAGCAGACGGATGAAGGACGGTTCAGACAGCGGGAAGGCCGAAGGCGAAAGGTGACGATGAAAGCAGGTTGGGTATCATGAAGCGGCAGAAGTAAATAAGGCACAAGTCCCGTACAAATTGAATTCCGGTCCAGAACCGAAAGAGAATTACGTGAGGTATCGTTGCCCCCGGGAAAAGGGAAGAAAGAGGGATAAATCTCTAGGACACGTCTTTGAATGCTGTGCGCCGAATATGCGATGAATTGCTCACTTGGAGAGCAGGGATGGCGAATATAACAGGGCGAAGTTGATGGATCAAAATGGCAGCAGCCCCGCGTGCTCCAGATGGGTCTGGATTTCTTTGTTGAACTATGTACGTGCAGGAGGCAAGGTGCTGACGTTGGTTTCGGTATCATATTGTTCCATGCCGACATTTAGAGTTGGTAGTTCATTGGTGCACTGAAGGAAGCATGTCCCCACAAAGAACATCAAATCAGCAGACACTGGTTGGCTAGGATGGAAGATCATCGGTAAAACAGCTTGGAACCTCAGGTCAGTCGATTGTCGCAACTTAATGCCAACTCCAGACTCCTAGCTTCCTACAGTCGTCCTCCATTGAAAGAAGCCCGATTCAACAGCTCCCTTCGCCATCGCCCCCACGGCCCAAGATGGCGAACCCACACCCCATCCCAGTACTGTACCCTCAAGAGCCCTTCCATGCCAAAAATGCCCTCAACTCGGGCATGCGGGGCGCCCTGGCTGGCGGAATTGCAGGCATCTGCGCATCCGCCGTCCAGAACTCATTGGCCAAGAGCAACATCGGCGCTTGGGGAGTCTTTACGCGAACTGGCAGCACTGTCGCCACGCTGAGTACGTCCTCGAACCGAGTTCAACCCGAAACGAGGCAGCCAACTGACTGACTCACTTGCACCCACAGCCGTGGTGCCTGCCGTCTACGCCTTCGCCAAAGATGCCACGGCTAACCTGAGAGAGAAGGACGATTACCTCAACACGACTGTAGGAGCCTTTCTCGGTGGCGCCATGCTTGGTTTGCGATGTAAGATGGATTCCCATGACACGAGGTAGTTGGCGAATCAAGAGCTAAAAAGAAAATGCTGGAACAGCTGGTCGCATGCCACAAATCATCGGCTTCGGAGCAGGCATCTCCGCCATCATGACGACCCTGGATTTTACCGGCGGTAGTCTACGCGGCCCACCCCAAGACCCCGAAATTGACGAGTACGCCCGCAAGGAATTTATGCGCAAGAATCGCCGGCGGCCCATGATGGAGACGGTCGCGGAACTGGGTGAAGGCAGAGGTGAGTGCTTTCGACGTAAATCTCGAGAGGACGGCATCGGAAGAAGGCTAACACAACGAAGGAATCGAGCCACCGGGCTACGAGGAGCGCAGGCGAGCGAGACTGAAGGAGAAGTATGGTGTTGACATCAACCCCGTTTCCGCCACGGCCGACGAATAGAGGAACACAGACCGGTGGCGTGGACCTGTACATAAACAATCGGAGTTCTTTGCGTAAGCCTAGCCTAGCATCCATGTTTTCGGGCCCAAATTGGTTTCGCCTTGCAAGCAGATCGTTACGTCAGCGTTTTGTTGCTTAGGTACGTACGTCACATTCCTCTGTTTTTCGAGTTCGCTCTCTGTATAGCAATGTCCTTCGATGCTGTACACGAGTCGCGTTTATTTTGGCTTGAATCATCACCGGGAAATTAATCCTATCTGGAATTGGTCAAAATAGCCAGAATTTCCATGCTTTCAGATATTTCTCGGCCATTTATTTCTGCGTCATGCCGAAGCCTATATATCGCATACCTTCAGGTCAGAGGGATGCATCACTAACAGTGTTAAGCCGAAGATAATTTTGCTTCAGAATGAATCCAGGCCTATTATCATTCCATGTGTGAGGGAGCCAGATGGCCATTGCCCGTTCCGTGTTTCCAGTTGCCCTGCGCCTTCCCTCGGTCCAAAATAAGCCAACCCCCTTCAATGGAAGTCCTCACTTGCCCATTATCACCATCACCATCTGCACTCCCAACTCGCTCTCAAAACCTAAAGCTTACCCTCAACATTTCCACACCACAGTATGGTCTGTACGGATTCCCACCCCACGGCTCATAACCCTTGACGTCCTTATCTTCGGTGTGCCTCCCCCATGGATTGGTCTCCATGGCCCATCTCTTATCGCAGTCGCTGCATATGCCCACAGACCTGATGGTGTGAGTGGGACCATCACGGCGCCCATGCTTGCACGCTCCGGCTTGTTTGCGATTGAGACGCGCCTCGGCGCACTTGGCTTCACGGATGGGTACGCGGGTCGAGGTGATGTGGTGCGTGCCGTGGAGGCAGTAGGAGGCGGCATAGATGACGAGGCACATTTTGAGGGCTTAGCTTGCTTGGCAAGTGTAATTTCCTCAATGTGAATGTTAGGATGTGATGTTTTATGGGGTCGAGTAGGGTAATAGAGTGTTGTTTGTCTAGTAGTGACGTGTCTTGCTTGAATTCTCGATGATCATGCGCAATGGTCACGAGCCGGCGTCATGGGACAAGCAGCATCAACGCAATTCTGGCGACTGGAAATTGCTACCGCAAGCCGCTGCAAACTCCCAATCGCTCTAAGTGCACTGATGTCGCATGTGAAGCTGTTGGATTACTGACTTCATATCGCCGGGTGTGGGGTACTACGTGTAGTCGTCGCGATCCCCTTCAGAGTAGTGACAATGCCAGCATGTTGCGACCCTCACAGCCGAGTGTCAACGGCGAATGGATGATTTGACAAAATTGCAAATTAGCGGTAGACACTCAAGACCAGTTTGTGGTTCTATCTATGGTGTTGCAGGTGTCGGGCCCAAGGACAAAGGGTCTGAGACCCAAAGTATGCGGATGTCCGCCGCCCCTGCCTACTTAAGCATCGGACTTCCATCATGACACATTTTCATGACGAGTATACTCGAATTTTCGCTATCCATAATAATAATAATAATGAAAATAATGAATTGTTACACCTCTCCAGGCTCCCTGTTACATAGGGTCCTAGAACAGAAGGTGCGAGGAGGTCACATGTTTCATCACACCCGTGGACGGGTCTGGGCATTAACAAGGCTGGAAACTGCTCCATCGTAGGTAACTCTCCAGGATAAATGGAGGACCGTCCAAGTACTTCACAGTGTATACCCTGATGAGTCCGATCCGGTGGACTTTTGACAAGATAAACTCTGTTCTTGAAGATACTCGACCAAGCTTAAAAAAGCATAATCTCGACACCCACAGCAAATACCCCTAACGGGCTGGGACGACTTCTGAATTTCCCTTCTTTTGTTATTCCCAAAAGCACCACTGTCACCAAAAGCAGTATAATAAAAATCTCAGCAGGGACAACTGGGAATATCGCCGTTTTGGTTGTGTTCCCAGTCGGCACTCTGGTGACCTGCCAAAACGGCCACCCATTCAGCGCCAACCGTGTGGAGTTTATGCACCAAAACATGTTCAAAGCATTGGATATCCAATGATAGCACTTATTCTGTAGGAAATAAGACAAGAGAATTGTATTGGTGATGATAATATGAGACGAAGTCCCAAACGCTGCATCTATGGAAGGGCTATCTATGGGCAATTGGCCCAATCGCTGCACCCAGCAAACAGCCGGTGTACCTGGGGCACGCAACATCTTCCATTATTCTCATCCACTTTTTGGCCACTTCCAGGGGTCGGATCGCTTGAAGCAGGTATACCGGAAACCGTCAGGTTGGGACTGGGTTGGAAGTAGGTCGTTTCGGGATGAAGCTGTTCTAGAGTCACGTCATTAGTGTTGAGAAAGAGGAGCTGATATATCACATGGTGTTCGATACCAACTCCGTAGAGCCAGATACTGCCCTGAATGTTCTCGATGCTCCATGGGGATAGAAGTGAGCTGGAAGGAGTTGCCGTTGTATAGATAACATTTGCCAAAAGCCTTACAGTGCTAACGTTGTCTGTTGCTTTACTATGCCACGGTTCTCATTGAATTGAAGGGGCGTTTGCAGTTCATACTAATTTGCTCGAGCATCATTTCCATGTATCATTTCGATGTGTGCATATTAACAACAATGCACTTATGAGGACACGGGCAACTCACAACTCCCTGATCATCAACCAAGTCTGATGCAAGTCGGGCGCATCCCACTGGCTCAAATCTACGGCATGCAAATCAACATCTCTAAATCCACACTTTAGATACAACTTATGCGCCGCCTCGCTCGATTCCACCCACGTAGGTATTCCAAGCGCCTTGGCCTCCTCCAGACATTGCTTCACCAGCAAGCCCCCAGCTCCACGCTTCTGTTGCAATGGGTCAGTGTAAAGCGTATCGAGGTCCATTGAAAATGTCAGCCGAAGTCAACAGGGTATAAATACTTTAGGGCAACTTGGCAACTTACAGACGTGTGGTCTATCCCCAATAATCCGGTCTCGCCTCTCCTGCAGACTGTCGAATACTAGTCGACACGCTGCGTCATTACTCCCTGGCCCGTATCCGTGATTGCCAGTACTTTTTGGTGGTTGTTCCGGTTTGGGGTTATTAATGTCCCACTTTGCGAATGCGATCATGGTCTGCTCAGCGTCTTCGATATCAGTGTCGACCACTTTGTACGCTCGGCAATTGCTGTTCTCACGAGCCAGCTTCCATTCCAGATCTTGAGCTACGAATTCAATGGCTTCTGGCGAAGGTGGTACAGGGAACAAGATGCGCAAGAAAGGATTCTTGTCGTATGCAGCTTTACGGATCTGTATTGCAAGCCTGGCATCCGCTGCCGTGGCAGGTAGGAGCTCGAGTGGCATTGGTTCACAAATTGTGATGGAAGGGATGGGATTATAGATTCTATGGATGATTGTTAAGAACGATGAAAACCGCGCGACGGTTTTGTGGCTCGGGGAGCCGATTCCTATACCCATAGATATACGAGTTATGCAGAATTCGGTGACTCACGTCTGCTTACCACCAGCCACCACCCCCTCCCCATTCCCAGTTTAGAAGACAGCTGGGATTACACGCTAAGCTCTCCTCGGCGTAAACGGCAAGAAGCTGTTTCCAGCTGTATTTGCCATGAAACTTGAGGTCTTCAGAATTATCTCATGAAAATCAGGCATTACTGTCAGCGAAAGGTACTCTACTTCCTGACGATTCTAATCTATCAGTCATGATAAAGTTAATGCAATAGGTATCTAAAACGTTCAATTCGTGAAGATCCTTGTGTAAGTCATGAGTTGCATCTTAGCACACAACACTTCGAATTGAAGCTCGCTCTTTTGGAAGCCGGACTGCGGGAAACATGCACACGCCCGATTGTGCATTAATTAGCTGGGTCACAGGAACTCAGGCTTGTGGGTTTCCGGTTTAGTTTCCATAATTGTACTTCTCTTCTCAGTAGGGAAGTCAGGGGTGTAATGATCCAGGGTGCTAAGGAGGACGCTCGCCATTCATATACGTCTCGCAAGGGTTAATACTACGGTGACCAGCTGCTTGTCGATTTTACAGATAGCTACAAGACTTCGTGCGGGTGCAATGTGGTTTCTCTTGTTTCGACAACCGTAGGCACCATGAACTTGCTCATGGGCACGGCTGCTATTCCGACTAGCGTGCAAGGCGGCCAATTAGTGAGTGACAAGACTATTATTACGTGGAGAGTAGTTTATTCAAGGTATATCTCGATATTTAGGCCCAGGGTTATGTCGCGATGTGCGCGGGTTGGTTCTTAACGCATGTCCCGTTACATCCTTTAAGCACGTTTCAATCGCGATATGGCTATGTATAGCTTATAGTTACGTCCCGAGCAGCTCAGTTAAATGCAACGTCACTCTTAGTATACGATCTTGTCTGAGCGGGGTTCTTGAACGTGTGCATGTTTCCGCCGTTCTGAGTTTTCATGTTAATATGCTCGATTATTGGCCTACATGTCTTTTTTTTCGCTGCTCGGGTTAACATACTAGGCTCCTTACCTCACGGGGACTCTTATCTTAAACTGAATGACTCAAGATTGAAGATTCGAAGGACACAGCTTTATTGATGTCATATAGAAAGCAAACGAGAACCATACAATAGAAAGAATAGAAAACTGCCTCTCGTGCTGGCTCCTGGCGGTTTCCATTTCAATCCAAGTTTTTGAGGGGAAGTAGAGCCATGCTACATGCTCATGTTATCAATTGTGGTGTCCGCTTCTGCAGATGGAAGTTATCAACGAATAAATGTAATTTCTCAGTCCCAGTAGTCATCTCGCTACCATCTTTCCCGGGGTTACAGTCGCTAAAGCTTCACTTTCTCGGCTGTCGGCCGTCTTTCGAACATCCCGGCCAATCATGAGTCGCGCCGTATCTCGGGGTATCTGTCATGACTGGGATTGCCAGTCTGCTACGATCTGCCGGACGGGTTGACCTGGCTCCTCCGCACTAATCTGACCACGGCCATGGGACATAGCTGTATGCCTGCTCTTTCCAGATATCTCCGCACCAACATGGTAACTGAAGCAACCCATCAAATGGAAAAGAGTTGCCATGATTGGGGCGGAATAGTACTTGTATGCTTAGCGGGGTATATGCTCTGTGCCTTCTCTTTAGAGTTAGATTATTGGGCCACAACTACGGGTGGAGGGTGGCATTGCTTTATCATTCCATCCCGTAAACATTGACGCCTGTCGCCTAAAATAATTCTGCATCTTTGTTATATAGAGTCGCTCTACACGAATCATCGAAGGAAAGATGAAGCTCAGCAGTCGAGGCATCTGGGTTGCGATGAGGTCCTACACCGTATTGAAGCTTATCGTCGCGCCCGCGCTTGCAGGCAGACAGTTCATGTCGGAGCAGAAGGTGATGCAAGCGGCAGCAGAAGATGACAAAACACGTCAGTTTTGCACCAATCCACCGCCTTCCCCCTTTAGAACCCCTAGGAGATTCTAACAGGTACATATATAGTCGCCCAGCCCATTTTCGGCGCCTTGCCGCTGGGTTCCATCTCGCCCCTCGGATGGATGAGAGACCAGCTGGAACTTGAAGCGGCGGGCCTGGCGGGCAACATGTTTGATTTCTACCGGTTCGTGCACGATGCAAGATGGATCGGCGGTGCAACCGAGTATTCAGGTCTCGATGAGGCGTCGCCGTACTGGTTCAATGGCATCGTTCCTTTGGCTTTTGGCTTGAATGACTCGCGCATCATTGGCCAGGTCAAGCATTACTTGGACTACGTGATTGACCATCAGGCGAGTGACGGGTGGCTGGGGTTTGAGGAAACACACCAGACTCGTGGCATCTGGGCTCGTTGCCTCCTTCTCCTGGGAATGATGGTAAGTGATCAACTACGACCAAGAAGACGGAGAACCGATTTGCTGAAGCCCAATCGCTTCTAGCAATATGCAGAGGCAGATTCTACGCAAACCGAGAGAATTGTGGACTCGATGCACCGTTTCGTGGTACTGGCACATAGCATGCTACAGGACAATTACACGGGTCTGATCGTGCACGGAGACGACACTTTCGACATCGCTGGGTTCGGCATGGGAAGGACGCACGAGCTGCACATTCCCCTGCAGTGGCTCTACGAAAAGTATCCTAGGAACAACTCGCAGATTCTATGGGAGACCATGGAGCTCATGATTGACGGGGGTGAGGTTTGGGGTGCAGACTGGAGGAAGTTCTGGGTCGAGGATGTCTACCCTAAGAGCGAGGATGATGTGAACTCGTTTGACGGCAGCTGGGTATTCTTGCACGGGGTGAATCATGCTGAAGGCAAGCCATATTCAGTCCACTCAGGTCTGTCAGGGGTTGATACTAACAGTGCGGATAGGCTTGAGATACCCCTTATCCATCTACCGAATGACACACGACGAGGCACTTAAGAGACAGACCAGGACGGCTGTAGACCTAGTGGATACGTATCACAAGTCTCTGGCGGGTTCCATCATTGGTGACGAGTACATATCCGATAAGCAACCTCAAAGGGGGGCTGAGCTGTGTATCGCCCCCGAGGTCATGTTCTCCCTGGCATACATCTATCAGTACCTGGGTGACAACGACATCGCCGATTGGGTGGAGCAGACTACGTTCAACGCCTTCCCAGCATCTGTTTCCTCGGACTGGTGGTCGCACCAGTACGTTCAACAGGAAAACCAGGTGAGTCTCAGTCTCCGGGATAGTGTTGTCTGAGTGAGACTTGGGAAGAAAAGGGAATGCTCAACTATCCATGCTGCAGCCATGGGCGCGTAATTTGACAAAGGGCAGCTCCGGGCTGTGGGTCGATGTCAACTCGTATTCCAACGTCTTTGGCCTGGAGCCGAATTACGTGAGTTTTCTTCTGTTTCAATCATCCCATGACTCTGTGGGGGGCAAATTTGACTGAGAGCCCGTCCTAGCCCTGTTGCACCGTCAACCACCCGCAAGCATACCCTAAATACCTTGCCAACTCCTTTGTGACCACCGAAGATGGCGGCATTGCCCATGTTCTTCTGGGTCCTGCAAGCCTCAGCGCCACACTGGGTGGCGATAATGCGGTTTTAATTTCCACCGACACAAAGTACCCCTTCGACCTGAGCCTGACTTACACCATCACCGCGACCTCCGCTTTTGACTTTTATGTCCGAACCCCCACCTGGGCCAATACCAACACAAGCACAATCACAGGCCCTGGCAAATCGCCCCAACAAGCCATAACCCTCGCAAGCAACGGCCTGCAGAAAGTCTCCATCCCGGCCAATGAGGAGACAAAATTCATCATCAATCTCGACACCCAACCGCGTGTTGAGCTCCTCCCCAACAACGCCGCAGCTATCTACCACGGTGCCCTGCTCTACAGCTTCGCTATTGAGTTCAACACGACTGAACATGCCCCATTAAGATACTATGACGAGGCTCTTCTAGATAGCTCCACTACGGACGGACACACCCATGACCACGCCATCGTGCCCACCTCTCCGTGGGCCATTGCCATTGACCCATCCCAAATTGCCGTAGTTCCCTCTGATTCCACCAACGGCGATGCACTGCCCAACCCGATTTGGGCACTAGGCGCTCCTCCCGTTGAGCTTCGCGTTGCCGCCGTAGAGATCGATTGGCCGCTCGAGCATGACACGCCTGCAGTCCCGCCCACTAATCCGGTGGTAACGGGAACTCCCTTTAGCGCGCGATTTGTGCCGTACGGGAGTGCTAAGTTGCATATGGCCCACTTACCGGTTCTTTCCTTGGACACGGTGGACCTGCTGGGGTAAAGGAGAGGAGGAGAAATGGGTGGTCGTCTAGCCAGATATTCTAAGAAGGTGATATAGCAAAGGATAGTCCACGCGGCGAGGAAATTGGCTTGACGTGACGTGTGTGGCAGGTCATTCTTCCGAGTTGCTGCGGGACTAAGGGGTAGGAGAAAAAGCCTCGGATATTTGCTTAGGCTGCCGGGAGCTTTCTTGGCATACAGATTTATTGCTGCAAGCCACGGGATTGAGCCTATTGGCTGTAGCCTCTGTTTTCCGGTAGCAAAATGCGTGTTATACCATCTGTGCTCAGTTGTCATCGAGGTCCATTAGTATTTTCAGCGTATCACGGCTAGTATCAGAATCTCTCACTCGCCCCTCATTTGTTGTGTATGTCATGGACCCTTGTTCCAAGACGGCCGAGCTCAGTCAAAGGAATCCAGATAAGCGGCTACTTACATTTCCAAAAATAGCAATACGATGATCATAGATGGACCACCATATATTGAGAAAATGTTGCCAGAGCGAAACCACATGTTGCAATCTATGCCGCAGTCTTTGGGTAATAATAGTTCGCGAGTTGGCGAACCAGTGGAGGCGGAGCCAAACAATGCCAGGCTGAGGGAACCAATTAATTGACAGGTTACTTGCAGTACCAACCGCCTTATGTGCATAAAGATTCTCCAATCGCACAGTCTCGATACGGACTACCAAGGCGATCAGTTGCAGCTCTCCCCCTGCGAGCAGCTAGCCAACTAGCTAGTACGTTAACTCCGCTTTGGGACGGTGGACCCAAGGAATGAAGTGAGATTAAGCCTGGTGGCCCGTCACTGACATCCATGCTACCCGCAATTGATAACTTGATTGGTCTTGGCTGCCGCCCCTACGCGTTTCTGGCGTGAGTTCATGGCGACTCTTACTTACACCCGCATGAGCTGAAAAGGTTGCGTCGCTTTCTCTATGCAAGGCAACAGTGTTTTTCCCCCCTCAGTCTAGTGAAAAGGTAGTAAAGCGCTGAGCAGCTGGCCCACTGCAACAACAATGCAGAGCAATGGTGACAGTAGTCAAAAACGTCACCATACATATGAGAAATAAACGAGGTTTCCAATAGATCATGCAGCTTGCCATTCGCCTGCAGCCCTTCGGCCAGTGTAGACCCAACTGCAACTGCTCCAAATTACTGGCACTACTACAGTTTATCCGACGTTGCAGAACTCATCAAGCCTCAACCAATCAACCAGCCGCTGTGGTCGGGAACCCTCCTTCGTCATCATCTTCAGCGAATGCAGTCGCCACAGACTAACCAGCTGAGCCGATAGCCAGGCACTGTATCCGATCCCAGCAACGATCAGCGAATCGGTAGGGGGGCCGGATTTGGATTCTGCTGTACTACGGCATTTTAACCGGCTAGTTCCCACACATTCCGCTCGGTAAAACCAGCGCGCTAGCGCTAGTCATAACAGACTAAGGTCGTAATAGAAGTATGGCAACCATGCATAATGCGGGGGTTACATAGTGTTGAGATGGAACCATGGTCGCACGATGGGGTTGTATACTGACCGCCACTTGAATTGTTCTGTATGCTACGTTAGTAACTGCGTGCCATTAGCCGCCAAGCCACAAAATGCACCGTTTCCATCATTCCAGACGATTTGAACAGACGGACACGATCCAAACGGTGGCGGGGACTACATGGTGGCTTGCGTTAAACTTAAGTTTCTATATTGCCCAGCACCGTGTGCCGTATTCCGTGGCAATGGTTTACTACCGGACTCGGCACGCCGAGCGGGTCCTGAAGAATGGAGCAGTCCAATCCGACGTTATGTTCATGAGCGTTTCCCTCTTCATTGGCCCAGCCTCGAGAACGAATGGCCCTTGTTTGTTCATCGTCGATGTTATTATCCATTGAACAAAAGTAGGGACCCGGATAGTGGACAGTGAACTGCAGCCTTCCATGCAACGTTTGATATGAACCTCCTGAATATAGCAAGAGTAAGTTTGCGATCATCGATGATCACTTCCTGGCCTGGTCGACCTGAGTAGAGTATCTAGGTATGGTCCAACGGCTTGATGCATCAGGTCAAGTCTAGACAGCATATGCTACCCTGGAAGGAAGGTCTATCACCATCTGGGATATTGCTCGACTTTTTCTGAGGTTAGTGTTATGACCAATGAATACCCTGACTGGTTTCTGCACCTGCTCAAAGGAAGCCACACCGAGAAAATTCAGCATTTGGATCCATCATCCGCGGAATCCGCCAAGCTCTCGGATACCTAGCCTAACCGACGATGACGAAGATGACTATCGTGGCCAACCCAGCTCGGGTCGATGTAGTTCAAATGATGATGCTTCGAGCAGGGGAGTGGCCCCGTTCTACTGAACAGATGCTCCTCCTCGAGTATAAGAACCCAGCTTCGTCCTGACTTGATATCTTTCTTTTCGACTTGCCAGCATCAGCATCATCAGCAGCAGCAACACTCACTCCACAGCCTTCTCTCCTCATCACATTCATACTTCAATCTTTCAAGCTATCCAACCGCCAAAATGCACTTCACCAACCTTCTCATCACCTGCCTGGCCACCTTCGCCATCGCCAGCCCCACCAAGCGCACCGGCGGCTCTGGCGGCTCTGGCGGCTCTGGCGGCTCCACTACCCCCTACGACCCGTGCTCTGGACTCTACGACAGTGCCCAGTGCTGTGCCACTGACGTTCTCGGCGTTGCTGGTCTCAACTGTGACTCACGTAAGAAACCCGAAGAACCGAACCCCCTCTCTTAGTCTTGGCGATCAACATTGGTCGATATGCTTGCATATTTACCCTAGACAAAGAAAAGAAAAGACGAAAAGGAGGAACATCCAACTGACTGTTGGCTTCCTTACTATAGCTTCCGCGGTCCCTACCAGCGCCGCCAACTTCAAGAGCATCTGCGCCGCGGGTGGCCAGCAAGCCCGCTGCTGTGTCTTGCCTATTGTAAGTGATGGACCATCCCGCTTATTTCCGACAAGCTTTGTAAATAGTTGCTTATAAAATGATCCAGCTTGGCCAGGACGTCCTCTGCCAGACGCCTGTTGGCGTCTAAATCTGAATGGACGAGTCTCGCCACAACATCAAGCGGTCTGGTGAAACCAGATGATGGCATGTCTTTGGATTGAAGGATCTTTTGGTAAAATTTTGGTTTGAACCTTGATAGGAAAGGCTGTGTAGTGTGAGATGTCGCTCCTTATATTATCGTTTCTGGACTTGAGGCAACGATTAGTTACGATAGTTTCAATATATTTTGATCTCAACCACATTGACTTGGCACGCAAGGAGCCGATAAAATAGTGTATGTGCCTTCATTAGACTACAACTGTTCATCACATATTCAGTAGATGGTATTATTTGAGAACCTGGAGTTTTGAGTACTGTGTACGTTAAGGATAAGTTGCTGGCTTTTATCATGGCTATACTCTTCGCGCCACTGAACTACTAGATTGCCGTGTTTGGATTCACGGCAAAATCCTACCAAAGCTTTGCACACAACTGGCAATTGTCAGTTTTGGTTCGATACATATGCTGTACACTTGTTTTCAGTATACTATCCTCGTGGTCTCCTGCAGGCATGGACGTAAGCTGTGACCCTTCCCTTGATAGCGCTAGTTTTTGAAACAATCTCAAAGCTCATGTCATGGATAGGCCACTGGACCACGGGCTGTCAGGATTTTGTATCCTAACGGGATTCAGATGATGCAGTCTCCTGACGCAGATGCTGTGCAGTAATTTTGTCGATCGACCTGGCAGAAAGGACGGTGTCACGTTTCAGCCGTCATGCTGCGCAACTAGATATGAACTTGTGACACCGACTTTTTGATATGCAGCCCACAACATTCATGATGTCATCTTAGAGTTGCCTTGCACGAGCTCTCGCGAGTTGATCAACACGCGGTTGTCTCTTCAGTTTCTCATACCTTTCCAGCACTTGCCTCAAGTCCCATACCTCTCTCTCTCTCTCTCTCTCTCTCTCTCGGCGCATCTGCCTAGTTTTCAGTGAAGCATGATCCCCGATCACCCTATCAGCTAAGAATGTGGTCAGACTGCAGTTCTCACCAAAAGATCGAAAGATCACCAGGAATTCTTCTGCGTCAACTACTCTTCCGGCCGGAATCTTTATTTTGATATTATGGGTATAGAAGATAAGCCTTAATCTGCAGTAAAACATGCCACCTGCTTGTGATGCGAGTGTGTTAACGAAGTGAGTTCGGCGTTATTTTCTTAATATTCCCGTTTCAAGAACGGCATTTATAGTGTTTGATACCTGTAAAAGAAGATTGTCTCACTCTCACACCGAAATTAGTGTTTTCTAAACGGCCAGTAGCTTCAACTTGTAAACTGCACCTTCATCCTGTAGGGAGCTGATGTTCTTATCCAACATGTATAACTTGGCTGTCACGTCATCTTTCTCATGTCGTAAAGCAGTGACTTCTAGGGCAACGCTGTCTAGCTCCGTTTTACATGGTATGCAGATATGTACATTCTTTTGGGATAGCAATCAATACCAAGCAAGACTTGCTGATTTCAATGCCCGAGATTTGCTTCGCAAAGTTTCCATTGACTTATTTTGAGAAAGAAGAGGTCCAGTAGATGATATAGTTCCATAAACACTTTATTGTATGTCTGTTCTGAATAATAATCTTGCCCAAGCCCTTACTCCTCCCCCGTTGCACCAGCAAGGACACTTACGCATCTATCCTCAGCATGAGAAGGCTTTCTTCTGCCCCTGCTGAAGAATAATCGTACCCCTAGACTTCGCACTTCTCAGCGACTTATTCCGCTTCGGTCCCGGCATTACGAACGACGGAACTCTGGGCCTCTTTACCGCCATTTCTGAGGGCCTTTCGCACTGCTTTTGCCTAGCGCACTTATCATCCAGTAGAATTTCCGGACCTGCCTTTCGACTCACGATCCGGAACACCCTCTGTAATCTATAAATCGCCCCAAATTCCGGACTCAGAAAATTCTCAGCTGATGTGCACTTGGAAATAACTTGCTCTGGCTCGTTTGCACCAAGCAGGGCGGTCCATCGGTACCAGATGCGACATTGGTTTGCTGAAAGCATCTTGATTAGGGCTTGCTGTGGTAGGAAGTAGCGGAAGGTCCTTGGCGATAGGAGATGGTAGAGTAGGTTGTCGACGGAATACTGTAGAAAGGGGTACGACGACATGATTAAATTGCGCTGATCAATGACGTTCTGGCGCCAGTTCCGGAATTCCTCATTGGGGCTGCCTGATAAGAGTGTGGACATAGCGTCAGCATTTCCAAGTGAGAGATCCAGAGAGTTGATATATGCAAGAATGGTGTGTAGAATCACGTAGTGACCCATGTCAACTAGCTGGTCCATCGGGGGTAGTGAACGATCAACATTCAATAGTGCTGCAAAGCCGCGACCGGATAGAAAGAACGCCCGTACGGACTCATGAATCGCCCCTACACGTTGAAGACCGAGTGACCCGTCTTTAACTTCGTATTGAGCGTCTGGCTTTATCTCTAGTAGCCCCAGTGTGCGAGACTGAAGCCACATGTGGAACTGGTGGGGCGTGCCAAACTGATCCCCCGTCCCCTTCAGTTGGCTCATAGAGGAAGGCGGACCTACGTTAAGCACCATGCCCGGATTAATCTCACTCAAATTGCATGCCTCCTTGAGATAAACGGCGGCGCGCAAATCATTGAGCCGCATTGGCTCCGATGCTAGCATGACCCATTGCATTATCACGAGGACATGTGTCTTCTCTTCGGCGGAAAGATCAGCCAGCATCCACTGGTAAAGCCCATCCAGGTCTGAAGGAAGTTCTTCGAGAATTTGATCAACAAGATCTTGGGCCTTTTCCTCGCTAATAATGCGGTTTAGCAAGTCGGTGACAAGTTTGGCCCATAGAAACAAGCCCCCGGACTTCTGAACCACCTTTTGCACCATGACACTGCGTTCATCCCAGCTGGCTTTAAGATTATTGTGAACATACCGCTCAATTCCATGGATATTGTGGTCCTGCACGTTGATTTGGATAGTATTGCCGGGAGCGATATCCATGCACGGGCGACTCGCCAGGCAGATGCTGAAGTTGGAATTCTGCGCCAGTTTGTCCAGACAATGTAGCAGTTGCCGAAGGTAGACGGGACCGCAGTCCTCATTGGCATCCACGAAAATGAATGTTCTTCGTAATCGTGTTTTGATAGGGCTCCCCATATAGTCGTCCAGGAAGAAGGAGATGAGGTCGGTATCGCTCAGGGGTTGATTGTGCGGTTGGCTCGCCTTAGATAGCCACATCAACTTCTCACGCAACTTTCTATCATGAGGAAATAGCTGAGCAAGGAGCGAACGGAACATGTCCAGGGGTCCAGTTTCCGTAGCCTGTTGTTGTTGCTTTCGGTGTGTGAAGAAGACGCGGTCTAAATCCTGACCACCGGCTGTGGACCAGATTACTGCATTAGCTTCGCAGGCCCGTTCCTTCTGGATCCTGCGACTTATATGTCTTAATTGAGTTGATTTTCCAGATCCCGAAGCACCAGAAATCCATAGGACGCGGTTGTCGTTAGTGCGTCTGCGATGGTACCAATCGCGAAATTCGGCTATATTATAGAGCCAGGAACATGTACCAGGGAAGTTCTTCAAGACTTGGGGCACAAAGATGGGTATAACAACTAGTGACGCAAGACACGCTAAGTCAAGGTTGTAAATTCAGTTCTCATCAGAGTGTTACTAACTGCAGTGAGGCCACTTACTCTGCTCTTTGGGCGTGAGTTCCCTGCCCTGGTTGAAATCAGTTACTGCTTCCTGGTACAACAAGGGGAAACCTACTCTTGTTGTCTCATCCTCCAAGGTGCGGCGAATATAGTCGGCCACCTTTCTGAATTCAGCATCCTCAGCTGATTGGAATTGACTGATACCCCAGTATTCCGCATCAAAATCCTCGGGTTGCTCACGCGGGTTCGCAATGGAAGTAGCCTCCTGGTGGACATGTTACGAAAGAGTTAGGCTTCTCTTGCGGGATTAGAGGTTCACTTACACGGAGCTGAATATGCTCTAACAGCGACCGCATGGTTCTTGTATCGCGAAAGGCTTTTATCTTGAAGTTGAAGTCGTTCGACAAGCGAAGAAAAGCCCTCCGACCAAATTCTAGGTTCGCACTATCCGCTCCACTCAGCCGAGCCAGGACGGGATCTTTTGTGTCGACACCGAGAGTCACGCTTGCCATCGACTTGACTACCTGGCTCAGCGGAGTCTTTCCGAGAGCGTCTTGGAGAGATCCAAAGAAAATTACAGCGGCAGTTGAAAGCAAGATGTCCTTAATATGCATTTTGCTCCCTGTCTCTGAACGCCTCAATACCTGTGAATGCATTAGCCAGTCGCCATACAAGAAGGGGAGTTGGACATACCTCCTTGACTATAACCTCGCCCGTCGAGTGCGCGACGAATATGACCGGCTTCTTAAGTGCGCCACTTCGATGTCGCAAACGAGCGAGATCACCTAAAAGATCATCCGCATGATCAAAGATGTCCGCCTGGGCTTCCAGCAAATTGTCGCCTAGGCGAACCACATGAAAACCCCACGTCAGAATGCGCGCATTGCCGCATGAATCCGGCAGAAGGTCCAGAGGCCAGAAAACTTCTACCTCAGGCGTCGTCTTTGAGGTCTCATCTCGAAACAGCGGACCTGACTGTGAAGTCGAATTCAACTTGCCGAGCTTCACCGACTAGGCCAAATTCTGGCTCCCCAACTCCAAACTCGATCGGGCAAGCCTCGTAGTCGATGGTGACCTCTCACTGGACAGTATTTCAAGCGTCGATCTACTGCGATTTTTCAGCTGATCTTTTTGAGATGGAGCGTTGCAGTATTGCCAGGTTCTGACCGGGTGGCCACCAAACCCATGTACGAGAACGATGCTACGAGAGCATCCATCAGACACTTAACTACCTTGTTTTATGAGGCAGATGACATATGAAACTTGACTTACTCTGCGATGGTTGTCCCCGACTCTTCAGGTTCGTAAATCACATGCAGACCCACCGAAGGGATCTGAATACGATCGGTCTTCATCGTGGTGGTGTGCGGCAAGGTATCATTATGCAGGGACGGATACGGGTATTGCGAGATTTTGCGATATAGGCCATGGCGGGAAGGAATACAAACTGGCAGTTTCCTAGCATTGACGTGTCAAGTATCTTGATGCTTGAAGCCTTCAGGCATGGTTCGTATGAGTTGCTTACGCCCATGGGCATGTTGGGCTGTTTTCGGTGAGTATTGGCGGCGAAGGAATGTCATGCAGAGTCAAGCCGGAACCATGAAAAGAACGGTTGGTTGTCATCCGTGGCCAAAATTTCGAATGGCCCCCAGTATAATCTTCTCATCCATTGCGGCCATAAGGAGCCATTGGGTCATTATTGGGCCGCGCGGCCAACAATTCCAACATTCCTGCCTCTCGCAAATGACGGCTGTTTTCGCCCCCATACAATAACGGCGCCCAACACACCGCCAGATTTAAATGCTGCATACACATGCACGTCAAATATCCCGCATTCCGGTCCCAAGCAGCATTTGGAGAATTTTCCAGGGCCTCGAGTTGTCGTTTTCATGTGCCGTCTCATACATATCTTGACCAGGACCATCGCAGCCACAAAGGCCACATCGGCCCTTGGATTCAAACGAGTTGATATATGTGCTGCACTTGTTCAGCAAACTACCGGCTGAGGCTTCGTGACACCGGACCATAAAATGGTCCTTGATCTGTTGTACCTGCAGCGCGTTCGCTGTCGATCGGAATAGTGTCCCTGTCGCTGCAACGCTGTCGAAAGCCTCAAGTAGACGCCTCCTTAGCAAGGTCAGGGGCATGGTTATGTTCTCGAGCGCCAACGATTGAATCGTGCAGCTCGACCAAAACAGCCACTATGGTCTAGCATCACGAAACTGAAAATATGTTCTCTAGTTTGAGAAATACCATACTGAAACTCGAGATTGTGATTTGAAGGGGCTGTCTCCAACGTCAGGTTGGCGCCGGAGAGTATTATGAGGCAACCTGCCTCCTTGGATCGTCGTATTTTGGATTTGAACTACGTCGATCGCTACGGGCTAGACCTTTCTGCTTGAAAGTAAGAAGGTGGAATTTTCATTGAGGGGAAGTGATGATGAGCCTATGTCTCGGTTTTGGACCAGAACAGTAATCCCTGCCCTCATGGCGCTCAGCTCTTCGTAGATCTGCAGTTTGCAGTTAGGTATTGTCTTGAATCGTAACAGCTGACCAGAAAATGTATATATACCCGTTGGTAACGGACATAGCAACGGTCAATGAGAGGCAGTTCCTTCTCGAGTCGCTAGCAGGACTGTGACTTAGTTCCCTTTCAAAGCCCGCCTCAGGTTGTTCAGAAATCGTGCAAACCATCCATCATCAGTGCTAGTCCGTGCCTCGATGAGACCGCCCTTCAAGACATTGAACTCATCGCCGCAGAGCCCTAATAATGATCGAATGTGGGACAGCCCTCGTGGATTACCACGCCTCCTGACTGCATAAGTATATGTAGATATGCGCAACGACGGAACCAAAGGCTCTGCGCTCGATAAGGACCCGGCCCCTGGTTGGAGGGGCGTGATTGCATCGATCGTATAGATCGTACAGTTTTCTGCCGGTACGGAACACAACGTCGGCCAATCCAACCACCGCGAAAGAACTGGCCGCAGTAGAGAAAGCCTCAGAATTTGACGGGACATAGTGATATCTTTTCGATATGCAACGCGATTTTAGAAGTGACAAGGCCTTGAGGTACAATGAGGCCACGATTAGGCTATGACAAGTGCACGCCAAACGTACCATGGCAGAGAGCATGAGTGCCTGGGTGCGTTCTTTGGTGATTGGAGAGAATTTTTGCCACGTCTTGAGGTTAAGCGCATGGCCGACTGTAAAACTTTTTTTTTCCTGCGGTGGGAGCTGGTGATTGGGTATCTGGCGCAATATGCATCGACGAAAGCAATTCTTGGATTAACTTATTCAAATTGTAATTCTATTGAAGCCTAGGGTCGGCTACGAAGCCGGACGCAAGGTGATCACCACGGCTCGACAAGGCCGAAATACTGTCCGCTGGCCTCGATTCGCTCATCGTTCGGGTTCCCCAGGAACAAAGGCGAGCGGTGCGTGACAACTACCACGCCACTTCCAAGCGCCTCTTATATCGTGTAAGGACATGAAGTCAACTCGAACGAGTGCGGCAACAAGGTCGACGGGCGATGGTGACACCCAATTGGTGTGACTCCTGCTCAGGACCAATCGCTACGTATGGAATGTCTTTCATGGTTGCTTGTTTGTCTGTATTTCTTTGACATTATTTACCTCTTTTGTGGTGCATTCTTCGAGATAGCGTTCTTTGGCGGCGGCGGCGGATCAGTCGGAGTCCCTCTAATCTGGTTCCTCAGCTCATCGACGAAGTGCTTGAAGAACCCATCACTCGAGCGATTCGGATCGGCCGTCGCCTCGCCCTGCCGGAGCGGCTCGTTGGGGTCGCGACCATGCTTGAACTCTTCAATGGTCCGGTGTATGCATCGAACGCCGCAGTGGAAGGCAGGTGATCTAAGGAGCTGCATCTTCTGTTAGTAGACGCTCGGGAGTTGAAGGTGAGGAGTCGTACGGCATCAACGAGTGCTTGCTAAAGGTCCCATGTGGTGTTAGCTGGTGGGTCTTCGGAGGGTCATCGATGCGCTCATCATTATCATTGAGCAACCAAAAATACGTACATTTGGCGTGAAAAGCGCCTTGAAAATGTGAAGCACCATTCTCAAATTCTCTTGAATTGAATGTTAAGTAGCTTGTGTGTCTCAAATATGAATAATGGCCTGAGGTCGTAAAGAGCGTGTCACGATTGAGTTAGGTGTTGAATAGATTCCCATCGCAGCTGGTAATCACTCAACTGGCAGACAGCTGTCATGGGGCGCCCCAATACTTACAAAATCATGTTTTCGTTCTTCTCATCTCAAAAGTTGCATAACTCTCAGGGATGCAAGTGCGAAAACTACAACATCGAAGTTGCCCTTCCAAGATTTAGTTCAGGCAATTGGTCTTACACAAGCTAAATTTCCATCCTTTGCATAGAAACTCTTAGCAAGGAGCGGGTTGACAATGTAGCTGCGACTAATTTCAACGCTCGCGAGATTTTAAGAGCATCATCATTGAGTGTCGTAATACTGAATGCTGACGAGATGGAAAACATCAATAACCACCTGCTCAAGTTGACCAACATGCGTGTCTGAGCCCAGAATATCCTAGACGATGGATAATTCCACGTATTAGCCGTGAGGTGTGTCTTCTCCGGTGGAACAAGGGAATGGTTTGCGAAGAGTTTGCATCCCATCAGGGCCTCAATGGCGGGTCTCCTAAATTATAAATAGGCAACCAACTGGTCAGTCCGCCCGTTGACTGCAGTGCGGCTGATTCCAGCTATAATCTTTCCCTGTGTACCTGATTTTTATTGCATAACAATCCGTTATTCAACGTTTGTCTGCTGACAAGATGCGTCGTTCTCGCGACGGCTTCGTAGTCATCACCGGACACTCTTTTGATCCAACCGGGACTTGTCATCTTGCCTACATAGCACTGCAATTGCCGTAATTTAGTGGCTAGGCTTCGTCGTCAAGATTTAATTCGTAGACAGTTTACACTTTACCGTGCTTCCTTAACCTAACTCCGCCCTGCCACGCACTCAACTTTGCGCACATAGACAAGCAAGATAAGCGTTCACAGGAGCCAGAGGCCAAATGCAGAGGAATCCCGACGTGACAACGTAATCAGTGCGCAATCCTAAGTGCCTAGGTTCGCGATGTCGACTGAGCAAACAATTATCATACTCACTTGATTTGCAATCAACACCAGATATAAGTATCCAGTTCAATCCCGACAACTTTTGTTCATCATCAATTCATCATCATCACAACCATTAAAATAACTTGACAATCAGCTTCCAATCATTTTTGACGCTTCAACACTATCACAGTCCATTAATCAAGTATTCCAAATTTCAACAACAACCTTCAGTCAAAATGCAGACCACCATCTTCGCCACCGTCTTCGCTGTCATGGTCACCATGGTCGCCGGTCAAACCTTCACCCTCCCGTCTGGTGTTTCCTTGCCTTCCGGCGCTGCTCTGCCCTCCGGCATCGTCGTTGTTACCTCCAGCGCAACCAGTGCTGCAGTCACCGGCAACTAGATGTGATGGCTATCTATTGATGGCAGATATGCCTCGCTTCAAGACATCACAGGCATTTGCATCGGTGTTATGTGTTTGCAATTCTATATAAACTGCTTTGGTGGTGGGAAGTCGGTTGTCTGAATTGGTATTCTGAGGTGGTCGTTTTAGAATCGGTCAGATTGGTGGACAAACGATGTGAGTTGGGAAATTGTTACGTGTGGTTCACTGTATACGGAATGTTTGTTTGGTTGATTATCGTAGGATTAAGACATTATGAGAATGGTGAGTTGGACGATCATTTTTTTCGATATTCTACGTGATTGTGTATGCTACTGGCACTCTTTGCTCCGCTATATTACGAAATTTTTATGGTGTGTTGGGATTTAATATCGTTCCTATCCCAGTCCCAAGTCAAATATAACATATGAAAGGCGCATAGATTACAGTAAATTCATGTATATAAGGACTTCGACTCCCTCTATACAATGACTTCCTACAATGTCAAGGCAATTGACCGCGTTTCTTATGACTCTCAGGAAGAAGTCTAATGTAAAAGTCGTGTCGATACTTGCTCTGATGATCGCCTCCACAGCCGACGTGGTAAGAATAGCTTGATTACCATCCTGGTTTCATTGCCTATCGTAAGTCTGGAATCAATGTTAGCAGCTATACCCTCTTATACATCACACATAATTTTGCCCAGCTTACTCTACGAGCATCTGCGAGTGTCCCAAAATACGTAGTTAAGTCATCGACGAGATGAACTCCATCCCTTCACAACATCTTCATGGTTACCAGCTTGTAGTTCCCCTCCACGTGATCGGAATAGTTATATCAGCTCCCAGAACTGCCTTTGAAGTCGTAGCGTTGAAGGTAGAGACATCTCACTGCATACTCTCGAAAGCTACCGTAGGCCCGGCTGAGAAAGTGAAAGTCAGGTTCTCTTTGCTCCCCGGCGCTGCATCGTTTGAAACACATTTTGACACGAGTGCCGAGGTGAGATTGATGTCGTCGTTCGCTACTGTGTGTTCGTTCGAGCTCAGAGCAATCCCGTCCGTGGTTTGAAGGTAGTTGATGGTGTTCCTGTTCAGCAAGAACGGCAGTATCTGGTCAGCCAACTCGTCTCCAACTTTTTGGAAGACGAATGCCGTGCTAGACTGCGTCGTAGCGGATGTGTAGGTGGCAGGGTCGGCCAAACTGTTAATCATCCCGTTCATGACGTGGAGAAGAAGGTAAATGGCAGTCGATTCCCGAAAGCTGTGAGTATTCAGGTCGAAGTCACTGAGGCCGTTGTCCCAGACGATGACTGTCGTGTCATCCTTGGGCGCCGTACGTGCGACGAAGTCGATGTAATTGCGTCGTGCCGCCGGCTCGACGTTCATGCCGATTTCGAATTTTTCGATGACGAGTGGCACGTCGATGAGATCTCCTCGGACAGCTGCGATATCGGTTCTAACGGCTGCTTTGTTGGCATCGGATCACCAGATAGTCTTGCCCCTGTAATACTGACAATTTGTTTCCTACATACTCCCAGTATAACACGGCTTACCAAGATCCGAAAATGAAGTCATCTGCAACTAGTCAGTACATGTATGTGAGAGGAGTTCACAATGAGTCAAACTCACAAGGGCTGCAATAGTGGTAGTGAACCGCACTGTGCCATATTTCTGCTAGGGTTAAATGGGAATTGAGGTTAACTGACTTACATAAGAACCATCTGGGCTCACAGGCTGCACAAATGAAGAGTTCGGACAGATATTTCTTGATATATTGCCAGCAGGATGCATAGTATAACTTCTATTTCAAAAATCAAGTACAATCGTCTATAATTAGCATGACAGTGCCTGTAGTCAAATATCCCCAGGATACTCTGTATAGCAATTATAGTAAGGGAGATACGGTCAGGTATCACCACTGTGTCCTTTCGGGAAAACTGGCCTCTGATTACTTAAAGTAGTTGTAGCTTTTACTTAACTTAGAGCCGTCAGCTCTCACGGACTCGATTGCGTCTTCTCTATCATATTTCTTTGGAAAAGCCTCGATATCTAGACTCTCTTCCCGTGAACCTAAAATCTCGTCCTACTTAGGAAAGGCCGTACACGAACAATGGATAAGAATTAACACGTCTCCCTCTACGTCTACCTCGTTGTGTATTCCTACCATATTTGCAAAGTAATCAACGAAACAGGTTGAAAAATGATAAATAAGCAAAGAAAACCCTCATAACCTCACTACTTATGGCCTATTTCGCTCTTTGAGGCATTCTGGAGTCGGGCAGAGACACAATTCTCGGATTCCAGTTCTTCAACAACCATAATACTGGCATAACCCCTGACATGCTGAATCTTCAGTGTGGTTCGACCTTTATTAACCAAAGTCTCCCTTGAGTCAATATCTCTCGAATAGTGAGCAAAACCGCTTATCATTCTGTACTTAAGGCCCCGATGGCCACCTCTAATCTTTGGGTCTTCTAGAGGTCCATAGAATACTTCGAATAGATGCTTTTCTTTTTGTATGCCCGAAGTCCGTTGACATTCAGTTCAATTTAATTCTTTGTTATACCTTGCAATAAGCCCAATATTCATAAGCCCGGTTAACGCACCGGCTCTCCCTCAGCCGATCTTCCGCTTATCCAGCCTTTTCTACGGCTCTGAACTCGCTGTCGCTATAGGCCAGCACTCAGCTTGTCAAGCCATCACCAGGTATGGCTCATCAACCAACAGAGGTTAGCGTCAGCCGTGAGGAGTTGATCCTCTGAGAAGCCCCCAGACCACAACAACACTCAACAACAGCGATGACGACAGCGGCTCCAGCAACAAGCATAAGAGGGCTTCTCGCGGCTGTCTCTGCGGGAAAGAGCACCCATACCGCGATTGTGTGTATTTGGTCCAGAAAAGGTGACCAGCCCACTAGACCGCCAAGCTAGATATCCAACTACGTGTTAAGGCTAACTACAAAAGCTGCCCGATCACACGAAAAAGAACATCAACCGACTCCGTGAATCCGACTCCTTTGATCATGGAAGAGCTGACACCAATACCAAGAAGCCAACTCTGGCCGCAACCTCAGTGGTGAACACAGCCGACGGTTCCGCAGCGTTGAACGAGCTAGAGGTTACATCGGCTCAACCAACTGACTCATCCTTAGGCCTCCTAAGGCTGAGCCATGACTATCCTCTGCGCGATTCAGTCATTTATAATACTGGAGCCAACGTCCATGTGATTAAGGATGACTCGCGTTTCATTACTCGTTTTCCAGCCAGCCCAACCGATACTTTGGTGGCTGGAGGGGCCATATTGCCTATAACCCACTGGGGCAGCGGTAAGACTCGGATCACGATGACGACGGCCCCAGGGACTTGATCTTGTACAACGCTGCCTTTGTGCCCTCTGTGCACACGAATATGGCCTCTGCGTACCTTTTCAAGCGCGCGGGAGTGTGTCTAATATGGAGAAGTCCAAATTGTACTACAATACAGCACCAAATACTCTAGCCCTACTTATGGACCATGAGGAACAGTTGCCCAACAAGGGTCGGATCTTAACCCATGGCCAGCTCTCTGGCCGTTGGAGCTGGAATCAGGCCTATTCTCAAGGTCCCTGCTCCAGCGATCCCGCAAGTCGTAGCCGGCTTCATGGAAGATATCGAGCTCGAGACATCTTCAGAGAGCGACTCCGAGTCTAATACGGACACATACTTCGGACTTCCCAAGGGGACCGCCTCAGAGCTATCCGAAGCTTCTGAAAATTTTACTGTCGAACCAGCCGAATCAGGGAAGTTAGAGGATGATATTTTCGAGTCTGGGGATGAAGACTTGGCGACACAGCAGCCGAGTGTCCAATCCGACGTCATCTCGTCACAGGTCTCTGCCACTACCGATGATCGGGGGGGCCGAGCAGGCCTGGAGCGCCGTCATTTTCATGGGAATGACTCAAGAAAGGTGATTAAAGAGCTCAAGGGCAATGCTATCAGCCGGCATCGCCGGCTCCGTCGCTTGAACCCTCGAGCCCTTGAGTAGCCGGTATTGGCCACTAGGGCTAATGTCGTGGCGCCCCAGAAGATTAAGTGCGAGTACTGCGCATTGGCTAAGGGCACCGAGTAATCTCCTGCTGCTCTCGATATAAACGGTGTAGGACTCTCGAACAGATAACTGTCGACATTTTTGAGTACTACCCAGGCTTTGACCGGCGCAGCCGAGCGCTTAGTGGAACCTGCGCAGTTACCGGAGGCAAAATGGGGTAAACCTTCCGCCGCAACAAGCACGCACTAGCTGCTCTGGCCAACATGCTCGTGGCGGTTGAGACGCAATTTGATTCAATGCTTTCTTATAGCTTGCAATAAGTCTGATAACTTGGTAATATCAAGCGGCTATCGCCAGCCAATCCTGATATGCATAGCGGGAAGGACTCTGTTTCCAGCGACTACCGATGACACTGTGGTCCATGTGGTTTGGCCCGTATTACTATGCAATATGATCCAACGGAATAATGCATGTTCTGTCAGCTTCGAGGGTTGGATTAATTTACCAGTCCGTTAAATACGGTATTACTTATTTTGGCAACTGGAAATAACTTCCTGTTGTGTGCCACAGGATGTGTGGCTGGGTGCAGCGCTCGGGCCAACTGCCCGTAGATTACCCTTCCGTAGCTGCAGGGTCCGATCATCATCATCGCCAATACAGCTCTCTTGTCTGTATCGCCGACACTTGTTCATTTTCACCCAAAAGAACGTCTTAGGCGAAAACCCTTTGTTTCCAAGAGTAGCATAGATGAGCTGTCTCCTCATTCCCTGGGATGGAACGCTTTATCGGAAACTATATTTACACGCCTCTACGCAAAGGCTCAAGGGCACTCTACAAGAACGATGGGTCTTTCCCACACCCGAGGCTTCATCTAATGATTTAACTAAACGTAACAGCTTCGGTAGGACACTACCACGATGATATAGCTCTCTCTTTCCTTCCAGGGTCCCTCGACGAGAATTGCTCGGCATGTCACTCGAGGATAACCGGGAGTTCCCAGTCGCACTATGTCTCACAAACGCGTAGTGGCATGAGCCTAAAATACAAGACTCGGAATTTACAGGCAGATGCAGTTTGAGTTAAACAAAATGATATTGAAGAACGCGGTAATAGGTGTACGCGTTGAAGAAGATATATTCCTGCGCGCCACAGCTGTCACCTATTAGGCCCGTTAGTAGACCAGGTAGCCCTGTAAGTGTCACGGTGAGCACAATTGAAGAGTCAAAACACTCTAATGCACTGTATTGACTTAACGATTCTCGACAAGGAAAGAAAGAGAAACTAAAACAGGCTGGCTCACATCTGAGGATCTTCAATCCCGCCTTCAGATGGCCAGTGCTCCTACGGGTCCACAGCTAGTGGGTTTCGTGGCATCGTGACACCGGCCGTCACAGTAAGAAGAAGAAATAAAAAGAAGCGGAACGGATTAGGAATATACTAACGGAAAGGTTACGTAATTGAATTATTAGAATCTCAAGATAATTTAAGCATTAACCGGATTGATTAGTAAGGTATACTGTTAGGCAACCTTGGTGGGCTTTGCCAAGACCACCAAGGTTACCACGTGACTTATGTCACGACCTGGGTTGCATCGCATTGGTAGAGACCTCGATTAGGTGCTATCGACGAAGATTCTACTCTAAGGAGCGAAGGAAAGAAGATGACAACTTAGGTTTGAGGGAGCGCGACTAAGTCATCCACGCTTGGCGGGGCTCCTACAAGGGTTATGATTGGCTTCCCATCTGACACTGCCATGGCAGGTGTTCCAGCTGTAAGTCACCTGGTTGTAGTGAGTCTGCGAGGGTTGACCTTCACAACTTAGCCCTTCGGGACTAAGTCCAACCTTCGTGCTCCATAGGACTAGATAGAATGTCATGCTTTTACAACCTCACAAATCTTTGACCACCTTTGCGTGTAATATATACTGTCTTGACGACTCTATTCCTAGTTACCTATTTATTAGTCACTCTGTACGTATATAAACCCTTATCGTATGATGCGAATGCATATGATGGGGTCATGTATCATCGTACTTTTCTTTTAGTTTAGCAGCTAGGCTAATAGAGGTTTCGTTACATATCGATCGCTAATACAGGCTACTAAGCTATTGATAGCTTGTTGTTCTTAGACAAATAGATAAATAGAACGGATAAATTATGTACTTAAATAATATCTGCGGTAGTATGGAATTGGTAGCCTGATTTCCAGTAAGGTACACATGAGATACTCTAGTGCCCTTGAGCGGCTTGGATCCCCCACCTGTACTTCCTTTCTTCTCCTTTGTATGTAGCCAGAATGCTAGTACAAGCGCGATCTCACAGGCACTACGTTCATTATAAGTAAAATAACTTGACATAACCATCACCATTTCCCTAATAGATAAACCTCAACTGAATACAATCATCAAGGAAATGTTGCTCTACTCTCCACCATCTCTCTTAACTAGAAATCGGTTTCGGAGAACACTTGAACGAAGTCCCCGGCGTAGAGTTAGAGTGCTGCGAAATGCGGTCAGTCGTTCATCGTTCCACGCTTCTACAACGCCAACGGTCACAACAAAACTCACACTCGCGCAACAAGCTGGTAGAACAGCGCCGGGAATGATTGGGTCGACGGGATTTCCATTGGCGCAATACAGGATAGACGAATCCTCAGATGTCCAAGCGGCGGTGCATGGCGTGCCCGTGTACAAGCCATCTTCCGACGGGTAATAAGCGCCGCAGCATCGCTCTTGCGTCAGGTTATCACTGCGGCCCCAGCACCAGAAGAAGTTGGTGCCGCTCGATTGGGCTTGGGCTGTTGTTGCCATAAGGAGGACGACGGCGGGGAGGAGTAAGACAATGGAACGGAGTGCCATTTTAACGAGTGCGTCTAGGTAGATTTTCGCAATATAATGGGTTTCAGGTTGTGCGATTTTGCGTTACTATAGTGGTGTGCAGTTCGGGATTGGGGAGAGTAAGCTAGTCGTATTATATGCTCGCAGACTGCCCTCAATCGATCGCATCACTGGAGCTGCGATGGTGATACGGTCTAATTATTTCCCCGAGATTTTGGGCTATCCAGGAACCAGTCGTTGGGTTGCATTATGGCCCAATGAAGAAACGGATCATCGCTATCATTTGCGTGGAGTGCATGGCCATGCCTCATTGGTCAATGTGCAATATACCCGTGGTGTAGGCTAAGGCATCTCGGCTGCATCCTGATCTTCGTATCCCCTTGATTGCTGTTCAAGCCATGCCGATCAACTACGTGCCACAACACCAGCTACAGCAAAGACAATCATTATGAACCAGTCGGATGTTTGATACCGAGTTAATCCGCATATAGTGATGTACATAGTAAATACAAAGTCGCAAATATGCAGTTTTGGCAAGAGATGATCGGCATGGATCTAACAACAACCAAGGAAATATACATCTGGTGTCTTTGTTTCAAGTACCTCATGTTCCCCCTGTTGCAGGTACATTAACAGCTGTCTTCCAAAACCCTTCCCAAACTTACAACCAATTATGACGTTGCCTATCGGGTGATAAGCACCTAATATTGTGGTAATTGGAACTGCCAATGCCTGTCTTAGCAGTAAAGCCTTTCCGGCTAAGTTCACGTGACTTGATTGTTCAGCCTGAAAATGTGAAAACCGTCACACGTTCAATGCACTGGTGTTGTTTCGGCGGACGAAACTATCTCGGCCATGGGGGCATTGGCTTTATACAGCATCATTCCCCAACCCATGCGCACAAGTTGAGATCCGACATTTGCTACTGCTGGTCAATCAAGCAAAGCCAAACTACCCCCTCCGGACTCTTGGATATATCCCTTTGTCGGTGTGGGCCGCAAATGTCTACTATGGAATCATGCTTTGGGAAGAACGATGTTCGTAGACAATAAAGCGCCCATTCCAACCTCTATACTCCACATCCAACGCAACATGTGTTGGAAACCCTGGCACCCCGCCTGGCATCAGATTGTCCAGGGTGTATAAAACTGAACCCTAGACCGGAATACTGTAATCGTTGTGGTACAGTGCCTGTAACACCCAAGATACCAGCAGTGCAACGTTCTTACCTCTTGACTCCGCTTATGACTTTGTTATAAGGCCTGTAAAACAAAGGTGATCCAAAGAGTAGATTTCGGGGCATGCACAATCGGATTAAATGTCTTGCAGACCCAGCCGCTATTTCGCGCTGGTGTCGTGCTCCTTGCGAGGAGAGGAAGCCGCGACATTCCAACCTTCTCTTTGCCTAAGGAAATTTTCGACCCTCTCGTGCCTGGTCAAACCTCCTTGCTCCATCTGCCGTCGGTTCATATCCTGATTGATGGCCGCATGCTTCTGATCTCGCATTTCGACAAGGTTCATCGTATTGGTGCTAGCACGCTTCGCCTGGCCCATGCTGCCCACTACGACCAGTGTGCAGAGGACGACGACAAAAAGCTCGTTGGACATGAAGACCGTCTGTTGCTTTTGTTTCGCGCCTTTGTTGCCGTCCCGCTCTTCGTACCAGCGCTCCCAATCCTCCCAGGTGGCGTTCATGGATGGATTTCCCGGCTCCTTGCGCCAGGAACGATAGGCCTTTCGATACATATTCTCATGGGACATTTTAGATCCCCACCCGGCACCATAGAGGTCGTAGGCCCGTCGCTTAACAGGGTCAGAGAGAATCTCGTTGGCGGCAACGACGAGCCGATAGCGCTCGAGGCGCACCGCGTGGGTCAGCGAACCATCGTGGGAAGAGGCGGACTTTTGGTAATGATGTCGATCGGGATGGTATATCTTGACTAATTCGTAGAAACGTGCCTTACTGTAAGGGGCGTGGTTGTGGTGGTCGAAAATCTGGTAGGGTGTTGGGTTGGGATTTGACGGCCAATGGAATCCAGTGGCGGTTATTCTCTCTGAATCATCCAGAACACACCTTTTCCTTGGATTGCCGTGCACTGTGGCATATTTTTGTTGTGTTGAAAACCTGAAGGCGGTCTTCTGAATAGCTTGCCGCCGGTGTCGCACATTGTACTGAGCGGGACATGATGACGTTATCGAGCTTGGAACGAATGCAGGAAGAGCGGAACAAGAGCACGAGGCGACGGTGGATTTCTTCAGGAGCATAATGCAGTCATATAGGGAGTTTGAAGATACAACTGAAACCCTCGAGGAGTGGCTTCATGACGAACCATGGAATTGGGAAAACGGGTGGCAGAAGAGAGACTTCGAGGGTCCGACGGATCGATGTTGTAATAATCACCCAGTCCACCCCACCAAAGAGTCGCGGCAATTTGAGCGAGTTCAAAGCTTCAGAGCCACTTGAGGAAATAGTTCCCCAACAGCATTTAACTGCTTTAAGCTTAGTCCCTGCAATTCAGCCTCATCGCACTTTCCCGGTCACGGCCCGATCGGAATAGCTCCCAGCTGCGCTCCTTCCAAAAGGTTAACTATGGAGACCCTGAGCTACCAATTGAAGTGGCCCGTGTGCTTGCTTAGGAAGAAACACTGCCAGCAATTGACGAGGCACGATTTTCAAAAACCTCCACCACACCGACTCACGATCCCATTGAAAATTCTCTATTCTACCACACCCAGTTGTCCCGACGTCCAAAACGTGCATCTACGACTCCTCTTTTCCACATCAGCACATCTTGAGCTCTATCCTCACCATTTGCGAAACCGCCATAGTGCCGCGACGACGATTTTCTACGGCCTCCTCCCCTCTCTCCCACCCCTCACCTTCGACGAAGCTACCCATTGCGCGGCAGACCCTCCCGAAACACAACCCATCGACTCCGGTGCCCTCGAGTACGAATCGCCTCACCTCGACAAGCATATTCTTCCCGTGTCCCTCGGCCCTCGAAGCTCGGCGAAACGTCGCAGACTTGCTGCCCCCATTGCAACTCCCACACCGCAAGGCAGTCATAACTTCTCAACTACAAAGCACCCGCCGCAACTGAACGTAAGTCTTTTGGCACTTCCCGAAACACATAGTTGGCCCCTCAACCTTCCTCGAAAGTCTTCTTTATTCACCAGAGCCTCACCCCAAAACACTACGTCTGTCTGTCGAATCCTTGCGTGCTTTGGTGTTGGCCTTGGGACTCCGTCGGAGTTCGCACAAGAGCGCTTGCTTAATTTGTTATGCACTTGGACCCATCTAGAATACTACGTATCACCGCATTGTCACCTTGTCAGGGTGAGACTCACTCTCAAATCGCACATGCGAGAGGCCAGACCAAATACGGATGCACTTAAATACCAGATGATGAGCCATTGCATGTATAATCGGCATCCACTCATATACAATTTCAGCACATTCCCCATGTCGTTGACCTGTTTCTCTCCTAGATATTCACCCTTTACTGACACTGATCCTCCGTAGGCCTACCCTCTACAAGCAACGAACCAACGGAACCCCCCCCCCCTCCTGAATTTGACAATCAGACGAAAGCGAGCATATCAATTCATCTCGAGCCTCAACGACACCACCTGCGTGGACAAAGACGCGCCTTGGCTGACCTGATTCCTTTCACATTTACCATATATTACCATGTCCGACTCACTGGCGGAGCAGCTACGGGGCACCACATTAGGCCCCGATACCCCATCGGAAGACTGGAAGAAGAACCTCAACCTCCCCGCCAGAGATGGCCGACACCAAACAGAAGTATGTTCAGAATATTCGAGATGTTGTGCCCACCGTCGTGGTGAAACTCACGGTTTCGAGTGCTAATGCTCTTCCCCTCAGGATGTCACAAACACGAAAGGTTTCGAGTGGGAGGATTTCTCAATTAAGCGAGACCTAATGATGGGCATTTTCGAAGCTGGCTACGAGAAACCATCCCCCATCCAAGAAGAAGCCATCCCGGTCGCCCTCACAGGGCGCGATATTCTCGCAAGAGCCAAGAACGGCACCGGCAAGACGGCCGCCTTCGTTGTTCCCGCCCTCGAACGCATTAACCCCAAAGTCTCCAAGATTCAATGTCTGATCCTCGTGCCTACGCGAGAGCTCGCCATGCAAACATCGCAGGTCTGCAAGACACTTGGAAAACATCTTGGAATTAACGTCATGGTTACAACTGGTGGCACTGGTCTTAGGGATGATATTGTTCGGTTGCAGGATCCTGTCCACATAGTGGTGGGCACTCCCGGACGTATTCTCGATTTGGCCGGGAAGAATGTTGCCGACCTGAGCGAATGCCCCATGTTCATCATGGACGAGGCTGATAAACTTTTGTCCATCGAATTTACGCCCGTCATCGAACAATTGCTGCAATTCCATCCCAAGGATCGCCAAGTGATGCTCTTCTCAGCCACCTTCCCCATGTCAGTCAAGGAGTTCTCCGACAAGAACATGAATGGGCCCTATGAGATCAATCTCATGGATGAGCTCACGCTTCGTGGCATTACCCAGTACTACGCGTTCGTCGAAGAGAAGCAGAAGGTTCACTGTTTGAACACGCTCTTCTCCAAGCTACAGATCAATCAGTCCATCATCTTCTGCAACTCTACCAACCGTGTGGAGTTGTTGGCCAAGAAAATCACTGAGCTTGGCTACTCATGCTTCTACAGTCATGCCAAGATGGCGCAACACGCCCGCAATCGTGTCTTCCATGACTTCCGCAACGGCGTGTGCCGCAACCTGGTGTGCTCGGATCTCCTCACCCGTGGTATTGACATTCAAGCAGTGAATGTGGTTATCAATTTCGACTTCCCCAAGAACGCCGAGACATACCTACACCGCATTGGACGATCTGGTCGGTATGGTCACCTTGGTCTTGCCATTAACTTGATCAACTGGGATGATCGATTCAATCTGTACAATATCGAGCGCGATTTGGGCACGGAAATCCAACCTATTCCTCCTACCATTGACAAGAGTCTATACGTTTACGACAACCCGGAGAATATTCCCCGACCTATCAATACGCTTCCCGCAACTCGCCAGTCGTCGTCAGGCAATAATAATCAGCGGTCCCAACAGGAGCAGTCTCGACGTCAGCCAGAAGGACCATCATCAAGCAGCGCGCCACAAGAACAAGTCGACTTCCGTGGCCAAGGTACGCGGGGAGCGCAGAATGACGGTCAGCCCCGTCAGTACCAAGGGGGCCGTGGTCGTGGTAATCAGGGCGGTGGCCGCGGCGGCTACAGGGGACGCGGCGGCTACAACTACGGTCGAGGCGGTAACCGCGGACAAAGTTCGCAGCCCGCCTAAATCCGAGACAACTTTTAAGACCAACCACTCGACTCCTCCCTCTCTCCCTCTCCCGAGTGGTTGAAGCGCGCACGCTCCTTTCATTTAACCTGTAAATAGTTATGTTGGAATTCGGCTTGGTGATTTGTATCATACCCATCATGACGGCCGCATTGGTTCTTTGGGTGGCCTTCCTTCCTCCCACTCTACGCGTTGGTAACCATCATGAACACGACGGCTCTCGACACGCATTCGGAAGACTGAGGACATGAGATGAGGATTAGTGTTGGAACCGGATAAACGGTCCAAAAGGTGTTATTGGCGTTCTCGTTCTGAAAGAGAGGCGCGGGCCCGAGGCAAGGATCTAATTCTGGCTCTTGGTGGATATTGGACCTTTCCAAGCTTTATCGCGGAAATGGCCTCAATGGCGAACATGGGCGAGACATCTGCGTCAAGGCTCGAACGGACGATCTTTATTGGAGACTTGGTCCCATACGGCACGACGGACGTGGGACGATCGGCAGGGCAATCCACCATGGTCTACTGAGGCGTTTGTGTGAAACAGATCAAGGCCGTACGCTGCCCAGCGAGGCGGCAGTGGCTGTCGAGTTTGCATTGGCTGCAAATTCAAGAATCCACACTTCCCTCAACACAATCACACCATATGCCCATATCCCCACATTTGCATACACGTCGCATTCGGGCAAACGGCTAGCGACGCAGAAGACTTGCACATACGACAGAATTTCTACTGGGCTCCACCACAGCGGACCCCATGAGAAATTGGCAAGTCTTTATCATATGGACAACATCGGCAACAGACCGGGAACACTCACATGCTCACCTTTTCTGCATCATTCAGCGATTTAATGTCACGGCATGTCGGTGACATGAGATTCAAAATAGCTGCACGGAAGAGCGGGAGATGATGTGTTTGCACTATGGTCTCAACAAAACAATCAGAAAATCAGAACAAAAAAATTGAGGGAGACGCTGGTGGGCTTGATGACTTCCAGATCAGTCGGCTCGTTGAAGTAGCGCAACTGATAAGTTAGATAGTTCTCTGAGTATATTGTGGCACAATAGATGTCATTTCTCTTTCAACCTCATCTCATCGCTGTCATTCACAACATTGATGCCTGACTTATCCCTAGTACAAGTTCTACATACGATCGTTGTTTCAGTGGTCGAAGTTAATCCATTCCAATGAGCTTCCGTTAGGTAATACTCAACTGGCTCGATGTATAGCTCTCTGCAATCTTCCCCTTGGTATCAGATAACTATCAGGGGTTTCAACACTAGAACTAGCCCTAAAGCCAGCAATAACTTGGGAGCCAAATAGGTACAACAGCGTACGGAAACATAGTCTGCAATCAAGAGTGGACAAGGATATTGCAGTACAATGAATATCCAATAACACCCTTGTATTGTCTGTGAACGTTCGCGTACACTCTCATTGTCTAATCAGGGCACTATAAGAAGAACATTATAACAAACACGAGGGGAGTCTAAGGTGCCGATTATATTCGATGTGGTAGGGGTATAATTAGATAGTATTGCAATTTGTTTCTCTCTGCGTCCATCCAATCTGTACTGAGCCACGCATCTTGTATCCATTTTCAACAATTTCCAACAAAAGAGCCAGCCATAAGTGCATCGAATTTCAGACGAGGATAAGTAACGACTATGGACATCCTTTACCGACTGAGCAGCACATTCTACTGGGGCATGTTGCTTGCTGGCATAGCGGGTGTCAATATCGAGTACCAAATATCACTCGTCACGCCTGTCGTTACTACAATTGTCACAATTTGGATTCCCAGATTAATTTTCAACGCCATTCCAACCGCCTTAAGCTGGGTTAGGTTGTTTCTTTCAAGCAGCGTTTTGGCGTGCGTAGAATCTGGCGCCATCCCAACGCTGCTCTGGCTTTGGGAGATCGTGGCGACCTCAGCTCTTACCACATTCCTAAGGCTCACGTCCATCTGCTTGCTGTCAGCAGCCCACCCCCTCCTACTGAAACCCTTCAGTAGATTTTTCCAACGGTGGTTGAATATTGTGGAGATGTATGTTGATTCCAAGTCAAAAAGCCTCATGGCGGGCCTCTTCCAAATTCACGTCCCAGCTAATGCCGACTTTGACGAGTTTGCCCCGGTACTTCCTAGATGGCTTACGAACACGATAATCTATGCCACCCAGATGGCGATCGACTTCGCTGTTGTGCTGCTCATACGCTTACCAGGACCATACGAGTACTTGCAGGCCGTCACGACTCCGTTCCTCTTCTTGCCTGACTTCGAATGCACGGTAAGTGACAAGCCATCCGAAGCCCATAAATACTTGTGCGACTACAACACCCACGTCATAGCCTGGGTCTGGCATTACCTCCCCATGCTGGTCTTCCTGCAGATTCTGACGGCCTGCTCGATGTACATGGGTGTTTTCGGATGTTACGAGCGGGCGCAGCGTGCCAGGCAACAGGATGACCCGGATATTCCCGAAGCGGAGAGACTCGAGGCCCTAGCCATGAACGGACGGGGATTAACCGTCTGTCTGCTGTACTACACGGCGTATCAGATCGGGTTTGTACCCCTCACAGACCTCCACACGATGCGGATGGCCGACCAAGAGTGCGCCAGGACCAGTTACCCTGGCGCCCGTTTGGAGGCCTCGATTCAGTGGTATGCCCACGGGATGTTGTCGGCAGTTTTGATGATGAACATCCAATGGCTTGTCCGGATTCTGTGCAGAGAGGGAACCAAGATGTTGTGTTATTATTCAGAGCCTTTTGAGTTCGATATGAGGCCCCTGATTGGAGAGGAGCCGTTGCCAACTAGGCATGTGGAGGATTTTGCCATGATGGAACATGATCTGGCCTTTGATGATAAGTTTCATTATGTTACCGTGACCAATTTGCTATACGGTACTTATGGTCCTATCCCTCTGGAGATGATCTGATGCGTCTGTCTGCAAGCTATGAGAACGGGCACGGGTAAGCGTTGCTTTCTGGATAGCCAAAGTGAATAGATTTCAAGAGTTATGCGTTTCGTCGCTAATCGCTTTATTGTGAAAGAATTACTGCATTTTGTTCATCCTCATCCCACGCCAGCCACCCAGGCTTGGTTGGAGATGGTATTCTGAACAACTGTAGTTGAAACTTACGTTCGAAAACGCCTAGTAATCCCACAGTTACGAACTCCGTGAAACATCGACGCTTCATTGGATTGACTTGCACCTTGGTTGAGGGACAGACATGGATCAAATACAGGTCAATTTGACGATGCCGATATTCGGGTAAGATTTATGATCCACATCTTACGGAACTTCCCCAGAGATGAGGTGCAATCGGTTATAACTGAGGATAGGACTGAAGACTTTAATAGTAACCTTTGGCTTGTATGAAGTTGGAATCCCTCACGTTGCACCCTGTTTTACCAGTGGCTACTCTCTACTAGAATATGATAGATAACTAAACGTGCGTGTAAACATACGATGGCGATTATGGAGTTTTGACTGACTTGGTCCATAATGTCGTTCTTTGGTATTAATACTGCTAAATAGCCATGTGGATCAGCTGGTGGTCTGTTCAGATGAAACTCAAGACTGTGAACAGTTACTTCGAGCCGTAGTATCAGCCATCAGGCACGAGCTACCGCGGTGAATATAGATACACCAGTGACGGGTCTTTGAATATATGGCTCATGGAAGACGAAAGGTCATGCGGACGATTTGGCCATACGGAAAGCTCTGAAGACCTGTCACTGTGCATCGAAGGAGCTATCTGACATTGTTGAGAGTAGAAATGGTGAGGGTGGCAGTCAACGTAATGCAACCTAATTGGCCAGCGTACTTGAGGTATACATTCTTCTAGCCTTCGATGGTACAAATGGAGAACACCTCAAAAGAAATTTGTGGTTCATGCTGAACTCTATTAGCTCGATCGCCCTCAAATTTTCCACTTTGGCCAAACCAATCACTCTTCGATTTGAAAACCAAAAAGGCCGTTAAGTCCAAGGGTGACGATATCTTAGCGCATAAGCATTTGTGGCTACATATCTGCTAGGTTTCAGAGAGGACACAGGGTTTACCACTACAGCAAGCGACAAGCCGCAAGCCTGAAGGTGGTAATATCATGGATGAAGCCTGACATGGGAACACTTTGCTTTGGCGCATTGGCGAGACTTGACACGTAGAGCATTAATAATCTTGCAGGATCGACATTAGAAACCTAGGTAATGAATGAGACTATTGCCACCACAATTATGGCATCCATGATCTATTTTTGGCTTCGGGCGACGATAAATCTTCTTCTCCATTCTGCTTGGTCAATACATGGGACCTAACGCAATGAACCGCTAGAATCCGACGAGAAGGTCATTGGCACCCCACACGAAGCCCTACGGAAGTTCGACATTGAGCCCGAATAGGGTCTTGGCGAAACAGTGACGATCCAGGGAGAGCGGACCGGGGGTGGTGCCGTCCCAATGTACATAATACCCGTCTCTAGTTGACAGCTTGGAGGAAAGACCAACGGCGTTCAGCGACGCAGCGTAGATGGGACGACGCCGACTTGGCTTGTCTGAGCATAGCAGCCCCGGCCAATCAAATCAGATTTTTGAAATAGGCAAGAAACCCGTTGGCCGGGACAAGAACCTAATGCTTGTCTCATCTCGACTCATGCACCGCTGGACCTGTGAGGGAGACGGCCGATGAGGGTCATATGAGGAGATTGTGGCGAACGGGTATTGTATGCCACAAGGTGCTGAACATATTGTTAAGGAGAACAAGCCGCCCGGAATTCTGCAAGCGATTGGCCAAGATAAGATCCCTTGTGACATACATGGAGACGCGTTGCAATTATACTTCGTTCCTGCTGTGGCGGCAAGTTGAAGTCCATCTCTGAATAGTTAAGGGCAGTTTTTACTTGCCAACTGGCATGGCTCTACCGACTTGGTGGTTGCTAACGCCTCCCGGGATTCCCTGATTCTGCACTGCATAGAGTTCACTTACTTTTCACAGGGATCTCGCGCATACAAACACGACAGGAGAAAGCTTTCTAATTGGCTCAGTTGCCGCAATTGAGTTAGCACCTATGCCAAGTAGTGGTAATCGTAGACGGAAGCACGACAAAGTCTAGAACAGGATTTTAGCCAGTGCCACCAGGTTGCGCAGGTTGCGGGGCAAAATAAGCAGGCTCGAAAGTCAACCCATAGGTAGTCAGCAAGTCGACCTTCCACAATCTACAATGGCCGGTCGGCGCGGTATGTGAGCTCGTACGTCCGTCGTGGACATGGCGGCCTGTTCTAGCGACATTGAGCTTGCCGAGGGATTTGAGCCGGTCCGGCAATCGTCACAATGACGAAAAGAAGAGATGATGTGCTGATGTTCAGGTCGGCCGAGATAAAACATGTCTCGGAGCAATTACTCTATACCCGACCCGAAGATGCTATTGGCGAGACTGAACGCCGTTCTGAAGCCGGCAACGAAACGCAAGAGGGGCAGACGACTCGCAAAGAGATTTTCGAAAGACGTAATCGAGATGTTGAGGCTCTGCCATAATTCGTTGCTCGTCGACGAGCGTTTGGAATGCTTCGAGATGCTTCTCGTGTAAACTTGGAGGATACGCGTGTCTGCCATTGGTGGTGTAGGTGTACTTCGTACTTCGTCCGAAAGCTTGCCACGCGGCAGTTCATCGTGCGGACTTCCGGCTGGGTTACAGGCGATGACTCAGCATATCCGAATATCTGGCGAATCAAGTCATGAGTGTGTTTGGCGTATCCAGGATGAGAACGCTCACTCGAGCGCTTCCAGCTGGTCAAGGAATTGCCGACTTTGGTATAGCTTGTCGTAGTGAAATGCCCAATCGCGCCGGTTCGCTCTGTTTAGACTCGAGGCTGTAATGAAATCATACAGTTCCAATATTCTATGGGAAGTACTATGGAGACTTCCCAAGTTTCAATATGACTGGCTGCCTCTGCAATTGCTTCACTCAGCCTTGGAAGCGGAGGGTAGACAGCTCCTTAATCAGATAGTCAAGTTATTCCGTCTACTGCATAGAGTACCGTGCTATTTCCATGTTAACCTACCCGTGGCACGCAGTTTATTCTACGCTCCACTTGTCACTGTTGCTCAAACGGAGAGGTGTTCGCGATTGGAACCACTAGCTCAATAGGGCCTAGACAATTGCCCTACTAACCCCATTAAGCGAGATATTTGCAGATCAATTTTTGCATGTTGGCTGTAGCCGACGAAACATTTTGAACAAACTTCTGCAGTAATATTTACTCATCTACTCTACGACACATCACATCACCACAAATTATCCAGCAACTCTTGGTCCGCAAATGATGAAGTGAGACAGATGAGCCCAGATGAAGAGTGGCAAGACAGGTCCCGAAAATCATTACTCTCGTACTTATTAAGTCTCTACTTGGTAATACCCCAATTCGCACTAACACCACATTGTACATCACATGATGCGTGAACAAAATCCCTGTCACCAAGCTCGCCGGGTCCATCCTTCTTAGCCACCGAAGCCACCGAGTCCATCTCCGTGTCTTATCCACCTTCCGGCACCGCGTTTTTGGGAACTAGTAAGACTGTCTATCGAGCAAAAACCACACCCACGGCCGCGATTAGTCCGATTTTGTCGACTTTTCCGAGTCGCTGAATTCGGTGAAGTCGGTACAAGGCGTGTCCGTGCCAGCTGTTGATTTCTTATTGATCGTAACAATGGTGTCGTGGAGAAGTTCTCCCAGCTGCTTGACGTTCTCCGAATCGCGCGGCACCAAGTGACCCAGCCCGTGGTCATACAATCCGGCCGCATCCTGGTTGCAGACATTGTACAACGCTACCGACGAGTAAACCAAGGGGTCGTTTGAGCCAAAGACATGATAGGTCGGAATGTCAATGACGGTTCCCACTTCGTCCGCCAACTGAGATGCCACACCCTCGCCATTGGGCACCAACGGCGGCGCGCCCGAAAAGAAAATAGCGAACTACCCCATTGTTAGACTTACAATGTCTTCAGCCCATCTTGATAACTTGCCTTGATGCGACGGGGAATACCCTTCTCTTCCCAGTTCTTGTTCTCCTGGTATAGCAGAGACGCCGCAAGCATGGCGCCTTCTGAGTACCCGATCAACGCATCAATTTCCGGGTCTTCGTCAATGGCCTGCGAGACGCAGTTTATCGCAGTCGTGAGGCGATCCGGGGGGAAACCGGACAAGTCGTTGTCCTTGAAGAGTCGCAAAGTGGCCTCAGGTGTCAGTCCGCGAGGAAGATGGCGCACCCTGCGAAGAGTCTCGAAAGCATCACCCTCTTTTGCGTCTAAGAACCGGTATAAAGGGCGGGCTCCGAAATAATGTTCCCACCCAATGGGAGGATCGACTTCATGCTCGCCTTGGGTGAAGGTAAATGTTGCTAGCCCCCGCTCTTCCATGTACTTGGCGAAGGGTCCGAGCTGGACACTGAAGTTCTACCACCACCACCCGTAGTTAGTCTCTCCCCGTGCACAACTAGAACGAGATGGTCGTTTTCTTACCTTGGCGCTTCCATAGGCGCCGGGCAAGCAAAGGAATCTCATGATGTTGAATTGTGGTGTTGAATTTAGCAAGTTGATATTGATGTGGCTGTTAATGTTGTTGTGGATGATGTTGTTGATACTGGTTCGTTGTTGTATCCCGTCGCTCATATATCAGTCAACTCGTTCGATGGAATGGGCTGTACCTTCCCTTTTCTTCAAAGAGTCGTAGGAAGATTACGCCTCCGGAATCGCAAGAAGGCTCTATTTGTTCTTAAGACAATTCTTGGCATACTACGCGTCCCAACTACGGCCGCGGGCAACGCACGGGGTAGGGGTTGTATTAGAGTTCATCGGTTCACCGAGAACTCTATCGCCGGCCAGATTGGGATCGTCACAGCTGGGCTGACACACCATTTGACAGGATTGGCGTTGCCGAAGAAGGGTAGTTCCTTGCCCTGTACGCTCTTGACGCCAATGTTCCGGGCACATGCCACTTTGTTGTTTCAAGTTGGCTTAGTACTATTGTCTTTTCACTCTACGTTCTACGCGACAGACATGCTGCAGCCCTCGGGCCGTGAGAGAGGACAAGGCCCCCACGTTCGGAAAGCGTATTGGGGTATGTAGTGGAAAGGTGTCTAACGAGCATGGCCCCAGGAATGCACAGGGAATCGTCCGATTCCGTTGGGCACTTTGGAGGCCGGGAAGAAGCTCGACATGCCGTCGGCCCTGGGCTAACTACGTAATCAATGTCGAGAGCTCACGTACCCATTGTGAGCTGTAACCAGCCAAGCGGAGCCGACCACCGATGGGGAAAACTGACCATTCCAAGACATTCATATAAAACTCCAAGTAGGGAATTATACATCACTAATTCTCAGCGCAAGGTTGGCAGTGTACATACGTCTTTGGCCTCCAATTTCAGAAGTTCAAGAAGTTTTCAACAACTCCACCTCTCCAGGCCAAATCGTTACCCTCGTTTCTTCAACCATGGCTTCCGGCGACGAGCTGATGCCTATTGCCATCGTCGGCATGTCATGCCGCCTTCCCGGGGACGCATCCACTCCCGGCGACTTCTGGAAGTTGCTCACAAAGGGCCGTAGTTGCTGGTCCAAGATACCCAAAGAGCGCTTCAACCAAGACGCGTACAATCACCCCAACCCTGAGAAGAAGGGCACCCTCAATTCCCAAGGGGGTTACTTCTTATCTCAGGACCTTGAGATGTTCGACGCTGGCTTCTTCGACATGACAAAGAAGGAAGCCGAGACTATGGGTAGGATGTCCCAAATGTCGTATTCATAGCCTGCTTGACTGACCGCAAATGTCTCACAGACCCCACACAACGTCTGCTTCTAGAGTGTTCATTTGAAGCGCTTGAAAATGCCGGCATCCCAAAGGAAACTATAGCTGGCCAGAAGGTTGGTGTCTTTATTGGTGGGCCGGACAATGAACACCGGATGGGCAACTTGCGCGATCTGGACGACGTGCCGGCGTTCGATCCGACGGGAGCTCAAGGTGCATTTTTGGCGGGCCGCATTTCTTATTATTTTAATCTGAGGGGCCCAACCTTCACCGTCGACTCGGCATGTTCGTCCAGTATGCAAGCGTTGCATCTAGCTGTCCAGAGTATTCGATCAGGCGAATCGGAGCAAGCCATTGTTGGGGCCTCACACATCATCACCCAACCGGATGTCTGGGTGTCCATGGCTAAGTTGAGGTTGGTTGATATGAGACTTTATCGTTCGTGAAAGACACCTGGTCAACTAACAACATCGAAGGTTATTCGCCGAGTCGGGAAAGACATATGCATTCGATCACCGCGCGAAATCTGGTTATGCTAGAGGTGAAGGCGTTGGTTGTCTGATTCTCAAGCCACTGGCCCAAGCCGTGGCGGATAATGATCATATTCGCGCAGTTATTGCGCATACAGGAATCAGTCACAATGGAAGAACAGTTGGTAGGTTGTATTTACTCGATGCTGCTTTCAAGATGAATACTGATCGACCCTGCCAGGCATCGTGGCGCCAAGTTCTGAGGAGCAGGAACGGTTGGTGCGCACTGTACTGGAACAGGCCAATATCGATGCGAAAGACATTGGTTTCTTCGAGGCACACGGCACTGGCACCAAAGTCGGGGATCCCATTGAGGCCACAGCCATTTACAACGCCTTAGGGAAAAGTTTGACTGCTCGCGACCCCCTGCACATGGGATCGGTGAAGTCCAACATCGGACATCTCGAGAACGCTAGCGGTATTGTATCGGTAATCAAGGCGGCATTGATGCTCGAGAGAGGTTTTATTGTTCCCAATGCCGACTTCGAGAGCGAGAACAAGGCCATCCCACTGGCTTCGTGGAATATGAGAGTGAGTTCGTCAAATTTCCATATCGATGATTGACAATACTGATGCAAAAATGCAGATCCCGCGAGTGCAGAGGCCATGGCCGGCAAGCAAGAAGTATGTCTGTGTTAACAACTTCGGTTACAGCGGGTCGAATGGTCACGCAGTTCTGGAGCCGGCTCCTTCGCAAAATTCAATTGACTTCTTTAACGCTGAGAAGGATCAAGATCGCATCATGGCCAAGCGATTGTTTGTCATCAGTGCACACGACGAAGCGGCAGTGAGAAAGAGCATGGAGAAACTGGGCATCTTCTTGGAGCAGCATGCCGAGCTGTATCAAACCACTATGCCTCGTAATCTGTCGTACACGCTATGTCAGCGCAGGTCGCACATGCCGTGGCGTGTGGCGCTCGTTGCCAACATGTGCAGCTCCCTCGCCCTGGCACTGAATAGCCACGACGCCGTGCCAAGACGAGCACCTGTCAAGCCTCCCAAGGTCGCTTTCATCTTTACTGGTCAAGGTGCTCAGTGGTTCGGCATGGGGCGCGAGCTGCTCAGCTCACACCCGGTCTTCGCCTCAGCCATCCAAAAGGCAAATGACCATCTTCTGTCCATCGGCTCTGATTTCTCTTTGCTGGAGGAGCTTCTTCGAGATGAGAAGGAAACTCGTGTCGGCATGGCTCATATTAGTCAGCCGATTTGCAGTGCCGTCCAGATCGCCTTGGTCGACTTGCTGCGGTCATGGAACATCAAGCCAGATGCCGTTACTGGGCACTCCAGTGGCGAGATTGGTGCAGCGTACGCTGCGGGAGCGTTGACCCTTGAGGGTGCAATGTCGGCCGCGTATCATCGAGGCCAAGCCATCATCACACTCAAGAAGAGGCATTCTGGTCTTAAGGGTGCTATGATGGCGGTCGGTGCTGGTGCGGATTCGCTGCAACCCTTTTTCAAGACGCTGCAGGCTCCGTTTGAAGCTGTGGCTGCTTGTGAGAATTCCCCGTCGTCGACCACTGTTTCGGGCGACGCTGAGGCTATTGACCAATTGGCTACCGTTTTCAAGGGCAAGGATATCTTCAACCGAAAGCTCTTCGTCGATGTGGCTTACCATAGCCCCCACATGAAACTGATTGCTGAGCCGTACTACAACGATATCGCCGACATACGCCTGTGCAGCACGGATAATGACGTTGAGTTTTTCTCGTCACTGCGCGGCCGCAAGATCACCTTGGATGAGCTAGGACCGCAATACTGGGTTGAGAATCTGACTCACCCGGTCCGCTTCGCCACGGCTCTCCAGGTGATGTGCAGGGAGGCCGAGCTAGATGTTCTAGTTGAGATCGGGCCCCATGCTGCTCTCAAGGGCCCTATTATGCAGACTTTGAAGACGATGGGTCTGGCTGCCGCCAAGATGCCCACCTACATGTCTACACTCGTCCGAGGCCGCGATGCGACCGAGACGTGTCTGGAGCTCGCAGGTCAGTTGTTTACTCGCGGCTATGAGGGTATGGATTTTTTCAACATGAATCACAAGCGCCAAGAGACGGAGACGCCCGAGGTCATTCCCATTTTGTACTCATACCCCTGGTCGCGCCAGCGCTGCTGGTATGAGAGTCGCATCACGCGTCAACATCGTCTGAAGCCATTTGCCCGTCATGATCTCCTCGGCACTTTGGCCGACTGGAGCAGCGATCTCGAACCAACTTGGCGTAACATTTTGAGACTCGAAGATATCCCGTGGCTGCGCGATTACACTGCCCATGGCCAAATGGTGTTCCCTGTGTCCGCTTTCGTGTCCATGGTCATCGAGGCTGCTAGTCAGCGTGCCAACATGAAGGGACTCGAGGCTTCCAGCTTGAACATCTGCGATGTCGTCGTTCGGGAACAACTCTTCTTGGCAGAAGATGAAGCTGTGGAAATGATGTTGCACATGCGACCTTGCACTGAAAATGGCACCAGCGGTGATGAATTTCACATCGTTAGCTATGAGGCCAAGCGTGGATGGTTGGAGCACTGCCGCGGCTTCGTTGACATTAAAGTCGCCGTCGGCAATGAGACGAGCCTTCGGTCCAAAGCTCGATTTCATGCTGCCATCCGGCCTGATGCTTCGTCTGGCGCTGATTTTTATCTGAATATGCACTCCGCGGGAGCGGCCTTCCCGCGAGGTTTCTGGGGGATTACCAGTATTTATCCAGATGCTCAGGGTGCCAGCGCTCAAGGCACCTGCCAGGACACTTCCATTGACATGCCCATGAACTATGAGACTCCATATCTGGTACATCCTGCCATATTGGACTCAATGGTCCAGTTGGCTGAGTCCGACTTGGGCATCGCCGGATTTGGTGTTCCCCAACTGCCGTCTGCCATCAAGCAACTCCAAATCCACCTGAACAACAGCTTCAAAAAGAGACCTGGATCGAAATTCTTTGTCCAGTCTACCAAGGACTCTAAATCTGGCTCATTCTTGGTGGAATTGTTCTCAACTCTTGAGACCGATATCCCGTCTATTTCGATGTTGGGACTTGAGCTCTCCACTCTAAGGGTGGCTGCGACTCAGGCTATCGACCCCAGAGAGCTGTGCTTCAAGGTGCAATGGGAGAAGACTGCGGAGCGACAGGTCAATGGTGTCAATCCGGAGCACATGAAGATGTACGGCGAACGCGTGGTCATTGTCGCCGATCGAGCCCCGAATGATATGCTCGTGAGTGCTTTGTCCAAGGCTATCGAGTACCACACTGGCATCAATCCGACCGTCTGTAGCTTGCAGAAGATTCAGGACTTTAGTGGCTTTTTTGTGGTTCTATCGGAACTTGATTGCCCTTTCCTTGCATCCATCAACAAGCTCGACTTTGCGCAGATGCAGAAGTTGTTGACTCAGGCTGCTGGTACACTGTGGGTGACTCGTGGTGCTTCAAAGACACCTAGCAATCCTGATGGCAACATGGTCTTGGGCATGCTCCGTACCATCCGATCTGAGCTTGGCCGTCCGGCTGCCACTCTTGATTTGGATCCGGTCAGTGATCTTGACGAGGGAGCACAAGCAGAGCTGATCGAAGATGCATTCCGTCGTGCCGTTCTGTCTAATAACTCTGAGGCGGAAGTTGAGTTCGCCGAGCAGGATGGCAACTTGGTCGTACCCCGCCTTGTCCCCGACGAAGATATTAATCTTCGCGTTCATCGCGAGTTTGGTCCATCTGCACCTTACCTCCAAAACTTCCGACAGCCTGGACGCAAATTGGAGCTTACGACCGAGACCAAGGGATCATTGGATGCGCTGTATTTCGAAGATGCCCCAGCACGTGAGACCTTAGGAGACAACGAGGTTGAGATGGAGGTTGTGGCCAGTTGTTTGAGTCGAGACGATGTCGCGGCAATCATGCATGATAGTATGATTCCAGCCCCTCTCGCGCGTTCTTGCAGCGGTATCGTCACTCGTATCGGTCGCAAAGTCGCTAATATCAAAGTGCGTGATCGCGTCTGCGCCTTGGCTGAGGGACCACTTGGTACCCATGCTTGCGCCCGCGACGCGACCACCATTCAGATTCCTGGAGGTTTAAGCTTCGAGGCTGCAGCTTTGATCCCGTCCGCTTTCTGCGCAGCGTTCTATTCGCTCGCTGAAGTAGCGCGAGTCCGCGAGGGAGAGCGAGTCTTGGTGCAGCTCACTGGCGACGCCGGTCTTGCTGCTGTCCATGTTGCCCAGTGCCTCGGCGCCGAGACCTTCGTCGCGGTCAATAGTAATGAGAAACGAGATATCGTCATCAAGTCGTGCGGCCTATCTCCTGATCATGTCTCTGACGTGTCGAGTATGTACTTCGGTCATGAGATGCAAGACGCTACTCAGGGATACGGCATGGATATCGTCTTCACCTCAACCAGCACATCCACTTGGACCACCACTGAAAAGGCCAAGATATGGGAATGCGTTGCTCCCTTTGGACGTGTCGTCCAAGTCCGCAGCGGTTCGGATGCTAAGAAGGACAAAGAGAGTGCCCGACCGAATCTTGCTGAGAATGCTAGCTTTGTGTCTGTCAACATGGCGAGCATGGCTGCTGCGAGACCGCAAGTAGTGGCCAACATTTTGCACGATGTCATGGAGAGGTTTGCTCAGGGCGGTTTCCGCCCTTTGAAGAATTTGACGATACTGTCAGTGGCAGATCTGCGGCAGGGAATTCAGATTGTTCAGGATGAGGATTTGAGCCCTGTGGTCATTATCCCGCAGAACGGGGAGCAAGTTAAGGTATTTGACTATTCATCTGCTATTGCTCCGCATTCATGTTTAACTAACATTTGTTAGGTGTCGCACCCTGCCAGCAGCTGCAGCCTCAACCCTGACGGTACTCATGTCATCGTCGGTGGTACCGGTGGGTTGGGTCGCAGCATGGCCCGCTGGATGATTCAGCACGGCGCGCGGTACATCGTTCTCCTCTCACGCGGTGGTGGTCAGGACACGAAGGTGCAACAACTGATAAATGACACGCGAGACCAGGCTACCATTGTTGTCCACGCCTGCGACATTTCAAATGAGGATCATGTCCGCCAGCTTGTCAGTGACTGCGCAAAGACTCTTCCCCCCATCTGTGGTGTGGTGAATGGCGCGATGGCCCTCCACGATGGACTTTTCGAAGAGATGACGTATGAGTCGTATACTTCCGCTATCCGTGCCAAAGTGGCTGGGACTTGGAATGTGCACCATGCCCTGCGAACCGCCAATTTACCCCTCGATTATTTCGTCCTACTTTCATCCGCGGCTGGTGTTCTGGGAAGTCGAGGCCAAGCTGCGTACGCCGCCGCCAACACCTTCCTCGATGCTTTTGCACAGTATCGCCAACGCCAGGGTCTTCCAGGTGTGTCGATTGACCTCACTGCTGTCACGGGCGCGGGATATATTGCTGAGAACGCGGACCGCTCTGCCGACATTTTTAAGAATTTTGGCGGCGAAACTCTCTCCGAGGAAGAGGTACTTGGGCTGTTGGCTGTTGCCATGAGCAATACCTGTCCGCCCCAGATTCTCACTGGGCTTAAGCTCGTGCCCGACGCCAATGGTAACCTCCCTTACTACAACGTGGACCCACGCTTTACCCACCTGAAAGCGGACGCATTGGCGGCTATCAAAGCTGCTGGCCTTGCCTCCGGAGCGCCCATCTCCTATGGTACCGTGTTCCGTGCGGCTGCCAACGATACCGAAGCGGCTGAGGCAGCATCACAGGGCGTGCTGCACAAGTTGGCTGAAGTGTTATCTGTGGAATTGGCAGATGTGGATGCGGAGAGGAGTATGGCTAGTTACGGGCTGGACAGTTTGACGGCGATTGAGATTAGGAATTGGATCACGCGCGAAATGAGGGCCAATTTGCAAATTTTGGAACTATTGACCAGCGGATGTGTGAGGGAGTTGGCGGGTTTGATTGTGAGTAGAGCTCGGGGGTGAGAACTAGCATAATGCGGATGTGACAATCCAGTTGGGATTTTTGATTGAAGATAGATCGGTAAAGTATGTGTAGTCGGGTTGTACGAAGCTGGTGTTATCTAATTTGCATTTTGGGAAGATTGATGGGTCAGAATTTACATAGGCTTTCGTTTGATAGTAATTGGAAATAAATATTATGTTCGGCCATTGCGACTAACGTAGTCCACGGTTCATTGCGCACACGCTCCAAATGACCTTGGCAGACCTTATACAACAACGTATAAGTTAATTCAACCACAACGCCTATCATCAATTGAAACTACTCAGAATCGTTATCTTCAGACGTCTCTACATCATTTCCACAAGTGCGCGCATTATGTCCGGGCTCGCCGCAGATTCTACAGCGCCGTACACGCGCAATTCGCCGCCTCGTACGACCACCAATTTGACGAAATTCGTCATGTAACTGCCCATCAACCTCTCGTTGAGACTGTAGGTCCTGTCCAGCTTGTATACGAAGTGACCCTCCACTCTGTAGCTGTTTTTTCTTCGCACGGCGACGTCGACTTAAGGTCTCATTTGCCTTTCGAAGTCATTCGACCTCGCCTTCTAAAAGGGCAAGCCGATGCATAACCTTCGTTGTACCTCGCGCAATCTGATCTATTCCAGCAAAAATTGACGTTAGTGAGCTATTTTGATGTCGTACAATCCTATTTTTCACATAATCGGTCGAGTGATGGCTTTCGTGACCGTCGAGGATCAATAGGCGATGAGTACCTTTCGTACGAGACTTGGTGTGATGATCGAAGTGTTTTATCCAATCTTCGCCTCTCTCGTTCGTATTCCAGCCATTTTTAGTAACTGCGATAACCCAATCAGGCGGTAATGGGCTGTTTTCGTACCATGACGAGAGGTGGGTTTTGCCGGCGAAAATGATGTACGGAGGGAGGGCATAACCGGACGACCCAACGCCTTGAATAACTGTAACCCATTCCCGATTTCCTTGCTGGGCTGCTCTAGGCCTTCCGCGCCGATCAGAAGTCGTCACGACCATTTCGTTTCGTACGAGATTTGGCCCATCACAAAACCGGTCTCGTCGAAGTTGTAGATATCCTCCTCCTGGATCGCGTATTTCGCAATTGTATTCCGTACCAGGTCAAACCACGCGCGATACGCGTCGGGGTCTTCGCAGAGGACTCTCTGATAGTAGATCCTTCGATTTAAACGCGTCCGGAGGTCTGGTTGTCGTCTTACGAAGCTCGAGGCCCAGTTGACGCCGACGCGTCCCGCGTCACGACTTCGAAGTAATCGGTTGGCCATATTTTTAACACCACTCAATCGGGGAGGAAATGCTCGCGAATCTAGGTCGGTTATATGTCGTACGATTGCCTCTTCTTCGGAAGGAGTCAACTTTTGCGTTGGCGATCGCGTAATCGCTCGAGCGGTTTTACCGTCGCGTCGATACGCAAGGGTTCTAAAAGGTACGTTATAGATCTGACCAGCGCGACGTACACTTAATTTTGGATCAGATTGAAGCGCATGTAATGCTAGAATCATATCACTTTCATTCCAAGAACCAACCATAGTTATGTGGTGAAAAACCGCAGGTCAAAGTGGTAGCGTACGAAAATCTGCCGAAGTGTGCAATTGGACCGTGGACTACGTTATATAATTTGATGTATTTAAATAATCGATACATAGCACAAGCAGTACCAGAATCGAGTATATCCACTTGGGTAAATTTCCTCCCGTTCGCCAGTCGTCTTCCTGTGAATTGAATATTCATGCTTCCTTCTTCCATCCAGCACACGTGATTTGGGCCAGCCAAATCTCTCGGAAGAGTATCCCAGTCATTATGCGTATGAGAAGATATGGGTTCTCTGGGAGTATCTCACTGGACGTGTTGCAAATTGCGGACTTGGAACCGAAAAAAATACACAGCAAAGAAAGGGAGAAGAAGTCTGAAAGGTCTTGCGTCTCCAGAGAGCAGAGGCATCTTCATTACTTGCAACGCCAGGTAATAGTTTGATACACAACACTGTCGATGATATGACATGTGGTCAAAAATCCCTGTCTTAATCTGAGTAATGGTTCATTGGGGAAACGAATGTGGATTTGTTGGCTATGGCGCACTACATCGAATTCTCGAGATGCAACTGGTGACCGAATAGGGGCTACGTAGAGATGGCTTTTCACTCGAATCGTCTTTGGTTCAATGATGATGATCAGACTTATCGCTGTCTTGGGGGTGTATCTCTCGGCCAAAGCTGGACTGAAATATCGTGAAGGATCTCTTGTGTTGGGCGAGACTTTACAAGTGCGGGTGACTTTCAAGATTTCCAAAAATATATACTGCTATGATCCTTCCCTTCATACCTTCATCTGAATATTTCCCATCCGATGAATTGTAGTGCTTCCTACATGCTGGAAAATACAGCGTAACACTCCTCCTCTATACTTCCCACATTACTATACCGCAGCAGGCATCTCCCATCCTCATAAAATCCAATTTATCACCATTATTTCCGCCATATATCCTTTCTGTCTCAAGATCCTTGCCTTATTAAAATCTACACCCCATAACTTCGATGCTTACTATACTTGCCCACAATCTCCTTCTCCTGCAAGAAAGTCCCGATTCGCGTCCCTAGGCTCACTCGCTCAATTTTGGTAACCTTTTCTGTTGGTGCTCGCTGCGTTGGCACTGGCTCCACGTCCTTGTAGGTGTAATAGCTTATGCCATCAGTCACCACGTGCGTACCATCCGGCAGGGTGATGTCTAGCCTCGAGCACATGGTCTCGCCTGAGAGTTCGCTGGTGGGGCTTGATCTGCTAATACCTGGGCGAGGAGTGGTGTTGTAGGTCGAATTGCGTCTCAAGCTCGTGGTGCTTTGAGTGATGTTGTGGGTTGGCTTGTAGAGACTTTGTGGGTGGCTGGGCGGTGCTGTTCGAGCAATTGCTGATGGAGCCTGGCGACTGATTAGTGACGATCTAGGGATATTTGGCGAATTAGTTTCCCAGGTCGACTTGGGCCTTAGTCTGGTGGTACTTGGGTGGTTTTTATTTTGGTCTGGCTCCTGGCGAGTTTGTGGGCGTCTGGTGGATGCTGGTGGAGCAGTTTGTGGTGATACTTGTGGACTGATTGATGGCTTGCTAGCTTCTAATCGACTTGGTTGCTCAGGCACATTCTGAGGGGTCGACTGCATGTAATTTTCGTACCATTGAGTCGCCTCTTCGATGTTGGATTTCTCGAAATCTCTTTTGTGGTGCTCCTCTTTGGCCATTCGCATTGGTTGGCTAGGTTTGGACTTTGGTGCAGGCTTTTGCTGCTTCCCCCATGAGACCTCTCCACGTTCCACAATCCCCCTCACGAACTCGTCTCTTCTCACCAGGGCGCAGAGGATGCTCATCATATCGATAGACACGGGGCCAAGGGCTTCGAGAAAGGTATCTCGATCCTCGACAGCAATGGTGATGCCCTTGTCTGGATCGACGATACACCAGACCTCCTCATTTTGTCTGGTGGTGGAGAAGAAGATGAATTTAGAGCCAAGGAACCAAAGTTCGCGTTCTTCGTCCCATGAGTAGTAGCCCCATTCGAAATCATATTCTGGACGTTTGGAATGGGACTTCGAGAATGTGAAGGACTCGTACAAGTCCTCATCCTCATAATCGTGAAGGCCTTCAACTTCTTCTTCATTCGTGTTTTCGTCTCCCTGGACCTCTTCATATACCTCGTCTGTCAAGTTTTTCCAGGACCCAGGCATGGTCTTTTCTTCAGGGTGAATAGGCCTTGGTGTATAGGCTCTGGTGCCGTCAGATCCTTCTGTGGATAGGTTGCCTGAAGACGTAGGCTCGGTTGTGATTGGGTCTGGCTTCCAAGTGACGTTCTCATCTGGTATGTGGTAGAGTGCATTCGAGGTTGAAGGCACTTCTCGGGGGCAATGCTGTTGCTGTCGTTGATGTTGTGTTCCATTCGTTATGTGACTGCTTGACTTGTAGTGCTTATTAGGGCATCCGTAGCTATCTTCCGTGTTGAGTTGTCTAGCCATGGCGATACGTGCAGCGGTGGTGGGATTGGGCTTGTTGATGCCGTTAATTTTGTGCTGGCTGTGACGCTTGTAAACTTGTGGAGGGTTCGAGTCTTCTCTGGGCTCCTGCTCCATTGGGGGTGGGCGCAGGGAACCCGCGGATAGGTAGGTACCCAATTGCACGACGCGCTTCTTCTTGAAGATACCCATTTTGAATGTGTTTTGAATGGTTAAGCTGTATTGAATGACGGTGTATGATCGTAGTTCTCAAGATGAGTTAAGTGTTGGAATATGTTATAAGTGTAAATAAAGGTAGTCGAGCCAAACAGGTGGTTATAGATTATTGAAATATTCCCTCAAAATCATCCATGATGAGTTCCATGAGAATTTGATATTGATCAGAACGGTAGTGAAAAATTATGGCATACTTATAGCTATGTAACAATATTATTCGTGCCGAGTCGGAGATGGCATGGCCCCTAAACCCAAAGTTGGGTCACACTTATAACCGTGGAACATGCAAAGTCTATCTGTCACACACTTCATCTAAGTTCACAGTCCCATTGTTGCAGTTGTTTATCTGCATTATAAGGTGCATAACCTTTACCACAACACACAATAGTTGTTGATGAGTTGCCACTTTATTGGCACTATGCGTGTTTATGGACACTTCGTAGCTGAATATGCTGCCTATACTTTTCAGCCCCCAGGTGAATTGTAGTGAAGTTGTTTATAGGTCTACAGCACATCACAACTTTGTCTTGGTTTATTCTAGATTCACGGTAGTAATTGTGGCGGCTTTCAATCGTCATTTTACCTGATCTTCGCTAGAGAGAAGATTGTATTTATATTTTCGTCACTTTCCTCTTGTGAAACCGGGTTTCTTCCTGAAAATTTTATAGAGTTCAGTTTTTGAGGACTATTTCCCTTTCTATAACCCTACTGTCGGACTTACATTCGACCGCTGATCCTCTGTTTTGTGAGAACCTGGAAACTGAAACGCTGCTTCGGTCATGCCTATCTGAAGTAATCTATTTGCAAGGATTCTCCAATTGAGGCTAATGTGACTGGCACGTAGCGGGTGTCTCCCCCCCCCGTATGTCTCTTGCCATGCTTCTTCAAAGAGATTAACGTCCCATTCCAGACGACTTACATGTGCGTGTCGCATACACAGTACTCTCAAGACTCCATTATGGTGCTGGCTGAGAACATAACCATGATCAGTTGTAGAAAATATCAAATAAACGGTGCCCCAAAGGTGAAATCACCATGCGACAAACGCAGAATCCCTTACATTGGCCGGTCTACAGTGTATGTCACTAGATGTTCTCCAGATCACGCCAGAATTTCGGACTCGAATCCATATGACCTCAAACAAGCGGGTCCAAAGTATCGATCCTATACTCTTGACTGGTGGGGTATACATGGACCAAAACCAAATCTCTTCATCATGAAGTGATGGGGCCATGGAGGAGCTGAAGCCTTTGTCACCTGTGGCTGAGCCATTTGATAGCCCATTTAGCCTAGAGTTGTTTTGCAGCTGATGGACAGCCTTGATTAAAACCCGAGTCAAAATCCGGCTACACTGTAATAGACTGCAGCTGTGGTCCGATGTTACATATACCTCAATCGCCATGCCATGCCGAGGATGGTGATAAGCCATCCTACGGTCAGGGTGCTCACATTCCGGAGCCGTGATCACACCTCGACCCCGGCGTGTGCAGTCCAATAAATTAGGTGGGCCTTGTAAGTCTTAAGCGTCGACCTCAACTACCACAGTCCAGCGATAACCGCCATTCCTAATCCATAAAACCCAGTAATGAGGAAAAAGTCCCTCGTGATATGCAGGCCCACGACCCCGGCTGATATCAAAGTCCCTAGGATGACAAAAGAGACGACCAAAACAACCGCCATCCTCCCGATATACCCCGGAATCACGGTGAACGTCAGCACGGGCAGGATAACAGCAGCCGCCATGGCAAGGCTGAGTGGAATGGCATGTTGACGTTCCTCGTCGTCATCATCAAGAACGCTGCTATTGCTTAACATGGACGTGTAGTTCCCGGGTGAGCGCGGGGGCATGGGCGTCGTGGTAGAGTCTTCGTCGTAGTCATCTTCTACTTCTTGGTCGAGACAGATCAGATCATTGGCCGCGTCGAGAAAGTGGGTCTCCGCCTCGGTGATGGGACCGTGAGTTGCGAGATATCTACGATACTCGTGGACGTCGACGAGTGTGGGGTTTGGCAGAGTTTGAGTTGTTTTAAACGAGGAGAGAACATGGTCTGCAGTCTGTCAGATGAAGGCCAAAGAAGGCTTGAAGATGGATGCATGAATGCAAGACACACCAGGGTCTTACTTACTGTACTGCTCCAACTTGAACCCAATCTTGCCAAGTATATCTGTCTTGTGCCACTGTAATTCGCCGCCAGACAGCGTCTGCGCCCTACGGGAGGCAGGGAGGATGCGATTTTGCAGACGCCTGTTTTGCGTATCTGCCGAATCGAGTCTGTGTAACTGCTCTTCCAGTTCGCACAGCTCATCTTGCAGGTGTAGTAGAAGACGATGGTTGAGGGTCTCGAACTTGCGATAAATTGGCCTAACGTACGGGCCCGAGCGATCGGCAGAATGCGCCGTCAGTCGCGAGGCCAGAAGCTCGTACCCCGTCAAGGGTAGCTTTTCAGCGCGAGGCAAATGTTTTACGCGGCCGTGGGCCTGATCAGGAACCCGTGGTGTCGAGGCCTTGGATGAAACATGAGGTAGCTTCGCATTGCCTCGTGACATTTCAGGGTTGCCATATTTACGTTGGCGCTTCTGTGATGCCTCAGTCTGAGAAGCCATCTTGGCAGAAGCCTTGTCTACTTTGCCGCTCTTAGGGCTGCGTTCCGGTGTGGTGTTCCAATCGGTATCATGACTCGACTTAGACGAGTAGCTCTTGGTGAATGATGAACCACTAATAGACGAGGTTGGTGAGTGAGATGATGCCGTGTGCATGGAGTCGTAGATGGTATCTTGGGTAACTGCGGGAGAGTCGGCGTCAAGGAAGGCCAACGGGTCCGGCTTGGGCACCGTTTCTGCCTTCGCTACGGATTCCGTTGGGGCGTTGTGACTGTCATAGGACGACTGGGTGAGCGTTGAGCTACTCTCATTTGAGTAATTCGTATCGCCCCCCTTGTGGCCTACGGTAGCCAGGATGGATGAGACCGACGGTACAGTACCGCGGATTCGAGACGCGTTCATCGTGCCCTTTCTCTTCGCTTGGTGGCTTGCACTTAAGTGAGCATCTGAATCGTCCGATGCCGATGATGAGTCCAAGCCGGACCCGACCTTCTTGGCCACAGCGGCCTTCCCCCGCGCCGGCTCTTCTGATAGAACCATGTAGTCGAACGCGTTCATGACGTTTGTCGACTGGTGATGGCGCGACTTTCTTCGGCGCCCACCCTCGCTCGCTGTGGAGCCAGGACGCTTCGGGTGCTTGCTTGATGACCGGCTCTTATCTTTGCTGGAATTGGACTTGGATGGCTTGCGGTGATTCTGTCGAGGAACGTCCAAACTGTCCATGCTCCTCCCCTCGGAGCCGATGTACCAGCGCGCAGCCTCGTCAACGGAGATGCTTGTGGAAGACGAGTTCCGTTTTCGTCTAGATGGCCGCACAGTACTGTCAGAAGGGGAATCGGGCTTCTTTGTCTCTTTATTGCCCGGTAACAGCCCGGATAGTAGCTTGTAAAACCCTGGAACAGACATTGAGTATGTTGCACGCGGAGAAAACTGCGAGGCATACCTTGTGCGAGGGTCTACGTGTCGGCGAGGACAGGGCGTAGAGTATGGATATCTTATTGGGAACGGAGCTACCGAACGGGATTGGAACTCAGTAGTTATGTTGTGCCCAGGAAAGTTCAAGGTCAATGCCGAATCGTGTAAGAGCAAGCTAGTGGAAGAAAAGCAAGTTGGGTGCAACAAGTGCGCCTGCCATCAACGGCCGCGGTCGTTAGTGCTGGAGGCGAAGAAGACGCGACACATGATGACGATCAGGCCTAGATAGTATGTGACAGTCCGAGGCCTAGAGCTAATGTATCGCAAAGCCTCGTAGGATGTAGTAAAAGTAGATACAAACTAGAGATCTCGTGGGATCATGAGCGCAACCGGGGGCTCCAAAGCGTAAGAAAGACACCATGGCCTTCTCAGCTATGACTGGCAGAGCAGCGATAGAACTGTGTCAGCCGAGGCGGCGGTGTTTCGGATCATGAGTGAGGGGAGCAGCGGCCCAACATGCCCGACAGGGACATGATGACACCAACATGGAGGGTCGCAATGTTGTGTGTTGAGGGGCAGGTGAAATACCAGAGTGTTTACAACGGACCACCGTCGGACCCAGACGTCTGCTTAGGGCGAGTAAAAGCACATGTGAGATGAGAAGCTTGAGTACAGGTACTTGAATATACCCTAAGTTAGCCGATGAGCTCCAGTCGATAACACAGAGAGGTCAAAGTCGGTGAGAGTGTGGCTGTTGTAGTAAGGCCCAAGGCATTCCGTCCCGTCTGTACGCAACCGCGCGAGGCCCAGCTCACGGGTTTGGGTGGAGGCAGAACTGCTTGTCAAAAGCCCTGAATCCACTTGGACGCATCGGCTTGTGACATTGGGGACGACCTGTGTCTGTCGTGGGTGGCCCAGAATAGTACAGATTGAACAGGGTTCTCGAGAGTTTGGAGGGGTGGTTTCGGGCAATCCCCCACACGGCCTTGGAATTTTAAAGGAAGCTGACCGGGGAAGGGCACAGACCAGTCATGGCGTCAACAGCAGCTCTCACCTGAATTGCTTCTACACATTTACACATTTGTGGTGGTCTGCCCACGAATACCCGACCACCCTGCCCTAACATGGCTCGCATATCAACAAAGACGCTCAGCAGATACCTTTTCCAAGGCCAATTACCCAGAAGAGGGTGCCTGTCTCTTTGGCAAGCGCACAGCTCAATCCGTCCCTGTCCTGTTGCTTCCATACCAAGCGCTCGGAGCTTGCGACAGCTTCGTACCGACGCAAGTCTAACGCAGCGAGACCCCGCGCCGGTTCACGTTCCTCTGCGGAAACAGCTCAAAGATGAGGCCAAGAAAGCAAAGGCATCTGGCAAGAAGAAAACGAAGAATGTAGATAACCAGGTGGTCGACGGCTGGGAGTTGACGGTCGGCATCGAGATCCACGCCCAGCTCAACACGGCCAGGAAGCTCTTCTCGGCTGCTACCACCTCCTTCAACGACCAACCCAACTCCCATGTCGCCTACTTTGATCTGGCAACACCGGGAAGCCAGCCAATATTCCAGAAGGAAACGCTCATCCCCGCCCTGCGCGCCGCCCTGGCCCTCAACTGTGATATCCAACCTGTGAGCAGGTTCGACCGAAAACACTACTTCCATTGGGACCAGCCATCGGGCTACCAAATCACACAATTCTACGAACCCTTCGCCCGCAATGGACGCATCATGCTACAGCCGAGGGATGGCATTGCCGCTGAGGACGGCGACGGCATCTCCATCGGCATCAAGCAGGTGCAGATGGAGCAAGACACCGCAAAAACGATGGCACAACCCGGTGACGTGCAGTGGGTAGACTTCAATCGTACTGGTGTGCCCCTCATAGAAATCATTACGTTACCCGATATTCACCACCCTGCTACGGCGGCTGCCTTCGTTCGGAAGGTCCAAATCCTTCTGAATGCCGTTGATTCTTGTGTTTCCGGCATGGAAGCTGGCGGCTTGCGAGCCGATGTCAACGTGTCGGTGCGACGAAGCGATGACCCGTCTGCCCCACTGGGCACACGCACCGAGATCAAGAACTTGAGCAGCTTCAAGGCTGTCGAGGATGCCATCATTGCCGAGCGCGATCGCCAGATCTCCATTCTTGAGGCTGGCGGTATCATAGCGGGGGAAACCCGGGGGTGGTCCATTGGCTCGACCGAGACGCGTCGATTGCGTGGAAAGGAGGGCGAGGTGGACTATCGCTACATGCCCGATCCAGACTTGTCTCCTGTTATCATTGGTGACGACCTTGTCAGCCACCTTCGCACGGCGATGGGCCAGCTGCCTGACGCAGAAGTAGACGAGCTGATTCAAGAATTCGGAATCACCTCCAAAGACGCACTATCGCTTGTCGCTCTCGACGGCGGAAACCGGATCGAGTACTTTTGGAATGTTGTTGATGCTCTTTCAGCTCGGCTTGGGTTCGATTCTCCCGAAACTTTGGCTTGCTATCAACTTGCCGCGAACTGGATTCTGCATGAGCTCGGCCGCTTGACTGCCAGTCACCAAACCGATTCCGCTCAACCCCTCGAGTTCACACCAGAAGGTCAATGCGAACGTGTGCCTGTCAAACACCTCGTCGACATAGTTATATCCCTGCACCAGCGCAAGATCACTGCCAAAGTCGCCAAGGAACTTCTGTGGGTCGTCTACCGGGGCACGATTCCCCGGGAATATGCCAGTGTCAGAGAAGCAATAGAGAAGGAAAACATGTGGTTCCAGGAGCTGTCGGAGGCGGAGTACGAGGTGCTTGCCCGGTCGGCCGTCGAGGGTCAGGATGATGTCGTGGCTCAGTTCGTAGACTGCAAGCAGTATCCCACGGGCAAGCTGATGTTCTTGGTGGGACGCATGATGCGGCTGGGGCCGGAGGAGAAAATCGACCCCAAGAATGCCGAGAGCGTCATGCGGAGGTTTCTTAAAACTTATGTTGTCGAGCTGAAGAGTAAGCCGAGCTGAAGAGTAAGAAATGAAGAGATACCTATGATTTTGCCGAAGTCGGAATTTCAAAAATAGTACTTGTTTTCGCCTCCAACTTTGTTAAATAAAGAAATACATAATAGGTGAATGCAATTCTTCTCCGTCGTGTTGCCTCGATAAGTTCCCATGCCTTTCCACCTTTCCATTTCCATATCCGTACTACGAAATACCTCAAATCGGTTCCCCGAGTGCAGGCCCGTGTGCCTTGTTGGCCTATATATTGTCAACGTCATCCTCCTTGTCTTTATCATTCCCAGGCGCATTACAAAATCCCCTGCAGTTGGATGTCGTCGCAACTCCGGTTACAGTTGGGCTTGCTGCCGAAGAGACCCAGGAGGCGATCGTAGTCCCTGCTCGCTAGACCGCGAATAGGAGTTCATAAGTAGACGAAGGAGCTCAGGGAGGGGTGAGTGCTAAGAGGCTGATTGCTACGAGCGTACTGGGGGGATGGGTTAGTCAGGTTATTTCATAGAGAGGGCAAGAGGACAGTGGGGTAAATTGAAAGGGGGAAGAAAATGTGTTGTACGGCTAGTGCCAGGAAAGAAAGGTGCAATGGCGAAGACGCAGAGCATGTTGACGGCTGGCATTTTTTCTTTGTGTTCGAAAAAGATTGTTGGTGCTGTTCAGAAAGAAGTGCGGTTGGGTCTGTGGAATGAGAGGGGGGTGGGTGGTAGTTTGGACTGTGTCGAGAATATTTTCTTGAACCGCGGATCTTGGATTCTTCATGTGTGAAGCTTGATCCTCCCAGGTTGTGTTACTTAGGGTATCAAGATATCCGGCCTCTGGTGGCTGGGCGGGTTGTTGGAAAGGTCGTCAACAGCAAAGTTGCCCCTTTTCGGCCGTGATACTTGGGCTTCCAGATATTGATAAGTTCCGGAAAGTTGCCATAAAGATTGAATCTACACTCGATCTCTCTTTTGGGTGCTGCTACCGATGATCTATATTATGTTCTATCGACCAGGGGCCTTCCGGCGTGGTCTGCCGTGGCTGGGTGTCATTTTGCTGAGGGATTCCACGATCAGATAATGGAGCTTGGACAATTGGGATCCTGAGATCCTTCTTGCTTCCACTGTCAATAGCCAACTCTTATTATGTTCCGACATTATTCCCTCCGCTGTTTTTTCACCGTCTGTCTGCCCTTTATGTCCCCTTGAATACAAGCATTTAACTCACCTATCAGGCGATTGGAGCATTAGCTTCGGTTTTTCTCTGTCAAGGGGCATCCAATAATCTCATACCCATCATAGACTCTGTTTATCAACACAGGACCACTGAGAAAATAATTACTACGGGAAATAAAAGATTGGAAACCATTGAAATATGATTCCTTTCAGTTGTTAAGACGTTATTGTTGCATAAGGTCCGAATTTCGGAATCACGTCATCAACTTCGCCGCAAACCGTCAACACCCCGCTAACACCGATGATTGATCTGCTTCCACCAGCCATCAACATGCCAAATGCGCAATAATTCACAGTTGAAATCAAACCCAACATGGGAGATACACCTTTACTAGACCATATCGTGGTCCTTGTCCCGCACTCTTTTCTCACAACCCCGCCCTCCTGGTTCGCCAATCTATTCACCTTCTACCCGGGCGGCCGGCACGCCGAAGGCCTCACCGAGAACACGCTCGTTTTGTTCGCTGATGGGTCTTACATCGAGTTCATCGCCTTCGTGCCGGGCATTGATCCCGCAAAGAGAGCAACACACAGATGGGGCCGGAAGAAGGAAGGGACGGTCATTGATTGGGCTTTTACTCTGCGAAAGAATGATGCATTTCCAAATATCCAGAGAAAGGTCGAGCATACTAGCACTGGTATCAAGTACTCGGATCTTATACCGGGCGGCAGGATTCGACCCGATGGGGAGGTTCTGCAGTGGAAGATTTCGTCGGCTTTGAAAAGGGACAATGATGGTCAAGAGAATGGCTCGATCGAACCTGGTCAATTACCCTTTTGGTGCTTGGATGTCACGCCTCGGGAGCTACGCGTACCATATAAGGATCAAGTTTTTACAAAGCATCACAGTGGCGCCGTCGGTACCGCTATCATACACATACGCCCTCGTGAAGCCTCTGGGACTCAAGGACTGGAGGGTGTCTATGAAGCACTGCTTGAGAAAGGGAAGACATCTTCAACATGGACTGTGGATACTTTGGCGGGCGACGGCCTCCATTATGGAGCACAGGTACTTTTGGATTCGAAAGGGGTTGCCGATGGCCCTGAAACATCAATATCGTTCTTCACAGACTCGTCAGAATTTGTTGGCCGCACGATTGGTGGAGAGGTCAATGACCTCAAGCTGGAGTTTGGGTTTGTCGCCTCCAAGGGTTAGCTGCCCAGACCTTCATCCACAGACAAGGCATGTATGTTACGCCGCTATTATATCCACAATATTACTAGTTAAATACAAAATCGTATACATCGTAGTCTAAACAACAACCCTCTTCTGCTAACTCATACCATAGCTGAAAGTTGCAACGCTTCGTCGCACCCTCTACGCCCAGCAGTGCTGGACGAAACCGTTGCCTCTATACGCCTCGGAACAGAATCAATACCGCATTCACGACCATCTCATTGAAGTCATACTCAGCCCTCCGCTGCTTTGTCTGGATCTGTTTTGTCGGCCCACACTTAGTGCATTTCTCCGTAAGGGGTTTTCTGATGATGGAGTCAAGGAGCCCCTTCACGAAACCCGGATTTTCCAAAGCGACTTGGTCGTACAGAGAACCGAAGTCGGCATCCCATGTACCCTTCTCCACGTACCTTCGCGCAAAGTCAACGGCCTTGTTCCGCAGTAGTTTGACCGAATCCGGTGTCAAAGTGAACACATCTTCCACCGAGGCGAGGAACCGGCGACAATCGGGGTCATCTTGAAGAGCTTTTGCGTACTTGGCTGCTGCTAGTACCATCAAGTCGTCGACGAAATACTTGTCTGCGAGCGCAAACATGCGCGCGTTGACTTGCAATGAGGACAGCCCATCTTCGGCTTTTGACGATGGTTCGTCATTGTAGTCACCCGTGTAGAAGTAGTCGACCATGCGCTGCACCATGGTTAAAGAATCGTCAATCATCCTGTAGACTCCAATCTCAGACTCCTGCATGGTCAATCAGCTTTTGAATTCCGAAGCCGTAAATGAGAATTGTTGCAAACCTGGTATTTTCCATTGCAGACCCGGGAAAATAGCTCGGACTGGCTGCACAAGATGATCTTGTGGACTGGGATGGTGCAGCTCTCGCACTCCAGCTCAAAGTCGGTAAAATCTTTACGCTCTCTCGCTCTGTATATTGTCAGAAGACCAGTGGTTGTGGACAGAGTGGCTTGCATACCTAGAAATTTTCATCATGAGTTTATGTGAAGCCATGTTGAATGACCATATGCTGACCGTCAATATCTAGCCTAGACGAACACCGTCCGCAGCGTGAGAAGGAAAATCAAGGCCCCAAAGAAATCATATTCTGGGAGATCAGGGACTACATAAACTTCACGGGTTCCTGACGTAACGGCGGGGTCGAACTCTATCCTACTTGACAACCAGCCTCTTGCAATCCACTTCCCCGTTGGACCTGCACATCATAACATGAGTTGCCCAGGGAACATTGCGTAAAGTTTTATTCGGCATGGGAATGCTTATCCATGAGGTTGGGGCAGCGGAATCATGGAGCCATTTCAATGAATACGGACGACAGGCGCGACAACCATGCAAGATAAATGGGATGTCCACCTAAGTAATCGGTCCATTGCAGTGGCAACTATCGTAGTCGGTGAAAGCTTAAAGTCTTGACGTTTCCCGGAGAAGTCACTTTGGCAACCCCAAGAATTCTGTAAATACTTGTCATGTGGTTACTTTAGTTCGAAGCGAGGATCGATCTATGTGAATTACAAAACACAAATCAAGCAGTGGTAGTCGTAAAGAACTGCTGGACTGCACTAGCCTTTGGCCCCCAACGGCTGTTTTCCGGCTACAACAGCCAGTTTACAAGATTCAGAAGAACCCTGTGCCCCAAATGTTCTGGTACATTGGTCAATTTAGATCGTCAGGAACGAATCCTCTGATGTACCACCACTGTTATGCTCAGACGGGATGAGCAATCTTAACATGTGCAGCCAAGAGGCACACTTTTCTGTACTCAAGGCCCTTATGGCCACTTTTACTCCTTTTCAGGCGAAGAGATAGAGACATATTGAAAACTATGCTTTTTTCTAGCTTGCAACAAGTCTGATAACAACAACTCTATGGCCTGCGGCTTTCACGCAAATATTGAGCAAAACACGAAGACAAAGATTACGTGGTCATTGGAACGAAGTCAAAGAGTGTGTGTGTTAGCTAGCAAAATATAATCAACTTGTGAGATACTCAAAGAATCGAGATTTCAAAACCAGAAAAGGATATATCATCCCAGCTCCTTTCAAGGCCCTAATTGTAGTCCAAAGATTAGAGATCCCCATTTCACCACATTTCATGACCATCCCTATCCAAAACAACTACCCCTGTGGCTTTCAGAGCCGACCTTGGCCCCTTAAGTTTAGCTGCAATGCAGATCAAACCGGCAAGCATAGTCCACCAACACAAAGCTAATATTATAACTCTTATCGTTGGTACAACAATAATGGCCCCTCCCCCCACATTAATGGCTCCGATTCTGGTTCCTTTCCCCGCAGCATCATCGCATCCCTCGACGGCGTTCCACTGGCCATCTTCATCGGGGGTAGAGACCGTGGTGCCCGCGTCAGTACCACACTAGCCATCGTTCGTTGGCGAAGTCGCTGGCTCCATCGTCACAGTCGGCTGCGCCTTCGCCGAAGTGGGCGTAGTTGGTTGGATGCAGACTGCGCCGCCCGTCGAGTCGGGCACGCAGCCGTTGTAGGAGGAATAATTGACTCGGTTTTGGTCTTGGCAAGTATTGAGGGAGGGAATGGCAGTAGCAGAGGCGGCCAGGAGAGTGGGGAGGGTGGTGTACAGGTTGATGGAGTTTAGAAGCGTCTATGGCATAATCTAAATTCAAAAATGAGCTGCCTCATCGTGATGATTGAAAAGAGATTATGAGACATGGCGTAAAAGCATCCTGTGATGGTCCTCACTTTCGCAAGCTCGCTAGGTCGATTGGCACCTTTAAAAAGAACACTGGTGGATTCTCGCCTCAAGATGTAATGATATGCACTCCAATGAGACATTTCATGTTGTGTAGATGCCATACTTCGCTCTTCTAGCCGAACTGATTCCTCTTGAGGTATCCCTAGTCCTTGCAGTTCAACCTCTCGTTTTGGATTCCGAATCCCTCCCTTGCCCATCCTCACAACCGAACTTGTCCTGGCTCATTTGTAATTTATCGCTGAAAGGGTATATTCATCCTATGTAACCAAGAGCGTTAATTCCAAGACTGATATGAGATTTCATTTGACTATTGTTGTTTTCCATCGGTATATTTAGGTATTCTCGCGACAGTCTTACATCGGTGGTGTCATGGTCTATGGGGCCGCATCCCCCCGCTAAACATATTACAATGACTAACCAGCATTTTTATAGGAGTTGCAAATGCTCATCCCATAGGTATAATGCTAATTCTAACCTACAAAGATGGTGTAAGTTAATGTCCTCCGACTTATTACCGTTTATAGTCTACTAGATAAGTAGCTACTAGAAGTATATACGATCGGAATTTTAATAAAGCTGTTTATAATTTACTCTCATAAATTAGACGTATGTTGAGGGATTCACTCCTCTGTTGATGGCCGTGGGGATCTCGTATTGATTTCTGTGTGTGCTCTACGAGCTTATCTGCGTTGGCTGCTAGAAGCGCTCTTGCCCACTACGTAGAAGGAGGAAGGGTCAGGCCTAGCTACACTTGCTGCTACACCCCCTTTGGCGTAGGATATAACTGTGGCACTCAATCCCACAACCGCCATTTAACCAGGTGATGGATCGTATGCACTAGATCACCTGGTGTTTCAACCACTGTTGTGCTCAGACGTGATCAGCGCTCTCAAAATGTGCAGCCAAGAGGCACATTTTTCAATGCTTTGTTATAGCTTGCAATTAGTCCAATGAAAGCTCCAATTAGGTGACCGGTGCGGTGCTCAGGCCACTGCCAGATAATTAGCCCTGCCTTCTACTGCAGGTTCCTAGTTCCTTTCCTTCATCAATACCAATACATCCTGCATTGCCCACAGGCTGCAAATTAGCGCAGGATTCTGCCTCGCTCATACATCCCAATTAGGAACAGAAGTCGGGTAATCAATAGGGCCACTGGTCGTGCTGTCAGGCCTCATACTAATGCAAACACGGCTTAAATCCGCCTTATACCCATGCCTCCTGTAACTGGACGGGCAATCGGACAAGTGAACATTATCAAAATGTCCGATGAGTGTTAACTCCACCGCCCCAAGCGACATCCATCGTGAATCCTACTATGAGTAGGAAGGGAACGACGAGAATGCGAATTATACATATAGAGCCATTTGTCGTCACCTCAATCATGTCTTCTAAACTGTCTCATCATCATACAGTTCAGTCAATCTCATTCTTAAAAACAACACAACCACGAAACAATGCATACCGGTTACCACGCCCGCATTGGCGACGCCGCCAAAATCCCTATTAATGCCCCTAAACCCATCATCTCATTCAGTCCCGTCGTCCTCGATGCCCCAGGTCGCCCCGTCCCCCTTGAGCTGCGCGTAACTGTGCCCTCAACCTCAACCGCGGACGCTCTGCCTATCGTTTTATTGTCCCACGGCCATGGGCGTAGCAACTACCTGTCGTCCCTCGAGGGATACGCCCCTCTGGCCGAATTCTGGGCTGCCCACGGCTTCGCGGTCCTGCAGCCAACGCAACTGGACTCCGCGTTCCTGGGCCTCACGCCCCCTCCAGGCCAGGACTTGTTCTGGCAGGAGAGAGCGGTCGATATGGTCCGGATCCTAGATAATCTCGACGCCATCGAGACATCCGTGCCGGGTCTCACGGCAGGTCGCCTTGATCGCACAAAGGTGGCTATCGCAGGCCACTCGGCGGGAGGATGGACCGCAGCTATGCTCCTCGGTGCCAACAACACCAATCCCTGTGACGGATCAACATGGTACAAACCCGAGCCACGCATTAAAGTTGGCATCGTCCTAGCAGGGATTGGAAATGGAGGCGCGGATATTTCTGAATCCGGCAAGACGCTCTTCCCCTCCTACGGCGGCAGCTTCGGCAAGATGACCACGCCCGCACTAGTAGTATTCGGCGACGAGGATGTCAGTCCCCATCTGACTGTTCGAGGGGCAGATTGGCATGCCGACCCGTACACGATGGCTCCGGGGCCTAAAGATTTGCTTACGCTGCCTGGAGCGAAGCATGGACTGGGAGGCATTAGTGGTTGGGATACGGCGGAGACGTTGGATGAGGATCCCGAGCGGTTGGCGGTTGTGCAGAGGATGACTTGGGCATACTTGTGGAGTCGGCTGTATGAGGTAGATCCGGCTTGGAAGGAGGCCTGTAAGGCTTTGGAAGGGCTTCAGGGGCTGGGCAAGGTTGAGAGCAAGGACTGAGTGACGTTTTTGGATTCTGTTTTCATAGCAATGCTATCCACTCCTGAAAATAAAACCACTTGTTTTGAACCACGGCCAGTTTGACCAGGGTTGTCACTACGATTCTTAACTCCACTTTCAGGAGTCCTTCGGCGAGATGCAATGCCTGCTGACCATTTTGAGGCGGTTCTTGTCGGATAGGTTATCCAGCACCAAGCAGTCTTGAGGCAGGATTTGTGCCACAAGGTCATGACCGTTCCCGTTACGTAATTGTATTTTCTCTCGAAGTAGGTTGTCCACTAGATGGTTCTACACGAATCCTGGATTTCAAGCCAAAATTGGTCCTCGACATAGCTTGTGTGCCCAAAAGCTGGCGCTAGCCAGCTGATGGACTGGACACAACTGCGAGGGATTTATTACCTGGAGACCCCAATCAATACCCGATCACTCTTTCTTAACCCGCATAAGATCCCTCTTGGCCACGTACAACACTTCATCCTTCGTGGAATTCTTGACGGTGAAAGCTACGAAATCGTCGTGCTCAACCATAAATATATATTACATCGTAGGACTCTCATCGATGGTCGTAGCCGCTTTCTTGAGAACGTCATCTAAGATAGAGGACAAGATGCCCTGATTTTACGACCCATTTCCCTTATTCGCCATGTGTCCCTTGGCGAGGGAAGGAAAGATGAAATGCCGTAGCAATGAGGAAGGCAAGCTAAAACCACTTTGGGGGCTCTTAAAGAGTTTCGTGCGGGTATTCAATTTGACAGCAAAAGCAACTTGACTTCTCAATCTGCTTGTCCACAGTACAGTATAGCTAGCCTTCGTGCCTTCCTCTGACGCTAGCAGATCGTTGTGGAAACCTTCCCTCGTGTCAATTCCTTCCATAAATCAAATCCACATCCCATCGCGCCAGAGTGTGCATCACGGCTTGGTCTAGTGTAGCGAATGTAGTTTGACAAGATAGTCAAGAAATTTGCTTTTCTCTTTTCAGACTTTCCAGTCTGGGGGCATCCTATCCCATTGTCGCATCAGACTGTTCACTTTTGATGCGTTGTATTCAACATAGCGAATGGCTGCTGTGGAGTGTAAAACCACCCAACTCGCCTCTTTGTTCTAAGACCATAGTTGAAATTCGTGCCAGTGGAATAATATGTGTATGAGACAAATTCTAATATAGCCATAATATCTAGCCGAATGGATTTTGAGGGGTGTTTGATTCTATCGGAGAGAGACCCCATACATCAAATAGATATTTGCCACTGAAAGCATCTCCCGAACCAAGTTGCGCCCCAAGAACTGTATGAACGTACATTAACAGCATTTCAACAATCAAAGCCAATATACTCCTGAGAGCTGTGCTTGAGCTCTTGAAGCACAGAGACACAAGCCAAGTGGCCCTCCTCCTGCGCGCGCACAACTGCTTCATCATAGTCCTTCGCTGTGAACGCTGGGTCTGCTTTCTTCGCCAAAAAGCTTATCATCCCAAACCGTCCATACTTTGCAGCAAATTCAAGTGCAGAGTACCCGTCAACCTGACCCTTAGGAGCATGCACATGCGCACCGCAACCAAGCAGACGCTGAGCCATTTGTATCGATCCAATCTTCGCTGCAAGTTGGAGTGCCGTTGCACCTTGACTGAAAGCAGGGGGTGCGTTGACATCTGCGCCGTGCTGTAAGAGGAGTTCCACGATTTGTAGGCTTCCTACTTCGCAAGCCTTTTGCAAGGGGGTATGTTTCAACCCTAACCTCGCTGCTTTTTGGACATCTGCCCCCCTTTGGATGAGCAGTTCGACCAAGGACAAACTCTTTGTTTGTATGGACTCCAGAAAGGCAGTCTGGGTACCTTTATTACGTATTATGCTGAAGAAATTCGGGGGAGGTAAAGTTCTTACGGCTTCATAACGTGCTCTTAAACTTGCTGGGCCGTTGATATCCCCTCCAGCATCCAGGAGCTTTTTGACCAAGTCCAAATGACTGCAACCGTACTCGCGGATAACGAATCCGAAGAAAGTCACATTTTCTAATCCATTCAACTCGGATCTATCATCATATATAAAGCTGTTGACGTCTAGTTTGGCGCCCAAGCAAAGATCCAGGACCGCAGCCGAGTGTATCTTGAGGGCGGACAGCAACACCGTGCCTCCAAAACCGGTGCGTCCGTTGGGATATCGTTGGCAAAAATTCCGAAGCATGATGCTAAGGACTTCGCCAGGTGCGTTTAGAGCCCCAATTAATGCCCCGGTGTTCGCTGGGTCTGCGCCTCGGTTCAGAAGAGAGTGTATGAGGCTTGAATCTTGCACGGACACGGCAGCAGCGAGGGGAGAAACAATGGTATTGGTGGCCCCCAGGGGATAGTCGAAGCCAGCATTGACATCAGCCCCAGAGTAGATCAGAAGCTTAATCAAGGGTTCGTTACCTGTCTGTATTGCGACAGACAGGGCGGGAGCATGTGTAAATGCATTGAGGTCAGCGCCGATAAAGATCAAGTCTTGAACAATAGACAATTCTCCCCATGCGGAGGCCATCTCCAAAAGAACGGGCTTGAATATGTGAGAACCAATTACGCAATCTTTGGCATCCTCGTCAATTCCGCAACTTTTATCCAAGACGGTCCCGAAAGTTGCGTCATATCCGTAATGGATGTCGGGGTTACACTCCAGGATTGCCGAAAACATTCGTCTACTTTTCATCTTCAACGCCTTCTTCAAAGATAGACGATTTGTATAAGCACCAGCTGCAAGTAGTATCAAAGCAATGTCTTCATGTTTGTCATGCATCGCCCGGCGAAAAGCCTGCATGAGCGCCGACTGGGTTGGATGCGGCACCATTTGAAGGAGCTTTTGAAGGTAGGGCGCATTGCCAACCTCCGTTGCAGCTAGCAGAGAGAATTCAAAACGATCATCTTCTTCCAGGCGAGCAAGTGTGCCGCCTTCTTCGAAACGGTTGATCAGTACGTCATTGCCTGTTCGAATTGCTTCTGCCAATGGTGTTGTCAATGGTGTTGTATAGGTATTCGGCAAATGACGCTCGAGGTTGATGCAGCATGGTGGTGCATCTATATTGACGCCTTTGTTTAGAAGATATTCGACGAGCGCCCGGCTGCCTGATCTGACAGCTGCTGCAAGCACACCGTCCAGCCCATCCAAGAACGCATATGTAAGTAATAGCTCGATGAGTTGTAGGTTTCCCCTCTTCGCTGCAGCGACTGTTGCGTCTTTTATGGGCTCCTTGCGGTCGTCCATACATTGGTTGCAGTTTGTACTTTGACACGCCTGTATGGTCCAATGCACAACCTTGTTGGCTAGCTCGTTGGGAATATGAATGATGATATTGACGAGAAGGCAAGATGATTCATGCTTCTTTTCAAATAACTTCGCATGCCAGGACGGAGAGAATTTAGACAGGACTGCCACAATCAAGTCTTCATTTCTGCAGAAGATGACCGTCTCAAGTATCCTGACAGATACTTCAGCACCGTGATCTAGAAGCAGCTTCACCAACTTGATATCGATCTCCCCGCATTTGGGCCATATACCAAGGGCGCATTCTAGGGCGTCGTATTCCGATTTCCAATGTTCAACTACATAGGTTTTGTTGACATCAGCGTCTGCGTCAAGCAGACATTCCGTCATCTCAATATGACGCAACGCAGCTGCTCTCTCAATCGGCGTGCGGCGAACCTGCATTGGCTGACCAAAATCGTGAGATTTATCGATAAACTCGGTACAGACAATGGCGTTCACGTCCACAAGACTAGTCTTCAGAAGGGCCCGCACAACCTGGGGCTCACAGGCCTCAATCGCAGCCCTGAACAGATTTTCGGCCAGGGCCTGAGAGAAAACATTGCCTGTTTCTTGAAGAAAGTCGAGGGTGGACTGCACATCCTCTTGCTAAGCAACGAGCTTCAAAATGGCCTCCATCGGGATGTTCGCAAGACCAATAAAATTATTCGCAACAGCGAAGGAAAGCAGTCGAAGAAACCCGGAATCGATGATGCCATTTCCACCTAAGAGGTTGAGACCGAGTGTTCTGCGAATTCATCTGTAAGAGGACCAATGGGTAGGAGGCACTGTAAACCGTCGAGCAGTTCCTCGCCGGTCGGCAATTCCGTAACAGTCACAATCTTTGTAGAATTGTTTTGTCGAGAGCTAGCTGAAATTGCATCTAGAATGAGACCTCGAGAGAGCCGGAGAGATTCGGACTCCACAATGGCACGGTGAGGGGCGAAGGTGAGTTGATTCTGGACATCAACGCCCATGAGGCTCTCACGATTCTCAAAAGCTGTAACATCGTGTCAATAATATGCAAATAAGAAATCCATAAATTTCTAAGCATCCATTTGCTTGGGGACTGTCAGACTAAATAACATACCTTCAGGTTGCGAAAGGGTTTGAGCCTCGCTAGAAAAGTCCCGGAACTCATGTTGAAGTTTACACTGGATACAAGCGGCGATAAAGGCAACCCGTTCAGTAATCCAGATATGGGAATGGATCGAAGGAATTCGTTCACTCCTGCGACACCAGACTGAAAAGGCGAAAAAGAGAAGTTGGCACCGGGCGACTGAGTGTGTTCGAAAGGCGTCAGGGCGAATAAGGGGGACAAAGCGCCTTGTTCAACCTCAAACATTTGCCCGCTTTCTCGCTGATTCGTAACCTCGATCTCGTCAACTGGATTGGCAAACGACAGGCCTACAGCGCCGTCGTCAGACATTGGACCCAGGCCATCGCCCATAAACTTTGCCATAGTAGAAGGCGATAAAGGAAGTAGATTGCTCCCAGATGCGGGCATGCCTTCTGGATGAGATGCACTGAGGTCGATATCGAGAGCGTTCGCATCCCCCATGTCTACCAAGAGGTTATCAAGTGGATTGTCGGCAACAATCTCATTGCCGGGTAATTCAGTAGATCTCATCGCCCCGCCGGACGAAAGTTGCAAATCCACATCAACTTGCGCACTTCCATCATGTGTGTTCTGTTGTGTGTGTAGCCTGGATGTGACCCCCTCTGGGACCTGTGAGAGACAGTCTGCGACTCGGAAGGTTAGTCTCAGCCAGCAAGACTTTGGAGGATACGACTGGCACGCTTACCTGCATCAGGAGGGTGTTGATCAGAACCGATGTTCCGACCATACCGCCTTCGACATCTCTGTATCTTTGGTCGATCAACTCGCTGCCCTCCAATAAACAGATCACAGCTATGATTTTGACTTTGGTGGTAATCAACGAGTCGCAGTACTTTACGCCATTCATCCCCAGAGGTTCTTGCGACAGTGCCAGTTTCTTAAAACTGTTTCATACTGTGACGCACTGTATTTCATAGTTTCAGTTCGTAAAATTCATCTAGTAAACACGATCATACGAGCCTGGCTTCAAATCCATGTTGTTCTTGCATGGTCGTTCTGATCGTCTCGACTGTGCTTCCTTGTGTTTGCCAGAGGTGCATGATGGCAGCCTTATGCGGTTCCCACTCACTTAGAGTAATCCTACGGACTGTAGCCGGCATTCTAGATCACGAATAGATAGGACGCTCGAGGATTGAGAAATAGGGGTGATGGGTGATATGATTTCCACGACGGACAATGCAATCATGAAGGACTTGACGTCTGACACAGGTAGTTGACACTGGTGGAGGAGGCTAGGCGTAGACAGCTCCAGATATGTATGCATAAATGAGAGAGGCTTACAATGATGAATGTTGCGGTGATGGCCCAGCATAAAGATACTTATATGGAAAATCAAACTGGCAGGGTTCGCCCAATGAGGCTGTAGGTTGTCACACCATTGCAGGAAGCCAGGTTTTGGTCAGATTTTGGTCACTGATGTCGGATGGTGGCACAAGAGCAAACCGCTTAGGCCTGAACTCATTTTCGTTTCTTCTTATTCGCTGGTAACTGCAAATTTGTCGACGTGTACCTGCAAAGATGTGCAAGTGCAAAACGACCCCGCTCGATGAACAGAGGCTTTGAACCATGGCGAATCATCATGCGGAGTCTTCCTCGTCAAGCCAAAACACGGCGGTTTAACCCACTGCGATCCAATCAATGTATGTTTGGGACATCAATAATATGTAAGGAACACTTCGACGAGTTATTACTGTGGGTCATGGTGCCAAGTAGTACGCACTTGAGCGAAGGCGCCAACAGACCGATAGCCCCGCAGGAGCGACATCATGCAGCATCAGCAGCCTGCTCAAGAAGCCTCGTCCTCACAATCAACGCCCAATCCTGCGGCTCTGGACTTGAATGATTCTGTTTCGTGGCGCTTGATACAGGCGGTGTTACCGCTATCGTCTTGTCTCTAGCCTTCAACCCACGCACAATTTGCAAGTTCGTTTTCGGTATGCTCAACGCCTGAATACCCGTTAGAGAATTCTCCGTAAAAGGTCAGCAGAGATATATTCATGCTGTCAGATGCTGTGGCCCACTTCACTCATGATCTTCAGAACAGCCTTATTTGACTCCCCTTGTCTCGGTTGTGCGGAAACGCAGAGCTCCACCATATCGTCCAAAACGGCGACAATGCCCTCTCGTGTTTTGCTCACACCGGGCTTGACGTGGCATTGGATATGCAAGGTACCCAGGGGGGCTGTCTTGGTTGCCTTGACGAGGGTGATGGCCGAACGGGCAGCCATGGGGTGTGGTTGATGTATGGCGTTGCACCTGACTCGGAGGCTGCGCTGGGCCGCGGACCACATAACAGCTGTAATGAACAAATTCGTCAGGGTAATGGAGTGGATCCAGTCATAGCCACACAAGCCACATCTCATTCTCGTCTTCTATATCCTAGTCAAGCAGGGCTATAATGTCCAATAAGCACCAACGCATCATCTCAATCGTATCTAAAACTCAACTCGATATTACGAATCTCTAGTGTCTTATCGTCCAGCGGAATACACAAGATGCGCCTGAGAACCCACCCACGTCCAAATTATTTAATTGTTTAACTCTATTTGATCAAGGGGTAAAATACCAATATCGATTTTATATCTGAACGGATTTCCGTCTTAGTAGCTAGAGTCTTCATCACGATGATGCATGGGGGCAGCTATAGAGGTTATTCCTGATGAGAGATACGATACGCTCCATCGACCCTGTCTAGCGAACTGTGCCGCTGTCTTGCAGTTGTAACCTTAGCAGAGCGCTTATAAACAGGCCAAACACCCTAAAGTTTCCGACCAGAATTCGTCGGAATCATGTCCTAACTATCTAGATATCGAGTGTTGCATGTACTGGTGTGTTGACGGCTTGGGCGATTTGATCGCGTCGACATCGTGTGTCCCCTCGATTGTGCATCGAGAAACGACAACTTCGGTTGTTGACGGCAGTATTACTGTCGCTTATGCGCGTAGGTTTGTCAATCTGCCGATTTAATACGAAGATAATAGTAGCTGCTAATAGCTTTCACGAGCCTACGGCATGGAAGAGGTGGTATCAGACTCAAAAGGTGATGCCCAAACTGGTAATTCCGTGTCTTCCATTTATACGACATCGGATCTGGCACCTGCAACATCGCCCTTCGTTACGAGCATTTCCCTAAGCACCTCATTGGGCGCGGATTCCGTTTCGGATACGCGATAGTCTCCAAGTGAGGCTACTAACATGGGATCAGCCACAGGTTCTATAGCGCAACTTCAAAGCACATCTTCAGTGGCCGGGGCGGTGCGTTTTCGGGCACTGCATTACAAAGATTCCCACATAGCATCTGTTATTTATTCCCTGTCGGCATTATTGATTTCTTGAGGGAAAGGACTGGAGAAATCCTAACCTAGCCATCCGTATAGTGCGGCATCATGCAGTCAAAAGACATTGTAGTTCCCAGGAAGGAGAAAGTTAGAGCAAAATATTCATGAGAGATTCGGAAGGTTCTTCATCTGAAGTGCTGGGAAAGCAGAATTTTATCAATATGACGGGGTGTTGAATGCGTCCATCTGAACGTAGGAACTCGGGATTGACGCTGTCCCTATAGGGAAAACGTCTCCTGAGTGAGACGGAGGCAGCCAGCTAAGTTATCGCCGCAGGAGTTGTGATTCCACACAGTCAACAGGACGTCTTCTCCCGAAACGATACCTTTGGAAATTCCAGTTGGAGATAGCTTATCCCCACGAATTTGAATCCAAAGATATTGCCAAAAGTCTCCACCACCGCAGCGATGGTTGGATAAAATTAAAATTAATCGGAGAAGCTTTTTCATACTATGAGCCGGATTCCATAGTTCATAATCATGTGCTATGTTTTACCCCTGCAACATCCAGTACTCCCCACACTGAAGCTGTATCCTAGACGACGGGGCTAGAGATTGAAATGCCATGCGTACGTGGTGAATGAAGTGGCCGTGATGATTGATGCTTCCACCATCCACAGTGTGATGCCTGACCTGCAAATATCTCCGTGTATGCTTGTGCTTAATCGCAACCCTGGCCCAAATATTCCTTTCGCGCCGGCGTAGTTCCTCACCCCACGTACTGACCACTCGTACAGTTGCGTATCCTTCTCCGCTTATAACATAGCGGAAGACACAGGCTTTCCCACGCTCTACATGCCATAGCTCCATGAACTGAAGTTTAGGCATTCGAAGAGCGGCCCTGCCTGCAGCATGGATTACCATCCCAAAGCTTCTCTCGTTCAAGAGCTTAGAAGTCAGAGCGATAGTCCGTAGGTTCCTCCACCGCAAATCTTGGGTCGCCTTTTGGCCGGCGGAGAACTCGTCAAAGAAATCTATGGCATCTACGGCAAAAGCCACGTTTATGGACTTCAAATCGCGGGTCGATCTCGCCAATACCTTCCCCAGCTCTGAGTTCCTGGAAGCAGTTGTATGGACCGAATAGTTGAGTATATCGCTGAAGTCCTCAAATAGGAACAAATATTGGCATCTATTGGATCGTCCTATGAATTCGAACAGTGCTTTGTACTGTTCATCTCGTTTCTCCCGATGCGCTGTGCTTACACCACGCCATGGCTCGTACTTTATCTGCCGAACCTGGGGAAGCGCTTTGATGACGGGGATCAAGCAGTCCTTCACCGAAAAAGCGCGATAAAATTGTCGGCGGATCATTAGTACGTCCACGACGTGGACTTCTGGCAGACTTTGCAATACTCTGGCGCAGGATGCGCGACGATCAAATCGAAGTCCTTGAATGGATCCCGTGACTCTCTCCTTCGTGCTTTCGGGAATGTTAAGAATCCGGCCCGCGCTGACCCAGTGGTGCTGTGGATCGTCTCGTGGTTGCAGCTTGCGACCTCGGATGCCAGAACTGTAGGCCGTGTCGTCTATTCGAGCTTCTAGCTCTTTGAAATGATGTTCTGAGTCGCTTGGTGAATGTGCGCTAAGTTCAAGCGTCAATAGAGCCTCTCGCTTGGTGCATGAAGTCCACGGGCTCATGATGCGGAAGAGTTTCCATATGGCGGAAGTTAACAGGAGATTGTGCTCTCTATCCTCGGCATCGGACTCTCTTTCATTGCACTGATTGCAGTCGTAATTTCGAAGCTCCAAACGTAGCCACAGGTGGTTCACTAGATCTCTCCGGTCGCTGTGTACTATGCGCTCGAAATTTTCGAGATCATCTTGATGTAGTCTGAGGTGTCTGAAGGTTTCCTTCTCAAAGAACTTTTGCCATTCTTTGCAGATCGCCGCATAGTCGGAAAGACGTTGGGATGTTTCGCCGGCATTGATGGACTCATCGCTGGATAAGTATTCGAAGACCATATATCTCAACTCATGTGGTAAACGAGACCAAAGAGGAGCTGCGGCATGCGATTGTAGTTTGCGGGCCATTTCGAGCATTCGTTGGTGGTGTGCGGTATGAGAAGCTGACAGTCAGTCAACGGGTTTTTGTGGAGGCTAGTAATGACGCATGTATTTCTTTCACAAAAGCTTTCAGTAAAGAAAAGAAACCTGTCGACCTATATAAAAATCATTTCTCAAACAGTTTCTCCCGTATATGACCAGTAGGTGTATCTCCGAGTATGGTACTTACAAAAGTAGTCTCCACTCACAACCTGGTGGCTTCGAGCCCAGTGTGTCCACACTGTGTCCAAACTTGAGGAATAGCAGATTCTTCCAAAATGGATTGATTTCACTTTGAACAGTATCTAGTTCTGAAGGCGCATCCATACAATGCGCACGGTGAAGTCTTATAGGCCTTGCTGCGACGCTGTTCGATGCTCAGTTAAAAGTGGGATATACGCAGTTAACAACTCAATGGTTCCACTCAATTTGTTGCATGAGATAAGCTCATCAGCTTAGCAACCATTCCGTCGTCCGCTTGCTTGGGCCATGTTAACTCTTCGGCTGTGCATCAGACCGGACTAGCTCAAAAAGATATTTGCACATCTATATGGTGTAACTGGCTACCAGTGCCTACGCAGCTATTTCAAACGACCATTGCAGCGGTCCACACCGCTTTGTTCCTTTGATTCCGACAAACAACTGCCACCATAAACTTCATTTCTCCTCAACGATTCCCTCAAGCTGGAGAGCTTCGTGGGCCATCGCGAATCGTTCGTTCAAGTGAAGAAACTGTATAAGGGAGGGTTCTATTGTACATGGTAAAAATACAAGGTAGACAATACGCCTATTCAACGTCGTCATCTACAAATCGGATCGACCACCTACTCTAAAATTAGAAACGGTTAGCTCTATCGCATATCAAACCAGAACACGCCCGAGGAAACATAAATTGGCTAGAAATCATACCACTATTGATTTGGTCTTCGTCTTGAGGAGTATAGTCCCAAGGTAACACAGGTATAAACAAATGTGAAACCCTTCTAGCGTTTTTCATTTCTAGCCCACCAAAGCTCATCTGTGCGCCATTGTCGCTCCATCCTCCAGAGCTGGTATTCCAGCACAAGTTGACTAGGGCGGTGAATGTTCGCAACCTCGGCTGCACGGTGAGGAAAATATTTGCCAGTCCGCATCATCAACTTACGAGCTCGTGACTGGGCGTACCCCCTTTGCAGCCGACTTCGACGATCACAGCTTGATTACAGTTCCAAAAGGTGCTTGGCGGGATCTCAGAAGAGTGGGTTCAGGATCAGGCCAGCAGGGGCGTGTTGAAAGAGGCACCAGGCTGTATGTCGCCATCGTGCTATGTATCACTTTGAGCTTCTAGCTAACCAAACGGGAAAATACTCTTCCACAATCTACTTCCTGCCCGTTGAACAGGAAATTCGCAAATTGCATACTGATGAATGCGAGAAAGGGATGCTCCAGTTTTCCAACAGCAATTTCGACTGGCTGGTCGACATTTCCGCAAAATGATGGTTGTTGACCCCCGCCAACGAACTACGCCGCAGGACCTGCTTGCCGAGACACATTAGGCGAACGGTCACAGAAGAAATACCAAGTCTAAGTCACTGTTAGCGTGAAAATCCACAGATACGTTTCAAGACCTCAGATTAGATCGAAATAATCCCAACTTCTGATGGGACGAAATTACGACATCCAACCACAGATTCTGACTCAAATAGAATTATGCATTTGGCTCAATATCAAACAATACAGTGGGGCAAATATACGTCATCCAGGGTCTAGCTCGATCTGTAAGCCAACATCAAGTCCCCTGGTTGCGTCACTACCGCCTCTCACAGCAACTACAAAACTCCATAACTTTGCAACTGTACAACAGTTACTCGGCTGAACCCATCATTACACCAAAAAATAAACCAAACCAAAAAACCCATTGAAATGCTCATCCAAATCCTCCATTTAGGCCAAGCCGCCCTTGCCGTCTACGGCGGCCAACAATCTTACACGGCGATCCAGAACCTCCTCAAATACGAAGAAAAAGCCAAAAAGTTATCCAAGTTCTCCAATGAAGCAGAGCGGCAACTGCACAAAACGCGCACCACCATGACCTCGGGAGCCGTCAGCCTCCTCGTGTCCCTACTCGTCTCGCTGCTCCTCGCCTTGCGCGGACACACATACGGGTTCCTTGTGCGTTTGCTTTCGTCTCCGGTCATGCTGGTGGCGGTTTACTCTGCGCGCTCGCACATCCAGGACTACTGGGCAGCGAGCGACGGGAGAACGGTGGGGCCGCGGATACCGGTGAAGAAGTTGGAGGGATATAATGAGGCGCAAAGGAGGACGGAGGAGTTACTTGGGGTATTGGAGTGGTTGATGTACACTTGGGGGGTTACGGCGTTGGTGGCTGTTGCGGGGGATTACTAAATGGCACTCGAAATCAGACACCATTTGAATGTGGAATTTTGAGGCAACGTATTGCCATGCGAAATTGGCGAGGTGCTGAGTATTGAAACACAGTAGGGGCATATGTCACTTATTGTTTGCTGTTTATGTGGGCTATAGTTACAGGCGGGGGAGCTGATAGATGATGATGACGATTTTCCCAGGAATCTGCACCATGGAAATGTCATCTATGGGCAGCTGGCCCAAACGCTATACTCAGCACCCAGGTGGTGTGCCTCGGGCACGCAACAGTTAATATGCAAAGTCGAAGTAAATGATTATTGTACATACCTTGGCGTTTTTAGAACTTTCTCTGGAACGCGCTAACCTTATTTACATGTGTGACTGACTGGAGCAGCACTTCCACCCCAACGTGTAACTTCTGCGCCTCCGTCCGGGCCTCTTACGTTCCCGGTCTCTGATTCCCCTGATCCGTAATCAAAGCTCTGATATTCTCCTGCTTCTCTGCCCTCCTGCGCTGCTTTATTGCGTCTTTAGCTAGCCGGTTTCTCTCAGCCCTCTGGTTTCGAGACAGTTTAGGCCGATATTTTCTCGTCGTGACCTTCCGTAAGCAGCAACGCTTACGTTCGTAGCGCGAAATTCCACGTATCTAGTGGTGTCTAGCATCTTCCCACCCATCCGTGCCGAATCTCTACACAACGAGCTTTCGGCGTTTTCTCCCCTCCTAGCTGCTGCGAACCTAGCAATCTTGAGTGATGAGTTCAGCTTGTCGGGCAGTAGGCTTCCATCGAAGGGAGTATCAACGCAAAGTAGTTGTACTCCTCCAAATTCCTTTCCACTCTCTCGCGGCCGTAAATTTGAGCATTACTAGGGGATTGTTGCTTGATCTATAGAACCTCGATGTTCTCCGGGGCCATGAGGCCGTGAAGAATGCCTAGGTAGCGCATGGCGTCGTCTCCGGGGTCTTTGTAGAGAGGTCGATCGAATCTGCGGAGGGAGGGAACCCGAAGAGGCAGATTGTGGATTTGACTCCGGGGGTATTTGGTATTGGAGATGTGATTGTGGGTTTTATGATTGTGCGTAAATCGATCCGAGCCTTGCGATACTGGGAAAGTCCTGGAGCAGGGCGTTGAAATCGCGCTGCATGTGATGGCCGGCTAGTTAGACGTCTTTTCCGTGACATTTTCTTTGGTGAATTTTCGGGTGCGGCAGCCCTGAGTGAGAATTAAACGTTCTAAAGCGTTCTAAACTTTTCGTCGATTGTTTGGCCCTCAAGAGATGGGAAGCCCGATACCGAATATCGATTAGGGAGTACATCCTGTGACCAGTTCCCTCTGGACATATAATGTTGACCAGGGCCGTTTATCTTCAAATTCGTTGTACTGCACTAGATACGGTGAGAGATTTTGGCCTCCTGGTTTATTAAACACCACATCGACAGTATCTCCGATATCAACCTACCGGTTCTACCAAGTGCAGCAAACTACACTTGAACTTGATGTTCAGACTAGATGGGGTATTGTTTCGAGTTTGACAGTTCTGTGGTCTCTTCTGTCCTGCCATGGAATAGGGGGTGGCGGTGTGCAACGCGTGCCACGATCCAAAGGGCGCACATTTCAGTCACCTAGTCGAGTGGGCCCTCCAAAACGCGATAATACTGTCAACGGCTTGTTTTGGCATTTAATTATATTTCCAACTTCGCATAATCAGTCGCTTTCGCTCCCACCCTCTCCACCATGTTCTGGGCGTTTCATAGCAACCGGCCTCTTCCACATCCAAGTGCTATATCCTCCGACTCTAATCAAGTCCCTCGGGATCCTCAACACCTCATCATCTGATAATAAGTGCTCGACAAAGTCTGCTTCTGTCGAATTGGCAAACAGGAACTTTAATGTTGCTGCAGACTGCTGCCGATAGATTTCAACCAAGTGCTCAACCACTTCGCCCATCCGCTTGCGTCGATCCGCAGGTTGTGCAAAGAACCTCAAGCCATCCACAATGAGTATCACGATTGCATTGGAAGGGAGTTTTGCCAAAAAGAAGCCGAACATCGCACAGATGCTTGTGATGTCTTGGGGATTTAGTTCATCCATGACTACTTCCAAGTCTTCCGAGTCGAAATCGCGATGGCTGTCTAGCAGTTGCAGAAGCATGCTCATAGCTAGTTCTGCCGGATGTCCATTCTCGTCTTTACGGTAGTCTCGGTGTTGGCTGCAGAAGAATGCCAGTGGTATCAGTTCCGTGGCTGAGCCTTTCTGTTCGTTGGAAACATCAATAGCCCGCTGGAAGGTTTTGGCGCTGACTACCGACATCTCGAGATTTGACGTCGGATCTGAATTTGCGTTGATGAAGAGCAGGGAGGATTCGTTGAGGGCCAGCCATGCATTGAAACGTGGATGGTTCTGAATAGCCACGACGCGGTCTTCCTCGATGTCGTGCCCGGCTCTCAGTGGGATTTTAAGAACGTTCTCGCAGTCGGTGGGAATGAGTTCTGGGTCGTACAGATATCGTTTCAAAATATCGCTGACGTCTGGAGCTGGGCTGATGAGTTTGGGCTTTGATTTCTGGCGGAGCACATGCCGTCTGCGGTCCTCTACTACGACGCCAGCGTTAGTATTAATCTAGCGAAATGCATCGTTCACAACGTACGTGCGTCTTGTTGACACTCAAGGAATGGTTTCAGTCTCTCGAGCACAAGAAGACGCGAATTTATTTCCTCGATACCGCCCATGATCTGCTGAGACATGTGCATGCTCTGCCCTTGCATGTACATGATGGAATGGTTTTGTTGCAGAATTTGTCGTTGGCTCTTTGCGGAGATTATGGCAGTGTGAGAGCCGAAATGTTGAGTTGCTAGTTTGACTTCGGCGATTCTGTCCTTCAGTCGATCAGAGAACCCGGAAGGGTTGACGGTAATTTTGGCCACAGTGGCTTCATTCACGTCAGCTCAGCCGAAATCGATCTTCAATCTTTAACTAGCTGCCTACCCAGTGGGTTCTTCAAGAACCAGGCCAAGATAAGCTCCATAAGCCTGAATAGCGAGGTATATAACACCGCTGCCCGTCTATGAAGCTGCTCGTCTTTCTTGTTGAGGTCTATCATCGCTGCATGGTCATTTAAGACCAGCGGCAGTTCCTCGAGAGCCTTGTAGATCTCTTGTCGATAGGTGCCTGTCTGCTGAAGACCAGTAAAGATGACCTTCAGACCTCCGCATAGTACTGAGCAGTAAGAGTCAGTTGGCACAAGGTTCAATAAGGTCATGCCAGCCCCAGAGTGTTGACAGAGTGTTCGAAATGCACTCCTCATCCTCCCTGTCAAGCCTTTTGGCACGTTTTTGTCCCGCTCAGACAGCTTTTCCAGGGCATTGCAGGCATTCAACACTGATTCTTCGACTTCGTCCCACGAGTTTATGTTCGCATGGCCGATGCTGGGGAGCTTGCGCTTCTTGCAAAACTTATTCGCCGTGGTGATCAGCGAGTTCTGAGCTTCGACGCAGCGACTGTATATCTCATTGAAGTTACTAAAATTCGCATGTGAGCCACTTATATGAAGTTTCGTGGATTTTGAAGCAAGCTTTGTGCTCACTGTTCATTATCATCATCTCGCTCTGGAACCCATTCATCGATCAGACCATTGAAAACAACTCCCGAGCTTGAGGTGGCATTCAAAGCTGACACGGTTTTCCCATCCAATCTCTTCACCATGAACTCTGAGACCTCGGGGTGAGTTGGTTGTCGCTGCGGAGTATCTTGAATCTGCTGGCTAGCCATTCCGACTTTGATATTTTCGTCAAGGACTCAAATACTTGATTGACGGTGATAGTTTCAAATCTCTACAGCCTTGATTGCAGAATGGATACTACAAACGGGTGTGCACGGCGGCGTTCAGTAACACATGCTGCCTGGTGCAGTGCAAGATTCATGATGGTAGATCACACAGGCAGCAAATTGTGGCTTCCTTCCTAACCAATTATATCTGCTGGGTGCCACACCAAACATCGGTTTGAAGATTAGAACCGGTTCTATACCAATGGGACAGGAGCAATATCCTTCGAGTCTCTTCAGCTTTGCTGCACCATGCAGGAAATGGCCCCCAACATGCGTTGCCACTTCCTGAGTTGCACAAATAATTATAAGCACTAAGCCCGGGGGGCCGTGAGCGGTGCCGGATGCAAAAAGAAAAAAAGGATTCTTGCCATGATAGCGCTGGGTGATCCCGGGTTGTTAATAATCTTTACTTTTCCCTGGCAGTTTCCTCCCCTTGTGTTTACGATCCGATCTCCTGAGTGCCTTGGTATGTTAGTATTCTAATTTGCGATGGCGGAAACGATTGCCAGTCCTGATTCCTTGGTTTCGTCCGGCGACCAGTATTCGCCTCAGGCTCCAGGCAAGACGGCGCCTCTGGATCCGGCGCTAGCTTCAAACCAGGAATTGGTCCATGATGCACCGCCAGAACCTCAACTCCCGCATGCTAGTAGCGATGTGTCTGCTTCCCCAGATGCAGGTCCACGGCCTCCTGAGTCGGACGAGACGTCACCTGGAGACAAGGCGCCGCCGGCTGAAACACCAGAACATCAAATCAAAGATGATGAACGAGACCCTAGACTGTCTGAATACCATGATAAATTGGTGAAGAGGTTCTCCCGGACTATTAACATCATTGAAGGAGAAATTGAAGAGCTGCTGGATGAGCACAAAGCCGTACTGCCACCCAACCTTGAACGCCAGATTGAGATGCTTCATAAATTGGACAACCAGTTCAAAGCAGAAGCCCCAAAGTAGGAGAATCCACGTCTCGGAAATTAAATTGGCTTATTAACTTCATATACTTGTAGAACCGAACCTAGTAGTGACTCGGATGATTCCAGTGACAGTTCTGAGACCGAATCTGACGCCGACTCCGAAGACGACAAAGAAATGCAAGTGGGCGAGGTCAAAAGGCTGGCCATGGATGATTGGGAAACTCCGTTTTTTCATCCCAAGCAAGATCGCAGGACCGTCATCAGGGCATATTACCACCGTATCCCAGGCCCCCAAGAGTCTGGCGAACATCCCTGTGAACCACTGAAAAGCAACAAAGAAAAACCCCAGAGAGTTGTCATAGACTCAATTATTTTGAAGAGAGAACTTGAGGAAGTGTCAGGAGTAAGTCTGGTCTATCTGCCAGTAATGTAAGAAATACGCTTGAACCTAGTCAAGGTTATCACTGACGCATGCTAACATCACGACGCAGATTGGCCACACCATACAAGGTTTGCAGCTCATACCGCCTGTAACAAATTCATCATTGCTCACTCTGTATTGACAGCTTTTGCCAAAATTCTACCCCCAGTTAGGGGATAGATTGGCCAGCCTAAAGGATGACCTTGCGCAAATGGACCAGGAGAAGACGTCGGGTAGCTCCCAGCAAGCCGAAGATGATGGGAAAGATGCAGCCATGATGACTGCAAGCTCAGAAGTAGAAGCAGATGCAGATACTCCAGCTAAGGAACATCATCTTCCGAAGACAGGTGGCGGCACGCCACCCAGGGCTGCCAGCCGTAGTCAGTCCAGCACTCATCACGCGCATGCGAACCAAGTCCAACGTCCAAAAAGGTCAATGCAGGAAGTGCAGCTCAGTCGGCGCCGAAAAGGGCTAACGATCCGCATTGCCCATCTGCAGCTCTTAATCGATTTCATCAAGACGGATCTGTTCCACTACCTTCAACTGCAGGCCAAAATCGCAGATGCATCTCTGGAGAAGATCGCCTTCGAGGATCTTTGGTACCTTTTCCAGCCTGGCGAAGTATTGTTTTTCAAACAGGGCGAACACGAGCAGTTATACAGAACGTACGCAGTCACAGGTGGCCAACAGCGCAAAGAGTAACCGCACGACTGAAGAGAATGATAGGAGGCTGCGCGAGAGAGAAGACGCGCGCTACCGCCGAGGGCGACGCCCACCGCCTCCACCTCTATTCTTGTACTCGGATGGATCTTCAAGCGATGAGAACATTAACAAATACACTATCGTCGAGGCATCCGGGATTGGAACGTGGAGCCCCCTGACCATCGATTGTTTCAGCATGGGCTTTGATGGGGTTCTCGTTGGCCCCGTGGACAATTGTAAGCGTATTCTGTATTATGCGGGGGAGAAGGACATCACAGAACTCGCCATTTATCCTCTGCGTTTCCATAAGCAAGAGGACGCGGTAGCTGCGAAATTGAAGACTAGAGGCCGCAAGTTCATTACGTCATATGGACACAAGACATATAATGGCCTCACTACGCCAATATCACGACGCGGGTACCAACAAGAACTCCATGGCGACATCTTCGTCGACTTCAAGACGTATTATCAAAGTTCCAATCGGCGAAAGCCCAAACTAGGCGGACTTCGAAAGACCAAGATGGATGAGACCGAGGTAAACGATGTGATCAGTACGTCTAGGGGCGCCCGCTGCTTGGCAGACCACGAAGTGGACGAGAACGTCACTGAGACGTTCATGAGGTCCTACCAGGCATACATGCAGCCCATCAACTATGAGCTCGTACAGGACTCGGTTGAGTATCTTCAGCTACTCCCCTATCAAATCCCTGCCTACGTCTTTCGCACGAGACGTTATGGTAAGTCTTAGCGGTTGGCGGTCGATGCTGACGTTGATCTAACGTTGCCCCAGTTCATGTCGACGTCTCTACGATCGCCGAAATTGACAAAAGCGAGGAAGCTCGTGACACAGGGTTCGAGGACTTGGTCATTCCGGATGGCCACCGTAACCTCTTGATCGCGCTGATTGAGAACCACGAGACAGGGGGCAAGCATACATCTGAAGAAGATTCAGAGGCAGCACCGACCCAAATTGACATTGTGAGGGGCAAGGGGCGGGGCCTCATCATCCTGCTGCATGGACCTCCAGGCAGTGGCAAGACAAGCACCGCGGAAACGATTGCTGCATACACGCGGCGACCGTTGTACTCGATCACATGTGGAGATCTGGGCACCGAGGCATTCCAAGTAGAGAGGAACCTGAAGGATCATACCGACCGAGCGCACCGATGGGGTTGCGTGTTACTCCTGGACGAGGCCGACGTCTTCCTTACGCGACGAGACTGGCGAGATGTCGGACGCAATGCACTGGTCTCTGGTAGGTTATGTCTTCCTCTGTATGAACTACCCAAGCTGACGGTGGAAGTGTTCCTCCGACAACTGGAGTACTACTCAGGGTAAGCCGGCCCACTCTCTTGAACCTCCTGCAACACCACCACTAATTCGATGACAGCATCCTGTTCTTGACCACGAACCGCGTCGGCACTATCGACGAGGCCTTCAAGTCTCGGGTTCACGTATCTCTTCGCTACCCTCGCATCGAGCTCAAGGAAACGCTCCAAATCTGGGACAACACACTGAAGCGCATCACGCGCGACAACAAGATATCGCAGATCCAAATCAAGTTCGACAAAGACGCCCTCCTCGCCTTTGCCAAAAAGCACTACAAGGAGCACGAAAAAACGGAGAGCACCTGGAACGGCCGACAGATCCGGAATGCCTTCCAGACCGCCATTGCCCTGGGTCCCTACGACCGCGACCGACAACTCAAAACTGCCGGACTGACGGCCGAAGAGGCCGCAAAGACTGGGCTGAAGAAATGGATGACAGTCAAGCTGACTATCGCCAACTTCCGCAATATTGCGAAGACGGCGCGGGAGTTCGAGGACTACCTGTTCAGCGTGCGAGGGCAGGACAGCTACCTAGCAAAGGAGAACCAATGGCGGGATGATGAGCACGATCCGGAGGGCGGGGGAAGGGTGAGCAAGAATTATGAGAGGGCACCGAAAGCGAACAGGTCGCCGTCAGGATACTTGACGCCGGGTTCGGGCTCGGGCTTGGCGAGGAGGACGGGGTCGGGTGCTTCTTCATCCAAGAAGACGGCTAGAAGGTCGGCACAGGAAGAAGAAGAAGAAGAAGAGGAGGAGGAGGAGAAGGAAGATGCGGATGAGGAGGATATTTTCGAGGAGAATCTCTCGGATGAGTAGATTAGACGGACTGTTTTGGAAATAGCGGATTTTCGTATAGATTCCAATCGTCGCGATAGATGTTTTCTCAACTTGAGTGCCAAGACACGGTCGGACGGTGAACTCGTCATTTTCACGAGAAGCTCCAGAGGATACGGTCCACGGGCGTCCTCAAGGATGGGCAATCTGAGTCGCGACTTGGCGGCTTCGAGATGACGACGTGCGAGTGAACGTCAGACGTTGCCTCGGCGTTTGTTCCTGGGAAACCGAAAACTCGCGCCGGGAGCAACAGTTCATAGTCGCAGTTCAGCCACACGTGGTGGTAATGATTATTGACCAGCCGTCTTGTAGAGGAGATCCGTAGCCATACAGACAAGAAGAAACAAGACGAGCTTCAACTAGAATAGAACGCAATACCGACAGCAATAACCGTAAAACGAAGTGGACCTGAAGTGGCTGCGAGTCACCTCCCAACAATTTCAGATTTCATATTCGATCGGTAGTTATCTCATTAATTGAACGGTAGTAATCACTGCCCGCGGCCCACATGCTCCCACCCGTAGGTCAGGCCACGTCCGCATGATAAGATTGATGAAGGAAGCCGTTGGTGAGGTCTCCAGTTTCAACGACATCAATCCGGTCGATGCAATGACGAATGCCCCATTTACCGCATACAGGCTGGCTCCTCCTGCAGGGAACCCAGGGCCAAAAACGGGCCCGGCAAAGTGCCAAGCGATCGGTTTCGTGCTGGGCAAGTGCAAAGACCTGGGAACGACCACTGGAGATATAGTGCCAAGATGAAGATCACGCTGGGCATGCTTCAGACTGACAAGAGTCGCGCCAAGAAATGGTGATCGCAGGTGCATTCTTGTCTGTGCTTTGCGGCTCAAGACGAACCTCTTGGGCTCGATACCCTGTGCTTTGGAGAAAATATTCTCCACCACCCTTGCCCTTCCGTCGAGACCGTACGTAATAGGCCTAATTATGGAAATCATCACGGCGCTGCGCAGAAACAACTCTCGGCGTTCTCCAGTGTTGGTTTCCCAAGTCCCGAATAGATGCGATGAACGACCCACCACCACCACAAGCCGCCGCCTCGATCTGGGCACCCTAGTCCACGATCTCTCCTTTATCCGGCATATCATCGTGAGAACAGTGGAAACCGACTAGAGCCCGTCCCACCTCCGGAACGGTCGACAGATTGACTGGGATTTGCATCGTCGTCTTTCGGACCTAGTTCCCGGTGCAAAAAAGACGTTGACATGTTGATATGTCCAAAACATGGAAAACACCAGGGTGCTCTTTTCTCCACGAGCTGCCCTGCCCACAGTCATCCATCCAAGGAGCAGGGACTTCGCGTTCACATCCACCCGTCCCACCTCGAAATGAAGAAACCCACCCTGTCTAAAGGTCGACAAGTCGGCGGTTAGGTATAAGAATAGGCAATGGCAACCTCCAAGACTCTCTCTCTTTCTGGTCCTCACCCTTGTCACCAAGTTTTTCATCTCTACCCTCTTCCTCATTCAAGTTCCTACTAGTTCTCTACTAGGCTGTGCTTAGTCGTTCATTCTTCACTTTAAGCAGGCTTATACCTTACCTTTCTTACGCACATCTAACGACCTTTCCTCCACGACCAACCAACACACATCAAGATGAAATACTCTCTCGTCATCGTCTCGGCCCTGGCCATGGGCACCTCCGCCCTCTACGCCCTGCCTCCGCCCCCGCAAATCACCGCGGCCCCTTCCCTCAAGAATCGCGCCAGCAACGGCACCACCTCAGGCAGCCTCCCGGCCTCGTCCGGCAGCAGCGCCCTTTCCGAAGTCAAGACCATCGCAGCCGGTGGCTCCTTCGACGGAGGCATGGTTTCGTACGACCGTGGTGTTAGCTGCACCGGCCAGGCTGAGGGTGATGACTCCGACGCCGTTTTCGAGATCGAGGAGGGTGGTTCGCTGTCCAATGTCATTATTGGACCTAACCAGATCGAGGGTGTGCACTGTCAGGGTGCTTGCACTCTGACCAACGTTTGGTGGGCTGCCGTTTGCGAGGATGTAAGTTCTTCCCCTGACCATGTGCCTCATCACGAGAAGCACCCAATGCTAACCCTCCTCCCCAGGCCTTCAGCATCAAGAACCAGGCCGCTGGCGACACCACCATCATCAGTGGCGGCGGCGCCTTCGGAGCCGAGGACAAGGTCCTGCAACACAACGGAGCCGGCACCCTGAGCGTGAGCGACTTCACCGTCGAGACCTTCGGCAAGCTGGTCCGCAGCTGCGGCAATTGCGATACCATGTACGAGCGTCACTTCATCTTGGACGGCATCACCGCCACCGACGGCAGCGAGCTCGCTGGCATCAACGACAACTACGGCGACACTGCTACTTTCACCAACATTGTTGTCAGCGGTGTTGATGACATCTGTGTCACTTACACGGGCACTGATAACAACGATGAGGAACCCGTTGAGAACGGTAGTGGGCCCAGTGATTCTTGCATCTACTCTACTAGCGACATTACCTCGTCTTAAGCACCTGCATTACTTGGGCTGGCTCGAGAGCGAGCTGGTGGGATGAGAGTTGTTGATGGGGAAAAGGGGGGAAGAAAGGAGGTGAAGAATAACTCCATGAGGAGAACTGATCAAACAAACTTTGGGAGATTCGGGTTGGGGGCAGGGACTGACTGTCTATCCATGGCGGTGGGGTCAAAACTTCGCTTCTTGTATATTTGTGCCCTTTGGCGCAATCATTTTGGTGTAAATATTATTATTTGTACATGGGAATCAAAGGCTCTGGCGATGCTGTCTGAGTTGACTCATTACTTTTGCAGTCGCCGAAATGATGATGCATGTGCGATATGACTTGATTTGCGAGTTGTAAAGGGTCTACCTCGTTCGTAGTACGGAACAAGACACAAAACGACCAACTTAGCCGAGTCAGAATATGAGTGGAAGCGACAAGCCCATGTAACCCGGCTGAAGCAGTGGTTTTGTCTGTGCTTTTTGGCTGGTGTGTCAAGCAACCACTCCAGGCTGCACGCCTGATGTGTTTACAGAAAGGCTTGGTATGGTTGTCTGGTAAATAGCAAACTGTCGCGTGCCCCAGCCACATCCCATCATCATCACCAATACACCCCTCTTGCCTATATTGCCAACACAAACCATTTTGATCAGAGGCGGCCTTGTCCTCTCAAAGCTGGCTGTCTGGGCGATGCACTGGTCGAGTTATTTAAACATGTAAAGCCGTGTTTACGTATGTATCCCAATGACTTGGATATGCAATATGCCGCGGAAGACTTTATAGATATAGGGTAGGGTAGCTGGGTTGCAGTCCCTCGACATTGGGCATGCATGGGATCTACACCACGGCAGAATCTCTGCGTGATGACGAGCGGGTGCTGAGAGTTGCCTTGGTTCTTAGTAAAGCGTGGAGGTTAGTTGTCGAGATATCTCGCGTGGCCCATCTCTAAGATCCCCTACACTTGTGTTCTGGATTCGGTCATAGGCTATAACGTACTTTCATGCAACTATGTGAAGGTGCGCACTACAAATACATGGTCCGTGTTGAGACGCATAATATTGTACAGCCACTCGTTTTAGGGCAACAAGGCTTTAGGTATACTCGTGTTTGACTGCCGTATCTCAACGGGCCATTGCCAGCCGAATTAAATTACATTTGGTGCGATATAGCAGGGGAGTGGTGTTCAGCTTGGCAGGCAGAGATAGGGATGATCAGAACCAAATTACTGAACTGTAAGCAGATGGGCTTGGAAATCAGATCTTATAGGACATCTGCCAACATCGGGTCTTGCTGAAGGAGCCTAGTGCGGCTGAGTGTTCTCATCACAGTGCTCTCTGTATTACCATTCGAGTCTGAACCAGAGACGAGAAGTATGATCTCGACTGTAATTGGCTTGGAAGAGCAGCGAACAGCAGCTTCGGGGAAGTATTGCGGAGAACAGAACGCTCGGCGACCAGAGTATATCCAGGCCAGCCTACGGTATCTGGAACTGCCTATGTTGCTTGCATCACATCTTTCGACTTCTCGTGCCATCTTATCACGAGACAGGGAAGGTGAAAGTTACTCTTATCACGACAGTGGGAAGAACTGGGGCGACAGTGCAAAGGTAACAAGGAGGCTCTAAAGGAGGGGCAGTGTTCCGAAAGCCTCGGGCCAGGATGTCCGAGCAAACGGAGGAGTGGTAAACGCCGCCTCCAAACGAAATGCGTCTTGCATAAGCAGCATAACTGAAGATGTCGTCATTATCGGCGTCAATGTCAAGTGTCGGAGTCAATCTTGAACCACCCCACAGTGGAAAACAGGCTGATAGTCCTCATTGCATTGATGTGTCCCCTCAAGCTGGCTGTCAGCGAATGCTGGCGAGGCCAGAGATAAAGGTTAATAATGCAGTCACCATTGTCATGAGAAGGAAAGAAGCGCAGACGAGCGGCAGTTTGAGTTGGCCAGACTAATCCAGACAGAGCCAGCTCGATCTTTGGTTCAACCATCGGCGACATGTCGGCTTTGAAGATGGTGACTAGAAATGCGTAACTGCCATCGATGGGATGGAAGCTGGTGGCCCGCTCCGCTGTGCTGCTGTGCTGAAGATGGAAAAGCTTGGACCTTCTTTCAGATCGGCGACGGCGAATTTGTCTTCTCGGCAGCAGTGACACGACCCCCCAATCGCGCTCGTTGGAGTCACAATAAAAAGTGCCAGTCCCGACCCATTGCTCGATTACAGCTCTGCAAGCAGCGGTCGTCAAACATGACATCGCTGTGAATGCATGTTTCGATCTCCCGATTATCCCTTCGCACCCTGCTGCCACGCCTCGTCATGGGTTCAAGATACACTCCCAACGGAGCCCAGCAGAACGGCTCTGCGAAATACACCCCCACAGCCTTGAGTCGCTGGTCAATCCTCAGCAAACAGCTGCCGCCTGTCAACCAGATCAAGACCATCCACGTCTACGACTTCGACAACACCCTGTTCAAGACCCCCCTCCCCAACTCGAAGCTCTGGAAAGGGTCGACGCTCGGCCAGCTCGGCAGCCCCGAAATCTTCGTCAATGGCGGTTGGTGGCACGACTCCCGTATCCTAGCTGCGACCGGCGATGGCGTCGAGCGCGAGGAAGTCCGCGGATGGGACGGCTGGTGGAATGAGAACATTGTCAAGCTGGTCCAGCTGAGCATGGAGCAGAAGGATGCGTTGGCCGTGCTGCTGACGGGACGCGCCGAGCGCGGCTTTTCCGAGCTGATCAAGCGCATTGTCAAGAGCAAAGGACTGGAATTCGACATGATCGGACTCAAGCCCGCTGTTGGGCCCAATCAGGAGCGCTTCACTACCACGATGCAGTTCAAGCAAATATTTCTCGAGACGATGATGGAGACATACAAGCACGCCGAAGAGATCCGCATTTACGAGGACCGACCTCGACACGTTGCCGGATTTCGAACATTTATGACCGACTACAATAAGCGACAGGAGGGCTACGGCGGGCAAAAGACGCGTGGGCCCATCAAGGCCGAGGTCATCCAGGTCGCCGACATCAGCACCACGCTTGATCCCGTAGTCGAGGTCGCTGAAATCCAGCATCTGATCAATAATCACAACGCGCTTTTGGTATGCATTTGTGAGAGCATCGCATCTATGCTATTTCATTCCTCTTTCGCTCTGGCTACATACCGACTATGCAAATGCTTCTTTTTTTCCGTCCGATTCTCTGACTCTCAAGTAGGCTCGAGGCGAAGGGGCACGGCGCGCCAGAGATACTGGACGTCTAATCATCAAGAAAACAGTCTTCTTCACCAGCTACATGATCGATCCTGTCGATTCCAAGCGTCTACTCAGCCTAGCGCAGATTCCCCAAAACCTACCCGAGGCGGATCTCAAGTTCCATGCAAACAACATCATGATTTGCCCCCGACCTTGTCCCCAAAGCATTCTCGAGAAGGTAGGCGGTATGAACGCCAGGCTCAAGTGGGAGGTGACGGGTACGGCGTGCTTCGAGAATAGTATATGGGCCGCCTCTGTGAAGCCCATCCCGCCCACCGCCAAGTATCACACTGATAATCCTAGTCCTCTGGTGGTTTTGGCACTTCGCAAAGGAGCAAGGCCCATGGATGCCGGTCGCATTCAGAACTGGCAGCCCGTACCGCCCGACAAGGCCTACGTCTTTGAGACAGTCGTCGGCGAGAAGGTGCTCCTGCGCATTGAGCCCGAGGACCCTAGTGAGAATGAGTATGAGAGCCTATTTGCCAACAAGGCCGCTAAGCGCAAACACACCGGCGACGAGGGCGGTCGCTCTCATAACAACTCCTACAATGGCCGCAACTTCCACTCTGGAAACCATGGAAACCACTCCGGCGGCGGGCGCGGCGGCAACCGCGGAGGGTACAGAGGTAACAACACGCCGAACCGAGGATACCGTACCGGTGTGCGGGGCGGTGGCCATAAGGGGCCCGCCCGCGGCGGCAAAGGTGGATACCGGTCTCTCGACGACGTCGGGGCGCAGAATAACTCGTACAGCGATAATTTCCCGGCCCTCGGCCAAGGAGGCAGCTTCCAGCAACAATCACAGCAGCAACAAGGAGGCGTTGGCCCAAGGCCGAGTGGCTATGGGACAGGGGGTCCGGATCTGCAGAACTTCTATTAGGGCTAGCGATTTTGCTTGTATCTATACGTTACGTCGACATGTGGCCGGGACTTTCATCGATCGATATCTGCAAGGCGTTAGGGAAGGGACACTTCCAAGTTTTCCCAAGTGGTCTTCTTGCTGTATCATAGTCAGGGTAATACACAACGGCGTTGTGCTGCTATTTGAACTCGAGGGCTTGGCCCTGATATACCCAGGAACTCAGATTGTCTTACCTACGGATTTGCTTCTTCGCCAAAGTCCTTGGGATGTGTATTTTGTTTCTTGTCGGTCTGCAGAAGAGGAGTTCAGCTATGTAGATTGCTGAAGGACGCAATGCGGTTATTAAGTATACGAAGTCGTGTAATGACGCTGTTCCCTGGAGTTTCACGGTGCCATGCCTTGTATCAACAGCTTGTCCACAGTAAGTGAGTTCAGCTGTTGCATTTGTCGAATGCCTTCATGGACGAGCGAGTCTATCGTTACTAGGGATCGTGCTTCGGTGGATATCAGATTCCCTTGCTGGAATCTCCAGCCAACACCAACTATATGGCTCTCAATATACTACTTCCAACGTTTCAAAGTCTAGTCGAATTAGCTTTTTCCCATGAGCACGTATATTGATTGTAGGGTTCTTCGTAAAAGCTGGACTCCTAGTATAGAAACGAAAGTGGTTACAATTATACTCAATTTATTCACTAGAACTCGAACCAAAAGCACAACTATTTGTGATCGCATGCTATCTCAGCATCGTAGCTCCAACTTCAACTCCATGAAGCCACTGCGGGAGTGTAATCCCCACTGGGCGGTATCAGAGAGTTAATCCACTGAATCAATATACTTGCTGGTAGCTCTGGATTGAACTCCAAAACTGAAAAGGCGTCACTACGACCTTCGTTGTAGTTGGGAATGATTATCTTCTTATTAACTGATATGCCCAAGTGGCTATCAGCACGACTCGGACGAGAACAACTGGAATCATTGACCTTGGTAAATCTGCATGGGCGCCTATAATGTTGCGTTTCAGCGTGGGCTGGAAGGCTTCGCTGTGGTCGCACATGTCATCCAGTGTCTTGTGGGTTGCTTCTGCGCAAGCTACATCACGACTAAGAAACAAGTTGAAAAAGATAGGCAACTCCGCCATCCACGCGACCCGTGTAGACTTTTGAGTATTCACACTTGCAGATGGAAATACGGCTCTAGTACACATTTTTGATATTTCACTGGACGATACGATGGCAATGGTCCCGTGTATGCCGAACCTTCGATGCGCTACAGTTGGGGCACAGATTTTCAATATGAAAGCGTCGGATGCAGGAAACTCAGTAGGGGGGCGGGGACCAGGCGAGAAGACCACGAATCCCTGATATGCTTTACAGATTGGTTAGCACGTGGCATTCGAGTTTGGCGTAGCTGACGTGTAGCCAGAAATCGGTCAGCGCAGTGACAGATGAGACATTTCACAATTCAGGAGATAAGACAGAGGTTTAGATTGTTCCGACTGACTCGATTCATTGATGTCGTTATCTGAGAAACCATGCCAGGTACCAGTGACGTAGATGCAAAGCCATTTTCCCTTGACCATTTCCCATCCATGAACCTCAACCCCAACACCTGCAACGGCGCACTTATGCGGTCGCACCACCAGCGGCACCAAGGGGCTTGGCGGTCTGCTGGGTAGGAACCACCTTCTTGCCGTCCTTGTTGTAGCGGACACGCGGGGGAGGGGCACGGTTACGGCGACCAACTCTTGAGCGGACACTGGAGAAAATCACTTGTCAGCAAGCAAATCAGGAGGGGATGTATACCAAGTAGTGCCGTTGTAGAGTTCAACCAAGGCTCATCTCAGCCGCATACGCAGATTGACTGTGCGCGTAGTTGTTCCCTTGCGGGCACCCTTGCGGGACTTGAACGTACCGGACAATCTTGCCATGGATAGCGCAAGAGACACAGTACTGCAGCTTGAGGTACATCTTGGGAACCGTGTACTCGGCGAAGACGGAAGCGTCCGAGATATCACCTGTGGGGATGTGTCAGCGGGCGATCTAAATCCAAGGTGGAAAGCAGGCCAAATTGCGATCTCGTTTCGAAACAGCAAAGCAATCGTGTCGCAGGCCTGGAGACCGGTTGGAATGGAGGATTGTTGGACATACGGATAGCAGCGGACTCAACCATGTTGCGAATGGTGAAGCGCTTGATTGCCTTGTCCTTGGGCGTGCATCGCGAGCAGTTGGAGCAACGGATGGGCTTGACGTGGCCCCGGCCCTTCTTGTTGCGGCCGCTACAGGAGCAAGTCAGCACAGGTTTCCGTCAAAAACCATCGGTTTGCGCCGAGGTGAATATTTCCACGTCGTAGAAGGCGCTTCGGGACTGGAGAGGAGGAGGCGCGTACTTGTTCTTTCTCTTCTTGACCATGGTTGCGGTATTCTGTTGATGGTCAGTGGATTGACTTGACGTGATCAGATTGGCTTGAGACGTACGATTCTTCCTGGCTGTGTCGGGAAAGAATTGGTTGCTGTCAAGACGGGAAAAAAACGATTACAGTGCGTTTGATGCGAGCTCAAAATCAACGATTGAAGCCCCACAGCAAAAGGCCCCCCTCCAATTAGGTGGCCGCTCCCTCTCGTGCCAATGGCCACAGGGCAGGAAGGAGCGAAAACCCTAGCACGTGACAGGACTTTTTCAGGATGGCAGGCCCGTGCCCATATCCAAATTGCACCTCTGTGCCCCGAAACTTTTCGCAGTTCCAGCCTTGATTTTACTCAACCCGACATCTTCAGGATTGCTTAGGAGGACAATAGCGATATTGTCTAGGTACGTTTGACCCATGCGACAGCATGCTTTCTGTTTTTCTTTCTTTTTTTACTGGCATCTGGCTTGCCTTCGAGCCCGTTGTCTCACCAAGACGAACGCAGTCGCAATGAATGCGCTCTGCTGTTCGTCGAAGCTGATCACGGGCGCTGACTGAATCGCACTTTCCATTCTCACGATTGGGGAACATGCTTCTGCTTCACATCCTCGAAATGAACTAGCTAACATTACTGGAATGAATAGGCAACCATGCAGATCTTCGTGAAGACCCTCACGGGCAAGACTATCACCCTTGAGGTGGAGTCGAGCGACACCATTGACAATGTCAAGTCCAAGATCCAGGACAAGGAAGGCATCCCCCCGGACCAGCAGCGATTGATTTTCGCCGGCAAGCAGCTCGAGGATGGCCGCACTCTCTCCGACTACAACATCCAGAAGGAGAGCACCCTCCATCTCGTGCTGAGACTCCGTGGAGGTGCTAAGAAGCGCAAGAAGAAGGTGTACACCACCCCCAAGAAGATCAAGCACAAGCGCAAGAAGACCAAGTTGGCTGTTCTCAAGTACTACAAGGTCGACGGTGACGGCAAGATCGAGCGCCTTCGCCGCGAGTGCCCTGCCGACTCTGTATGTTTCTCTCCTCGCACCTGCTCTGAACACGTACTAATTGATGATGGATAGTGCGGCGCTGGTGTCTTCATGGCCGCCATGCAAGACCGACAGTACTGTGGTCGCTGCCACTTGACCTACGTCTTTGACAAGCCATGAATGCTGTTCGAGAAGGGAATGCGCAGGATGGGATGGACATGCAAACGGACATGAGGAACGGTTTGAGGATTCAGTCATGCAAATAGCGTTGAATTTGATAGAACCATACTTCGCTAGCCTTCACAAAGCAATGAAACCCCATACTTCATCAACATGTATGACTTGTCATGATTGTCTTGTGTTAAAATCCTGGAGATACCCAGGGCCTCAACAGTACCGCCTCCATTTGCATTTGATTTGAGTCAAGCTGGCCTTAGTCAAAATGGCGTCAGCCAACCACGGACTTCGGAGATCCTTATATTTGCGTCGCTATGAAAATGTTGCACCATGATTGTTGAAGCTACAGACAGTTGCAAAGTTGATGAATTTGACAACCACAACTGGCGAATGAACTAGGCGATCCCCCGCCTGCGCAGGTGATTGTGATTGTGTGTGGCTATAATGTCCTCAAGCCACTGCATCAGCCACGGTGCACCCCGCCTACCCCACTATTGCATCCGACCTCGACGTCATCATATCGTGTTGTACGAACAAGAATACAGAAAGCTTGATCACGTCTTGTCGTGTTGCAATCTCATACGAGCTACATGAGGAATATTGTAGATGATCAAATGAGCTTCTGGAATGATGCAGGGGAAATTCTTGGATGGATCCAAACCAGACCGTTTAGCCGGCCTTCAGCTTGCATTGCCACATGCCAGCGTGCCAGCTCGCTCTAAGCCACGCTACTAGACCTGATTCAACAGCTCTTTGTCCCCAAGCTCCCCATCCATTGCGAGGGCCTCCAGTGACGCGCAACCAACGTGGCTTGCATGACCTGGAACGTGATATAAAGTAGCACATCTCACCTTCAACATTCATATATGTCGTTTCCCCGACTTTATATACCACTCATATCACTAGCAGTTCTAGTGTTTGCCATCCTTCTTGCATTGATCTACCCCGTTCAGTGGACTTCATTGAGCAGCTTGGAGACCCTCTCATTTTCACTTTGTCTCCCACATCCATTCGGATCAACCATCACGATGGGCGGAGGACCAGAATACGGGTACCGCACCGTAGCGTACTTCGTCAACTGGGCCATCTACGGCCGCAAACACCGTCCCCAGGACCTCCCTGCTGACAAGCTCACCCACATTCTTTACGCATTCGCCAACGTACGTCCCGAATCAGGCGAGGTCTATCTGACCGACACCTGGGCCGATACAGATATTCACTGGGAAGGAGACAGCTGGAATGACAGCGGTACCAATCTGTACGGCTGTCTAAAACAGCTCAACTTGCTCAAGCGCCAGAACCGCCAGCTCAAGGTCCTGCTGAGCGTGGGCGGCTGGACCTACAGCAGCAACTTCAAGCAGCCGGCCTCCACACCTCAGGGCCGCCAGACCTTTGCAACATCCTGCGTCGAGCTCATCAAAAATCTCGGGTTTGACGGCATCGACATCGATTGGGAGTATCCCCAAAACACCGCCGAAGCAGCCGACCTCGTTGCACTTCTTCAAGCCGTTCGTGATGCCATGGACGCGTACAGCCGCACCTTACCTACGCCATATCATTTCGAGCTTACCGTCGCCTGTCCTGCCGGCGCCCAGAACTACGAAAAGATGGACCTCCCCGGCATGGACCGCCTGCTCGACTTCTGGAACCTGATGGCATACGACTACGCCGGGTCATGGGACAGCGTCGCGGGCCACCAGGCGAATCTGTTCCCTTGCTCGCACCACCCGCAGCGCACGCCGTTCAGCACCGTGTCGGCGCTCGAGTACTACACTTCCCACGGCGTCGCACCGAACAAGATTGTTCTGGGTATGCCACTATACGGCCGCGCGTTTCAGGGGACCAACGGCCCGGGACATGGATACCAGGGCGTCGGAGAGGGAACGTGGGAGAATGGCGTGCATGACTACAAGAAGTTGCCGCTTGAGGGTGCGGAGGAGAGGATCGATGATGATGCAGGAGCCAGTTACTGTTATCACCCTGGTTCCAAGACGATGGTTAGCTACGACACAGTGGAAATGGCGAGGCGAAAGGCGCATTTCCTGCGGCAGAGGGGCCTAGGAGGGGCTATGTGGTGGGAAAGTAGTGCGGATAAGGAAGGGGAGGGAAGTTTGATTGCGACTGTGGTTCATGGTCTGGGAGGTAAGATGGCGCTCGAGAGGGCGGGAAATTGTATTGCGCAGCCCCACACCAAGTATGATAACTTGAGGGCTGGATTTCCTAATAACTAAAATAGGGGTCTAGTGAGCGGTGAAGGCTAGATATCCGCCAGGAAATGGACAAACTTGGCAAATGAATCTCCAGCTGGCTTTCCTTGTAACTGAATGTCGCCATCCACACCGAAGTGCACTCTGAACCTGACTTCATAGACAAATTATCTCCAACCGTTCATGAGCTGAGTCACTTCGCCTACTATCCTAGACTAGGTTATTCCCCTGGCCCTCCGGTTCTGAGCGTAGATGGTGTCTCCCCTCACGCGTAGGGTTTTGCCGGGACCTGACACTTGTTCCTTGAACTAGCAGCTTTTGTTCAATGGAATGCGAATGTTTATTACAAGGGATATAATGATTTATTTATTTAATGGGGGATCCGTCCCATAAGCATGTGGTGTGAGACATGGTTGTGGAATTGGTGGCCTGCGTTCATGGTGAGGTACAGCTTAGATACTGATACTATAGTGCCCTTGTGCGGCTTTGACCCTGACCTGTACTTCCCTTCTTCGCCTTCATATGTAGCCGGAATGCCAGTAACAGTTCGATCCCACAATTTTACCTGGATTATAACGGTAATCATCTTCTAATATTTGATTCTCAAAGTTCATTATACATATTACCGTGCGAGTAGTGGTATGTGTACCATTTGAGAGACTTACAGTATTCATAGTTGATGAGTACCTGGTTCTGCTCAGTACTGACTCTGGAGGGTAAACCTCGAGACGATAATTTTAGCGAGATACCATTTGATTGTGCTCCTATGTCGCAATGTCTTCCTTTTCTACGTCTATTTCACATCTGCAACCAATAGAAACCAATTCTCGGTTATATCTTCAAATTCCACAGAGATCTATCTCGTAATGGCAAAAGTTCAAACTTAACTCCAGCACCGGGTCGCTTTAGAGCTGTCTGAGACCGAAATCTTGACTCGGAATTTCCACTTCCATCACGGGAAATACGTCTCCTGCGAGAGGAAGTCATCGCCATGAGTCGTGAAGTCCCGGGGCTTCGCCAGTTGCTAACTAGACCCGATGCAATCATACATGAAGAAATACCACGGTTTCTATAACAGCAGGGTTTGGACACTTAGCCGGAGTCGCACGCAGGGAGGAAGGATCTCGATACACGGAAACAAGAATTGCGTCTAACAAGCTTTCCTCTGTGGTTTTCTTTAGTTGTACTATAGTACCCTTGATTACCTTTTTATCGGGATATAACTTTCCTCAGCGAATTTAATGAAGTAGCGATCATGGGAGCAATGAGTGTGACGGATATTCATCACAATATTGTTCACTGTCATCATGCTCTTGGTTATGCCATGCTCCTCTGCCAGCCAACTACGCTTCAAAGTGATAACCACAACCGCTTTCTACGTCACTTCATTGGTCTCACCAACTCACCCATCTACTGCCCCCGTTGATCAACCAGACCGTGTCTATGAAGTCCCGATCCTTGAGATGAGAGGTGTTCATGACAGGCCGATGTCGCCGAGACCATCTACGACAACCATCCACATCAGAGGCGCCACATCAATTTCTCCTTGCCGCCTACCACCTCCTATACTGGGCCTTCCCCTGCACTAAACTGCCCTTCTCATCTCCCAATACCAATGCTACCACGCCTACATACCCCGCTACGACTTGAGCGTTTACATGACCATGGTAGACTGGTATGACCACGGGGAGAAGAAGCTCGGAAACCGCGGCATTATATATGCCAGGTATGGTAGCGCCAGCGTGTACGCCTTTACTTTCCAATTTTCTTTGAATCTGAAGAAGCATTCCTACATTTGAGATGAGACATCATCATTTTGTTTCTTGCACAATTATATGAAGTACTTGACTCATTATGTCGCTTCAATTTTGAGTCTGATATTTTTCATTGTGTTTTCTGCGTTCAAGTCCCCAGGGGTTTGTATTCGACTTTTTGCAAGCTATAGCAAAGTATAGGATTAAATGTGTCTCTGTCCTTCCAAGTCCCAAGAGCGAAGGTGGGCCATCAGGGCCTTAAGTACGGAAGAATACGTCTCTAGGCAAGCGCAGTTTGGAGTGCTAATAATGTCTGAGCATAACAGTGCCTGCTGACACCAGAGGATTAACATGAAATACTCCGCGACCAAATCCAGATCATGAAGAGATAGCATAGTATTTCCATGGCCAATCATGTCTTGGTGTGACACGAACGAATGAACAATTCCAAACTGCGTGAACTCCCTGAAGTACCTAAGACAGCAAAAGATAACTAGCCAAAAAACCAGTCTGACCCAACTCTCGATCCAAAACTTTTGATGTACCATACAAGTGCGTGCCACCATGACCATTGGGTCCCCACTATCCGTGGCCGACTATTACACATGGTCACATAATCGCCTTACAAAGAAGCGCCCCCTTCAGAGTCAGACTCATCATCCTGGGCCGTTTGGCTATATGCCGGAACCCAACCCGAAGAACCATCACTCTGCTCATTTGGAGAAGATTCGGTGTCGGAAAATGACTCCTCGAATCGAGGATTGTCCATATCATTTACTTCGACCTTCAAGTCCGCCGAGTCTGGAGTTATCATCAGCAACAGTACCTTATGACAAGTTCAGTTCAAGCAAGCAAACTCACCAATGCCCAACCCCGCAAAATCCTCTTCGAGCGAATTCTGCCTATTCGTCCGCCTCATATCAGACATCACCGAAGCCGTAATACCCGTCTGAGAATCGGCATGCTTAAATACTGAAATTTCCCTCTGCTTGATCTGATCAAGTGCGTCCTTACGAATAGTCTCAAGCATCTTCTGCAGTACTTTGCGCTGCTGTATGTACTTCTGGTCTTGCACATTGGTGAACTTCAGCGCCGGCGGGCTCCAGTTGAGATAGATGTTGTTGTGGGATCCCGGCTCGACGCATCGAGCTGGGTGATGGCGGATGTAGAGCAGGCAGCAGTAGCATGCCGGCTTGCTACAGCCGATGTACCGATCATCGCTGGCGTATTCCAAATTCTTCAAGTAGAAGTGCTCCAGGACTTGGATTTCGGCGTGGACGCAGGGCTTGGCTTGCTCGTACTGTTCTAGGACTTTTTCCTCGATTCCGAATTTGTCGTTCATGAACATTAGTGCGTCTTCGTAGAGGTTTTTGTCCAATTCCATGGATGATTCCATGCGGCGGAGAATGCCTCGAAGGGTTGTTTGATTGTCCGGTTGGAGGCTTTGGATGGGAGGCGTGGACTCGACTGTCCGGACGAAATAACTGTCAAACAAGGTCTTCAGTTGCAAAGAACTTTTGATGATTTTTATTGGTGCGCCGAAGTGGGAACCGAGTCGCCCCAGAAAGTGTCTGGTGTCGCCGAATGCTTTCTCTGGGTCCGTCTGGTTCGACCCTTCGTTGCGGGCATGACTTCGTTCCTTCAGATCGGTCATCTGTGGAGATCTTCTGTTACGGTACGCCAAGCAGCATATTTCTGCGTCGTTGTCTCCGTCAAACATCTCTAGCCACTTTTTAAGCTCCAGATCTGTATACTATTAGCCTGGTACGGAGCCGAGAAGCGGTATATGACCAACCAGCCGCGGAGCCCGTTTCGGTAAGGAACTTTTTGCTTTGGGCCAGATTAGTTTTTAGGATTTTAACTTCCTTCTTGACTCTGGGATTTGCAAATTCAATGCACTTGTCGATTAACTGGCGCATGGCAGATGCCCTCTTATCTTGTGGCAGAGAGAGGAAGCTGCGCACATCTTCCAGTACAGATTCCACGAACGGCATGATTTTGCTGGACTTTTGCTCATTGTGGGCAACCCAGAATACGTAGCAGTCGTCACGCTCTTCGAGCCCAATCGCTGTGGTAGTGGAGCCCCCTTTCGTGTGATCGCAGAGGTAGGAGAGGTTTTCAAGGAAATCCCGACGCCAGTAGGAAGGCGTGCCGTACTCTTTTGGAATCGTGCTGTGTAGTCCCCGCGTTTTCCCCAAGACCCGCAGCAATACCAGAGGCTCGAAGAATCGATGAAGCAGTTTAAAATAGGGGCTCATCAATCTAGGGGGTCCGACAGGGGTCCGTGTCGACATGGCAGCCTCCATGGGTTGCCATCGAGTTTTCTTAGCCCCTTGTGGTGGCGGCATTTGCGATGGGTTGATCAATGGAGTGTTTCAAAGGGATATGGTCCGATGAATAGTACTGAGGTTCTCATAGAGATTGAGGTGACAAAATTTGAATATAACATATCGAGCAACTGGCCACGATATTATAACTTGCGCTGTTGGGTATCGCTGTCAGTGTCAAATCGTCGTCATTGCGCGCATGGTACCCAGAGATTTCTATAAAGGCCAAAAAAGGATGTTTTTTTCTTTCCTCTATGATGGTTACTTCTGGTTTTGGGGCGGGGTTTTGTAGCCCTGTACTTGGCCGTACCTTCCCACCTCCCAGAGGCCTGCCACATCCGTTGCAGAACAGCATGGAAATCGTTCGACTCTCAATACAGATATCCAATTCCATGCATTACATGCCGTCGATGCAGTGCCGGTGACAACTGTTCCACTCAAAAAGGGTACCGACAAACATCACGATGAAACTGGCGGGCCTTCCGCAGCATCTTGGGCTGTGCATTTTTCGGTGTTGCAAGTATTTCGGTCAATGCATGGAAAATTACAGGCCCTCGGGTCTGTACAAATCATAGTTCGATGTTGGCGGTATGGGATAGGTCAATTGCACTTGGAGATAAGCCGATGGCCGGTAGGGCAGATTTTGGCACAGCTAACGCGGAAGGCCCACCTTCGGTCACAATTGCGAGGCCTTCTGCACCACCCAGTGCAGAGATCCGTTTCTCTCGGCCCAATAAAGATGGCAGGACTGGCTTTTATTCTAGGATCTTGAACCCCGAGCTCCATTCCGTCTGTGCCTCTCGGATTCGGTGCATGCAGTGTCTCGTTCCGCCAATCTTACGTCATTGGATCACGCAATGGGCAGAGCAGGCGATGCAGGAAAGAAGATGTATCCGGGGTAGTTCACTTGCAGCTACATGATATCAGGCGCTTCGATCTTGGCGGTCAAGCCAATGCTTACAACGGCAACAATGAGGTGAACTAGTGCTGGGCCGACTGCAGCTGTGACTGTACGTCTCCTATGCAGGGGGTCCTGAATATGGTACGCGCGCCGTGGACACGATGCATATTTTCACGTACTGGGCGTTATGCATAGTTCTCGAGTACAGCGGGTAGGCTCAGCGCCGGGTTTTCCTCTACCAGGTCGATGATCACTCACTGCGCGTACCCAGGCGGCCGTCCTCATTGGCCGTTAATGCGGGACTAAATTACATGCAACTCGTTCCAGGCGTCTAAGGCTACGTGGTGAATCTTCGAGGCGGACTGAAGGAGAGCCTTCTAGAATTTTAAAGGGAGATTGGGGGGTTGAAATAGAAACCGGGAAGACGGAATTGGGCCCTCGGTGGTTGAAGTTATCGAGCTTTGCACTTTTCTCGAGAACTCTAAAATCTTAGCTACATTTCAGTGTACGAGTGTGACACAATAGTCGAACGAAAGAAGAGTGGTGTACTCGTACCAATAGATGGCCTCCAGACAGGACGACACAGGTGGGTGGTGCGGCGATATTGGCGACTTTCACGACTTTATCCCGACCAGCCTGGACACAAACAGCAGTGTGGATGCTTTAGGCAACTACTTCAATGTCACCAACACCTCGTACTTGGGCCACCAACCCTGGACAATACCCTATGGCTTCACCTCAGGTTTTGACGCAGTTCAGAATGAGGTTGTGGGTCCTGCTCTGTAGAGTGCGACCCCTGAAGCATATAACCCGACACTTGGACGACAGCCAACGGGACCTTTTGACGCTACCGTTTACTGCCCTCTCGAGATGTCCGCCGACCCTTTGTCAGGCGCCAACCAGCCAGCCTCCGATCTCCACGGGGAGGAAGCAGCACCTACTGAATATCAGTACAATGGCCGATTTTATGAGGAAAGCATGCCGGATATCAAGGGCATAGACCCTGGATCGGATGGGAAATTTCATTGCTGGGAGGAGGGGTGTAATCATAAGGACGACGGAAGAAGACATTTAATGTAAGAAAGTGATTGTGTTGTCTAATGGGTGGTGCGTCTAATACTGATGGAATATACATAGGAAACATTTAAGGACGCATTACAAGCCAGTAAAATGTCCGAAGCCTGATTGCGGACGTCGAGCGGCTGAACAGCGGGAGATGATTCGTCATGTCCAGTCTTGCCATGTGGCGTGGGCAAACAAGCAACCTAAGCTTAAAGTTCAAGAGTTCTTTTGCGATCTTTGCGGTGCACCGTTCAGACGGAAGGATTATATCAGGAAGCACCAACGGTACTCATGCCCAATAGTTAAGGGCGAGCAACGGGAATGAGTGGGAGCCTGGTTGTAGTGGAGGGCAGTTGCAACATGGTGGAATTGTAAGGTGGATTGCAACCTGGCGTTGCACATGACTGTGTGTCTGTTATTTATTTCCTCAACTTCTGCTTCTCTCACGTGCAAAAGGTGGTTTTCTGTTTTGATTCCTCAGAACCTCCCAGTTGATATGGATACCAGGCTTTATTTCCCTAGTTAGAGGCTGTAGTTATGAGATCATGAACATTTCTTTACGAAATCAATGTGCACCAGCTGGCCAGGCTCAAAATACCAGAGGGCAAACTAGAATGTGAGAAAGAATCGCATGACTTTAATTCGAGACGGTGCACTTGAAATTGCTTCAACACTAACCGCATTGACCACCTTTTCGCATGCACCCCCATTTTGCAGGGTCTAACTGAATCAACCTAGATACTTCGTCCATATTATTTATATACAGAACATACTTAATTTAAGTGTCCGGAGACTTAGATATATTCTTTCGAGCCCTCTTTTTAGGAGGGACCCTTCCTTCGAGAAAAGTATCAATTTCTAACTGCTTATCCGGTAAAATAGGCCGTATTCGCTTATTTCGCTTGTCCTGGGCTGTTCGGATCGCTGATAAGTTAACGAATACTTTATTCGGGTCTGGCTCGACGGGCTGGCGTATATCTGGAGCGTATTTATCGAGTTCTTTATATAGTTGCTCGTTTTCGATACGTAATTTGGCATTCTCGGCGGCCTGGAGTGTAAGGGCCTTGCCCGCCTTGCCTACTAGGGTACGAATCTTACGAGATACCCCGCCCTCAGCTTTCTCTATCGACTGTAGTTGGCTAGATAGTTGCTGCGCTTTCTGAGGAGTAAAAGCAACTAAAGGTGGTGATATATGAGGCGGAGGATCTGGTGTATGAGGCTCCGGAGGATCACAAGATACGTCGACTAGTCCTTCGGAGCCTAGGGGCCATATACCAGTCTTCCGCCAGCCAGATTTAATATTTTCCATAGTAAAGGCTCTCTCCGAGGCACGCAGATATGCTTCTAACATACGTTGCTTGTAAATTGGGGCTGTAGCCTTGTAGGAAGCGTAAGCCCGGAGCTCTTGGCGGTAGTAGGTCTTCAAAGGTGAGAACGGCCCGACATCGCACGGCTGGAGATCGTCACTGCAGTGTGAGGGTAAATACAGCACGGCGACTCTATTCGAGTAGGCTTCCACATAAATTCGGCATGAATATGTGTCTGGTAGCCGTCGAGGATAAGGAGTCGCCATTCGGTACCCCTAGGCTTCGTCTCGGGGAGAAAAACCTGATCTAACCACCTATTTGCGATAACTTTATTACTCCAGCCCTTACTCGTCGCGGTGTATTCCCACTCAGGGATATTTTGGTCTGGGAACCACTGTGCTTGGACTCTCTTGCCGGAAAATACGCAGACAGGTGTACCCCGTTGGGTATGCGAAATGTACTCTAACCAGGAGCACCACGACGAAGCGTCCGACTTTGATACGCGTACCCGGCGTGAATTAGACGTCCCAATAACCGTACCATGCCCAGATTCCCCCTCTTGGACACCTGTCTCATCCATATTATACTCGTTGTAGGGTTTGATACGATACTTCGTACGTAAGCGTTCGAGGAGGGTGTAGACGTCTCGGATCTTGTTCGAATCGGACGCTCTAACTCGGCTAGCATCTACGACGCGCCCAATTTTGGTACGTATCTGTGGATGGCGGCTAACGAAGTGATCCACCCAATGTTGGCCGAGTGTATTGTTATCCCCTTGAGCAAGGAGGATTTCGGCAGCGAAGTCGGCCACATAACGCTTGCTAGGAGCTCGTCCACACACTTCTTCGTGTAGGATCCAGTTCACGATAACCTCCTCTTGCTCTGGAGTCAACTTTTGTTGCCTGGAGGCCGCGTCGCGATGCGAATTACCGTGACGAATACGGTAAGACAGTGTAGTCCCCTTGATACCGTACTGATGAGCTGCTACGGCCTGGGAAGAGCCCTGACGGACAAGCTCTTTAGCGCGTTCGATTCGCTGCTCAAAATCGTCCAGACTATTCTCCACTGGATTAGCTATTTTGTACGTAGATAGGGAGCAATTGCGAGGTAAATTGAGAGACGTCGTGTTGTTGAGGCGTAGAAATTCCCTGCAAAATGGGGGTGCATGCAAAAAGGTGGTCAATGCGGTTAGAAGGTTTTGTTGAAACGCCATCGGATCGTCATGATCTCTCCCGCTTCTCCAGGCGGGCCCGATCGCGACCTTCTAGCCCATTCGAATTCTAGCTTGTGACACTACTTTATATCTTTCTATGAACAATGCTAAGGATACTCGTATGAGGAAGTTTTACACTTATTAGTTATAGTGTACTAAATTACTTATTGTTGGGACTGGCCCTGTATTAGCTCTTGTCTAGCGCCCCGAGGGGAAAATTCTGTATTTTGGGCCTGCTAACCTGCACTCCACTGCGCTTTTTCCCACGGGGTGAATAGGATATAATGCAAATGTCGAGTCCTAAGGGACAATTTGTCCAGGTCAATCAAAAGATTCCGGCGCTGTGGTCAGGTCACCCCGGCATTCAAACATTGGCAAGCACCCACGCCTCACCCGGGACCGACGCGTAATGGTGCCGACACGGACAGCAAGATCCCCACTAGGCGGAAATTTATGGTGAAGCGATTCACGACTCACATGGATACATAAAGATGGCATGGCCAGAGTCATCAAGTGCTTCTTAGAAGTCCTTGGTGCTCAAGTTCAGGCCTTCTACGTCACTCTTTTTTCTATCATGAAGGCTACTCAAGCCTTCAGCGTCCTCTCGGCGCTTTCGGTCATTACTGGCGGCCTGGCCGCAACCAACTCGAGCAACAACTCAAACTCGCCTTCCAACTCGGCTTTGTTGGCAAACGGAAATGGTAAGTTGTGTGCCCCTGAATCACCCCGGGCCGACCCTTACCAACTAACTTTCCCCTTGCAGTCCGACTTGGCAGAGCCGCCGAGGCCTATGAGAAGGCTAAGGCATTCATCGCACAGCTCAGCAACACAGAAAAGATATCTCTCATCACCGGGCAGAGCATCACCAATGCCAGCTGGACGGCCCTAGCTAACAAGGACGGTGCAACGGGCATCAATGCCAATTCTATGTTTCCGGCTTCCCCTCCCCCAGCGCCCTGACCATGACGTGGAATCGCGAGCTCATGAAGTCTTCCTTCCGCGCTCTCGGTGACGAGTACTACGGCATGGGCTACAATCTCATCAACGGTCCTGTGTCCAGCCCTCTGGGCCGTGTGCCCGAAGGCGGAAGAGTGCCTGAGGGGTTCTCCCCGGAGCCGTACTTAAACGGCATCGCCCTGGGCCTTGCTGTTGACGGCATGAACTCAGCCGGCGTCATTGCGGTTGCCCGGCATTTCCTGCTCAACGAACAGGAGACGAACAGGTCCGCTACCGACCGATACTCCTCCAACGCTGATGACAAGACGATCCGCGAGGTGTACTTGTGGCCTTTCGCAGACGCTGTCCACTCGGGTCTGATGGCCGTCATGTGCGCTATGAATAAAGTCAACGGCACCTTGTCGTGCGAGAACAGCCCGCTCCTCAACGGTTACCTCAAGACGGACCTGGGTTTCCCCGGCCTGGTAATGCCTGATGTAAGCTCGCAGACGACAGCCTTCGGCTCCGCCAACGGTGGCCTCGACTTTGGCTCGAGCACCTACTGGACCGAAAGCACCCTCGAGGCTGGCATCGCCAACGGTAGCTTCACCCAGGCCCGTCTTAACGATATGGCCGTGCGCAACGTTATTGGCTACTACTACGTTGGCCTCGACGATGGCATGCAACCTTCTCAGGCTGGCACCAACGAATACCGCCATGTGCGTGGCAACCATGCCAAGCTCATCCGCCAGGTTGGCGACGAGGCTATCGTGCTCCTAAAGAACAACAACGAGAACGGCTACGGCCTTCCCCTAAATAAGCCACGTACCATGTCACTCTACGGCGCCCACGCTGGACCCGCCATGGGTGGACCGAATCAAGCCCTCAGTGTCCAGGGCACTGACAGCGATACATATCAAGGACATCTCGCTACGTCTGGCGGTTCTGGCCAGGCTTCGTTCCCCTACCTTATTACTCCGTTTGCATCCATCAGCTTGCGTGCCGCCGACGAGGGTAGCATGATTTGGTGGATCCTGAATAACACCTACACATCCACCACGTCAAGTGGCGGTATGGGAGGCGGCTTTGGCGGCGACTTTGGCGGAGGAAGTACTTTTGGTGGAGGAAGTACTGGTAACAGCACCACTGGTGGCGGTGTAGCCGGTGGCTCTGGCGGTGGTGGTGGTGGTGTCAATCTTGGTAGCGTAGGTTCTGGAACAGCTGTTACCCCGGCCATTGACACCTATGCCGCCCTGGACTCCGAGGCCTGCCTTGTCTTCTTGAACGCCAACTCGGGGGAAGGTGCAGACCGCAGCTCCTTGTACGATGACGAGCAGGATTCGCTGGTGACTACTGTCGCTGATAACTGCAACGTAAGTGCCGCTTCTGCTAGTTCAGAAACTTGCAACAATCGGACTAAGTCCAATACTGATACTAACTCCTCGGCAGAACACAATTGTCATTGTCAACGCCGTAGGTCCCCGTGTTATCGATGCATGGATCGAGCATGAAAACGTGACAGCTGTTTTGTACGCCGGTATGTTGGGTCAAGAGAGTGGCCGGGCCATCACCGATGTCCTGTACGGCGATGTCAACCCTAGCGGCAAGCTGAGTTACACCATCGCCAAGAACGAGTCCGACTACCCTGCCACCATCTGCTACACAGCCGTATGCGACTTTTCCGAGGGTGTCTACTTGGACTACCGCTCGTTCGAGGCCCAGAACCTGACGGCTCGCTACCCCTTTGGCCACGGTCTCAGCTACACCAATTTCACATACGGTGAAGTGACGGCTGCTGCGACCAACGCTTCAGCGCTCAAGTCCCAGCATCCTACCGGGGCACTCTCGCTTGGTGGCCCGGCGGATTTGTGGGATGAAGTTATTACTGTCACCACGACGGTCCAGAACTCGGGGTCGCTCGAGGGTGCCGAGGTTGCGCAGTTGTACATTAGCTTCCCAGAGGCGGCTGCCCAACCGACGAAGGTGTTGCGTGGCTTTGAGAAGCAGAAGATCCGCGTCGGCGCCACAGCCCATGTCAAATTCAGCATCCGGCGTCGTGATGTTAGCTACTGGGACACTGTGGCTCAGCAGTGGGCGGTTACAAGTGGCGAGTACACTTTTTCGGTCGGCTCGAGTTCGCAGGACATTCGTGGAACTGCTACGTTGACCATCTAGTTGGCTGGGCGTCGCTGGGCGTCGCTGATATTCATGGTTATATTTGAAAATTTCTGTACCTAGTTTGCCTTCGTTATTATCTCCTGGTTTTCGATGTTTCTCAAGTCCCAGGGTGTGCCCGTCGAGCCTACTTGAGCACTATCCGAGTTGGGTACTGGAGCCCAGATGCTTTGTACAAAATGATTGGGTTCATTTGAGCCAGTTCCATTTCATATGGAGATGGTGCATTGGTGTGGTAACAAGAGAGTGTTTAAAACGACGCCGTCTTAATAATGTCAGCTGCTGCACTTATAGCAGCACCTGCAGGACCTCTGGATCCATGTCACAACCCCCACCTAAACCCACTCATTCTACAGCGTGAGTTGATAATAATGATGATATGGTCTATGACGTACGTTTCGGGCGATACAAAATGACATCCGAAGCGTCAAGCTTTTAAAGACGTTCATCTCTTTAGTTCATACATCTGACCATTGAATCATCAGCTCTCTCAAACGAGTTCTGCCAAGAGTCGTCAACCCTCGGACTCCTTATGGAAATTCAGCAAATTCATCAGACCTCCGCAAACATGGCGCCGTCTGTTTTCCAGCTCAGTGGCACCTGCAATAACTACCCCTGGGGCAAACAGGGCAAGGCATCCCTGGCCGCCCAATTGTGCGCCCAAACTCCTGGCACCGACTTCAAGCTGGACGAGTCGGCCGTCTACTCGGAAATGTGGTTCGGTGATTACCCCGACTTCCCTGCGCGTGTGCTCTCGAGTGGTGAGCTGCTCTCCGACGTGCTGAAAACCGACAAGGAGCAGCTTCTAGGCAAGAAGGTGCTGCAGTACTATGATGGGCAGCTCCCATTCCTGCCCAAAATCCTGTCCATCTCCAAAGCCCTACCACTGCAGCTGCACCCCAACAAGGCACTCGCCACTAAGTTGCACGAGGAAGATCCTGGAAATTTCACGGATCCCAATCACAAGCCCGAGATCGCGGTGGCGCTGGGCAAATTTGAAGTGTTTGCCGGGTTCAAACCGCTGGGCGAGATTCAGCCGCTATTTGCGCTGCAGCCTCTGAAACGGTTTGATCCCAGTCCGGGAAAATGGGATGACGAGACACTGCGCAATGTCACGAGAGAGCTGATGAAGGCAGAGTTTTCGACAGTCAAGGAGGTGCAGACGCAGCTGTCCCACCTTTCCAGATCAGATCTCCCATCCGAAGCGGGATATATCTTGAACCTCCTGCCACGACTCCAAGATCAGTACGGACCTGAAGATGCCGGCAGCCTCGTCACCCTGTTGTGCATGAACTACATGGTCTTCCAGGCCGGTGACGCCATCTACATTCCCGCCGACGGCATCCACGCCTACCTGTCGGGCGACATCGTCGAGTGTATGGCGCGGTCCAACAATGTCCTGAACACGGGATTCTGCCCACCCGCCGACCGAAACAGGATCGACCTCTTCGCCAACGTACTCACCTTCAAGGCCCACAGCAGGGATGACGTGTACCTCCCCAGCCAGACGTACGACAAGAGCAAGAACGGAAAGACGGTCGTGTACAAGCCACCCATGAGCGAGTTTGACATGCTCAAGGCCGATTTGGGAAAGGGAGAGACGGAAGAGTTGACGGCCAACGAGGGTCCAGGCGTGTTGATTGTAACGAACGGGGAAGGAATTATGAAGGCACAGGGAGAGGAATTTGAGATGAAGAAAGGTTACATATTCTATGTAGCGCCTGGGGTAAACTTGCGGTGGGAGAGCAAACAGGCCTTGCAGATACACATGGCTGTGATATAGAGGCCTATCAATGCGAGGTTTTAGCCTTTGGCAGGCTGCACACTACACCGCGATACACGTATGGATTTATGTAGTACCTACGCGTGAATTATATTTTCACGCACGGAATAGTAGACCAGGTTGTAATAAGTTATAGAAGAGACCCACAACTGTAGAAGCAGCCCGAGAAAAATTATCAACAACGATCTAAGCGTATGTGATTGGTCTACCTATAGAATAGATAGTGCTAGTTAAGTTAGTATACCAAAGCTTCCTATTATCGTACCTAGTCTACCTACCTACTAAGACAACCAACTTATTTGCGGCTACCATACTCTATAGCCCCCCTCTAAAACCGCTAACTTCACAGTAAGTCGAGGGTGTAGGCCAAGTTCATGGGTCCAGCATCTTCAACAGATATTTTGCGGTCTAGGTGGAGATTAATCTCATCTGGGCAGGCTGTCAAAATGACGGTTATATTTGGTTTTGTTTGTGTTATGGAGACACGGTTAAGGATGTTGCCCATCTATCAATGCTCCTTTTGCTTGGCTGGTGTATAAGCCGCTGCAACCAGGCTGATGTTATGGTGGCCACGCATGTCCACCACGAAAGTGATGGGGGAAAGTTTAGTAGATTTCGGCATCTTACCAGAATCCACAGCCGTATACCGATGCCATCCTTCGTTTTGATTCAGTAAGCTTCTCGTGCGAGGAGAAAAATTGAATACAGAAATATACAAATTCGCAGCGTCGTGTTACACTTGTTTGTATAACAGGGTGATTTACCCACTGCAAAATGGGGGTGCATGCAAAAAGGTGGTCAATGCGATTAGTGGATTCATACTGCTCGCCACACACCCCTGCTCTTTGACGATGATAGACTGCGTTGGGGATGTGTTCTTCTTGGAGACCATGTGCAAAATACCTCGGCCCAGAACATGTACTGCTATTGGCACATATCTGCAGTGCAAACCAATTTTCACCTATATTTCAATAAAGACCTCAAAATGGCCACAGGCCCACCGCCCGCGCATTTCGTGGGCCTGCGACAGGAAGCGAAACTTTTTCATATGCGGGAGGCCAGCTATCATTTTAGGACTTTGGCGCTGAGCCTTGGAGACCCGCCAATGTCGGCAAGGAGGCCCGCCAATGTCGGCAAGGAGGCCCTCCATCAAAGACCTGGAACTTGGCTCGGCTCAGCCGTGAGTCACTACCATGTAGAAATGGCCTAGGGAATACTGCTGTGGTTCTAGGGGGTACATCTGAAGTCCGCCTTGAGAGAAGACTCGTCGAAACTGGAAGAAGGTGAAAGGGGGCCTTCAAAAATCTCTTAGGGGAGGCGAAACTCGGTTCCCAGGCTTTGTCTATTCCTGATTAAATCATATAGTTTCTCAGAGTCGTGTACTAGTGCACGATTTTATTACAAATCCTCGAGCAACAGAAAAGAACCACTCACATCTCCGCACAGTCATACTAGATGGCTTCAGGGGACGGCTATTGGAACCACGGGTCTGACGACTTTTATCAATGGAACCAGACCTCCTTCGACAGCAACAGTGGAGAAGGTGTCGCTTATGACCAGGGATTTGGTGACCAAACTGACAACAATGCGACTTGGCAAATGCCATATAACCAAGATCCTTCCTTTGGGCTGGACCAGAACCAGATGCAGAACGGAGGTTACACCCTTTAGAGTGAAACCCAGGCAACAACAGGATCCGAATCTGTGGGAGTCCAACCATCGCTCCCACTGCAGCCATCAGGATACCACTACGACTACTCCATGGCTGCATTTGATCCCACACAACAAACCGGCCAACAGCCGTTTCCACTTTCCAACGACGTTGGAACCGATATTGTCGAAAGCGAAGAAAATGCCGGGTCGCAGGAGGGAGACATACTGGATATTAAAAACATGAAGAAGAACGCCGATGGGAATTATTATTGTCCCTGGGAGGACTGTGAGCACAAGGAGAGTCGGAGGACGGAGTTGAGGTGTGTACCAGAACAGATAACCAGCTTGAGTTGCGACTGTGCTAATGTGAAGCAGGAAGCATCTCAAGAAACATGTCAAGCCGAACACTTGCCATATCTGTGGCAAGGACACGGCCGAGCGCCGAGACTTGCAGCGCCACATATTGTCTCACCACACACCCTCCAAGGACAAGAAGAAGTACACGTGCAGTATTTGCAACCAAACTTTTACGAGGGACGACAATCTGAAGAAGCACCAGACAAATATGCATTCATGAACTTTTGATTGCGGTGGTGGAAGTCACTGGAAGACTGTACCGATCTTGTCTTTTCCTTTTTTTCTTTTCCTCTGGTTGATGCAGCTGGGCTGTTGGTTCATCATGAGTGTGGTTAATGGGTTGATTGCAGTTTGGTTTCACCTAGTTACGATTGATGATTCTCCTTTCTTCAGGATATCCCAATGAACTTATCATTTGGGCTCTCCTGCATCTCCTATCAGTTTCTCGAATATAACAAGTATCCTTGTCTCTACTTACTGCATCTGTAGACCACTTGTGTAACATGGCATAACATCTAAAGTCTGCGTAGTACCTCTGCGGGAGACAAGGCCACCAGACCTCTACCCCCCCATATACGAATATGCGTTGTATCGGTAACATCACAAAGTATCATCCATGCACCTGATTCCCATAAATCCAATACATTAAGGACCCCGCGTTGGTCACACAATTACGCTCGTAGCTTTCACCTCTCAGGTTACTCGTTTCGCCCAATCGAGCACAACATAAATTGGGCACTGATCCTGCTAATAGGATTGGTATCTGTTTCCATGAATCACTTGGTTAACCGGTATGAAATAGCCTTGAGCAGTGAGATAACGCAAGCAGGGATGACCTTGGCAGGTGATCCCTACTTTTGGCTTTGACGACTTCAGGGGTCTTTGTAATAGAGGGTAGCAGAATCCCGACTACCTACAGGTGGGAAGGTACGGCCAAGTACAGGGCTACAAAACCCCGCCCCAAAACCAGAAGTAACCATCATAGAGGAAAGAAAAGAAAACGTCTTTTTTTGGCCTTCATATAAATCTCCTACCTACTGTAACAGCCGCATATAGACCTGCTTCGAGTCGAGCCAGTCTAGCTAGGGACGGCAGTTTAATCGGTGCCTAAATCCGGATCGATTATGATTACTCTTGGGACGGCACTAAGATCAAATAAAACCGTAGTTCCAGTGTCGCACCGCAACATCGCCTTAATGTTTTGTCTTCGTGCATTGCCTCTATCCGGGAGTTACACGTCCATCCTTCCCTCATCCTTCCTCCGCTTCCTTTTTTGAACATAAATATATTTCACATCCGAGTGCCACCACCCTTTCCACAGAAAGCAGTTTTGTATATTGAGGCTCAGTTGTGTATTTATATTGCTTCCTAAAAGATGCTTCACTGTACACGTCACTGCAACCTCAGTCCAGCCTGGACTCTGGAAGCATCGACGCAGCTTGGTACTCGAGCCCAGTGGTCCATGCAAGTTATATGACGGATACCACTCGGGAAAGAGTTTTGCCGTATCCAACCACGCCGAAGCCGAATTCTGCGCAGAAGAATTTCAATCAATTGGCCGGCACAAATGCGAAAACACGACATCAGTGTCGATAGGTGGGAGTGTGGTGGTTCTGGTCGATTTTCGCTGCTGCCCAGGAGTCGTCGAAGTTGTGTGCGACGATAGGGACCCCCAAGCGTCTTAGGGAGCCAGGACTTTCCATACCGAGGGGCTACAGGGTTGCTTTGTGCTTCAAGAGGTAGGACGATAACGCTTGATTGGGGCCGTTTCTAAGCTCCTTCATCGGGGGTGATGGTTATTTCATACTCGGTGACCCTATGGTCAATTGCCGGCGTCGCGCCATGGTGGCTGGGGAGGGGCCGTCGTCGTAGCTATCAAAATGTGCGTCTTCAGCCATTAAATATTATTGTCCTACTTCGCCCACAACCTGCCAGCTGAAAATAATCTCATGCAGAAAAAGTCTGTTGATGTGGAAAACAAATTCATTTGCATCCTGGAGTTTGAAGCCAACGACGAATATGTACATTATCTCCCGATATTGAGGCTCGCTTTTGCGGCTTCACGGGAAGAGCGGCAGCTTTCGAGTAGATCACCGCCATGGACAGAGGTTCAGCTGTTGTCAAAGGCGTAGCAGTCCTCGGTGCTGACCGTGGGGTTTGGGTCCACTGTTGAAATCCACAAGCTACGAGTCGAACTACCTGCGGGATCAACACCGATATCGCTTCGGCAAATTCGGACTTTTCTTTTCCTTTCTTCTCTCTTTCCTTTTGACGGTTAGTTAATTTGTATTAGTTTCTTACCGTTTTACGTTCTTGTGTGTGCATTCGTTTGCTCTCGGATAAGGAGGTAGGGGTTTCCCTTCAAGTACATCTATGACTGGTAGCTAATCACTTGGTTAGCTCTGCATCTGCTGCAGATCTAAGGCCGAGACGTTTTCTGGAGCCTTAGTGACGTCGGGTGGAAGCTTTGCGGCCTAACGGACCGCTCCCTACTCGCCAGAAATGGCTTGCAATGCGGTGATGGGGATCAACGTAAAAGCCCGTGGGAGGTTGTGTATGACTTTGCAGGCTAACAACGGCGGCCGAAAATGATTAAATGTGGTCAAGTAAGAACATATCTACGGTCTAATATATAGATGAAACTTGGTCAAGTTCACTCAAGTTGGTGGGATGAACCCGGTTTCTTAGTGGCCCTCTTTCAAGCACCCCCTACCTGGATATAGCATCGACTCATGCCGAATGCTGCTTCTGTGAGACATGCAATATCAGTGTCCTCATTATTTATTTGCAATGCCGGATATGAACCTTTCCCCACCCACCCGTCTGTTAAGAAAGCGAGGTAGATAGGATGAAACTCAACTGGTCCAGGTACGAGGCATATATATTATTAGTATCGAGGCCGTTATGTCTGACCACAGATTAGGCTGCAACCTGCTTGGAAGTCCATCCAGCAAGGGAAAGGTATTTTTTGCATAGAAAAACTCAACTGTTGCCTTGTTTATAGTTAATATTGAGATTTTAATCATAGAGAACGAAGACATACCGGTTCATTGTATGTGATAGCACATACAGGCATGCCGGTTTTGAGATTGTTGAACTGGCAATTTGCGACTCGGGTCAGCATTTAACGCCACCTTTTGACGCAGCCTAGAAACCCGAGTTTATCATATGAGCCTTGGTGATAGAGTCTTACCTTTAAGTCATTGTCATTACGCCATCCAGTTGCGGCTAGCTTGGAGCCCCTGCCAATAGACTTCAGTATAGCCGACGTGGTCGGCGATGGCACAGTAGGCAGCGGTGTATCTGCAACCCTGCCTTCTGACATTATAGCTGTAACGGCAGCTCTTACAGCTTAATTGTTGGATCTCGTCGTAATTTTCAAGACATATCTCCCACGGGCTCACCATCCAAAGGGGGACTTGGAGCACGGTTGACCTACGTGAAAATAGCAATGTGCATCCTATAACAACTGGCCCCCGTTACAGTATACAGTATGCCACATCTTGAATCCATTAGATAGCTTCCGCTAATAAGGTCACCAAACAATCCTGCCCCTAGTTTGACCGCGACTACAGAGTTTCCATTTGACAGCCAATGAAATCGAAGCACGCTGCCATATAGGCTTCGACATCCAAAAGTAACCTCCATAGTATTTGGATCTCATATTTAACGGCGCTTTCAGGTGGGATATCCCAAGTCAGACTTATCTGCAATGCGGTTAATAGACCTATACTACACCATCCCACTCCTAGTGTGCCGTTTGCTTCGTTACCCGCTTGCCTGAATGCTTTGTAAGTCATTTTCCCATGCTTGCACACATTGATGTTCTCTACGAGCTCCGGAGAGTAGGCGCTTTATTCTATTCGCTGGATAAGACTTCATGTGTTGTCAGATTTCCGTTTGCCAGGTCGGTAGCCGGCGGGGTTACGCAGGTGGCTGGCCTCCGGCATCTACACATGGAGAGCCTGGGATTACGCAGAAATTCATATCGGCCTGGCAAGAAGTCATAAAGTAAGACATGAACATTCAATTACGCGGATGTTTCTATAGCCTCCATTAAATCACCATGCCAAATTACGGCCAGTATTCGCAGCATCCAAAGACTGAATCAATGACCAAGGCTCGGAGCTTTTGGACTACACAAGACAAATTTGAGTTTCATTTAGCAGTCGAAGAACTCCATAAGCTGGTACAGGTGCCAGCCGACGAGCATCTGTATCGAGACAACATCCCAGAGCCGGCCGGAGACCATGTTCTCGCATTAAAGGATGAGCTGCAGATCGCTGACAACCTTGCCTTCCTCGCCCATTGGGAAGAAGATGTGACGGCGGTCTCCGCAATTACGATTCAAGAGAGACCAAGAAGTTTGAAAGTGGTAGTTACGAGCAACCAAACACCGGCTGAAGCCATTGTGGATGGGCTGCGAGATCTGATGCGAATCACTAGCGAATTCTCTCAAAAAGGTACGTTCAATGAATCATATCTCGACAAAAGCAACTTCTAAAATTTGGATCATCAAAAGGACAGTATCGAGCGCAACATTGCGAAAGACTGTTTGAAAAAGTCATCAACGTCTGTAGGTCACGCATATTAGCGCGTATAAGTCCACCATGGCTCCCTCTGCCACCGCACTTCAAGGGCAAGAAGATATTTTTGCGGGACGGGATTCAAAGCTTCAATAAGGTTCAACAACTCGGTTTAGAATACCAGACACTCCAACAAAAAACGACTGAGTTGGTTCAGTGTCTCGAACCGTTATGCAATGTCAAGGGAGATGATGAAACGCTGGAAAATCTGAAGAAAGTCATCAAAGCATGCGTTGGCCTAACGGCAGTTGGAAACCTCAAATCATTACAAGACTACCTAGGGGGGCGAGGGATTCACCTGAGAGCGGAAATGCGCCAGATCGACAAACTAGCCAGGTATTGGTATGCGTGCAAGGATCTGATCAGAATTTCCGGGAAGCCCCAGTACAAGGCCTTATTCGAGGTCGTCGAAGTTCAACGCTTGCAGTCGTTTCCGAAACAAGATCGTCCAGGCGCGACATGCAGTTGTTGGGTTCATGCAGAAATTCAACAGATAATCCACTACGAGAAAGACCCAGTACAGCCGTCTCCACGGGTTATTGGCTGCAGCAAGTCGGCCTGTTACTTGTGCGATTTGTTCATTCGCACTCAAGGACGTTACAGCCTATCTCTCACACATGGACGGCTGTACAAGATGTGGACTTTACCTGATATTAATTTCTCAGATAAGAAAAAAGCGGCTGCATTTCTCAAAATTATTCAATCAATGACACGAGACTTGAAGACAACCAGGAAACGTACTCTCTGTCTGCCATATACCCCCAGGCAGTGCCCCATGGAGAGTCGAGCGTTGTTGCCGCTGTCGAGTGTCTCGTTGCTAAACGAGAGCACAAGCCCAGTAACGTCTTTATCGAGAGTGGCGTCGCGGACCAGCTCGGCTTCAGGAAAAGTCTCCAGTGCTGGTATTTCTAGTTCTAGCACAGGGTCAAGCACGAGCTCGGTACACAGTGCAAATCCAAACGCTGAACCTTTGTTCGTCGAGACAGTCTCGAATGCGAACTCAGACTCCAACCTGAGTGCCAGCATAGTCCAATCAATGTTGAACTCGCAACCTCAGACACATATCGCAAGCCCAAACCTCACATCATCCGACAATCTGAGTGATACAACATCACGAGATTCAATACATTCTTCGCATGTTAAACTGGGAAAGAATGATATGCCGTTCCACTGTCTCATCAGACCAGGCCAATCCACGATGAATATCATCATGGATGACCTAACCCTTCTGTTCGAGTTTAATGGGTCAATTCCAGTCCACAAGTTGAGCATCACGCAAGCAAACACATCCAGCAATGACGGACTTGGGACCTTTGCAGCGTCGCTGCTGCCCGCCCACATTGAAACACGTTTGGATTGCCCCAGAGAGGAAACCCGGCAAGCGTTTCGATTGGAAACGTCCCCTAACAGTTTCGTTGACATTGAATTTCTCTACTGAATCGACTCGGGCGGGAACAGTCCATGGCCAAGTTGAGTAGCGGCGATGGGGTTATGGCGGGCTCCATTGTGGCTCGGAACCTACCTTTGTTGAAGAACAATACAAAGAGTCTACAGGGTGTTGGATTTGTTTCAGGCTACCATTATCAGAGTTCTATCGCCTAATGTCAAGCCAGACCGGACTACTCCCTACTGCAAACCGCTATATCAGCCAGTTATTCGGCTTCATTAAGAACGTTGTCCGTATGCGCCAGTAACGTGACCTAAGCCTCCAGTCTCCTCAACCCCAAAGCCTCCCTAGCCAGATACTCCTTCGCCTCTGCCCTAGCCCTCTCTTCACTAATAAAGAAAATTCCTACAGTAGGGACTAGCACTAGCGCCGCCACAAACGGAAAGGCAGCCCACTGGTTCCCGCTCCGGTCAACAATGGCACTATATACAATGGGCCCAATCCACGCCGACCCTTTAGACACAATCCCCAACAAACTGTAAAACATGTACTCCCTTCCTTTCGGGATCAACTCAGCCAGAAACGCCTGGCCATACGAAAACTGCGGCCCCAGCGTCAGTCCAAACTGAGCGTTAAATAGCCAGAACTCCCAGACATTGTGGTACCCGACTTTGGTGGTCCAAATCCCCAGCATGCCCACAGCGCAACAAGAAAACATCCGACGTTGCTGAACTACATTATGGTCTTGGTGCGCAAGTTGAAGTAGCGTTGAATGTAGTACGCGCCGAAGACGCCAACACCGGCCGAGGCGCCTTGTACCATGATAAAGTAGGTGTTTGCGTGGCGGAGAAAACCACAGCTTGTGTTTGCACGATCATGACGAGGGTTATGGTGGTGCCTACTCCGTCGGCTAGCAGGAAGAAAACGACTAGATACGCAAAGGTTTGTTTCAAATTCCAGGCCTGCCGCGCTGCAAAACAGGCTTGGCGGAAGCCGAAGGTGAGATAGTTGTCCCCCTTTGGTAGAAGGGGACCAGGCCGCTTCTTCTCCCACAGGAACCAGGGGATGGCGAGGAGGATCCAGAAACCTGTGCAGATGGCGACGGCCACGGAGTAGCCCCAATTGCTGGACTCGACAGAGTCGTCAGCGTGGAGGCCGACCAGGGCGGCGAGGGAGAGGGCGCAACAGAGGACGAAGCCGACGTTGTTCCATCCGTAGCCCATGTTCGGCCCTGGCTTCGGGGAGGTCATGCGAGAGTTTGGGGAAGATGGCGTTGAAGAAGACGTATGAGGCCCAGAATGCGATGGCTGTAAAGTTTCATCAACGGGTGTGTCCAGTTCAATAGTCGATGATGAGACCATCACATCCCAGTCAACTCCTCTACTAGGGAATATATGTACTTACCACTCAAGATATACAACGCCATAGCCATCCCCCATTGATCCGCCCCCCGAATCCCCAAGAACCCAAACTCGAACGCTCAGCATATAACCGAGAATGCCCGAACGACCCAGGGATTCCAGCCCCCGTAGTCGGCCAGACTACCCACGCCAATGAACACCAGAGCCTGGCACAGGAACGTTATCCCAGACCCGATGAGGATCACCGACGTGTACTCTTTAGTTCCGCCGTTCCAGAAGACGTGGCAGGGCGCCGTGGGATCGACCTCACAGCTTGAGCTGCCCAAGGGCTGTTCGTGGGGGTTGAAGCCGGCTTGGTAAATGAGGTTCTGGAATAGGAGGTTGGAACTTGTGGACAGGTTATTTTGTGAAGATTGAGATGGTTATGAGATAAGTTGAAACGTACTATTGAAAAGAGCCGATGCCGTTGTTACCAGCATAGTAGGCGTAGTACGAGTATAGCTCTTCTTCGTCGCTGGTGGGTCGTCCTCGGCGTAAGGATCAAGTGACAGCACAAAAGCTTCTGGTTCTTGGACTTTTGGGATATCATGTCCCACACGCTGAATTGAGAGGGATTCTTTGTGCTCCTCCATGGCTAACTCAACATAGGGAGTCACGAGGGTTAATGCGAGACTGCCCGTGGGAAATAGTTCGTTACAGGCAACAAGTATAAGATGTTATTCGACATTAATGACCAAGAAAGAACCACGGGTGACTCATAATCGCTACTTGAATAAATCCACATTGCGAATGCCGACGAGTAGATAAGGTGACATAACATAACGCTATCCAAGTTGATGACAGTCCACTATGACATGGAGGGGTTATCCGCAAGGACAACCAATGATAAAAAGTCGCCGTCTCTTTCTAAAGCCACAATGTAACTCCAGAAACAGTGGGTATCGTCTATCCATGCAGAAATTTAGAGGATGACAAATACATAAGCGAGTCGGTACCGCGGAATCAAGTAGGATGGCACCGTGTTCTGATATTAGAGTTGAATATGCACATGGGTTTGGTCCCATAGTGTACCACACAAACATTATCGTACTTCAAGGTCTATAGAGTCATGAAAACGTGCCCCACCCTTCCACTCTGGAATCGGCAAGTACACACAATAAATAGCACAAGATGCGAAGAGGATTGCCCACACAAGGAGGTCAACCTATAACGACCTCCCAATCCAACTACTAAACAAACTCCGTCCTGAAAACCCACTAACCGTCCCCGTCTCACTACTGACACTCAGGGGGCCCCCGGGACCCCGAGGAACAGGCAAGACGGGCGGCGTATTGGAGCTACTCGCATGTTCCGTCCTTAAACTCCAATGCCTGCGCGTCGTCTCTGCCCCATCCGCATCCGACGCCGTCGAGAGCACGGTCGACGAGCGCAAGAAAGTGAACCTCTCGGCGTAGCCCGGCGGGATGGGCCAAAGTGCACTGTTCCAAGGCCGAGACTTGTTGGGCCGCTGAATGACGATGCGCACGTCGTTGCTCTGCATGCTGGGCTCGCGGCCGCTGCCGCCGCTGTGGGGCTCCCCAAAATTCGAGTACGGCCGTTGCATGGGCGGGATTGTCTGGACGAAGCTGGCGAAGGAGCGGAATGCGGAGGGGGTGCGGGTTTCACGGACCAAGGAGTCGGATGGAGGATCGACGCTCCGGTCTCGTGCAATGCTGGCTTGGTGATGCCGGCGGATGAGTTTATGGCGGAAGACGGCGACGAGGATCAGTAGGAGGAAGACAAAGGCTATGACGCCGACTGTTATGCCCACTACTTGTTCGGTGGTGAGGCCGCTGGGCGAACTGGGGGCAAGGGCCGGTGGTGTTTCGGTTGGTTGGGTGGCCATCGAAGACGGCGTGACAAGACCAGTAGGGAGACCTCTGGGTGGAACAGTTGTAGTTAATGTGACGATAGTAAAGATCGTGGTGGTTGAAGTTGGTGTCGTGATATCGGAGGAAATGATCGAGGTCGTATCCTGCCGTATGACCAACATGACGGGGCTTCTGTTCCTTCTATCTGCCCCGGAACGGTGATGAAACGGAGATCTGCGAGAATAACATTCAACGCAAGAAGGAACGTAACTTAAACCCAATGGGATGAAGGATTCCAGAGCGGCAAAGGCATGAATGCCGCATGCTGGATCCGACAGTGTTTAACCCAGCTTCGCATCAAGAATCCTCGCGGTAATTGAACGTGTTTTTGTGGATAATTCGGTTATAATTCTGCTCATGGCCGGCCCTGTATCCAACCGTTACGCTAAACGTAGCCAAGTTGTTCACAGATATTGAAGAAAACCCTCCAGGCTCTGGTTGAGCTGTTCTGGGGTGAATTGGATGTTGCAATTTACTGGATTGCTGGCGGCGCGTTCCATCCGCGAAAGATTGTCCATGCGGAAAGTTCTAGGGCCAGATGGAAGTCGACCGCTTGACCTAGGCAGACCTCTTTCTCCCTGTGTTGCCGTACTTTCGGCGCCGTCGCTCATTGAGGCTGACCAACGTCAAAGCGAATGCGCTTAAAACGCATATCCCATCCAGTACTTTGACGACTTAAACTGTCATTGACCTGACATGATCTGAATATGCACATGGCGACAGTTGGGTACTCTTTGTTGATAGAGAACATGGCGGTGAGCGCAAACATGCTCGCCAGTATTGTAAAATCTATCAGAAAAAGCCATCGATAGCCGAACAGCCATGAAGGGAGAAAGGGCACAGAACTGGAACTGAGCCGTCTGAGAGCGCAGCAGCTCGACCGAAATCGGAACGATATCTACGCACAGCCGAATGTCAGCGCTGAAAGGAAGTCACTGCAGCCATCATGTAATCAGAACCCTTAATCCATAACATCCCCTACGAGTGTGTATTTTGGGAGTTGAACGGCCGAGAGATGCAGAAGAGCATAAGACGATGGAACGAGGCCGGTACGACATTACATCCATCCCCACTGTACAGAGCAATTCAAAATTGGAGAGGGGGTAGATCTCAGCCCAGCAAAGAGACGGCGGTCCGAAGCGCTAAAAGATAAGCTCGCGTGGGTTTAGACCCGAGCGCTTGAAACCGTGGACGACATTGGGCTGCTCGAGCGCATCGTATTGCTGAACAAAGCTGACACTTGGTGTGGCGGACTTCCCAAGTAAACACAATGAACAAAGGAGCCGCATCTCCGAAGCCATGAAGATATCCTGGCATACGGCATTCACGATGAGAGAAACAGGACAACACTGAAAGCCTCAATTGATGGCCACCATCTGATGCTGCCTGCCTGCCCGCCCAGTGGCCAAAACGCACTCGATAGTTTGGCTTCTGACCTCCAGGAGTCTGCGGGCCAACAGGGCGTTGCAATGATGCTGCCAACGGATATTGATCGACGGAAGCCAAAGTGTTGACACTGGAGGTGGACTATAGGAAATACGGCTCAGAAACATGTCGCCAAGCTGCTGGAAATAGGCTTCTGTGGTAAATTTAGGGCGTATCACTGACGGCCTGTTGGGGAGGGTCTAGCGTCTCATTTGAGCAGCTGTAGCTGCAGCTCGACGCCTGGGGCATTCATGCAAAATTTGCCACTTTCTGGTGTCGAACTTAGCCGAATTAGCTGAGATGAGGTCTAATATGCTCATTAGGCAATACCAAATGACATCTCTAAAGGCACGAGATTATAAGGATGCCCGAGGTATTGACGATGGGTGGCAGTTACTTCCTTTGTCGTCCCGAGGCAACATGTACTTGCCCTTGCCCAAGTGGAGGGCTACTGCAACTTGCAACCCCTGTCTGTTTATGTACGAGGATAACAACCTCGAATGCAATGAGCCTGAATACCGAGCGCTCTGAGAATCTGCAGCGAGCGCATCGGCATCGGAACCACTGCTCCCAGCTTCTTCGTGAACTCGACGTGGTAAACGCGCACGTGAAGATACGGTTGAAGGAACAGGAGCTTCCAGGAATCACCACTTACACTCACCAAGTCGAAAGAGACCTGCGGCGTGTGGAAGAAATCATCCCGGATCCAGAGTCGCGCAAGGAAATAGACGCGTCCGTTACATGAGAAACGACATGGAGGGCATTGAAGCGATGTCATGGACTCCTCTACCTTGGCGCTCTGTTCCAACAGAACCCATCTCCGGGCTATATCGGGCCCATAGAGGTCAACACACCGGCCCTGTCCCGGAGGCGTAGGAGAGGTGGCGGCAGTAAGGATAATGATTAGATGGAACGCTCCGTCTGTGTCGACGCGGTTTACGAGAATGGATCCAAATGGACCAAAGTCTTCGCGCTCAAGGAAAATCAGTTGCTGTGGGACATGCTAGAGAACGGGTGGGAATGGGATGCAAATTTTGAGGACGAGGGCCTGTTCGACAGTGAGACGGAGGGCGAGGTTCAGATACTACTTGGATTTGATGTTCCCGTTGAAGGAGCAAAAGGAGGGCACATATGCCTAACCTGTATGTATTGTAGCTAACTCTGGTCCTCTCTTCGAGGGTCTATGTATGGAAACAAAAGGGTTCTTATATAGTCAATGAATGGTAGACTTGCTGATTAATTCAGACAAGTTGTAGAAGCATATAGATAAGTAGGGAATGTTCTATCCTCGCCACATTTCTCGTAATAGAGGTATGTGGGGATGGTCGCCGTTCTAGGTGGCGATAGTGGCAAGTATAGGACCCACATGGCCCACAGGGCCCATATTGTCCAACTCACCCCCTCAACAAGGCGGTAGAACTGGTTTGTTGGAAACCGAAGTAAGTACATGTCCTAACTGTTTGGTAGTATAGGATTTGAATAGTGATATGTTCAATCTAACTGGGAATTGTCGTCTGAAACCTCCTGTGCTTGGATAAGCTCTTGTATATTTTTGAGGTTGCATATCTGCACGAATAGGTCGTGTTTTTGCGGAGGTAGTGCTTTTGTAAGACCGTCGGCTGCCATGATAGCCGTTGGGGTCCAGGATACGTTAAGCCTTTTGGTCGTATATGCCTCGCGAAGCCAGTGGTTGTGTATATCGACGTGTTTAAGCTTTGTGGATAGGCGTGCTAGTTCTTCTGTAACTAGGCGAATGGTCTGAGTATTGTCGCATTCTATTACTAACTTCTCGTGAAGGTCGAGACCTATAGCTGCAAATAGTCGCTCCATAGCAAGGGCTTCTTTGGCGGTTTGTGATAAGGCTAATAACTCGGATTCTGTGGTATTGGTTGTAACTGTATCCTGTTTGCTTGCCCGCCAAGTAATGGGTCCTCCAAAGAGCTTCATTATAAAGGCTTGAGAGCTTTTGCGATCGTGGGGATCGTCTGCAAATGCTGCATCGCTGGATACTATGAAGCTTCGAGGGACGTTAGTTGTGTCGTCTCCTCCTAGCTCGAGGGCGTAGTATCTGGTAGATAGCAAATATGTAAGGCAGTCGTCGATAGCCTGGTGGTGCTCTGGAGAAGGGTTGCTATTGAACTGAGCGAGCTTTGAAGCAGCGAATGCGCAGTCCGTTCGAGTGGTTATAGCCGCATATAGTACGCTGCCTACCTTAGCTTGGTAGTCTCGTCGAGAGATAGGACTAGCCTGTCTAGTGTATCTAGAGAGGTCTCTATAAGGCGACAAAGGTACTTTGGGGATACGTTTCCGATCAAGGGAAACATCGTACTGGGTACATATTTTCTCGATATACGAGGTTTGAGAAAGCCAGATCTTTCGTTCGGTCCGATCCCTTATGATCTGAATGCCTAGGAACCAGCGAAGTTCTCCTAGGTCCTTTAGTCGGAAGCGGTTCATTAGCTGTTGAATGAAGTGGTTGGTTTGAGCTTCGTCCTGCTTGCGATATAGTAGGCAGATGTCGTCTACGTAGAAGAAGGCTAGAATCTTGCCGTTCGTAAGGATGCAGGGCTCTTCGGGGACCTGTTTAAGGCCTAACTCGGTCATGCCTGATGCTAGGTCGCGTTGCCATAGGAGAGGTGAACGACGGAGACCGTATAGGGCTCTTTTGAGCCGTAGACAGTAGCCTCGTTGCTTGAAACCGTCTGGGAAGTAGACGTAGACGACTTCATCGATTTTACTATGAGTAAAGGCGTTTACGGCATCCAATTGCCGCGTCTCGAGGTCAAATTTTGCAGCAATAGCCATTAGCATCCGGAAGGATCGTCCAGCTAGGGTCGATGCGTATGCGTTTAGGTCTGATCGTGGCTGGAGATCTCCTCTAACAACAAGGCGTGCTTTGTATCGATCGAGGTATCCGTGTTTATCGAATTTGTAGGTAAATACCCACATTAGGGGGATTATGAAATGGCTGGTAGCTTCTGATAGCGGTACCTTATCCCACGAGTCTTGGCTAATGGCGTTATATTCCGCTAAAGCAGCCTCTTTCCAGTTCGTCCAGAGAGCGTGTAACTGTGCTTCGGCCCAGTTCTTCGGAGGTGGAGGAAGGTTTCTCCGATGTTGCCTTTTGTGCTGGATTGCAGTAGTAAAGGCTGCGTTCAGTGGTGTATACTGGGGGCTAGAAGTGTGATATTTGCGGAGAGCTTTGGGGATAGCCTGAAAGACGTCCGCTGTATTGGCTTGATGGCGGTTTCGACGGCTTCTTGTAGTTGTATTCGGCAAAAGATTCGGATTTAGCTCTGATCGTATCTCGTTAAGCATACGGGAGCCTCGTCCAGTGGCTCGTGGCTGCTGGGCTAGCGGTATTATTGGAGAATCTGGCGATGGGTCTGGTGATGGGTCTGGTGTTGGCAGTTGTTCTGGTAGCAATCCTTTGTCGGCTATAAGCTCTGGAGGTACTGCCACGGTAATAGAGTCTTCGATTCGCTCTGATGGTTCTCGGTGGTCCACCCCCTCAGCGTTAGAGATGTCGTTAACTGCTTCGTCAACGCTGGACTCAGTTGTTCCATTGTATCCGAGCACGATTTGCAGGGCTGTATCATCATTACTAGCCTCAACTTCGATATGCTGGATCTCATCGTCGATTTCCCTAATCCGGAGAGGTGTGTAATGTTCCGATGGATCGTATACTCCTTGTTCATCGAAGGTTACATCTCGTATGGATATAACTTTGTTTCTGGTCGGGATCCAGACCTTATAGACAGTCTGGTTCTTGTACCCAACATGGTATCCGATATATGTCCGAGGCTCCATCTTCTTTAACTTATTCCTTCCGGCTCGATAGTCTTCGGTAAGGGGATAAGCCTTGCATCCCCATGCAACGAGGTGAGAGACTAGAGGGCGGTGGTCTTGAATCGGGAGATTATCTCGTTTGGCAAGCCATTCTGAGAGAACTTCGATAGGAGTTTTCCACTTTAGTCGTTTAAGTGGTGTCCGATTTGTTAGATATGTAGCTGTTTCAACAGCTTCTGGCCACAGGCTTGGCGGTAGCCGTGAGCTAACTATCATGGCACGCGCTTTGGTATTGATTATCCTCCCAGCTCGTTCGGCGACGCCTACCGGCTCCTTGGTATATGGTGGTGCTTGGTTATGCTGTATGCCGGTACGCAAGATCCATTCCTGAAAATGTTTGCCGAACGCTTTCTCGCCATCTGACGTAATTGTTTTCACGTCAATGTCATACCGTCTCTTAATGTAGGATACAAGGCTTGTAAGGGCAGGAAAGGCGTGCTTTTTCCGTCGAAGGGTATATGTAATCCGTACTCCGGTAACTAGGTCAGTGCCGATTAGAGCCCTAGTTCGTCCGTCGTAGGCTGTCTCGTATTCGAAGAGATCAATATCCATATGTTCCAGGGGTTTGAATCCTCGGTTTTTGGGATGTCGTGTAATGCGGCGTGTCCCTTTTGCGAGAGAGCAGTCTTCGCACTGGATCGTAGTTGGCGCCTTAATCTTTATGCCTGTAACTGCGTACACAAGCTTCTCTAGGCTTCTGGGGCCAAGATGGGCCATCCGTCTATGCCAGAGTGTAGCGTCACCGTCAAGGGGTTTTTGAGGTCGACGTGAATCGTTCCCATGGAGCTCCTGCTTCTGCTCAAACGGATTTGTGGGCCTTAGGTCGATACCCGGCATCCCTGGAGTATCTACTGTAGGTATAGATGCAGGCTCTAGTGGTATTGACACCCTCTCATCTTCGGAGAATTCAGATACCTGTTCGGAGTCGGATTCTGAAGGTTCAGTGGAAATTTCCACATCTGCTTCGTCGGTAGCAAAGGCGCTGCTATAGGTCGCGCGTTGGGAGGCTATAAATGGTTCCAGATCATCGTTGGCAGCGTTGTCGTTTGTTAAGGGAATGTATTCGAGAATCGGCTGGTTATACTTTTCTGTAAGGTAACAGAGGGTTTTCCGATGTCCTGCCCGAATGTAATACAAAGCTTCATGTTCCATATCGTAATAGATGCCGGCTTTCTTGAACAACCTAGCAGAGGCGAGGTTTGTATGCATGGCGGGGACGTAGGCGACGTTCTCGAGGGTAAATACCATAGACTTTCCTCCTGGTCGTCGTATTTGGATTTCGACGTCACCCCATAAGAGGATATCTAGAAGAATACCTCCACTGATGATTTTGTCTGTAGGGGACGCGCTTCTGATTTTCTTGAATCGGGAATGCTGGTTGCATATATGGATGCTGCTTCCAGTGTCGTAAAGGGTTGATCGTTTCAATGGATAGTCTACCTGGAGGCCTGTAGTAAAAGCAGAGACCTCGTGGATCGTATTGACAGTATTTAACTGCTTGGTGGGTGCGCTGGCGTTGTTGCCAGCGCCGTACCCTCAGGCCTTGCCTGGTATGGTATCGTTGCTCTCGTTATTGCTACTGCTGTTGGCTCTTTTGGCCGCTCGTAGCTGGATTTTCTCGATCAACTTTCTAACCTTCTCATCCTTCAGTTTTTCCTCTATCTCTCGCTGCTTGCCCGGGTTCGGGGACCATCCAGTGGGGCGAAGGCTCTCGATAAGGTAATAACAGCGCTATACCGGTGGTGACTACCACATAGGCATGTACGTGACTTGTCGTTTGTAGAGGCTGCTGGTGGCTCTTTTCCGTCTAGGGTAGGAGTAGCTGCGTGAGCGCCTCTTGAGATGGTATGGTATGTGTTTCCGAAGGTTTTATTCCAACGGAGGTGGTTTGCAAAGGCATTGTAGATAGACTCGACTTCCATTTGCTTCGCTGGTGGGTTCTGGAGCTCCTTGTCGATGTCGTGCTTCCAGTTGCTTGCGAAGTCGCTTGCTACGGGGTATACCGCAGTAACGAAGGCGTAGTGAGCGTGGTACATTGATATGGAGGGTAGGCCAAGCTCCCTTGCTTCGAGGTAGGTCGTCCACCACTCAGAGAGCCAGCTCTGGATGTTCTTCCCTTGGGATAGAGGTTGGCATAGCTTCTGAAAGCGGCCATCGACCTCCATTTTGTACTGTTGGCTTCCTGGCTTAAAGTACTCCTTAATGGCTAACATCTTATCACGAAGGGTTGGCTTGCTACGGAATAGGGCGTGGTGTCGATCCGCAACGTTGTTAAAGAGCCAAGCGTCGAACTTCTGGGCTTGGGCATCCTGAAGTTGATATTCAACAAGCTTCTCCTTGCGTATTTCGATTAGAAATCTATATTTGTTGAATTCCACGGCGTCGAGGTCGGAAATATCGGTTGCGCCGGCCTTGACCTTACTAACCGACGGGACCAGTGGCTTGGTTAGCAAGGGCACGACCTCGTATTCAGGGAGTTTCGGATCGATGTTGTTCCAAAGTAGAGGGGCTTCTGCTTTGGCTCTGAAATAGAAGGCCTCGTACTGGTAAGGTTCGTCCAGTTTCCCGGAAAGAGTGAGAGAAGCCATGTTGCTATGTAAAGATAATCGACGAGAATGTCTTGAAGGTTTTCCAGTGGCTTAAACGCACACCGGGCTCATAACACTTGGATTTGATGTTCCCGTTGAAGGAGCAAAAGGAGGGCACATATGCCTAACCTGTATGTATTGTAGCTAACTCTGGTCCTCTCTTCGAGGGTCTATGTATGGAAACAAAAGGGTTCTTATATAGTCAATGAATGGTAGACTTGCTGATTAATTCAGACAAGTTGTAGAAGCATATAGATAAGTAGGGAATGTTCTATCCTTGCCACATTTCTCGTAATAGAGGTATGTGGGGATGGTCGCCGTTCTAGGTGGCGATAGTGGCAAGTATAGGACCCACATGGCCCACAGGGCCCATATTGTCCAACTATACTCAAAACTGCGAGGACTATTGTCCAGGCTGTAACGTCCCACACCCACATGTGGGACACCCAAAAATACCTCATCAACACCGCTAGCCTCTAACTTCAACCTCTTTTTTCTTTACTAATATCGATTCAATCGTTACGAAATTTTACGTACGTCTTCTTTACACTAATATGAGTCAATATACCGAAGATGATATTTATCAAGCCCTTCAAGCAATAGCTACCGGTCAAGGCCTCCGAAAAGCAGCATATGAGCATGGTGTCCCAAGGTCTACTCTTTCACGACGGATTCAGGGAGCCCAGTCAAGAGATATAGCCTTCGCTGACTACCAGAGGCTCTCTCCAGCCCAGGAATCCCATCTGGCTGAATGGGTTCGAATCCAGGCTGCCCTAGGCCTCCCACCAACCCATCAACAGCTCAAAGACTTCGCCGAGCGTATCCTACAGATCCACGGAGACACCGAACCACTTGGAAAGAACTGGGTCCAGGCTTTTATCAAGAGGAACCCTTTAGTCAAGGTCCAGAGAAGCAGAGCTATCGATTCCCAGCGTATTAATGGAGCCTCAGCTAATGTGATCAGTCAATGGTTCAAATACCTCGCTATCCCTGAGATCAAAGCTATTAAGGCCTCGAATCAATACAATATGGATGAGACAGGTATTCTAGAAGGTAGAGGATTCAATGGTCTTGTTCTAGGATCATCTGAGACTCGTTCTATACGGAAGAAACAGCCTGGATCTCGAGCTTGGACATCTCTTATAGAGTGTATCTCTGCGACTGGTACTGCACTACCCCCACTTGTGATATACAAGGGGAAGTCTGTCCAGCAGCAGTGGTTTCCTCTGGACTTGACTCCATACGAAGCCTGGAGGTTTACAGCAACAGAGAATGGGTGGACGTCAGACTCTACGGCTATTGAGTGGCTACAAAAGATCTTTATTCCTTTGACTCAACCAGAGGACCCTGAAGAGACTAGGTTGCTTATCCTAGATGGGCATAATAGCCACGAAACGACAGAGTTTATGTACCTCTGCTTTATAAACAAGATACGCTTGCTTTTCTTGCCGCCACACACATCCCACGTTCTCCAGCCTCTCGATCAGTCAGTCTTTGGACCCCTCAAGGCAGCCTATAAGAAGGAGCTTGGTTACCTTGACCGATGGGATACTACTACTGTCGTAGGGAAGAGAAACTTTCTCCTCTGCTATAGAAAGGCACGTCTAGCAGCATTGACCGCTAAGAACATTATCAGTGGATGGAAATATACTGGTCTCTTGCCTTCGAGCATAGCTAGACCCCTTATGAGCCCCCTGCTCCTTGAGAATACGTCAGCACCAATCAGACAGCCTAGTCAGACTTGCAAAGGGTACTCTGATAGTAAGAGTAGCCAGGACTGGGCGTTAGAGACATCAGCAGTAGCCTGGTCAACGCCTAAGAGGAGAGATGAGCTCCAAGATCAACTCAGCTTATTCAGCAAGCTTGATAGTGATCCAAATACCCAGCGGCTACTCTTTCGGAAAGTTCAAAAGGGCTTTGATGAGAAGGACTACCAATTAGCTGTCGCACAGCGAAAGATTGAGGCAATAGAGGCAGAGCTTGAGGCTAGTAGGGCTAGGAAGCGGAGGAAGGTCAAGATGAGCCCAAATTCGAAGTTTACTAATATCAAGGCTATTCGGAAGGCTCAAATTGAGGCTGGTGAAATTGAGGATAGTACAGATGAGTCTAGCGAGTCTGGAAACCCTAGTGACGGTGAAAGCTGTATTGTAGTCGCATTAGAATATGTGTAAAAAAAGGTTGAAGTCAATGGTTATAATATACAGTGTCATTTTTAGGGCGTCCCACATGTGGGGTGTCCCGGATGTAGGTGTGGGACGTTACGAGCGAACCGGCATGGCAACCGGCCACCACGTGTGCACTTCGTCCTGCCCAGAATCAAGGAAGGCCGATGCAAAGATATCGATGTCCTAGTGTGGCGGCTTCGAGACTCAGATGGCGATGTACCTGCCACCGTAGACTGTGCCAACATTCCATTCATCACGGGCCCTGTCTTGAACCTCGATGACGTCCTATCCGCCACCATCTGGGATGAGCGACATGACTTGACGTCCGCACTGAATATCGACCAAGATGTCATGTGTGAGCTCGTCTCTGACCTGACCAATGCTTATGTCACACCCAAGCCGTGGCACGTCCACCATGTCAAAGATCAGATCATGCGAGATGGCAATGGCAACCTCGGGCTACTCACTAGTGTTTGGGACGACGTCTTAGGACCCTGAATGCGGGTCTGCACGCGTGAGGCGGCGAAGAGGTTCCGTCGAGTTGTGGACCTGATGGGCACGGCGGAAGATATGAGGAGAGGGAAGCTAATCCTGCTGTATAAGCTGTGTATATATACCGTCCCCCGGCATCTCCAGCTGCCACTCGAAGTGGTCCAAGCTATCCCGGGACTGGGGTTGAGACGGCGGCGAAAGGTGTGAGTTGCCCAAGTGTCAGAGAACAGAATGCCATAGGCACCAGTGGGTGTCAGGACACTGAACGCAGGACACCGGCGGGCCGCCGGAGGGGTGTTTCGGACAAAAGACTCCCGAGTCATGATTACAATCTATGTGAAGCTTTGGGATGACGAGAGTCAAGATCCTTGGCATCGCCGACCCTGCTGTTATGCCGGGTCCAAACGGCGGCCTAGCTATCTATATAAGGACCATCTCGAAGTAGGATAGGGAAGGAGTTGTCAGAGCCACAAGTGTCATCCGAGGCGGGCCGGCTTCCACCAGGTAGGAAGCCGTTTGTGGCGGCTAGAGAGCCGCTTGTGGCGAATGAGAGCCGTTGAAGCCGTTTGCAGCGGATAGGGAATCGCTTGGTTGCAGATAAGGAGCCGCTGTCCAAGATATTGGCCGAAGTCGGAGGAACACAGACATACGGAAGCAAACATCCAGAATCCAAGAGAGAACCTCGGCTGGCTATAAGTAAGGAGTCGAGACGAAGGAAGATAGAGAGGACAGAGATCAATGCATCACCGTGGGCACCCCTACCTGAGACCGCCAGTGACCACCCGGTGCTACGTAGGAGGGACGCCCGTTACTCCCCATCACTCTGTACTATTGCCTTCGGCCTAGCCGTACCCTGACACCAAGATAGCCATTCCCGTGGCTAAAATACTTGGCGAGCGGGACCGGCAGGTCTTTCTCTTTGTTCGGGCCACTGGTGCGATGACCTTGACATATACTGGAGCGGTGGTGAATAACCTGAGAAACGCGTTGCAGGAGCATCGGACATGCGACGGAGAGCTGGGACCAAAGGTATGGTGCTGGTCAGGTTCAGACGATCTGGCGTGAAAGAAAAACCCGAGCTCAGTCCAAAGCACGAGAAATATGCAGCAAGATAAGTTCAATAGCCTGATCCATGATGTACGATTAGTTCCATGTTACACATTCATAGGTTCATGCAATATAAGCTTAGCTGAGAGGCAGTCCACAAAAATGAGACGCGTTTGGCCATGATGGCTTTGGGTCGTGAAAAATGTGCGAATTAGTGACCTTATATGGAATGCGACCTGATTGCACTCGGCTCGCTCATAGGGGAATTAGACGGGCTGGATTGTCACCGCCCCCGACGCTGTCTGAATACGAGAGCAGTGTGAAACTTGCGAGCACAAAGATACGCAGCTTGAAAGACCTGCCTGGCAATGTCAGGCCAAGCATTGGCTTACGGGGCAATAGCCTATGCAGTGTCAACGAGATCGAACAGTGTGCATGGAGCAACATATTCACCACTGGATGGGTCCTTGGTCATTCACCAGTTGACGCTTAAGTTGGGAAAGGTGATACAGCATCGGATGGCTGAGCGGCCAAAGCAGGATGGTATGAAGGGGATTGAGTGCACGATAGTCTAGTGTAGTTCACCAGCATGAAGTAATTATTCCACTTCATCATTGGTTGGCCTCACGAGATAGGTCATCGCAAAGTCCTTCCCCGCTGCCTTCGCCTACTACCCTGGCCTTTACGGCTACGAAGTTACCATTGGTAGATGTCCGCTTTCGGCGCTGGCCGGGGTATGATGTTGATGACATGGTGGCTAGAATACTTGCAATTGGGCAATATTTCGTCGCGTATTCTTTCCCCGCTTTCTCCTAAATTCACATTCATGTTCTGTATCACTAACGATCTATCCTGGATAGACTATCCAATCAACTTAATACATGATCCAGTCAATGTCGACATCGTGGACGGCTGACCTTACCATTTGCGGATCTGACTTGCAGCGTCAGATGCGTCCACTGACCATAAGTAAGTGGCAAGTAACAGTATCCGAAATACCAAGTCACATCTCTTTTATTATCTCGCCTCCTCGATTCTCTGGGCACACCTTGCTATCAATTATGATCATGTGGCCCTTCGTTACCTACCTCATTCCTGCTGCATCAGCCCTGCTCCAATTGTGGGAGCAGCCGGGAATGGTTTCATCATCATTTGCAGATAATCCATTATCACACGCCTGCTATTTTCTTTCCGCCAACTTACCCTCCAAGACCTTCTTCCCAAACAGCACAGTGTTTACCTACGAAGCAGGCCATTTCTGGTCCCCCACTTTAATCCTCTCTCCATCATGCATCGTGCGCCCCACGAGCGCTACAGATGTCGCTAAAACAATCAAAGCAATTCAGCTCACTAACACCCCATTCGCCGTCCGGGGCGGTGGCCACATGCTCGTCAGAGGGGCGAACAGCATCGACCATGGAATCCTGATCGTCCTATCAAATTTGAGCCGGATTGCCATCTCCGAGGACCGAGAAACCGTTCAAGTGGGTCCGGGACTGCGATGGAGTGATGTCTACAATTATTTGCTGCCGTTTGACCGCGCTGTTGTGGGGGGTAGAATAGGTAATGTGGGTGTGCCTGGGTTGCTACTAGGAGGCGGGTTGAGTTTCCATAGTTACCAGTATGGGTGGGCGATGGATAACGTGGTCGAATATGAGGTCGTGCTTGCGGATGGAGAGATTGTTCGGGTCGGCGAAGATGCTTATGCGGATCTGTTCTGGGCGTTGAAAGGGGGAGGGGCGAATTTTGGGATCGTGACGAATTTCAAGTTGAGGACTGTGCCGAGTATCAAGGTATTGGCCGGGGGGGTTACTGTGGGTGAGGGTGATATCGATTTATTATTCCAGGTTTTTACATCTCATCCGCTGGTCAAAAATCACTTAACTAATCACGAGCAGTCCCTGGCCCAATTTATCAGCCGCAATAAGGATCCTCTTGTCCATATACTGCCTCAAGCCTTAACACCAGACCCACGACAAAAATCAGTTACCCTTACCTTCTTCTACGACAGTCCAAGCAACGCCACCCCAGCGTTCTTAGAAGGCTTCCTCTCGATACCCAGCGCAGAACTCACGACCGTTTTCGCCAATTTATCCGACATCGTCGCCGTCCCTCCAAACTCTATTTACGGCATCCCGGACGTAAACCGCGTTTTTTTTTGACAGCTCGGTCGTGAGCGCTACCCCTGAAGGTCTTCATTCATCTTTCTCAGTCACTTGGGAAGCCTACTTGGCGGCGTTGCCCGAGTTATACGCCGCGGTCCCAGCCAAAGCACTAGTATCCGTCGCAGTGTACTGGCAACCCATCATGCGGCTATGGATGGAGGCATCAAAAGCTACGAATCCGGTCGGGAATGCGCTTGGGCTGGACCCCGATAAGGGGGATTATCTTGCATGGGCTGTGGTGGTGATGTGGAATAACACGGCTTATGATGAGGTAGTAATGGCTTGGGCGGACGATACGACTGTTAAGATGAACGATGCGGCTAAGGAGGCGGGGGTGTACGATGGGTTCAAGTATATCGGCGACGCAGCTGAATTTAATGATGTCTTTGGTGGGTATGGCTGTGAGAGTAGGGAGAAGTTGCTGCATATTTCACGCAAATATGACCCTGACAGGTTATTTCAGGCTTTGATGCCGGGTGGGTTTAAGATTGGGTTATGACAACGGAAATCTCGGAGGTAACTCCTGCATTCTTGATGGGATGGCATACCGCACATTCTCGACTCTTGAAGAGAGCCAGGGTGGCCCGAGTTGACTGAGATCCCTGGAACAACGCATGAACAATTTCATCGGACAGGACTATCTCGTCAATTGACGTACTCTTTTACAGGCTCGGCGAACCCTCGGGCCCTTGGGGAGAAGTCCAAGAAGTCGACTTGGATCATGCCGCGTAAACAATTTTAGACGTTTATCGGCGTTCAGCTTAGCTCTCGCAGCATACTTCTCCTCTGCTGTCGGACGTGCTGGTCATGATAGCTGAGGTTGCTGCATTTTCTGGTCTAGAAGCACCCGTCACACACGTGTCGAACTTGAAGCTAACGCAAATGGCGTTGATAAAATAATCATATACGATACCAATATTCAGCCCCATCAGCTCGCCTTGCTGGAATCAGCTCAACCTGGGCTTTTCTCAATCGATTCCTCAGCTGCCAATTGTTGCCTGGTTGAGCCTTTAATCCCGGACGCCACAGCCGAAAATGGCACATTCTACTCGGCGACAATAATTTCCAGATGATAACTATTTTGACTGCCTAGAATACTCTAGCTTCGTGCAGGTTCTGGTATTCTCATGTTTACACGAGCCTCTTTGCTTCGGCCTGGCCAGATCTGTTTAAGCCCAGCTGTAATGAGCAAGCCTTGACCTAACCCTCTCTCCCAAGGTCAAGGGCGAGCTAGCTACGCAGAAAACTTCACCTGCTTTTGATCAAGTCGGTATCCCTATTTGGAACATTTATTGCGATTTTCAGGCTGTGCGGCTTAATCACAACAATAAACGACAGCTACTTGCCTTGGAGCCGACGTGGCTGCTTATGGCTGCTTGTCCGCTGCTCGGCGCAGACCGTGCATGCTCACTACCCTGTCATCGGTTCAGACAGTGATCTACCATCAATTTCAGCGACTACAGCTTTCAGCTTGACTCCCCCAAATGATGATAGCTAGATTTCCATAACTTCGACAGTAGTGACCTTGGCATATACTGCCCAGCTGGACGAGAATCATGACTTCGGGCTTTTGGCGTACGATGTGGATCATGCGTTCGGACGCCATTTCATAGTGAATACCAGGGGCACAAGGTGGCAAAAGATGAATAGGACCGCCTTCATCAAGTATAATAAGTCCAATTCCCACGGGATATGATGATACAGAGCAACCCAGACCTCAAGCACCCTCCCCTTCTCCGACCAACTCCTCATCCATTTGCTTCTGCTTCCCCTCTCTCTATTGTCGTCTACACGTGTCTCTCAATGAGGGTACATAAACCATTCCTCCTAGCCCTCGTGGCCATCAGCAATGCGACTCCTCTGGTGCCGCGTCAAAACATCGATTTTGTAGTCGTTGACAGCGCCCCGGACCCACCTTCAGCATCAGTCCCCATCGGCGTGACCACTCAGGTCGTTACATACGACTTCGCCGCCGCAACTGCAGAAGCCACCGCAAACCCTCTTCCCGTTGAAGCCGTTGAGAAACGCAAACTCGGAGCTCGCAATGCTTGCGACCCCAGCCAACCGGCAGCGGACCCATCCCAACCCCCGACACGGACTCTGCCTTTCTAGCTTTCTCGTCTCTGTCAGCCGCAGCTACCAACGCCCCCGTCCCCTCAGGCTACACCCAGACGTTCTCCAACCTCAAAGGCAGCAGCAGCGCCTACGGCTACATGGGCTCCACCACCCTCGGGTCCTACGATCCCGCTCTCTGCGCTTCTAAGTGTAATGCGATTACCGGCTGCCTGGGTATCAATATCTACTTCGAGCGGGACCCGACCGTCGAGCCGGCCGCCAGATGCAACAATCCCCGCTCCACCACCGTCATCAAGTGTGTTTTCTGGGGCGGTTATGTCGAGGCGGCCAATGCGAAGAACATGGGCCAGTGGCGTGCGGACTTCCATGTCGTCATTGCTGGCTCGAACGGGTACATGAAGGAGGGCGTCCCTAACGTTCCAGGGTTTACGGGCCAGTTTTTAGGACAGAAGACTATCAACGCTCCGTCTGACTGCAATGGCAAGGACACCTTTATGGGGTCCAAGGTCTTTAGCACCAGCATCTTTAATCCAAATCTCTGTGCGGCAGCTTGTAGATCACAGAATGAGTACAACACGGCGCACCCACCCTCCGATGGCCACAGGCCCATGATTTGCAAGTTCTTTACTACGTATCTCTTGGCGCAGAACGGAAATCCTCAGGGGCAGTATTGTGCTCTCTACACACAAAAATGGGACAGTTCGTATGCGACTAATAATGTAAGCATTGCATCCCATTCTAAGTGACCCTCCTGACATGAATAGGGGCAATATCGCGGAAACGACCACTATACCATCGGCCTCTCTTTCTCGTACTACAATACCGAAACTCCTGGCTTCCCTGTCTGTCCCAATGATATCGCCTACCTCAGATCTCAAGGTGCCGAATTCTGCACCTCATACATCAGCTACTCAGCCCCCACCGAATCTGCAACTGTCTCAACAACCGTATCCAACACCCAGACCATAACAGCCACCACAACCAACATTGCTACCACCACTACCACCACCACAGTTACTATTACAGCCGCCGCAAAAGTCAAACTCCGTCGTGAAGACGAAGACCCCTCCTTCCAAGAAGCAATCTCCCACTTCGGCAACTCCACTCTGAGAGCCGATGCAACAACGACTATCTATGGCCCCGCCAAACGCACCGTCCAGGTCAGAGCCGTTGCCACCCCAATGTCCATCACCAATTGGGAGCCCGCCTCTATCTCCGCAGCATGCAGCCAAGTCGCCAAGGGTACGATCACCAGCACAAAGACGAGGACGGACACGGTGCTTGTCACGGCGGTGGAAACATCCACTGCTAGTAGCACCATGACAGTCACGGCTACGAGCACAATCACTGTGATGGAGAGTAGGCCGCTTTCGACGGATGGGAGGTGTGGGTATGAATTTAGGGGGCAGACGTGTGGAGGAGTTTGTTGCAGTGTTTGGGGGTGGTGTGGCGGGGGTGAGGATTGGTGTTCATGGGGATGTAGGAGTCAATTTGGGACTTGCTGGTGAAGAGTAATTGGGGCGAGGACGGAGACGAGTTGGATATGACGGAGGTGAATTCACTCGAAATTGGTGATAGTTTTATTCTTACTGACTGTTTATACTTTCGTTAAGATGATTATTTGATTGTTCATTATCTAGTTGTACACTATGCATGTCTTCTACCAATGTACTCGTGTTCAGGTTGTTAGGATTCATGCATGACATAAATTAAACTACGTAAGTGTCGATCAGTAATAGTTAAGGTTGAGGTTACATTTAACCCTGATGTCCTGGACTTGACTATGCTCATTTCGGTACGCTACATGATATTGTATAATTACGTCAAAAGTCGCCCAATTTCTTGACTGGAGTAAGGGGATCTTTCAGAAATATGTGCTTCCATCATAACGACCAGCAGCTTCTCCACAACTCCCATCAGCACGGTTAAATCAACTGACAGCTCCGAGGAAACAGGTCATGGCCTCCTCTGCTATCCATACGGACCCCTAAAACTCTCTGTTCTAAGCGGTGTTCGCATCTTTGGATGACCAGCATATATGTCTACGGAAATAGTAAGGCTAATGAAACTTCGAAATACTGCTAGCCATGCTCGCATGAGGGTAAGTCATACTCGCAGGTGTTATTCCGAGTGGGAATGACTTCAAACAAATATATGCATATATCGATGTCTTGGGCGATGGCATGACTTACACCTGATATAGAGGCGACTGTTGCAGCTTGTAAGTTACCTCTCTGCCTGTCTGGTGGTTTACTTCTCCTTTTATCTCTTTACTTGCGTCCGACGGTTTTAGAAACCTGTTAGCTTGGCCAACATCTAGGCAATTGACGTGGTGGAAACTCTCCTGAAGAACCTCTATCGTATGCCGAATTTTAACCCAGGCTTCAAGGTCAGCACTAAGAGCAGTTTACCGGCCGCCGTCGGAATTATAAATTTCCCCCTTTATCGCGCAAGCTCTTGGAAACGGCCTGCAGATCTTCTGGCGCCGGTGCTGTGGAACGAAGCGAGGCGCAGGGTTATTATGCATGTGCAAAGCCACAGAATCCGGGTGAACAGGGCGCTCATGCCGGTTCCAATGCGCAGAGTCCCGTGCTTCTTGAGCTTGAGGGCTCTGCGCTGGTGAAGCCGGAGGACGAGAATGCGGAGGCGAGCAACCAGATGAATGACCAGGGAGTGAGGATTTTATACTCGAGCCTAAGATGATTTTCACCGAGGTTTCGTACGTGATATTGGAGAATACTTTCTTAACAGTGTGGCAGTGAAAGGAGAAAGACGAAATGACGGAAGAAATTCGCGTGCATATAGCACCAACCAGTTTGGTGTTTGGTACCACTATCCGTACAATACGAGGCAAGTCTATTCCCCAAGTTTTGTCATCGTGCTATTTACAGTACGAGGATGCTATGGTTGCTTGCATAGTACAGAGGCAAAGAACCGAGTGGCATCAGTGCGGGTGTGACTTTAACCAGGACTTTGTTTTTTCCTTCTTCGTCCGGTTGGATGATTCTTGAGGATTAACGATCCAATGGTTCATGGCCAGTGAAAAAACATAGGCGAAGCAATTTTCTGGTGTTGGGGGCCGATGTGAGGACTTCGAGAACCCGGGTATTTAGGGTACATCACCTACCCTATCCCGTGTGCCTCATATCTATCTCGATCCCACCCGGCGATCATACGGTATCGGGCCGCTTCCCTCGGAATCTCTAATATCTGGTGAAATATTTTTGTGACGTGTTGACCGTTTTCAGGCCTAGCTGTTCAGGGATTCAATGCAGATCACCAACATGCATAAAAGCCCCAGCACCTCATTGGCTGAGATGGAGACGAGCCACAGCGTTAGACCACAACAGGAAGACCGCACGACGGTAAACCAGGTAATCGTGCGGAAGTTGCAAATAATGGTACGTGGGGGCGTAGATATGTTGTAGAATATGCCTCCATGGCAGTCGTATATGGCAACAGCTTCCCCCACTTGATGACTTACGTTTGGAACCAGCGCAAGCTTCATCCAAATATCCCTGTGGAAAAGATCTACAGACTGTCTCCGATATGACAACCTCTAACTTCCATACGCCTCCAATAATCACGTCCACCATTGGTGGCTTCCCAAATCTCGATCGGCAGCCTCCGCTGTTGACGTTATTCACACCACCAGGCGATTGTGCTCACCAATGGTACTATGATCCCGAAATAGAAGGCACAGTTTGGAGCGACTCCCGGCATCATTCTGCCTGGAATATCTGCCAGCCATACTCAGTGAACGCGTACTACACCCCGGGGATTTGTCCGAGCGGACAGGAGTTCAAGAGGGTTATAAATTTTGTCTTTCCGCAGGGAGATGTGACAGATACCTTTTATGAAGGGTACTGCTGCACGTCGTCAGTGAAACCCTCACTACATCTCTCGTCTCTGGTGCTGTCGCGACTTGATAGGAGCTAACCCTGGCAAGCCATGTAGGGATTTCTCCATGGTCGAATTCACCAAAGGTTACCCGATCTGCGTATCAACGTTCAAGGCCGGCCTCACGGCAAGATTGACTGCTACCGAAACCGTGAGTGGTTACGCTCGCGAATCTTCCACAGTTCTCGAATCAGTTGTAACGGCAGTTGGCGCGTACGTTGTCATAGTGTGGCACCAAAATGATACCACGCAATTTCCCGAGTCGCTGCAGCCTACACTGCGCGTCGCCATGGGGCTGGCTCCCTTCTTGTCTTCTTCAACCACTTCCACGATATCCCAAGTAACCACGTCCACACCCATTTTCACCCCCACCCACGCGACAACGACATTCGCAGCAGCGGGAGCAGCAGAAATGTCGCATTCAAGCCGACCAGGTGTCTCCCCAGGAGTCATAGCCGGGATATGTATCGGCACTGTCGCCGTCCTCGTCCTCTTGGCCACTCTCGGCTTTTTTGCACTCCGCCGAAGATGGAAAACCCCTGAATCGACCATGGAGCCGGACTTGAATTCCAACACAACAGGTAGTAGACTGAGCTGGATCAAGTGGTGGAAGAAAGGCACCAAAAACGCAAAGACCCCACCAAACATCCCCGAGATGGAAGCCAGTCACAGCACATACAAGCATTTCAGTGGCGGGGCATGGCGGGGCGAACTACAAGGGGCTGTACACGCGCGGAATCTGAGCGAGGGATCGCAACACGTCGGTGGCACGTGGAGGAATGAGTTGCCAGGCCATGGTGGGCATTCGCGGAATCTAAGTGAAGGGTCGCAACACGTGGGCGGGATGTGGAGGAATGAGTTACCGGTATATGCAGGAGGATCGCATGGGCATTCGCACTCGAGGAATCCGAGTGATGGGTCACAGGGGGGCAGTTATTACTCCGGGTCTACGGCGTCAAGTCCGTGGATAGTGGAGATGGAGGGGTCGGTGCCGGTGAGGGGGGAGGCGATTCCGGAGGTGGGGGAGGATGGTGTAGTTGGTCAGGAGGTGTGGAGTCATCCGCGGAGTTGATGGGTTTCTCCATACGTTTGTAGGCCAGAATAATTGAGGCGTTGTGATGTTTTAGCAAGTATTCCTGATTTTGATAGTGATATAGATGTATAAGACGAACTTATGATAATCTCGCGGTTATCTTATGATTAAGGATATCTGAGGTGTGGGAGAAGAGTCATGGTCTAGCATGGTATTGTAACATTTTGAGCGGATTTGCCTATAGAGTCATGATATATTCTTTGTATATTATTCCTCTCACTACATAGAGAGAGTATTCTCAAACGGAAATAGTGTACCCCTTCCGTGTCTGTATATATACATTACGCTGCCTTGAGTAGTTTACTATGCATGCATATTTGTATCCATACCTGATATATTATCAGTTCTTAATTATAAAACCAGTGCGATGTGGCATAACTCAAAGAGTATATGTGTGGGGGACTAATCTGCCAAATGGCCACACAATTTCTGCTGGCACTTGGTCAAACCCGAAAAGTGGGAATAGCCCGCCCGTGACATTATTGCAGTCGGAAACAATGATCCTTTTCCTCGTCACTTCCTTTCAGCAGGCCACAAAGACAGTTCTATCTGTGTCTACTTCTGGCTTGATGCAGGGATTTTGTAGGCGTTCGACCCTGAACTTGGCCGTACCTTCCCATCTGTTAGAACACTTGACTCAAAAGAGATAGTCTTATGCAACCCGTCCTATTTACAAAAAGAAATAAATAAATACAATGGAACCAGGCATTTCTCGCAACCCATCAAGCCCATCAGCCCATCAAATGTAAAACATCAAACATCAACCGAGCCCTTAGCATTTCTTAGCCTTCTTAGCAGCTGCCGTGCTGGTAACAAAGCCCACGGAAGAAGAAGTGGTAGAAGGAGCATCACCAAAAGTCGTGTTTCCACTCTCACCGGGAGGAGCGCCACCGCCAGAGCCACCGCCAATGTTTGAGTTCTCGTTCGCAACACCACCGCTGGCATACAAGAAAACAGCAGGGCTGACAGTAGAGCTCTCAGTGGTGTTGATACCGAACGCGATCCAGCCGAACAAACCATCAGCAAGCTCGTCACCAAGCAGAGTGTACTCGAAAAAGGGGTCCACGCCATCGGTAGCGGTCTCCTCGGACAGGATGCTGTCGGCGGAGTTGAGAGTGACCTCCTGCGTATTGCTGCTATAGGGGGCAATGGTGTCAGCCTCGGTGATGAGGTCCTGATCGAAGAAGGCTTGTCCCACGTGGCTGGCGGAAACCTCGTTGCCCAAAGTGCCGTTAGGGTAGACGGTTGCGTTGGTGTGAATCAGGATATGGATGTGGGTGGCACGGCTAGTGTAGTGTCCCGGGAATAGCGTCTCGAACTGGGCGACACCGTCGGCGTCAGTGGCTTGGATACCGCGCAGGAAGGTGTTGTCGATATTGGATGTGTCGCTGGAATCACCGTTGCCGGAGGCGACGACGCCCGAGTAGACACCGGTGGAGTTGCAGTGCCACATCTCGAGGTAGACGTTGGGAACCGGGTCGCAAGTGTCGACGTCGATGACTTGGTAGTCGAGGACGGTATCGATACCCTCCTGTTCTTCGATGATGTTGCGGCGGATGTACTCGCCGCCGACGTAGTAGGGTCCCTGAGTAACATCGGGGGTCAGAATGCAGGAGCTGTTGCCGCTGAAGAGGGTGGCGGCGTCAGTGGCGGCGGTGTAGCCCAGGTCAGTCGCGTTGTGGTCAGTTGCCAGGACAGTCTCGAGAGTGCGCTTTTTCAGGCCTCCTGCATAATTGTAAGCATAATGTCGTGTATAATTGAAGTGATGTGTTAGGGTATTACGTACTCTTCGCTCTGGCCTCCTCAACCATGCGGGATCGGCGAGCAACGTTGCGCTGCTCGATACCGCGGGCCTTCAGCTTGGCAGCACAATGGGTCAGGTCGGAGCGGGCGACTTTGCTCATGAAATCGCGGCGCTCCTTGATCTCCGTCTGAAGATCATGGCCGGGATGGGCCATGGCCGAGCCGGCGAGCAGCGCCAAGCTAGCAGCGACAGTGTTGGTATAATGCATTTTGAGGAGGTGATGTAAGTACGAGTTGTGAAGTGGAAAGACTGTGATTGATGATACTGTTGAAGATGCAGAAGCGAAAGTAGTTGAAGGGTTATCAGTGAATGTGATTGACTTGCTGATGCTGGATGAATATAGAAGATTTAAATTACCACGATACCTCCAATCTACGTATATACCATCTTGAGTCTCACGAGACGATGTGTTCCTCGCCCCACGTGTACAGCTGCCGCTGCTATTCGCAGCATCTCCTTGACGATCGTTGCGGCCGGTGGATCTGGATTCATCATCAGGCGCAGGAGCCAAGACATGGGTTACGTGTAATATATTTTCTGGGTTCCCTGCCGGGTCGTCAAGACTAAAGCGTAACACTTTTGTCGTCTTCCAGAAGTCCTGGCCAAAGATGAAAGCGCCTACTTAGCCTATCAGGTCCACTCTGGCGAAGGCTTGACGAATGCTTGATATCTACGAGATCAAAAGACTGGGGCAACACAGACTGTGGGTCCTTCCGGTGCCCTGCCCTGCCCCTGCTAGGTTGTATATAGTCGAGGAGTGCGTAATTGTTGGACAACTTGGCCAATGAACGGATCCGCATAACTCAGCCATGCTCTGTGGCTGGCTACTACACATGGTCTATTAACAGTGGACACCTCGAAACCGCGTCAGCGCCTGTCCCGAGATCTACCTCTTGGCACCACTTGACCCAATAGCGTGGAGGTATTACTGAGAAACAGACATGGTCGACCCGTAGAACCAATGACGACTATTACCCCAGCCCCTTTCAACACGGGATGTGGGGAAACAATTTTCATTACAGAAAAAGAAAAAAAAAGCATGTCTACTCAAGACAGACGCTACTATGCATAATCGCCCCAGGCCGCATTCCAGATGCCTCAATGCCCTATCCTTACCTTATTGGTCCACGGCGACAACTACATTGGCTTCACGGCCGCTGGTGCATCTCGATGACGACCTGTCGACATCCAAGACTATTCGTTGGCAATGATACAGCACTATGAACTACCGTTGTCGAGCTGACGAAAATATGAATCACACCAATTTACTTTCAATTGCGCATTTAGCCAGTCTCTCATAGAGGGAAATAAAGGGTAGCCCCTGTTAGCCGGATACCATATGATGAACGCTTGGCGGCGCTTGGAACTCAACACGTCACCGTAGAGTCATTCACATTGACTCGCGACAAACGCATTTCTGCAACGCTGCTTGGCGAAATAAACAAAACCAGGGGAAATATTACATGGTGCGTTCATAAATGTCCACTTAGTTGTGAAAAGAGTCGTAAAGGCCCAAGGAACGGTAAATGTCTTAGAACAACGCTTGATGAGGTACACCTGTAAACTCGTTGCAGCCAGTAACTACTATGTTCTTATGTCTTGAGCATCGCACCTTCATACCCTGCATCAGCCTTCTGAGGGTGTTCTCATCAGATAGGCCCTTATTATCATCTGCCAACACAGGATTACCCGACCTATCACGGTTGATTTTGTTTCAGTCTAGTCAGGCTGATCATTTTGTACGTAACGCTTCAGCAGCCAGGCATGTTAAAATCTACTCTTGCACAGCAATTATCATGCAGCCACGAACCTCACAATCCAATCCCACAGATGATAAATTTTCACCCCTAGAAGCAATCCAATGTCCCTCTCCGCCATGCCAAGGTACTAGAAAAATGAAAGGGATGAACGCGTTTCAGCCCTATTCACGTACGTCGTAGGCAAGACACGCGCCCGAGATTGGGGTGCATGCGAAAACATGGCCTACCAAGCTGTGTGGCAGTGATTAAGGGGCCGCACTAGTATACTGTGGGGCAACAAGGTGTACCCTGTCCGGCGTTGGCCGGGTGGACTGTCCGGGGTGCATTGGGCTCGGGCTGGGGAATTGCTTTGATCCCGTCGCTGAGGTACATTAGCTGGATTCAAGCCTTGTCCGATGTTGCGGCACAAGTATAAGCCGGGATGGTGAGAGTTCGAGACGATTATCTGTTCTCTCTGTCCAGAACACTTCTAATGCGAACTTCGAAAAAGATGTCTGCTGAGTCGTTTACTCATCTCTAGACTGGCTTGAGCAACACCGCGTGCGATGAGCCGGAGCATGATGTTGGACCACTGGTTATGGGTTACCGGTAAATCCACAGGTTGCCAGTCACTCTATTCTAGCAGTCTTAGGTTCGTCTCGGGCACTCATACACTTCCCATGAGTCAATACTGGCAGCCGCCAGAAATAGACAGTTAGATGACGGCTCTTCCAGAAACAAATAGGTCTGGCTACAAAACACGGTATGGTGCGTTCCCCATAATCAGGCTTATTATACTCCTTCCCATCATCCGTCACCTTGGGATCCTACAATAACTGGAGGAAACTTTTCGACCCATAGTTGAGGCATCCAAAATTATTTGTCACGCCCATTCGAAACAAATCATTTAAGTCACAATTCGCCGTTGGTACTACATGTGACGCAGAATTATCAAACTTCAAACTTCAAACTGAGAGTCAACGAGGATGGACTTCAGTCACCCACATCTACACTGAAGCATACTGCACACTAAACTTATAAAACATAACCCCCACCACATTTCTCAACCTTCTCCTATTGCCCTTCAACTTCGTCTCCCAACCCAACTTCCCCACCAAATCAACACAAATCTGACAAATCAGAAGTAAACAGTTATTCTCATCACAACTAACCCCTAGCCCCCCAAATCAAAAGCGATATGGGCGTCTACGCCTGGCTCCTGCAAAAGTTCGGCTACAGCCAACCCCAAACGGCCGAGCCTGTCAAAACGCGGTCGCGAGTTGTTGACAATGACTACTTGCACCTCACGATTCCGAAACCGATTCCCGAGTTCGAGGGCCAGTACTTAGCCGAGCGGCCGGCAACGCCGCGAAGGCACAGCAAGTCGAGGCCAGGCTTGCAGTTGACGACGTGAGGTGGGACTGGCGATGCACGTCGTGGGTACGAAGTTGGCTACTACTATACACTTGACTTGGTGGTTGAGAGAGTCGATAACTAGATTTTTCTCGCACAGCCGGGCAAGGCATTGGCTGCTAACAGTCAAACTATCTCGGTACTCTCGCGTTTTGTTCTGTTTGGTGATTTTACGTGTATTCGAGTTTGTATGCTCATGATAACCGGCCAACAGCTGCAAGTACCATAACAGAGGCCATCTTCATTTCCCGGAATGGTTGGATTCGTTGAATGTTGGGCTCTTCTGTCGCTCAGCACTTATAAAATCGGACTCAGCAGCAGCGAATGGCTTATGTGACATCGTATAGCCAGTTGGCTTGCGTGATTCGAATGACGTTTTTTTACAAATTGTATAATTACAGGTAGCCGATTCCAATTCTAGCGTGACTAAGCGCATGACTAAGCAGGTGAGCAGCAAAGTGTCCTTATACCCTGGTGTTACCAAACGACCAAGGTTAGTGTCACCAAGGATTTTTCAGTCCCAGTCTCATCCACGTCACCTCATCCATCTCCCCGCAACAAGTCTGCCTCGGTATCGCCCTACACCATGCCTCAAACCGCCATTTTTCAACAACCCCCTTCCCACTCTCCCCCGGCTCCATCCAAACAGCCGCCGTTCCCAGCGTCGCTTCGGCAACATACGTCTTCTGGTCTAGATAGAATCCCGCCCAAGGTTTTGCCAGCGCCACATCCTCATTCAGCTTTCTCAGTTCAAATGCATACATCTGCGCCTCCTCCTCCAACATCTCCCTGCTCCTCGTCGTCGACATGGCGCCCGAGAGTCTACAGCTAATAATCAGCAGTGTAAGCACCGTGCCGAGTAGTTCGGAGCGGTTATCGGGAACTTCAGAGTAGTCTCCGCCGTCAGGAGGAGGGGGCGATGTGGCGAGGAGGGATAGAAAAGCGTTCCGCCATTTCATGAGGTCTTTCCGCCATTGTCGAAGGCGGGCCGAGAGGCACTCGAGCTCAGTGCCCGAGGAGGAGGAGGCGGAATCGAGGTGGCAGACAGCGTGGGAGACGTCCCGAAATAGGCCGGGCATACGGAAGACAAGGTGCCAGAGGACGATGCACATCGGGCTGCGGAAAGTGAAGATATCTTCGGGTACAACGGCGGACTCGAAGACGACGCGCCATTCTTCGGCTTCTAGGAAGCATGCTTCGTTTGTGCGCAAGGCTTCGCAGACCTGTCAAATGGTTAGAACCTAAGCATGAAGATGTCAGGACGTGATGGATGGCTTACGATTGGAGCGGCAGCGGAGATGAGGAGGGCTTTTTCAAAATCTGTCTTGAACCTAGAAGGGCCCCTCATCTGTATCAGCCGACCAAAGCCGGCGACGTGCTGCGACCACGCCTGATCCTGCGACCACGCCTGTCCCTGAGATGTGTCGAGAACCTGTGTGGTTCCGATTGGTTACCAGGAGACTTCGACCCCTGACACGAGAGGCTTACCTCGAACAGACTCAGAATCTCAGTAGCGCAGAGCACATCAGGACTGGACCAAATTTCCGGGTCATCAACCGCCATCTGAAGACTCTTTAACGCCTTTCCGTACTTGGCCAAAACAACAGTCCTGGGAGCCGGGCTAGTTGGGCAGAGGATGTGCTGTGCTTTGATGGCAAGACACTCCACCGCGTCATCCAGACAAGAACCCCGGCCATAGCGACCAGCTAGATAGCACATAAACGATTTCTGCCGCCGGCGCAGCAGCCCCGCGAGACGGCTAGGATTATGCGCAAGAATGTGCTGAGCTGCTTGGCCGATATGGATCCGGTTGATGAGAGAAGATAAGTCAAGGACGTCGATGCCGTACTGGCTCCGCAATTGCTCGATAGCGGAAAGGGGGGGTGCTATGAATTGCATGGCCTGTTCTGTGCGCGTAACCATATTCATTTTCTTCATCTCCTCGTTGGATGGCATAAAATATGCGGGAGATAGAGGCTGTAGGCTCGAATTATCGTCGTCGGTCTGATTTGATGCTAACAGCATCCTGTCAAGCTCCTCATCCAACTGATCCATAAAGATGGGAGCTTGACGCAGATTGAGTTTTCCATAATTTCCACGTCGTTTTCGCTCAGCTGCAACATTTTTCATCGCCTGCTTTCGTATCCGATGACGGGTTTCCTTGTCATAGTTATTGCCAGCGACGCCGTCGACGATCCATTCGAACTGCGATTGCTCTCCATTTGCAGGCCCCCACATGACGGATATGCTCTGCGATCCTATCGGGATTGAAGATACTAACTATCGAACAGCGTGGGTAGTCAAGTGGACGCCTGAGAATTCATGTGCATATCAAGGCTATCTCAAAATGGAATACGGTAGTCGGCGGTAGGTGAATGCTTATAAGGCTGATGTTGAGGGGGAGTCATGATCCACGGTCGGGCTGGATGACGGGATCCATGCTGACCGGGGTACCGATGACCGTATGTGGTATAGCTCACTTGTACTGCTGACTGGTTGCAGCCTAGCCTCCTGCGGCTGTGGCAGCCCTGATCCTTCCAGCAACCTTACCACCCCACCAGCTTCACTCTGAGATCTCTTGCCCAGGGTGATACGAAGAAGAGCTAAAATCAATTGGTAAGCAGGTTCGTGAACAGAATTAGCCAGAGCATCTTGAATGATGACTCAAGGCGTGACCTAATTCCACCGACCCATTACCTTCGTGATGACATACAACACTAGTTTATGAGAACCAACGCCTGGATTGGGACAATAACCCACCCTACTGTGGCTACCAGCTGCTTCAGGAAACAAGTGCCCTGGAGTACCGGCGCTATGAATTCCACCGTTTGAGATCTTCACCTCTGTGACTAGGACCAACAGTGAAGCCGTGAGACATCAACAACTGCGATAGACTGCCACAAATTCTCTATCGTGATGGCCATGGCCAGGATAAAAAGAGACGAGTTCCCGTCTAGCTTGTCGTCTTAGTCTACATATCAACCGATAACAGCAGTGCTTGTTCACCTCCAGCCTTGACGTCTTCGAGACCCAGACTTCAGACAACCGGTATTAGTCAACGCCATGTCTATCGGCAACCATAGACTCCCTCCCTCAGTCGAGGAGATGCTGCGACGTAGCAGGTAAGACCCCGAGGCCCATCCCTCGATACCGCCAAACTTTAGGACTAAGTCTCGGTGTAGTGAAATCGCAAAGACCACCCACAAGCCATTTCCTCTCTTCTCTGAACTCGCGGCCGTCGATGCCCCAAAGCCCAAAATCTTCATCTGTGAGCACCATCCCTTCCTCATCCTACCAAAAAAAAACGGTACTGATACGAGCGACGCCAGTCAGCTGCATAGATCCAAGAGCCGACCCGGCGTCTTTCTTTGGGATCGGCCCAGCTGGTAAGCATTCCGGTGCAATGCAAGCGTGTAGCCAATATCAAGAGTCTTGCCTTCTGACCTCAAGTCCAGACGCACTCATTGTAAAAAACATTGGCGGCCATGTCAATGCTAACTTTGAGAACCTCATCTTCATCGACCAGTTTCTTGGCACCTTGACCGATGTCCTGGTCATTCAGCATACGGGTACGTGCCGGCGCTGCTATTGACTTGGGTGCATGACTGACGGCTGCGATAGACTGTGGTGCACTGCACATAACCAACGAGGCGATCCGTCAGAACCTGAAGGATAACGACTTAGGTCGCAAGGAAGACATCGACGAGCTAGACTTCGGGACCTTCACGAGGTAAGCTCTGCTTCATGTCCTCCCTCTTTAACGGCGACTGTTGTTTTTAACCATTCTGCCAGTGTCGAGGATCAAGTCCGACGAAACGTGAAGTTCATCAAAGATTCTCCGTTCATCCGTGATGAGCTCAAGGCGCGGACCCAGGGACTTGCGTACGACATCAAGACCGGGGTGGTCACTCGGGTGGTGTAGAAGATGCCTGTTGGCATTGAAAGCATTCTTTTCGACTTGGCTGTGGTCCCAGATAGCTAGCTGCCTGTTGGTTATTGAGAGCGTTCGCTTAGTTTCGGCTGTGGTACGATTATAGATTGCCGATAAGGAAATTCTCACCTCCGACCATCCCGGCCTATCCGCTTGGTCAAAGTAATTGTGAGGCTCATGATGTTAGTGCGGTCCACCACCCCATTCTGTTGACAATATATACTGTTTCTAAGTTCGTGTACAATAACAACACCCGCCCGGTTAGCTCAATCGGTAGAGCGTGAGACTCTTAATCTCAAGGCTGCGGGTTCGACCCCCGCATTGGGCTCAATTCCCCATGCCTTCCTGTGCACAGGAAGATGCACGTCAATTTTTACCACAGCCCACCTTTTTTGTGGGACAATCTTGCGATTCCTGCGTTATCTTAAAAAGACTAGGCAAAGTCCTAGACTTTTAGAATCTACTCAAAAAGGGTGACCTGAGTCGTGTAGCAAAACGTCATTGTGAACGTTCAGCCCTAGTGGGCATTGCCGAGACGGGCGGTCCAGGAACCGCCCGTCAGATTCTGCTGGTGGGTTCGCCAGAATCGAACTGCAGCCATCCTAGCGTTTGTTGAAATGGACAGCCAAAATTGATGTGCCGAACCACGTCACGGCGATGGAGTCTCCTGGCTCCTCATATCCAAAATTCCAGACTCGGACGGGCGGATTGGCGACCTGCATTGTGATGAGCTATGGTTTCTGAGGAGTCGTGCCAATCCAAAGCTCGGATATTGCGGTGCTTGTGGAAGAGAAAGAGCTAGTGAGAGAAAAGGCCGGACTGAATACCAGCCAAAAATGCCCAATGAATCGATGAGGAGCTGTAAATACATCTGTCTGTTCAACGAAGCTCGGTGTTATTCAATGAAAATGTTGCGTCGATGGACAACGCGATTCAATCGAGCAAGCTTCACGATAAGCAGAATTGAGTTTCAGGCTTCCAAATTGAGTCCGTGTTCTTGGGGTACTAACCGCAATGAGCAAGGCTCAATGGCCATATCTGAAGAAGTGAGCTTGCCGAAGAAAGCAGGTGCGATTGATCAGTTTTGGGCCTGTGATCATGCGATTGATGACAATCATTCCAATTTCTCGACTCTGGAAAAGGTAGAAGAAACTCGCGTTATGAGATCGTCTTCCACTGGCCGACCCAAGACTCTCGAGATCTTGTCATATCGAAACTTCGTCGATTTCAATCTTCAACTGTCGGTGAGATCCGATATCAGTGCCATTGCATTGCGCCAAACCTAATACAGAACTGACTCCCTCCGATCTAGCTCACCAATCACATCACACTGATAACCCAGGGTACACAAACATTCACAACCATAGGCTCTTTGGAAGTACCGATACTGTTGGTAACCTCGCGATAATGGACCCCACAGGATGGCCCAGTTATGCAGATAGTCCAATGGGCCAGCTCGCCCTTGAGACGATAGATGCGCCAGCCGTCGGCCGCTGGACTGGCGGACTGGATGTTGACTCGCTGGCGCTGACGGCCGCAGGTGAGTGAGCATCTAGCTAGTCCCCGAGGTCTGGCCATACTCTTTCTCGTCTCCTATCGCTCTGTTTTCTTCCTCGGGAGCTAGCGGCCCTCGTATTGTCCTCAAGGAAAGTGGGTTCTTCTCCTTCATTCATCCTATCTCTCTGAACGTGTTCACTGTCTGCTGGGCTTTCTTTTGTCCCTTATCATCGAACCCTCCCTCGTCTTCGACCCATGCCACGGCAGTTCCTGATACGCTATCATACTTGTCTATCTATCGTCGAGCACTATTCCGTATTGCTTGCAGTTTCTGATTGCTCCCAGTCAGCATTTTGACCCCGGAATTACCCATTTACCTTTATCTTAACCGCAGCATTGCCACGAGGCTGATCTTCCACAATGACCGTCTCCGCTATCCTCGACCAGGAGCCACTCACAGTCCTTGTTTCGACGAGGGCCGTGGTGACCCATCCCGATGACCGCCTTGACCTGACGCCGGCCACCATATCTATCTCTCCCGCTACGGGCAAAATTGTCTCCATAGTTCCGGCGGTGTTGCCGAAAACATCCTTCTCGCCATCGGTCACTTACATCGACCATGGATCCAAGTTGTTGATGCCGGGCTTGGTTGACGCTCATGTTCACCTCAACGAGCCGGGCCGGACGGAATGGGAAGGCTTCCACACTGGGACCCGCGCGGCCGCTTCCGGTGGCGTGACGACTGTGATTGACATGCCTTTGAACGCCATTCCCCCCACGACCACTGTTGCGGGATTCAAAGAGAAGCTGGCTGCAAGCAGAGGCCAATGTTGGGTTGACGTTGGCTTCTACGGGGGTGTCATCCCGGGCAATGCCGATGAGCTCCTGCCACTCGTTGAGGCCGGCGTCCGTGGGTTCAAAGGATTCTTGATCGAGTCTGGGGTATGTCTTGGCTCGAGCAAGGCCTAACAGATACGCATAGAGTTACTAACCGTTCCAAAGGTCGACGAGTTTCCCGCCATTTCGTCCAAGGACATTGCCCTGGCAATGAAGACCCTCAATGGAACACCAACAACACTCATGTTCCATGCCGAGATGATCCCACCCATCGCAGACTCCGTTGGTGACGTAGTTCAGTCTTCAGGACCACCACTAGCTCCGCACGGCGAAGTGACGGCCTATCAAACATTCTTAGAGTCCCGGCCGCCAGTATTTGAGACATGTGCCATCGACGAGATCATTTCCCTGGCTCATCTCGCACCCAAGCTGCACTTGCACGTCGTGCATCTATCCACCACCCAAGCCATCCCCATCCTCAAGCAGGCCCGCAAGAACGGCATCGACATCACCGCCGAGACATGCTTCCACTACCTCGGTCTCGCCTCCGAAAGCGTCGAGGATGGCGACTGCCGGTACAAATGCTGCCCACCCATCCGCGAACAAATCAACCAGGACGGGCTGTGGGAAGAGCTCCAAGCCGCCGAGTCGTGCATCCGCACCGTCGTCTCGGATCACTCTCCCTGCACCCCGGAACTGAAGCTTCTCCCTACTCACCTGCAGAACATACAGGCCTCGCATATGCACCACTCCGACTCGGGCATAGACATGTCTGCCGACATGGCTTTCGCAGCCAGCGAAGGACAAGCAGCCGCCAAGTCAGCAGAGGGCGACTTCTTCGCAGCCTGGGGTGGCATCTCGTCCGTCGGACTGGGTCTACCCATCCTGCACACCGCCGCTGCGTCGCGGGCGAAGCAATCCGGCAAGGCGCCGTCCATTCTCGACATGGTGCGGCTATGCTGCGCGGCCACAGCGAAGCAAGTCGGTCTTTCGCACCGCAAGGGCGCGCTGAAGGTCGGAATGGATGCCGATGTATGTGTTTTTGATGATGGTGACATTTGGACGCTGCAGAGCCATGGCATGCACTGGAAGAATCGCTGTTCGCCGTGGGAGGGGCATCAGTTTCTGGGTAGGGTTAGGGAGACGTGGTTGAGGGGGAGGAAGGTCTACGAGTATGGTGGGAGCAATGGGGGGTTTGTCTGTGGAGAGGCGGTTGGGGAGGCCATTGTTGAGAGGAGGACGGCGTGATGTGATGAATGGTGTTGGTCGCGGGGTATGTGTTGTGTGAGGTGGCGGTACTGTGGTGTGCAGGAACGGTCCACGAGCCGCAGTGCTTGGTTGGGATGACGCGGGGGGTGTATGGATGGAATTTGTTTTTGGCGGCATGACAAGCGAATGGTTTCGCGTTATGATTGATTTTGACTATATGAGTTATGGATGAGTCACTTATGTATGTATATGTTAGATGGCATAGAAATCGCATATCAAGACGTGAAATTGATTTTTGCGTCCAAGCGTTATTAGAATTGCTTAATCAGTGTATATCATGATCTCAACAGTGCTGAAGCTAGCTGCAGCAGTCGTGGGCTCGGAATGTCGTTCGCAAAGATTGCATCGTTTTCCACGACCGAACTGTTCTGTATACGTAGAACCTCACGATGTCGGTAGTTGACCGCTGGAGTTGCCTGGTAACATACCTTAAACTCAATTCCCATGGATATGAAGATCTCCCTCATGGCAGCTCACACGTGCAATCACACAGAATCCCTTCGAGTAAAGTCGTGCGCTAGTGGCATGGGAACCAACCACGTGGAAGGGTGGCACTGAGTAGATACAACCATCGCACAACAAGGTTGTATCTACTTGGGGTACCGCCAACAGCCCAGAATATCTGTTGCTGAACGAGGTAATTTCGGCTTTCTTTTTTGGTGAGGGTGCGTCTCTTGCTGTCGGGATGACGGTATCCGGCGTCGTTCCTGATGGGCATCACTGAATATGCATGTACCTCTCCCTGGCGCATCAGGCCCGGGTACTTGGCTACTTTCGACGTCGATTTCGCCCCTTGCTTATTGAAAATTTGGGTCTCGACCGGGCGAGACTGTGCCCTCCACAACTTGGTTGGATGAAACCACCTCTTCACCGTGACAAAAATCTTGCAGGAAATCTAGGTTCCTGTCGCAGATTTTCGTTGGGCGAGCGCAGCTTGTTTGTGTTGCACACATTGGAAGCTTTCCATCGGAGAACTGACGAAACCTACATGTAGGTCGTCCGTCACATCATTGCGCCCTAGCAGGTTCCTCGCAATCTTCTTCCAAGACAATCACGCTGCACTTCGATATCGATGATCAAATCTGGCGTCGGAATTCATGGTGTTGGCCCTCTGTTCTCTTCAACCTGCCAGGTTTGAATATCTAGTCATTGTGTTCCTCACCACCTCGAGGATCATCTCGGTTATTCCTGCCCATTTTCGTGGTTTTGCGGCCAGTCAGCCGATAACACAGGGTCCTTCACATGCAAAATGAAAATTGACATCTTGTAGTGAGCAAGCCCAAACGAGCCGAACAAGCTGTAGTCTTTCTAGGTCTCTTCCCCACTCATCTTGCAGTGTGGTGACTTTTGAGGTTGTTGAACCAGGCACAAAATTTGAGGTCGGTCGCACCAGCCCGCTTCCAATATGTTGCCATTGCTTCCTATGACTGATTTCGCGTGCAGATTTGATATCTTTCGCCAGCCTGACGCAGGGATACAGTCGCTTACTGTTACTCGCGCCGGAGAGTTTCGTTTCCGAGGAGAAAACCCCTGTCAAACCCCGTTCCCATTGTGGATGTAGGTGGGATTCAACATTTCGCTGACCCCCAAACTATTCTGAACAGCCAACGGTCGAGCCGTTTTCGTAACCACTACATACCACAAAGGGAAACCGCATCGTGGCTTCCTTAGACTATTGGTACCGAGGAATTTTCGCAGGGTCTAATGGATCCAGTGGACTTGGTACGATGTCATTGGGTTGAGTGGCACGTCGGTTCAATATGGGCCCAACTGCCTTACCTACCCCTTTGACGCGTTTCAGGAATCGCGGTCGGCTCGCGATTTCAATGTGCCGTCGTTCATATCAGATTCCCTTTGCGCAGCCTTGCGCAAAATGTAGGTCGCAAATTGCTCCAGTGTGCGTTGAGACTGTGTTGACCCGCCTGCTCGAATTTTCCGACCGTTGTCGTCATTAGTTAGTTCACTGCGTTTCTTGCCCCAAAGTTCCTGCGTCGTGGTTATCACTCCTTGCGTCGACCTCGTCGGCGTCGGCAGCGGCCGTTATATTTCGGTCGCTACATGACTGCCCCGGATCAAGCACAAAGCACTTTTTTCAAGATGTGCTGAGCGTCCGAGAACAAATTCGCTCGCTCATGAATAGCTGTATTTCATACTGACTCACGATCATCCTGATAGCACGTCATCACCCTGAGGCAGTGCTTCGAGTTCATCTCATCAACCCCCCTCCCTCCCCTCGGTGCTCTATGGAAACCGTAGAACCTATTCTTAATCCGGAGAGGCACGCCGAGCAGGAATATACCGAAACGCCAGCGACCTCCGCCATGGACAAGCCCGAGCATGCGAGTTCGGTGTCGAAGTCCATGGATCACGCCGGGCGGCAAGAGCCTGAGCGCCGTCTTTCTCTATCCGCTGCGGGCCGTATCTCGTTGGATGATGTCGAGCCTGTGGATGTGCAGCTTCGAGACTTAGCAGTCACTGTTGATACCTCGCCATCCATCCTCGATCCCGTAACCTATCCGGAAATATTCCGTAACTCGGTCGGGAAGGGTGAGAATGGACCGACGAGCAAGTCGCTGCTTCGTTCCGTCAACGCATCGCTGCCGTCTAGTACGTTGACGGCAATCCTGGGGGGTTCAGGATCAGGAAAGACCACCCTCCTCAACACCATCGCGGAACGCATCTTCAGCACGCGGCTTTCTCAGACGGGAACGGCTACCTTCAATGGCTTTGAAGGGGTGCACTCCATTCGGCATGCCTATGTCATGCAACAAGACATCTTGCTCCCGACCCTGACGGTGAGGGAGACGCTGAGATACTCGGCCAATCTGCGCTTGCCTCCGCCCACCACAGAGGAAGAGCGCATGCGAATCGTCGAAGAGGTTATTCTGGAATTGGGGTTGAAGGACTGCGCGGACACGAGGATCGGAAACAGCCAGCATCGAGGGTGCAGCGGTGGAGAGAAGCGACGGACAACGATCGGGGTGCAACTACTTGCCAACCCCTCGGTTCTGTTTCTCGACGAGCCTACGACCGGACTTGACGCAGCTAGCGCATACCAAGTCGTTAGGACGCTCAAGGCTTTGGCCAATAAGGGGCGAACTATCATCTTTACCGTTCATCAACCCCGATCTGAGATCTGGGATCTGTTTGACAACCTCATCCTTTTGTCCAAGGGGAGCCCCGTCTACTCGGGCCAGTTGAAGGACTGTATGCCTTGGTTTGCGGAGATGGGCTTCGAACTTCCACCTTTCGTTAATCCGGCTGAGTTCTTTGTTGGTAAGTCAAAATCAAGTTTTACCTACCTCCGAGACGTATCTGTACTCACAGAGTCGCAGATCACGCTGCTGTCGACAACCGCACGCCGGAGCTCGAGGCCGAAACCACTGAACGGGTGAACAGACTGAAGGCCGCGTGGGATGAGAAAGCAAGCCGGGTATTTGAGCCCCTACGGATCGGCTCCACTGCCAATTCGCAGGCGCCGAAGAAACCAAAGCAGGAGCAACATGCGGGTTTCTTCCGCCAGTTACGGGTTCTGACCGACCGGACGCTGAAGGTTACCTTTCGAGACCCCATGGGAATGGCCGGGTCAATATTTGAAGCCATCCTTATGGCACTCATCACAGGCTACATATTCTACGCCCTGCCTCGCGACCAGTCCGGCATTAGATCAAGACAAGCAGCGTTGTACACATCCGTCGGTCTGCAAGGCTACCTGTTCCTCATGTTTGAAACTTACCGTCTGACCATCGACATCCCTACTTTCGACCGCGAGCACAGCGAGGGGTGCGTCACACCCATGCCCTTCATATTGTCGCGTCGCATAGCTCGACTTTTCACCGAGGACGTACCGGTCCCGTTCCTTTACAGCGTCATCTACTATTTCATGGTCGGGTTTGATCCATATGTGGGGAAGTTCTTTACGTTTTTCTCTATCGTTCTTCTCAATCACTACATTGCCGTCACGCTCGCCATGACTGCCGTTGCTGCTGTGAGGCATTTCCCAGGGGCTAGTCTCATTGGTAATCTTGCATACACCCTGCAATCGATGGCATGTGGCTTCTTTGTGCAGAGCAACACGATCCCGGTTTACGTACGATGGCTCAAGTATTGCACCTACACGGTAAGCTACTTCCTACGATCGAGCCAAACGACGATGCTAAACGGGAACAGTACTACGCTTTCGGGGCTCTATGTGGTAATGAATTTGAAGGCAGCTTCTATGATTGTCCCCTGGAAGGAGGCGAGTCGAATCCGGCTTGCGTCTCGTACACCGGTGCATACATCATGAAAAACCTGGGATTTCCCAAGGATTGGACCATGAAGCCCATTTTGGCCATGGTTGGATTCGTGATTCTGTTCTGGGTTCTGTCTTGGGTCGGACTGGCTTTTTTGAAAGTCGAGGTGACCATCGCACGCGCCAGAAACTCCGATACCGACTTGTCGGCCGGTAAGGAAAAGATGACGGCCCGGTCTATTCATGAGGTTCGGACAATCGACGTTGGCCTGGACAAGTTCGCACTTGCTCTTGATAAGAGGTCGACTATGGGTCGAAAGCTGCCGACCAAGACGATTCTGAATCCCGTGACGGCCACATTCCACGCTGGGCAGCTCAACATCATCATGGGACCATCTGGGTCTGGGAAAACCAGCCTGCTCAACGCTATGGCTCTTCGCCTCAAGAATTCCCTCGGCACTCAATACCGTCCAGCTGGAAAGTTGACTTTCAACGGTGCCGTACCATCCGACTCCGTCATCCGATCGGTTGTGTCTTACGTTTGTCAGGATGATGATGCTCTGCTACCATCCCTCACAGTCCGAGAGACTCTTCGGTTCGCCGCAGGACTTCGGCTACCGTCCTGGATGAGCAAACAACAGAAATACGAACGCGCTGAGGAGGTGTTGCTGAATATGGGTCTTAAGGACTGCGCAGACAACCTGGTAGGGAGTGATCTGGTCAAGGGCATTTCCGGTGGCGAGAAGCGGCGTGTCAGTATCGCTGTTCAAATCCTAACGGACCCGCGTGTGCTTCTCCTCGACGAACCAACTTCCGGTTTAGACGCATTCACCGCCAGCAGTATTCTGGAAGTCCTCCATGGCTTGGCCAAGGAGGGCCGCACCTTGATCCTGACGATCCACCAGGCGCGATCCGATATCTTCAAGCACTTCGGAATTGTTCTGCTCCTTGCCAGGGGTGGCTCACCAGCTTACGCAGGCAAGGCGAAGGACATGATACGTTACTTTGGGGGTCTTGGATATCCCTGTCCGCATCATGTGAATCCGGCTGACCACGCGTTGGACCTCATTACTGTCGACCTTCAAGAAGAGCAGAGGGAAGCGGAGAGTCGTGAAAAGGTGGAACGACTGGTTCGGTGTTGGGCAGACACCGCGGAACAGTCGCCTGCCGAGGTCTCTCAGGCTACGGCACGGCTGTCTAACATCGATGAGACTGAGGAGCTGAAAAATGAGAAGACCACCAGAAGAGTTGCCGATGTCGAGGGAGCAACCGATTCTTCTGCAGCACCTGAACAGAGTAGTGCTGGACACGCTGTCCAGAGCGAGAAAACAAATCCCGAGGGTGGAGTCTTGCAAACCTCACCACCAGCAGCCCCCATCACCCGAACATCATTCAACAAAAAAACCCTGGCAACCCCCGCCGAACTAGGCGCCATGGTGCACAAACGCGCCTCTTTCTTAATCGCCGTCCCTATCCTCCTTCACCGTGCCATCATCAACTTCCGCCGGCAACCCCCGCTCCTCCTAGCCCGGACCATGCAAGTCGTCGGCTTGGGCGTAATCCTCACCCTCTTCTTCGCGCCCCTCCACAACGACTATCCCAGCATCCAGAACCGTGTCGGCTTCGTGCAAGAGATGGGCGCATTCTACTTCGTCGGCATGCTCCAGAACGTCGCCGTATATCCCGCCGAACGCGAGGTCTTCTACCGCGAGGACGACGATGTTGTGTACAGCGCTGAGGCCTTCCTTGCTACGTACACCATGCTTGAAGTGCCCTTTGAGATCATCACCTGCCTTGTCTTTGGCGTGCTGGCTGATCTCGCGGTCGGGTTCCCCCGGACGGTGGAAATGTACTTCATCTGCGCTTTCAGCTGCTTCGGAATCGTCTCCTGTGGCGAGAGTCTGGGCATTATGTTCAATACGGTATTCAATCACACGGGGTTTGCGGTGAATATCATCAGCATCCTCCTCAGCGTGGCGCAGATCATGGCCGGGGTCATGAGTATCGATATGCCCCAGCTATTCAAGGCGTTTAATTATCTCAGTCCTGCAAAGTATGCGACGGCTGCGTTCGCGCACTATACTTTGACGGGGATAAGGTTTACGTGTGATAGGGAGCAGAGCCTGCCGAATGGAGAGTGTATCATTGCGACGGGGGAGCAAGTGTTGGATCTGTACAAGTTGGATGTGAATGGGAAGGTGAATATTGCCGCACTGGCGGCGACGGTAGTGGTCTATCGGTTGGTTGCTTGGGGGCTGTTGAGGGCGGTTAGGACGAAGTGGAAGGGAATTGGGAGGAGGAAGGAGGTGGGATCTGGAACTGGTGAGATGTAGCACTATCGGTTGTTTAAAATCTAAGACTACGTGCATGTAGCTTTGGCATTGATCCCAAGCTGTTTACAGCATTCCGACATACATAGGACATGGGACCAGGAAGCGAGTGGCACAACAAATAGCACACGCAGGTGAAGCATGGTACTGCACTATAATACTGTCGGATTCCGAAAATTGGGGGTTGTATTGGTACTACTACAAGTTACGTAGGGGGCCAATCTGCGCCTGCGTGCCTTGAACCCCTCCACACATTAAGCCACAGCTTCCACAAGTATCGAGTAAACTCACACTATCTACTTTTGGTTTGTCTTTGGCTTCAATCATCTGCTGGCCATGTTTGTTTACCAAGTTGCTCCTTTCGCTGAGACTGCTCATCGGCGTTATCGTACTATCGCCGTCTGCAGGTCCCATATACATGCCTTACCAAGCTTCGGCTTTGTAATCCAATCCATCACAATAGTGGAGGTTCTCGTATTATCCCATTAAAACCGAAAACAGTGGTACCCTGATGGGTAGGCCGAGGATGTAACCCCAGTCAAAATCACTTCCATGGGCGTAGTTGGGGATCGGTGACGTCAAGGAAGCGGAGAACTGACAATTCCAACACTATAGTACTGACTCGCGTGGCGGGGCAAGCTCCCAGGAACATACAGAAGTTCTAGTTCCGACAACGGCAACTCCGACAGTGCCTCGTTCGATTTTCTTCTTTATTGACAGAAAGTATACCTTTTATTAGATTTTTCATAGGAAGGTTAAGTCTCCCGTTGCCAATTGAGTTGCATGTTCGGACATATTCAATACCATTAGTCTGTCTACCCAACGATCAAGACTACTACCAAACCCGAATACCTCACCACCCATCAAATCAACCTCCGAATCAATCATCATGGCTCCCAAAGTCCTCGTTGTCCTCACTTCGTGTGGTCAAATGACCACGGCTGACAAGCTCACAGGCTGGTACCTGGTTAGTTTCCACTTTGTCCCTCCCACTTCGCGTAAATCATCTCGTCACTAACACTCCTCACCCCCACAGCCCGAACTAGCCCACCCCTACGACGTCCTCTCCCCCAAAACCGAAATTGTGATGGCCTCCCCCAAAGGCGGCATCGCCCCCGTTGACATGGGCTCCGTCGAAGCCTTCAAATCGGACCCCTCATCGTCCTCCTTCTTCGCGAACCAAAAGTCCGTCTGGGAGACCACAAAGCCCATCTCCTCCTTCCTGGGACGCGCGTCCGAATTCGCCGCCCTCTTTTACCCGGGCGGCCACGGGCCCATGTTCGACCTCGCCACCGACACCGACTCTATCCAACTCATTAACGAGTTCGTCGCTGCGGAAAAGCCCGTCGCGGCGGTGTGTCATGGACCCGCGGTTTTCACGAACGTGGTGCTGCCCAGTGGGAAACATCTGTTGGCGGATAAGGAGGTCACGGGGTTTTCAAATGCGGAGGAGGATATGGCGCAGATGACGGAGTTCATGCCGTTCTTGCTCGAGACGAAGATCAAGGACGTGGGCGGCAAGTACGTCAAGGCTGATGAGGCGTGGGGAGAGAAGGTGGTGGTTGTGGATGGGGGAAAGTTGATCACCGGGCAGAACCCAGCGAGTGCTAAGGGGACTGGGGAGGCAATCCTGAAGGCGATTGGACTGTAGGATACTAAGGATAAAATATTTTAATTTAACGAAATGATACCAATGACTGTTGCGACTGAATTTTGAACTTGTGTTTGACGGTGGCGCCATTTGATATGACCGAGGGAAAATACAATCAGCTACTCACAATGCGAACTAGGTCAGCAGAGCTTACGTCCGGTCGAGTTGAGAGGCTGGCATTATGCTCCGAATATGTCTCAGGGGTTCTTCCAAGGACTTTAAAGTTGGAAATGTAATAGGTTTTATAGGGGGGGCACCTTGTTGGATTTCGGAGACTGTATATCAAGAAGCAGAGAAGAGCGGCCTGGCCATCTACAAGAAGAAGGGGGTGACGGCCCCTGACCTTCAACAAGTGCCACGCACGAGAAGGTATAATAGCCTCAAATAGAGCTGGCAAGGCTACTCCCAAGTCGAGATGTGCTACTTACATATCTCGTGAACGGTTGGAGGCCTAAATAGCAATGCGGTTGTAAATTCACCTGACTAGTAAATTTGGTCAGAACTACCGCGTACTCAATGGTCATGGGTCAGCGAGGATGCGCATCCAGACTGGTTTAGTGTTGCTGCGCAACTCGATTATTTATTCACGTTGGCGGACGATGAGACGTTGGACCTCCAGGCCATGGCACCGAACTACCAGCCTTGGAAGGACGTATGGCCACTTGCCGCACGTTATGGGTCAATGTGGCCACCACCCATCATACCACACAAGTCCTGCCCAGGGGACAGGCATCGTTCATTTCTATCTATATAAGGCCCTTATGCCGCTGTTTAATTCTTGCAGGACTCTCCAGAGCGCAAGACCATTTGCCTTCCAGTCCATTATGTGACAGGATACAGCGTGTCGCTTCTTGTGGTCCCAACAGGATTTGCTGAAGGACTTGTAGAGCACCCGTAAGATAGACCAATCTGCAAAAGAGCTGGATTTAGATTTGTAGCATGTGGATGCTAGACACACAGCCCAACTATCCTATTTCGAAGAGATTGCAGGGAGGCTTTTCGTCCCGATTTTTACATTGATTTAGCACGTCTCGGTGGACTCATAGGACTAAATGGGCATCAGGCTATGAGGCTTTGGCCTTTAAAATTTGGCTTTACAGCATTCAAGACAATTACAATCGATAACTCTGTTACACATAATATCCTTTACTATTTGCCTAGATTGGAGTAGGCAGAAGCGATTGAAACTTGGCAAAAGTTTACCTCGGTTTACTATCCTGGGATGATAACTGTGTTGCTAATGGTTCGAGTCAGATGTGATTTAATTGACCCGAAATGCCACCACGTAAGGATGTTTCACGTCTGACAGATGCAGATTCAGTACTTACGTTACCTGAGACATAACTAGCTGTTTGTAGGGGTTTGTATATGTACACTGAGGCCAAGTTGCAGCATCTATGAATTCACCTCCATGCCGAGGGAATCGGTCTTCTGTTGACGACTCTGGAAGGATGTCGTTTTGATCACTATGCCTGCTGTACGCGTTGTGTTGCGCAGGTCGGCCTTGAGAGGCTCTATAAGGTGCTCTTTCATTCAGAAGGAAAGAGGGAAGGGTCTGGGCCACTATCCACACTAACATTTGTACTGCTTTCGATCCAGGGTATGATTGATTGATTGATTGAAATTTAACGTCTCATCACGTGAGACGTGCCGGGCGTAGTGCCGGCATGGTCTATGCTAGTCGAATCTATGTTACAGGGGACTGTCTTCATCTAACATTCCTGTTCAGTGCGATGGGAATCCAGGGTATGACTGTGGCGCTCAATCCCACATATGCAAATAAAATACCTTTGAATCACGTGATGGTATAGCAAAGATTTAAGCGTGGGATCTCCAGCATGAGTCAATAGTATCCCGCCAACAGCATGCTAACATGACCGCCTCTGTATACTACACGTACGATAGGATTGTATATATATGAGAAATTCCTACTTGATTTCCCTTCTGCTTTACTTCCAGCCACCTTTTCCTTATTGGTAATTGCCGCATTATCATACCTATTAACACCATGGCCGACATGGTGAGTGGAGATGTATCCAACACCGCCGAAAGCCAGAAGATGGCATCAGTCTCGGTCATTCTCATTCCGTGGGATCCTGAGTCACAAGAACATGCAGAGCGTATGGCACAGCAGAGGATTGCATGCGGCTGGAAGCAAGATCAGATTGAGAATTGGAAGGATCAACAGAGAGAGGGTCTTATAGGGCTGCATTGGATTGTAAGTTTGATAATTAACCGAGGAACCGTTTGTACTACATATACATGGATTTCCCCCTTTTCCAGTATTCTCTGGACTGGTTTTATGAAGACCCCGTACGATGGGGTTTAGAAGGTCCTGTCAGGCCTATACAAAGGTCTATACAATAAGTCAGATAGCTTTGAAGCAAAGCCACGCCATGAGTCCTTTCATTGTACTACTCCTTATTGAAACGACAACCTGACTTACACCAGGTTCTCCCGCCTTCAGACCCCAATACGACTTCACGTCTCGAGAGGCACATCTTCGCCTTCCCTGACGAAGCAACCCCGCTGCATAACACCTGCAAGAGAGTCCTGTCCCGCTCCCATACTCCTGACCCCGCAATCTCAACCTTTATCCCCATCGGTCATATCTCACTCGACTCCTGGAGTCCATACGACAGCCTACAGACGTCACCTTCCAACGGCGTGTACAGTCTCACGACATTCTACGTATCCAAAGCACTGCAGTATGGTGGCATAGGAGGAGCCGCAATGACCGCATGTGAGACGTAAGCTACATCCTACCGTTCCGCATTGCATGATCCGTGTGACATGGAATGAGCACTAAGCCCAACACAGCATGGCAGCCAGAGACTTCGGGGCCAAGGCCATCACACTGGATACTCTGGCGAACGAGGAGTATCGGCCCGACAATCCGCGACGGGCTGCTATGGGGCTGGAGCAAACCAGGCCCAGGGTTAGTATTCTGCCTACTTGAGGACCCTTTGAATGCCTCCGTGGCACTGACCAGATTTAGGTTACGCCTCAAGACTGGTACCAGCGTCGGGGATATATTATATATTTGAAGAAGGAGGATGGCTTCTTTGACACGGATCCGACGGGCAAAATTTGGGGGGCCACGCTTGTTTGCCTGAAGAAGGAGCTAGTGTAAAAGTGCACGGGCGATGAGGTTTGGAATAGCTGTGACTGTGGAGCGGCTCAAGACGCGAAATGGTACAGCACGGCAATTTTAAAGGTGAATTGGTGATATAATGCCAACGAACTGTGAGAATCATCTTCACCTTCACGACACAGCGGTCTCCTTGCAATACATCAATAGATGGAAGGCACGAGCACAGGTCGGCTTGGAACTGCGTGTGATGCAATGTCGAGAAAATATTGACACTCTCTGGTCAGGTAGTGTTTGCAGCTTGTAAATGATCCAACTGCCGCCTGGCATATTATCTAAAACGTTATGTTGATACCATGTTGCAGGATTGACATAACTCACCTAGCCAGCCGGCCCTGGGAGATGCAGTACACCAATTTGAACACACTCCCACGCAGCACAGCGAACCAGGATGGACAACCTATCTACCAAGTCCCACTACAACGGGCATTGTCTCAAGGGGGAACTTCGGTGCAACATCAATCAGAAGGCTACCTTAGCGTAGCAGCCCTGCCTCACTATTACCCGTCCTGAGAATATCCCCCTGCTAGAGATACAACTTGGACTCCCGCATACATTGACCACCTTTCTCAAATACAGAATCGATATCACGCAATGTCAAACATGCGATAATTGCAAAGCCAGTGATATCCTCCGTCTGGTCCGGATCACCATCTTCCAAGCATTCCTGAGCCCAGACAGGGCTCAACATGGGCATCTGCGAGATCGAGAACTAGCCGGGATTCCCTGCGGATCAGATCGACTGCAGATTTAAACACGCGCTGCATGAGCAAGGGAGAAAAGACAGAGGATATCTACGCAATTTAGCAAGGTTTACCACCTGGAAAAAGCAAAGGTGAGTTAATCGGCATTGTTCCCAAACCCGAGAAAAAGCAAGCAAGCAAGCACACAGCCAAAACCCCCACCCATCTCTGCAAAGTCCCTGCAAGTATCCTCAGGTCCTTCCATTATTACGTCCCCCTCCTCCGTCGATACCGAAGTACCCAATACACCTCAGCACTGTGAACCAACCGCGGCCAGGCCAAGGGTGTCTTCTGCTACCGGCAACCCCGCATTGGTGGGCGTAGATCACATGCATATGTGCTATGTGTGTGGTATCCTCGACCAATAAGCACAAGTATGCGGTGCTACAGAATCGGGCCCCAAGACACCCGCCAAGATCAACAAGCAACCCCCGTGGCCCGCTGAAGAAAAACTACCTGTTGTGTTTCGTGAGATTTTGGGGGGTCGGAGGGAGGGCGGAGGGGAGGCAAAGGTTTTCATCATTCACGCGTCATTGTAAGAAGGAGGGGACCGTGCGTATTGGCGATAATTGGATGGCTATAGGACCGGATGGGGCAAAATATGAGAAGTTTTTCGTTTCGTTCATTTGATGAATGATGGCTTCGTGATATGATATGAGTCGTGTACAAGTGCTGACTGTGATGAATCATGGGGTGGGGTGGCCGTTATAGGGACGGACTAACCAGATTGTGCTGTCAGATGTCGTCGTGGGTTGGGCATTGCAGGTACTTGCAACGGGAATATCAGTTGTCATCCTATAGTCGTAATGACTGCATGTAAGCTCGGAAGTTAATTGCAGATCCATGCAGCGTTCTACCGATTTGTCTTTGATCGGTTGTGATTTGCTTCTTCCTCAACGTCTACTCGTAGAAAAGAACTGGGCATACGCCGGAGGGTCCTGGCAGATTGATAGTATAGACCGCGACGCTACTGCCATTCGCTTGCTATAGAGACATTACAGGTATTGCTGGTCACGTAACCAGTAGGCTCAAGCATTTTCCTCTGTCTTTTCCTTTTCCTTTTCTCTAACACGGGAACACTCCTCTCGCTGAGCACAGTCTCATACTTCCGTCTTGCCTTGCTCTATAGATGTGCTGGAAAACCTTTCACCCTCCCCGCGCTAATACGACCAAGCTATAATCGTGGATTCGGCACCAATATAACTGGAAATAAATGGAACCACCTTTCTGCACTCGCCGGACTCACTCCACACAACAGTACCTACCTACCTACCTACCTACATCGACAAGTCAGGCCATAGAATCCAGTAGCGCTAGACTCTGCACCGAGGCGCCTGTTCCAAACCATGCGGTCCAGACCCAACGAAACAACAAAGCCGAGGTGTAGGTACCCCTAGGACTCTGCTGTCTCTTTTCCCATGTACCTTATGGTCTCTCGAAGTCGCTGAAAGAAGAACCCAAGATCTTACGTATGAGGTGCGGATAACATGTGCACTAACTGACAGTAAGTTCAGGCTATGCCGCCGATGTCTCGTTATCAGAAGTCTGATAACCCCGAGCCAAGTCCTTGGGATTCGCCCCGAGGCAGGATGAGATGAGTCGACGCGTCTGGTTCACCAACGCAAACCTTATGCAAGAGGCTGGAAGTGCAGCTGGGAGACTCAGCAGACTACAGGGAAACTTTGCCCAGCTTTTGACAGTGGACTCGGACGTGTTCGAGTCCGTGACGGGCTTGTGGTGGAAGTGGTGTTCGGAGATTGAGTTTGTCAGAATCTCAAGATTGAATTCTGATAGTCGCACCAAGAAAACAGGGAAATGCCTGCCTGCCACTGCACCCAACGACGCGCACGGTCAAAGCCGCCGTTTTCGGAAAAGGGCTCTCGGGACCCTCTTTCGGCACACTGACAGACTGTATATTCAGTTGGAGTAGTGTAAGAGGGCGTCCAGGCCGAAGCATCCGAGACGTTTCCCGAAGCGGTGAGGTGGACTCAAAGGAACAACCTTGTACTAGATGATCGTATCTAGCGGCACTCTTGCTCAACCAACATCAACGGACCACCCGGTGACGGACGGTCATCCCATCTCCAGGTGAAACTACAGTTAAGCCAGTGGCCGTGATGCTCAGACTGCGGAAGCACGCGTAGAGTATCACTTGCGAGGTGCCACTTCGGGGAATTCAACAGTCGCCAGGAGTTGCGAATTCGCCAGATTGCGAGACCGATCCGACCAGACCAAGCTGCTGCCCAGCGGACAACCGAGCTCTGACATGTGTTGCGATCTTGACGACTTACGAAGCGCTGCCGGGTGTTACCTAGTTCAATAAGCAAGGGGATGCCACCCTTCACGGGAGATCTACGGCAGTGCAACGCGAGTCATGTCCTTTGCCGGCCGGCAACACCTTGCTGGAGAGCCTTATCTCGGCCTCATCTCCAACATGGGTAATGCGTGGTGGTGGTTGCTTATCCCGGCACCAAGATAGTCGTTAGTGAGGTCGGGCGTCAGGATGACATGACGCTTTTGAAACTCGGTGAGCTGTTGGCCTCGATAAGTTCGGCCAGCATCACCAGGCATTCATTCCACGCCTCTTCATTTTCGGCCGACGAAACTTGCGTCCTGCCGCCAGACTATATTTCCTCATTCACATGAAGATGAGATCCGGCAGACGGTTTGAGTTATGCAAATAACTTTGGGACCGGTCACGATGGAACTCTCGACCCAATGATAATCCAGATAACTCTGCTTCAGCAACGCCGGCGAACGAGGCTAGAATTCTTTTGGATTCGACGGTCTTGGCATAGCGGATAGCGGTAGCCGGCTGAAGGGAGCTGTCAAAAACGAAGAGGCTGGCAGCCGTTCAACGTCGTTGGGAAAGAGCCCGTCTAAATCCACAGCGGGAACTCTAAGCAACTGACGAGCTTATTATTACAGAGGCCGCTTTTGTGTCGGGAACGTCCCAATCTGTAAATTCGAGCAGCGCATCATCCTGACGAGACCAAGGATCTAGTAAAGATGACGTGCATAATTATAGCAGGTTAGATTGAGTTACCCAAAGGCTTCCCTGCCTTCGAACGAGCTCGGTTGTGGTTTTCTTGAGGCGGGCATCCCTTGCCTCTGCCACCGCCTACAATTCAGACTTTCTCTAGACCACACGGCTGGCTAGCGTGTCCGAGAACTTGGAAAGGCGCACCTCACGTTGACTTTGCCATGCCCGTGGTCTTGGGTCGCGCCTTCCAAAGAACAGATGGAGGCAGGCTAGGGAGAAGCCGGATGCGGCCGTTCACGTCGCGTGCGAGTCGTTATCGTCCTCGCATGCCAGACGGTAATTGCAACCTAATTCTTGCGGTGAGACCGACTGGTTACGACGATAGATGCCGCAGACGTGCTGTCGGCTTGTGCAGGAGGAGGAAGAGTCTGAACCAGATTTCAGTTGAGGGGGGTGGGATGGACGTTCGGACGCATTATCGGGCAGAAAGCCGAATCAATTGTTAAGAGATTGATTAGATCGAAGCTAAAGATCGATATGTAGTGGATCCTAACTGCAGCATCAGCGCAAGTGTTGGCCACTGGCTCTTTGCCTCGCCTGTTTTGATACAGAGACATGTCCCAACATGCAGAAATGGCCGATCCACGGTGGCCGGGAAGAAATACACCCGAAAAACCGGAGGGTCGTTTCGAAAGTTTCAAAATGTCGCGCTTGCGTTGGAGTAAGTTTGAGGCCATCGTGACATGTCCAACGGTGTGGAAAAAGGACGAGCCCGCCCTAACCTCGGAAACGTGCCCAGCTGTCAAGCACATTGTACCACCATGTACCGCCCACCCCACTACAAGACATTTTTTTAGCTAGCCTCATGGATCGTTGCAGAAACCCATTTTGTCCGCGCCCCACGATTGCGTTATATGAACGACAAGGATCAGCCGTTGGGCCCGTGAGCGAGCGGGTTCTTTCTCAAGCAGTTGGTAAAAACCACGCGCATGGCATGGGGGTGGCTGCAACAGTTGAGGTGAGGTGGGGGCAACGGACAGCGGATGGGGATAAAGGCACGCACCGTACTGATTGATTGTCAGGGTGGTGGTCACGACGCGCTTGGGTAAAGCGCAGCGCAGCCTAGATAGCTGACGGTTGACGGCTCCGAGAAGCGAGGTTGCGAGGGTTGAAAGACAAGGGAGATCTGCGTTGAGCTAAGCCACCCATGTGATGAAGTGGGTCTTGACATCTTGCATCGCAAGTGGATGTAGGGATGCATTAAGTAATAATACAGAACGGAGAAACGCTCAGGTGAGTGAAGGGTTTGGAAAGGCCACACTGTGACATATTGACCTGCGGCTCACACGCAGGCGGCCTTGTTTCGCTCACCTTCATTTTCTTCGGTGTCACCAGCCATATCCAGCTTAATGAGTCGACAGTCAAGAAGACAGTATGACCAATCTGGGTCGAGATGCCGCAAACAAGCCGCTATGCTGGATACGCGTGTAGGTGGTCAATTAGATACGAATTACATGCCCGCTGTCGGCTTACCCCAAACGGGCTTCCCCTTGGGCAAGTCTAGTCTGGGGATGTCAGTGTCGCCCTCGAAGCGTGATTGAACACCCACATGCGACACTATGTCTAAGACAAACGGTTTTGCAAAGTGCAAAGCCGCCCGCCGATAGGCATGGTTGTTGCCACTGGGAGTTGCTGTTGGAGAAGACGCAGCTAGGGCGAAGCAATTGGTCGAGTTGCTATCCCTGCCGCGCCCGTGATGCCATAGGTGCGCCTCGGGTAGAGGAGAATATCAACCTGGACTAGACTGTCTCCGGCTTACAGCGAGCGCGGTGGGGTGGATAGCTTACATAGCACACCCGTACACTGACGATATCAACATTGTGGTGGTTAGGTTCATTCGTTAGGATAATTGCGGCTGCTGTGCCGCATGGCCATCTCAACAAGCAGGTTTACAGTGGCCGGGAGAGAGAGAGAGTTGATGGCCTCGGCGATGGCAACCGATGATGTTGCATAGTTATACCGTGCATAGATGTGCCATGAACGTGGGGTGAAGGTGTTGGTAGGCAGGCATCAGCGCATGTCGAACGATAGTGACGACAGTTGCCAGCTATGAAGCGACGAGTCAACACAACCTGGATTTTCATGGACGGAATCATGGCCAGTCTGGTAGACTAGCTGGAACTCGTGGGGGCCTGGTTGCATATTGTGCATTCCAGCGCCGTCCATGAATTATGGGCGGGCAGATTCCGATGCAGAGCTGTGATGCAACTCCGACTTTGCTGGACGTCTGCCGAAGTTTCATGCCCAATGAAGCGACAGAGGGTCGATCTTGTGGAGATGCACACGACCATGATGCAGGCTGGCGGCACAAGTATACATATCGTAAAAGACGTTGGGAATTGTACATGGGCTGTTGCGACGCAGGTGCGTGTGCTGTCAGCATCCCCAACTCGTAGATACATGTTTTAACCTCCGAGCTGCTGGGGTATGCAGTCGGGTCCCCAGGGTTATTTGATTAACTGTCGATGATATGATGACTCGGCATTTCGAAGTACCACATATCATAGTAAGGATGCCACGATGTGCGAAATCGCATGTCGCCATAGCGAGGTTTTTGGTTGGGTCGTAGACATCACGCTTGCAAAATCTTAACAGGTCGCGTGGAGTAGCGTGGTGAAGACGCGAGTCGCCCAGTTTGGATTTGGTAGTGAGGATGGCTCGAGTCATAATCCCTCTGTTTCTTTGTAATAGGCTGTGCCGAGAATGGAGCCCCATCGATGATAGTGACATTGCATGACACTTAAAACATTGAAGATGAAGAAAGTTGAATTAGTCAGAAGGCGTCGGCCATGAAAACGACGATCACACCCATTTTGAAACCGTCCAGAGCGACAGTTGAGCAGCTGAAAAACAGGAGTGTCGAGCACTGACCACATATTGTCTCAAGCCACTTGCCAGGTGAGCACTGGCAAACTGCAGCGGTGGGGAGGCGGGGAAAAAAACCGTTGAATGTGGTTCGTGCGTCTTTGATCTATCACCTAGAAGAACAATGACAATGCACTGAGGAACTTTGGATGCTTCGTCCAGTACGTACTCGACAGACTGGATTTCCTAGTGTGTCACGTTCCTGCCTCTGAATGGTAGAAAACTTTTCATCGCCGTGGTTGGTATGCTAGATCATGGCGACGTTCACCCTTCAGATACAACCGCCGCCTATCTATCTGTCTTGGTGCCCCTCCTCTTCATTTGAAGTCGTCAGGTAATATTGCGTCGCGACTTTCTACGCCAACCTCTGTCCGCTACCTAACCAACTGCCCCAAACCTAGCATGGGTGTCGCTGTCCTTGCTTGTCCATCGCGGCTCATGCCGCCCCCTGTTCCTAATAATTCTCTCAATGTAACTGCTCACAATTCCATGTCAGTTACGTGTCAAGTGAGAGCGAAAAAGTAGAGAACATCGGCAACGATGTGTAGCATATCTGATTGGTGAAGTGGTTCTATCCAACCGTGGAAGTGCCCGTCAGCAATTCAAGTCGACTCATCGCGCAGGTCCCAGCCGTGTGGAAAATGTCAGCTCGGGCCGAGTGCAAGAGGGCAGGAATCGGAGCAAAAAACCGCGGCGGATTGCTAGACCGATTTGCGAAGACCAGTCATGCAACATGTCTATTTCAGAAGGTGCGTGCCCATTCCCGAGACATAGTGTCCAAAGGGGTGCGGTCACACAGCAGCTCTCGCGACTGATAGGATGCTGCACCCTCCAGGCCAGAGCCAGACCGCGGAGGTGAGGGCAGCTAGAGCACCATAATCATAACACCGGCCAAGCTTGCGCACTCCAAGTCCACCATACGGAACTAGACCTGGAAATGCACCAACATGCACCCCCCTTGCCGAGCTCGCCTTTCATCTATCCGTCAAATAAAAAATGCAGGAAGCCATGGTCCATCGAGGCAGGCTTATTGATGAGGCTGCCCTGCTGCCTGCCACCTGGCTGGGGTCGCGGCGAGCAAACATTGCGTCCGACCAAAACCACATTCTTCCGAATTCCCTGCCCACCAGCCTGGTGTCACCACACTCAAGACCGCACTTGTAGGTTACCACAACAAGATTCAGCCTTGCTCGTACCGGTACCCGGACCCGGACCGGACAGCCTTTCGCTGATACCATTTACTCGGAGGTGCTTTTTCTCCAATGACCAAAGACCGGCCCCTACCGCCCCTCGTTCGCTGACGAATTCCATCTCTTTAAATCCAATGCTGCTAACCTGGAAAATGCGCACGCTTGCTTTCCCAAGATTCAATTGACCGTCGTATTGTGGCACGCTGTAACACACGCCTACGAGAAGCACGCCAGTCCAAAGATCCGCGCAAGCCAGCCACGCGACCGTTCTGCCTCGTCGATCGCGATGCCGCGAAGGATGTGCTCCAGCCCAACCTAAGCCAACTTGGTCCATTATTGGACCTGCCTGCACATGTTCGCAGCCCAAGCTGTCGCCGCGACTTGGACGCCCTTACACATCCTGTCACGGCCAATTTCCCATCAACACCCGCCGCCTAAGCTAGCAATGCCCGTAGTAGGGTGTCGTCAATGATCGTGACATTTTCACGCTTTGCCAAAGGCAGGGCCAACGGCATCGAAGCTGAATCCGGTCCGTCTCCGTCGTTAGCCCCGATCTCTGGTTTGAACATGAACACGGTCAATTGGCACTGACAGGCAAGAGGTGAGGTTACTCACAGGCATTCCCCCCTCCCCCCTGCCTCCTCTCTGCCTCTGCCACAAAGGTAGTCCTATCAAAAGTTACGTAGTACGGATACACTTGCCATGTTGGAGAAAAACAGCCTAGACTGGACCCTTGCGACCTCGACCGCTAGCCTCGAATCTCCCGTACCACTCGTACACAAGTACCGCCAAGTACTCCGTGGTCTCTTGCAAGGGATCCCGCTCAGACCACAGAGTGGTGGAGGTGTCATGCGGGCTTGCAAGTGACGACTGGGGGGGTTGAGAGGTGCCAAGACTACAACCCCTCCACCAGCATCCACCATCGTCAGTCCATCACCAGCCAGTCTGCGTTTCTCTCGGGCCTCTCTACCAGACGCATTCCTGTGTCTCTCTTTTCGACGCTGCGCTACTCGCTATCCAGCCATGCTCGACACCGAAGTTGTTACTCTACAACTCAGTAGGCTCACTCCATGCCGCAGTGGCAGCATGGTCCTAGTTAGTCTCATCGTCCTTTGCGGTAAGACGCTTTCGCGGCTGCTGCTCGGCGTACGTTTTGTAGCCATTATATCGTAGTGCGATACATACTCGTTAGTCGTACTGCCCAGCGAGCATCTCCGACCTGCATCTCTTATTACTGATGGTTCTCCTCCTACCCTGCCCATACCCCGACCCCTACTCGTACATACAGTAATGTGCATCTCCCGTCCAAATCTTTCGTGTCTCCGCTAGCGGCCCCACGGCATCACATCACATCCACAGTCTAAATAAGACTGCTTTTCATCACCGTCACTGCTACCGTGAATATTGACCACTCCACCCGTCTTTTCTTTCACCTTGCCAATCGAGTTTTTTGTCCGTGTTCTGGAGTTCAAGTTGTCTTGATCACCCTCCATTGGCCTCTTCTCCCCTCGTCCTCTTCCCCCCCTCCCCCCCTCTTCGAGTCTGCTTGGCTCGTGTTGGACTCTGATCATCGGCCCCCGTATTCGATCAGCTCCAGTCCTTCTCCGCCTTTCCCTGCATAACCAAGCCGAAGACTGGACCTATGATCTTGTTCGGGCATGTATGACCTTTAGTTAAAACGTTACGACTCCTCTTTGACCTCGTTATTTCATCCTCCCTTCGGTTCATACGAAGGAACCCTCACATACACTGTTTCAGCTCTGGGCGAAGGGTTTGGTATCGTTTCGCTACAGCTATGGATTGCACAATGCCCATGGTGGCAGACGATGGGGACATGCCCTGGTCAGACAGCCACAGCTCGGCTTCTGACGATACATCTTCTATCCTGATGCCCCCTTCGCCGCTCTGGACGAATCCGACCTCGACCATACGCATGGATACGGGGCAACTGTCCCCCATCAGCACAGAACTGGACATGACTCTGATAGAGGCGTCATCTAACATCCCCACCATGATACATTCAGCAACATCGTCTAACGACTCGTGGAGTACGAGCTACGGTGAGGAGGCGGACGGGGACGACGCTGAACACGACACGCATTGGGAACAAGGCTCCGACGACGTGTTGACGGTTCCGAAACTTGAACCACTGGACGAGGAGGATTTTCACATGAATGATGTGAAGGAAGCCCCACGAACTCCAAGACCCGCATCGAGTCTTGTGTCGAGTGCTACCAAGACCAAGAGACCCAGAGGCCGGCCGAGGAAACACCCGCTTACGCCGCAAGTCTCGACGAACAAGGTAGCCAAGGGGCGGTCCAAAACGGGCTGCATTACCTGTAGAAAGAGAAAGAAGAAGTGTGACGAAGCGAAACCACGATGTGAGTCTTCATCGAGAACGCGGTAACTGGTATAGGTCACTGACAAGTGTGTAGGCATGAACTGTGAGAAGAACGCTGTTGTCTGCGAAGGGTACCATGAGAAGACGCTTTGGAAGAGTGGACGAGAGAGGGCCGAAGAAGGTATGGCTGATTTACTCAACTCACAACGTTGTTTCTCACGAGGGGTTGCAGAACGGCAAAAGTGGCAGAGCTTGCCGGTCATCACGTTACAACCCATCTTTCAAGGGGTGGATGGACCTGAGGACATGGTGTTCCTCAACCACTACATCAACCACCTAAGCGGGGTACTGACGGTCGAGAGCCAACACAAGAATGCTTTCAAGGACATGTTGCTGCAAATGGCGGTGGAACACCGGGGACTAATGCATTCCATTTTGTCTCTGGCCAGCAAACACATCGACTACGATACTCCGTATGGAGCCAAGATCCTCAGCTCCAATCCCAAAATAACACCGGCAACACTGCTGGCGCGGTCCGAGTATCATTATACGGCAGCCATGGACAAGCTGTACGAGGATATCCGCCGGGAGGGTATAAAAGAGGAGTCGGAGAACAGAGTCAACTTGTCCGTTCGCTACGGACAGATGCTCTGTCTCCTAATCCAGTCCCTTGCCGAGGGCAGTCACAACGGCGAGCACCGTGTGCACTTACAGGCCTACAAGAGGCTCATCCAGCACTCACCGCCGGAGGACTCTGCCTTCCTCGTCTTCATCACCGAGTTCTTTCAATTCCACATCTTCGCCGACGAATTAATACGGCACCCCGACAGTTTGACCGCGCGCCTGGCGACGGAGGAGTGGGAGCCGTGGCTAGCTATCCAACCAGCACGACTTATAGGCGTCGCCGACGGCCTCTTCAAATACCTCACCCAGATCACATCGATCCGAAACACAATCCGGACAAACATGATGAACGAAATCGATCCCGTGGTAGATTATGCATCCCTGTATCGCGCCGCCGAGATCGACGCCGCGATACGGGAATGGACTCCCCACTGGCCCCCAGGCGACAGCCGCGAACGTGCCGCCCTTCTCTATAAGCAGATGATGTGGGTGTACCTCTTCCGAACCATCTATCCGCCTTCATCGCCCACATCTTCCCTCCTGACCAGTAACCTGACCCTCGGGGCCGGCTGCTCACCGCCTCTCTCCCCGACTTCCCCCGCTCATTCGGGCCACGACCCGCAATGTCCCGACCACCCGGTAACAAGCCACGGTCACGGTCACGGTCACGGTTATGGTCACAGCCACGGCCACGGCCACGGCCACGGCTCCAACAGCTCTTACTCCTGCTCACCCTGCCGCGACTCCTCGCCCCCGCCCATCCGATACCCTCCACACCACGACACCCGCATCACCGTCGCTGTAGACGAATCGCTCGCCATACTAGACTCCTTCAAGCCCAGCGACCCCGTGCAGACGCTCCTGCTTATCCCGTGCCTCGTCATCGGGTGTGCCTGCTTTGCGCCGTCGCAGCAGAACAGGATACGCGGCGCCGTCAGAGCTGTCCACGGGTACACGGGCCTGAGGAATTGCGATCGCGCGTTGCAGGTTCTGGAGGAGGTGTGGAGGTTGATGGAGCGCGGGGAGTGGGCGCGGGTGTGGGATTGGCAGGGTGTGGCTAAGGGGTTAGGGTTGGACTTTTCTTGTACCTAGGCGGGGGTGCTGCTTTGCCTGGTGGCATGCTCGGGTACGCCGTCCGGCGGATACGAGAGGTGCCATCTCGCCATTGCGTACGAAGCATGACCATCGCCTTTTATGCTCTTCACCATACTGGTACTTCGCTCTCCCTCCTCGTTGTACATGTGATGCTCTCTCACTCCCACTCTCACTCTTACCTCTGACCTTACCTCTTACCCTACACACGAGGCTTCGCGTTCTTCGCACATCTTTCCACCCATCAACCAGGGTAGGGACTTCGCCACCCTTTTCGTCCCCCGATCCTAGTTTTTCTATACCCCGTCCTTTTTCTATATATATATATATATATATTTTCGCTCTGGTCGTTACATACCATTACTTGCATTATTACACGGGGGGAGTATGGCGACGCTTGCGCGAACGAATGAATGAGGGGGGGAAAGGTTGGAAGGTGGGAAGGTGTTATCAATTGGTCTTTGTGATCTTGTCTTCGGTACGGCGTTTCTTGTTCATGCCTTGTTCTTGTTTTCTGTTTGGGGACTCGGTCTGGTTCATCATGATAGTGTACGCGGTCAGGCAAGCGGGGAGTAAGCCGTAAGGCGGGGTGCGGGCCTGGGGACGGCGGGCTGGCGGGTGGTTGGAGTCAAAGCTATTCATTGCACCGGGCACGGCTGATTTGATTTTTGTTTTAACGGGGTGATTTACCTCACACTGTGGTGTTTGTCTTTCTTTACTTCCTTTTGCATCGGTTGAGTATCTATCTATATACAATCAGTGGATTCTCCGTGGCCCCGGCTTTGGGCACCCTACCATAGTATGCATCTCCCGCATGCAATGTGGGCAGGCTATTCGACCCTACCGACGGGCTATGCATGATAGTTGGCATTTTACTCGGAAGACCAGATAAATAAACGATATCAAGTTTGTTTCGTTTCCCTGATCTTGTACATAAATTCCAGGCTATCTCGGTGTGACATATGCCGACGTCTCCGCCCCTTCGTCGTACCTCCCGCTCACTTCATCATCATCCCAACGAATGAAGGAAAATCACAGCTTGGAACCTTCTACCCTCTCCTCATACGCCTTGACCTCCACAAGCAACTTCCCCGTATTCTTCCCCTCAAACAAATCCCGAATCGCCTTATCCGCAACCTCAATCCCGCCCTTCACCACCGTCTCTTTCCTCTTCAATTTCCCCTCCCGCATCCACCCCCCGATCTCCTTCCTAGCCGCCGCATACTCTTCATGATGGTCAAACACAATAAACCCCTCCATCCGGATCCGCTGCACCGTAACCTGGAACAAGTTCCGGATCCCCTTTTCTGCCGCCCGGTTGGGGTTGTTGTACCCGCTGATGCTGCCGCACATGATGAAGCGAGACCTGAAAGCGGCGCGGTTGAGGCACAGTTCGAGGATCTCCCCGCCCACGTTGTCCCAGTAAATGTCGATGAATTTGGGGGTTGCCTTCACGAGGTCTTCTTTGAAAGTGGCGGATTTGTAGTTGATGGCGGCGTCGAAGCCGAGTTCGTTCTTGAGCCAGGCGCACTTGTCGTCTGAACCTGCGATGCCGACCACGGTGCAACCCTTGAGTTTGCAGATCTGTCCGACTACGCTGCCGGTGGCGCCCGCGGCGCCGGAGACGACTACGGTCTCGCCAGCTTTGGGGACGCCGATTTTAGAGAGACCGAAGTAGGCTGTTAGGCCGGTGAGGCCTGTGCGTGCACAAAAGAACGTTAGCTTGACTCCATCGTGGGGTCGGTCACGGAAGTGGGACGGATTCTAGCGTGCAAGGCGGCATACCCAGAACACCCAGCCCATCAGTGATCTTGCTTCCTTCGGGCAAGTCGATGATCTCGAACTGCTTCTCATTGACGATGCCGACCTCGGTCCAGCCGACGCTCGCGTTGACAATATCGCCCTCCTTAACTTTGGCGCTCTTGCTCGCCAACACGCGGCTGATGGCGGCGCCGCGCATCTTCTCGCCGATGGCCACGGGCGGAACGTAGGAGCGCGTGTCTGTATATCGTAGAATGGCATTAGCGTCATGTTGGAACACTATCATCATCATCATATCGGAACTTGGCGTTGTTCTCCACTCGGATGGAGGAGGGGGAAACCGAGAGCGAACAGACGGCGAAGGGAAAGGTAAGAGAAGAGAGAGAGGCAGACGCACCATTCAACCACCCTCGCATGGCCGGGTCCAGCGAAAGGTACAGCGCCTCGACGAGGATCTCGCCATCCTTGAGGTCCGACGCGGTGGGCGCCGCCGTCTTCTCAAGCTTGAACGTCTGGCCGGGGATGATATCGCCCTTCGGCCTCTCGGCCAGGTGGAAGGTTGCAGTTTCTCTGCCCATGGTGGATGTGGATTGCGGTCTGTAGGAGTCTCTGATCACGACGGCAGTGGCTGGTCGCTGCTTCGGGTTGAGTAGGGTCTGGTGGATGGCCTGAATGTCTGCTTGTTGACTTATGGGACAGCCCTGAACTTTGGGTCAACCGTCGAACCCTCTACTTTATATGTACCGGTCGTCTATCTCGTCTAACCATGAAACATCAACCTGACGAGTCACGAATGCCAACAAAAGTAAAAACTCCAGTTCTTTTCCCCTCCGTGCTGCCCACCGACGGAGGAGGCACGGGGCATGTGAGCCATCTTAAGGACTGATAGTCAAGCATTCCCATCTATTGCCGTCCATTCAATGCCACACCGCACAATCTCGTACCCAACTACCCAACACACCAGACGAACGCGAATCAGTCACCCCTTCAGGGTTGTCCCTCCGCCCTCCGATAGTTTCACCCGTGGAAGGCAGCAGAAGCCGCCGAGAGAATGGGAAAAAAAAGCACTGGCATTGCGAACGACTCAAAATGACCGCTCCAATTGGCCAACGCCCTCGGTCGCGTCGGTCGAGCATAGCAAAGGAGGCAAGCGGAGCCCGCGAAGATGAAGTGGTGCATCGGGAGCTAAGAGCTTAGCCTCGGAGCGTTCCAGTCTTCATTTTTTGTTGTCCGTTTCATGTCGTCACTTTTTGCTCCGTGCCGAGGCTGTCAGCTGATTTAGGGTGGGCATGTTTTGTTCCGTGCCGACCGACCGACGAACGTGGGGCTGGCTGGGCGGCAGGCAGTAGTACATGTGCGAAGTAATGGTACTTCGCAAAATGATGGAGTGACTTACTTGATGGCGACCTCGAAGGACTTGCATTCTGCGAGCGAAGAATTACGCAACTACCTAATCTATATATGTAGGTTGGCGGCTATGCATTCGTACTGGTGCATAATCCGAGTCGGCACGTGGAAATAAGCTGCGCATTGCATTTTATAGGCCCCGACACCCCTGTGCTGGTTCTGTCTCATTTATAGTACTTCTCTTTACGTCTAAAAATATGTCCCAAGAGGACTATAGCCAAGTCTCTCCGGAGTCATTTCACCGCCCCGTTCGTGGATATGTACATGTTGTTAGGGCCACAACATCCACACTGAGGGCAACACAAGCAATCTGCAGCAAGGAGAATATAAGCAACATGGTTTATTAGCTAAAGAGTCGGCTAAGAATCCTGGCGTCGGCGAGCAGTAAGCTTCCCAACGGCGGGAGGCTACCTGCAGCAAGCCGTGTCAACGACCCGGCGCCTTAAATACGACTTCAGGGCGTCTGACGGCCCTGCTTGCCGACTCCGAATCTGCACATCTATCTTCTCTGGGCATAGTGGCATCTGCTATGCCATCAACGAAATGGAAAGCCCTTCTCTTCATATAAACTCTTGCCATCAAGCGGTCCAATCACAGACCTTGCCTCCTTTTCGTCGCAGTTTCCCTGGCGGAAACAAAATCTGGCGGTGAAGTGGCGGCCAAATGGAAGACGCCAAGCAGGCAAGCAAAAGCAACCCTTGACTCCGAGAATGCCAGGCCAAGATACATAGTGAACAGTGTAGTTCGCTGCGATGAACCCATGCCAATGTGTTGGCATATATAAATCTGTGCGACGTGAATGCGTTTTCTCCAGGATTCGTTGTCCGAAAAAAAGAAAAAAAAAGAAAAAGCAGGAGTTGATCCAAGTTGTTGAGACTGATCAACTGTCGTTTACTCGACTCGAGCGGGAATGTCCTGCAAATCTTCGGCGTCCGTATTGCTGCTCTGGCTCTCTGGGAACTCGCTCTGATCGGTGTCTAAGGGTGCAGGCTGCTTCGCACCCTTCTTCAGCGAAGTCTTAACCTTGGCTTTACCATTGGTCTTCGTGGCTGACGACGAGACCGCATCCTTTGATTTACCTTTGGATCTCGTACTCGACTTCTTGACGCTCTCCGACACAGACTCGTCAGATTGTGAAGGTTCCGAAGTGTCCACGAGTTGCGATGAGCGTGTCTGGTGAGCCGACCCTTGACTCTTGCGTTGGGCCCGCTTAGCCTTAGACTCGAGCTTCCAGTTGCTGTAGCCCCCAGGGTGCATCGCTTTATCCTTGCCAGCGGTTGGCGAGCCCGCTGCCGACTCGGCAATCTCGCGTTCTTTAGACATGCTCGGCTCATCGATGCCAAGATCGACACTGCCACGCTCATGCGGTGCCGAACTCCCCGGGGCCTCATCTTTGTACCCAGCAGACTCGGACAGAGGGGAGCCCATGTCGATCTTCTCTTCCGCCTCCTCGCCGTCGCTGGTGACAAACTTGGACGTCTTGGTACGGCTGCGGTTGGTCTCCTTGAGGATTCTTTTGAGCTTGTGCGCCATCTCTTGGTATTCCGCGTTCAAGTCCACCTCGGCTGGCAGGTTGAATTCGTTATGGTCTTTAAATGTCGAGCAGAGCTGTGCGGTAATGTCTGGGACGGACATCTGCTTCCAGTCGGGGATCGAGTTTCGCAGACGGTACCAGGTGAGGATCAGGGTCGCGCGGGAGTACTTCTCTGTGTGGCGGTGCCACTTCTCGTTGCTTCTGTACCCGCGCAGCTTGGCCCAAGGGATGCGACTGTCGGCCTGAGCGCCGCTCTTCTGGATGGCCTTGGCAATCTCGTACATGTCGCGGTGCGTCAACTCTGCAAAATCATTTCGCGCGTTCTGGATTCTCATGTCAAGCGAGAGACCGGACACCCCGTCGATGCTACCACCTTCCTTGGCGGCCTTGATCTTTTTCCACTTCATCAAGCACTGCAGACGACTTCGAGTGTGGTCCATGTTCTCACTGACAACTTGCCAGTCAATCAGTTCCTCCTCGGGCTTTTCCTTGACGTCGCTTCGCACGCCTTCCTGGGCCTTCATTCGTCGAATCTCCTTGATTGACTGGTCGATAATATCGTTGAGTCTTTTCTCTTCTTCCTTGCTCCACGCATCCTTCTTGAGGTTGTCTCCGCAGACGACGTAGTTGCGAATCCGGTCTCGGACATCCTCGGGGTGGCGGTTGATCTTTTCCGCAATGACCCGATACTTGGGGCCATGCATCTCGTAGTAATTCCTGAGTTCTTCATGCTGCTCTGGCGTCCAAGTGCCTCGAGCGACGAAGTTGTGGAACTTGCGTCTGCAGACGTTGATGAGCTTCTGGCGCTTGCGTCGAGGGCAGGTTCCATGGATGTGATCCCAGAATTCGGCCGTATTGTGTCTCTGAGGGTTCAAGTGAACCAGCTCATTGACCTGGTATTGGGTGAGGTCGTGATCAGAAGCCCAGCGTTCCATGGCAGTGGTGATGTTGCGAAGCTCGAATTCGCTGAAGTGGCCAGTTATCTCTTCCTCTGGCGCGGGATCCTTGTGCCTTCTCGGGATCTTGACCCCGGGGGACAAAGGCGAGGGACTCCCATTCGTGCCGTCCAACGGGTTGATTTTGTAGTTGATCGTGAGCTCTTTGCCCTTGCCCTTGCCCTTGCCCTTGCCTTTGCCCCTTGCTTTGGAAGGTCCAGCAACGGTGTCATCCTCGACCGCAGCCGTTCGCCTCTTCCCTGTGCCGGTGGTTGTGGATGATCCAGCCACGCCATCTTCCTCAATGACATCATCGTCTTGGTTCTGTAGCTTGCGGGATGCGGTGGCAGAGGGCGACTGGTCCAGAGACGCAATGGTATCGTCTTCATCACGGTCGAAGAATGAAGGTTTGGCTATGCGCTTGCGTCCTGAAGCTGACTTGAGCCCGTATTGTCGAAGTTTCGACTTTGACTTTGGCACACTGGACGGAATCACATCTTCTTCACCAGCTTCATCATCATCATCATCATCATCCACCTCCATTGGTGCTTGGGGAGCAGGATTGACCAAGCTGGGGTCAATCATAGACAAGTCATCAAGCTCGGCGTCTACATCCATGTCATCCTCTGCAGAGTTTCCCTTGATGAGCGCGCTGATACCATCGGCGGAATGATCCAGTGATCTGCGGCGTTCGCGAGCCGCGCTAGGTGACTCTTCCCTTGCATGGTAATCGAGAGCACGTTGAAGAATGGTACTGTCGTTAGGTGAACCGGTGTTGTAATGTGCAGCATACAGGTTCTGTGCAAGGTTGCCAAACTCATTAGGCTCTTGGTCTTGTGCCTGGTCTTCAGTCTCGGCAATAGAAACCTCAGTAGGCTCCTCCTGCGCAGCCCTATGCTTGTGCTTCTTGCGTTGTCTTTTCGCTGACTCGTTGGCTTTGCGCTTCAATGGAGATGCCTGAGTAGCAGCGGGTACCGAGTAGCTGTCATCGGCAATTTCATTTTCCAAGTGAGCGAGGTTGTTGGCAAGGATTGCATTCTCGGCAAGTCGACTCTGATTATCACCGGCAGGTGTATCCTCGGCACCGGCCTTTGACTTGCGCTTGCGCTTCTTGGAGGTTTCACCAGGATTGGGAGTAGCCTCAACACCCTCAGCAGCATCGGATTCGGGATGGCTGACGCCAAAGTTGGAGTTGCGTGCAAGCAGCTCCAACTGAAGCTTGGCTGCCTTCTTTGCTGCCTTGCGCTCCCTCCTTGCCTGCTTTCGAGCAGCCTTCGCATCCGCGCCCTCATCTCCTCCCTGTCCATCGACGTCATCTCCACCAACAGGACCCCCTTCCATCATGCTGCTGTCAACAAATGCAGAAGGCTCATCAAGGTCAATGGATGACTGTGGTACGAATGGACGGTGGCCAGTAAGCGCCGACATGTTGCTGGAAATGGGGATTCCTTGAATATTTGTGGTGTTCGTTTTGGTGGTCGCCCTTTGTGATGATGGACCTGTTATGTGAGGCGCGAGCTGCAATGTAGGATGTGTGTCAGAGTAGGCAGTCGCCGAAAATGAGGCGGGAGATATCTCGACGATCGCCGCCCTGGTCGTTGGCGATTGTGAGTGTGAAGTCGAGGGTCGACTATATGAGCTCAGAGGCTCAAACTTGATGGGCACAGCCGATGAGGAGCTGCGAAAGCTGTTGGCTGGAGACCCGTCGCCAGGTAGGCTACAAGCTACTTGGTCGCCGCTGGGATTAGCCTGCGTTGTGAGGGTTAGTGAAAGAGTTATTTGATACTGGAGCTGTAAAGGTATTGCGACTGCAGGCTCTTGACAATGTAATTCTTGACAATGCGACTAAAAAAATGACATGTTTTTGGGAAAGATGTAGCTTATAAAAGCCTTGTGCGAGACGGGTGAGGAAGGGCTACGCTGCAAACTAGGGCTGGTGAAGTTGGGGTGATAAGCACCAGTTTGAAGCGACGTGAAGACGATGTGAGAAGGGGATGTGTCGTCCAACCCAGTCGATCGGGACTACGGTGTGAATGGACAGTGGGCGGATCGTGAACTACTTACCTCAAATCTTGGGAGAAGGGCACTTCCGCTGACAATTTCTTGGGAAATGGGTTCGCGGTCTTGCTTGGCGGAAGAGAAAAGCAGCGTCGATATATCTGGTTTTGTGATCGAGGTGCTATAGGCAGGCAAATCGCCAGCACGGTGGGGTGATGAGCTGGATACGTCAAACTCGGTGACAAGTGATGGGCTCCCAGGTAGCTGTTCAGCTACTTGGTCGCGGCCGGCCAATGTCGGACCTTGGCTCGAGAAGAATGATGAAAAGTCCGGCGGAGCGTCCGGGTGGGCTTGTTGAGCTGTTTGGAGTGAATAGGGATCTCGGCGAAAAAGGGAAGATGCAGGATCTGCAGCGGGTGAGGAAGAAGGGGAATCTTTGAATGGAGACGGATTTTCGTCGTAGTCGGAATACGCTGTCGCTGGATCTTGCGATTGACCGCTTAGATGGTCATCGGTTCCAGTGTCGGGCTTTACTAGCTGGCTACTTTGAGCTCCCATCACCGCACATTACTTAGCAGTCGGAAGAGCATCTGAGCCTCGAGGCAATCGAGAACGAAATTGGCACAATGCTGTGCTCGTAGCAGCAACCTGGATGAATGCTTCGTCGTGCGAGTTCGATTCCGGCACGCGTCGTGTACTCGCGTCGTCAAGAAAAAAAGGGATGTTGCAGTTCGGGGTCGCGGGTAGCTTGACACGAAACTGCGAAAATTTCAAATGGGCAAGTTGTGAAGCTTGGTGACACTACCCAGCAGCGGGGTCAACGTAATTGTGGTCCTTGTGGTCCGAGCACGTGTAAACTTTGAGCCACAGCAACTACGACCCACTCTTGCTGCAGCTTGCGATTGGCTGCCATTTTCTATCTCAACAACCCGGACCATTTGCACGCACTGTACATCTCCAACTGTATCTTCCATGGCTGCAAAAAGGGAAGAAGACATCAACTCTTGGGTGAAGCATCAAGATCGCGACAAGCTGATACCTTCACACCAGCTTCAAAGCTTCTCAAACCGGGTTCGGCCCAAGTAGTCATTCATACGAAGCATAATGTTCTGGATAATCAAAATTCAAGTCGGGATTCACGTAATTCTGAGTTCCTACGTGGACTTCCTTGACTGTATATATATATAGCGCGACTCTCAGGCTTGAGCACTTCATACATTCAACACACCACTGCATGCTCTCTTATGTTAGTTAGCTTGTGGGTTCCGCATTTGAACACTGAATAGGCGGAAAGTTTAATCGATCGGTACATTGCGGAAAGGTCGTTGGCAATTCTGCGTGAACTAGTTTAGGTCTTGATCTTAGCTCGGCTAAACTCAGTATTTTTCATTAATCCAAGCATGTGGTTGTTACAGTTTTAGCAGAAATCTTCACTGGGTTTTCATCCTCGTGGGCCCCCCGCATCCCATTACGATTTTACTAGATCATGAAGATGAGGTATAGTGCAGGAGTTCAAACTTTGGCATTGTATGGTCGCACCGGCAGTCGTCCGCAGCAACTAACCACCAACTCCATGAGAATTAGACGAATACCGATTTGCCGATGCCTAGAATCACACCTCAATAAGAGTAAGGCACATGAAAATTTGTATTCCATTGGAACATCAAGCAGTAGTAAGCCCAACAGCCCCCTGAACCCTATCAACAACCCCCGGCACCCCCTCCTTCCCTACCGGATCCAATACCCTATATCCCCTCCCCTTAGTCCTAAAATCATCCACAAACACTGCATACCTCGCCCTCCAGTCCCCGTCCACCCCCTCCATCTCCTCAACCCCCAACTTTCTCGCCTCCCCGTTGACCCACGCCAGAATTTCGTCGATATACTCTGTCTCCCTCAACAATAAACTATGGAAATTCTTGCTCCCGCCCACAACGTCCATCTTCCTCTTTTCGTACGTGCTCCTCATGACTTCCTGACTAGGTAAACGGGCTTTTCCCGACAGAACCCGCGCGACGACCTCGGCCTGGAAATCGAAGAACGAGAATGTTGATACGTGGTAGGGAACCCCGACGAAGAGGAGTGAAGGGTCCGGGATGTAGAATATGTCGTGGTGTAGGTTGTGCGTTACGCAGCCGTCGCTTGTGATGATGACTTTGTCGTCTGCGGACTCGGCTTCTGTGTAGGGGGATTGGAGGGTGGGTCCGAGGAAGGGGTACGAGGTTAAGTATCCCGTTCCTAGGATGATGACGTCGATATCGGTGAGCACCCTCCCGTCTTTCAACACTACCTCGCCTGGGCGAGGAGAAGAAGTGGTGTCGGCGGACTCGTTCAGAACGAATTTCTCAATCTTCCCGACCCGCTCCGCATTCTCAGGCAGTAGGGTTGCGGGAAGGTCGAAACTACCACCTCGGACGCTTTGGTACGTCTTTTTCGCGACGGAACCGAGCTCCCTAGCAATGTCTAGCGAAGAAACACCGGCCCCGATGATGAGGACTGTTTTGTCTTTGAAAACATCGGGTTTGCGGTACTGTTTGGAGTGCATCACATTGTCCGGAAACTTTTGTTTCCAGGCGCTCAAGCCAGGGAGGTCTGGGATGCGAGGCTCGTGGTAATGTCCGCTTGCTACGACCACGGCGTCGAAGTCGTCCCATTGCCTTGCCAAGAATTCTGGAGCAGAGCCCGTTTTGCGCAGTGTGCGGGTACGGATGGTCCATTTGGGCGCGCTCGAATTGGTGGACTTGGCCACGGACTCAACGCTCATGTCGTAGAGGATGTGCTCCTGGACGCCGGTATGGAGGGCTAGGTCCTGGATGTACTTCTCGATGAGATCTTGACTGACGAATTCCTCTGTTCCCGGTGACCAGGACATGAGGGTGCTTCGCATGAGGGAAGTGGGAACGTTGTTGCGCAGACCTTTGTAGCAAGGGGACGGAGGGGCGTGGGCCAGTGATGTGGTCTCGAAATTGTCGTTTGCTTCGAGAGATTGGTACTTTGTTCCATTAACGCCACTGCCATACCCATCCGGTGTTGGCGGTTTCTCGTTCGGATAGGGAGGCTCGAGAGCGCTCCTGGGATCGTAATGCCATACTCCGCCGGCGATGCTGGAGCGTTCAAAAAGCACCACTTTCAAGCCATGACGGAGAAGATGGCCAGCTGATGTGATACCGCTGATTCCTGCGCCGATGACTGCTACTTGTTTGGTACAACCCGATGGTGTGGGTGTTGACCGTACAGCTGCCATGCTAAAAGTGGTGCGTGGTACTGCGTCTGAAATGAGGCCCGCAGTCAAGCAGAACTTACAAAAGAAGACTTCACTCGTATAGATACTTGAGGATATACGTTTATTTTATAAGGCATGATTAGAATGAAGACCATGCAGCAAGACCCGAGTAATTGTGGCTTTCATTTTATGCAAATATTGAGAATCAGATAGATAATAGCTCATGCTGCCCACCTATTAGCTCATTCAGTGTGTGTATTACGTGCTCGACGGATTGAGGAACATTCCGGATCTCTCTTATCATGCCGCTCTCTGCACCAATTTCTTCCCATATGCAGTGACCTCAATGCAATAGTATCCAAGACAAATTGAGCAAAGAATATGATCCCATGCCATGTTTGTGACCCTATGTTGTATCTCTACCGCACATGGTGGATTCACGTCCTTTAAAAAACGGGACATGTAGTTGCACGGCGTTATGGCATAGACCAGTCGAATTTATATGACTCTCGAAGGTGGCACGGTGTACTACAGGAGTTGCGGGGTATCCCATGTTATTCCATCCTTGATGAGCCGTCTGTTCTGTCGCCCCCTTACCTGAACCACGTTTGAACCACACACAAACACCTCAGCCCCATCAAGGAGGTCGCATCCAAACTACAAACATCCCTACTCCTCCACCTCAGCAGCCTCCTCCCCTTTCACCTTCTGCGCCTTCTCCCTCCTATGCAAATACCTGATTGTCAACGCGGTCAACGCCATTCCGGCCGCAAAGAAAACCATGGTAATAAACCCCTTCTGATACCTCGGCGCCTCAACCTGCTGCCAAATCAATAGCGGAAGCCAAGCTTGCATAACGTAAGCCATCTCATTCATGCTTCCGACGACGAAAGCGCGCTCCTCATTATCCTCACCGCAGATCTCGTGAGCCCAAGCAAAGGTAAGGCCGCTGATGCCGCCACCTATCATACCTAAGATATAGCAAGCCCACTTCCACCCAACGGGGATATCCCAAATAGCCAAGCTCGTGTTCAAAATGATGAGCACCACGCCCGAGAAGACAATGGGCGGCCAGCGCGCGCCTTTGAAAAGCGTGTCTGAGGTCCAGGCGTAGATGAGGGCGAAAATAATCGAGATGGCGGATGCGATAGTCGGGTAGGTGTTGACTTGTGTAACACTGTGTCCAGTAGACTTTAACCACAACGCAAACGCAGGCTGACTCCCATACCCGCTCCCGTTGTTAAAGAAGATGTACAACAGCGTCAGGGCATACAAATGCCAACTCCCAAAAATCTTTCTAAACTTCGCCTTCGTGTAAGAACCTCCCCTATTCGCTCTGCCCTCAAGCCGCATCCGCCGTTTGGCGATCTCAATCTCCTCTTTCGTCAACCACCAAGCCCTCGTGATCTCAGGTACATCCGGAAAGAAGAAAAAGCCCGCAATAGCGATCGGTAGCGAAATCACCGTATTGATAATAAACAACCACTGCCACCCCCGGAACCCTTGCACGTCGCTGAGCCGGTACACGGCCGCCATCAGGTACCCCGAGAACATGGTGCCGATGTTGCCACTGGTGTGGAAGATGACGGAACGCTTGGCTAGCTCGTCACGCCGGTACCAGGATCCGATGATGTATTGCATGCCCGGATAGAAGGCGGACTCGGCGAGGCCGATGAAGAAGCGCAAGACGTATATTTGCGTTGCGTTTGTGCATTTCGCAAGGAGAATGGTTAGGACGGACCAGGTCACTTCGCAGGCGGGAATCCAGATGGAGGGGCGGATACGGGTGAGGAGCATGTTGCTTTGGGGCCTAAGTGTTAGCAGAAGTTTCGTATGGTCTTTTTCGGGTTTGGAGTATCTTACCTGGGAATCTCTCCAATGACATAACCTGCGGTCCAGCAAGCCGTTATGTAATTCAACTGGTTACCGTAGAGTCCCAGGTCCTCTTTCATTCCCGAGACAAAACTGCTATTGATGTTCACCTGATCCAGGTTTTTGATGAAGTACCCCAGACAGGCGAACGACAGCACAACGGCGTCGAGCTTGAACAGGAACCGCCGTTCTTCGGGTGTCTTGTCGAAAGTGTCCCAGAAGTATGAACGCCATGTCTTCTTGGGAGACTTTGCGATTGGAACATCGATCGCATCGGACCCGGAGTCATGCACGTTGTGAGCAGATGTTTTGACTTCGGATCCGAGCTTGTCGACAACTACGGCCTCATCATGACGGGTTGCCATTCTCTCTGTTCAACAATGTTTTCGGAGACGGCGGAGAGTGGGCTAGAACATTTCAATATCTCTGACAGATTATATCTGCGTTATGTATCACCAAGATGTCCTGCCTATGTAACCTTGCTTCTTTTTTTCCTTTCTTTCCAGCAAATTTTCCCAACTTTCTGGGATGCCAATCTTGCCGAATCACTAGGGATTATGACGCCATATAGGTCCCACATACATACTCAACTAATACAGCTGTAGAGAGTAAGCTCCCCGTTGTATTGTAATTACAATACTCCCAAACACGCGGAAATAAGAGCGGAGTTCTAGACCAGCCGGAGATCTATCTCGATTGGAGCGTCACCCCAATCGCAGATGTATGTAGAATATTGCCCAGCACTCAGTTAGGTGTGGTTTCAAAGCAACAGCTGCGTAAAAGCGTGGTATTGGACTGGGGGAGTGAAGGGAACATGGGCAGATTTGATGTTCAAAGTTGGTTCAAGTTCGGGATCTAAGGGATGACACCAAAGTTGTGGGCTATCACGCCATGGGTTCCCCTCACCATGACCACCACTCAACCCCCTGAGATCTCCACATTCCAGAATACTACATCTTTGCGCCATGCTGCAAAGCTATTGCGAATAGATAGGCGAGAATTCAGGGTCCAATCCAAGATGTTTCTGCGCGCCTCTTGGTTGTCAGACCACGTACAAGTCGGTCTTGTGGTTCATAAGGGTTGGTGGTATGGTAGCACATATGCAATGCAGTGAACTCTATGTCGTCTATTACTTAGAAGTCAAATTTTGGGTACCGGAGACGGCACTATCGGGATACCGAGCCTTACAAATGATAATGAAGTTACTCGTTGATGCGGAGGTTGTGTCGTCAGACCGTATTCAACGGTGTATATAGACCCACAGATTCTTTGATGGCATAACTCAGGGCGCCGATTCACTACTAGCTTGCAATTGACATCCAGGACCCCCAAAAGTAATTTTCAAAACCCACCATACCAAAACCAACAGTGAACATCATGGCACCAGCCCCCATTCACTCAGACATAGTTGACGTCGCCCCGCCCATCAAGGATACCCTTGGCCTCCCGGGCCCGGCGCTAGCCCGCCTCCAGAAAGCCGGTGTCGACCTGTCCAATGGATACCCGTACCGGCCGTCACGCCCGCTCTACCTGCAGGACGTGTACAAGATCCGGGGCGAGGAATGGAAGCACAACGACGCCGGTGCCCGGGCCGACAAGTCCAAGAGCGCGTTGCTCTCAGCGGCTACCAAAGTCACGGATTTAACGACTCATATCGGGACCGAGATTGAGGGCTTGCAGCTTAAGGATCTGACAGATCAGCAGAAAGATGAACTGGCGCTGCTGATTGCCGAGAGGAGCGTTGTGTTCTTCCGGAATCAGGATCTGAGCCCACAGAAACAGCTTGAGCTGGGGAGGTACTGGGGTGAAGTTGAGGTTCATGTAAGTGCTCATTCACTAATCCCAACAGAAAAAACATCTCAGCCATGGGTAAAAACTCACAAATAAAACAGCCTCAAGTCCCCCAAGTCCCCCACAACCCGGGCGTATCAGTGATATGGCCGGCGCTCCAAGCCACCGAACGCCCGGCCTCCTTCCGGCAACCCGGCGGCGCATCCAGCTGGCACACGGACCTAGTGCACGAGCTGCAACCCGCGGGTATAACGCACCTGCACAACGACACGATCCCACCCATAGGCGGCGACACGCTCTGGGCGAGCGGGTACTCCGCCTACGAGAAGCTATCCCCTGATTTCCGCAAGATCATCGACGGGAAGCACGCCGTCTACCGATCTGCGCACCCTTATTTGGACCGAGAGAAACCGGAGGCGGGACCCAAATTCATCGAGAGGGTGCACCCGCTTGTACGAGTCCATCCGGCGACGGGGTGGAAGGCGTTGTGGGTTAACCGCGCCATGACGGATCGGATTGTCGGGTTGGATCGGGCGGAGAGCGATGTGATACTGAATTACTTATATGATGTGTATGAGCGGAAAGTGGATATCCAGGTGCGATTCAAGTGGACGCCGGGTACGTCGGCGTTGTGGGATAACAGGTGAGTTACGAATTGCTGATGCTGCTACTACTAAGTTCGGTTGCTTGTTTGCGGGGAGGATATTGAAGGGAAGAAATAGGGGAGACTGGAGCTGACAAGATATACAAAACAGAATCACGATCCATAACGCGAGCTGGGATTATGGGGGCAAGCATCCCAGGCATGGAACAAGAGTCACATCGTTGGCTGAGAAGCCTTACTTCGACCCGGATGCGCCGACCAGACGTCAGGCGTTGGGGTTGCTGGACGAGGGGGAGTTGCCAGTCGACGGACCTCATTAGGTAGGAGGGACTTGAAATTGTGAAGTCTCGGGAATTTGTAATAATCTTTTCTAAACGATATGGCATGAATACTATCGACTTATCCCTTGTCACCTCCACGACTAGGCATCTATATGAAAGGCACCATAATGCTACAGCTGTGGCGTATGGTCTGCATAGAAACCCCCGCAGCCTTTCCCAGCAGAACGTGTGATGTCTTACAAAGCTGCATACTCTACCTCAGTGTCCCTAAGAAAGCAGTACTGACGGACTGTGCGTCCGGAACATGCCGTTAAATTGTGCACTAACCAGGAACATCTGAAGTTCGTTTGACGCAGCTTTGTGCGTAACTTGGGGTTTGATAACTTATTGATCACGATAGACCGAAAGGGTTTTGCTGTTTTTCTCTCATATCTTTACCGAACAGGAGGTAAGGCATTGCCGAATATCAGAGTAATTAGCATCATGGTGTTACAGAATTTGGCAGGATATTCTCTCGCCAAAGATGAAACTATGACGGCAGCGGTCCTGACATCTCGATCCAGCATCCAGCACCCAGCATCCAGTACTGTCGCTGCCACGTCCATCCAGTCCAGTTGCTTCGCCTTGTTCCTGAGTTGACCTACGCAGATATTGTCCTCTTTTCAAAACCACACGGAGCCGTCGCAAACACCTGGAAGAGTCGACAGGGTGAACAGAGACAACACCACTTCCAGAACGAGGTCTGATCAGCAATGTCCAAAGTTGGAAGTCCCACCTGGGTACTGTCCAATCATCAGAAATTCGATTCGGCTGCCAAGCCAAGATTTCAGATTTCGCCACTGCCAAGGCCAGTTGCAAGGCCTACAAATTTTGATCTCAGCCACAGTCGCAGCTTTCTGCATTGTGGTCTCTGATCGTGGCTGAAAGTTGAGGTTCGCATGCCGCACGGATTAACCCCCACACCGAAAAGTTCGTTTGGTGGGGAGCTTGTCAAGAAAAATTTCTGGAGATTCAAATAGACAGAGCTTCCAAAGCAGCGGTTTTTGCGCGACAACACTCATACGACACATTGCGCACACACAACCGACACAATGGGCAAAATCGACTTTCTGCTGCATGAGTCAGCACTCGGCTATGCCATCTTCAAGGTGGTGCACCAGCAGGACACTGTTGGTCTGCACCTGAAGGAGGTGCAGCAAGCTGGTCAAGATCTTGCGAAATTCGGCAAGATGGTCCAATTGGTCAATTTTGCGCCCTGGAGGTGAGCTCAATTGCAGTTTTTGGTTCTTTCGTGCTCTCTGAATATTGACATAGTCGAATAGAAATGCTGCCGACGCGCTAGAGAACATTAATCTCATCTCGGAGGGCATCCTGCCCGACTATCTCAAGTCCGACCTCGAACTGAACCTGCCGCAAGCGAAGAAGAGCAAGATCGTGCTTGGCGTTGCCGACAAGAACCTGGCTGGATCCATCAAGGCCGAATTCCCCAGCGTCGAGTGTGAAACCGGCGACACATCCGAGGTTGTTGCCGATCTTCTGCGTGGTGTTCGACTGCACGCCGCCAAGCTGCTCAAGGGTCTCGAAGAGGGCGATGTTGAGCGGGCACAGCTTGGCCTGGGCCACGCCTACTCGCGAGGTAAGGTCAAGTTCAACGTCCACAAGAACGACAACCACATTATCAAGGCTATTGCGACACTCGACAACCTTGACAAGGGCATCAACTTGTTTTCGCAAAAGGTTCGTGAATGGTACGGATGGCACTTTCCCGAGCTCTATAGCATTGTATCGGACAACCTGGGTTACGCAAGAATGGCTCTGTACATCGGCGACAAGTCCAGCTTGTCCGAGGACAAACTTCACGAGCTGGCCGCGTTGGTTGGTGAGGACGAGGACAAGGCGTCTGAGATCATCAACAAGGCCAAGATCTCCATGGGACGCGAGATCTCCAGCGTCGACATGGACAACATCTCGTCATTTGCCGGTCGCGTCGTGAAGCTGGCCGAGTACCGTAAGACGTTATACAGCTATTTGGTCGACAAGATGGATATGGTAGCTCCTAACCTGGCCACTCTTATTGGAGAGGTCGTTGCTGCCCGCCTGATCCAGAAGGCTGGTTCACTCACGAATCTGTCAAAGTACCCTGCATCCACCCTTCAGATCCTCGGTGCCGAGAAGGCCCTCTTCAGAGCCCTGAAGACCAAGGGCAACACGCCCAAATTTGGTCTCATCTATCACAGCACGTATATCGGACGTGCCAACCCCAAGGACAAGGGCCGCATCTCCCGATACCTCGCCAATAAGTGCAGTATCGCCGCAAGAATTGACAACTTCGCCGAAAACCCGTCCAAGAAGTTCGGCGAGGCTCTTCGGTCACAAGTTGAGGACCGTCTAGAGTTCTACGCTACCGGCAAGAAGCCCAAGAAGAATGAAGACGCGATGGTGAGTGTATCTGTCCGCTTTTGTTACCTTTGCATGCTAACAATCCCGCCAGGCCAAGGCAATGGAGGATGTGCTTGCGGACGGCGGATCAATGGCCATTGACACTGATATGATCGACGACCCACTTCCCGCCACCGCTGTGACTGCTGCCACCGAGGAGAAGAAGTCCAAGAAAGTCAAGAAGGAGAAGAAGGACAAGAAGGAAAAGAAGCGCAAGCACAGCGATGTTGGCGTCGAAGAACCTGAAGCAGTAGACGGCGAAAAGAAGAAGAAAAAGAAGAAGAGACAATCTGAAGTCTCCGTTGCTTAGGAAGCCGATGATGATGAGGAGCCCGATGTCGAGACTGCACTGGATTCGGCACTGCTAGAGAAGGATCTCAGCGATGGTATGGCCATGGCCGCTCGTTCTCCTGTCAAGAAAGACAAGATGCGAAAGGTCAGCCATGTTATTGCGCCCGTCGAACCTGAACTGGTCCACCATGGGAAGAAGCACAAGAGCAAGAAGTGAAAGGTCGGTGATGTACTGGATGCTGACGAAACTGAGCCGGCCCCTAGTGGGAAGCAGAACAAGACGCAAAAAGTCAGCAACGTCAGTGGAGCTGCCGACCCTTGCCGTGGTTCACAGTGACAAGAAAAAAAAGCCGTCATCGGTTGAGGCGTCGTTTGGAATCTTGCTGGAATGCTCTCAGTGCAGACCTCAGCGCGGGCTCAATTCTGATTTACTCCTTGTTTGTGGGATGATGATATGCGGATTACGCAAGGCTCGGCGTTTTGGTAATGGCGGTTTTTGTACATTGATGGGCTCATACCCGTTGTTTCCTGCTTGCACTGTGACGTTCAACTTTATTTCGGCGAATAGGAGTAGCGAAATTGATCACTGTTAATAAATTTCGTCATGCACCCTTGGCCGGACATTGATGCAAGTAAAGCTGGGCCGTCTGCCAGCTGCACTGTTGACTTGATTGCTGATGTGGCAAATAGTACACTGTTGAGGAAAAACTGATTGTATGATACAGATCGACTTACATCCATGTCCACGCCTTCCAACGCTTCTGCGACGATCTCCTCATTATTGTTCACCACGTTCCCCATGGTGCCTTCTTACACCTCATTCATCTTATCTCCCCCTGCAGCTTGACCCATCTGATCCATATCCACGACGGCATCCCCGAGCTTCCCTTCCGCTCGACCTCGCGTCGATCGACGGGCTGAGGGTTGTCGACAAGTGAATTACGCCATGACGAGTAGTATTGCACGCCTTACCCAAGAAAACGGGCCTGATTATGAGCGCGGCCGACGGGATGGTGGGTGACGATGGGGTTCTTCATATAGTCGGGCTCCGCGTCGTGCTCCTACCCTAGGGATACCAAGTCCCTCATACGCTGAATGGGAGGGCTTCTACTGCTCTAGATAGATACCGGCTGTGTTTCTGATGCCAGGAACGGGAGTGTCTGGACGCCAAGGATAGTCTTGAAGTCTGGTGCCATGGGAGGATAGGGTGGGTTTGGGGCGCACCCATGTACTTGTGGTCGCAGGGAAGGCGTGCAGTGCAGTGTAGGACGTCTTGGTTGACACCGAACTGCTCCTAGGCGTGGTCGACCGATGCCGTAGGGGGTTGGAAACTCCTGATGGAATTCTGGTCCTCATTCCGTTCATATTTGATAGTGACGTCGCCAGGCGCTACATCAGGAGGTGCAAGGCTCTGTTGTTTGCTATCGCCTTGGTGTCGTATGTGGAGATGAAGTACTTGAGCCGAGTCGGCTTCGGGTGTGACATGAAGGCGCCGAGTTGGTTTGGATTGGTAACTCGGTCGGGGTAGGTGTCGTAGCCGCTGGTGGTGATAGCCATGTAACTACGGGGCGCATTAGTAGTGATGACCCATTCATGTTCGCAGTGTCACAAGCGAATTTATATCCACCTCGAGTGCATGCATCGAAACTCGATTACTCTGTTGCCGCACCGAACGGCACACGTGGCCTTCTATACCCAATGAGAAATCATCGACCTCTAACATCTCCAGTATGAAGAATTTCAATCGCGAGAAGGAATATGCGCAATTCTATTTACACAGCTAATGGCTATGAGCGCTCCTAAAATATGAACATAAATATAGGAATTTATCTGAAAGACTTCTGTGATAGTTGTGTCGTATTAATTGTAGACAGAATGCATCGATTCTCACATCGAGATAAGTTTCAGTCATAGATTTAAAGCAAGTACCAAGGCTTGATCCAGCCCAGACCATAGCAGAAAACCCAGCTGTTACCCGCGGGACATTTGCAGGCGAGTTTGGCTGAGTAAGGTAATAGAAGTAAGTCTCAAGACGAGGCTGTGTGCATCGGCGAGTACAAATTCCTACGAAGTGCCCGCGGTTAAACATCATCTAAGAACCATCAAGAGCGACGCAATTCTCGTCGGCATCCAAGCGCTTCTACATCATGTCGCAGATAGTTACTACTCTATAGAGACTGAAGGTTTAGAATGATTTCTATTATTAGACTCGGACGAAACAGGGTATACCTAGTCGACCAGACACCCTGTCCTTCCACCGCATGAAAATCCCACGCGCGGGTTAAGCACACTTCGGGCCTCTCCAAAGTCTATTTTGACGACTCTTAGACCTTATAACACCATTAAGATTTCGCTATCTAGATGGTATTAGTAAGTTCCGACCGGTCCGGCCCTTGTTGCAGTCTCCCATAACCAACCGGCAAGATAATGAGCCAATATAGACCAGTTTGAGCAACCACTCAGGTCGCCTCATAGCTCTTATGCCGAAATGCAGGTGTGGCTGGAGAAAAATAGACTCGAACCGGTCCGTTTTCGCCGCACCCATATCTTTGGGATCGGCTCGTCTCTTATTCAGCCCCGGACAGTCTGGGGCGCGCGCCGACGGTGTGTCTGGATTAGATGAGCTGGAGGTAGCATTGCTTTTCATCCAAAGTTCTGTATCCCAGTAAGTAGCCGCTGCCTGAACAGCAAATCACTACTAATCCGCCCAACATGGCGTGATGAAATGACCGTCATCATGCAGTGTCTTCATAGTAAAAAGAGTCTCGACTAGAGGCGGCTGAGTGACAAGCGCGTGAATTAGCGATCATATTTGGTTGATGGGGGGTTTAGTCGTGGATTCCTTCCAATTCATATCGATGCTATTTTCAGAACTCATCGCGTATTGGCAAAAGGCTACAAAATCAAGTTAGGCGAGCTTCACTAAGGCGGATATATAAAGCCCCGTCGTTCTCTTCGTATCTAACCCTCAGTCCAACATCTTCTATCAATCGCTGCTATAATTCCATCATTGAGCTTCACCTACAAGCACAAAGCATTACCTCTATCACACCATACAGGAATAGAACCCATTTTACGCATCTTCACTTTCAATAATCCAAAATAATCACCATGTCCACCAAATCCTTGCTCGTCGCTCTCGTCATGGGCTCAACTGCCTTCGCCATGCCTGCCCCAAGTGAAGCCAACGACGCCACAAAGCGAGCCATCTTCGCTGGGAAAGGGGGCGGTGTTGGCGGTCTTGAAAATGGGGGCTTAGACAGTATCATGTCGCAGTTCTGTGACGGTATAAAGGGGCTGGGAGTTGGGGGTGGCGGACAAGGCCAAGGGGGACAGGGACAGGGACAAGGCAGCCAGGGACAAGGCGGCCAGGGACAAGGTGGTCAGGGGCAAGGTGTGGGTGGGTTTGAGGGGATGTGTCAGCAGTACTTGGGAGGAAAGCAGGGTGGGGGACAGCAAGGCGGTGGACAAGTAAGCTCTTATTCTTTTCCGGATCTTGAGTCTCATGGCACATTACAAGCCTTGAATTATCCAAGCATTTTGAGTTTTGTTTCACACACCTGTGCTGACTGAATTATAGCAGGGAGGAGGTGCTGGTAAAGGAGGAGGTGCTGGCCAAGGAGATGCCGGTCAAGGGGGAGGTGCCGGTCAAGGGGGAGGCGCTGGCCAAGGAGGAGGTGCTGGTCAAGAAGGAGGTGTTGGTCAAGGAGGAGGTGCTGGTAAAGGAGGCGCTGGTCAAGGAGGAGGCGCTGGTCAAGAAGGGGGCGCTGGAAAAGGAGGAGGCGCTGGTCAAGAAGGGGGCGCTGGTCAAGGAGGTGTTAGTCAAGGAGGAGGCGCTGGCCAAGAAGGGGGAGCCGGTAAAGGAGGAGGCGCTGGCCAAGAAGGGGGAGCTGGTAAAGGAGGAGGCGCTGGTCAAGGAGGCGCTGGTCAAGAAGGGGGAGCTGGTAAAGGAGGAGGCGCTGGCCAAGAAGGGGGAGCTGGTAAAGGAGGAGGTGCTGGTCAAGGAGGAGGCGCTGGCCAAGAAGGGGGAGCTGGTAAAGGAGGAGCCGCTGGTCAAGGAGGTGCTGGTCAAGAAGGGGGAGCTGGTAAAGGAGGAGGCGCTGGCCAAGAAGGGGGAGCTGGTAAAGGAGGAGGTGCTGGTCAAGGAGGAGGCGCTGGCCAAGAAGGGGGAGCTGGTAAAGGAGGAGGCGCTGGTCAAGGAGGAGGCGCTGGCCAAGAAGGGGGAGCTGGTAAAGGAGGAGGCGCTGGTCAAGGAGGAGGCGCTGGCCAAGAAGGGGGAGCTGGTAAAGGAGGAGGCGCTGGTCAAGAAGGTGTCGGGGCGGGGGTTGGCGGTGCTGGAGAAGGTGGTGCTGAAGGAATCTGATATCATCAGTCTTCTGTTTACTATAATCTTCTCTCCACCCTGCCTTAAGTTTAACAAATCTCTTGCGTAGATCTGAGTTACACTAAGTGTGCCACTGATTGAAAGACTTGTAATCATGTGTTCTCTTGTGGAATGATGACTCGATGACTCAAGTCTCATAGTTCTTATAGCTAAACTTCACTTTGAGTTGAACCACATACGTAAGACTAGAGGAGAAGATGGTCGGATCATTTTGGACGTGAAAATGGAGCTCGTTTCATGCTGTGTTGATCGTCTTGGGGAAGGAGCCCAATACAGTCAATACTTTGAGATGACACACAAAAGCCGTCGCCAGCTCTTTGGGAGGATCTCGGTTGATGACGCAAATTTAGTTGTGGTTCCATACGACAAAGCTATAATTCGCTGGAGCAAGCAAATTAAGCGCAATGGACTATGAAAGACGGATATGGATAACCCAGAAGTTTATCAGTATGTCTCAGCTTGTCGGCCTACAGAATTTATCCCCATACATATGATCCAAAATATAGGCTCCCGAACAACAGTGTCTTTGAACCAACTGAGAGCTGATTAGCAGGTTGGCAATATGTCAAGTCAAACCAGCAAAGCACCCCAGTTTTCAATTTCGTCTCTTCTCCCAAACCGAAGAACTCGCAGAACCCCCCCCCCCCCAGAGATTCTAGGAATCCACTAGCATTTCCATCTGAAGGTCCTAGGTCTCTGACGGAGGAATAAGATACTGCTCGACATCGACAGGATTTCTCATGGTTGAATCCCCTAGTAATGTCTTGCAGCATGTCTCTATAATAAATTTGATGGACCTGACTAGTGTCCCCTCGCATGAGCCCGACGAGCAAGATGTGGATGACTGGCCGGAGGAGGACGTGACGGACGATTAATCGAACAACTCGGCGCCCTTCGCATTTCTTCATGACGTCAGAGGTTCGGACGGGGCAGATACCAACCCCAACGACTCTTGTTAGTATTCACCGCTATCGCCACGGTCACAGAAGTCCTGCGAACTGTCTCGGATCTCAGAGCCAACATGATTGACGAATACCGTGAATGGATGGGAGCTGAAGAGTATGTCTCCCGTGTATAAAACCCAAGTAGCGCACCTGGCATGTTACGAGGGATAGTACCGCAAACGAGAATCAATGCATGTTCAATAAGTACACCAGTCGTGACGACGAGCAGAAATAACCCCTGATTGCTGTACCGCTGGTTTCAGGGCGACGTCATCTCGCCGCCACTGGATGCGTTGGTCCAGCGTTCAATCAGCTAATCTCCTCTGCATGCTTTCATCTTTGTAACCAGCTTAGAGTCCAATAAAGGTCCCTTGGTTAGATGCAGGAATGTAAATTCGTGTTATCCACGCTAACAGCTGGTGCCTGGGTCATCTGCAGCGTTTATTGAACCTGAAAGTCTTGATATAGGACGGCCGTACCACTTACACCACGGTGACAGGACAGCGAGCAAACACTACGCGCCCATCACCGACTATTACAGCTTGGCCCATGCTCTGACAGAACCGCCGTTTCCTCCTGACAGAAACAGGGACACTCTGGGGCTCAAATAAATATTCCCCCTGGAATGACCCCCCAAACCCGACAGAGATTTACTTGAAGAATGTTGCAGAATATGTTTTTTGCTGGATTGGCGAATCGGGACAATGCAAATATACGCCGCTTCATCGATGAGATATGGATGGCAATATCGCATCCTGTACGACCTCAGAGACGCCATCAATAGCGCGGGGGAGAAAAGGCCGAATACTCCATCCGGGTCGACACCTTTGGCGATAAGCGGACGGTGGTGAAACGCCGCGCCCGTACAAACCACCCGCCGGATGATACAACGAGTATTTATGGATCCGGAGATTATCTTGGCTTGATCTGATTTTTAAAATCAGATGGTGGGTTTGTCCCTGAACCGCTTATCGGAACAGTTCAGGGGGTATTCAAGCTATCATCGACACCATTCGTGATCCCTCCATGAATGTCTTTGACATCGCATCCAGACTGAATATTAATGAGACCTTCACATAAAGGTTGCGGGAAAGCTGGAACTCTTAAACTGCGCATTGGACATTCACGATGACCAGCTATTGGAATGGGATGACATAGTCCTTCCTTCATTCCCTGATGCACAGTGGCAGCAGTGGTTTCCTAAAGGGCAATAGGGATGAGTAAAATCGTGGGCATGAATTAAGACTGTTAGAAGTAATGTTATTACGAATATGAAGTATTTCTAAACGGTAACATCCTTGTCACTAAATATTTTTGATTAAAACCAGCCTATATAGCTTCTACGTAAATCAAATAATTGTAGGACTAGCAGCTTTTACGGTATAAGAGAGAATAATCACACTATCATTAATATTAGTTGAAGAGCGACAGTGGAATTCTATAATGAAGTTTTTCGGATAAAAGACTAACTATAAATAACTTATCGCCTTCGACAGTAGCTCCAAGCTGTTACAGTGTTTAGAGAAATAAGCAAGCAGTCGATAGAATATACACAATACTAATTCTAAAGCGTCTAATGAGCTACCCGAGTATTGCGATTTGGTAGAGGCTAGCACAGGCTGTCTTAGTCTATTACTCCCGTTTCTCAAGTCTAAGTGCCCGGACAGAGGTAGGTTTCAAGTTGTACAAGACGGAATGAGTCAATACTACGAGTTTTCAGATGGATAATAAAAAATACTGTGCAGGTGAATATGAGACCGAAGTCTCGAGGATAACATAACAGCTTCCTGACGTATCAATTTGCTTGAACTTACACTATAACCGCCGGTAACAACATCCATTCTCCCAGCTCATCCCATCCAAACCCAGCCACACAATCTACTCCAGCATGGTAAAAACTTTGAGCACTCACTCCTCACTAGGCATCTTAGACTTGGCGACATTCTTCCACCACTTAAACCGCTCCTTAACATTAATCCACGATAACAGCCCCGCAAATCCCAAACCCTTCCCCCCACCGGTCCTCGGCTTCGCGATCTTGCCCCGGGCAACATAATCATTCACCGATGCATGGATCTCGGCGTTGGCGGGGATGTCGCGCGCTCTTCCCAGGTTGGGGTACCGGCGCAGAACCCACTTGCCGTCCTCGAGCTCGTGCCGCGTGAAGATAGGAAGGATTTCGATGATCCACCAGAAAAGCGTCTTAACAACGCTGGAACCGGCCCCGATAGTGAGGGAGTGGTGGGGCGTTTCGGCGGGTCGGAATTTGGGCATTATGAGCCAGCCCAGTGCCCAGATGATCCAGCCGAAGATGTTGCTGGGTCTGTAGTCTTTGGTTTCCCGGTGGCCGAGGAATTTTTCATAGTTGCGGCGGAATGTGAGCTTGACAGGGGTATCGGGGACTGATGGGGATGAGGTCAATGACTAGGTCCAGAGCGTGTTGAGTTGACTTCAGTCAGAGTTAGCAGCACTAGGTGTATACTTACTATTCTGCACCTCTTCGAGCATCCACTGCAACGGCTTGTCCGACAACAAGCCCATCTCTCCCACCTCGATGGACCACCCACCCCCAACATCGGAGTGATCGCCTGCAAACCAGAGCTCTTTGAGCGTCTTGTTGTGTTCATCGCGGAAATCGGGGTCGGTCAAGAACAGCGCGGGCTTGAACTTGACGCGCTGCTCGTGGATTGACACAGCGTGGCGGATGTGCCGGGCTGGGGCTGAGGCCAGATAAGGGCTTGTTATGCGGAACAAGGGGACCTCGAACTGTCCCACTGAGTTGACGCAGTCGAAGAGCCCTAGGAAGTGCACCAGTACGCCTGAACGGCAGAAGGTGTGCGAGAATTTCTTCACTGGGAGATCAGGTCAGCTGATATCAGGCTTGTTGGAGGGAGATGGGGTACGTGGCGTACTGTATGATAGGAGGTGCTTTTGCTCCTTGGTATTCTTCACGGGGTTCTTCTCACATCTTTGGTATGCGCTGTACTGCACCTCTGAACTCAGAAATTACTCGTCGAGGTCATATTTGAAAGAAGAAAAGGGGGTTTCCTAATTGTGCAAACAAAGTACTTACCGTTTCCCACGCAAAGTGTATCACTGCAAACACCCGAATCAGTCATCAGCTTCAGAGTAAGGGTTTAGACTTGACATCAACTCACTCTCCTCGTTTCCCTGGGACAGCAACCCCAAGTCATGAATCATCTCGGCCAGGAACCGTGCCGTATAGGCACCACGCGAGAAGCCAAAGATATACAGCTGGTCCCCTTCGCAATAATGCTTCATAAGAAACTTATAGCCCGCAAGCAAGTGGTCGACGAACGAAGTCCCGATCGCCTGGTCCACAGCTGAGACGATGGACGCTCTGAAGCCGCCTGCCAGAGTGGATGCCGATGAGAGCGAGCCGTCTTTACCGTATGTACCGATGCCGGCTGGTGGTTGGTAATGCACTGGTTAGAGAGAGCCAAGTCCAAAGAGAGAGAAGAGGGGTTTTAAGAGGTGATGGTGAGAAGAGTGTACACACGCTGGTAGTAATGGAACTGATTTGGATCTTGCCGGTCCATCATTCGGTACAGCTTGACAATATTCGTGTCCGATTCGGTGCCCGTGAATTTGTTGCCCGTGCCGTCGAAGCACATGATGACCCGTCTTTGCTTGCCGGAAGCGGACGACGGGACGCCGTTCGTCTGAGCGGCGGCATGTTCGTTGTGAGACATGACTACACTGGGTGAGATCTGTACACCAGCTTGACGTCTTTGGAGAGTGAACTTGTTGGCTGGGGTAGAAAGGGTTGACTGAACAGATATTGACAGCCATATAAGTTAATGCCAGGAGGGAAAGAGCAATCGGGGGATCGATTTAGTCGGTCGTTTATAAGTGGTCATTCCCTGACCTAGTTTCTTAGAATGAACGATTCACGAGCCCTTCTGAAATGTGATGGTTCTAAGACAGCAAGGTAAGTTCCCGGCAACATTTCCTTCGATCTACTCGCTTTCCCCAAACTGGATAGTTGAGTACGACGTATAGGCGGCACCTAAGTGATGATGTCATATCTCGTCTCCAATGAGTGCCCAGACACTGTAGCTCAGCATTTACAGAGTTCCGAGTCGATTCCACAAACAACTCGTGAGGGCACTACTTCCCCTCCGTCAACGTCCCAATTGGTCCTCTCCAGGTATCGAACCCCAATCACGCAACACCAACATACACGCTACAGCCTGTTATGCAGACATTATTGGTTTGGAGACTCATGTACTGTTACCACCACCGGCAATCATCGAAGCTGGTTTCTTCAAGCTCGGTACATTCTGGTATTACTAACACAGTGATGTAAACGGATGCCGCGGACGGCCACGCACTGTTATAAACGAAGGATCATTCATGAACGAGTGTTTGGTATATTCCACGACGGGGTGTACCTAAGGTTAGATAAACTGCGAATGTGACCTTGAGGGACAATCAAGGGCCCTCCAACAAGCCATTCAACGAACATACTTTATTGAAGCCTTCTGAGGCCGATTGCGAAGGTTTCGCCGCATAAGCACGACCTTGACACAAACGCGGGGTGTCTCTCATTTAGCGCGCCGCAGTGAGACTTTATCCAACGGCCTCATAGAATGTAATGCAGACAACCACACTTCCAACACGCGCCGGGGCCATAGCTGTCGGCTGCCAAGACACGGCAGCTCTGGCTTCTCGTAGACGACTTCTGAGTGGCTGGCATCATGCTCGGTTTGTCTTTGGGAAGACAACTATTTGTTTACTGAGACTCTGTGTGCCGAATCCGGTGTTATGTGAGCTCGCAATGCTGGGTAACGTTGTATGAGGTGTCCCCCGGCCTGTTGGGGAACGAAACTATACTCCAATAGCTTAGCTACTTGTCCATGTCTGTGCGACATCAAGTTGATATTCTTTTGGGGGTCAGTGATGCAAGCGCACTCATCTGGAAACAATAGTCTCCCACGCGTATCAATTATTTGACCAACAATTACAGTGAATCTGATTGGCTCAGGGAAGTTGCACCAGCCAATGTGGTGCAAATCGACGCGCGAAATTCCCAGTTGCCTTACAGATGTGCAAGACACTTATGCTAGAAAATGCAGTATGCACTTGCACCGGCAAGGGCCGTGTGTGGTCGTCCTGAGCACGGACTTGTAGTATAAATGACCGGGCTGGCCTACTAGCCTATAGCGTAGATAGCCAGCCGAGGTGTTGCAAACCAACCCTATCGATATTCGAAGAGCAGAATTCTACATGAAGCATTCACGGTGTTTTCGCATGTATCGGCTCGGGATGCAGAGCCAGCGAGGTTTCCGTTTCAGTTGGCACGACAGTCTTCTGCGAACATCGATGCGTTTTGGAACCGTCTCAAGTAGCGCACAATTTCGTGGGGGTTGGCAGTCGATAATCGGATCCCGGGTAGTACATAGCATACCAGATCATCTGAGACACAAATAGCCAGGGCCAAATAGCACAACTCAATCGTATCTACTCTCTGTTTTGTATCCCACCGGGCACAGGTACGAGGTATGACAGTAAGACCTCGATCCTCATCGTGTACGCCACGCGATAGAATTGAACTGGTCTGAATAAACTTACATCGAGATCGTCCTCGGCGGTACGCTGGCGTGAAATTACGTGTTAGGCACATTTTCTACGGGTAAGGGCATACAATGGTATGGCTGGCTCAACACAACGTCTTGAATGCGTAATACAATGGCTCACAGCCGTACCAACGACCGCTGGGACCGACAAGGATCGACGGTAAAGCACAACAATATGCGGATACGCGAATAAATGCGAGGATATGTCGTGTTGTTTCCGGATGGTGCCTCGACGACAGGAACCTGCCGACTATCTGCTTGTGAGGCAAAAGGGGAAAGGCAACGATGTAAAGGGGTTTGTAGTCGGTACACCATTCAAATAAATCTGCGAGTAGGGACAATACATTGTTTTAAAAGGGCAGCCTTTCGAACGGAAAAGTTGGAATGAGAAATACCCTAACACCCTTGTTTCCACCCGGATCAAGTTGATAAAGACGAATCTCAAGGAGAGCCTCTTATACAAGCTTTGCAACGGTTGCTCTTTTGACCCAACAAGCCAGCACTATGCTCACGTATAACGTCGCCAAAAAGCTTCTTGATAACACAGAGCAGGCTAAACCAAACTCCAGTGCCAATGCCAATGACAATGCTGAGAGTAACGACAATGCCAGCACCAATACCAACCCTCTCGCAAACTTGAATCCCCTCGACAAGGCTAATCCTCTGGCCAAAATTAACCCCCTGGCAAATGACACTCCCCTTGCCAAACTCAACCCCCTGGCAAATGACAATCCCCTCGCCAAAGTCAATCCTCTCGCAAACGGCAACCCAGTTGCCAAACTCAACCCCCTCAACAACATTACCAATGGCGGGGCTACGAATGGCCAAACGGCTACTCCGTATGAGGCAGGCGAGTCCTTCGGGGATTTCCAGGCTGCATCCACGGGCCTGCTGAATGACCTGACATCGACGGGGCTCGGAGGAATTTTCGAAGCGGCGCAAGCTTTGCTCACGACGCTTGAGGAGAAGAACAAAGCAGAAGATGACAAGTTAATGACGGTGCGATACTTTCCCGAACTTCCCCTACTTCGCCTTTTGGCCCAGCCTTGTAATGATCTGGAGTATGACTATGAGAACAGGCTGCTAATTCATAAGGAACATGCAGATGGAAAAGTTGATGGCCTTCATGACCAAGATGCCGAGAACATCCAAGACACGTCATGAGTTGTCGATGAAGACGATTGACAAGCTCTGGAACAGCATGCAGCACCCTCCCCTGAGCTACCTGGGGGACAAGTACAAGTACCGAACGCCGGATGGATCATACAACGTAAGTGAACCGCCCGCCTATTCAACAAGTTTGAAGCGCTTCTCTAAGACTTGAACTGACCGCGAGTTCAACCCTGAAAGAATGTTCTCAACCCAAGCCTCGGACAAGCCGGCACCCCATACGCAAAGACGGTGAGGAGTGAGAAGAAACTAGCGGGAGTAAAGCCAGATGCCGGGATGTTGTTCGACCGTGAGCGTCTACTTGAGTGCCCTGAGCAGCTAAATATTGAGCGGATTTACTGATCTTTGGGTATTGTGTGTCAGTTCTCCTGGACCGAGACATGGGAGAATTCAAGGAAAACCCCGCCGGTCTCTCCTCAATGCTGTTTTACCACGCCACCATCATAATCCACGGTAAGTCCATCCTCATATCCTCCTTCACCAATCCGACCAAAATACTAACACATTCCACAGACATCTTCCGCACGAGCCGCATCGACCATAACATCTCGGAAACAAGCTCCTACGTCGATCTCGCCCCCCTCTATGGCTCCAGCCTCAAAGACCAACAAAAGATCCGCACGATGTCCCGCGGCCTCCTCAAACCCGACACCTTCCACGAGAAGCGTCTTCTGGGCCAGCCACCCGGTGTCAACGTCCTCCTAGTGCTCTACAGCCGCTTTCACAACTACGTCGCCGAGATGCTGCTCCAGATCAACGAAGACGGCAAGTTCGCACTCGGCCCCTACGACACCGACGAGGAGAAAACCAAGGCCATCTTGAAGCAAGACAATGACCTGTTCCAGACGGCTCGGCTTGTGGTGGGCGGGCTGTACGGTAATATCGCGCTGCACGATTATTTAAGGGGGTTGACGAATACGCACGCCACGACGTCGGACTGGACGCTGGATCCCCGTCTCGTGGGAACCACGTACTTCGACCACGACGGCGTGCCCCGCGGCGTCGGGAACCAAGTCTCCATCGAGTTCAACCTGCTATACCGATTCCACTCTGCCATTTCGCAGCGGGATGAGAAATGGCTTATTGACTTCTTCAACAATGATGTGTTCCCGGGCAACACAAAGCCATTGCATGAGTTGGATCCGCGCGAATTCATGGACGGATTGTTTCGGTTTGAAGCTTCAATTCCCCTTGATCCGGAGAAGAGGGAGTTTGGCGGGTTAAAGAGGGGGGAGGATGGCAAGTTTAGAGATGAGGATTTGGTGAGGATTCTGAAGGAGAGTATCGAGGACCCTGCTGGGGCGTTTGGAGCGAGGACTATTCCCAAGGCGTTGAGGATGGTGGAGGTCTTGGGGATTTTGCAGGCGAGGAAGTGGTGAGTGACCCCTTTTTCTTTCTTTCTTTTCTTTTTTACTTCTCTCCTCAAGCTCCCACCCCCGCTCCTCGGCTTTCTCCTTTCCTTCTTCTTCTTCTTTTCTTTTGGACATTGCGACTAAATCGTTATTAGGGGTTGTGCATCACTCAATGAGACGCGAGACTTCTTCAAGCTCAAGCGCCACCAGACGTTCGAGGATGTCAATCCGGACCCGGAGATTGCTGGCATTCTGCGGAACTTGTATACACACCCGGACATGGTTGAGATGTACCCGGGCATGTTTATCGAGGCCGCGTTCGTAACCCTGTATAGACATCCTTCACGGAGGTCATACTGACCATCGAGTAGGAAACCTGCCATGAATCCCGGATCGGGAGTCTGTCTCCCGTACACAGCTAGCCGGGCCGTTTTCTCCGACGCCGTGACTCTGGTTCGGTCCGACCGCTTCCTAACTCTTGTAAGTGCCTTCATGTTTCAGTTTCTCTCGTTCACCAGAATGAACCGCTGGACATGAACTGAACGTAGAACAGGACTTCACGGTCGATACCTTGACCAACTGGGGCTTGGCCGAAGTGACCCAAGACTATGACACGTGAGATTCACTTTCCACTCTCTCTTCGGAATCACGATCTAACCATGTTCATGTACCCACAGTCTCGGCGGCTCCATGTACTATAAATTAATCCAACGTACCGTGCCCGGCTGGTTCCCCTACAACTCCCTACACGTAATGCAACCGCTCTTCACCCGTGCCCGCAACGAGCAAATCGCCCGCAGCAACGGCACCATTGACCTCTACACTCTCGACGATCCCGCTCCACCACGCCGCCGCGTCATCCTCACCAAGTACGACACCGTCATGAAGGTTTTGACGGACTCGACCACGTTCCGGACCCCCTGGACACCTGGGATCCGGGCCGCAGTGCCCGACCGCGACTTGACTGCGTTTATGGTCTTTGGCGACGGGGAGGCGAATGTGGCGAGTCGAAAGACGCTGGCGAATATTATGAGGCGGTGTGGGGACGTGGTTGAGTTGACCACGGGGTTTGTGAAGGAGTTTGGGGCCGAGTGCTTGAAGGCGGCAACATTTCATATGACCAAGACGTTGGATCAGGTTGATATTATCAGAGAGTAAGTTTACAACAATCCGTACTTGTTCGACGGCTGTTGATGATAATAATGGCTGACACGAAAATAACAGCGTCGCTATACCCGTCAACGCCCGTTTAGTGGCCGACATGTACTGCCTCGACCTGATCACGGATGAGAACCCCTCGGGCACTATATCGAACAGTGAGATGTACAAGCTACTAATGGACCTACGCGTATGGTCCTTCTTGAACGTCGACGAGGCCCTGAAATGGAATCGTCGCCGCTGGGCCCAACAGGCGGCCGCCAAGCTGACTCGCACCACGACGCAGCTTTCGAGTACCGTGCTGCACGAGCAAAATTGTCTGTTCGGCGCCCTGAACCCGCATCTGTTTGGGTTGCATGTCGATCGGCCCAATAAGACTAAGCCGGGGTCTATGCGTGAGTACGGTCGTAGATTCGTGACGGAGCTGGTGCAGACGGCGGGAAAGACGCCCGAGGAGACGGTGGATTTGCAGTGGTTGATGGCGTATGGGGGGATAGGGGGGCCGGTGACGCAGGTGAGGTTATTCAGACGACCCAAACCCAAACCCAGACCCGACCCAGACCAGCCAGTGCTGTTCTCTGTTTTCCAAAAACTGTTTCTCAGCATGACCATCTCCTTTCTACTCCCTTTTATTGTTATCCCAAACGTACTGACAGTCTCGACTTTGTTGCTTGCAGTTCGCACAAGTCCTCGAATTCTTCTTCCGCCCCGAAAACCAAGTCCACTGGGTCCGCCTGCAAGACCTCGCCGCCTCCAAGGACCCCAGCTCCGACGCCACCATCCGCAGCTACGTGCTCGAGGCCTGGCGTCACGTCGGGCGCGGCAAGGTTCTCCGCGTTTGCGCCAAGCCCACCACCATCAACGACCAGAAGTTCGAGCCGGGGGATGCGGTCGTTTCTCTGCTCGTACGTCCACGTCTAACTCCCCTCCAAGCTTCTTCATGTTACTGTGAGTTGTAGTTGTTATGGCGCTAATTTTATTGTGATATATTAGGGTGAGGCACTCCGCGACCCCACCGCCGAACCCATAAGCGACCCAGAGGCTTTCCTCCCCGGACGGCCTAAAGAGGCATATCGGTTCTACTTTGCTGGTCAGCACACGTGCTTGGGTGATACCATCTCCACTGCTTACAGCACGGCTTTGATTCGTCTTGTGGCCGGTTTGAAGGAATTGCGTCCCGCGCCTGGAGAGATGGGAGAGCTCAAGTCCATTTTTGTTGGCGGGGACCAGATGTATCTAAGTGAGAACTGGGCGTACTTGACGTCTGATCCGACTAGTATGTTTTCTTTGACCCTTTTCCGTTTTTCTTCGTCTTTTCCCCTTTCTTACTTTTAAACATTCGTATTGAGTCTTTATCTCTCCGCAAGCAATCTGGTACTGACATCGGTGCTACAGCCTGGAAACTGCACTACAGCGGCAAAGGAAAAGGAGTATACCAACCGCCCGCCACGGCGCCGCTCACGGGAAGGGCCCTGGAGGAAGCTATCCAGGACTGGGCCAGGGAACACATGAAGGCCAAGCGGAAAGCGGCGGAAGATGGGACATTTGAGACCAATACCATTTGACACGTCTTTGGCTGTGAGGCGATGAAATTGCAGGTTCAAGTCAAAACAAGTTGAAAGAAGTACATGGCTTGATAACAATACTAGTCTAGCAGAGTTAGAAGGAAGTAGCTAATCTGGCACCGTTTGTTTCATGATTGAATAGTGGTCTGTGACAAGATAGCAAGCCCGTAGGGTAGGTGAGGGCAAAGCCTGGTACAATGAAATATCGGATGCAACTGATAACTCGATGAACTGAAACATGCCAAAGTAGACGTGGGTGGATCCATGCGTCCTCAACAGCTGTGGCATTATATGTATGGGCCTAGATAGTTAGTTGGAAGTAGTGACAAGCTTTCAGCGGCGTCCAGAGCCCGAGGTTTCAACCGCCATGTTGTTTGATGGAACCCGTGAAAGCCTTTTTCGACGCGCTCGCTTTATATAACCAGAGACATGATTTTTGAACAGCGAAAGCATAGTGTTGTGGGCCATGTCGAAGCTGTTTCCTCCAAAATTCAACTCGTATGTTGGTGTATAAATAGTTGCTTATCATAGTAACTACCGCTTATTGGAAAGAGAAGCCTTGTACTATATTGAGCGCGGTTCCCTAACTCAAATATGTCAAGTCGATCCGGCCACCCTCTTCCGCAAAGTCATATCGGCTTCTGAATCCTTCGGCTTTATCAACACAAGCTCGTAGCCCTCTTTCACGTCCTTACCCTGGTCCTCACCCACAACCCAAGTCTTCGTGATCTCCCTAACTTCCTTCCGACCCTGCTCCTTCTTATCACCCTGCTCCATGCGCCACGAGTAGGCAGAATAAACCGTCACCTCGGCAATAGCTACCACCAAGCTCCCCCCCAGAGTGAGGAACAGCCGTGCAGGCGTGCTCCACCACCTGGCCAAGATCCAGATAGCGGCCGCACACCCAAAGATGCTGACAAGGAAGTTGATGATCAGCGTGACTTGTTGCTGTATGTCGCCCTGATCGATGCTGTCTTCCCCAAGATCGGATGGCCTGGATGGCTTGTTGACTTCGGCGAAGGAATGGGCCATCGGTGCGGTCGGGAATCGCTGGACGAAAGTCTCGCGGTCGGGACCGGCTCGCAGCATACGTTCATAGGAGCGCTCCTCTTCATCGCGGCGGAGACGTGCCATGAGAGTTTTGTACTCTTCCGTCTGCACGGGGTAATGTTAGCAGCGAGTCTAGTAGGCAACTGATGAGGTGGACGTACAGGCTCTGTTTTTGGAGGCGGAGGTGGGATGTAGACTGTCGCACCACGGAGAAGTCCCTCTAATGTGTACTCGGTATGTCCTTTGGCTTTCATCTCTTTCCAAATATCCATAATCTGTCCATGCCCAATGGGATTGCCGACGGCTGGTTCTGATAGAGACAGCTCGTTTGCGACGTCTGCATCTCGCGCTTCTTCTTTGGTCCCTGGTGGGCTGGTTTCATCCAACTTCAGCAATGCCTCCACAATGGAGACTGTCATGGTGAGGAGCACCATGTTGCGGCTGGATCATTGTTGTGAAGAGTATTGCGTCGCAACTCCAGTGCGCCGAAACATTGAGGTTGTTGCCTGCAACTTGAAGGTTCGAGGTTCCAAAGTAGATGCATCCTTGTCCAAGCTCGGTCACCTCAGCCACAAGTCGGCTTAAGCACACTAAGATCGTCCGCTAGGTGAAGCCACAACAATAATAGTCTATGACAGGGGTCAGGCGAGGGAAGCTGCGACGAATCATTATCAACGCCGTGATATTTTTTCGAGATGTAAGCAGTCAGCTCCTCGTGGCACGATTCCGGGTTGGACAGCAATTGCCCTTGACGTCACCGACTCTATTACCCCTCAAAACTTCTGATGCTCCGATACCGACCAGAAGGGACCCTGTCAACACCAATTGGGCCCTAGAAAGCACAGAAACAGCGGACGGTCATGCAACTTCGGCCGGGAGCTTCGGCGCTCCTCAAGTCTCGAGTCGTCGGTCGTCCCTCGGGTTTCTCGCCATGTCCCAACTGTGTAAGAGCGGCTTCTCCAGGTCGTAGGATACCACTTCAGCACTCGTCATTTCATAGCGCACCGCGGAGATCTTCGGCATGGGCAGCCGCGGTACAAGTGGCAGGGAGCGTGGTGTCGAATGCAGTCGCGCGGGCAACCAAGGGCGAGATGCCCATTGACCCTCTGAGGATGGTCGCCAAGGAGATGAAGTTTTTGACGGGCAATATCCGACATTTGTTAGGCTCTGGACACCCCTCTTTAGACCGAGCTGCGAAATATTATACCCAAGCCGAAGGGAAGCACATGCGACCCATGATCGTGCTTCTCATGTCCAGAGCCACAGCATTATGTCCCAAGGCGTCCCAACCCGATCCCTCCGAGACCACCCAGAGGATAAATGCAGCAATATCACCCAGTGGGGTCCTGCGTGACGCGAACCCGTCCGCGCCCCTCGCCGGCTTTTCGTCGGACCCAGAATCAGTCGAAAGCGACATCCTTCCGTCTCAACGACGCCTCGCCGAGATTACGGAACTCATTCACACCGCATCGCTCCTACACGACGATGTGATCGACCACTCGGTATCAAGGCGGGGCTCGCCTTCTGCAAACCTCGAATTCGGCAACAAAATGGCGGTTCTGGCTGGAGATTTCATGCTGGGGCGAGCATCTGTGGCACTAGCCCGACTTCGTAACGCCGAGGTCGTCGAGCTTTTGGCCACCGTCATTGCCAACTTGGTGGAGGGCGAATTCATGCAGTTGAAGAACACGGCGCGGGACGAGCGCAACCCCAAGTGGTCCGAGGAAACCCTCACTTACTACCTGGACAAGACGTACCTGAAAACGGCCAGTTTGATATCCAAATCATGTCGAGCTGCTGCTCTGCTAGGCCGCGCCGACGCGACCACGGTGGAAGCTGCCTACGCATATGGGAAGAATTTGGGTTTGGCATTCCAACTGGTGGACGACATGCTGGACTACACTAAGAGCGACAAGGATCTTGGAAAACCCGCAGGCGCTGATTTAGAACTCGGTCTCGCAACTGCACCGTTGCTATTTGCCTGGAAAACGATACCCGAGTTGGGGCAGTTGGTGGGAAGGAAATTCGAACAGGAAGGGGACGCCGCAAGGGTGAGTTAACCATGTCCCGAGTCCTTGCCACTGTTACTGACATTAGATCAGGCGCGAGAACTTGTCTTCCAAAGCGATGGAATCGAACAAACTCGGGCGCTGGCAGAAGACTACTGTCGGCAGGCCGTTGCGGCTCTGGACTTGTTCCCCGATAGCGAGGCCAAGGACGGTCTCGTGGAGATGGCCATGAAGACTTTGAGACGCCAAAAGTAAACCAAATCTACCTAGTTTAGACACCGGAGACGGCTACTCGCATCTCACCTGTATGATTACGACGCACTAGACGATCTACAAGGGGGCATCTTTTCTGTGTACCCAATGGCATGATGCCCACTGTACATTTTGTGATTTTTGGGCACGCCATTGTTCTTGTGGACTGACAGGGGGGCATTGTATCACTATGTATAAAATTTGAGTGGGTGTACCTGATGCATGGACGGTGGGAGCATATAGACGGGGACATCAGACTACTAAACTCAATTGTAAGATGAATGTGCCGTTGACTTGATTTGAGACAGACCTAGTATTGTCGAAATAGGCGTCAGCCTCTTGTCGATCCATGAAGCGTGCTGAACATGCAAGGGGCTCTCCTTCCCCGGGACCAGGTGACATGTAGATCCCGCATACTTACATAGAGTCTCTCAAGACTAGCGTGAAAGGTATCTGCCGATGATTATAGATCTCGTCGACGAAGAGACCTACTACCACCCTTAGCTTTACTTTTTTTTGTCCAAGGATAACTGAGCGGGTTATCAACCCGGCATGGTCTTTTCTTGCACAGGATGGAAGGGCGCAAATACGTCCCATCTGAAATGCTCAATGTCGCGATTTTGTTACGTGAGTATCTGGGAGTGCAGCTTCGAGATGGAAGTCTAGTTTGTTTGTTCACTGGATAATACATTTAGATAAATCTGTATGACTAACAACTGGGGGCTACTACTCCACCGTCTTGTCATAGCATAAGTGATGGGTCGAACGGAAAGTGCTGGGAAGTTATTTAAATATTCAGCTTGTCCGACTTCTGAGTGCGGAACGAAAACTTCTCATACTTTGAGGAGTTAGTGACTTATCGAGTCCTGATGATTTTGTTTATACACTGAATATGCAATGCGCTTGATTCCTCCCGCACATTAAATGAGCCTTAAGTGGCGGCAACACGCTCAAGGGTATCTCCTATTCAACCCTTCGCACACATGACCTTTTCAGCGAACTGACTGCCTTCCTCACATTAAACTTTATTTCCCGATACTGCCATAGTACCTTTTATCCACGAAGAACCGTCTATTCTCGCTCATGTATGAACAGACGCTCCTACTCCACTCTTCGAAAGAAGTATACGTTACTACCGCAACAACAAACTACCCGATTCCCACTCAGCCAGCTTTCATTTCCTGCCTGCGACATGGGCTGAAGAAGTTTCCCAGTCGTCCACTATGTGCCGTCTTGCGCTTGTGGACCGCTTGCTCAATCTCATCGAGGGACTTCCCGTTCGTCTCAATCATGAAAAAAAAGCATACAATCGTTGCCACTCCAGCGCAAGCACCGAACAAGAAGTACGCTGCCGATGCGCTCTTATCCAGAAGAATCGGGCATACGAACGTGACGAACCAATTGCAAATCCAATTTGAGCCTGCGGGGGTTTGGTTAACCACTGTATAGTCAAACATAGACAAAAAAGCCGAACAAAGAAGAACCAAGACGTACCGGCTGCCAAACTCATACCCATGGACCTTGTATGCTGCGGCTGAATCTCTGGCGCCCACACCTTGACACTGATTGCCCATGTTGTTGCGAAGTTGACGCAATAGATGTAGATACAGACTATAACGACCCACCTTCCCGCGCCATACGTTGGGTGGACCGCCCCGCCAGCGTAGAGTGCACCCATAAGTATCATAGTGCCGGTGAGGATGACGCCGCCAATCAAGGTGCTTGTTCTGCGGCCCCATTTGTCTGCATACAACGACGCTGGAATACTGGCCAGGACGATGACAATGGCAGATACTCCAGAGGCCTAAGTAGGCGCGTGATCAGCTCGAAGTCCTATTTCGGTTTCGCGCGGGAGATGCAGTACATACCAAGAATGAAGCTTGGGAACTTTGAAGGCCTGCTTGCTGAAAGAGTAGAGGAGCATACTAGGCAACAGGTCAGCATTTGCATATCTTGAGACAGTGGAATACTCACGTAAAGCACAGCATCAATTCCGCAGAGCTGCAAAGATCCCATGAAGAAAATCGCGAGAAACGTTTGCTTCCGTACGTCAGGAGCCCACAGATCCCGAAGGCCTGCGTGCTTGGCTTCTGACTTTTCTTGTTCCGGCAATTCTCTAACAACACCAGCATCAGCAGCAGTGGGAGCATTCTCTTCGATACCTCGATCCTCGGGCTTGACTTGCAAAGTCTCCCACGTTTTCGCCGCCTTGGCATGGCGACCACGCAATGCCAGCCAGCGTGGGGACTCGGGCAGGAGGAGTAAAGATGCTGAGACATGTGCGACGCTCAGCGCGGCAAGGATGATGAAGGGCAGCCGCCAGGAGAGCGACCCGGGGATATTAACCGTTCCGTAGCTGAGGAAGTAGCCGACGACCAGCCCTGCGCAAGTCATGAACTGCGGGAGCGTGGTCAAGGCACCGCGGACACGGGGTGGAGCTATCTCGCAGATATAGACGGTCTGCGGGCTGAAGTATAGGCCCTCGCCGAATCCTTCGACGACACGGCCGAGAGAGAACATGACGAGGTTGACGGCACCGGCCTGGAGGGCAACTCCGAGAGTAAATAGTGTGGCTCCGAGGGCCATGGCGCGAGGACGACCCAGGGCATCGGCGGGGCGGCCAGCGAAGCACGACCCGGCGGCAGCACAGAGCAGGATGGATGACACGATGATACCGTGCACAGCAGCAGAAGGGTGACCGAACTGACCAGTGAAGCTGTCCATGACAGTGACCGGGCCGATGATGCTGGTATCGATGCTGGGCATGGCAATGGCGTGTCAGCATATAGAGCAGGATAGGCAGGAGCAAGTGGTAGACTGACCCCAGTAACAACCCGCCGAAGGAGGCTAGGAAGCTTGAGACGGTGTATTTCGCAGGATGGAACCTGCTTGCTGATGGAAGTTTCCCCATGCTGACTTCTGCACCACGCGATCCAATCTAATTTTTGGAGGAATTTTATGGTCGAGATGGAGATGACGGTCACAGCATCTACTTTTGGAGTCCAAAAAGTGCAAGAGAAACGTGGTCGCGCTTGTTTAACAGTTCTTAAGGCGCATTTGGCTAGGTGACGTCAGTCCCACAAACGAATTGCCAAGTACGCCCTTTACCACATGGGGAGAAAAAGATGGCGAATACGTGTTGGAAAGGGCGTCTCTGGAATTGCCGGCCTTGGGTCGTCCATTCCGTCGGGTCCCTGTTTGCATAGCTCGTCAAATATTCCAGTTTGAGTATAGCTCAATTATGATACACGCGTATATCATTCCCTTTTTATCACCCCTCGTGTAAGCTGCTATTTCCGTACTAGCGCAGTCTGCGGTTTTAGTCGTCACGCGTCTAAATTACCACTTTAAGCTGTCACTTCTTATTTCTGTGGCACACGAGATTTTGGCTCAGTGGTTCAGCGTTTCGGCTCGTGATATCGTAGACCTCAAATGATGTCCTCATATTTACAAACATCAAGGATGACGAAACATATCAGGATCTTGAAGAAATAGGCGTAAGAATGCCGTATTCCGGATTGTACCAGATGTGAAATAAAAAGGAGGTTCGGCATCTGAAGAGACTTAAAAATGCTTGAATATGCGTAGTAACAAGGTAGTATTTGATGTATACAGAAGTTTTATACGATGCATGGAGTATGTTTACGTATCATTTCTGAATGGTGCAAGGTTTTGTTACTCGTATACGATACCGGTTCTCTGAACGTATCATCATTGCGAGTGCTATATTCTTCAGTGAGTTTCCGTCTCTTTCTCACTGCCTCCTACCTGAAACCATCTCTTGTCTGGGATCGTATTTGAGAAGTCGCCTCGACGTCACTTCCTGTAATATGCTCAAGAAGTTCCAAGTGTGGCGGTAGTGACATATTAAACCAGAGGACCATTGGCTTCGCAAATTGATGCCCATACTATTCCCTTCTGCCCTCCCATATTCTTCTGATGAAGATCAAGTCTCACGGTCTACACATGCCCCCTTAGGGCTAGCGCATGGCCCGATGGATCGACCTATTCATGATTTCACAACAGCCTGCTCGTGATGATCTAGATTCAGAGTGAGATACTTAGACTACGGGACGCCTGTCTACAGCCTAGCATCCGAATGGACGTATTAATCACCTAGCTCTTCGGCACTGCTCGTATAATTCACCAATTTCGGCATGTGCGGCCCGGCGTCATGCCACTTGTCTTACCGCCGGGACAAAGTATACCTGTATATAAGACAAACTAGCAAGTACAGATTCCAGTGTTTCATAATGCGCTTTTCATCCGCCAATTTCTCTGTATAACGCTACGGAGACTCGTCAAAACACCATGTCAATACTCATAAAAACCCCGGCACTAATCCTTCTTTCCCTCATCTGCCTCCCCCTCCTCCTCTTCTTCACTCTCCTCATCCCCTACCTCAAAGATGAAAAAGGCTTCCGCAAATACCCCAACCAAAACTGGGCCTCGGGCCTAACCATGGTGGCATACGGCTGGGAACGCGGCCGCACCTCCTCTCACATCCACACCAAGCGCCTGCACGACGCCCTGCAGAAACACCCCGTCATCCGCATCGGCCCCAACTGGCTTTCATTCGGCCGGTCACAGGCCGCCAAGGATATCTACGGGTACGCATCCAAGTGCGTAAAGGGCGGCGCTTACGATCTCCTGGCGGCGGGCGGGAGGAACCTCAATAACATCAGCGACAAGCCTTTCCATTCGGGAAGACGCCGTATGGTGGCTGCGTTCTATGCGCCGAAGAACCAGGAGGAATGGGAATTTAAGGTGGCGGACTCGGTGCGCACGCTTATGGAGCAAATGGATCGCCGGTGCACCGAGCCGCATGATTTGCAGGTCGTGCGCCAGGAGGAGCTTGCTTTCGATGGGGTGTATTGGATCTTCCTGTATGCTGCTGAGGCCGTCACCAAGATCACCATGAGCAAGGACCTTGGCTTCCTGCGCAATGGAAATGATTCCATACGCTTCAAGGATGACGAGGGCAAGAATTACTGCGTTCCCATGATTCAGGATAATCATGCCGTCGGGCGTGCTGCCGCCCCTCTTCTCTGTATGCTATAAGCTCCGTCCTGGACAAAGATAATTTGCTGGCTGACCTATATTGCAATGCAGTCGACGTCGAAAACTTCGCTCTGTGGCAGAAGTTGGCCAATCTATTCTCCAAGAAGTTTGCCGAGAACTGGCAGAAAGGCGTCAACTTCCATTTGGCCATAGAGGCTCTTACCAAGGAGAGAATGGAACGCTCTGCAAATGGCGAGATTCTCAATGACCTCTGCCAGCCGATGATCGAGGATAGAAAGGGAGATGGTGCAGATATCACGATGAAGGACCGTGTGGCCGAGATTGAGCAAGCCTGTAAGCAATCTAGGCCCATTGTGAGAATGGAGATCTCTGTGCTAACATCATCATGAAGTGGGTGCTGGAACTGATGGCCCGGTATGTCAATCTTTCCATATCCATGTCTTTCTAGATGAATGGAAGCTTGTGGGAATCTAACGTAAGTAATCACAGGCTGTGTCCATCTCAATGGCCCTCTACTATCTAGTCCGCTACCCCCACACCTTCGCCAAACTCCGCGCAGAGCTCGACGAAGTTCTTTCACTAGACGACATCGTAACCCCCTGGTCCAAGATAAAAAACCTCCCGTACCTGCGCGCCTGTATCGATGAAGGAATGCGCCTGGCGCCTCCCGTCGCTACCGACCTCATGCGCCGAACGCCGCCCGAGGTAACCACAATCATCGACGGCAACCTCATTCCGCCGAATACCAATGTGTCCATATCGGCGTACACCGCTCACCGAGACCCGACCGTGTTCGAGGATCCCGAGGCGTACAATCCGGATCGCTGGCTGGCCAAGGGTTCTGAACGCCTGAAGGAGATGCTTGCCGTCTACATTCCTTTCAGCGCGGGCACCCGTGGTTGTATTGGTAAGAATGTGACCATTGTGATACAGGCCGTCTGTCTCGCGACTCTGGTATATCGGTATGAGTTTTCATTGCCGCATCAGGGGTGGGAGATGGAGTATGAAGAATGGTTCAACCTCTGGCCGTTGAGTTTACCCCTGAAGGTGTGGAGACGAGGCCCTGCGTCGTTCACTAAGGCTCAATCATCGTGAAGTTCTGCGCGGAGGCCCTGATTCAGACTATATATCGACGACGGACAGAAAATCCCACAGGTTAAAGGTGAAGAAGATGGAGACAGATGACAAGCCTTAATAAGATTCTGCTGTCTGGGTGGATAATAATAAAAAAAACCCAGAGGCCTATCACTCTAATCCGAATAACAGAAATGCCTTGACAGGCACGAACAATTGACTGGACCTTAATAGGTCACTAAAAATCTGGAGCCTCAACAGGCATAAATAATAGAATAGGACCTCAGCAGGCACAAACAACAGAATAGGACCTCGGCAGGTTATTAAATAACTGGAGCCTTCGCAGGCAAAGGAAAACGAAATATTTTCGTTTCTTCTGCTCTTTTCGCCTTGTTTCTCGTCTTACCGAATGTCTTCTTAGATGCTCAGGTCCTTACATATCCTTGAGAAGCACACTTATAGCATAAACCATCCGAAAAACGGAAAACAAGACCCCCAAACCCTGTCTCTGCGTCCATATATCAGCTGGCGTAAAGTTTGCTCCGAGGTCTGGATGCTGGTGATGTGGGACGCAACTGAATTTGTCGTTTAGATCGGTGTTATGGGTTGGCCGCTCATTTCCTTCAAAGCTCGCACTCTGGCCTGCGTGCGATATCCAAGTTTTCGCTCAATATCATCGAGCAACATGCACGAGCGGAATCTCTTTGTGACGTCGTTAGCATGTTTACCGGCTATAAAAAACAAACGGCATCATGATTAGTCTATACAAGTGGTTCAATGAGTTATGTCATCACTCTCATGGGTGTATAGCTCACCAAAATAGATTGGCATGATTGAAAAGGCAAGGGCCGCATCCGATATATCCGAAATGCCGATGCTAAGTATGCGGTTCGCGTGTTCTTGTATCTTGACGAGATATTCAGTATTCATGCAGGCCAAGAGCTATACGTTGCGTACCACTGAATCGTTGTCCGGGTTGCTAAGACGCGGTTCTGCAAGGAGAAGAATGTATGTCAAGTGATACCACATCATAGCAGCCGCTGAGAGGCAGGTTAGAGTAGGGCGCACATCATGTAAAATGATGAGGAAAGGGGTAGATGTCTAAAACCCAAGGGGCGGGTGGTTTGGGATAAGACAGCTCTCTGCCAACATTGCCTAGTGGTGCACTCCACGCTACAAGACATGCATGCACTTACCTGCGGCCGTCACAGCAAAGAATACTTTGGTCAGGCCTTCGGCATTCACTTCGCCGTATGTTATGCCCCGGAAGGTAGCGCTCGTATTATTGTACCAGTCCTCAACGCTGTCGAGAAGCGACTGTCTGTCAACAGTCGAACTGCTGTCGAAGACAAGGTTGACGGCATTTCCAGCTAGTAACATCAGATAGTTAGACACTTGGTCCTCGGAAGCACCGATCCCGGGCCTGGTAACGTTCCAGTCTCTCGGGTCAAACTGCAAGGGGCTCTCATTGGCCAGAGCAACAGAAATTTCGTGGCGCACAAGAACGAAGAAGTTGGCTCTGTCAATTCCATCGGAATTTGCGGAGATGCCTCTCGACCTGATCAAATTCAATGCGCCCTGATAATGGGATCGATGCGAGGCATCAGACGCTGCCAGGTGCTCGTAGCTACTCAGCAACATCGCTGCGGTGAGTGCATCGCTGTGCATTTCTGGGCAGCTAACCTCGCTTATGAGGCGGTTGAGGGCCTGGTACACGTCAGTTTGCTGCATCGCCTTGGGATAGTTTTGTGCGAATTATAACACCATATCCGGTCGGCCCGGAGTACACTACGTACCTCAAGGTAATAACGGGAAGCCACAGGCTGCCACACGTCTCTGTCCCCGGAAGCTAGCTGGGACAGTTGTTTAGCAGTGAAAGCGCATATGCATCGGAGCAAAAGTTCAGAGTAGAGTGCGCGACGGAGGATTTCTGTTTCATAGGTGTCATCTGGGTCAAATATGTCCATCCATTTTGCCATTCCCATGCGATAGGCGTTGAGCAGATACGCTTTCTCGCCATTCAGGGGAAGCAAGGCTGATGGTGGTGGCTTAACGTTGACCGGCGGCGACAAGGCCGGTGTCAGCTGGCTAGAGGGCAACGATGTTGAACTTGGAGTTGGGACGCCCGGTGAACATTCCGGGCTTACACACGACGATGCATTGCCTGCGTCGGTCTGGCTGGTGCTGGACGTGGACGGAGTGGTTTCCATCAGAACCACGTTCTTGCTTTGGACTACACGCTGATTGGAGTCGACAGAGCTCCAGGCTGAGTATGCAATGAACTCGGATGCTCGACATTGCAGACCGAGTCGCTCACAATTGCTGCACACGGGCTTCTTCTCATCACACCGTGTATGTCGCGACTTGCAAGTGAAGCTGCTCGTGTCAGTGACGATGTTAAACCGGCAGTGATCCTAGCTCACCATCCTGATAAACCTATTATTAGCAACAGTTACTTGACGAGAAGGTACAAGCCGCAACCCCTTACAAAGCCTGTATGTGGAGATGACATACCGGTCTTTCTCCGAGGGCCGCTGCGCCGCTTGGGACCCTTATCCGGGCTGTTTGGTCTTTCTATCTCCATGTGTTCAAATGTTGGGATTGTGCAATGAGGTTGCGGTATGTACAGCAGGGAAGTAGCCCGGAAGTGGGGTCCGGAGGGAGGTATTTTTGCCGCAAATACGGGTTGAACGTGCTAGGTAGGTGGTCAGTTTCGAATGAGGAAGTCACTCAATCCAACAACAGTCTCGCATGCCTGCGTGATCTCTGGATGTCGACGGGTATCTCGTCAGGCACATCGGCTAATCCTCGGGTTGCAAGTACAGTCAGTAGAGCTGGGGACCCGTCCCGGTTTTCGGCACTGTCCCTCCTTACTGAGGGGTCGAATAACATGACCATTGTCAGATATTCACGTATCTTGCTGTGTAACCCTGAGTTGATCGGTCCAGTTGATTGTTCTGTGCTCTGTGGAAAGCTCTTGGGCTAAGTCCAAGTCGCTAGTAATCTTGGCCCCCCACTACTGTTGAAACACGTGACCCATTATCACGCTCAGCTGTTTCTTTCCCTGTTTCTTCTAGTCGAAAAGGCCGGCCATCTTGATGTTGCATTGTGTGGGTTGTAGGGCCAGAACTGGTGAAAATTTTCGTCCTAAGGAGACCAGCAGAGTGGGTCCGGTGCCGTCCTACTTTGGTTTAGTGCTCCACCAGCTAGTCCCACCAGCCAGTGTGTTGGTCGTGCTATGCAACAACTCGGAGGAGTATTCCAAACAATTCGATGCTGACAGCCCCACGCACCTTTTCGCCCTCTGTAATTCCCATCTTGCCCCTCTCCGCGGCTTTATGCATGTACGTGCATCATTGATGACGGCATACTCTCCATACTCTCTGCTCTCCCGACAGATGCCGTTGAACGGATAAGATGATTACGGTGGGGGTTCTGCAACCAGCCAGATGCGGTATCTCCGTGATGTGTTCACATAGAAAAAGGTAGTTCCTCATGTCAGTTCATGTGATTACACTCGGCAATGAAGGTGGCACCACAAGATTTAGACATCCTGCAGTGCAACGATAGTGCAGTACGGGCCCTGCAGAGGAGCAACCAAGCTGCCGCTAATTTCGTTTCCATCCCACCCTAGCGTTGAGTTTTGCGATGTAGCATTCGGGTCGTACCTGGCATCTTACCCATCCTCGATGGGGATAAAAACGCGAGGAAAACCAAGGAGGGCAAACACACGAGGGAATTCATTGAGGATGGAAGGACGAGGGAAATGCGTCGTGGTCCCTCCGAGCCACTGTCACGCAATCAGTGAAGGCTCGGACCGAGGGCTGCATTGTGACGACACAAGATAACTTTGTGCTGTGGTGGATAGATCTGATAGCCTCATAGCCCGCTCGATGATACTTTATGTATATGCCGTCTTCTGTCTGAAGTCCTGTCGTTGCTATGCCTGCCTTCTAGTTGAGAGCTCCACCACACTACGTGCACGGCATTTGCAATGGCATCTATTGCATTCCCATCCATTGCCAAGACGGCGTCTCTATCTGATGACACCACGTATGGCTATGTTGCCATAGCTTCTGCGTCGCCTGAGAAACCCACCTTTCTTCTGCTTCATGGCTATCCCAGCTCTTCCTTTGACTGGCGACACCAGATCAAGTCCCTTTCTGTTGCTGGGTATGGTGTCATTGTCCCAGACCTACTTGGCTATGGCGACACAGACAAGCCAGAAGACGTTGCATCATACCGCTTGAAATCTATGTCCCTCCACATGGCAGAGATACTCGACATTGAAGGTGTACCTCGCTGCATTGCCGTTGGCCATGATTGGTAAGTAGCCCCTTTTGGAGAATGGAGACCGTTTCGCATGCTGACTCATCTCAGGGGCTGTGGCTTGCTTTCCCGTCTTGCGACTTATATCCCTGAACGTTTGTTTGGTATTGTGCCAATCTCAGTCAGCTACATTGAGACAGGCGTCGTCTGGGACATTGGTAATTAGGCCCCTGTCCATTCAATAATTTGCGATGCTAATGTAGACGTAGATGCATTCAACAAGTTCACTGAGCAACTTTTTGGTTACAGCACCTACGGATACTGGCCATGGCACAATACCGAGGAAGCAGTCAAGGACTGCAATGAAAACGTACGTATGAGCAACCCCGTTATTTGACATATTCTGATCCCTTAATAGCCAGCTTCAACTTTCTCGCTCATCTATCCGGCTGACCCAGCAGACTGGAAGGTCATCTTCGCTCCCGTTGGTGCAGCAAAAGAGTATGTCCGGGCTGGCCGTGTTGGTCCACTGCCATCATGGTACAGCTTGAGTGAGTACACAACTCGTGACAGAATTCTAGCAAATGGTGGCTACAGAGGACCACTGAGCTGGTATAAGGCCGCGATGCGCGATGTCAACGCCAAGGACGAACAAGCTCTCTCAAAAGAAGACGGATTCTGCAAGCTTCCTACTCTTCTGATTGTCAGTGATGAGGATTACGTCACCCGGGCTGACATGCAAATCCAGAAGAGCAAGGAGTGGGTCCCAGATCTACGTATTCAGATACTGCACTGCGGACACTGGATTCAGTTGCAGAAGCCAGAGGAAGTCCATCGTCTTCTCGTTGAATTTGCCGCTGAGGTGACTGGCACTGAATCTGTGTCTAACGGTCATCCAGCCACACAGTCTGCTGTGATTAGTGTGAAGCCAGAAACCTAATCTGGTAGAAACACTATACTGATAGGATGAACATAACGAACACAGGATTAGACTGGTCGAAGCATCAGTATTTCCGTACCAATGGGATCTTGACTCTCAAATGAATTGGGATTGTGCTGCCTTTTAAATAAGCCTCTTCACTGTACAGCTCGGGCGCATCGGGATGGTATACTCGCTTGAGCCTCGATGTAATAGTTCTCCAAATCAACACCATCATATCTTTAATCAATCCCATGTAACAGCGTTTCCACATGTTCATAAAGCTATTTGCATACTAACAAGCCCGTTTACATATATTTCAGATCTCCTATAAGCTGCGTAAAGTATGTCTCTTTAGCTCGTCGCATCTTTCCGCAATTGGCAAGAGCTCCATGGATATGCTAAGACGAACAACCTTTGACCGTTCCATCCTACCTGTGCTGCACTCAACTCACGGCCAATGAAGGTAACGTGATTAATCACATCAGAATGTCATTGGCTTGGCAAATGTGAGATTATGCAAGCTTTTAATATGCATCCAAGATGGCGCCTGCCACCGCATAAAAGGTAAGCAGCACACCCTCTAACTTGAAATCTTACTATGTAGCACTGAGCTTTCCGATGAGCACATCCAATCCAAGTTTCTTACGACGACTATGCTGATCAGTGCCCCATGGGGAAGGTGAGGCGATGAACTCTAAACTGCTTACTAGCTATGTAGCTTGGTGATATGGTATTATGCAGGCGACGCACATGTGCCGCCAAGGTGGCTGCGCATGGCTACAATAGTATTGTGTCTAGACCCGAGTGAACGCGGCAATCAGTCCATCATTTTACTCGTAAAAAGAGCCAATTCCTCGTAGATGGCGCCACACAAGTAGATTCCCGTTTGCACGACGCGTCACATATGTGAGGTAACCCCAGATATGTGTTAGAGGCGTGAACTTTTGACAAGCGTGGGGTTCACCCACACTTTGTCCCAAAAGCTTAGTAAGGTCTTTATGTAGTAGCCTGTGCAGCAGTTGTAAGCGCTGTTGATGATCTTCGGTGGGATTATGTAAATGTTCAGGTTGCTCGGGTGCTATTCCGCTATCGTTCGTGAAAGTACGTTGCACTGCATTATTCTTCGGGTAATATCCGTGCATGAAAATTGGGGCTTCAGCAGATTCAAGGTCGCAAGGAACTGCCGTAAGAGCCTTGCCAAGAATTGGTTACACACAGCTCTCGAAACGTTCGCCAGCACCGACACCGCCGCGGCTGTGGGCTATGATCAGTAATTTAGTATACAAGATAACAAACAAAGGATGTTGTTCTGTTCCTTCCTGTCAGAATTTCCATATCAAAATCAAAATTAGTTCGACCATGAAAGAAGGAGTTAACCGTCATCTAGCTTGCAACCGATGTCGCGTCAGGAAGGTGAGATGCGATGGGCAAAAGCCATATTGTAAGCGATGTGCAAATGGCGGTGCGCCGTGGGAATGTTCCTACCAGGCTTCGGTTAAGCAAAGACCACCAAGACGGATTTGTAAGTACCAAGATAGCTATGTCATTTCTCATACACTGATGTTCTACAGCCTCAGATTCGAATTCATATTCGCCAACGATGAATGAATCAGAGACGCCTGAAGCCAGGGATGCGGAGAATTTGGTAGTCCCACTAGGTTTCGGTCTCACGCCAAAAGATATGGAGACGTTGATCCTCCCTCAGGAGTCGAATACTCTCTTACCTGAGCTGGATTCTGAGGCCAACGCTGCTTCCTTCAGCTCTGTTTATGAGACCCAGTTGACCAACAAGGTTCCTGATAACATTATCACGCCGCCCGATGAGATGCAGTTGCTTGGATATGGTATGCCCGTTGAGACGGGGCAAATATCCCCGGGAACATCTCAGGCTGTAGGAGACGTCTCAGAACTACCCCATGGCACCGTGGAGGCTCTGTAAGTTTAGCTGCCTTCGGTCCGCTCAAGTCATTACTTTTAACACACAGTGAGCAGCTTTAAAACATATTTTGACTCATGTCAGACGATATGTCGACTCTTCGACGACCGAGAGAGACTTTACGGTCTTATGTATGGAACCTCTTCAGAAGAAATAGCATTGCAAAATGCCATATGTGCTCATGCGGTGCCAGCGTGCTCTCAGATCTCTGCTTGGGTCATATCGCCCCTTGACTCAATCAGAGGCGGCTCCACCGACTGGTCTGCATCCTTTTACCGCCTCGCCAGAAAGTCTCTAGATGAATGCGGACATCAAGGTTCAGTCATGCCTTCTCTGCGATTTCTCCAAGCAACCATCTTGATTGGAATATACGAACAGCATCATGCTGAATTCGGTCGCTCCTGGCTCACCGCAAGCCGCGCAGTGTGGCTTATGGAAGCGCTGCAGCTTCACAAACTGGAATCTGGGCGTCTTATGGCGATCGATGTCTTGGATATGGAAGAGGCCAGAAAGGCACTATGGGCTGCGAGCAGCATGATGGTGTTCATCTCGCTTGGCAGTCGGATCATGGATTTTGTTGTTCCTGAAGTGGTGAGTCAAACCGTTGTCCCCAATTTTCTGTTCTATGAGGATCTAATTCAGACAGATCAGCGCATCGTTGCTCCAACCGCAAGGAGATGCGTCTTTCTCCCGGCTCTCTTTCAGCACCGGTGAAGTCTTCCGCCGACCCTACCCTAGACCCTTGCTGGTTCAGGAAGGTATATGTGCTGCGGACCTTCTGTGTTGCCGTATCGTATCCCACATCAAGAGAACAAACCACGCAAGCACTGCTGAGCTCCAGCCATACAACTTTTGGATCAACCACCACCGACTCGAAGAAATGCTCCGTCACATCTCCACCAGAACTCCAGAAGCGACATCCCCAACATCACCCGACACGCCAGATGCTTGTGCCAAGGTCGTGCTGGATATCTTACTTAAGGCACTCTTAATTGTACTCCACGAAGCGAAACTGAAGAAGATGCGCGTGTCGAACCAGAACCAATTCGATCAGATCCGCGCCAGTGGCAACGTTGCACTCCAGCGTTCCCTGGAAATCGCCGAGGCAGTACAGACCAGTGTCTTGCCCACCGATGCGAGGGCCAACATCACGCTGTCTTGGGCTGTTTACGTCACATTGCAGTCTCTTCTGCGGCAACAGCGCCGAGATTCAGCTTCATGGCCGTTGGATAATGTTGAACTTGATGTGAATACATGGTCGAATAGCAATAATTCAGAATCCGTTTTTCACTATTCAACAGATACAAATGCGTTTTTGAGGTCCGGCACGGCAATGCCGGCTGTGAATCTGTTCGAAGCGGCTGGTTCGATGAGTACTTCGCTCACAGGGGCTCTGGTCTTGGATTCATTTAATGCGCTTCAGTCGACTTTAGAGGGATGGTGCAGCAAGAGCCCCATCGTGGCGTTTTTCTTGGGTCAGATCAAGACTGAAATGAGCGAGACTGATGAGATTCTCGATGGAAGATTTGTTGGGTTGGCCGATTTCACTTCGCGTAATTGCTGGCCTGTTTGAGGATTTACTTTTCTCTATGACATGTGGATTTCTTACATTGATCAGGGTCCCCTTAATTCGTTCCAGAAAGCTACAGGCTAGAGTATTTACAGGTAGAAGACGAAAATGCGTAGGTACAAACAGGGTGGTTACGGGATGAATATACAGGTCTAAGTACATATAATGTAGGATAGGGGGTTCTCTGGAAGCCATGTGGCTGCATACTTCAGAATATGTAGCACAAATGTAAGACTTCTGTATCTTGGAGTATCTTTTCTATAATAGGTACTTCACTTCATTTCTCCCGTAGAAAAGATGCTAGTACTGTTACCTTGAAAAAAGTATGTACCCGTATTACTTAAAAGAGTTTACTTCCGAGGAGGACCAACAACGTCAAATCAAATTCTCACAAAATTCTAGCGGTCTCATGTGAAAACTCACTCTATGTCAGACTTTAGGGCTAAAACTCTGTTGTGAGGGATTACTATACTAGCGCTCGTCGCCACCACAATCTCAAGACTCGCACGAATCTATACACTACCAAGTGTAGCACCATGTAATCGCAGCTGAACAGTAAACAAGCGACAAGTTTGGCTCGGTCGCTAGGGTCAAAAGTCTTTCAAATGAGGTTAAAATATTATATTATTATTATTAAATACGCCGTAGGCTCGAAGCCCCCGGTACCTCTACCAGTACTCCGGTATGTCAAACCGTGCCCTAATGGCTGGACTAAATACATACGCTGCGTCTTCGGTTCGCCCTATTGGCGACTGCGTTGCGTTTACTACCATATTACGTTGGTTCTCAACCTACCAACAAAGTCCCCCTGAGAAGATCGATGCTATCTGGGCCTTGAAGCTGTCCGACCCGTCCCTAGCAGCCACCTTACAATAGTCTCACTAACTACTGGCTCTCCTGTTGCCGTTGCGAGGTCTCTGCGAGAGTATAGTGGCCGTGGTGCGATATCGGCCCGTAATCGTTCCCTTGGTCCTTCCAACAGCCCGCAAAAGAGGATTACGTGCTCTGCCGTCTCAGGGGCGTCGCCACAGCGGCATAGCGGCGAGTACACGCCAAAAGCCCCTGTCTTGAATAAGAAGGCTGCTAGTCCTATTTTTTCCGTCCTGATCTGGCACAGCGTAGACGCTTCCAGTCGGTTCAGGCCGAAATACTTGCCCCCTTTCGGTATCTGCATCGAAGGGCCCTCCGGTTCCTCAGTGATAGCGCGTCGCTGGCGATCGTGATGCTCTGCTCCGGTGAGCCATCTCTTCCTCCAGTGGCCGAGGAGGGCAGCCGGGACCTCCTTTTCCTCACTCATCCACTCGGAGCCCCGGGCCTCCTTCTCCATAGTGTACCCTGCCGGTCGGAGTAGCTGCGACGCTTGCTTCCTCTTCGTCGGCCTATCCTGCCGGAGTATATGTGACGCTTTAGCGCTCGCGCAGCGAAGCAGATTTCTCTTTCCGCTAAGCCGTGGCCGTTCTTCAAACTTAGCAGCCCGGGCACTTAAATATTATAATTGCAGCTAGTATAAACATAGCCAGGTGCTATCCGGTAAGGAAATATCTCATGTTTCTTTTGTCGCTACACAGCAGTTGACTGGAAAACACAAATACTTCGATGATTCATAAACCCAAATTTGCAAACAAATAACCCAGGACAGCTCTATTCCTCCCTACTTCAAACTACTGCCACTAGACATAGACGACATAGTCTTAGGCTTCTTCTCTCCCTTCTCCCCCCTCAACGCCTCATACTCCTCCACAACCCCTGCATAGCAATGCGGTCCATACGGCGCCAAAAAATCCGCAATCCTCCCCGCCTTTCTCTGCGTCTTCACCCCCAAATCGCTCAGCAACCGATCCAGATATGGAATCCAGTCGAACAGCGCATACGGGTACCTCTCACCCACACTACGGTACCGCTTGCGTGTCCACGCATTCCACTGCGCTACTTCCTGCACCATCTTGTCCTCGGTAGGCAACTCGATGTCCCCGAGCAGATAGGCAACTGCCCATAGCGACTGTACCTCGGCGATTGTGGGGGTCTGCGTTGTGTGGATTTGCCCCAGGATCGCGAGGCTGTGGTCGCCTTCTGTGGCGGTCGTGAGGGGCACGATGCGGTTGTACAGCCGCCAGCGGCGCTTAGTAATGACGCGGTTGGGGTCCGGGGTTCGCAGATCTTTTGGCCCGGCTGCCAAAAGGGGGATTTGCTTGGCGACTAAGTCGTCGGCGGCTTTGTCGAGGTCGTACCAGGGGTCGTTGACTTTTCTAGGCGCCGAGGAAGTGTTAGGGGGAACGGCGGCGCCGTAGGGCGGGATGCCGAGTTCTTCCTTGAGTTCAGACGAGAAGAAACTGAAGTGGTCGCCCCAGCCGGTGCAGTAGATGACGTAGTCGGCAGGGATGGTCTGACCGGAGCGAAGGGTGGCCCCGGATGCGGAGACGGAATCGACGTTGTCGCGAAGGATGGTGATGTCGGCTCTCTGAAGAGTGCTCCAGAAATCATCCATGGTGATCAGACCGATGGAGCTGTCGCACCAGAAGCAACTGTATTGACGTGTTAGTGGGACTTTCCGTGTTTGCTAGAAACCTGTCTGAACTTGCTTGGCGTCGCGAATGTCTGGCCTTAGGCCCTCGACAGGGCCAGCTTTTCCTCCAAATCCAGCTGCTTCGTCGGCTTTGCTGGTGATGAAGTTCCAGTGGGCCTTGGTCAACCAACGGCCAAGAAGTGTCCTGTGGAAGAAAGCACCAAGCCATGAGTTGGTGTTCATAATCGATGGGCTGAGATAGTTCATCAAGCGATTGGAACCCATAGTGATGGTGTTCTAGTTCGAAGTGAGCAACAGTTTCAGACTGGCTATTTTTCCGTCAAAAAACACTCACTATTCCGAAGATTTCAGCCGGCATGATGGGCATGGGCCCAGAGCCGTTTGGTCGAATCACCCTGAAATGAAGTCAATATCTTCCTTGGTAATGAATATGTTTCATCGTGACACACCAAGTGACTTTCTTGCCCATAGACGCCAGTAAGTACGCAGCATCGTATGCCGACTTTGCGGCACCAATGATGATGAAATGCTTTGCTTCCTCCTTTTTGAACTGAGGAGCATTTGGAGCAATATCGATGCTGTGGATCACGGGTACAGCATCCTTCTCAACATGGAAAGATGGCGAATTCCGAATGGACGTCACTCCCGTGGCGACAATAAGCTTGGCCGTCGTAATAACGTTTCCGTTGACAGTCAACTTCCAGCCTCCATGAGTGTTGCGTTCGACGTTTGATACCCAGCTGTTGAAACGGATATGCTGCTTGAGACCATGGTCATCGGCAAACTTGTCGAGGTACTTGAAGATCATGTCGCCCGACACTAGGTTGTGTTCGGTGGCGCCATCCTTCAGCATAGGTGTTCCTGGATAGTTCTGTTTGAAAATTAGGAGACAGCCATTTGTGCTGGAGTTTCAAGATCACTTACGAAGTATCCATGCTCGACCTGTGCGACCAAATTGGGGTAGATGCGATCTCTGCTCCAAGTGCCACCAACGGTGTTGTCTCTGTCAAAGATGGCGAGCTTCGCACCTGGCTCCAGTTTGAGGTACGTCTTGGCTGCCGTGAGGCCATACCAACCTAGTAATGTTAGTGCTTTGTTGATTCTGTCTCATAGGTGATATGTTAGTACCTGCGCCAATAATGGCCAAGTCAAGGTGTTCCTCAAAGTCTGAGATGGCGTGCGGCATTATTGCTATGTTATAGTTGTGAATAGAATTGTGAGGAAGAAAGGAGTATGGTAACTTGAACTCACGAAAGGTAAATGGGAGTTGCGAGAACTGTTCCGCATATGTATAAATATAGCAGCAGTATACTCAAAGCACATGCTTAATTCAATGTCGATCTTTCTCCTTCATCGCAGCACCTCCGCGCCGACCGTTGCAGATTCGACCCGCCCATTGACTGCCGTCGTGTTCACAAACGCCAGGCGCAATTACTGGCATCTGATGAGGTTTCTCAGTAAGCCCGAAATGAATTTGCTATACGTTCTGACTTGCAGTAGCGGTCCGACACTTGCATAACTTAGCATTTTCCTTTTGCCCGCGTGTGACCCAATGAGAATGACGAGGCAAATTTTCCTATTTGGGAAAGCTATACGAGGACCGAAGTCTTCGTCGGACCGACAGTTCTGATTAGCAACCATTTAGTTCGCAAATACTACGACATTGCATATTGACGTCCAAGAATATTGTCGACGACAATGCAATTATCTCAAAGAGAGATAGACAGACTAGCCGAAATCTATGCGATGCTCGGTCCGCAACATACCAGCAGCAACAAATGCATATCACATAATCGAGATGAAATGCTTAGGTACGATATATAAGTCTCGAATGAGATGTCGCTGTCAATCGACTCGAAAAGGTGAACAACCTCGAATAGCCCTCTTCGAAAACCATACCGCACAAAGAACTTTGAGATCAGCAACAATGCCTTTCCTCCAGGATGACGGCCGAGGAGAGCTCCTTGAGCCTGTTGCCATTGTTGGCATGTGTAAGCTGTTCACTCTGTATACTCTCAACTTTATGATACTGAAATTTCGAACAGCCTGTCGCCTACCCGGCTCCGTGGACTCTTCATCCAAGTTCTGGGATACGCTCCGTGAGAACAAGTCGGTCCGTACTCCCAAGGTTCCAAGCAGCCGCTTCAACATCGACGCGCATCACCACCCGGATCTCTCACGCCCAGGATCCTTCTCTGCGCTGGGTGGATACTTCCTCGATGGCAATATCGAGAGTTTCGATCCCACCTTCTTCAACATGACTCCAGTTGAAGCTCAATGGCTGGATCCGCAGCAGCGCAAGATGCTCGAAGTTTGCTACGAGTGTCTGGAGAACGCTGGCCTTCCACTGGACAAAGTTGCCGGTTCGAAGACCGGGGTGTATGTTGCCACGTTCACGAGCGACTACCAGCAGATGTCGGTCTTTGAACGCGATTATAGACACAACTATGCTGCTACTGGCGTCGATACGGGCATTATCAGTAACAGGATCAACAATGTGTTCAATTTCGATGGACCCAGCTTCACCATAAATACAGCTTGCTCATCTGCCATGTATGCGATCCACAATGCGTGTCATGCGTTGCGTGCTGGGGACTGTGACGCTGCTATCGCCGGTGGTGTGAATTTGATTCTTACTGTGGTCCGTAAACCTCGAAATTAACCATGAAGCATTCATTGCGACAACTTCAGAGCTAACATGTCTCTTAACACAGGACCAACACATGAATACCGCAAAGCTGGGCGTGCTATCACCCACATCAGAGTAAGTTTTTGTCACCGTATCTAACAGATTCAACCGTACTGATGAGGATTAGATGTCACACATTTGATGCTTCGGCAGACGGATATGGACGCGCAGAGGGTGTTGGCGCGCTGTATCTCAAGCGACTCTCCCATGCTATTAGAGATAAGGATGTTATTCGGTACGACCTGGCTAACAATCTTCTCATCATATCAAGATACTGACATTGAGTTTTCTTCTCAGCGGTGTGATCAGATCAACAGCAGTAAACACGAATGGCAAAGTTGAGGGCATGGGCATCACATTTCCCAACATGCTTGGCCAAGAGCGTGTTCTCCGCGATGCATATGCGAGGGCCGACCTCGATCCCAACCAGACGGCGTATCTCGAATGCCACGGAACAGGAACACCGGCTGGCGACCCAATTGAAGTCCGCGCTGTTTCAAATGGCATGAATGACACGCGAGATTCTGAGAAACCTCTGCTTTTGGGTGCTGCCAAGACGAACATTGGTCACAGCGAAGCTGTAAGTAAATTCACAAATCGTCCGAATGGGGTATCCTGCTAATCACACCCAGGCATCTGGTATTTTTGCGACTATGAAGGCCGCACTGATGACAGAGAAAGCATTAATTCCTGCGGTCCACGGCCTCAAGACATTAAACCCGAATATTAAGGAAGAGGAGTGGAACGTCAAAATCGTCAGAGAATTGATGCCATGGCCATCTGATTTCAATGTCCGCCGCGCCAGTGTTTCTTCGTTCGGCTACGGAGGCACCAACGCTCATTTGGTGCTGGAGTCAGTCCTCAGTATGTGCCCCTGGTATGAGCATGGCCAGCCGAAAGCGACAGCTAAATACCAGTACGGTGACATTGACCGACCATTCCTGGTGACCATGAGCGCACATGACGACAAGACCCTGAAGATGAATATCCACAAACACCAGCAGGTGGCAGGAAACTACTACTTACCTGATCTGGCATACAGTCTCAACTGCCGGCGATCCAGATTTGCAGCCCGAGGCTACACCACCGCCCTCGCCGGCCAGGAGATCGACGCCTTTTCCTCAAGCAGCTTCTCCTACGGCACCAAAATTTCCAAGCCCGTCAAACTCGGCTTCGTGTTTACTGGTCAAGGCGCCCAATGGGCCCGCATGGGCTACGAAGCCATCCAGAAATTCGCCGAATTCGGCGAGACCATCGACGCTCTGGACCGCGTACTCCAGCGCATTAATCCCCGACCAACCTGGACCCTACGTGCCGTCCTGGAAGCACCAGTAGAGTCAAGCCGTGTCAACGAGTCCGAAATTTCGCAGCCGGCATGCACTGCTATCCAGATCGCCGTGATCGACTTGTTTGCGTCCTGGAATATTGAGCCCGTCGTAACAATCGGACACAGCAGCGGCGAAATCGCCGCCGCGTATGCAGCTGGTCGGCTTTCTGCGCCCGAGGCCATGCTAGCGGCCTACTTCAGGGGTTTCGCAGTGGCCAAGGCAGCGCCTGCGGGAACGATGCTGGCTGTTGGCTTGGGAGCGGAAGAAGTGTGGGATCACGTCCCTGACGAGGTTTGCGTGGGTGTGACGATCGCCTGCGAGAACTCGCCCAGCAGCGTCACGTTGAGCGGCGATTTTGCAGATATTGCAGCCGTGCAGCAGGCGCTGGATAAGACCCAGGTATTCAACCGGCCGCTGAAGACGGGTAAGGCGTATCACTCGCCTCAAATGGATACTGTCGCGCCTTTGTATTCCGAGCTCTACACGAAAGCGTCGGAAGGACTCAAGGACGCAGACTTCTGTTGGCGCCGACCACATGCTGGCATGATTTCCTCCGTTACTGGAACTGAAGCTCAAGATGCTCATCTGGGTATTTCCTACTGGTGTGAAAACTTGCGAGGCCGGGTTCTCTTCAACACGGCATTGCGGGAACTAGGAAACTCGCAGGAGTACGCAGATGTCAACGTCCTTTTAGAGATAGGACCCCACGCTGCACTGGGAGGGCCCATCAAGCAAATTTGCGCAGCCAACAGTTTCGAGATGCAATACGTCGGATCTCTCAGACGAGGAGCCGACAGTGCCACCGCCCTCCTCAAGTCCGCAGGAGAGCTATATCTCAAGGGACTAGAGATTGATTTCGAGTCTGTCAACAATTTCAAGACTTCTAACCCCTCTATACTCATCAAGAGGAGCGATGGGCCTCGATATCTGCCCGACCTGCCTCCATACCAATGGAACTACGAGACAACGCACTGGTTCGAACCGCGCTCGGTAGCCGAATTGCGCAAATACAAGCACCCCCGACACGACATCCTCGGCCGCCGAATCTTCGGTCTTTCCACAAACGACGCAGTCTGGAGGAATGTCCTGCGCCAGCGCGACGTCCCGTGGTTCGCAGACCACACCCTCGGATCCGACGCCGTCTTCCCCGCCGCGGGCTACATGTCCATGGCGATCGAAGCACTGCTGCAACAACTCGACCTAGAACCTCGGAGTGTCGGTGGCGTCAAGTTCAGGGATATCGATATCAGCAAAGCCCTAGTGGTCCCCGACACGGACAACGGAGTAGAAGTCCTCTTCCGCCTCGAGAAGTTGCCCGGGGGGACCTGGTACAGCTTCAACGTGGAATCGGTCGAAAATGGGCTGTGGACTCTGCACAGCAGTGGCAAGATCCAGAAGCAGATTACTGACGCATCGCAGTCGCCTTCGGCATGCCCGCACAAGCTCAACCAGCTGCATCAGCAAGTCTCGGGGAAACGCTGGTACCGATCACTTCATCGCGTCGGGTTCCGGTACGGTCCTAACTTCCAAACCATGACGAGCGTCAAGGCCAACGGCAAGGATCGCATGGCCGCCGCCAGGGTGCAAGTCCAGGTTGAGTGCGGAAACATGGAGCAGGAGTCGCGGTACGTGCTGCATCCATCAACGCTAGACGGATGTCTCCACGCTGTTATTGCCTCCGTACACCGCGGTCTACACAAGGTCATGCCGTGGGGTGTTGTACCCCTAGAAATCGAGGAGATGACTGTCAACTTCTCGTCCGAGGATCTCAATGTGGAGGGCGAGTGCATGGCCTGGACGGATCGGGCTTGGGATCGGTACTTCAATGGAAATGCCGAGCTATTTGGCAGCTCAGGCAAGTGTCTGTTGAATATCCGGAACATGAAGTTCGTCGTGTACGATGCTGCGGTTCCGCCTAGCTCTAAGGGGTTTGGGCCCAAGGAGCCGTATAGAAGGGTTGCTTGGGAGAAGTCAGAGAATGCGGATGAGGCTTTGCAGACGGAGATTGAGGTGGATGGGAAGGTCGTTGTGCTCCACAATGCGTCTGATTCCTCTTCCATGCTCGGAGAAAGTCTCGGGGCAACATGCATCTCCCTCCAAGGTGCGGCAAAGAGTACGGATGGTTTCGACAAGATTATCATCGATGATTCTGACGGCTCTATCATGGCCGCCGCCACCGAGGAAAGTTTCGAGTTCATTAAGGAGACTCTGCAGTCTGGCAAGCCCATCGTCTGGGTCACACGCGGCGTTAACCAAGGAAACTCGGTCGATGGTGGCATTCCGCAGGGACTCCTTCGAGCAGTTCGTTCGGAGCTCGTATCGGCTCGTGTCGCGCTTGTAGATGCAGATGAAGATACCCCGATGGATAAGCTGGCATCTGTGGTCCATCATCAGCTTGAATCTGTGGATACCAAAGACTCTGGAGCGGATGTCGAGTTCTGGCTTACAGGCGACTCGACACTCTTGGTCTCGCGCATCGAAACCAACGACAGCCTGAACCAACTGCTCCATCAGGAGCTGCCCTACGAGCAGACCGTTATCAGCACTGAGGAGGGGCTCAAGGGAAAGATTGCTGACAACGAAGTTCTCTTCGAATCCCAGCAGCCTACTTCCCAGTGCCTTCGGCCACAAGAGGTGGAGATCCAAGTTCACTACTCCGAGCTGGCCAAAGAAGATCTATCCGTTCGAACAGCTGAGCGAGCTCGTCTTATCACTGGTACTATCATCCGCATCGGCAACGGCTTGGAAACCAACCTACAAGGCCAAGCCGTAGTAGCTTACACGAAGCAAACCTTTGAGACTAGACTCATCACCTCGACCTTCGCCCAGATCGACGCCGAAAACCTGGCTGCAGTTGCCGCAAGTCTTCCCTATCTCGCCCAAGCCGTCGATGCAGTCCTCCTTACTGGCCACGCCACTGCGGGCTCCCACGTACTTCTCCTTTCCTCATCTGCTCCGTTCGCGGACGCTGTGTTGAAATTAGGACAGAAATTCAAATTCCGAGTCACCAAGGCTGACGATGATGACCTTGCTAAGATACAACAGCTCCTCTCGGCGTCTGGCGGTCCTAACATCGTCGTTGCCGCCGCGCCATCTTCGCTGATTGCCGATGTGTGGTGCTTAATGCCGCGAAATTCCAAACTCGTCTTTAGCGATATTGCTATTGAAGGCCCGCTGGACTCTAGACCGTTTTCTAGGGGCGCTGGTTTGGCTGTTTGTGGTATTTCACATGCATTTGAGCGTGACCAGGCGGCGTTGGAGCGGCTGTTGGATACCAGTGTCGAGATCCTTGGACAGAGTGGCGGTTTGTTTTCTGTTGGGTCGTCGCCGTCGGTTATCGATGTGGAGAATCTTTTGGACGTGGATGAAGCGCGGAAGTGTGTTTTGGAGACTGGGGCGAATGTTTTGGGGTTCAAGTATATGCAGAGCCAGATCAAGGTAAGTGATACCCCTATTCCAGACCGGAGCGACGTTACTGTTCATTGTACTCACGCACTGAACTCCCATTTAGACCCGCAAATCCCGCAAGCCAGTTTGCTTCTCTCCCACAGACGCGTACCTCCTGGTCGGCAGCCTAGGCGGCCTCGGTCGTAGTTTGACGACGTGGATGTTCGAGCGAGGCTGCAGAAACTTCGTCTTCCTCTCCCGATCTGGCATCAAGAAACCCGAAGCCGCTGATGTCGTCGAACGACTTAAGGAGTCTGGTGCGTCCGTGTATGTCTTCTGCGTCGATGCCTCGGATGAGAAGGCCGTAGCCGGTGTCGTTGCTGAGGTTTCCGGCAAGAAGCCCATCAAGGGTGTTGTTCACGCTGCTATGGTGCTCGAGGTGAGTTGCTACATTCGCACCGTCCCCTCTCTTGCCAACCTAGTCTCTTTTCTTTTATTTTTTCTCGTCTTGAAGCCAACAACTATACCTCCAGGACGGTCTATATCAAACAATGACCCTACCAGAATACAATTCCGCCCTGCGCCCCAAAATGCAAGGCGCCCTCGCTCTGCACAAAGCCCTTGACCAAACGCCCCTCGACTTCTTCATCATGACCAGCAGTATCTCCGCCGTCCTCGGCAACCCAGGTCAAGCCAACTACTGCGCCGGCAACAGCTACCTCGATTTTCTCGCTCTTTACCGGCGCAAGCGCGGTCTAGCCGCTACCTCCCTTGCCCTGCCCATGGTGGAGGATGTCGGCGTCGTGGCGGAAAACACCCACATTGCCGAGGCGCTGGCAAGGAAGACGCCGTTTAGTATTGATGAACGGGAAATGTTGGTCGCGTTCGAGGCGGCTATTATTCAGGGTCGGTGTTCTGGTGAGAGCAAAGCAGTAGATATAGGGGACGCGCAGGTGATACTCGGTCTTGAACCAGAAGCTATCACTGTGTTGATGGAAGGCACTGACATGTCCGACGCGTACTGGATGCACGATGCGCGCATGACCACCGTGCGGGCGGCACTAGATTCCATTTCTGCTGCGTCCGGCGCTGAAGGACAGGAAGGCACTGGGTCAGGAGGCGGGTTCGTCGCTACGCTTGCGGGAAAGACGGAAGAGGAGGCTTTGAATGACATTGGTGTGCACATCATCAACCGGACGGCAAGAATTCTGGGCTTGCAGCCGGAAGGGTTCAAAATGGAGGAGGTGTCGGTGGCAAATCATGGGATTGATTCCATGATTGGGGTCGAGTTGCAGTCGTGGCTGTTTAAGGAGTTTGGGCTGCAGGTCAGTATTCAGACTATTTCAAACCCGAACACGACGTTCAAGGCATTGGCGAGGATGGCAGGGGAGCTTATTGGGTTTGTTGCTTGATCGGGGTTTTTTTCCTTCTAGGTTCCAGTTTTATTGGGGTTTGTTCGGGTTTCCATATAATTTGTTCTCTGTAGCTAGACTGGCGGATTGTATTATGAGTCAATGTTCTCACGTTCTATAAACGCCGTCAGTGATAGTCTTTGTCAGATCTGGATGACTTCGCATGAGCAGATCAGTAATTATCAACGCTAAACATTATTCGAATGCTTCACCAACTAACGCTACGCCTTATAAACAGTTGCACCACCACCTTTAATGATGTAGAATGCATTATGCATAGCGCGCGTCGAATGCCAGACCAGGGTACTAGCTATCTTTCGGTTCAAGAAGTACTATGTACGTTAGAGTAGATAGACAGCAACAGTTTAGTCAAACCCAATAAATAAGTAACCGAAACATACAAGGACAAAGCTTTTGAGGTCTTGGTCACAGTATCGCTCGACGGTGTCTTGGACTAGGTGTGGGATATAGTTTACGCTGCGGTATAGCCAAAATGGAAGTTTTCTCGGTGTTTCAACTTGATTCACGACAATGATGAACAAGGACGGGATTTAGCGCGCAATTGGGGCGACTGCCGTCATAATATCTCGCGCTGATTTTCATCGACGTGCTTTTATTCGCGAAGCTTTGGAAGGAATCTGCCAGACGGAGATTGCTTTGCGTCTCAACTTGTGAGCCGTGCGATGATGATGATGATGACGGTGCAGAAACATACTCGAGACGTACCAAGCCCACTTCAGTTGGCGCCTGAGATGCGTATGTCTCTTCGGGCTGCACCCCATTCTCGTCCCAGTCGATGTTGGGCACGAACTCGCAGTTCAGGGCGATAAATTTGCTGTGCAGCCGAAAGCCTTCGAGCCTGTCAAACGCTATGGATTTATTTCTCGAGTAGACAATCCACGGCGCTAGTGGAAGTGTTGTTTGTGCCCAGGAGTCTTGTTGTTCTGAGCCAAACCCCAAGCCAGTTGAGAATCTATCGAGTGGGGCTGAGTATGAGACTTATGATAATGCCTTAAAAAGCGTATTTGATGTTTGCTACATAGTTGAAAGATACAGGCGATCGGGACAATCTGTGGATGACTGTGGGACCCCAAAATATAAATATAATACATGGCTTGGTATATGGTCGATGACAAGTGGGCTCAGTATAATGGTTTTCTTTTGTAACTCCGCAAGTTGAGAGCATTTGGGAACTCGAACACTAAGTCGAGATAAGCATGGGTGCTCGGTGCGTGGCTGGACTTACGAGTTGAAACTTTCCAGCCATGACGGCGACCTCATATATGGGCAAGTGTGGCCTTCAGTTTAGAGGGATACAAGGCACCCAAGCACGGAAAGGTTAGTGTATTTAGGGGGCCCCAGGGGGCCGATTGGGCAGTCGCTTCCCACGCACCTTCGTAGTACCAATACAGCCCCCAATACTCGGAATCCGACAGTATGTACCATTATACAGCGGGCTACTTCGTAACTCTAGCCTTGAGCAGGCTCATCACGCCAAAGTCCGTCAAAGCAGAAAGAGCCAAGCCTGTCCCAGTCCAGGCGAGATATTTACGACTCCAAACCAACGCCATATTATGCCACGCCGGTTCGTTTACCTGTTCTTCTCGGCCCTCCATTTATTTGTCCCCTACACGCAGTCTTCCGACTAGTTGCCTTCACTGCCAAACTCATGGGTCCATTCGGCATTCCGCGTGAGATCCGCATTACTGACTGTTGGCCGCGATCCCTTGATGGCCTTCACGAAATCCTTGAAGTCGACGAGCGGCTCGAGTAATGCTTCGGCCTCGATGTCGTCCCATGTCATCTCCTTGGCGCCTGGATCGCCGGGACTACAGGGTGTCACGCGGACCACGCCATCTTTTTGTACCTGTTCCTTACGTTAGTGATTTGCTGGAATGTGCGAAACGGAGATGAAAGTAGTTACTCGCCTCCTTAAAATGTGTAGCCTGTTGAATCTTCCGTACTGGCTGCATTAAGGCATCCTGCACGGCAATCGTGATATCACTTCCCGAATAACCCTCAGCCAACTTGGCCAACTCCCTGTAGTCGTCGGACTTCAGCGTCGTCGGCGTCTCGCCTATTGCGATCTTGAACATGGTAGTTCGCGCGGCAATATCGGGCAAACTAATGTGAACTCGTCGCTGGAAACGTCTCCGGATGGCCGCATCGAGTTGCCAAGGGATGTTCGTCGCACCCAGAACCAACACACCGGTCGAGTCGTTGCCCACGCCGTCCATCTGCACCAGCATTTCCGTCTTGATACGTCTGCTTGCCTCCGATTCACCCTCGCCTCTCGGGCCACAGAGGGCATCGACTTCATCAATAAAGATGATCGAGGGCTTGTTCTCGCGCGCCATGGCAAACAGTTGCTTGACCAATCGCTCACTCTCACCCATCCACTTGCTGACCAGATCCGAACTGCTCACACTGAAAAAAGTACTATTCGCCTCAGTAGCCACAGCCTTCGCCAAATAACTCTTTCCCGTTCCCGGAGGTCCATACAGCAGGATGCCCTTCCACGGTTTGCGCTTGCCCACGAACAGATGCGGGAATTTGATGGGCAGCAGAACCGCCTCCTTCAGTGCCTCCTTTGCGCCATCAAGACCCGCGACGTCGTCCCACTTAACATTTGGTCTGTCCTGAAGAATGGCTCCCGCCAGCGCATTGCGCAGTTTCTTACTATCCTCGTCAATTCCGTCCTCTCCATCTTGTTTGCCTTTGCCGGTTCCGCCCGTCGTGGAGCCGTTAGCACCTACCATTCCGGGTTTCTTTCGCTTTGCATCGGCGTCGGAGAGATGAGCTTTGAGCTTTTCGGCGCGGTCCATGTATTCAGCCGTCTTGGAGCGGATCATTTCCTTGGATTTGGGATTCTTCTCCCATTTGAGCGCGAGCATGAACAGCTCGAGAGATTGGTAGTACAGTTGGTATGCCTTGTCGTACTGGTTTCCGTTATCGGCATCGATGGCGCGGCGGACCGTGTCGATCGCCCGGCCCAGGAAGTCGGTGTTGGACATCTTGAGAATAACAGTCGGTTCGCAGATGGGAAGTCTGTGCTCGTGGGCGTGGAAGAGAAATGGAGGCAGTGGCGATGGAAGGGTCAATCACTGGCTCGAAGCCGAGTTTCGATTGCCAGAATGTTGGGGATGTGTCTTTGAAATAGACAAGTGAGAAAAGGGACATTCAAGCGCTTGCGACGAGGAGGAATGTTATGATGTGACGTTTGCTCGGCCCAGGGTTCATGGCGGTGTCGAAGCTGGATGGATTGGCAGCCTTATCGCCAAAGATGGAGATGGAGGGGTTGCTAGGTTGATGGTGCTTATTGACCCACCCCCACGCTGATTTCGGCACCCCTAAAGCAGACACCACCACAGCACGCACGCCGGATTTTGCAATTCCAACAGGCGATTCAAGCAAGCTCGGAAGCCCAAATATCGCAGTCAACTGGACCATTTAGACTTCACTGGGCGCGTCGCCTCTTGATTTATTTGGAATAATCTGTGAAATTATACCAGCTGACCACGATTGCGCATCATTTCAGTCTCGTTTTCGCTGCTCTGTGGCCTTGCGTAAGCTCCCCCAACTTCCATCATGGCGGAGATCCAAGCCAAGCTCCAGGAATTGTCCGACGACTACCAAAAGCTTCAGCAAGGCAAGCCCCCAAACTCCCAGGTGTGAATCTCTACTTATAATTTATCAACAGAACTGCAAACAGCTGTCCAGTCTCGGCAAAAACTGCAGGCACAGAAAACTGAAAATGAGGGTGTTTGGAAGGTGCTTGTGGCCCCCGTTTTTACGTAGACTGCAGACTAATGGATGACAGGAGTTTGAGAATCTGAAGGATGATGAGAACATCTATAAGCTAGTTGGACCCGTGCTGCTGAAGCAAGACAAGGTCGAGGCTGAGGGTACCGTCAAAGGCCGACTTGAATTCATTGGAAAGGAATTGTATGCTGACCCACGGTGACCTAGCTGAGTGCTTTTTGCTGATTGCTACTACAGGGAAAGGACGGAGAAACAGATCAAGGAGGTGCAGGAAAAGATTGAGAAGAAGAAGGGGGAGATCATTCAAATACAAGCTGCGGCTCAACAGGCCGGAGGTGTACCTGCACCTGTTGCTGCGAAGGGATGAAGAGAGGAAACGACAATGGATCCGTACTGACCGACAAAGCTGTTCCGGAATTTAGCACTTGCTGATGGTGCAGGACGTTCCATTTCTGGATGAGACCATGCTGGATGTCCGACGGATGGAGACCTGACAGCGTTCATGAAGATCACCAAGCCACATTTGATCCAAGCGATTTCAAACCAGACAGCTTTGATAGCTTCATCTCAATGAAATCAAAGTTCACTGCAGACGCAAACACCAGTCATCACTTCTTATGTTAGCTGTCTCAAGCCGGCAGAGCCTCTTGCAGTGGCAGAATGAATAGACAAGGAGATGTTGTCATTCCACACAGAAATACCATCTGCAATAGTGCTCAGCATTATAGTGGCACAGGAGGGTGACAATACCAGCAATGAATCGCATGTGCTCAAGTGCGAGTCAGCACAAACTGGTGAAAAGCTGCTTCTACACTTTAAATACCTTTACACAGCAACTTGAATACTTAGGTAAGTAAGTACGCATCAGTCTAGACTATTTGTGCAAAGAAACCAACTGCCTGTTGCAGGTATCTCGACGTTATGTTGCCGCAACAGAAAGGCGCGATTGTGGCTTGCCAGCAATGACGTTGGGGATGCCCCACTAGGAGCCCGCGGGGCACTTTTGACCCATCACATCAACCCTGATGGCGCGTCGTCGGAATTCAGGTCCTAATTCCATGTTCAACGGCGTCGCACACAGCCGTGATGCAGGCAGCAACAAGTCCACCCTGAAAGAGCAACGATTTATTACTTCATTATTCCCGCTGCTGAATGGAAATATTATCCGGAGACACCGGCTTGTTCAGACGGACCAGGACGTCGTCGCGATGGACGAAGAAGAGCCGACCCGACCGCAGAGTATCAAGGAGATTTCGAAACAGGCTGAAGACTTCCATTGGAATGGGACCCTGCCACTGAAAGCATGGGCTCGTACGGCGAGTATGCTGGAGAAACAGGTACAACCGTTGGGACCTCTGCCTGCCGCGACGCACATGGTTGAAGTGCGGCTTGCTGACTGTCCCAGGCCGGCATCTACCTTCAGGAACGCAACTTCGGCGAGGCGTACATGATCTACCTGCGCTATTCAATTCTCTACCTGGACTATCTCGTCAAATACCCAGGATCTAAGACCTCCGAAGGCAAGAAGATCCTACGCCCTGTCGCGGAGAGATTACCCAACGTTCTCTCGAATCTCGAGAAAATACGACCCATCGTCGAAAAGCAATACAACGAATGGGAGGCATCCGAGGCTACGAGGGGAAAGCATAGAAAAAAGGAATTTACAAAGCCGAAAACGCCCTACGAGAAACATGCATCGAGAGATCCTGCCTTGTCGGCCAAGAGCAGGGTGCTTGATGCCAGTCAGAATCAGGAGCTGGCTGTCGATCTAGCACAAAGGGAGATCCGCAAGCGCGATGCTGCCAGGAGAGCAACTCGCCAAGCTGGGGTATCGGCCGAGGAAGAGCAGCATCGGCGGATCGCCGGATTCTGGGATAACTGGACAGATGATCTCGCCGACAAGCAGACCGAAGATGAACAGGCCTTCCGGAGGCAAATGGAATCGACAAGGAGGACTGGTAGGACCCAAGATGATCATATCAACGACTTTATTCAGCGTATGAGCCGGACAGAACGAGAAGCGAGACCGGAAACCCCTTCGCGAAACAGCTCTACAGCGTATCACTACCCATCCATATCCAAGTCTCAGCCCGTGCAATATGAGACGCTACAGCCTACAAGGCCTCAGAAGGAACCACCGCTACAACCGCCTAGACCACCCAAAGAGGACATTTACCGCTCCCAGTATCGCCACGCAGATTCCTCCCTTCCCCCAGAGCTCCCAGCAAAAGAGTTGATATATCCTACCCCTGAACCATCTCAAGAACCGCCGCAAGGGCCTCCAGAGCTACCTCCGAAGATATCCGAAGCGCCAGCGGCCCCGTCGCCGCCATCCGAATCTCTGCAACGACCCACCTTCCGTGCTGCTGCGTATCTTGAGAACGGCGAACCCATCCGTTCCGTGTTTCTTCCTGCGCAGCTTCGATCCGAATTTATGGCCCTGGCCGCCGATCACACGCGTCGTGGCGTCGAGATGTGCGGTCTTCTGTGCGGAACCGCCGTTAACAACGCGCTGTTCATCCGATGTCTGCTCATTCCCGAGCAGAAGTGCACGCCTGATACCTGCGAGATGGAGAACGAGAGCGCCATGTTTGACTACTGCATGAGTGAAGACCTACTGATGCTGGGCTGGATACATACACATCCGACCCAGACCTGTTTCATGTCTTCCAGAGACCTACATACGCAAGCTGGGTATCAGGTCATGCTGCCGGAGAGCATAGCGATCGTGTGTGCGCCACGATTTGAGCCGTCGTAAGTTCATTTCTGACCAGGTGATAGATAGTCAGGGCAAGACCTAATTGTGTGCCTCCTAGATATGGCATTTTCAGACTTACAAACCCTCCGGGCTTGCCTCATATCCTGCACTGTACCCAGACCGCCACATTTCACCAGCATTCAATCGACAACTTGTACACTGGCGCTGAAGAGCCAGCCGGCCACGTATACGAGAATGATAGGCTCGAATTCTACGTGCACGACCTCCGGCCAGGAAAGGGCAATGTTTAGAAGACCGATGATCCAGACTGCAGCAACGACCTGAGTTCCTTCTCGTCCCTCAGCGAACTCTCGGAACCTTCATCTCTCGAGCCGGAAGTTGTCCAGGCACCCGAGCAACCGGAGGGACAGGCTTCTGGGGGGTTGCCCACCAATGCGGCGGCACGGCAGCAGAAGCGTAGACCGAGCGAGTCCAGCAGTGTTTAGGCAAGTGCATCTGGACGGGTGGAAGGGTTGAGCGGCGGCGGTGGAGGGTTGTCTACAACTACGAGGCGAGTGGTGAAATGGTGGACTTGTGGGCTTTGTCTTTGTTCGTGGAGGAGGCTGTGGGGTCGCAAGGGGAATGGGGAAGGGAAGGGTAAGGGGCATAAGTTGGCGTAAGGGAGAGTAGAATAGGGCATGAGCAGTGTTTTACTTTCTGATTTTATTAGGGGCAATGGCATTAAGATGGCGTCGAGGCGGCTTGGTGTAAGCAGCACAAGTTTACACAGCAGAGGCAACAAATGATGCTTCTTGATACCGGAAGCGTGGTTTCAGGCCGTGGATATGTAGAGGACTGACTCTAAGGATGCGGTAGTACACCCTGCTGTGTAAAGAAGCGTAGTATGATGCTAGATTCTTCACATGAGCTCGCGCGTGGCATACGACAGGGTCATCGACGGACTCTTCAAGGAGGAATGCATCCGGATTAATGCTATGACTGCTTGTTCCCACACTTCTAGCTAACAGAATGACAAGCATCCGCTGCCGTGATGGTGAGTGTTGGATTTTCAGGAGTAGGGTTCTACTAAACTCGCGCGTAGCTGTTCCTACAGTTACATATTGGCGCGTTCTGGTGTCCTTTCACAAAGGAGGATCGTATCCTGGCCAGATCAGGGGAGTTTCGGCATTAGTATTGCTGCTTGGTCAGACAAAAACCCCTACCTTGGCAATCGCCTATACAGCCTGTCCAGATCACATGCAATTCGAGACCTAAATGAAAAGACTTGAATCTCAGTTAATGGTTTGTACGGGACTATGAAGTATGCTATAGCAGACATGTACTTAGCAAGGCAATATAGAGGACTACAAGTATTGTCTTGGGGTGACTATATCCTAATTATGCAACGACAGCCGATTGGCTTTGTAATAGATCCTAGCGATCGGAGAGTAATATGTCATGCGGCATAATGTTTTGAAGACTTTTCTTGCGGCCTGATCTGTCAACTGGATTGTCGTCAGGCTCACAGGTTGTGTGGGTCTATGCCTTGCTCTCTATCCAGATATAAGATAGATTCTTGTCACCATATACCTCCTTACTCATCTTTCCTTCATATGGGGAGTTCAATGGTGCTCACGAGAAACCTCGAGCACTGTATTGAGGACACCCGTTCATTTGTCCAAGACTTGATAATCACAGCTAGAGACGACAATGTGCGTCGGATAAGTGACATCCTAGCTAATCGGGGCTTCATAAACTCAATTAGAATGGGCTTAGATCAATCGTAAAAGTCCAAACCAAGGTTCCGTCCACCCGAGAGCCCTTGCCAATAAGATTCCGAAGGGCTATGTCGGATTCTCGGCCAGCCACGCTCGCAGGACCAGGAAGACAGTCGGTGTTTTTATGGCAGTGTCACGCGATCTCCTCGCTTACTCCCTTCTGGATTAACAGTGTGCTGGGGCGTTTGCAAGGCGAAATGGTGTGGCTCATCCTTGACCGACCGACAGACGTTGGTGTTATGGCGTAGAAGGATTTTAACTCGATGTTTGAATGGCTCCCGAAGTTGCCGACGTGCATGAAATCTGCCAAAAGGGGGACAGCTGATGCCACGGCAGTAAGGTTAGGAATACTGTGCTTCAGGATACCTATATGATTGGTGTTGAATCTAAATCTGAAGAGATACACTAGTAGATACACAGCGTTGTGTTTTTACAAGAAGTTTGCTAGGGTACGCACTGGCTTCCTCACCAGATACCAGGGCTGAAAGGCTCAAACCCAATACTCGTACACATATAGCTAGCTTATACGCCTGTTAGTGGCTATTTTCTGGGAGGCTTTACAGCACCTGTCCCGGAGCGACCAAAGGTGATCAAGATTAGTTGGATCAAATCTTATACATTGAGGCACCCGGGCATGTTAGTGAATCCATGAGGCATATTCTGTTGTCGTCTTTTCTCATTTCCAGTATGTAATAACAGATCGGCGGCACCGAAAGGAACAGCGTGCTATAAAGTCTAGCTTATGTAGTAAAGCTTTCTCGCTTGGTATCAATATTCCCGCAAGAGTGGCGCTAGGGATTGAGGGTTCTGTAAAGTTAAGCTAAGCACGGCTTCAAGCCAGAGCGTCCTCGTGGGCAAGATTGTAAAAATTTAATGAGACCTAGTTAACAGCATCGCTTGCGGGATTCTCTCAACCCTTGGTCCGCCGAGCACATAGCCTTCATTCATACTGTTCGCACCTGGCTGCTACATGTAAATTTTGCAAAGCACGTAACTGCTTTCATATTGGCTGAATCCGCTTGGACTGTGCAAGTCTACGGGCAGATCTAACGGCATAGCCGCAAAGGAGATAACTCGGCACATCAGATGAGCTCAGGAACTCTCGCTATCTATTTCCCTCTTGAGCGAAGTGTCTCGGGCTTGTCACATGCTAGTCCATGGAGGGAGTCTACAATCCGCTAGCTTCGGAACTCTTGCGCATGTACATTCTAACCAGGGTGCTGCCATCCGTAACGGTCCAGGCGCACTATGACGTATTAATATATTACACTGGGCACACTTGAACGAGCTACACCAAGGCTATAAGCCTTGGTATGGAGCCAGGTAATACCAAAAAAAGGAAAGTGTTCTCTTTGTCGGCTTGACTTGTTTTGAAGATAAGTGTATATGCTTCTTGAGTCAAACAGGTTCTCACCTTGTCGTAGTAGGTTATAGGTCACAAGTAACTTTCAATATGATTCGCATCTATCGCTAAGTTCACAATGCTGATACAGCATTGGTGATTAAGCATTATACTTCCCCACATTCTAGCTTCAGAAACAGTTTTATATTACCGCCTTCCCTATGGAATACCAACTTCCATGTCTAAACATCGTCTTACAGAACTGAAGCCCTGCTTCTATTTCTAGATACGTCTTGAACAACTTGACACCGCCTGAGCGTTGTACTAGCATCGGTGACTTGAAGAAGATCACTATCATGTCCCCAACCGCGCCATTCACGCGCAGATCCTTACCACCTGGTAGCTCCCTTGCTCGCCGCCCGTAGTCCAAATGTGCATAATTCTCATTGCCAGCGCCAAGACGTAAAAATGCTCGCAAATATTATGGACAGCTTCGGCCGGCCTTCTATCCATGACCAATCTCTACATGAGGTCAAGCCGTGGGCAAACCCCACCGACACACACGCCATACTTTTTATTGCCTGGCACATGTCGACCCTAGTAAGGGGTTGAAAACACGAATAGTGGCCCTACTGATCATCCTGGTTGCCCTTTGATCGGTTTGATCATGCTCACCATATTTTCAAACTCCAGATCAAGCTGGAATGGAGGACTTAATTATACAGTTGAGACACAAACTCCAGGAAGAGTGACCCGACAAAAGGGAAAGCAACCCCGTCGCAAGGGGGCTGAGTACCCTTTTCGAAAGTATGATAACTATAGCAACTTGCGCAATTTCTCGAAGTTTGTCATGCACTCAGTCCTGCGCTCCCACTCGATCACCACGCATGAGAGCTTATGAGAGTTGATTAAGTGCTATCTGTCTCGATATGATTATGTGCGTTGGTGCCATGTATATACCCTCTCTTTACACCAATCATCATATTCTCATCGGTAAAATTCCAACTGATTAGCGTCCAACATAACTCCACACTCAATAGTTCCCATCCACATATTTCTCCTAGTTGAAAAACTCTCCGGTGACATTTGTAAATCGCTTGTTAAAGTGCCATGAAACAAAGAGCGCAGATATACAAATGTATGTCTATCATGTTTTTAAGTGACCAATACATGATGAACAGATAAACATCGGACACGGAACTTTAGGAGTGCGTCTTCTGCTCCCATCTGTAGAGATATCATGTCAGTCGAGTTCAAGGTTGAGAAAGGTGGGTTCTACTCACAGATCCAGAAATAGTTTCCAGAGAATGGAGAACATAATTCCTTGAAGGCCATTGGCCAAGATACGTGTCTTGAGCCCACGACCAAAGAGGCCGGAGATGCCATCCTGGAGGACAACGAGCCTTGCGGCTTCCGCTGTAAACACACATATGTTAAGTCGAGTACCCAGCCGGGGTCAACAAGGGGGGTGGGGTTGGTTCTTACTGTAAGTGACTTTGGTATCATTGACTTGGCGATAAGTCTTGACAACTCGCAATGAGTTCGAGATGGAATCTGAAATAATGGATGCACAGAAGCCAATAAACGCCAAGCGGGCCAACCACCAGATAAGGGGGTGCTTGGGTGGCTCGGTGAGCAGATCGGTTAGGAAGTTGTACTATAACATCTTCTGTTAGTTATCGGTCAAACGTAATAAGACGAGTAGATTGGCCTCACCGTGGCAAACCAGGGATAATGCCCAACGAAGGTCGCAGCGGCAGTAGCAAATGCGCCCCACCAGAGACTTCCGACCCCGTGTACCTTGATTCGTTGACGAAGAAGGGCAGTTCCGCGAGCTCCCTGTGCTTGAAGGGTTGTTTTGAGGGTGTCGATAGGGGTCAGAATCATTCTGAACGCGGCGGCGCTGGAGTAACGTGTAAGCATGAAACCACAATAACGGGGAGGGCGGGGGGCATACCAGAGAGAAGCGAAGATGGTTTTAATAGGCGAGGGGAAGTTCTTCAAGTACGAGTTGGACTGCAGCAAAGCGAGGATTCCCGCGTTGGCTGCCGTATCTCCGAACCTTGATGCGGGACCTGAATATGAGTCAGATTCCGCGTTATAAAATCGGAAGTAGAATGGGGTGCTTGCCTTGAATGAGTGCAGCGCCGATTCCTTGATAATACCGTCTTATTCCACCGTCTTGATAAAGTGTGCCCGTAGCGGCGGTAAAAGACGAGCCATGACGGTACTGATAGTTCATAATAGTCCTCACCGGCTATACCAACAATTAGTCTCAATCAGATCAAACGGGTGGATGACGGTTGTATTACCATAAGAAGCAACACTTGTAAAACCATAGCCGCAGCACCACTCAACCCACCCCCAAGCGCTCGTTTGAGCGCACTTTTCAGGTCGAACTAGAACGATCACGCATTAGCGATAGGAGAAAAATGAGACGGGTGACTAAATCTCTCCCACCTCAACATCATCCGCATCCACCCACCCCTTAATGAAAACCGCTAGTATTACGGCTGCAACTACAAACCACAACACCCTCCAGAAATACCAGCTCCTCGTACGTTCCGGCGGCGGCTCGAGCAAAGCGGCCTGCTCGTGTTCAGCCTCGCCCGATCCATGATTCTCCGGCTGCGGCGTCTGTTGCTCGGGTCCACTCTGAGCTGTGTCTTTGAGCAGCGGAGTTTGCTCATCAGCCCGCTGCTGATTCTCTATGTCGATATTAGGAGGCATTCCGTGAGAAACTAACCTTGACTAGGACGAGTAGTGATGGAGTTGAAACTGGATCGAAAAGTCAATGTCGTCGGCATTTAGTGGTTGGTAATGCCCGCGTTTGCCAGGGTTAGTCAGCAGATTACGTGCGATAGCGTGCTCGGAGCCCCGCCAATCCGGACGAAACGGGGGAATGACACCGGAGCCGCCGGATATAACGATGGCGGGAAGTGCCGTGTCAGGTATGTCCATGAGGACTATAAGTGATAGCTTGTCTTCTGATGCAACTCCTCTTGCGTGGGGCGCAGGCCGCATCTACAATAGCACGATGGTTTCCTATCTAATCAGGCGCTCGTAGACGAAAACGGACAATATCTCTGCGACTTATACCAGACTTATAATCATGCGGCTTGTCATTCTACTGAGGTAGTCACTTCGTTGGCTCAAATGATATCAGGTAAGCCGGCGGGCAAAACAAGACATCGAGGCCGAAATAAAATCTATACCTCGTTTTTCATCTCAGCAGTGTACTCTTCAAAGTAGTCATGTTGTTGCGTGCCCCAGGCACATCGCCTGTGTGCGGCGCTTGGGCCAATTGCCCATGGATAGCCCTCCCGTAGCTGCAGCCTTTGGGACTTAGTCCCATCGTCATCACCAACAATACAACCCTCTTGCCTGTACTACCAACACATGTGTACATAGAGAATAAGATTGAACGCTCATAACATATAGTCATATCGATTAGGTTCAATCTCAGTGACTATTTGCCAGAGGTGGCCCGCGCGTGGTCACCACTACTTCTTGGTTCCAATCCACCAGCACTAGCCTAGCTTTCCTTAATACATCACACTTCTATCTCTCACTATTCATGTGTTCATAGCATAGGCTATAAACCTGTATAATTTATCGGATTTCATGCAAGCCATAGTAAGCCATTGAGTTGAATATCTCTGTCCTCTCAAATCAACAGAGTGAAGGTCGCCATAAGTGCCTTGAGTATAGAAAAATGTGCCTAGTGGTTGCCCGTTCTGAGAGTGCTGATCACGTCTGATCATGACAGTGGGTGATACACCAGAGGATTTGGGTCATAGGGCCCAACATCCGGTCAACTGGCTGTTGTAGCTGGAAGCGGGAAAATCGTCGTGGGGGGGGGGAGAGGGGTGGAAGGGGGGTGGAGGATGGTCAAAGGCTGGTGCGGTCCGATATTAGTCCACCAAATTCTGGTGCTAACTGGCTCTTTTCCGTCTCACATAAGGTTCAATGCGTGATTAAATGCGAAGGGAAAAGGTCTAGATCTTCAAGTTGGCGATGACTTCACCAGTATTCGTGACCATCTGAAGTCTACAACGAACATCTTGAGATAAAAATCCGATCTTCGCGGCACCGATTGATGGTTGTGTAGGTCGTCGGGTCTACTAACTATTATAAACGTAACAGTAAGTTTCATCTCATCCTACTCATATGCTTCGGTCCCGACATTATGAATGACACTGTCAACCTCAGCATCAACTCGTCCACTGTAGAAATACTTCGTACCTATATCAAATAACGTATCTGCACTCGCAAACGCAGCCCTCAACGGAAAGTACTCCCAGCCAAACCCATCAAAACCGTCCTCTTCACGTCTGATGAACCAAGTCTCACCAATAAACTCTTCACACAATCGTCAACATGAGCCGAGTATCCAACATCCTTTGTTTAGCCCTGACCTGTCTAGTCACCCTGTGCCTACTCCCATCCCAGGCCGAATCGGACGACAAAACCTTCTGGGTGGGCGCCTCAGAAGCTGTCAAAGACGGTGTAACTGACACGCAGTTCTGGGCCATCGCCAAAAGTCTAGACAAAATATGCACAGAATCGACTCCAATGAAAACTACCTGTGACGCCGACTACGCCGTGCAAGTTAGCTTGCCCAATTTCTGCGGTGGCAAAATATTTGGGTTCAAGAGCTGCGATACGAATATTATCTCGCAGGAGCTGTGGGATGTGGAGGCGAAGAAGGTGGTAGGGACTTGCGTGGATGCGTTGTACGATGTTGTGGATACGGAGTGTGGGGGGAGGTCAATTCAAAGTTGGGAGAGGTGTGGGGTGCATGATGGGGTTTGCTAGGTGATGAAAGTTTGAGAGTGACTGGGAGGGAGGCATGACTTATTGCTAACGGGTTGGGGTCGGGGCCGAATGATATAGACGAAGGTGGAGGCTTACTGAGAGCATGCAGTAGTGTTGGTGTTGATGGTTACTCATATTTCATCCGGTGTTACTACTCTGTGTGTAAGCAGAAGAAGTAACAGGCCTTGAAGCCCAATATGATTTCGTAAACCCAGATTAAATACCATTACCCAATGATCCTTTTCCTGGTGCTCCATGTAAGGTGGAAAGGGTTGTGATGAAATATTTGTCACCTTGTCATTGTACTAACATGATTCCGAGATAAGAGAGATATATACATTTTTACTTAAATAACACTGAATTCCTAAAGCCTACTACATATGCTTTCGTCGTACAGCCGTGGTACCATCCCTGGAACCATCTCCACATCAACTTCGTCCAAACTCCCTTGATGAGGTTGATCCGCAAAGCCGATCGGACTGTCTACGTACTCCCCCCACTCAACATCAGTCATCAATTGCTCAGGCTTGATCCTGTTATTCCCCTTGGCGAGATTTTCTCCGCAAAATACAGCAGAACGCAATTGCAACGCAGAAGCTCGCCACGCCAACTATCCCAAGATGTCAGGGTCTTCTCGTTCACAAAACCGGTCTGTGATAACTGTTTGGTGACACTAACGATGGCTGGGTTAAGAAATAATTACAAGTATGGGTTCAACAAACCATAGAAAGCGTGCGACTTGCCGGAAGACGTGCCGGGACGAATGGTCGAAAAAGGTGATTAGTAGAGCTAAGTTGACTCGGAAAAAAGTGTGCAGGTAATGGTCGGGCTCGAAGAAACGGCTACTTGCACCGAAGCAATGAACGTAGCCAAACAGCTCCATATTGTGAAATTTTGGAGGGCCGGGTACAGGACGAAGGGCATACGGGGAGCAGAAGATAGTTCAACCCGTAAATGCTTCGCGACGCCTCGTGGCTCATTGCTGCAGCATAATCCAGGATATGAGGCAGATGCATCTGGAGTTGACCATTGGTGATGCAGCTTGTGGCTCCAAGGGGGAGAAATAGAGGCGAAGAAGAGAGAGCATGGCAGTATGGACAGCCCAGCAATGAACCTTAATTATATCAAACTGGCAGCCCTTTTAGACTTTTTCCGCGCCTGTTTGTGCCCCGACTAGAAGGTTGAAAGAGCTGATTGCAAAGGAGGATTGCCGCATGAAGATTAGGTCGCCGATCTGAGGGACGAGGGCTTATGCGCTATAGAAAATGGTGAAGATTATTGGCCATGGTTGTTAAGGTTGGCATGGAGCAGGTTTATGTCGACAGAGAGTCGGCGAGTACAATATTTAAGAGGATTACGGGTCTAGTGCAGCAGAAGTCTTTTTGAGGGTGTTTGGTTCGGTGGTAGGTTGGTAGTAAGACAGCGCAGCAGCTGAGTCACTGCAAGGGCTGCCCGAATCCTAGAAGAGAGGCGTATCTTTTGTAGATATCCGAGATCTGGTGAGCTTAGTCGAGGACGAAGACCCGAAATCTAAGACTTGGGGGTCATATTCTAGCAGCGCAGCGTCTCCTTTATATACTCGGATGAGTCTGGAGCGTATTTCATATACGATGACATACTCCAATATTACATGTTCACCATGTCCGATCAACTGCGGCCACATGTGCGATTGGCCTTTTTGAGACCGATCCTTGTGTTCTTGTGCCGCGAGCGTGCCTGCATTGCGACGTTCTTTGCCACTTGGTTCTCTTTCTTCGTAGTATCTCAGGGAGTCTAGGAGATTTAATTGAGTGTGATGCGGAAGTTGGACGGTTCAGAACCTTGACCTGTTGTTCCAGATTGGGTGTCAACTCGTGTGTAACATCGGTTATCAGCCACTCAGGAATAAGAGCCGATCTTTGACAGGGCTATCGCCCCTGATATATGATTTGGCTCGTAAATGGGGTGACTGAGAATCCGGCTACTCTGCATCCTCATTTCATTTTCTTCTCGTAGGTATGAAAATACAGGTAGAATCTGTCACAGGATCAGGTCCATCTCATCTGTTGTCAGACTGACATGAAATTGTTTCTGGAGGGTCATGATAGCGATTGTAAAGGCAGACAGGCTCTTCGGCCCCATAGGAGAATTACCTTGATGTAAATTGTGCTCATCCCGTGGTCTTCTCCCTAATATCTCCGCGCCCAAACGTTTGGTAAAATTCGTGCTCGTCCCAAGTTTCATGTTAAACGTTTTATAAAACAAAATAGAAGCTAAGGCTATAATATTAACTGCGAGAACCATGGTTTTAGTGATCTGAAGAGTTCTCAGGCTTATCCAGATGCCGCTATCAAACCCCCGGACGCTAGATGACAGGTCGGGCACAGAGCTTTGGTAGCAGACAACGAATCTACAGCTACGGACGAGGGGTATTGTTCTCGCATGGAATTAGTTCAAATCTAGGGAACTCCTACGTTAACAGTATGTTTAGGGTCTTCAAGGTCTGGGCCGATGAAGTAACCAATCAATTTAATCGTTGCTGGTCGTGGGAAAGTGTGGCCTCTGTTATAGAGGGATACAAGGCACCCAGGCTCGAACTAGTGTATTTAGAGACTCGCAGGGGACGGACGGTTGGGCAGTGCTTCCCGACAAACCCTCGTAATATCGATACAGCCCCCAATATTCGGGATCCGAAACTAGCACTAGAATTACCCCCAGCTCGACCTGAACTCCAGAGTAAAGCACCACCATTATAGGTGATCGAGAGACGAGTTTCTCGCTAGCCTTCTCTCAAATAACAGGGATGGCAAGTATCAACCCCCTTCTCACAAGCCGGGATAGCTGTAGTTTTACTATTTATGAAACCAGTACAGTTGCACAGATATACTCTAGATGGTTCTACAAGATCTGCGTCTCAGTTCCACGAATAGCTAGTCAGAATAAACAGCAATTGAAATTCGTTTAAACCTGCTGCAAGAAAAAGGTTCAAGTTGACATCGTGATAATGATAGCATCTACCAACCACCCGAATCGATCAGACGTAGAGCTTCATCACTGACGTATGTCACAGCCATTATTTTTCCTCCGATCAATGATGCATGAAACAATCCCAAACACAGTCTCCTCATGTCTATCAAGAAATTACGCTGTCCCAGTGACTTATGCCAGTTAGTTGGTCGCTCCTTCAGATAGAAACTGCCAACGTTCAAGCAGGAGTAACCCAACAGACCCACACCGACATAAAACATCTCCCCTAGATTTACCTGCGTATTTTCAGAACTGCCAAACAACACGAGCAACTCTACCTCGAAAACGAGAAAACCTGACAGGATTTGTAAAACAACCTGCTCTATCATTGATAATGGACAATCAAAAGAACGACCCCGAAATTATGGCAGAGGAAACGACATCCCCTCAACGAGGACAACGTAGACAACCTCTCATAGCCCGCCGACATAGACCGTCCTCACGACAAGATGAACCACCAACAGGACTTCTTTCGACTATCCGCCTTTCCGTAAGCCCAGACTCTTTTCCGCCTCAAGCAGAGGATAAGCCCCACGCCTCTCGAGACGCCCCTCCCCATCCTCCTCCAGCCATGGCAACCGCCGCACTCCAACGAAGGACTGCAGTATTTGACCAACAAAGCCACGCACTATTCCATGATACGGAATCATCGCAAACCCTTCCGGCCGATGACAGCAGTGAAGATTCGCCATCCTCTGTGGAGTCGAAGCAAGCCGAAGTCCAAGCCGAGCTTTACAAGATGTCCGAGGTGCTGGACAGGAATGAGGAGGCCTGGAGCGAGTTCGTCTCTGCGGCGGTGTCGTTCGGAAAGATGTTGCGGGATACCAATGCGCGGCTTGAAGACTTTGGAAAGGGCATTGGGAAGGCAAAGGCTATTGGCGGAGTGAGCAACAGCAAGGGCTTGTTCGGGGGGTGTTCTGACGATGGAGAAGGGGGAGAGGGAGAGAAAAGGGGCAAGAAGAAGCGAAAGAAGAAGGGCAAGAAGACTGGGCAAGGGAGGAAGGAAGAGTAGACGGGGTATTTAGCTTGGCGCATGATTGGATCATAGTAAACGAGACCAAAAGTTAATACTGTACAGTTTAAGTATGGGTAATCTACTCTAATAGACCCCCTGTTACTCTACATAATATCCGGCCATGCCATTACTCCCATGTGAAACCTCCAGACTCAACCCACGCATCATAATCATCATTTCTATCCTAAAACTCCATCGAGTCTTCATCCCGCTCCCTCTTCACTCTCGGATCCTTCTCATCCTTCATCAAAGCCAGCACGAAAGTACGGAAGTAATCAACATATGGCTTCAGCGACGTCTTCTCCCAATCCTGCATTCCCTTTCCTTCCTCTCCCTTCCACTCATCGATCTCACTCAGCAGCTGTTGGACGGTGGGCACAGCCAATGGGTCGAAATTCTCCAGTTTTCGCGTATCAATGGGCACACAGACCCTTCCCGTCCCCGGGTGAACCACAAAGGGACTTTTGAGCAAATGGTTGAGCTTCTTGGAGACTTCAATATCGAGACGAGGGTAGGTGTACTCGAGTACGATATCTTGCTTGGCTTCAAGCAGAGCCTTGGCGTCTAGGGATTTGGATGCTCCTGACTTAGCGAGGGCATCGATGTCGGCCCATTTCTGAGCCGATGCGCGGCCAGGGGAAGAGTTCCATTTTGCGCGAAGTGATGCATTGAGACCGGAATCGGGGAGGAGGGAGAGTAGATGTTCGGAGCGGTCGTCAAGAGCCCAGGGATCTTGGATAGAGAGAATGTCGCTCTGGAAATGAGGGGCTAAGATATCGAGGGAGCGACTGCTTCATGTTAGTTTGCACTTTTTCTTCAACGGTAGAAACGCAAGCAAACCTTAGATGTGGGTGCAACGGCCTCCTAACGTTGACCTTCTTTCCACCTTGTGCACCTCCTCGCACCACCTCAAGATACCCAGCAATCGCCCGCCTCTTTTGATCATCCATCGCCCGCGTCTTCTTGTCACAGACCCACGCGTGTGCACCTCGTCGTCCGGAGTATACCCACATGATATGCTTGAACCCAAAGTCTTCTCGTAGCGCCACGTCGATAACCTTGATAGCCATCGTCATGAAACTCCAGCATTTGATACAGATATTTGCCTGATCACAGCACGTTCGGATATCGTCATAATCTGTCAAATCAATATCGAAGCACAGCTCCTTGGCCAGAGGCTTGAAGGCGGAGCTGTTCTTCATCTGCTTTCGGTCGCGCGGGTTGGTTGTGTAGACAGGCCCGATTTCGAAACGGACCGGGAGAAGCTGCAATATTTCTTTTCGCAGGAGGTCGGAGGTTGGGAAGGATCGGTATCGCAAGTACGCGTCACTTCTTAGTGTAAGGGCGAACTCGCGGTGGGCGAAGTCGTTGGTAGGTGTCGGGGCATGGTTCAGCCACTGGAATAGGTGTCGCCAGGGAAAGAGGCGCTGGTAGAACATGCGCAATACTTCGGGATCTGACGCCTTTCCTATAGGACCAATTTCTCTGCTCACAATCAGTACAGCTTTTTTTTAGGAACACATAAGCGACGGAGCTCACGTTGGTGAAGACGGCGCATCGGAGGAGCTGCTCTGTGGGGTTTGTTGTTTCGGTCGCAAGCTGGGGAACTCGTCGTCTGAGTCGACATCTCCAAAGAGGTCCTCGAGCTTGACTTCTTTCTTTTCCTCGCCGTTGACACAGTCTGTAGTCGTAGGCAGAGCAACTGGCTCGGCCATCGTGATATCGCCGTTGGAGTTGTCCTGGGTGTAGTCGTTTGGCGTAACCTCCGCCATCGTCGCTCCTGTCCCAGTGGGGTGGATTTCGGCTTCCGGTGACTCAGAATGGGGCATTTTGGTCGTTCTCAAGATATGAATGAATATGTCGCGTGGGCTTTCAATCCGTTGTCTCGCTCAATTGTGGTGAATAATGGAGTTGGAGGGTCGTTTAATTGGCAAGGGAAACCGCGTCGAAGACGCGTCTCGCGTAAATGGAAATATTTACATGTACCCCGCGGGGTGTGCTATGTTCAACGAGTATGGCAAGGATCATGCAACATAATCAAATTCCTTTCTTTTCTTCAGATGCCTAATCTTTTAGTCTCTGGCTTTACTCTATCTAATATGAAAACAAGTCTAATCTGAAAATATATTAATATATGAAGCTGGCCTAAAAAGGGTAGCGTGAACAAGACGACGGACCTTGAAACCCACCAAACTCGTAACTTCTTTCTTCCAGAGTGCCTCATGGAAAATAGGTTTACTGCAACTCCTTAGAATATCCAAATACATTAAACCACGTTGTGGACTTGTCATCCCCATAGCTTGAAGACACCGATCCAGTTTGATAGGCTTGCATTAAGTCGCTTGGGAGCAAACTTCACGAAATGCTAGACTCATTCAGCCCACAGCAATCCCTTATCCAACCAGACGAACCTTACCAAGGCATCCTGATTGCCTTTTGAAATATATTCTCATGTCGTCTCTCGCTGCCCATTGAGTTGGTTCCACGGAAACTACTTGAAGATGGAAACCCGACTGAATATGGAGGAAACCACTACTACGAAGAAATCGAAATTTTCTCAGTCCCTAAACCACGTATCGCAATTCGAGCTCATCAATCGAGAATGCTGGAAAAAAAAACTCCAACTAACTTTCAATTAACTAGCAGCATACACAATGTCGGACTTAGAGTCGGTGACATCGGCGAACCTGGAGCTCTGGGCGATTCGGAGATCCCGCTGGCCGAATTGACCATCCTGGGCAATTGAATTAGAAAAAAGAGGTGGACGGCAGGTACTCTTGAGCAAATTAAAATTATACGTTGACGTGTTCTAATGTGTCCCGGTAGCTTGTAAAGACGAGTGTTGATGTGCTCTAACTTATATTGATGTGAGGCCGCTGGAGCAAGGTGTCGATTATGGTTCATGGTGATTTGCTCCCTGACTGTATCAAACTCTTATTATGCTATGGCAGCAAGGGGGAAACCGTTTCTCCTATAGACGAAGATCCCGAAGTTTTTGGTCTAGCCTGCAAATTTATGTACGGCCAAGGTCTTCCACGGGTTGACTATCTCATCAATATCCGGCCCATATCGATATCAGCGCTCCTATTCTGTCACAGTACAGCCCGTGATTAGTTACGTCGCTAGAGAGACCCGAGAGGAGAAGTAGCTGCATATTCCATCTCTTTCTTTATCTACCACGAGGACGAAATGCGCAACCCGCAGTGTCCGAACTCGCTTGACCCACCCCATCTCTGCTCCAAAATAGATTTCAGAAAGTCTCATCAAGGAAGATACGTCTTCCAAAACTACGGCAGATGCTGTGACACTTTCTATCCAAGTAAACCACATCTTTTATCGAAGAACGCTAGTCTGATACAGTTGATGCCGCACGCGCAAAGGTTTGCCAGCAAGACTCAGAATTGTCAGGGTACGGCTAGGCCGAAGGCAATAGTACAGAGTGATGGGGAGTAACGGGCGTCCCTCCTACGTAATACCGGGTGGTTACTGGCGGTCTCAGGTAGGGGTGCCCACGGTGATGCATTGATCTCTGCCCTCTCTATCTTCCTCCGTCTCGACTCCTTACTTATAGCCAGCCGAGGTTCTCTCTTGGATTCTGGATGTTTGCTTCCGTATGTCTGTGTTCCTCCGACTTCGGCCAATATCTTGGACAGCGGCTCCTTATCTGCAACCAAGCGATTCCCTATCCGCTGCAAACGGCTTCAACGGCTCTCATTCGCCACAAGCGGCTCTCTAGCCGCCACAAACGGCTTCCTACCTGGTGGAAGCCGGCCCGCCTCGGATGACACTTGTGGCTCTGACAACTCCTTCCCTATCCTACTTCGAGATGGTCCTTATATAGATAGCTAGGCCGCCGCTTGGACCCGGCATAACAGCAGGGTCGGCGATGCCAAGGATCTTGACTCTCGTCATCCCAAAGCTTCACATAGATTGTAATCATGATTCGGGAGTCTTTTGTCCGAAACACCCCTCCGGCGGCCCGCCGGTGTCCTGCGTTCAGTGTCCTGACACCCACTGGTGCCTATGGCATTCTGTTCTCTGACAAGAATCGCCAGGCCTACCTCAACAGAAACACATGGTTTGCTCGGAATCATGTCAAGAGAGGAATAATAGGACCGATTCATATCAACTGGCATTGTTTAAGCTTGAACTTATGGCCAAGGCGCTCCAGTGGGGCGGAGCTATTCCATGCTGCCATGGATACACATTGTGCTGGTGGGAATCACTTGCACAGATCGTCGGTGCCTCTGGATCATATTGATCTGGTGTATACTGCTGCGGAATCGGGATGGTCTAGGGGATACGAAATACGTCATTACTACTGCGAGTCATCTATGAGACATTTCATCGCCAACGACGTCTTCTGGAGAAGCCAAGCAGATGCAACCCAGATGCCACATCTGGAGCTGGCGAATAAGCGTCGGGCTTTACTGAAAGATGTGTTGACCAGACAAGTGGGGAACATTCAAACATTCAAGTTTCAGAGTGTAGCACAAGCAGCTTCGACGCGGAATACATACTTGAGGTCTATTCCGGGATTCCATCATTTTCACAATTTTCTCTCTGCAGTCTTTACAAATGTCCAGAGGGTTGCATTTTATGAATTCAGCATAGTTTAAAATTACTTCAAGCCCCACCGGTGTCCCACCGGTGCCTATGGCATTCTGTTCTCTGACACTTACCAGGCGAAGTTCATCCGAGGGGAACGATCTGAGCTTCTCGTGAAAGCAGATGTTGTGGCAGAGAATATTGTCCGGCCATTCTCTCCCAAAGTACACCTGATAATGCCACATAGACAACTTCGAAATCTGCACCCTTTCGGGGCTTGAGTACGCAGTGATTTGTACGTCTCCTTGGAGAGACACAGGCTGACTAATTTCGGGAAGAGCCATGCTGTAAATGTTTGAAGACCTCGGGATTATCATCAATGAGGCTGAAGACTCCATCCGCGCTGCCTGGGACCCATCATTTGTGTTGCCGTTCAATCCATTGTTCGTGTTTCTGTTCGTTGCAGAATTCGCGACATGACCTCCGTCGAAATTGATAGACTTAGCCACGAGTAGTTGTCTGGGGATGATAAAGCAACGGTGTTTCTTCCTAACGAAAATTAAGACAGTCATAAAAATAAAGTGATCATTGAAAGAGATTGATTAGCAATGGGCTCTTATAAGACTCACAACCCATCGGAAATGTCGATCAGGCCATCACCTGTTCTGGTAACGTTGCCAGTTATGGTGTTGCTTGCCTGAAGGAGAACCTCAGAGTTCTTCCACGTCAGTTCCCGTGCTTCAGTGGAAGAATTCTAAGATTGCACGCATCGGAAGTGCTGAAGTATGGAGTAATTGACCAAGTCATGACTTGATCTCGTCCAAATGATCACTTAGCACATGGGGAAGACGCATTCACAAATTGTGTCGAGGATAAAAATAGGTCAAAAGTCCAATGTGAAGTGTTCAGAACGCACTGTTCAGGCAGACATGTCGACCTATAATTTCAACACAACCCAGATAAGTTCCAAAGAGAAGTGCATTGGGTTGTCAAAGGCGGAACTATGGTTCCCCCAAAGTATATCTTGGGTGTACCGAGGGGTAAATTTGTAGGCTGCACATGACATTAATACAGCGTCTATATGAAGGTTACAATACCAAATTTGAGATAGACTGCTCTAAAGCTTGGCATCAGAAGAAGGATAAATGCAAGGGGGGTATCCTATGGTTACATTTTTGTGAGGTTTGCCGAGCCAACGGAAGTAGGTCTCGACTAGGGGGCATCGGCACTTGTGAATAACTAGAGTTGCAATGGATGACAAGACCCCTGCCACTAAAAGGTGCTATCAGATGGGAAGGTCCGGCCAAGTACAAGGTCGAAGGCGTACAAAACCCGCAAGCCAGAAGTTAGCCATGAGACAAGGGAAAATACAACACTGTTTTTTAGCCTTCGCACTATATCTCTATCAGAATAGAAGGAGTTCGGGTTACTAGCAACGTTTGTTGACCCAACACGAGGAAGAGTTCACCCATCGGTGCAAGCCAGCCTGGATTTCTTTTCTAATGTCATCCACTCTGGTGTAGGGACGTGCGAGTCATGACACGATATGGAAGTCTTGGTTTGCGGAACAATCGGAGAAACTAGTGCTCCGCGGCTCCGACGCCGGGTTCTAGTTATCTATGTAAGGGGCGAAGGTCCGGGAAGAAGGTAGAGAGAGTAGAGATCAATGCATCATCGTGGGCACCCCTACCTGAGACCGCCAGTGACCACCCGGTGCTACGTAGGAGGGACGCCCGTTACTCCCCATCACTCTGTACTATTGCCTTCGGCCTAGCCGTACCCTGACAGTAAGCATGGCTTTTCACCCAACCGAAGGAGGCACAGGGAAAAGCAGTGTTCGCTACGGCGCCCACATCCCCCGTTGTTGATCAAGATCCATCGGCAAAGTCTTCAAATTCTCAAAAGGTGTGTTCCCCTGTAGCTTCGACACGGTCCCCTCTGGTCGTGCGTGTCACACATCGATAGGGCATATGCGGCTTTCAATGGAGACACCGACCGGACTGAGCTGGCGCCATGACCAAGTTTCTTTGACGACTACGCTTACACCTAGGATTCATAGAAACCTACATAAATTTCTCCAGTAATACCCTGCCTTCTTACGGGATTTTATCAAAAGGGTTGATGGCAAGGAGGTAATCCCAAGCTATAAGAAGCTGATGGAGGGCGCCGTCTGGGTACCTTTGATTCTTTCAGCGGTCCTCTGGGGTTGATTATCGGGGGCTACGACCTGCATAAGGTAAGTGCTACATAGGAAAGGAGTGTTCCACTGGTTGCAAGAAATAGGTGTCATGATAGGCAATATGTTTGCGAGTTTCTACACCAGAGTGCCTTGGGAGAATCGGCTTAACCAGTGACCTGATCACGTCCTACCTGGTTATTTATGAGAACCAGCTCGCATATACCAGGTATTGGACTACGATACTTGCTTTCTAGTGAGCAGCGTTGGTGATCATGTTGGCGTAGTCATATCTGACGGGAGTAAAGTGCATATCTCAGATGTTGCCACAAGGTGCCATACCAGAGTGCAACTCCCTCCTGCGCTGACGAGAGTCTGTTGTCAGAATTAACAGCATTTAATTTCAAGTACAAGATCACAATCGCCATATGAAGCAACCCTATCCCTGCTGTCTCCATATGCACGGTTGAAACCACGTTGAACCATTTGCTGTTTGCCGGTGTTTAAGCACAGCCTTGTAACAAACCCTGACCTATCATATTATCATTCTTATGGTGGAGCACCAACTACCAACATCTTAAATTTCTAGCACTTCCTGTACGAAGATCTATTCGCGTCAACCCTCCAAAGAGGCGATAATTTTGGGCTTGACGAACGGGGATACGGATATGGCACTGATAGGTACAACCATGATTTCCATCTTCGAGCAGCCTCCACATAGAAGTTATGTTTATTCAAGAACTCGAGACGAAAGAAGAATCAACCAAAGCGTATGCACAATCACTCACCACATCTCAGATTCAATCCTGATAAGAGCGACCTAATATATTTTGTGGAATTCATAACCATGAATAGGGAACTTGTTCAAGAAAGCCGGCGGAACAGGAGACGAATACAACGTGGTAGAGCTCACAGAGGGCATGATACTAGCCCAATGATGGAGTGTGTCAGAGAACAGAATGCCATAGGCACCGGTGGGACACCGGTGGGGGCTCTGGTGTAGGAATGTGCGAGTCATGACACGATATGGAAGTCTTGGTTTGCGGAACAATCGGGGAAACTAGTGCTCCGCGGCTCCGACGTCGGGTTCTAGCTATCTATGTAAGGGGCGGAGGCCCGGGAAGAAGATAGAGGGAGAGTAGAGATCAATGCATCACCGTGGGCACCCCTACCTGAGACCGCCAGTGACCACCCGGTATTACGTAGGAGGGACGCCCGTTACTCCCCATCACTCTGTACTATCGCCTTCGGCCTAGCCGTACCCTGACAGAGTGTCACAATGAAGCAGCTCGAGTATGTAAGCCGATATCACCTGACCACTCCCCGGAGTCTTTTCCCTACATCATGACCGTGGAAACAAAAAGCGAGTAAGAGAACAACAATACCCCAACCCCAAAGGCTCATTATCAATCCATTAGACTACAAAGTTGACACATATGACTCGACCGACTGTTCGAGAAATCGGCCATGGGGAAAACATAGGATGACCGCTTGGAAAGCGGAGTGGCTCCTGAGACAATCTGCACGTGTCGCTTCTGGGGAAAGTTTACGTATGGATGAAGCTTCCAATCGGAACCTGGGGCACAAGGGTTGACGGGTTGGCTACCGAAATCCAGCGGCGAGATTACTGGATGGAAGAGCAGAACCGCGTAACTTTAACCTGTCGAATCGATCGAGCGAGCATAATTGTAATTATGTACAGGGTTTTGGTCGAGGTTCTGGTGGTGCTAGAGCGAGGAACTCTGGCATTTCCTGGGGACCGATAGAGGGGTATGGAAAGTAGAACATACCCATAATATGAGAGAACTAGGATAACTGGCCATGCTTCCACTCCGCAGTTCGAGCCGGCGAGACGTCGTCCGGTTCGAGAACGTAGTGACAGCCAATCGCGGCCGACCACACAGGGGTAGGCTATAGTCTGGTAACTTGCTATATTGCAAGTGGTGTGGTGCATAATGGAGCTACTATTGACCTAGCTGACTAATATGGTGGAGGATGGACCCCAATGTCTTTGTCAGCTTTTTATACGGGGGAAAGTTGGGCCTGTAATAACTGAGAGCACATGGTAGATCACACCAGATAATTCGATGCCGTCGACAGATGTCCATTGTTCAAACATGAAACGAACGGTGGCCAATGCCACAGCCGCGACGCTTGCAGCATTGAATAATGGAGAATAAAAGTCCAAACGCGGGTGGAGGTCGAGGGGCGGAGTAGCGGAAGAGTGGTGTACCCGATCAGTATAGACAGCATACTCGTAAGAGCTATACTAATGACGATTGCTAGGAACTGATATTCATGCAGGTATCGTAGATGCCCAACCGGGAAATCAAGCGTCCGGACGCATTGTGCGTGAGGATCAGATACGGGTTGACCAAGACTGTCATTGCTGTAATATCGAATCCCGCATAATGATCCACTGATCGACGGATCGACGGCCAGGACTCAGCTTGTCGATAGTAGGTCTATCAACTGGTTGCTCAAGCACTTGTTACATAGATTCAGTTCGGGTAGGCGGTGTGGTTTAGGTGAAATAATGCATCGTCCAAAGCCAGTGAGCAGTGCATTATGCAGTATTCGTACGCCGCACACATCTCCTTCATGAAACGAAACACGAACCACCTCGAGAGTCTTGGTCAATGGGCCACTGCTCGCCGAACATGTCAAATCTGGACTAGAGATAGTCAATGCTCGCATGGTTCAGACCCTGAATTATTATGACGGGCTCTGGCATTGTCGCGACTCACAGCAGCACGCCTCATCCCATGGAGCTTTCCTCGTCTGAAGTCACAGAAGAAAACTCCATTAGCTTTTCCCGCTTTCGGATTGTGCGAATGGCTTGGCCTATGCCACGGCTAGCTTCCTCACTAAGACCTCTTGGGCAACGCCATAGTTCAGCCTCTACACCGCAAATCTCCGAATCCGGACCCTCCTCTCGCAGAACCCGACGCAAGGTACAGCCGTATTTGCTCGGAGAGCGCGCAGAATGCGGCGCGAAAAAAGCACGTCGACGATTCAAGCCTCATGAGCGGTGATACAGGGGTTTCTGTTCATTCGAGCGCGTTGGTTTCAGCTGTCTGCAGTGTTCCTGACTGTGAGATGGAGTTTGATTTTGGGTTGGCTCGCGACAGAAGGTCACTGGGGAAATGTAAAGTAATCCCAAGTCACCGGACCGTATGGGTTTGGATCAAACCTAAAGCTTCCCCTCCCCAGCGATAGACGAGAGTCAAGACACGAAAGACGACAGAAGCTTCGTGGTCGAATACAAGCGTTGAGCTACTATCAGCTAGTGCGAATACCTGCACGCGATCTTCCAGATTGCCGTTCGAGATGCAGTCTTCTATAGGGCCAAGGTTTGGGCGCCAAGCTGCTTGCCACCTTTCCCGTCGAGGAATAGTTGTGCTGATCATTGCATTTAGTGCCGATCTAAGCAAACTGCAGAAGCCACCTTGGGCAAACACCAGCGGGCCACTTCGTTTTCCATCGGGTGGTATCATCCTTCCCGTGGGAGGGGATTTCGTGTCTGTTCTGAATGCGTACAGACATAGACTCTGTTCCCTATAGTGAGTTGAACTGAGACACTTCAAGTCGAGTCATTTGTACCTTCAGTAAAGACTGAACAAGCGCGCCAAGCCGTATCAGCCGAGCGAGGTTCCCTACGGCTGGCTGGAATAGATCAGATGTACCTCGAGGCTGGCTGTGAGCGTTGCGGTGACACAGGTACCCCCCACCATCATTTTGGCGCATTCGGATCGTCCTTGTCGTTGCCCAATTCGATACCTCGGGGTTGACGGAACGTACATCTTGGCAAGGTTCGTACCAGGCCAGAAAGCAGGCAAGGCAGGTCAGGCAGGTGGGCAGGTCATCGAGTTGCTGCAGTTGGGTTTCGATTTGGCTAAATGTAGCAGGCGCAACTATTGCTTTCCTATCACGGCCGGGAATATTTGAATCGAAGCCGCTGATGACATACATGTCCTCGTTCGGATTTCCTGTACGGGACGTCGGGAGGCGTTCCCAAAAATGAGATTGAGCAATGTAATTGAAAGTAGACAGACATCACAGTGCGACAAATTTGCCATTGTTTCTCTTTGCGCTCGCGCAGTGAGTTGTTCTGCTGTCAAACGCGATCTCGTCTATGCGACAGTGCAAGATACTGTGGACTAGTAGGGTTGTGCTGCTTTCCACGGCCCGGTTCGCGCCCAAGAAGCTCTTCCGTTCCATTCCAGCGACTTGGGAAGGTGCCACAGCTCCACTGAATGGCCCCCCCAAAAAGCCCAAAACAGCTCGGCGACTTTGCTTGAGCACAGACTTCCCAATTCAATTGACGGGACACGGCAAGCCAGGCAAGCTTGAGCTCCTTGATGAGGCCTGTCTGCTTCGCTACTCCCTCGATTTGCGCTGGCCAAAAAATAAAAGCTAGCTGGCGCTGACAGGCGGAACAGCGGTTGCTTGTGTCGGCGTACCCTCCCTGCCCATCCCCCCGCAGAGCCCGCGCGCAGTTTGGAGTACCATTTTTGCGTCCTGAACTGCCTGTTGCATCCACCCGCTCTCATTTTTCGACCACTGACCAGGTCCGCAACTTTTGAGCGAGGGTCCCCACCATTTCATGAATGACGGATGCCGTCAGCGACTCGCGAGAGAGACGGCGGACGAGAGCTACTTACCTTGTCTTTTCTGTCTGTTGGGTCTGCCGGTCGGTCCTTGCTTCCCACAAGGATCCTGCCTAAACCATTCTTTTGTCTAAAGGATGTCAAAGAGCCCGGTTTTGTCTAGAACGTCAACCACAACAACAACGTCCCGAGCTTGTCAACCTACCAATTGAAGCGACGAGCATACACCCTCCCAACACCACCATTCTCATACGCCTAGGAAACCGCAATCGCGTAGATCCCATTGTAACGTTGTTGTCCGACCTCGTCGAGTACTGCGGCTTCCGCCACGGTTAGGAAGGACTTCTGCCGACTTTTTTTTTCGGACTTGCTACCGGTCGGTCATTGTGATCGCTGTGATCGCGAATACGTATGTGTCTAGCAGCACAGAGGACGACGATATCGATGTGATAGGTGCCCATCTGCTACCCAGCACCGTGGCAACTCGAGACGGCCGACCACGAGCGAATAGTAATAATACCTTGGACAAACTCGGTCGCACAGCTTCGCCTTGTCACCGTCGCACCGTTCGGCTTCTCCTTGAAGAGGCCCGAGATCGCGCATTGCCTTTATAGACTTCTCACACACGTTGTTTACCAACCCGTATCTGGGCTCCGATCCGGTCGCCAGCATGCCCCCCGAAAGCGATATGGCTGTCGCGCAGGGCGGCAGCAATAACTCGAGCGACTTTGTGAGTTTGCCCGCCAAGGCTATTGCCGACCGCGATGTCGCGGATAAGTGCATCCGCCCATTGTCAGTTTACTAACTTCAGCTGTTCACAGGTTCGCAAGCTATACAAGTAAATACAGCCTGTTGATAATCTTCCGTTGAGGTTTACATGTCTGAGGCATATCTCCGCCGCCTTCGAATGCTGACAAGATATCTTCCGTAGGATGCTCGAAGACCCCGCATACAGCGAAGTTGTCAGATGGGGCAACGAAGGCGACAGCTTTGTCGTGCTCGAGGTGCGTTGTCAATCATTACGAGCTCGACATACTTCCCTCCAACGGGTTGAATTGACATTGTGCGTCGCAGAATGAGAAGTTCACCAAGACCATCCTGCCGAAACATTTCAAGCACAGCAACTTCGCCAGCTTTGTGCGCCAACTCAACAAATATGACTTCCACAAGGTCCGGCAAAATGAAGAGAACGGTCAATCTCCGTATGGTCATGGGGTGAGTCCCCCCAAGCGCACGACAGAGCGGCGGTGAGACATCATTGGAATAGACGCGAATAGTCGGCCGCTAGAGATGGTTCTACCACGGCAACCAACAACTAGATACGTTTGTTCATCATCGTTAGTTGCGTTGATCTGGCGGGATGATCTGTAGAGGCGCCTGTTCATAGCATTCCCGTTTGGCCACCACCCTGTCTACCCCGTCACCCTTGAAAACGACATGCTGATGCGCATCAGGCCTGGGAGTTCAAGCACCCTGAGTTCCGTGCCGATGCGAAGAACAGTCTCGACAATATTCGAAGGAAAGCTCCCGCACCGAGGAAGGCCCAAGCTCCCGAGGAAAATTACGGCTCCAACACCCAAGTCCAAGCCATGTCCGAAAGTTTGGCGGCGACACAGCAACAGGTTCAGGCACTGCAGGATTCTTATTTCGAAATGGCCCATGCAAATAAGGTTTTTGTGGACGAAATTCTTCATCTCCAGAAGCTAGTCAAATCACAGACTCAGGTGCATGAACAGCTGCTCACCTACCTCAACAAGGTCGAAACTGATCGAAGACATGGGCGTTCGTCATCCAACCACTCGAACCACTCCACCCCAGCGGCATACGGTACCGGCAACTTGATGTCGGACGGAACAGAAGAACCATCTGTGGAACTGCGGAGGGTGCGAGAGCTGCTTAACAGTATCCAAGGCGAACACATTCCCGAGAAGGACTTGCGGCAAATGTCAATCCAGTTCCAACAGATCGGTGCGTCTCCGGAATCGGCTGGATCGTCTTCGATGATGGGCCCTCCGAATTCGGCCAGTATAAACAATCAGTTCATTCACGACCCAATGAATGACATGCGACACATGGTGTATCCAGTTGGGCAGACCATAGGCATTGACCCCTTCGCCGCGGAGCATCTAGGTAATATCCCGTACAACCGTCCTCTGTCGCAAAATGCCATTGGCCCTGTGAACGACTCCGCTGGGCCGACCATGCCATCTGTGAGTCCACCTGTCGGCGGCACCCAAGGAGGATCGCCATGGGGCCTCAAGAAGCCGCGTATTCTGCTCGTGGAAGACGACAAGACGTGTTCGCGAATCGGTTCCAAGTTTCTTGCGCAATATGATTGTGGTGTCGAGGTTGCGGTATGTTGTTGGCTCCATTTGGTATGTTCGTTGGCTGATATCTCGTAGCGTGACGGGTTGGAAGCTGTAAACAAGGTCAACACGAACCCGAACTGGTTTGATCTCATCTTCATGGACATTGTCATGCCACAACTTGATGGTGTTTCCGCAACCGCCATGATCCTTGACGCGCAGCCTAGGATACCCATCATTGCCATGACATCTAATATCAACCAGCAGGACCTCGAAATGTACTTCCATTGGGGTAGGTCGCACTTGTATTTTTCCCCATTGCGCCTTTGACACTGACGGCCTCCCAGGAATGCGCGACGTATTGGCCAAGCCATTTACCAAGGATGGGATGATCAAGAAGTTGCAGAAACACCTCCCGGGTTTCCTTCGAAACCCACCAGCTGATGCGGTCGCCGAGACCATGTACCAGAATGGAGCTCCTCCCGGTCAGCCCCCGACCCCTGGGCCGTACGTGAACCCTGGACCAATGAGCCTTCCCATACCGGCAGCGTCGACTGGAGTGGCGAAATTCGACACAACGCCGGTCCAGTCCCCTGCGACAAGTACTTCTTGGCACTCTCCGGGCCAGATACCCCAGCAATCGCCCAATCTTGCCCATGATCAAGCGTACCTAAATGCCGGCAGCGGGCAGGTCATGTCGCTGACCCCCGGCGGCACCCAAAGACCCTTCCCTGGGTCCATGATGCCAGCGATGGGAGGGCCACCAGGATCCCGGATGGCCGAGAGCGTTTCGGCCAGTGAAGGCCCTCCCGAGAAACGGCAGCGGTTCACATACGCCCAATGACTACCTCACCCGATAGATTAACCACTTCCAACATATTCTTGAGTGTATATATGGGATCCGTCATCCCTCAACCCAACCTCGGACCGGTCTCCAAGAAGGGAGGAGCGCTTGACGGCAGAATTTCCGTTGTTTGAGGCGGTATTCGCCAAAACCGATTCGCGCGTCGTTCGAAACAGTCGTGTCGACGTAGAGCTTTGTCATTAGATATCATGAAATACCCTTGCGCGCGCCTTGAGCGCGCCTTGAGCGCGTTGTGGCTGCGTTTGTACGAGCAGAGCATGGCCCCTCCAGACAAGCGCTGGAGGGCAAGAAAAGTATAGTGGACGACTTGTCCGACCCACGGGATGGGAGCCCGCGGGTTGGGCGGTATGAACAGACGAATGAGATGTGGCCCTGTGCTTGAGGGCAACGGCGGCCACGAGGCGTGATAAATTTGAGGGTCAAACTGGACCCGACCAACATGGAATCAACCAGACTTGCTTGCTTCGAACAGTGCGGAGGGTTGTTGGCAGTAGAGTGGCATTGGCTTCTGAGCATCACGCTGTGCGGGCGTCAAACTGTTTCCTTTGTAGCATCCATTATGACTTAATGAGACGAAGCCTAATGGTGTGTTGCCATCATTTATTTGACCCTTGCCATCTGCCCTTCGTGATCTACCGACGACCTCTACTGCCATGCGCTCGGTGATTCCTGGTGCGGCGGGGGCAGTTAAGTCGTCTTCGCATCGTTGTGACCTGGGTCCATATGCGGCTTCGGCTGGTGAGATTCCGTCCCAAGCGACGATGAGAAGGACAGATAACGACAATAGGAAACAGAGCAAGGCGCGGAAGACGAGCAAAATAAGGAAACCGAAGCGCTCCCAAGGTGACCCTTTGATGACGACAGCTGCTGGGGCAGAGAGGAAACTCGAAACTAACACACAAGAGCTATGGAGCTCAAAAGGGTTGGCGAGGTCGAAAGAGTCAAACCAAACGGAAAAGCAACAAGATGCGTTAGGGCTAACCAGGTCGGACTTCCGTTGCTTACATATAACAATTTTTCTGCTGCAGCACATGATTAGCAAACAATGAAGCGACCAACCTATCCCACACAGCGCAGTGCATGGGTATTATTCACTCTCCCGACGGTCGAGACTATTCTACCGGCCGACGCGACCGAAATAGGACCCCTCGGGCCTCCACACCTGGAATAAGTAAATGCATTATAGGGTCGTGTTGTATAATGGTAGCCTCTCCCCGCCGGCCGGCCAGGGCTCTACATCGTAGTTTGGGCTAACATGATGCCACGCATGAGTGGGGACCGAAGTACCCGTACGTACCCCATAGACGGGCCAGATAGAACGGGGAGACTTATTCCCCAGACGTCTCAGATGACGCGCATTGTTACTGAGCTTGGAACAGGTACAACACGAGGCATTCATTGTTGGCGCTCCCCGGCCAGCAAATAACAGAACGCAGGCAAAAACCCGTTCAAGCCAAGTCCGTCCCACCAGCACCTCTATGAGAGTTACAACCCAGCAAGCATGGGGCCACTCTGTAGCGGTCGTGCAACGGGCATTTACTTGTTTGCTGCGTGGCCGTCTGTGACGAGAAAAAAAATCCCGTACGCCCGGGTCTGGGTCGTGGTTCTGGGCCGCTCCAGACCGTTTTGGCCCATAAGCCCCATCCCGATTCATCCACTTGGTGGGTGGGCTGTGTTCATGGATTTTTGCTCCGACAACGCGGACTTCTTGTCTTGGGGCAATTCGTGTCGACTAATGAGGTGGTAATGACATTGATTGCAGAAAGAAGAGTTGGAAATAGAGAAGGTAGATGTGTTTCATGGCGGGTGGCAGGTTGATTATTCATCTGTTAAGTTCCGTTCGACACATCAGACCACATCGTAATTAGGGTTTACCGCCCGGTGGATAGGCATTAGAGTCCTGTCAGCAGAACCTAAAGACTGACGAGAAAAAAAACGCTTTGCTATCAAGGTCAAGTACAAGATTGGAGGCCGAAAAGAAAAACCCCCTGTCAGGTAATTGCACGAGCCAAATACTGGATTTTTAGCCTGCCAGCCCCACAGGTGCTGAAGACGTGAATGGGGATACTTTCGATACACGATCTACCTCGTAACAGACGGGCAAGAGAAAGAGCAACATGGGGCATCGGAGTAATCAATCGGAGAATGCCAAGACCGAAAGACGTTGCGTGGAGTCGCACATGAGATCTTGGGCATAGGGCTGGAAGGGTCGATAATTTCCATGCGGCCGGGATGTCGATCCCGGTTTGAGCGGTCGGGGCCGAGGCCATGGGAGAGAAGATGCGGGTGACGTGGCGGTTCATACGATACAACGGCTTAATTAGTACTACAAGTACAAGTATGTATTCATATCCTTGTGCTGCTACGTTGTTCTGAAGCTTGCACGATGCAAAGTCTCTGACGCATCAGTGGGAATGCTACCCTGGGGCAGGCCCTTGCTGGGGTATTGACTCGGCAAGAATGGATTGGCCGGCGAGGCGGCAGGTGTTGTGTTCCAGTATTCGCAATTGCAGACCATTGCAAGCCGTTTGCGAAGTAGTTGACTGTCCATCCCGTAGTATCGAGGTTTGAGCCACTGCCTCATCCTACTAGCCTGCCATTGACGTTGAACTGCCCGCGCTGCAGGGAGGCGAGAGGTCTTGAGCTACTGACGGGACGCCGTTCGACAATGAGCTGATACATCATGGGAAGCCGGCCATGTTTCGCTTGTGCTGTTGCTTCGCTCTGGAAAAAATCCCATGCTGGCATTGGATGCGGCAGAAGCTCCGATGTGCCATCCAATGTATTTGAGGGATGCACAGCCCTGGGTGCATTTCGAGGAAAGGTGCAAATGGGAAGTCTGGGTGTGGCTGAGAGGGCTGAGTTGGAGATATCAACCACTTTTGAATGCCGTAATTTGGGGCTGCCATCTGTCATTGGATCTTTTTGACATTCATTCATCCCGAAGGCGTTCTCGTCGATTGGGGTTTCTCCCATTTACCATCATGGGGTCAAATGAATGAAGCCTTCATCAGTGAAGTACATACAGCTGAACGGTGAAAGCCGCAGCAACCTGTGGCATTTTGGGACCAATGCAAATGCTCACCACCTCGAGTTCCCCACAATATGTATCATAAGTAAGCATACAGGAGAAGGGTTCGCAGATCACCTCAACTATGTATTTCATCTCGGATAAGTCGAATGAGCACTTCGTCACCCTTTCGGAAATTCAGAAGCCTTGTAATTTGTCACAGATCCCAGCCTGCAATTTCGCTATCCTTCCTTCGCCCAGACTAGTGCAAGCCACCAAGCCACTCCTCGACTTGGAGCATCATCCCTGCGGTTATCATGCAGCACTTCTTTGCTCCAATGTGTATGAAAAGGAGACTCTAAAAAGAAAAAGTCAGGGAGTTTTTGATGGGCATGGTTTGGATTGATCGGTCTGCTTCTGATGCTGAATGAGGCCCAGCAATCAAAGTAATAACCATGACCACATTTATGGTGTGCTACGCATGTCAAGCGCTGCAACTTGGATTGCACCACCTAAACGCTCGAGCAAGCCTCAAGCTGCTTCGTAAATACTCAATTCCGTAGGATCGCCTGGTCTGGTTTGACTGTGACTTGGCCGGCCAGGATCAATCAAAGTCAACTGCGCTGCTAGGCTACCATGCTCATTTGATTGTTAGGAATCAAGCCTTGCGAGCTACTGTGACGGATCTAAATCCTCTGGAACCCTTGCGTTACAACCGTTTGCTGTCGCGTTCTTCCATATTCACGCAACTCCAAAGTCACACAGCTATGAACGTCGAATACATACACTTCCCTACAATATCAACTTCGGAGAAGCCGATTTGAAATTTGAAAGAAGACGGGATATTGGCGGCGTGTTAGGCGGGAGTTGGAGTCGGGGATATTACGGTGAAAGGCATCCATCCCAAGGGCAGTCAACTTCCTCGCGTACCAGTACACCATGCTCAGAATCGTCTCGCTCTTTCTTCTCTGCGTTGTGTCCTATCGGGTTGATGCGATATCGCCTATCTCGGTGAAGGGTACCAAACTATACGATGAGGATGGCAATCAATTCTTCGTCAAAGGTAATTTTCTCACCACAAACGCATACGCCTTGGAACAAACGGCTTACATCACAAGGTATTGCGTACAGTAGGACTAACTCGGCGATTGTGGATGTCTTGGCCGATACGAACCAGTGCCAAGTCGACGCAGGCCTGATGAAGAACCTGGGTGTAAACACGATTCGTGTCTATATAGTCGATGGCTTGGAAAGCCATGATGGGTGCATGCAAGCGTTTGAAAGCCAAGGCATCTATGTGTGGCTTGATTTGCTCACACCGATGGTGGCGTTCAACCGCGTGGGTCAAGCCCACGTAGCATCCCTTGATCATCGAGTGCTTGGGAACTAACACGACCCAAAGGAACATCCTGAGTGGACAATGGCCATGTACAACAATTGGACAGCCACAATCGATGCTTTCGCTGGCTACGATAATATTCTATTTTTCACTGTCGGGAACGAGGTTATCAACGATATTGGTGTGTTCCATCTAAAGGCGCGTGGGACAGTGCTGACAAGCCGCCAGACTCGACCAAGTGCGCACCATATATTAAAGCGGCGGTACGAGATATCAAGGCCTTCCGCGACGCCCGAGGGTACCGCCCTATCCCCATTGCGTACAGCGCAGCGGACATCATCAATTTTCGGCAGTCGACGGCGGAATACTTAGCCTGTGGCGATCCGAGCGACGGGATCGACGTATTCGGCATGAACATGTATAGCTGGTGCGGCAACTCGAGCATATACTCCTCAGGCTACGACGTGCTGTACGAGGAATATCAGGCGATGAATATCCCCGTGCTATTCTCGGAAACGGGCTGCAAGCCAGAGAGTGACACGCGAAACTTTGACGAGGTGTCAGCCATGCTGGGCCCCGTCTTCCAGGCCGTTTTTTCGGGCACCGTCGTGTACGAGTGGAAATATGAAGCCAATGAGTACGGCATCGTAAATTATACCAATGGCGACAACAAGGGCTTTCCAACCACGCTGCCGGAGTACAACTCGCTGCGCACCGTCCTCTCGACTGCCAATCCCACCGGCACTACCATGAAGGACTACACCCCTTCCAATACTGCCCCCGTATGCCCCAAGTCAGACCATGATTGGCGCGTGGATGCAAACGCTGCACTTCCCACCATCGCGGGACTCAAGACCGAGTCCGTAACAGCACGTACCACCATCAGCGGGACCTCAACAGCCACGCAGACGGGAACCGCAGCAGCCGTAGATTCAGGGCAACCATCCGGCACGTCATTCTCTTCCGCTGGAAATGGCCAGGTCGGCGGGGGAGCAAGCGACAGCGATAACAGGAGTCTTGCCACAGGCGTCATTGCCGGCATCGCAGTCGGCGGTATCGCTGCAGGGGCCGCCGCCATGTTCGCAGCATTCTTCATCTTCCGCAAGCGGAAAACAGCTAAAAGGCAGCAGCAGGAGGCGCAAACTGCGATAGCAAACTACCAGAATGGGAGCGGCGACGAAACTCACATTTACAAGAAAGAGTTGCCGGCGGACTCAGCCGGACATTACGCGCCAAAACAGGAACTGCCTAACGATAATATGATACATGAGCTTGGACATGACGAACGCCGGATATATCATGAGATGGATGGAAATGCGCCGGCGGAGGATAATATACATGATCGAGGAGAATGAAGGAGTCTGGACATGACGTTTGTATAAAAGAGATATGTACATAGGAACGGAACATATAAAAAGACCAGGCTCTTGGATATTGAAGCCTACGACTCTTGTATGCCAAGGAGCGGCTGATATTACGCATGCTATATACGCCAGATTTGCTGACTACTAAGCTTGCAGGCTTGACCCAGCTCGGTGTGAACTTATACGCATAAACCGCCGGAAACCGGTGATGTTGATCTCAGCAGTACCAATTGTCAAGCCAGGAGGTGTCCTCAAGTCCGGTCCTCAATTGGGTGGAGTTAAAGCCTTCGAGTCTTGCATCCGTTTCTAGTACTCTACCACGAGCTTCACGCTCCATCATGAGGCGTGGCCACATGACAGACACGCTTCACAACAATACTCTGCTCTTTGTAGTTTTAATAGCACTGTCTCGATTTACCCACATGGTCTGTATTTCTCTCCCGTCAATAAACCCCCCTCCCTCTTTATTGAGTTTCCCATGAGTCTTCTTTCTTCATGATCCTCGTGACTATTACTATCAACTGGACCAACTAGCTTTGGCGAAGCCCTAAAATATGGCTTGTGCAGACTGACGAACAATTCTAACGAACTCTTTTTTTTCTTTCCGAGAAGAGACGGGCGCCGGGAAACGCAGTAGAACATGGTTTTTACACTTGAAATGACTGAATCGATTACGTTCGGCCATCTAAAATGGCAATCAATGCCGAGTTTTATTCTAAATCAGACGTCAATGGGAGGCTACGTGCAGCAAAGACAGCGAGGAGTCTAGAAAGGACAAAACTATGGGAACGAAAAGCTGCCGATCGAAATTGGTACTACATGGAGTGCTACAGTTGCTGTTCAAAAGATGTTTGAACTGTTCAATGCTAAACTTCTGCTTAAAATTAGCAGAGCAATAATTGGTAATACACTCAAAATGGACCCATGGCATTGAAAGGTGCAATGGGAAGTACTTAGGCCCATGTGGTTGAATGAGCAAACGCTCCATCTGCCTCAAAGGCTTGGTTACACACATATTCATGGCAAACGAGATTATCATAGGTCATAATGGCCCGGACGCGGGAACCTCAACGAGGATGTTTGCTTTGCTGACCGTTTGGCGTGAATTATGTCATAAGAAGCCCATATCCAATAGAATATACCAACAAACGAGTTATGCGGGCGTCCCAAGAAAAGCACCGAGACTCCCCTTCCAAAACCTCTAGCTCCCCCCTCCTGAAAACAAGCTACATCTTCTAGTCAATATTTCATATTACCCGGGAAAATCTCTCCTTGTCATAAAAATCTGGCACAACTCTCAATCGGTCAATTCTATTATGGACGTCAAAGATGTTTCCGACGCAGACGACTACGTTGGTTTCCTGCGGCAAACCAAGGCCAACGCAGAACGAGCCAGTAAAAGAAAAGGACAAGAAGTGAGAGATCACCCGCCGCCTCAACAGCTGGTCTGGAGATTCATGTTGAAGCTTTCCGCAAATCATACGAGGTCAAGATCTATGAGCAACATGATTGCCACCACCCAGGTCCCGGCCCCTTATGCGCCCTGCATTTGCTCTGTCGACGCGCTCAAGCCCATCATGATCTCTGAAATGAGACTCGAAACCCACTATCGCGGACGAAAGACGCTTCTTCATGTCTTGACGCCACCGGATCGTATGACGGCCGTCATGGCTATCGTTGAGGACGAGGAATGCACTGCTGTCTTGCTGCAGCTGTACCACCAGCCAGACGAGTCGGTGGTACCTGCTAAGGAGACAGTGCAGCCAGGGCGCGTTTGTATCGTTAAGGAGCCTTTCTTCAAGGCTACCACGGATGGCTCGTACAGCGTGAGAGTGGATCATATCAGCGACATCATCTGGCTGGACAGCACTGATGAGCGTGTACCACCAAAGTGGAAGAAGTTGGAATCACCGCTTAAGCATGATAGCCATCACACACGGATGCAGGGAAATGCTGCCGTCCAGAGGGATAGTTGGGCCGAGGCGGAGCAATTGTGAGTATTCCAATTCCCCTTCTATCGACTAGGCTCCGTGTCTAATTTGTTGTATGGATATTCGTCCGCCATCCGGGCTGCCAAGACCACCGAAGATGCACAGTTGGCTTACCTGAATCGCTCCCTGGCAAACCTCCGACTTGGACGTGTAGAGAACGCCCTGTCAGACGCGGTCCTCGGCAGTCAAGGCAAGGAGCTGTCGGAAAAGGGGCTCTTCCGGGAAGCTAGAGCGCTTTATGAGCTGAGAAATTTCAGTTTATGTCGAGAGAAGCTCCAGACGCTCATGACTGCATTTCCTCACAACGAGGCTGCTGAAGCAGAGATGCATCGCGTCCAGGCAAGGCTGCGAGAACAGCAGACGGGCGAGTATTCCTTCCGTCAGATGTACAAACACGCCAGGGCTACGTCTCCAATCATCGACTCCGCGACCTTTGCAGTGCCCGTTGAGGTGCGCCCATCACCTGGACGTGGGCGCGGCTTGTTCACCACAAGACCGGCTGTTGCAGGCGAGCTCCTGCTTTGCGAGAAGGCATTCCAGTACAGCTACACTGATAAAGAACGCAACGGTATCAAGATACTGATGAACTTGAGCACCAATCGAATGACAATGGGCGGCCAAGCTGACCTTCTTTCAGACATTGTCCAAAAGTTGTACCATAGCCCCGAGCTAGGATCCCAGTTTCAAGATTTGCACCATGGGGACTACAAGGCCGTCACAGTCTCCAGGTCTGATGGAAATCCTGTCGTGGATTCGTAAGTCATCATCCCACTATGGAAGAGAAAGGACGAAACGAAGAGAGAAATTCACGGAATGCTAATCTTAGTCCAGCTTTCTCGTAGAGAAAATTATCTCGCTCAACTCCTTCGGTGCCCCGAAGACAAGCCGTGCGGCATTCCACGACAGGATGACCGACAAGAGCAAGAAGTTTGCCTATTCCATCTGTGGAATCTGGCCATTGGCCTCGCACATCAATCACCGCTGCGTCAGTAACTGCCGCCGCTCCTTCATCGGTGATATGCAGATTGTCCGCGCCACCAAGAACCTCGAGGCGGGCACGGAGCTATTCTTCTGGTACAGTCCCCCAAAATCTGGGGACACGTACGAGGAAGCCCAGAAGGAGATAAGGAATTGGGAGTTCACGTGCGATTGCACGCTATGCCTTGAACGGAAAGCTACGCCTCCCAAGGTCTTGCGAGCGCGGAAAGCATTCCTGGGATACCTCAACGACGCCTTCAAGAACCCCCAGCAGGTGCAAATTTCTAAGGTGCAGCTTCAGCTCGAGAAGATCAGTAAAACATACCCAACGACGAAGGGAGCGGCTACAATTCGTTTCGAGCTCTGGGATCCGTACTTCTCATTAGGAGCCGCGCTGCTCTCGCAGAACAAGCCAGCCGATGCCGTCGAGATGACGGTAAAGGGGCTTGAGGCACTCGGCTTTGAAGTGACTGCGTGCCTGCCCAAAGGGGATGGAAAATTAGCGCGGCTGGAGATTAAGGCGTGGGGGCTGGGAAACGAATTCAACGTTATGGCTTTCCTGACTTTGTTCCGGGCTTACAAGAGATTAGCGCCAAATCTCTGTGCGGTGGCTCGGCAGTATATCGAAACTGCCTATAGCATGGTTGTTGGCGAGAAGGAAACGCTGGTAGACGAGTTACCAGAGCTCGCAGAGTGTTGCTAGCTCTGACGACGGTACGATGGTGACGTGGATATCTGGAAACGAAACACACATAGGCTAGATTGGATAATACAGGCTGGAACTGTTTTATACCACATGGGGGCTCTACGAAAAAAAATGCTGTATGCTAGAATTCCTGACCAATAGGGACGGAGGTCTGAACCAATTTGGGATGCATGTGTGCGCACAAGTCGTCTTAGACTCACGATGCCGAATTTGGTCAAGATCCAGTGTTACGCCCTCCCTTCTGTTATGCTTTCTCGTATTGAAATGAGCCTCTCTGAACTGAAAACTCTCACGGAACACGGGTGAAGGGTCTTGTGACATGAAAAGTTGAAATACTCGCTTTCTATAGGTGCGCATAACAATATGTGCGGACTAGGCAAATGTGGGGTCCCCGCATTATACTCCCCGCTTACACAGAAGCGTGCCGGGCTTGATGTAACCTTGATTCGGCCATCCTAGTGGAAATCCTCATCGAGTTTTCCCGGCCAGTAAATCAGAGCATACACGCCATGGATCGCCAGATTGAGAAAACGCCAGGGGTTGGATCCCGACATAAATACAATGTTAGAAGATGTCGACTCAGGGGTAGCAGAGATCACTTCCACTTTCTCATTAAACGAACTGGAATAGCTTCAGCATAACCACAAGATGCTCTTAGCTTCGCTTTTGGGAACAGTTACTTTGGCGGCTTTTGCAGTGGCCAGTCCTACGGCTGATACCAACTCGAGCTATGTGGGGTATTTGATATCAACCTTCACGGACGCCGAGCCCAAAGTCCAGCAGTACCTCTCCAACGGCAGTGATGCATTAAGCTACAGATTTCTAAACAAAGGACAACCCATCCTTGCCTCCACAGTGGGCACCAAAGGCGTGAGGGACATCTTCCTCGCGACGAACACTGCTCGTTCTGATTACTATCTGCTCGCAACTGGTAAGTTCCCAACCCTCAATCCGAATATCTAGCATTGTCACGAAATAACTGTGTCTTCCACCCTTCCAGATCTTGACATCAACGCCCCCTCCTTCTCCTGGGACCAAGCAACCCGCACGGGCAGCCTCGGCATCGTAATCTGGCACTCCACCAACCTCGTCGACTGGGCTCCCTCCGTCCTCCGCACCGTCGAGTCCCCTACCGCAGGAATGGTCTGGGCTCCGTCGGCGGTTTACGACTCCTCCTCATCGCAGTTCTTCGTCTTCTGGTCTTCGCGGCACTACAGCCCCGATGACACGGACCACACCGGCATTGCGACGACGCTTGATTCCATTCGGTACGCTACTACCACAGACTTTGTGACATTCAGCGAGCCGCAGGATTACGTAGCGTTGAACGATACCCCGCTTATCGATCAAGAATTCCTGTATCTTGGCTCGCCGGGATATTATGCGAGGTTTCTGAAGAACGAAACGACGTTACAGGTATACCAGGAGACGACAACCGAAGGGCTATTTGGGAGGTGGGAGAGGGTGCCGGGATATGTGACGGAGGAAATCCCGCGCGAGGGACCGGCGGCGTTTGGGGATGTGGAGCGGGAGGGAGTGTGGCATTTGTTGTTGGATGATTATACGGAGTATGTGCCGTATGAGACATCTGGTATTTGGGAGGGTGAGTGGGTGGAGTCGGAAAGCTCTGGATTTCCGATGGGCTTAAAACATGGATCGGTCACGTTATTGACAAGTGGGGAGTATGAGGCTGTTGCCGCGAGGTATCCTGCTTAGGTAAGTTTCGGGCGATTGGATATTTTGTTAGTTTTGTCAATAACAAGGACTGGTAACATGAATATACGCTGCAGGTATGTAGTAAACGGTTCTTGGTTCAAACTTCAGGGCTGTTTGGATCTCCAGTAGTTCTTGTGTTGATCTCAACCCCAGGTATTGTGAAAGCCGCCGGATCTATGTTAAAATTGCTCTAATTACAACATCACTATAGTGGAGCTATGTAGCCAGGAATAAGTCCTTGGTGTTATCCACGACGCCTTCAGTGTGATCATGTCCTTAAAGGGAACTCGCAGTTATAGAAACAATGAATGAAAGGGACAGAGTGTCAGAGTGTTGGATGCATAGTACCGGTATAGGGACGTGCGAGTCATGGCCTAATATGGAAGTCTTGGTATACCGAAGAATCGGAGGAACTAGTGCCCTACGGCTCCGATATACGGGGTCTACAGCTCCGACTCCGGGCTCAAGCTATCTATGTAAGGGAAGGTATCTGGGAAGAAGATAGGAAGGTTAGAGATCAATGAACCATCGTGGGCACCCCTACCTGAGACTACCTGTGATCGCCAGTGACCACCCGGTGCCAACCAGCAGGGACGCCCATTACTCCCCTTCATTCCGTACTATCGCCTTCGGCCTAACCGTACCCTGGCACAGAGCACAAGTGTTTCCAGATAGATAATCGGGCTGAAAATTCTCCCGTGTAAGCCGACTCGGATAGTTTAAGGTATAGACCATATCGAACAACTGCCCGAACTATTGCATACGATTTTTGGTAAGAACCTTCCAGTTCCTCATAGAATCAGAATAATTACTGGCATATCAATAATTCAGACTAACTCACGAAAACAATGTCCTTGGCCGGTGGCGAACAAGCGCCAGTTTTGGGGATGATTTTCTTCTGTAACATGATGGATTATTGGTTACAGGGTCAAAAAGATATGCTACGTGATTTGGCAACGAAATCTTCATATGGAAGGCAGGACTGTGGAAAATTTTCATGACGGTCGGTATTCTTATACTGCAATCTCCGCAAGCTGCCGGCTACTGACGCCGTAGATATCGAGTCCATCACCGCTTGCGTCTAGAAATCCAGCCCCCTGACCAACGGCTCCCTGGACTTACTGCTCAACAATATAGGGGCCAGGTACAGAATGCCTGTCCTCGACTTGGAGCTGGATCAATTCTGGAATATGTTCGAGTTGAATACTTTCTCTCTCGTTACTGTAACGAGAACCTTTTACCTCTGTTGCTGAAGTCGAAAGATCATGGAGAAGGGATGATGATAAACGATATTTCCATCGTCTCTCGACTAGATCTGATCTTCGCCTCTAAGCTGCGTATAACGTGTCCATATTAGTCGCCTCGGCCTTGAGTGACGGGATGAGACTTGAGCTCGCTCCGTTCGGGATCCAAGTCGTCGAGCTGGTGACGGGGTGTGTCGGGACCAAGTTCTACCAGAATGTGCTGACTGCTGCCTTGCCTGAGAATACAATTTACGGGAGTGCGGTAGATATGATGGAGGCTTTTATGTCTGGGGGAGAGCAGGCGGGAGAGGGTTCCGATGCAAGGATGTGGGCGCAGCAGGTGGTAAGGTATCTAGATCGGGCCGGTTAGGATTGGGACAATATTGCCGATTCATTGGCTTGATGGGATGCTGAGGAGGAAGGCCGGGGTGGAAAAAGACTAGCGGAGGATTGGGGAAAAGGTAGGCGTGGGTAAGTTAAAGTGTACATGGAGGAGTTCTCCTGGTTTGACACACACTCTAGGTAGTAATATACTGAACAAGGACACATTAATGGTGATGTAGTTAACAAGTTTCACTCATGATGCGTTATAAAGCTAAGGGCAGATTTAATGACTACATGCTAACCACGTATTTTCATATGTAGTGTGTAGTGTCTCGCGCGTATAACTCTGTTGACTTTCGTGCCTGATTGAATAGCTATATGTCTCCACAATTTGCTCCAACCATTTCCCCCTTCTCCTGTCTACCACGATATTGTTCGAACCCATGAGATACTATGAACTCTACGAAGTCGCCGGGACCGGCGCATGGCTGGTATCGGCATTCCACTTCTTAATCGCTTCCAACTCCTCATCAGCGCTGTTAGGCGCCCCTTTAACGCGCAGCTTCAGATCAGAAAGGAACACATTAATGGTCAACGGACCCACACCACCCTGGTTGCTAGCTGTGTAGCCCCAGCTGACTCCGCCAAGCCACTCTGAGTTCTGAATGTCGTACGCAAAGGTCGTGTACACAGCGTTTCCCGGAATGCCCGGTTCGGGGATGGGGATCAACTCACGCGGCGTGTCGATGAGGAATGCCTCGGTGTTGCCGTTCCGGCCAAGCGAATTACCTTTTCCGGCTGCAGGCTTGCCGACGTACTTCTGTAGGTCTCCCATCCCGCCTACGTCTATGACGGTATTGGGCGCGTCGGCCGAGGCATCGGCCCACGCGTGGTAAGGGTCTACTGCACCACTGCCGCGGTCTACGTGCCAGTTGTGGGGTGTCAGGGGGTAGGTAAACTGGATGAGTTTGATGTTGTTGGACACCTTGCGGCTGCTGTCGGCCAAGAATGAGAGTCGGATATTAGCACCGACCTGTACGGCAGTGTCACCTTCATCGTAGTCGTTGATGAAGCTCTTGTAGACAGTGGCGGTCCACAGACCATTGGGAGTCTGCACGCTCGTCTCAACACGTTTGTCGAGATCACTGGTGGTCTCCCGAGAAGGGAGAATCTTCCCGATTTCTGTATCAGGGAATGGTGCTGCGTTGGCGAGCGAGGATAGGAGGGCCGCAACGGCGAAGGGGAGAGTGAACTTCATCTTGGTAGCTGTCTTGGTTGATTGGAGACTCTGAAGGTCAGGAGTGAAAAATGCAAATTATACTGAGGAAGCGGGTGATGGCTGATGTTGCCTCGAAGAAAACTGGCACTCAAGCCTGGGGGTGACGGAACCTTATATAGCCTTACCCAGACCGTCATAAGACACGAGCCTAACTCACTGCCCGCAACTATTACAGAGGCCATTGTTAGACAAATTGGGCCCTCACAGCCAAAACCCATAATTCATCACTCAGAGACTATTTCTGACCTCTTTCTCCATGTCAGAACCCACTAAGAGAATGTGTGATGATGGAATGACAAGGCATCAGATCGACACGAAAAGGTAGTACTGTGAAACTGCAAATCTGGGATTTCGCTCCAATATAAGCGTTGGTGATCCTCCGTTGGTGATCATATTTTCTCGACACGATTATCAATCAGATGGTGTTGCATCAATGCGACTCTTAACTACCAACAGCTCAAAATTCCATTGCCTGCTGCAATAATACTCGATATATCAAAAAACTCACACTTACCTTGGCTTAAGCGCTATAAGAGTGCTCACTTAGGAGTCATATTCCGAAATTGTTTATTGGTAGCTCTAAGTCAGGTTCGCCCAGCTCCTATGAAACCAAATGGGCACTAAGATATACGTCAGGAGTTGTCACAAGGCTGATCCGCACCGTCATTGTGGCCTCGTTGGTACCCCCACAAGAATCCTGCATGCTGATTTCCGAAACAAAACAACATTGGCAGCTATGATTGACGATCCTATTACGATATATTTCGGGCTGCGCCACTTATAGATTGAGCTGAGAATCCTACGCTAAGATCGCCGATCAGGAACTTCGATCGGCACACTGAAGACCACATTGGGCTAACTTCTAGCCAGTGAAAATAAGAGGTTACATTTTCATGGCTGTAAAAACAGGATTAATTTTAAGCTGAGTCGCATGCCTGGCTTTGTCTGCTTAATGGAGCCTAAGAAAACTTCGACAGCTTCCGCCTCACTTAGGAACTTAGGATCCCGTATTAGGCATCTACAATGGATATGTGACAATGTGGCTAGAGCCGTAGTAAATTAGGGCTATGTCGGAAAGTTGGATGCTGGATGCATCCCGTCCCAGAAACTGAGATCCAGCTTGGATCTTCGTGGGCGAGGAACTTTCTAACGCTATTAAATCCTCTTGGGCTTGATCAGAACCAGCTGCCTTCCCTATGCCTGATCTACTAACGGCTGAAGAGGTGAACAGCCACAACCCGAAAGCTCGCCAAGGATATTTGGACCATCTGGAGGTATTCATACATCTTCGCCTTGTGCTTCGAGCGTAAGATACAGGAAAAATAACTCTCCACCTATAATATTAAACTAGTTGTGAGGCTTTTCTGAAGGAAGTTTTTGAGTTACTAGACATCAAGCAGCTGATTAGCCTCAGCTCACAATATAGTTTCGACGTGATTCATTCCCTCTTACGGCTTCAGGAGACCAAAGAATGGGAAAAAGTCAAGTTCTTAAACGGAAAATCCATTGGTGGAAAGAAATTGAACTGTATCAGCAGATTTGTAAACTAGTGAGGTTCCCAGACTATGAAATCTTCTTATCTCTCTGTCTCCAGATCAATATAGGTAACCTCTTTGATTACCGGTTGATGCTGATATTCCTGCATTATCGAGTCCGCCACAAACTGGCAAATTTCTGGAGGATGGATGTCAACACCTTTTAGGTGTGCTGAACAGCTAGAAAGTTGAGGGACTTACTTCTGCCACGAAACGCCATGGTTCTGCACAGCATGGATAGTGTTGAACAGTACGGATGTCTCATACACTGGACATGTAAAAAGTTGAAACCCGACACCTTGAGAGCAAAGACGTCGACCTAACCCTGTATATTCTGTTGAAGAGCGATCTTTGACCATCGGAGAAGCCCTGCATCTCTTGGAAAACCAGAAGTATACTTACAAGTTCCTCATGGGACTTTGTCCGAGAATGCTCCAAGATTCAGCGGAAACGGTGGGCAAAGGTCTTGGATCACTTGGCGAAAAGGATAAAGAAACAGCTAAAACGCAGAAGAAGGCCAATAAACTGTGTGCGTTATTGACGGCGAAGATTAAATGCAAATAGCTCATAGACACAAGTTTCACTGTAGAGGCTTTTGCTGTTACCAGGCTTACTGAAAAGCTTGCTGCGAACGTTGTGCTTTCCGATAAAGTCTACCAGGAGCTTCTCTTGGAGGAAATAGGATGTTGGTTTGTATACTTTAGTTTCTTTTTGTGGTTTTTGCATTATACTTCAACAGCTAAATGTGCGAAATTGATGGCCACCTGGATTGATACGTAGCCGTGGGCAACCCCTAAAATTAAGTATGGTCATTCGCGCCAAAGTGATTTTTATAGCTAAATTTGTAAAGGGTTTAATCATTTGCTAGTAATCTCTGTATTGATCATTATATTGACGAGGGCAGTGTATGCCCGCAGGTTTAAGGTGAAGATCATGGAGAACGGACAACAAGATCCTAACAAGGTCAGCTGTCCGGGAGAATAACAGAAAGATAAATCAAGATCCTTGCGGCTCTCATCAGATCAATAAAAGTAACTCAGCATGTACGAACAATCGGCTGAGCCTCAACAGGCTTGAAAATAATAGGGCCTCAACAGGTCCTAGAATAGAATTACCTAAGTAGGTAAGCAACAGAACAGAGCCTCAACAGGCTGGAACAGATCGACTTGGACAACCAAAGTACCTCAGCAGGTCATCGAAGCAGCTGGAGCCTCAACAGACGAAGGGAATGAATATTCAATTCTATTACTTCTCTCCGCTCTCTTTTTCAGAGAATGGCTACCTAGATCATTCAGGTCTTTAAATATCCTCGTCGGCTGGTGTAGTTGGTCACTTCGCTGGTAGATAAGTCCCGATTTGAGCCTCGCCCACTTGGGTCGGTGACGAGTCGCGGGTTCGAATCCCGCAGCTGACACACAAGGGGGTTTAGTCAACCCTTACGGCGCGCTGCCCACCTTGTTGACTTCGCCTACCTAGCGATAATAGGGAGATTGGTGCAGTTTAGGATTACGAGCATCCTAGCCAGTCGACCGTCAAGCACTACGTTGGCGGAATATAACTCGACAGCCGGTCCAGAATTCGAATCGTTAATCCGACCCCTTATCGGACCTCGCCTTTCCGATAACGCTCGTCGGCGAACCCGTCCCCTCACGATAGAAGGCGCGCAGCACGCCCTCTCGCCGCGATTCTTGCGAGCGTCTGACCACGTTACGGTCTATCCACTTGAGCGTATGGTTGAGATGTATACGCTCGACGAGAACCCCAATTAGCAGATACTACGACTTGTCGCGACAAAAAAATAGTCGAGCATCTTCTGCACATCAGCAGCATCCCACCCCTGAGGACGAATTTAAGTGCCACATTACCACACTTATCGGTAGTTCAGGCAGGGGTTGTAGCACAGACTTAGGGAGGGACAGGAGGTTTAGTAGTCATTTGGCTACAAGTTTACCTGTATAACCGCCCGACGCGGCTTAAGGGCCCGCTATATCATCTATAGCCCCTTAAGGGAGTACTTGTAGAGGTACCGAGGGTTAACACCTACGGCGTATTTAATAATATTATTTAAATATCCTCGAAATACTCACTTTTCGCATGGATCATCCGAAAACCGAAAAGCAAGACCCAAAAACCCTGTCCTTAAGTCAACATTTACACTCATTTGATGTTGAATTCTCTATCTTCTTCCATACATGAAGTATTACTGTGCATTTTACATTGTACGTAAAACCGACGTACATGTGTATTCGGTTTATTATAATCTGCCAGGAACACCTCACATAATCACCAATGCAACTCGTATAACGCAAAAATCAAGAAACCAACCCATCAACTCCTTCAATGCTAGCTGTTCCATGGCCACTCGGTGTATCCATCAACTTCACTTCGGGCCTTCCCTACATGTTCCACATTTTCCCCTATCCTTATGCTTATCCTTCAACCCTTTAAGCCTATACTCCCCCCATAACCTCCCCCACAACCGCCCCCAGCATCCTCAACCCAAACCAATCCGCCACGCCCTCATACACTCTCAGCTTCTTCACGATCTCCTCCCTCTTGACACTCTCCCCCCACGCGCCCGAGCAAGTACAATGCTCCGCAAACTCGTTCAACCTCAGACTCCCGCACTTGACGCACTTCAAATCCTGAGTCGTCCACTCAATGACCGTCCTCTCTACATCTGCCAGCAACTTCTCCTCAATCCGCAACCTGTCGAATTCCGCCGTACAATACGTGCATCGCCACGCCTTGCTAGAGGCAGCCTTGCGCATCTCGGCCTGGATCTGGTTAGAATCCAGACCATCAATGTTGAGGGCCGATATATCAGGCATGAGCGCCTCGTCGCGGCAGAGGTCCCAGTCGCGCGCGAGAGTGCACTCGGGACAGCTCCACTGGGGTAGCTTGAGGCTGGCGCTGGGGTTGGCAAAGGTGCCTTCCTTGGAGAACTCGCGGACGTCGAAGAGGGCGAGGAGTTCTTTGCGCAGGAGGCGGGCTTCCATGACGATGTTCTTATCGAGGGAGAGTACTTGCATGAGGGACTTGACGAGCTCAAGGACGGCATTCTTGTTGCGGTTGGGGTTGTATGATTTGTTTTTCGAAGAGGTCTTGGTTGCGGCGGCTGTGGGGGTGGCCTGGCTGCCTGGCAGAACGGGAAAGGACCAGTCAGATGCCAGTTCAGGATGCAACATCTCTCTCGTCTGTGTGTTGACGAGAGACTTGATCTCTTTCGTCAAAGGCTTCTCGAAATCCTTCGTGAGTATAATGACACCCTTCTCGCCTCCAATTTCTTCTTGGGTTCCATTTCGTACCGGCAGCTGCGTCAATCTCTGAGTAGAATCCAAGTCCGTACTCAGAGTCCCTGGTCGTTTGAGACTGTGCATGAGCTGGATGAATTGCACAACCCAGTGCTGGAAGGTATCTTGCAGGCGAACAGGCAAGAAAGTCTTCATCTGCCAGCACATGACAACCTCAAGTTGCTGCGTCTCGGCCTCAACGACCTCCTCGCACGCCTTGCCGCCGTAGTTGAACTCATCATACCACACCAAGTAGTCCCAGTACTCCTTGACCTCGAGATCGATGAAATGAAACAATGACTTGCTCTTGATGCTCTTCAGGATATACTGGCCATACGCATAAGCATTGCCAACCTCTGCCTTGGTTGTCTGAAGCAGCAGCCGGTTCGAGCTGGCGAACACAACTTGGCTGCCCACGCGCCGAAAGTCGGCCATTAGCTGCAGCAATGCTTTGCGCGACATCATCTGCACGTAGTAGTGTAGAGCACGGTCATACATGAAGCTATCTGGCGACTCAACCCAACGAACGAGATGTTGAACAAGGACGTCGGCCATTGTACTGCCTTTGCAGGCTTCGGCCCACCACGACTTGACCATTTCGCGTAGGACGAGCACGCCTGCATTCGCAAAGGCGCTTTCAGAGTAAAGCGTATCGGACCCGTCAGCCCCAGAGTCAGCAGCCGGGTTGAACGAGATGGAATCGGCTCCCTCGAGCTCGTTGATCAAGGATGAGGTGAGAATTGTGTTGATGGCCAAGTTGCGGACATCGAGGTCGATGCACACGGATGCGTATGTGCCAGGGTTGTTGACAGACGGCATCGACACAGTGTCTAGGGGAGCGGTTACATCGTCTTGTTCGTAGCCAGCGTGGTCCGGCCGGGGTCCGGGGGACCACCACAACACGACATTGTTCATTTGCAGACGACGTGCATAGGCAATATCGATCAAAAAGCGTGGATCTTCACGTTCAAGGTTGCAGAGCGGGACGTCGCCATATCGTGCCAGTGCTGTCAAGTGCAATATCCATTGACCTAGGCCTAGGTAGTTCGTCACCAGACGTTTCGCAACGAATGACTGCCAGCCCAGGGGTGGAAGCGCACTGTCCGCCTGATCATACCGCAGAGGGAGAATGGGGAAGTCGGCGAGGATGGGAACGTCGTGCACCAGTTGACTGCGCTGCGAAGACTGGATGACAAGCATCAACGGACGCAGTTCATCCTTCTTCATCTTCTTGATAAGATCACTAATTTCGAGGTGTGCTTTGCGGCGTGTCGTAACCTGGGTGACCTTGAAGGTGAGGGTCTCCTGGTACGTGAAGCAGTTTTGCCAAGGTGTGCCTTCTGCCTCTTGGGTGCGTTTCGTCAACATCTCAGTGTAGATTCTCGAAACATTCGGCAAATCCGAGCTGACGTCTTTGTTCTTCTGTAAAATGACAACATGCGCTTGTTGACCCGTTGTAGAGAAGAGGCCGAAGATCTGCCTGTCTCCAGAGGTGATGTGCGAAATGTAGAGATACGCCAACGGACTGGAGTCGAGGTATGCTTTAGGCTTCAGCGGTCTCATCAAGCTTCTCAGATCGAAGCCCTGTTCCAGTCCTTTTCCAAGGACACCAGGTTGGCTCTCGTCAATAGTACATAGATTGCCCAATTGCAATACCGCTCGCATGTTGAGGGGGACCTGCTTCTCGTACACGCCTTCGACACTAGGGTGATTGAATAGTAACGAGAACTTATCTGCTTCGGCAAAGTAGACATCCTCGGGCACGGTCAACTTAAACAAATGTGTAGACGAGTGACCGTTTGGCAGTGTGTGGCTGACCTGCTCAACCTCACAGCCTTCAACTTCGATGTCGGGCAGGTCCTTGTCCTTAAGATTCAAGAAGACAGTTCTTGGTACCTTGACCTTGAGCGCATGCACCTTTGCATCAATCAGGACGTGCGCCAGGACAATACCGGGATTATCTGTCGTCCTCAACTGGAGCAGCTGCCACGTGTTCCTAAACGTGACCTCTGCCTGGTTGCGGAAAGTCTGCTGGATGTTGCTGCCCACGTTACCACGACGTTCACCAAAGAGATGGCGGCGGCGCAGTCGGGCTGCCTTTTGGATTGACCACTTCTGCTTCTGGTACTCCAGGAACTCCGGGTAGTTCTCGGATGGGTTCGGCATTGTCTTTGGCAAGGCTGCGAACGGATCCAGATTTTCCCTCTCCGGTTCAGGGGACTTCCGTTTCTGTGCCATGGGCACAACTTGAGAGGCCGCGATGGCAGCTGTCGTATTCTTGGGCTTCAGAAGCTGGGTTCCAAAGTCCTCCAAATCCTCCAGTCGTTTACTGGTAAGATTTGTTATATCCACCAGCGGGCCCTTGGTGAACATGTCCGTCATCTTCTTCTGCTTCATCTTGTCATCCTTGATGTTGATTCGTCTCTGCAGCCAGTCTGGATGCGGGACTCTCGGCACCGGATTACGGATTTTTTGCAACGCCGCCGGAATGGTAATCAACTTCTGAATGACAGACCCGAGACGCTCGAGGTAGTAGCCCCAATCGAGTAGCGCTCGAGGGTCCATATCTGATGGCTCCTCTTTGAGCCATTTGGTCAGATACTTGCGCTTCGTCTCAGATTCGGCAGAAAAGATGGCCACAGGAATAGCGCGTTCCGTCACTGGTGCACTTCGAGGCTTGGCGCATATAATATACTTGCAGTTCAACCCCTTATCCTTTACCATCTGCTCGCCGAGGAACTCAGCTAGACGCTTAGCAGTAGTGATGGAGGTAGACTTCTGGGTTCCATATTCTTCGAGGGTTTTAGACATGCTCCTGTTCTCGCAAATGAGATCAATGAGCTCCTCGTCGGCGAGCGTAGTTCCCTTGCTATCCAGAACATCGAGCCATCTGTTCGCAACCTTGGCCACCGCGGCGTAGCACTCGGCCAGTGTCTCACCTTCGAGGAAGAATTTGAAGATCTGCTGTTGGAAAATCTTGATGAGCTTCAGCTCACCTCTGCGCTTGACCTCGAAACCCTTCAGCTCAGCCAGACTACCATCATTATTGAATACGGCGTAACGCTTCTTCAAGTTCTTGTCCTCCTCCTTGGATGTGGGGAGCACCATGGCTTTGTACGGGCCGTCAACTTCGAAGAAGATGGAATTGTCACTGTGCGTTTCGTATTTGAATGTCTTTGGATCAACGAGATCCTGGTACTGATGGTTTGTGAACTTGGCGTGGACGCGGTGGTTCAGCATGACACAGGGGTAAGAGATGGCCAACTTCTTGCCGTTCTTGAGCTTGAACGCAAAGTTCTCGGGGAATGTGGCGGGCAGCATACACCAAATACCATCAGTATCCAGCTCGAGTGGCCGTCCCAGTCGTTCGACAAGTTCCTTGGCCATCTGAATGATATGCGCGCCAGTCAAACAGGTAACACCAGCCATTTCCATGGAATACCACCGAGACCCCTTTCGCATGACGTAACCGTAGAACGAGTTGAGGATGACCTTGTGGGCAAGCTGTAGCGAATCGAAGAGAATAATCATCTTCTTCGCGCTATCCACTTCGGAACTGGCAGCGCCCGATGACTTCAACGCTTCGGTCTTGCCTATCCATACCTTGGCCTTGCCCTTGTAATCATAACGTCGATCTCGGAAATCTCTGACGGTGTTGATGTAAAAGGGGTTCTCCCGCTGACAAATAATGGCCTCCCGTTGAATCGTTGTCTGGTCGCGGATCTTGTGGTACACTTTTTGACTGTACATTGCCAGTCGTTTCTTCGTGATCGTAGCTTGCTCTTCCTCTGACAGATCTTGGAATGTGCGCATTGGTGAGTTGGGCCACTTTCCCGGGAACTTCTCATTCTCTAACGCGTGCCGTATCATATTGTACTCATCTCGCTTTGCTGGCAGATACTCGCCACGCCAGGCCCAAGGCATCCGTCTGTCGCACGTCTTGCCAGGTCGGTTGAAATCGCAAGCCGCGCAATCCGACTCCTCGATCATGGAATCGGGCTGCAATCGGTTCGTGGTCATAATATTGGGGTACATGGATGCGACATCCAAATGGTAAATTAGGGGTCGCTCGCTCCGATTCGGTGTATCTCTTAGCTGCTGCAACCTTTCTAAGATCTGCGTCTTGACCTCATCGTAGTTGGCTATGTCATCAATGGACTTATGCTCCTCAACTGTGATACTGAAAACCAAGGCAGCATCGAGCTCACTGATAAGGTCATCGATGGCGCCAGGATCTACAGCAAAGTTGACTGGAATATCGGCACGGAACACACCAGCCTCGATACTCTCGACGTGACCACCGACGTAAGTCTCCGCCTCGAGCAAATGACCATCCCAGAAAGCCTCCTTGGGCGAGGCGTGCTTGTTGGGCAGCACAATACCTTTCTCATAAGCCTGGACCATGAGCAACATCTCACATAGGGTGCCCGTTCCTTTCCGCAGCACATCGTCGCCTCCTAGGGGTAGAATCGTACATAGCGAGAAAATAAAGGGATGGATGTACTTCATGTACAGGTAGTATGTGGCCACAGCATCGGAAACGGAGTATTCAGCCAAGGTTTGTGGTCTCTCGGCGGCATACGGCGTCATCAGCTCCGGGTCGAGTTCATCCGGATCGTAGCCCAGCTTGGCGACAGTGACGGCCTTCAAACCTCGACTGCCCTGGGGAAGGTACGAGTCTCGATTCACCCAGGCCAGACAGTCCATGTGGACGCCGTAGGTGCACTTGTAGATATCCTCGCTGTCCTTCTTCCAGCCGATCTCGCGGTACATGTCAATGCCATTGACACTGGCCCGGGCTTCCACAAAAGGCCAATCGAAGAAATCTCCGTTGTACGTTGCGATAACCGTAGGCCTGGCCATCTTGATGTGCTCGAAGAATCGCTCGATGACGCCTTTCTCGTCAGGCTCGTTAAAAATCATGAACCTGCCTTCGTATTCCGGTCTCGGCGTGTATTCGAAATCGGAAATATCCTCCGAGATGATATCGCGATTCGTAATGAGAAAACCATTACCATCGATCATGTACGAAATCATCATGATCTGATCGATGGCAGCATCGGGAAACTTGAGCGGGAGTTTCGTTGTCTCAATATCGTACGCCATCACTACGGGATCGGCTTGTACGAGACGCTCTTCATCAAGAGCGATGGTGGTGACGCCGTGTTTTGCTTCAATAAAGTACCACTTTCCTACTCTAATATCTGTGACTTGTCAGTCTGAAGAGCATATAATTCAGAATGAAAGACATACTCATATCAATCATTACTCTTACATGGTACGGCACGTCGTACTCTCTAATATCGACAAGATAATCGCTCGCATCGGAAAAGGAAGCATTATGTCGTCTGTCATCATTTCGTGAGTCGTCAAAAAGGTCGAACCCTGCTTGTTCACTGTATCGCAGTCAGTATCTCAGGACCACTTTCAGCCATACCACTGTTCTCAATCGCTACCCCCAAGGGGTCAGAAGACTTACGCAGCAACCTCAGCATAAACATCCACCGCACCCATCTGTTTCCGGTTCTTCTCGGCCACTGGCATAATGTCGCGCCGGCACCCCAACAAGTCGCTCACATTCTTGAACCGCAACTCTAGGAACGTCCTCCGGTATCCAAGCAAGTGATTCGGCATACTCAAGTCCTCCTTGTCGATTCTTTTCACCGACTTGACCACGCCACCACCTGGCACCCGTTTCACCCACTCTTCCACCTCCGGCTCATGACCCTTCCGCACGGCAACCAGAAAGTACGGCTCATACTCGATGGTAGCTTTGAACGTAGTGCCTTCCTCCTCGATGAAGTAGCAGTCAAGCGCCGCGCGGCCGCCATCATCCTCAAGCGCCACCGTCGTCGGCTGCACGTTGACAAGCCAACCTTCTTTCCGCCGGCCGGATTCATATCTGGCGAAGCCCATGGACTCGTCGATCTGTTGCGCGAGGGCGGCCCGTTCGGCTTTCTCGTCGGCGGATGTACCTTCGGCGCGGGAGGAGGCGGCGAAGGTCTGGGTGCGTCGACCGTGGAATGCCTTCTTGCCGCCACGGCGGGCAAATCCCTTGGAGGGCTTGCGTATTGTTGTGTTCGGCATCGTGGGCGGGAATGTGATTGTACGGGGAGGGTTGGAGGAAGGTGTCTCCTCAAAGCGTGTCTATCAGCTACAGGTCTGGGGGACAAGAGCGAGAACAGTCATCGGTGTTAGAAAAGTCGAATTGTCGCTTCCAAAAAAAGTGAAGGGAACGTCGAACTAGAGCAATTGTAAACTCTCGGGTGAAATCCAAGGCTGTTCTATTGAGACGGGTGGGTGGTTGATACACAGTACAGAAATCAAGCCGGTCCAATTCGTTGGCAAATCCACTTACACGCGATGAAGACGCGCTCAAATTGTCAGACGCGTCTTCCAGGGTCGCCGTAGTTAAAGAGCTGCAGGTGTGTCGCATCACGCCCCACCCAGACCCGGTATTCTGAATACTCCCAATATTGCATATGCGTGCATCCCGCCGTCATAGCATCAATCATCCAATATAACGAATTTCAAGATTCAAGCTCTCCAAGCAGCCGGTGAATAGCCAACGGCACCGCCACCGCAGCAATGCCTCAAGACGACAATAGACCGCAGCCCCGAGGCCCGCCGCCGGGTGCTACTGCTCCTACAGAACATATTCAAAACGCGAAACCCCAAGTCTACGAGATCTTCCACGACGCCAAAGCCGAAAACAGTGACGGTACTTCCTCGACTGCATCCCCAGAAGCGCCGCCAGGACCCAAGCGAACTCCCACCATATCCGATGGGATCAAAACGATAAAGACGGAGGATTTCCTCGCCGTTCATCGGATACCATGCGCAAGGGAGGGGTTCATGACGGGCATCGGATCAGGTGCTGTAGTGGGCGGGCTACGATATGTCCGTGGAGGTTAGTTTGGTCACTGTGGGCGTGCAAGGCTTTCAATGACATAGTTATGACTGACCGTCGTGTTCCAAGTACAGCTCAAATACCAAGTGTAGCCAATTATGCCGTTACAGCTGCCTTGGTTGGCATGGTCGTACAATGGGAGTTTTGCCAATATCAAAGAATCCAGGAGAGAGCTGCAATGGCACGAGTAGTCGAGGTCATTGATCGAAAGCAAGCTGAAAAGCAACAGAGAGCTGAAGAAGCTGCGTTGCGGAGGGCTGAGAGAGCGGCGCAAGAAGCAGCACAGAAGAGTTGGTTCAGGTTCTGGTAGCTTTAAAATGCGCAAAAGCTCGTATTGTAATACTTCTGGGTATGGAATTAGGGGTATTGATGTCCGAAGTATTCCTCCCCAGCTGTCATATATGTATGGTCCTGCGTGTATATACACCATGAGCGAATGATCCTTTTGGTAGGACCGCAGGTTTCAAATGTACCCAGCACGCAACGGATACTCCCGTGGAGATGTAGAATAAAGCCAACGCCGAGAGGTTCGCCTAGCACTTTTGGGATTTGTAACCAGCTCCATGGACTCGATGACGATATTGGACCAAACGCCCTGAACTCCGCGTCCAGCACGCATTGTGAGCTAAACATTCTCACTGATGCCCGAATCGTTCAAACTGATGGGAAAGCAGCGCTTGTTCCAATACAATACAAACAGCACCAGTTGTCTTGTCCCCAACCTCCAAATTGACGGCCATCAATCTGCGTTCTCATGTTGTAACCATGGCACTCGGTTCCGCCTCCGAAAAGTGCACCTTCACCATGGAGTGCTTCCTTTCAAGTCCAGGCGGCTCGCCCAGCGCCTCCCTACGTCGCTGGTTTCTGCGGGCTCTAGCCTCACTCTCCTCGCGCTTTCTGTAGTCGGATAGCTGCTGTCGCCGCTTCTGGGCTCGTGCATAGGCAACTGCCGGAGTGGGCTTGAAGCCTATGCCATTCAACCCCGTTCCATCGTCGTCTTTGTCTTCCGAATCGTAGACTGTGATCTCATCCTCGTGCCAGGTAAGTGCCGCGCGCACAGGGTCGACTATGACAGGCTCTTCCTCTACCGTCTCCGTCGTCTTTCGTCTCGCATTCAGGGGCGGTGTGCCAGTTCGTCTTGGTCTTCGTGACTTGGAGTCTGCGAGTCGATTAATGGAAGGGTACGACTTCTGCAGCTTGCCGCCCTCTCCATCCTTACGCGTCTTCAACATGATAGGGTCAATGGCTGTTTCTAGTAATAGTCTTCCATTGGCACCGATTTGGACCGGCCCCGCGGCTTCGGCGCTGCTCTCTCCGTGCCTGCCAGGGGCGGTCGCGGGCTCCATGTCGGGCAACTTCATTCGCTTGCGCGCGGCGTCTCCGACATTGTGAATGTCCATGTCTATGTCCATGTCCACTTTGTCTTCTTGTCCACTATCCCCAGCGCCATCGAAATCGAAGACGAGCGGCTCTGGCAAGAATTTGGGGTGTCTCATATCGATACCGCGCTTGTCGCTAACGCGGCCATGCGTCGTCGTGCCTACCCCGCCCCCACTTTGGCCGTTCCCATCCAAAGCCAGATCGCGAAACTTGTTGGCCACTTTGGTTCGCGGGCTGCTGTTGCCATCCTCGAGCGATTGGTAATCTGGCGGCTCGAAGGTGAACACTGTCTTTGTCAGGTAGGGAACGTTGGGCACAGGAGCGGAAGATGACAGCTTTTGTTCAATTATGAGGTCATCCCGCTTTCGCTTTGGTGTTGCCTTGGGTGAGGATGGCTCCGTCATGATGCCGGCGTACGATGTATCGCAGTTTCAGGCAATATGGCGGAGAAGTCGTGCGGTGCAGGATTTCGTAAGAGGGCAGCCCAATAAGGGAGCGAAGCTCTGGGTAGAGCGGAGAGCGAGGAAACTAACGAGACATGGGTAAAGCGTATCTATTGTGATGTTCCGGAGAGAGACAATGGCACAATGAGAGTGGAACAGGTAAAAAGCACTTCGAAACTGATTGATACAATGCGAAAAGTTGATTGACTAGAAGTGTGGTGATATGTAAGACGCAGTTATGGTTGGTTCTAGGTGTAAGGTAGCAGCAGCGAATGTTAGCTCCTCCCAAGCTTGCTAGCAAGAAGCTTGGGAAGCTCCTACCTTCCTACCTACCGTTGCTCAGATATTGCAAGCTAGTCCCTGCGCAAATCCCCCGATGAATCAGCGCCATAACTGGAAAAGCACTTGCATTCTAGTCGTCACGTTGTGACCAGGTCATCTGAACAACTTGAGTATTTTTGTTTCATAGGCGCAGTGACGTAGCTGCCGAACTAGAGATTGAGACACGACATACCCAGTTATGTCTTAAGGTACATTACCAGTATTGCCGCCATAAAATGATTTAAACGCATTATCAAGCTATGAAATGAGTTGGAGCAATGTACATCGAAGTCTCACATTGTTGTTCGAGCTCACTATTGGCAATGCACACTGCGTATTCCAGACTCGAACTGTAGATTGGACCTCCACCACCCTACCTACAAACCCATCCCGTAAATCCAATGCTGCGAATATCGGGACTTTGCTGCATAACAGCCAGCAAGCATGTATAGACGCCCCAATCCCAATCAAAGTTCAAACCCATGATGCAGCCTGCCTTACCGCATCGATCCCCTCTCGCCTCCAATTACCCCGCCATGCCCCACCACCATACCCGCAGTGTCATCCACCTGACGAATGCCGCTGGTCCTCTTTGGACTTGACCTACAACAGTGGTGGACCAAGCTAACATCTTGAATAGCCTGAATCCATCGTCATGCGATATGGATGCACACGTCGTTACAAACATGGATCATAAAGATGCGTGAGTGCCCTCTGATTTTTCTTCCTCTTCGTATTGTCAACCACAACACCTTATAAACACCTGCTTGCACCTTACGAGTACCCCACCATCCAACAGCCTATCCAGCACCATCAACCCGTCACAATGTCCTCCGAAATTCAACTCCTCCCCCTTGGCGCCATAATACAAGCCTTCAAAGTCGACGGCTTCAACATCGTCCAAGGCTTCCCCACCCAAGACCTCTACGTCACGCACAACGGCCCCTACTTCGGAGAGACTATCGGCCGCGTCGCAAACCGCATCTCCAACGCCAAGATCACCTCACTCAACGGGAAGAGCTACTCCCTCGCCGCCAACAATGGGCCCAATAACCTGCACGGCGGTGTCGTCGGTTGGGGCAAGCGAGTATGGAAGGGGCCCAAACCCGTCGGTTTGCGGGAGATCCCCGGCGTCAAATTAGATGAGGGAGGGGAGAGCGTCGAGTTTACGCTTACGAGCGAGGATGGGGATGAGGGGTTCCCGGGTGAGGTCGCGGTGAAGGTGACGTATACTTCGGGGAAGCAGACATTGGATGGGAAGAGTGTTACAGTGTTGGGGTGGGAATACGAAGCGGAGTTGGTTGGGGGTGCGGAGGAGACGGTTATTAATATGACAAACCACTCGTAGGTTTTCAATACTAGCCCGGTGGTATATTTGGGGGAGGGCAGGAGAGGTGGGGGACCAGTGACTGATGCTATACAGCTACTTTAACCTCTCAGGCGGACCTACGATCGAAGGCACCAAAGTTCAGCTCTGCACACCATCGTATCTCCCCGTTGACGGCGATGGCATACCTACGGGCGGCCCGAAAGACTTCACCAAGGTGGCCGTCAACTCATACTTTACGCTCGGTGCAGTGGCGCCTGACATCGATGACTGCTTTGTTGTCGATGCGAAATCGTCGCCTAGCCAAGTACCGCTCGACACCCGCTCCTGCTCTCTGACGAAGCTCGTGTCGGCGAGCCATGCGGAAAGCAAGGTTCACCTTGAGGTTCTGAGCACAGAGCCCGCTTTCCAGTTCTACACGGGCAAGTACATCGACGTCAAAGCGGCAGAGGGTGCACCGGCGCGTGGCCCCCGAAGCGGGTTCTGTGTCGAGCCCAGTCGATACGTGAATGCGTGTAATGTGGATGAGTGGAAGGCGCAGATGTTGCTGAAGAAGGGCGACAAGTATGGTTCCAGGACTGTGTACCGTGCCTGGAAGGAGTAATGGCACATTTGTGTTGTACTATAAAAAGATGGCGAAGCGCATCTTCAATTAATTGGAAGGGGTATATATGCCTCAATGAAGCAATGCTCTAAGCCTCCTCATCCTCCTCATCGACCTCCTTGAGCGATGGCGTAGGAGCTTGCGCCTCCTGCTTTCGCCAAAGTCCGGCAAGGAATTCACTGCTACTCGCCTCTTCAATGCCCTTATCATCCCGTTTCTTGAGGAAGCGGGGGAACCGTAGACTAAGCCCGCGATCCTCACTAACTAGTCCAACGGCAGCAGTATATGTTGGCGACAGCGTAATATCTGCAAAGGCCATCTCCCAGACTTCCTGCGGCTCGAACCACACGTCCGGGTGCCCCGCGTACTCGACAAAGCTAGGCTTTGTCTTGCGGATATTCTTATACCGACCGCCACCATCATTCCCTTCGCCTTCTTCCGCCTCATCCTCAACCCCTTGCTCATCCCCTTCCTGGCCACCTGACCCAACATCGTAAAACTTCCGATTCGCCTTATAAAAAGCATCTGTAAATCCGCTGATGCATTTACACACGGCCTCGAGCGTCCCCGTCTCTTCGTTCCGCACAGCGAGCAGAATGGGCGACCACCACTTCGCTTTTCGGCCTTGGCCATGCCAGCCTGCGACAGGGACGAGGTCCAGCGTGTCGAAGGAGGACGAGTAGTCTTTCTTGACTTTGAGCCAGGAGTCGAGGCGTTTGTCGGGTTCGTAGGTGGCGAGGAGAGCTTTTCGGCGAGAGGAAGGTTTCGTGGTCGTGTCGCTGTTTTTGGCCTTGGCTTTGGATTTGCCTTTCGCCTTGGGTGTTGCTCCAGGTTGCTGAGGTGCTGGCTCGGTTTCTTCATGGTTATTGGGTGCGGGAAGGTCCGGCAGGTTGTCGAGTATTTTGACCATGAGGCCTTCGCATTTGCATTCCGTGGCTGACTTGAAGAACTCGAGTACAGCGTCCGAGTCCTGAGACGTGGCATCGAGGCTTTTTACCCAGGTGAAGTAGTGGGGGACCTCAATAAACAGCGACTTCAGCAATTCCCTTCGCTCCCTGAACGGTCGGTCGAGTAGTGGTTGGCCATTGAGATACATCAGATCGAACGCGAAGAGACACACGTCAATGGTGATGCTTCCAATCGCTACATCCTTCCTCGCGCGATTCGTCAATGTCTGGAAGTTTTTCAAACCGCCCGTCTGACGGTCCACCGCGACCACTTCGCCTTCCATGATAAAACTACCAACCCCCTCGCCACGGATCTTGGGTACCAGCCGTACCAGGTCCGGATACTTGTCCGTCATGACCTCGAGATGCCGCGAAAATATTGAAACTTTGCCTTTATGATCGCAGTGAATCTGTGCTCTTTGGCCGTCATACTTGTATTCGCATGCAAAATCTCTACCCTGAAGCTTGGTAAGCATCTCGGATAGGTCCCTGGTGATGCCCCCCAGCATGGGTCTGAGCGGTATGTGCATAGTAAGCCCGCTGCGTATCAGTAGTTCGTCACAGACCCCTATCTCGAGCATCACGGGGATAAGATCGTTATAATTAGGCCGCCGTGCAAAGCAAGCCTTAACGATTTCTTCTGCTTTGCTCCACACCTCTGCCAGTTCCTCCTTCTTCAGTGCCGCTAGGTCCTTCACAGACCTCAGAGGAAATTCGGCCCCGGGGGGTCGAGAGAGCTGAAATGCTCTAGAGAGAGCAATGAGCATAGTAGTCTTGACGGCACCAATTCGGAGATGCTGGCATAGCGTCCGCACAATATACCGGCTCTCCTCTCCACCTCGCGCATCCTGCATTAATCTATCGACAATGCGCTGCTTTGCCTCTCCACTCCCTTGCCCTTGGCTATTGGCGATCTTGACCAGCGACTGGTAGACGCCCTGAATGGTCAAAGGTTTCGGCTTGCGAAGCTTGAAACTTTGTTTCTTTTTCGCCTCAAATGCCACATCACCCGCATCGCCATGTTTATCGTAGATGGCTTTGAGCGACCTGTTGTCCAGTCCGCAAACCTGTTTCAAGGCCTTGAAGATAGCTGAGCCACCGAGACCGAGTTCAAGAGATATATAGGGGGGCGAGATTGAGTTTGTGGCCAGCCATACCTATTCCATGTCAGTTTCTTCTATACGATGGATTACCATACTGAGAAAAAAACCTACAGCGGGCAGAAGGCTATCGGAGTCACACTCTATGAGCAATCGTAGACAGTTGACCAATGTGTCTACAATCTTGATACGACTTTGGGTGCCACTGACCAGCACAAAGCACCTTGTTAGCAGCGCGTATGATGCATGGCCGTCCTCTGTAGCCCAGTGGTCCTTGAGCTGATATACGTATTTGCTCGGATCAAATGTCAGCGGACTCTCGTCGAATGGTATCGATTGTGAGACCGTGTCTACGGACGCTGCAACCGATTGCAGCGAGAGTGTTCTGTTGCCCTTGGATTCTGGAGCTTTTGGTTGCGACAGGGCTTCCTGTGCTTTTGCACTGGGAAATTCATCACGAGGTGGTACCGATCGATCTTCTGCGACAGATGCAGATGCGCCCTGGTCTCCCGGCTCGGTATCTTGTCGATTCCATTCGACCTGAAGCTTCCTAGCAAGCTCTTTATCGGTCAATTCTTGCTCTTCTGTCGCAATTGCCTCTTGGCGCTGCGCGCTAGGCTTAGATTCGGAATTGGAGGTTGCGCCATTTTGCTTCTGCTTGGAAAAGAAATACTCCAGTCCTTTGGAGGGCTGTTTGTTGCCGTCGTTCAGCTTCCTCCGCTTCGCAGGGCTCGACATTTCGCATCTGTGAACATTGGCATTTCCATAGAAGCATCAGCAACACTGAGGAGCCAAGTCACCGCGACCTGGGAATCATGAATGATGCGCCTCAACGCAATCCTAAGTCGCGTGTAATCCAGCTTCGGACCGGAGACGCGTCTGAATCAATGACGATGTCGTTATGTCAGCAGCCCGCTTAATGTCAATCGCAAGTCACAAAGGCAAACATATGCATATAGCCACTAGGTCAAAGCCAGCCTCTTTGCGACTTAGAACGCTACAACACCAATACTACGATTGGACTACACATCCGCAATATACCTGCTATCGGCTTACTCTGTCTGTTCAATTACTTGTTTTATTAAAACATATCTGAAACTATGCAGCACTTAATCAACGTTGACAACCTTGCAAAGTTTAAGGAACATGCTACATGACTTGCCCCTTATCTCAGGATCTTCGGTGACTGACGTACCCTAATTTCCATAGCAAACACATATGACACACGTACATTAGCAGTCAATCACTAATTGAATAGTTTAATTGTTATTATAACTCTTCTACTATCATAATATATCTGCTACGTACCCTAAGTCTACCTTTATCTAGGTATAGCGCTTAGGCAAACTACCTAATTGGTAGCCTGAGGTCATAGCGAGACACAGCTGAGTTACTTTAGCGCCTTTGTGCGGCTTGTATCCCCATCCCTATACTTCCCTTCTTCTCCTTTCTATGTATCCGGAATGCCATTACCAGTGCGATCGTACATGGAGCTTTCTTACTAATATTATTTATAATATGACTCTCACGTTACACGGAATGTGGATGGCAGATAAACTGGGCTTAAACAACACTGTCGTATAAATAGTGATGAATCTAGATCAACTATAAATCTCGCCCTTGGATACCTACGACACATGTCAGGCATGAATTTTGCGGCTACGTTTTTTTTTCAAATTAGAGATATACCTTCCAAAGCAATTCCTTCGTTATCGCTACGTTGAGCACTTATGATACGTGACCCCATGGGGGGTTGCCCTATAGCTAGAGATAAGATAGATAAGAGCTATAAAAGAGCTCTGCCAGGCCAGAATAGCTGACCTGGCCATCCTTTCCCAATACAACAATTCACACCCCATATGCACTCGCATCAACTTAATTGCGTCTCTGCTAGCCATTGGAAACCCCCATGGTTCGCCTTGCTATATCGGCCGCAGGTTATGCAGTATTAGGTACAGTGACTTGCAAAATCGACTTCCCATTCCCGACAAAACAGGGGTTCAAGGTGTAGATTATACGAAAAGAATTTTAGCGTTTTCAGCGTGCGGGATGCCATGCTAAGTACTCTAGTACCCACGAGCACTACTAATGACCGGCCTAACCATAGGCGGCAAGTCACATCGACGCATACATAAACAGCTTCTTTAATAAACTACTTATGTAGATACCGTACTCTAATACATAGACCATTCTCAGGCCTTATTCACTTGGATCAAGATGTTCTCTGCCTCCTCGTATCTCCCGAGTGCATGGTATGTCGCCGCAAGTGAACCCATACTCTCGATCGTGTGAGGATGCTTCTCGCCTAGTATCTCTTGTCGTAGCTCTAGCACTTGGATCTTGATCTTCTCTGCCTCCTCGTATCTCCCGAGTGCATGGTATGTCGCCGCAAGTGAACCCATACTCTCGATCATGTCAGGATGCTTCTCGCCTAGTATCTCTTGTCGTAGCTCTAGCACTTGGATCTTGATCTTCTCATCCTCCTCGTATCTCCCGAGTGCATGGTATGTCGCCGCAAGTGAACCCATACTCTCGATCGTGTGAGGATGCTTCTCGCCTAGTATCTCTTGTCGTAGCTCTAGCACTTGGATCTTGATCTTCTCTGCCTCCTTGTATCTCCCGAGTGCATGGTATGTCGCCGCAAGTGAACCCATACTCTCGATCGTGTGAGGATGCTTCTCGCCTAGTATCTCTTGTCGTAGCTCTAGCACTTGGATCTTGATCTTCTCTGCCTCCTTGTATCTCCCGAGTGCATGGTATGTCGCCGCAAGTGAACCCATACTCTGGATCGTGTGAGGATGCTTCTCGCCTAGTATCTCTTGTCGTAGCTCTAGCACTTGGATCTTGATCTTCTCTGCCTCCTCGTATCTCCCGAGTGCATGGTATGTCGCCGCAAGTGAACCCATACTCTGGATCGTGTGAGGATGCTTCTCGCCTAGTATCTCTTGTCGTAGCTCTAGCACTTGGATCGAGATCTTCTCATCCTCCTCGTATCTCCCGAGTGCATGGTATGTCGCCGCAAGTGAACCCATACTCTGGATAGTATTCGGGTGGCGCTTGCCTAACGTCTTCTTTCGAAATCTGTATGCTCTTCTGTCTACAGCTTCCTTCTCCCTCCATCGGCCACGGTCATATAAATAATTCGAAACTCTTGTTAAGAGTTCCGATGCTTCGTTCTCTCGCTTACATAACTCTGCCCATTCACTCACTCGCAGTGCGTGCGCAACATACTTCTCGCATTCTCCCCGTAGATACCGCTGCCGAACCTGGAATAGATTGGAGACAATTTGCAATGCCATATTCGAGAAATCGCCTTCCTCCCCTGGCTCTCCTTGTTTGTTAAGTCCATAACGCGTAGCCTCTTGCACCAGCTTATGCATCTCGTATGCCGGGCTTTTGTCTTTAGAAGCCTGTTTGCTTAAGAACGAGAAATCCCGAAGGCGGGTGATTGCTGCGAAAACGTCATCGTCATCAGCCTCGCTATCGGTCGAGGAAATCGTAGCGCCTAGGCTGACTGTATCACTCGTTGCATCATCGGTCGCCGCCCCAATTTCGTCATCGTATCTCGCGGCGGATTTGATCATTTCAAATGGGATATTTTGGTTGTCTACGAAGGCATGAACATGTAGGATCCGATACGCCATCTCGTTGTCTTGACGAATTTGTTCGATCGAAATGCTCCATGTTTTTAATATACTATTTGAGACTTGAATTCGTCGATGTCGGTCGAACTCGGCTTCCTCTAGCATCTTCCATCGCTTCTTGCTTCTGTGTAGCTTCGATAGGTATGCTTTGATAGTCGTCCGCGTTCTCCGTATATATGCTGCGGCTTGCGAGATAGCAAGCGGTAGCCGGTCGAGCTCGGTGAGAAGTGCAGCAGCATCTTCCGCCTCGTCATTACCGACCTTCTTGTTTCCAACTCTCTCAAGCAACGCCATCGCCTCGTCGAAGGCCATACTGGAGACGTTGATCGCCCGTCGCGCGCCGACAAGGCTCCCAGCAATCTGCTCGTCGCGACTCGTCCAGAGCACCGTGCCTGTTGGACCCCGTGGGATAAAGTCCCTCAGACTCGATACTTTATCTTTGGTCTGCTGGCCGACGCCAAACAAGCCGAGATTGTCCGCATTATCGAGAATAAGTACCCAGCGTGTATCCGTCTCGATCCCTTCACGTACCGCTTTTAGTAGCTTTTCACCTTCCAGTGTGCTTGTAAGGCCAAGCTTCTCCGCGATCGACTTATAATCTTGTGTAAACGTCGTTTCATTATCGGCATGGACCCAGAAGACGGAGCAAGTAGGGTCACGGCAGCTGCGGTAGGCAAATTGTAAGGCAATCTGTGTTTTTCTTAATTATATTAGTTTCCGTAGCAATGATGCGGATGGTAGGACATTTACCCAGATCCACCCAAACCCCAGAGGGCAGCGCTCTGGTAGTCGCGGGATGGGGGAAGGAGCACTTCCAGCTCAGCGAAAATAGCGCGGTCGACGATATCCTCGTTGCGTGGAAACGGGATGAGCCGCTGTGGGGTGCGGGTACGGATGTGCGAAGTTGGAGGTTCTGTAGGTTGTTAGTCCAGTCGTCGCACACGCATGGACGGAACCGTGTCTTGAAACGCTATATGTATCTTCCGAACCACAACTATTCACTACATACAACATCAAATGCACGTTCAAGCATGACTTCCTAACTCGTTGAACCGTTTTTGCAGCTCATCCTTACCCGTCGTAGTTTCTCCTTCCGGATTAACAGCAGGGATATTGATATTTAACTCACGGTGCATGAGTGCTGCCTTATAAATCTCTTTGACATTGCTTCGAACCAAGTCGAGGTTGTCTTGATCCGTCTGGCTGTCCCCAAACTTGCACAATCCTCTATGATCGGCGTTCAGCTTCACGATATGCTCGCGATCCCCAGGTAATCCCAGCCGTGCACTGTCCGCTGGCACAACCTGTAGGATGTGATTGGTAATAGAATCCACCGTTCTTTAATATGAGCTTACACTGTCTTGAGCACCCCAGAACGAGATGATATCGTATTTATCGAGTTGGTGCCTGAAGTGTTCCTGTAAGATATCCGAAAAGATGCTTCCTGATTTGAGAGTCTCAAGCATTTCATCTCCCTTCTGGAACCCTGCCGTCCTAGCGATCTTAGTTGTTATACCGCCAAGGCTTACCAACGTCGAGTCTCTGCCGCTATGTGGTGTAGCAAAAAACGCCAGACCTCTGGTCGCATCTATTATGGGCTTATACTTTGGATTGTTGTGCGCATTAACCAGCGCCTGCTTGATCAGCAGTCCGCCCATGCTGTGGCCCAATAGCAGAATAGGCCGAGACTCGTCATCCCTTTTGATTCGGATTGCCTCGAGAAGTTCGCTAGCCTTACCAACGAACGTGTCCCGGTCCTTTCCATAGACTGCTGTCGCGTTATACTCGTATAGAAAGATTCGCGATTCGGGAACGGATTGGGGGAGGTCGGCACGAAGCCACAAGCGTCCGTCCGGTCCGGAAGGCTTGCGCCATGTGTCCCAAGCGTGGTCAGTATCGGGCTTGTTTCGAGGATTCAGGCCATGGACGGCAATGATACTAAGATACATTAGCAGGTAATTCGAGAAAATACCAACGTTAAATTTTCACGCACTCCACCTTGGTTGGTTTGCTGTCAGAGATCTGGGGATCCGGAAAGAGTTGTCGCAAAGGCTACGTTCCTGTGTTAGCTGTCCGTGGATTCCAGGTTACAGCACGTAACTCACCATGATGATCCCATGCTTTTGCTTGTTGTTTCATGAGTTACAAGATTTGACACAAGTATTGCCGATACTAGATCTTAATATCAACTTGTCATGGCATGAAGAGGAAAAGCTCTAGCTGCCAGCCTGATCCGGCTGAGATAGGCAAAAAGAAACTCCTATGCGCAATTTAACCATCCAATCGCGACAGACAGAACGAAACAGAGTCACATGACCGGTATTACTAACGCATCTGTGGTTAAGTGTTTTGCGTAGGCTCAAAATGGCAAATTCCTCCGTCTTCCTCGTACTGTGTGTACAGTAATTATAGCGATCTGTTTTCGAACAGGTCTGCAAGAACGAGCCATCATACAAGATGAATGGATCGTGCACAACCTACTTTGGGCTGGTAGACCTGAGCCGCTCAGCTTTGGTTTCCTTCTCGCATTGCCTTCATCTGCAGGCAATACCTTCGCCGCTGAAGGCCATCGCTCTACTAACTAATACAGAAACTGCTCTATGATATGATTCAAGTAAATGCGTGAGTATTATTCCTAGCTGATTAGGCAATGCTTATATTGGATTGTGGGCAAATGGCCTTGTATTGAAGATTTCATGATCTCTGAAGAGTCATGAAGGAAGTGAACAGCGGCCATAAGGACCTTGTATAGACAGGAATGAACGATGCCTGCCTGTGGGACAGGCAGGAATTGTGTGGTTCAATGGGTGGTGGTCATATTAGCCCATAACGTGCGGTACGTGGCCCTATATCCTTCCAAGACTGACAGTCTTGGTGTAGTAGTCGTGAAGGTCCAACATCTTATATCTCTCCCAAACCAGATGATTCGCAAATTGACGATAGCTTCAAGACCCAGAACAAGCGACGGTGGCGATAGCAACGATACCATCTTGCCATGTCGACGTCGAGACCCATAGCCGCTCCTACAATTAGCCGACTAGAGCAAGGAAGAGACATACAACGAACAGCCACCGAAATGCATACGCTATTTGTTGTGTGCCTCAGGCACATCGCCTGTGTGCTGGGTGCAGCGCTTGTTATAATTGCCCATGGATAACCCTTCCGTAGCTGCAGAATTTTTTAATTTTTGGGGGTTTGTTCAGGGATTCTCTGGTAGTACGTGGGTACTACATTTGCGGCGAAGATGGCAAGAAGTCCGAGGAAAGAACGCAGGGGAAACAACATGAAAACTGTTGGAACTACAATTCTCAATGTTGCATAAATCTGAAATAATGAATGAGTAAAGAATGTGGTCATTGCAAGTACTCCGTACAATCTCCAAAATTTCCAGACCAAACGTCCGCCCCCTTCTTTTCTTGCTGTCTACCTAATAGCCACGAAATACTATCCGTTCTAAGAGAATGCATCCCTCAAACACCGAGCGAAGTCTCCTTACTCGTTCTCGGAACCATCCATGACCTGGCAGGTGACGCCACCGGTGCTGTCATCCTTGACGCACTCCGTGGTCTCGTTACAAGTGGCAGCGACCATCCAGACACCGTCAGTGCAGACGCGGATGTTCTGGAGGCCATTGTGGGGACTAGTGGTCTATGTCAGTTCACGACTCGTTTCTTTGCTTTTCTGAGAGCTCAAGGCTGGATTTAGAGATGGGGAAAGATGGAAAGGCAGAGGTGTTCTCACTTCTCGCAACCGTAAGAGCCGGACACGCAGGCAGCGTTGGTGGAGTTCCCGGGCATGGTCGCATTCTGGGCGAAGGTGGTCGCGAAGGCGGCGAAGGAGACGGCGATGATGCTGATGATCTGCATTTTGTATGTTTGGGGATTGATTTATCAAAAGGTGGGATAGAAGCGAGAGTTGATGTTTTAAGTAAGCGATTGAGTGTTTGTGAGCGAGTGTATGTTGATGCGGATGAAAAATTCACTCCAACTCGGTCGAAGAGCCATCGTTATATACATCTGGCAATACTTGTTATCGATGGTTGTTTACCGTCGTCATGTTGGATTTAATCAAGCTACATAATCGCGACGCGACTATACAGTGTCGCTCGTGTTCACAATAGATTGAAACCCAGATAGGCTCGCGTCTTCAGTCTAATATTGCATTTGGCTTTGGCATGACAGCTAGACTAGTGCAACATTCGGCTCGGGTAGTATGCACCCAGACACCTTATTAGTCTTGTTACCAAAACCATCCAACCGCTGAATATCAACAAGTTGAGTGGCCAAGCTGTGAACTGGTCCAACGGTTCTATTCATTGTTTGGGTTAGCCGCATCGTATTTTAACTCTGCTATTGCTTGCATCATTTACTGGAATTCTCTTGGTCAGTTTAGTCCTATTCAAAGCTCGACGAACTGATCTATTGTCCGATTGTACATTTCACACAACCCGAATTGGCATATAGTTTAAGTCTGTCTGCCATCCGAACTATGGACCAGTCAACACCCCGGATTCAACCCGACAATTGCAATCTCCCTGGGGTGTCCTTGTATATATGCATATTCAACGTATGTTTATTCCAGTGAGGGCCAGGTACGCATTGTGCACCGGCGATATTGACTAGGAAGATCTATATTTAGAGGTTCTTCATAAACCTCTGCCACAGGGTCTGGTGACCGCCAAGTTCCCCTGTAGTCAATTCCTTAATTTCATCAAGATCGCGCCGTCTCCCAGACTGCAGATCAATCTCCTCTGCTCTCCAAAACCGCGTGCGGAAAACAAGTTTGAACCCAAAGTAAATAAGCGGGAACAGAGGCAATAAGATATACGCATCAACAAAGTTTCCAGCATCGAAGGGGCTCAGTGTCGTCCATCCTTGCACAAATGCGAGAAAGATGTTGGCCCCCAGCCCAAAGTACGCATTCAAGGGATACCAGAACGAAACAAATGGTAGGTCTTGTTCACGGTAGCCTTGGGCCTTCCAAGCAGAACGGAAGCGGATATGGGTGAACGAAATACCTCCCCACACCAGGAATGTCGCCACACCACTCAGGTTGACGATGTAGCTGTATGCCCTGCTCGCTCCCGTACTGATATTCATCAGAGAGAGGGCTCCACAGGCGTTTGTAAATACGACCGCTGCCACCGGAACACCTCGCTTATTCGTCCCTCCCAAGAACTTGGGCGCCTTGCCGTCCTGCGCCATGAAAAGAATGGTGCGCGAGGCAATATAGATGGAGCTGTTAATCGCGGAGATACAAGTAATAAGAATGAAAGCATTTATCAAATGCACACCTCCCTCCCAGCCGGCGTTCTGGATGGCGATCGTCATCGGGCTCTGCAGGGCCCGGCTTCCGCCGTTCACCAGATCTTCGGCATTGGATGGACACGTAAGGCCGAAAAAGAAGGCAGATCCGAGGTAGATGAAAATGATACGCCAGAACACTTGTCTGATTGCATGTGGTACCGCGACTCGGGGATTCTTGGTCTCCGTCGCGGCAACGGCGATGGACTCGCAGCCGGCGTAAAAGGTGGAACAAAATACGAAAACCGTCGCGACGCCCCTGAAGCCTTCTACGAAGGGGCCGGGGTCATGCCAGTATTTGAAGCCTATCCCTTCGGTTCCGTTGATGCCACCGGAAGCGTAACTTTGCTGGGTCAGTATTGCAGAAGTCCAGCAATTGAGGAATTACTTACACGATTGAAAATAAGAAAAACATGACAAGCCCTAGAAGCTTGATCAAAGCTAGCCAGAACTCTGCTTCGCCAAATGTTTCGACTCCCAGAAGTTGGAATCCGAGGAACAATGTCTATTGTCTTGTCAGTATCAGGCACGAGGTGAGTTATCGGTCTACTCACCCAAAGAATCAAGAAGTAGCCCCAAACGGGTACCTTATCGCTCCAAAATACCAGGATACTCGTCACCGCATTATACTCGTTCGAAAGAACCGCAAACCAGATGATGAAATAGTACCATCCCACAGCAACCCCAAACGCCTTATCGACAAATCGGTCCGCCAAAGAAGTGAAGGCGCCGCCACTTGGATACAGAGTCGTCAGTTCCCCTAAACTCTGCATAATACTGTGAGAATGTCAGCATTCCATCCTTACGTGACCTTGTCCAATCTCTCATACCTGAAAGCAATAATTCCAATGACAGCGAACCCAATCAACAACGAAGCCGGACCACCACTCGCCAGAGCACCTCCCGCTCCAACGAGTAGACCAGGTCCGATGATACCAGCAAGTGCCATCATGCTTAGATGCCTCGTCTTCAACCCGCGCTTTACACCACTCGTGGGATCGATCTCCCGGGAATCTTCGCACTCGCCATCGGTCCCGATTTCCGATAAGGGCCCTACCAACCCATCGGGGTACTCGGGGTTGGACATGAGAGGCATGTAGCCAGCTTCAGACATTAAATGCGTGAGGGGATGAAAAGAGGGGGAAAGGTGTGAAATTCGGAAACGCTGCAGGCTAAGTCTTATCAAGTTCGGCTCGTCAAATTCCTCTGATAAAAACTGAAGGCTTGAGGTGTTCGGTGCACTATGGCGTGATCGCACTTACTCTGCGATGCCAAGATCGTCTTAAACTGAATTCAGCAACACACCCAGGTTACGGGAACCGTCGACTTCGAGCTCCGGGAACACTAAAGCACAGCTGAGAAAATTAGCATGTAACTACTCGATTGTGTCGCAAAGTCGAACAATATTATTCGTGGGCAGATTTCCGCTGAAGAGTTTGCATGCAGTCTTGGATGCGCGTTGCGAGACTCGCTGTGGGTCTAGGATCTTCTAATAGCGGGGTTGCGTGATATTACTATCTAGCAAGCCAAGCAAGTCGTTGCCAACAACTGTAGCACCCAGCGTTCGTTAATCTGGCTTATATGTGGTTGGCTATAGCAAGCTGATCGAATCTTCCTTGTGCTTCTGCTTGTTCTACTCCCCACGTTGCAGATTGAAGGTCACAACTCTAGCTCCTGGTAGCAAAGCGGTCTGCGACTCTGATTGCATTGCTGTTACGAGACCTGGTTGCTTAGGCTTTAAACTTACTTGAATTTCTGTGGGCAATACAGGCAAGAGAGTTGTATTAGTGATGATGGGACTAACTCCCAGGAGTCTGTGGCTATGGAAGGACTATCTATGCAGCTGGCCCGAGCGCTGCACCCAGCAGACATCCGGTGTACCTAGGGCACGCAACAGGGTATGATATGGTTGGTTCTCGGTTGAGAGCATAGCAAGCTACTGATACGCGTATAAGGCTTTGAGCCATACTATCCCTATTCATCCACAAGTATGATAAATGCATAATAATTAGTCTTATTTCCAATGACCTGAAGTCTTATTAAGACCTGTGGCAATCAGTGATATGGGGGTGAGCTGGGGCTAAAATGGTAAGTCTACGAAGAGCAGCCCATGACGTCAAGACTTCAAGACTCTAGACCTTATGCATAACTTACAAATATTTTGCATCAACTTCCCAAGGAGCCTAATCGAGAACGAGAATAATTAAGTACACTTCTCGTCATGGATGATTGGCAAGAACCCGCCCTTTCGTCGAGGCACTTTCACAATCGCGTGGGCCGAGGGGACAGGGGTTCAGCATCACGCAACAAAGGCCGCAACGGCCCCTTCGACGTCAAGTCTTCCTTCGGCACCTACGAGCTCAAGTATCCTGCTTTAGACAAATTCACCAACACACCGTCAAAGAAACACAAGCAGACGCGTTCATCTCCGTCGATGGAACTATTCCGTCTAACAGATGACGGAAACGGGATCCTCGGTCAGCTTATGCTGCCTGACATGATAGAAGCGACGATTGTTTTGGCAGGCAGTCGAAAGGTACTTCTGAAAACCGCCGAAGATCTCGAGGATCATGCAAAGTCTGAAGGCAGTGGCAAGAGAGGCTCAGAACAAGACGACTGTGAAGGGGAGGGTCCAAAAGTTGACTCCGATGAACCCATTTCAGACGGGGAATCACCGGATGAAGAGGTGCAAAGCAATGATTCTAGTGCAGAAGAGTCCTGCGGAAAATCTGGGAGCAATCGTTTCCACACCTTTGAGAAGAACAGTTTCCAGGCACCAAAGTTCTGGATACAGTGGCGTGGAAAGGTTAAGCGGCCAGGATCCCCAATAGAAGAGACGAATAGAAATCTCATGGATACAGGAATGGGCTACATTGTTTTCTCTGGAAACAACTGTCGGAAGTTCAAGGGTACCATTAGTTGCGAGGCTCTTGGGTGGAAGGATACGAGTATCACGGGGTGGAAGACGGTTTCGAGAAGTGAAAGGGATAAACCTGTGACATGGGTTCCACTGAAGGAGTAACGTACCCCACAAGCAAGTTGGCCACTTTTTCTTGGCACCGTATGAATAACTTCAATAACTTAACTAAACTAAAAAATAATAACTCAAACTAATCGGAATCCTCTTCCTCGTACGTATCTTTATCATTCTCACAAGTACGAGCATTATGTCCGGGCTCTCCGCAGATCCTACAGCGCCGTCGGCGTGGTTCGGCCGGTCTCGTGCGACGACGACTTACACGTATATTATCCTGTAGCTGCTGTTCAATATCCCGTTGAGACTATAAGTCCTGAGCGTCTCGTAAACTAAGAGATCCTCCATCTTGTAGCTGTCGATTTTTAATCCTTCGACGACGGCTTAGCTCTTGATTGGCCTTCCGAAGTGTAGTAACCTCATCCTCAACTAAAACTAACCGATGCATAACAGCCGTCGCACCACGTGAAAATTGGTCAATAGCCGTAAGTATTGTCGTCGGGGAGCTATTCTGATGCTGTACGATTCTGTTTTTAACGTATTCAGACTAGGATTGCGCCTCAGTTGGGTTATTTGGAGTCTTTGACTCCCAGATTAAGGGGGCGCCAGACGAGCTCCCAGGAGGTGTAGGCGTATGTAGCTTAATATCCAGCTGTGAAATCACATATTCCGGGTCGTACGGAATAAGTCCTGTCCCCCTGAAACCTGCCTGGATATTCGACTTAGTTATTGTCGTGCGATAAGCCCTATAGAATGCCAAAAAGAAATCCTCCTTCGGGATATGGGTTATATGCGCCCGTATTAGGTCTTCAATTTCTTTGCCGTACGACCTTTTCAAAGCCCTAAAACAGCCTACATCGAGAGGCTGGAGCTTATATGACGAATGAGCAGGCATACTAAGTGTAATAATAGTATGCTCTTTGCAATATAGCTCGAAGTCAGTCGAGTGGTGGCTCTCATGCCCGTTGAGGATAAGAAGACGATAAACACCCTTCGTACGATCCTTCGTATAGCGATCAAAGTGCTGAATCCAGTCTACGCCTCGCTCATTTGTTGTCCAACCGTTTTTGGTTACAGTGATTACCCAGTCGGACGGGAATGGGCTATTCTCGTACCAGGATAAGAGGTGGTTTTGACCCGCGACAATAATATACGGCGGGATAGCCCAGCCGGACGAATTGATACCCTGGATTACTGTAGCCCATTCTCGATTGCCTTGTTGGACTGTACGAGGCCTTCCGCGTCGTTCGGCACTTGTAACTACCATCTCGGATGAGATTAAGCCCATCGCGAGCCCTGTCTCGTCGAATTTATAGATATCCGCCTCTTGGATACCATATTTCGCAATTGTATTTCGTACGAGCGTAAACCACGCGCGATACGCGTCAGGATCTTTGCAATAGGCTCGTTGGTAGTCGATTCTTCGATTAAAACGCGTCCGAAGGTCTGGTTGTCGTCGTAGGAAGTTCGAGGCCCAGTTGACGCGGACGCGTCCAGCGCCACGGTCACGGAGCAGTCAGTTAGCCATAGCTTCAACACCATGGAGCCGGGGAGGAAATGATCGCGAATCTAGGTCAAGTATATATTGTACGACCGCTAACTCTTCTGATTCCGTAAGCTTATGACTAGATTGTCGAGTATCGCGTCGAGATAGTAGTCCGCGTTTTCGGTTAGCTAGAGTTGTACGAGGGACATTGTAGAGTTAGGCAGCGCGTCGGATGCTTAATTCGGGTTTCGATTGAAGCGCCTGACACGCTAGAATCACGTCGCTTTCTTTCCAATTCGATCCCATCTTGGTATGTGTAAAGATGCTAATTAAAAGGTTGTTCGTACGGTGCCAAGAAAAAGTGGCCAACTTGCTTGTGGGGTACGTTAGAGGTAGTAAATGTCATTAGTTCTAATTTCGGTTTGTTCCATTCTGGCTCTGCTGTCATTTTCAGGGTTATAGAAGACGTAGAAATTCATTGCTATCCAAAGGACAATCTATTGTGCAAAACTTATATAAAAGAGTTGGCGTTAACCCACAAGGAACCTCTGATACCACCGTATCTCGGAACCATTACACACAACCCTCAGTTTTGCTATTTGAAAAGCTTTTCAAGATCTCAATCTCCCACAATAAGTTCACCGCATGGTTCTTCAAGTCCATCAGCCCTGACCGACCCCCAATTTTCCGCTCTGAGACCATTGTGGTCACGAAGATGGTTGCAACCGCTGTATATTTGATGCCAGACAGCCAGGCGCACGATACGCCATGAAGATGGCCTATCTAACTGCCTACAAGCCAGTCACCAAGCTGAACCCCATCAAATGGGTCACGTCTTGGTGGAAAGCCTACGGAAACGACAGAATAGGCCGGTGTTAAGTGGTTAACGATTATCACCCTCAGTACTGCTTTGTGAAGGGGATGCGGCCAGCCGCCGCCGACTTTTCCGCCGTCCGGGTCCACCAACGCATGACGGCAACATCAATGCTACCAATTCTAGCAATTTTAAGGCCTTCTTCCACAAGGGCTGCAGTGCCGATGGTCAGACAAGGGACGCCTTTGACGCTAGCTTTAATGGCCAGTAGGCTATCGGTCCAACGTCCAGAATTGCGATTCACGCAAACCCTTGTTGAAGCGCCTCTGCGGCACGTTGCAATGGTTCTCGGACCGACCGTACCTGGCCCCTGGCAATCGTTAGCCCAACTAAAATGCTAAGCCGGAGATCTAGAAGCGGGTTGAAGCCCCAATCAACTCTGTGAAGAGGCATCCTGGCCAAGCCCTGGCCGTATTCCTCAGCCGTCAGTTCTGCTACTGATTTGGCAGCTGTAATGACGAACGAGGCCTTTGGATAGGTTGGTTCGGCTAGAAAAGTGCTGGCGAAGTCGAATGAGGGTTAATAATGGCCCATAGTTGGTGGCCAGCCGTTGCCTCGGTCACTAGCACCTACTGAGGCTAGTCGACCTTGAACTTCATGATCATATTCCGGAACAAAAGGTCAAAATCCTGAAGGTAGCCACAAGGTCCTTTTAAGTTCAGAACTCTATGCCTCTTAGCTGCCTATTTGGGAGCGCTGATAATGTGTGAGTATATAAGGGATACTTATATACAAGAACTTTTGTTTACAAAGGTCTAACACGTTTGACGGCATCATGAACTGTTTGGACGGATGACCTTTGCACGCTTATCAACTGCCTTCGTATCAGGAACGGCTAGGCCGCAAGGCAGTAGTACAGAGTGAAGGGGAGAAATACGTGTTCCAGCTGTTGGTCACCGGGTGGTTACTGGTGGTCAAAGGTAGGTATGCACAGAATAGTTCATTAATCTCTAGGCGTCTATTCTTACTTCTCCAAGACTCCTCCTTTAAATAGACAGCTAAGACCCTGTTCCGCATTGTAATTCCAGGATCCCTCAGTTTCAGCAGTGTTTCGAGACGTCCATAGTTTTCCACGACTCATAAAACTTACAGGTCAGCTTCTCACCGGCTCCCCGTGTCATGCATCCAGCATTGTGAAATTTCTCGTCTTGACAGATACAGTCGGATACTTCAACGAGTTGAGCATTGTCCATGCGCCAGGTATTTGTTTGGTTCTTGATTTCAGGCTTACGGTAACGAGGGACTCAACACCACCAGCGGCAGCGCCGGCCACCACAGATTGAAGAGGGGGGGTTACGGTGCTCTGTTATCGAATTATGATCACAATAATCCAGATATGAGAGCTATTGTTGTTTACAGTTCTGCGATCAACGCCTGTGTGCTAGCTAATGATATCAATCTCCTGGATAGGGCAGTTCTATCCAAGGCCTTACCAACCGTCAGATTAATGCTGGTTTCATCGCGTCGTATTCTAGAAGGATTCCAATTTGCGCGGGGAAATTGGTTCTGGGGTGTTTTTATTTTGCAGGATAGGATGGGAACATGTTGCCTGAGGAAGAAATTTGTCATGAAGGCCCAGTCTCGATCCATGAACAGGTTTTGGCGTGAGATGAAGTCGAAGGGTGCACGGTACCACGTATTGGGAAACCCAGGAAGCGTCTTTAGTTTGATTAGCATGAAAGCTGCTTTATTATAGAAACACTCTAACAATATGTCGTGTAAAACGACAGATATGCTCCACAGTCCTGTAATTTCTGAGACGTATAATGGTGGGGAGATCGTATGTGTCTTATGGTGCCAACTCGCGGACATGACGACCATGGCCATAGCAAAGGACCGGGTGGTAAGCTCTAGGTTAGTCACGAGTAAACCCAAGTGAACTCGCTATAGTTATCTCGCGGAAAATCTGAATACCTGCCACACTGCAATGAACCTGAGAGATTGGAGATAGCGACACGGATATCGTTACAATAGAGAATTCTTGCCTTGAGAAGGTGTCAACTGTGTTTCTATCCCGAATCTGCAAACCATCTAAGTCTGGAATGTCAAGGTGCCCATGCTTGGAAAGATAGTGAATTTGCACTGCATCGATGGGAAAACCCTCTAGATAAGCAGTGATATAGAGGAGAAAACTCCCTTGGTCGGCAAAGAAAGCATGTCAGCGTTGTCTGGCCGTGGTACAATTCGGGGGGTGCACGAAGTTGCTGTCTAGAATATGCGTAGGCATGTTCCAATATGCCTCAAATTTGGTATGTCAGTTGATTCTTACCCGAATACTCCGTCTCGCATTCGTAAACTCCCCAATCACGATGCCGCATACCATCTCAGGCTCCAGGACGCCAGCTAAACAGAGATGAAGTTTGTCTAGAAACCGACGATACCATTTGTCGTCGATGGCTGGCACATTGGGTTCCATAGCAACCCAGCAGTAGATAAATACAGTGACGCAGCATGGCTACAGGATGCCGTCTGTTCCGCGGTCTTTTCCGGAGAGAATCCATCCCTCTATTATCGAATTGTAGTCATCTGATTTGCTATGAAGTTAAATGATAGTAAGAATCTGTGCGTGCTGTTCCCGTTTGATGCAAACGCCCATGCGAGACCCGATTGGAAGGGCAGACCCACCTTGCAGTTGACAAGTTGCTCTGGAAATAGCTTGCAGATACCCCTGCTTCAACAGGCCCAAAATACGATGAATTCCTGGTTTCTCGCGAGATCAAGAAAATTTCATCATGTTTTTGAGAAAAGTACCGCGACGTTGTCTAAGTAAGGCGGGCAGCGGTCTATATGCGGTTGAGTCCCATTCATAAGCACCCTCGTCTCTAGGTATGAGGTACAATCGCTGGTAGTACCACGACTTTGAAACGTCATCGAGTCAAACGAGTATAGCCATGCGACGCAAGTCAAAGCCAAAGCTTTGAAGACGTGCTCAAGCTTCTGTGAAATCCCGCCAGAGCAGTCCTATGTAAGGAGTCCCATTGGGTTTATATTGTGAATATGTGTGGAGTAGGAAGTTGTCAAGATGCAGAGCAATATAGAAGGTTGTTATTGCACGCTTGAAATAATTAACTGCAGCATCTGAAAGTAACGTACCAGCTTGTGTGTCTTGTCGCGGCCTCCCCCAATTGCTATTCCGACGTATCGGATCAATCTTGACGAAGCTTTCTGCTGAACCATAATTAACTGACTTGAAGCACCGGACATGGGATGCTGGACTAAGTCAGCAGTGCTGAATCTCTGTGCCAGGACTGCATGAAAGTATGTAACCAGTCAAATCAATCTACCCCCACCAGCAGTCCCCGTCTCTGAAGCTGATTGTCTCTGGCGTGGTAGTTGAAGACCATTTGACCGGTATACTCCTTCGTCAATCTCAGAAGTCCCGCACCTCTCGTTTATTGTTTTGAAGGCATCGAAGGCCGCGTCGTGATCACCATGCATAAGAACACGCGGATTTGCTGGTATTACTCGACCCTCTGTTCGTCAGCAGCCTGTTTGCCGCTCAAAACGACGTTGCTTCATGTCGCCGTCGTTCTATTGATAACCCACGTACCACATTCGTTTCGACTAAATACCACGAATTTTCCCCTTATAGTGACTATCGCTACGGTCCTTCTCACGGTTTTCGCAAACATCGCTGTTTTTGGACAGACCTTCGAACCTCTAGTTGATGTGGCTGTTGCTGCCGGGCATGGGAAACGGCACAATAGCATCACTTTTAAAGATGTATCGACCCTTGAATCACCTGTATGTGCCAACCCAGCCCAGTCCGCCGCGGCCAAGAGGAATATTTCATCGTACGCATACTTTGGAGGGTTTAGTACCGATACCCAGGCGTTTCCAGAGGTGGGTGTGGTACTTTAGCACTTGCCTTGCCGAATGGCGTGGTATTGATTAAGACTGAATTATGCTTCTAATCTGCTTTCCTAGTTCACGGAGCGACTTCTGTTTCCACAAAGTTCGGAACCAAACCGAACATATACACTGCTCACTTTGGGCGCGATGCAGCCGGATTGTACGAACATGCACAGCTTCTTCAGTACCACCGACGACCTTTTCTTTGCTACCGATATTCTTGCCAACAGCTATTAAAGGACCTCGTATCTTGATCCTAGGGACGGAGGGATGGGTACGGAGTTACAAAGCAGCTCGGGATGAGATTAAAATTGTACTTCAGTTGGATATCTATTTCATTAGGCCTATGTACATTAAGATCCTCATTATATAATCCGGGTACCCAACCCTGATGCAGGTCTCCCGGACCCATACACCCGAATTGCATCGATAGCAATGTGCGCCTGTGTTGCTGTATCGATTGTGTGACCTCCAAACGGTATTCACCACTCTGCTTCGTTCCGCCGCTGACCTTCCTCCAAAGACCACGGACGTTCCGGTGGCCCTGCGAGATTCGCATTGCAAATTTGACGACGCCTTGCTTCCTCCATCACCGAATCCCCCTTCCAGCAAGCATCCTCGTCGCTGGTGCTCGAGTCTTTAATCAAGTTGTATGCAGTCATTTACAGCTGAAAAGCCCCAAAAGCCGTGGCCGAGAACAACAAAGCCCCAATCGTCAACCCCAGTGTCGTAATACTGAAATCATGCTTGCCTCCCGGTGCCGCCCCCTTCAAAGACTCACTACTACCCTCACCCGTCGAACTAGCCCCATTTTCACTACTCGTACCACTCGCACCCCCACCAGCCACAACACTAGCACCCGCCGAAGTCGCAATAGCAGCACTGGTCCCCGTGGCTGTGGCAGTAGTGTTCGAGTTGCAAAATACATCTTGCCACGAGGCGCCGTTGTCGAACAAGCAGTCGGTCAAGTCCGCGATGCTCTGTCCCACGGCCAGACAGTACAGCCCGCAGTTGTTGTAGTAGCTGACGACATCAGCGGACCCGCAGCACGAGGACATGATGTCCGTGTGGTTCCCGCCGTAGGGCATGGCGCAGACTGCGTCCGAGACGGGCGGGTCATACAGGTTGGCGCCGCAGTTGGCGACGGTGGACGTCGCCGAGGCGGAGGTCGCTGTCGATGTCATCTTGGCGGTTGATCAGTGGTGTCTGCAGGATAAAGACGGAGAAGGTTGCAAGCTCAAGGTAGTCCTTTGACTGGAAATAGTGAGGATTGCTAGATGGATATTGAAAGTAAATGAGAAGAACTTGTGCAAAATTTCTTTCTCATGTTGTCGCTTCATTTTTAATCTTCATCAACACAGACAACAGGTTAGGGGCACATTGGCCGAGCAACTTGTCCGACGTATCAAAAGCCCGTGTTGAGAGCCACTTGCAGGGGGTAAAGCAAGGCGGCGGACACGCTATACCCAGTTGGGAGGTGAGCATCTCCAGCTTGTACGTGCAATCTCGGATACAATTGTCGTCTGCTGGACAAAAGCTTTCAGCCGCATTGTCCAGTTATCGCGATTGCAATAGGCCACTCATGCTAGCCTATAAAAATGCATTATAAGGCTTTCTAGCGATGCACCCACCCACTGGCCGGAGCCACAAGAGCCTCCACATGAAGTCGTCCTCAACTACAGGCCGCATGCTGAAAAGCGTAAGGTAGCTCATGATTCACAGTGGTTTGATTGAACTTTAACGATGGCAAGGGCCAGGTTATAGCATGGAGCATATTAATCTGTAGCTCCTTCCTTCATATAAGCTAGCCCTGACTTATTTTTCCACCAGTGAGTCTAGGCGTAATCTACAGCCAGCCTGCTTGCTTGAAAAGACGGAATGAGCGACTTCTTGCTTTGATTCCACGAAGGAGACAGCCCACGGTTGAACAGACTGCAAAATGTGACCTTGAGGCCATTGAGGGCCAAATTATTATCGAATGATCAAACGGGTTGTCTAACAGGCCATTCAGTGAATCCCGATAACTGTTGAGGCTTTCAGGCCGCTTGCGAAGGTTTGGCCCATAGCCATAACCTTAACACTGGTTCGTTTGCTATGTCGCTCTACATAATTAGCGGAACTGCCTCGCTATTAATCTATCGTGTTTGTGTACAAAGGCGGCTCAATTAGCATTAAGCTAAGACATGCTTACTCACCTTAGCCGTGTTCCATTCAAACTGTGGAGATCACCAAGTGGACTCCCTACCTCCATAACCTGCTTCAAAACTGACGGCGGGGAACAGAATATCGCCTCTATGGCACAGTGGTAATGCGTCGCACTTGTAACCCATATAAGGCTATGCGAAGGTACGTCTAATGCTTCACACTGTGTACAGTAATACCAGCAACTAACATCCTAAACGATCCGTGGTTCAATTCCGCGTGGAGGCACATAATTTACTTTTTACACATATTTTTTTCTTTTTTCTTTAATCATTGCATGTTATGGTTACAAATGTACTAAAAGGCTTTGCACTTTGAACCAATGGAATGAGTATAAGCCAACGACTTATGTAAGCCCTGTTTATAGAGATGGTGTCTGTGACGTTTCCATCTCAGGGCAACTGCAGACTATGGCCACCATGAATTATTCTATTTTATCCATTCAGACAAAGTATCTTGCCCATATACTATTTGTAGGAATATGACCCTCTTTTTGGAAAAGCTTTGCATCACATTTGGTAAAACACAGGCGTATTCTAGTCTGTATATTACCTGGAGTTTACCTACGTACCAGTACCGCAAAGCCAGAGGGACAAATTGAGTAGTAGAGCACCATCATAACCTTAATATCGGGCGTCTTCACCCTTATCCTCAACTTTATCACTCAGCAATGCAATATACATAGAACACAAGCGCGCATATACCATAGAAAGCGGAAGTCCTTCCTATGTTTAGCAACCCTAGATGCCCTCGTTCATCTTAGTCAAAGAATTTCTTGAACGTGAAGTGTTGCTATGCATTATTTATAACTTGGTAATTCCTGTACATTCAGGTCCTCGAATCTAGGTCTAGTTTCTCACTCTGATCCTCCCTGTCGTCTATCACGCCCCGTCACATTAAACATTTCCAATGAGACTTCCCTGACGAAAACATCGCACCCCTCGAGAATCCAACCACTTCCTCACCAATCCATATATCCTACCCTTCTAACCACCTCGCAACTGCCTATCCAGAGAGCCTCGTACCCCCCTGCTTTATCTCCACCGGCACCAAGTCACACGCCTCTATCGTGCAAAGCGGCGATGGCGCAAGATTAGAGCAGCACGTCCCCATCCTACACACAGCCGATGGACGCCAGTCCTTGAGGTTCCAGCTAGTCTCAACCTGGGAGGAAGACGAACAACGGTAGTACCATACGGCCGTTGGGCCCCAGGGCGCGAGTTCCGGAACGGCCGGAACAGCCGGAACAGCTAGAGCGGTGGCGATGAAGATGGCGAGGACGAGTAAATAGAGACGAAGTAACGACATCATTGCGCGCGATGGGTGGAAGGTAGTTCTGTGGCAGGTTATCAGCCTCTGGGGTTAAGTGGTGTGACTGAAGTGGTCAATACCGCGATGGTTTTTGCTCAATCGCAGTAAACGCGCAGGCTTTCCTTGTGGATCTTCGTGACCGTAACCAAGAACATGCATGACTGACTTAGTGGCAGTACCGAATTCAAGTCTGGGGATTTTTTCGACACTCGCTCCTGACGCAAAGGATTGCCGTAGGCGAGATTACTTGCTGGCGTCAATTATGTGCGAGATGCCACATTGTCGTTCCACTGACGGCTCCTTGTACGATGAAAGAAATTGGGTAATCTGTACCATACTGTGAAACAATTCGGCACAGTTAAATAGAGTTCATAATCTGGGTCTTCCATGTTTTTGGGGCTCGGCATGCACAAATGCAGTAATGCACGAGTCATGAATTTTGATTCGACTATACGTTATTAAAACAAAATTTCGACTTACACGTAGTTAAAAAACACTACGTTGATCAATGTTAAGTATCGCAAGAATAAACGCACACGACTTGGTGGTTGAATGGCTTGCACAGCTATAGTATTTCGGACATGTCCTATTCGGACTCGCTGTATAATGCTCCCAGTGCCTCTGACGACTAGATGCAATCCCTGGACGTATAGGACCGTGTGTTTTCTCATCTTAAACCTGCACTGTTCTCAATTCCAACCGGCCTTCTTTCAGCGCCGGTGCAAGTTCAAAGACAGAATCGGCGGTCCCAATGACTAACTGTCTAGGATCCGATTCGAAGTGGGATATCCTTCGTACGTGCAGGCACACCTCATATGGCGAGGCTGCAAATCGATGGAATACAAGTGGAAGATAGTTTCCTTATATATCAATCCATACTCTGAACTCGTCTTGCGGTTTCTCCCTGTTGAAACGAGGGTTCGAGGTTGAGGCTAGATGTGGGAAGACCATCTAATGAAAATCCATTTAAAGCGAGATTGTAAGGGCACTGGCTTTGAACAGCCTCTGGTACCAAGGACAGAAAGTTGCTATCGATCTTTCAAAATACTCGTAGACGTTTCTGGTCTCATCTATAAAACCCGCAGCTTCAAAATATGTAAACAGATCTTGTTTTGGGTCATTTGGCCGATCTGCAGGCAGCAGACAGAGGGACAATCCAGACCAGCAATCATTCACAAGCAGCTACGTCATAACTTGAGGCTGCGGTATAGTATATTTTTGGAAGTGGGAATATCAACCCTGTCTTGTGCCAGTCAACACATCATTGGTTCCTAGTGTAAGCCACGCTAATTGGATAGGCGTATTCCAGGCCACTATGGAGGAAACATTTGCGGTACCCTACATAAATCTGGGGGTTTCTTTAGTGTCGTATAATCCTTTCTAGAGCAATGGTCGAACTCAAACTTGCCCTCCAGTTGTTTCGAACCGTAGAATATGAAGGGATCAAAGTTGCCAACAATGGACATATGGACATACCTATCGGCGGATTCACAATCTTTGCTGGCTGTGCTTCGTACGGCGTGGCCAATAATTTGTTTGCTTCAGGTCGGAGCTAAAACTATCCCTGAGTAGTAAGTTTGTTACATTCCCAATACTTTCCAGCATCTTGTTGCAATTAGAAGTGTAAGTACTGAAAGACAGTAGCACGTTCCTATTTTCTGTTGCAATAGGGCCGTTACAACGGCTTTGACTTGGGGCGATTGAAGGCGCGTAGCCGACATATTCCTCCTCAAGATCCACTTAAGGATTCCACGCGCGTTAAGGGCCGATCCTGGCTGTATCTGCTTATATTATAGTACGCCAATACCGTTAAGACGGTCTAACAGGGTTCTCTGGGGCTCTCCGTTTTCCAGGGCTGGTTTAACTCTATTCTGTGATATGCCATTCTCGGTGACACCAAAGACGACCCCACCATTTATACCTCCGTATAGGCGTACAAAGTGCGTGGAGGCATAGTGGTGGTGTTGATAGGGTAGCCTAGCAGATAGAGGTAGAGGAGCTGCTCAAGCAATATTACGGCAATCCCACCGATCTGCTTCGAGATGCCGTCGTGCGGTGTCCTTTAAACCCTCGGAAAACTGCACAATATTGTAGATTAACATTAACTATTTATCTCCCTACTGTCGGATGATACGCCGGCAGAGTACGGAAGATTACCTGAGATATGGACGCTCGTGATTCAACTTCCCCTCGCAGGCCCCGTAAAATGCTGCGCTATCCAGTTAACGGGTCAGGTCCCCACAAGTCTCTAGGCTGGGCACTGGCGATCGAATTTATCAACATGCTTGGCCACGATAGCGTGGCTCTGCTGGGGCTTAGATGTCAGATCCTCAAGCACACAGCCAGTCAGGTGATGTGGTTTGCTGAACAGCCCCGTAAATTTCATCCCTTAGGAACTGAAATTCGTCATCTTCTACTTATGCTTTTCCAACAAAGCCGCTCGCGGCATTGCGCCAGAAGAGTGGCAAGCTCGCTGTGCCGAGTGGATAGCCACTTTGACGCGTGGATGGCATCGATGCCGTTGGTATATAGCAAGTGCGACGGTGTCGCTGTCGATATGGCGGTAGTTGTATTCAAGCCCATATTAATTAATACTCTGAAACATATTCAATATTCACGATTTTCCACACAATCTTCTGTATAGTGTGTTGCGGTCCAATTAAAGATGGGCGTGGGCAGATTCTTCCACTACATCGGCAGCTTAGCCCTCTTGGTCGCGATAGGTCTCCTAATTGTGACCGACGTTGCAGCACCCACCGTCAACAACCTCTCCATGTTCACTGTCTCAGATCGAGACTCGAGCTCATCAGCATCGATCCGCTTCGGCACATTTGGTTATTGCGTGCAATCAGAAAACAGCCAGTGAGTGTCCACCTCACCCCAATATGTTACCCCTCCACGTGTCAAAGACATATGTGCTGACTTGAATTCCACAGGGATGACTGCTCCAGCCCTGCCATAGGCTACAACCCCATCCCCATCATTCGGACCACCTTCCCCACAGTCTCCATCTCCGACGCAACATCCACCGCGACCTCCAAACTTACCAATGCCATGGTCCTGCACCCTGTCGCGACAGGTCTAGCGGGTATCGCCTTACTGCTCTCCTTCAGCGCCGGCTTTGGGAGTTCCTTCTTGGCCACCCTCGTTAGCGCCCTCGCGTTTGGCACTGCAGTCGCAGCGCTTATTGTCGATTTTGTCAATTTCGCGGCTATCAAGGCGGCTATTGCCAATGATGACGGGCAGTCATCAGTATATGGGGACTTTGGGGTGGCGAGTTGGACATTGCTAGCTGGTACAGCGTTGTTGTTGGTTTCGACGGTGATTTTGTTTTTCACCTGTTGTAGTGAGAGGAGGGAGCGGAGGGGGCATTATCCTAAGGGGTACTAAGGCACCTACTGGGTGCGTGGTAACCATGGGAAGATGACTGTTTAATAAGTGGCGGGAAGTAAATAAGGCGTTTGTGGGTTGGCATACCTTTATTTGATACCAAGGCCTTCTTTAGCAATATGTTATGTTTTTTTTTCCAAAACCAAGGGTGTACCTTGTGAATAACGAACTCTCTTCTTTGTCGTTAAGCGTAAAGTTTTGGTCAGTACCGCTGATATTCTGTCATGGTAATACTATATGATAACTCTGCGTTGCCACAATGAGAAGTATGGGGAACCACCATGCATGCGAGGGATTTCAATGTCCAACTTTGTGAAGGACTGACAACACATGCTCTTGATACAGTTACATTGTTTTTTACATCCACTGACCACTCCAAGTCTTTGCGCCGAGTATAGCAATAGCCTTTTGTCCCCCTTTCTCTTAAAGTCCTAAACCGATGCATCATCTCCCCTCCCCTCTACTAACTTCAAGCAGCTCTGAATGCGCTGTGATAAACTTAGCAAGCTCCTGTTATGTTGTCAGCCACAAACTCCTAAAGATCGACAGCCCAAACTCACATCCTCGGGCAGCGCTGACAGCATCTCAAAGCTGGGACAAATTGCCTGCGCCGTCGTCCAGCCGTCGGGTATGTATGAAGGCGGACTTCGAGGCAAAGCATCCTTCTTCTTCAGCTCGCGTGCCCTGTCGGCCGACTGCCCAGCGGCCCAGAGTCGCAACTCCTATTGACATTGTCAGTGATGGTTGAAGGGGAGATGGGTCAGGGATGTACATCAGGAGACAGCGTATCTAGCAGCGCAAAGTTAGGCTCTCTAGCTCTGGTCTGCTTCTCGGTCCACCCGGGCGGTATGTACGATGGAGCGGATTTTGAGGATGATGATTTGGAGCTTTTCATTGTGGCGGCGGCCTGTGTTCGGCGATGTATTCGTGCTTAGGCGAAAGTAGGTTGCTTGATAATCAATAGATTGATTGATCTAACTCAATTCTGGTGAGCTCTTAGCGGATTACCTACGCTCTTGGAAAGACTCGACGTTGCGGCTGAAGTAGCACTGAAGCCCAATGATGATCCTAGAGTCCGAAGGATCAGAAAATGACGTAGCGGGTACAATCTGTCGGAGTAAGCGATCGGGCCGACATACCAGATCCAGATGCGAGAGGATGTAGGCTTAGGTCATGTGATATGTTTTCGTGGATCCGATGCTGAGTATGTATTCAACTTCATGTAGCCATTTCTGGCTATTATCGCATTCGTGCGTATGGAACGTGCCGGGTATCGGGATAAATCAGAGTTGGTAACGTTCTGATCACTATAACGCAAACATGAATTATAATCGGTTGTACGTACTCGCTGGCATAGTAGGAACTTTGGTTATCTCCGTTGCCAATACTGAAGAAGTGAAAGGACAAACGGGTGTGACATTCATGATGGCCTAATGCAACGTACAATCATTCAAGCCGAAACCCAGCTTTTCATCTCATATACTGAGTCCACAGTCTAATGAAAGCCTTCAGTGTTTATGCTCCCATCGAGACATGATCCCCATTATCTGTCACTTAGCCTACACATAGCAGTCCGAATACAAGTCAACCCGCTTCATCATAAGAATTAGTCAGACGAGGAGCTGCTGGAACCGCTCCCACGGCGCTTATGACCACCATGCTTGTCCTTCTTGTGCTTCTTGTCCTTGTTCTTGCCCTTCTTAAAGTGGTCCTCGATCTTGTGCCCGGCGAACGCACCACCAGCAGCTCCCAACAACCCATGACCCTGCGAAACCCCCATAATTCCTCCCAGCAACGCACCACCAGCGGCGCCTAGCAGACCTCGTTCGCCATCTTGAGGCGCACCACCCTGCCCATGAGCCGGCTGCCCTTGGCCGTACGCTTGCTGTCCTCTCTGGTCGTATTGACCATATTGAGCTTGCGAGGGGTACGCACCAGGTGGTGGCGGGCCAGGCGCTTGAGCGTACTGGGGCTGCGGGCTGTGCGAAGGCTGACCCCAGCTGCCTTGCTGCTGGTGATGAGGAGGCGGACCGCCTTGCTGGTATTGAGGGGGTTGCTGCGCGTATTGCGGCTGAGGACTGTGGCCTCCGGGGTATCCGTACTGCTGGCCGCCGCCGTACTGATCTCCTCCGGGTGGTGGTGCGGGGGATCCGTACTGGCCCTGGTGCGGGGGAGGAGGTGCAGAGTCGTACTGGCCCGGGGGAGGTGCGTACTGGTTCTGAGGTGGATATGGCGAGTGACCACCTTGGTGCTGGCCCTGGGGTGGTTGGTTGTAGCCGTAGGATTGCTGGCCCCCGCCCCCGCCGTAGTACTCTTGGCTTGACATTTTGACCGACTGAGCGACACTAGAATCACAGGTTTGATGGGTATTTGGCAAATTCAGAGAGAGAAGAGGTTAAAATATATTTGATCTTAGAAACCAAGCTGGCGGGCAATTTAAGCTCGAGAAGACGTGCGATGGCGGCGCTTACTTGTAGGGAAATTACGACGACTCCTCTCAGTTCTTGTGGGCAGTTGCAAGTAATGTGATCAGGCCGCAGTGTGATTTGTGGCTGGGGCAGAGAGGCGCAGATCCTTGTTAAGCGAATCTACACACGGTTTAGCCGCGGCAGGCCGCTGATGTTGTAGTGGATTCGAATGGCAAAGTGAGCTGAATCTCGCCACTAAGCCACATTCACGTCACCTGCAGGCGGCATTGAAGGCACTTCAGCAGTGCCTTATCTGATTGAGACGACATGCATGTTCCAGGCTCGTATTTGACTACTATACGACGAGCGCATTAGGATTAATTGAGATTCCGTAATACAATCAAAGTCTCGTTCATCACCACGTTCCAACTCCTCGGAGTCATCTCCTACAGGCGAGTGAGTACATAAATATATTAAATACCTGCACGAAATCAGATCCGGATAATAGCGTCTACAAATGAAAGAATGGGACCAGCACATAGTGTCGCTATAGCTTCGTTTCGATCTGCTGTATAGTAAGTTTACAATTATGTTCGAAAGTAATCAGCGCACCTACTTTCATTTCCAACCTTGTAAAAAAACCAGGTGGCGATACTTCAGTACAAGCCACAAACTTTAGGTTCCTCGTTATTTGTATACTCCCCAACACCAACAGTGACCATCTGAGTTATTACCAAATCACCAAAGTGGCAACGCAACGCAATGCGGCGCTTGTATCGGATCCTTCTCACACGGCTCATAACTTGCAGGTGAATTTATGCTGCTTCCCTCAATCTTGTCGGGGATTCTCGTCCTAGTTGAACTAAGAAGAACAGACTTTGATATCCCCGTGGTTCGTCAGGCTTGGCGTTTTTAGCAACGGCTGGTTACTAAGACAATGCCTCTACGACAGCTACAATACAGGAAAGCTTGATCTTGTTGGACATATACGTACGTGTTCCCGTAACTTTTAGGCTGTGAATATGTAGTTTCATCAGGCACCAGACGAACACCATAATAGTCATTTTCTTTGCGTATCAATTTCACTACATTCATTTCGGTACATCGTCATATGACTTGTGGCAACCTTTCCACGTGGCGATTCAACCATCATGAACACAATACAATTATTCTTCCTCCTTTCCGTCCTGGCAAATCAGTCCGTGACTGCATCCCCCCTCGCTAACACAACCATCCTAAACACTCACACTCGCCCCATCGGCTCAACCCTCGTCAGCTGGTGGGGTCAATCCACCCACCCCCTCTCTGAGATCTACTCAGACAACACCTTCGACATCATCCTCCTCTCCTTCCTAAGCCGCTTCAACCCCCCAACCCTCAATCTGGGCCTCTCCACCGGCGTCGCCGGCCCAGCGCAAAGAGCGAAAGGTTGGCACTCCCTCTTCGATGGTAGTACTTCGCCCGGAGAAAGCGGACCGTGTCTCGCCAGCCAAATCGCAGCATGTCAGCAACAGGGGGTCAAGATCATGCTTTCCGTCGGCGGGGATAGTGAATACTCAGACATGACGTTCTCTTCGTCCAATGAAGCGCTTGATGCGGCGGAGATGGTGTGGGATCTTTTTCTCGGTGGAGACTCTGATGCCCGCCCGTTTGGAGACGTTGTGCTTGATGGCGTGGATTTGAATAACGAGAGCGGTTCGGGGGGGTTCTACCATGAGTTCGTCACCGTGCTACGCGGGTTGATGGATAGCAGCGAGAAAAAGTACTTGCTCAGTGCATCGCCAATGGTGTGGGAGTTACTCTACCAGGTCACGTACGGGCCTGGCACAGATGTCTCGATCCCTTATGAGATTTTGGCTCAGTTAGACTTTGTGAATGTGCAGTTCTACAACGATGGGGAGCGAGGGGTCGGGGGCGGCGAGTTTGAGGAGTCATTGTATGCGGCTGTGGAATTTGTTCAGGGGGCGAATCCGAATCTAGGCTTCTATTTGGGGGTCCCGGGTAGTCAAGCGGCGGCTCCGAATGATGGAGTGAACATTTTGACGACTGAAGGAGTTAGGGAGATGTTTGCCAATATCTGCAGCCTTGATTTACCTGGGAAGGGGGTGTCGGGGGTGACTATTTGGGATGCGGGCTATGCCTTGGATAATGGGAATTTTCAAAGGGCTGTTAAGGATGCGTTGCTTTATAACCCCCATAGCGCTTACTGGACGAACGGGACGTATTCTAAGAGATAGGTTCCTGGCATTCAATTACGGGATTCAATTACAAGTTATTTGACGAGAAGGTCTGGTGAGATGAGTGCAGGCTCTGTGGTTCGGGCTTAGCAGGCCAGTGCCAGTCGTGAAGTGTCAATGAATTCTTGGATAACACCGCCAGCCCTAACTCAGGTCGTCGCTTGATGGCTCATGTGGCGGGTCACAATTATGGTAGGATGATTTGGATTCAACACTGGATGAAAATATATAGTTCGTTTTCAAGTCGCCTTTTCAGGACTTGATATCGCCAAACATGCCGCAATTCGATAACTAGATAAAAATGAATTCATAGTGTCAATAATTAATACCTGTAGTTTTCTTGTCCAAGGTTATTCAGGGAATGAGGTGGCTAATTTCTGAATTGTACAAATTACGACTGCTGTACGAGGGACGTAAACTGCGTCCGAGTCATCGATGTTCATTTGTCATTGTCACTGACCTTTTACACTTATAACATGCTGAGTATACTGTCAACTCCAAACTCAGCTGAAAATCTACGTGCGCCAGACAAAATGGTAGCCTCGCAGCTTACTTACATGTATATTCTCCGTTCTCCGCGTATCTGTTGCATCCCGGGAAGTGACTACAAGTCCTTTCCGGCCTCGGTGACCCTAACCCACATGTGCCTCTGTACAAAAACGGTGTAAGCCACCTCCTCCCAGGGCTGTCCCGGATATATCAACTGCCAATCGAACGCTCTCACTAACTACGCCAAAACAAAATTTAGTTTCACGAGAAGAAAAGGATTAATCGAGACGGATCCTAGTAAAAACTTGCCTCAAACGTGACCTTATTCAACTCAATCATAGCGAGTACCTTCCCCGCGCACATCCAACGCCCATGCCCAAACGCGAGATCAACGGTGCGAATCATCTCGTTCCTTTTTTCTTCACTGGCTTCGAGGAACCGTTCCGGACGGAACACCTGCGAGTCCTGGCCGAAGACAGATTTAAGCCGCATCATGGCGACAAAGTTACAGCCGACTGCCGTCCCGCCGGGGATAAAAAGGCCGTTGATGGTTTCACCCGCCGGGGGATGTCTTTGTAGAATCCGTACACGGCGGGCGAGCGCATGCGGAGGCCTTCCCATATGATGCTCTAGAATATTTTAGAGATTAGCGGGCATCGCAGAAAGGGAAAGAGAAATGGAAAGTTCATGAATAAGGAAGCATAGGCCAATAAAATATGGAGGCTGGTGGTCTGGGAAACGCACCTGGAAATAAGGAAGATTCTTAGCCTGCCCCATCGTTATGGGCGATGATACTTTTCCAGACTCCACGGCATCTTTGATCTCGGCTTTCAATCGTTGGTACACTCTTGGAGTGCTAATGATGTGCAACATTGTTGATCGAATCGCAGTTGCAGTGGTGTCAGAGCCGGCAACGATCTGCAGGATGGTTTCGCAGTCGATCTCATCCTTCGTCATCCCCCCACGGATGAAGGCTCCCTGTGTCAAGTCACGTTAGCAGGTTGCTTTGACCCCTGGCTCGGGTCCGGCAGGATACAGAAAGTATACGTACCACCATATCTTCAGCATCGCTGTCCTTCTTCTCGAAACGACTGCGAGTGATTTCTTGGCAGACACTGTGGGAACGCACTGTTAACTGAATGCTGGAGCCTCGAGCGGTAATCAACATGCGTACCCTATCAGTTTCCCAAGTCCTCGTTCATCCGTCGGCTTCGGCGCCATGAAATAGGCAGATATCGGAGAGATGAAGAGACGTCGTAGCAGGGGTACGTCACCAGCGGTGGCAATCCAACCCACTGTCCGTTCCAGTGAGTCGGTGTAGCCGTACAAGTCGTTTTTTGAGTCCATGAATCCAAAACTCTTACTAAAGCCAACTTTGGTGATAGTGTCCAGCGTCAAGTAGCGAATAATATGAGCAAAGTCGAAGGGCCGAGTGGTGCCAGCGTCCGAGAGATATTTCTGCCGGATGATATCCAAGAAGTGCAACAGCTGGGAATCAACTCCGCCTTCCATGTCCACGTTATCACGTCCGCTGTACCCATGAGCTGACTTTGCTTTCAATTTATCATGGGCCTTGATCTTCAACGAGCTCAGGAGGTGGTCGCGTTTGGGGTCGAATTTGGCTCCGAAATACCATTCGTCCCGATTGGCTTGGCTCCGGACACCGTTGAGGTGCCGTATCACATTCGGATCATCCGAGACCAGGTATCTGGGACTGGTGCGGACTAGGGAGCCGTACTTCGCAAGGTTTTCGTACTCTGCGCCTCGTCCGGTGAGCACCCTCGTGGCTACCCATAGGTAGGAGAATGAGGCCAGAGTTGGGCCAGGGACGTGTCGTAGTGGATACCAACTTCTGAGGCTTGAGATGATATACCAGACCACGAACGCCAGTAAGGCATAGCCCAGGATGGGAGTCGGCATTTCAATAAACATTACTAAGCCTGTTGGTAATTGGTACAATGAGCTGGGAGGAGTTGGCCATGAATGAGCAAGAGCTGGCAGCCCCTTTGACATACGAGGGACTGCCACCTCAAATACCCTGGTAGTGGCACCACTTGTGATCCTTGGGTCTTACCCCGCTCTGCGTAGGCGCTTGAGGCAAATCGGATTTGTTATCATAGCGCATATAACTGGGCATTCGATGCGACGTAACAGAGCCAGCATTGATTCGACAAATGGCATTGAGCCTCCATATATTCTATTTGAATTGATAATATCCACAATGTAAGACGGAAAGATGATAAGATGCCAGTTTGCCGAAATCTAATGTATTTTCTCCAGTATGCAGATGGAGTATGCTATCATTTCGGACTGTTGAGGATTTGCCCTAACTATCCCCAAGCCAATCGCATCAGTGGTCAATACCAAGGCAAGCAAGTAGATACTGGATAAGACGTACGGAGTGAACCAAAAATCACCTGGCTTCAAGATGGAGAATACTGATAGCGTGGCAGTAGGATGGGGCTTTGGTATCCCCTTCTATGAGAGTCTCGTATTCACAAAACAAACTCATGAAAAACTATGACTAACAAGGAGTTTTGCAATTTCCAGTTTCTTTCATAGTCCATCTATAAGAAAAACCCACCATTTCACTTGTCCTTTCATCATAAATACCAACAGACACATGCAATTCCTTGGGATTAACTACACTTATTTGTCGTATCACGGTTTGGCTCACTCACTATAGAGACGAGAGGCGATATAATCGACGATTGCCTGGATTAAATTTGAAACTCAAGGAAAGAACCTCCTATGAAAATAGCCCACATAGTCCCTAGTCTTTCTTAGTACTCAACTTGTAGCAATAGACGGCTATGTGTATGGTGGGCAGGGCATGCTAGTCTCGAATAGCTCAACTGTTAAGAGGAGAGAACCCACGCCTAGCGTATTATAAGCTTAAAGAAAACATGCGAATGGAAATCTACTTGTCGCGTGATGCTGATTTTTACAATTCAATGGAAAGTGAACGTGCAAAGAAAATATACGGACCTCCGTGATGAACAACTAGGCAGCGAGTAATACACGACGTTACACATAAGGTACATAAAACATATGCAGCCAAGCCGATACCAAACTGAATGCGTCCAATAATACCTCTTAAAACGATCATCTGGACAGTTTTGGGATGAAATATAGACGACGCGTTTTATACGACGTGGAATTCTGAAGGACCCGCTGGCAGCCGCAACGGTGAAACACTCCAAGCCCGAACTTTTCATCCTAATCTATGGAAAAGTATGCTGTTGAGGTGACGTTAGGATCCCCCGCAAAACTACTGGGAAACCCTTGCTCTTGATCAATCAGTTTGACATTCCGCTAGTGGTGGTCTCATGAGCACCACACCCAATCACCAAACATATATGCGTTCTTCGGGAGTACAGTAGGTTTTAGAACGCAATGCCAAACTCATCCGAGCATCTCCAAGGCCGCGGCGCAATGTGTGTGAAATCGAGGACTCTTGCCCGCGGGGAGCAAGCTTGGCGCCTGGATTGGTGGACTTGAAGAGTTTCATTGAACCTTCCTCACATCAGCTCCATTTCCCTCTTCTCATATAACATCACGCGATTGTCGCCGATTTTCCCTCACTTGTCCCCGAGAAGGTGTGAAGAGTATTATCCAGGTTGATTCGGTGTACCAACCCTCCCTCTTTTCCACGCCACCTCGATCACGCTCACCATGTCGTTGGCAATGAGCTGGCTCTTCAGCCCCCCGCGCAAAGGGCAACCAAGACTTCTGTCCGACGAAGTGGTGCCTGTGCACTTCTTCGACAACACCCAAGTAAACCGACAGCTTTTCGTGTGCTGGACGCTGCGTTTCGACGATGTTCTCAATGTCGACAAAGTCCATGATTCTCTTTCTCGGCTCCTCGAGATCGGTGACTGGAGGAAACTGGGCGGCAGACTGCGCATGAACGTAAGCTTACTCTGCTCTCTCATGACACTCCCCGCCAACCCACCATCCACCGCTAGATTGACAGCTAACAGTATGAAGGACGCCGGCCAACTCGAAATCCACATCCCTCGCCACTTCACCAAAGATCGCCCAGCCGTCCGGTTTTCGCGCACCACCTTTGAAATCTCGATGTACGAGCACCCCGTGGCGTCGAAGCTCCCACGCCGAATGAGGAATCCATCACTACAGCCTGGACCCGAGGAGTTCCGGACCTTGGCATACCGCGAGGACATGCCCATGACACTGGAAAATCACCTATGCTCCGACGAGCCTCAGCTTCAGCTGCACACGGCGTCGTTTGTGGACGGCACCCTGGTCAGTTTAACGTGGCCGCACATCATGACAGACGCTATGGGTCTGATGGAATTGGCCAAGGCTTGGTCACTGGTGATGCATGGCCGCGAGGCCGAGGTTCCGCCTTTCCTTGGTTTGAAAGAGGATCCCCTCGCCACTGTTGGGAGGACTGCTCCTTGGCCCAATAACAAAGAATCACTTCCATTGGTTGCTCGATATGAGTTGCTCGGCTGCTCGCTTCTGAGAGCGCTCGCGTGGTTCGTGCCAACTCAGCTGTGGTGGCCGGCTTACACTAGCAAGACCATCTTCCTCCCGGCCTCCACAGTACGCAAATTGCGAGAATGCTGTATGAAGCAGGTTGCGATTGACAAAGAGGGGGGTACTATGCCCTTCATCAGCGAGAACGACGTCATCACCGCATGGCTCGCACGCACGGCCAGCGCGCATCTATCCACGACGGCCTACCCGAACATCTTGATCCAGAACGTGTATGACATACGTTCGCGCCTGTCGACCCTATCTCAGCAATCCAAGCTTGTTCAAATCACTTCGACGAGCGGCCGACCGGGCGTGTTTGTTCAGAACCTCGTCGCGCCCACTGTGACGTTGCTCCCCACGACCCAAGTCCTCTACCGTCCACTTGGGCGTTTGGCACTGGATTTCAGGAGTAGCATAGCCGAGCAGGTTACTGAAGAGCAGACTGAGAAGCTGTTCTCCATGCTGCGAGGCAGTTACGCGACCAGGGGTCGTGCGCCGATCTTTGGCTCGCCTGATGCGTTCTGGTTGCTTTTCACTAGTTGGGTAAAGTGTAATGTGTGTGAGGAGGTTGACTTTGGGGCTGCTGTGGTCAACTTTCCCGAGAGGCGACGCGGGAGTATTATGAAGAGGGGAGGAGGAAATAGTCCGAAAGATGTGGAAGAAGGTGTTGCGGGCTTGGCCGAAGATGCGAGACGAAGTGATACGGTTACCAGCAACAGCAGACACATTCGTTTCAAGGGACAGGGGAAGAGGGGGAAACCTAGCTATTTCCACAGCTTTCCGGTTGTACCGCCCTGGCTGGCACCCAATGGATTTCAGGTCGCCGGCAAGGATGATGATGGTAATTTTTGGGTCGTGGGGAATCTGCAGGCTGGCCTTTGGAAGAATTTCGAGGAAGAACTCGCAATTCTAGGGAGTTCGTAGAGAGGTCTGGCGAGGAGTTTCGTACGTGGATTTGTTGGTAAGATGGTTGCGACGCGCTGTGACGATGCTGTCCAATGGAATTTCTGTGATGAACTGCGAAGGACATGGGTCCATATTTTCATATTCCGAATGGGCCACTTGAGTATGTTACTATCGTGCAATTTTAGTTGCCTTGAACGCGTACGTTTCCGTGTAATCTTGACCCTATTCTTCAATCATAACGCGCTTAAGATAGCCGCTTGACACCCGAGACATTAGTGCCACCAAGGTCATAAGGCTTGAGCAAACCTCATGGAGTTTAAGGTAAGATCTTGTCAGCAATGTGAGTCAAATATTGTCCAAGCCCGACCCGCCCTTTCCAAATGGTGGAGGCATATGCATGTGTATTTCGTAAACAGAAAGATGTTGATGGAGTGATAAGCGGAGAAAAGACGCAAGGCGTGTTCTTTGAACAGAGCTAAAGATGCAGGGTGCCAGGACACCTCGCCCAACTCCAACTTCGTTAGATTGACACCAAGATCGTCAGGCCTCATGCGTACTGGTTTGCGATGACTAGGCGAGTTACCGAGTCCTCTCGTCGTTCCTGGTGAGAGAACCGTTTGAGCCGGTGTGCATTAAAGTCGGAAACCCCATGTGGGTGAAGTTACCATTGCCTTTTTGTTCTCCCGGTTCCCGATCACCATGAAGGAGGACGCGACGTCACATGGTTCCAAGGTTGAGAATAACCGGGTTCAGTGTGTTGCATGGACCAAACCGTAGATCATTGCCGTGCACTCGTGTGCTGAGAATTGGAATATTCTCCGATTACAAAGTGATTGTAACTTTAAAGAGCTGGTAATAGCGCAACGGGTTGCATTCGGGAAACTTCCAACCTTTGAAGTTGATCTGTTGCTTGACTCGATCGAATCTAACACCGGCCCTGCAGACAAGGAGTGAGGCGGTATTCCGAGGAAGCAAGGCACTCAGACCTGGAGTGCGCTAGAAGCGCTTTCTTCTCCTACCTAAGCCTCTGCACTCTATAGCAATCTTGACTGCGATCCCCTTTGTGTCACATCTTGAATCCGGCAAAAAACTCCCAAAAATCGAGAACCATTGCGAAACAGCGAAGAGCACGGTTTCCTTTTCGCTAGCCACCGCAATTGGCCAAAAGTGTTGCGTCTTGCTCATTTGGAGATAGCCCATGTCAACCCATGTGGCCAGAAAGTCTATTGGGAGCAAGGGAGGTTTGACGTGCTAGACATCTCCTAGGGCGGATCTTCAGGTGGTGTCCCAGATACGTCGGCAGGTCGAAGCCAGGGTCACTTTCGCTGCTGTCTCGCCCAGAACAGCCAGAACAGCCCAAAGCGAGGGCCAACCATAGAAGGGGACCGAGCGCGTTATTCGTGGCTGTGGCCTGTGAACTCTCTGTATTTGGCGACGGCCGTTCAGTAGTGTATTTTGGACACCAAGGTTGGACCTTGTTGCACAATGAAAAAGGTTGTCTGTCAGTCAAGTTTTGGTGTCCTCTCTGGCCCACAACCAATCACCAAGCCGGAGACACTATGATGAGGCAGTCGCCATTGGCAATTAACAGTCGCATCGCACATCTTGAGAAATCACATCGTTGCCGCATCCTCCTCTTAAATGCTAAACTAAAGTCTCCTAGCATCTAACACGTAGTGCTACCTTAATTATCACCACATCCACCAACATCGTCGAAATCCGTTGTGTCTTGCGATACAAAACCGCACCGCACAGGGGTGACGCGCCAACGCTGCACTCACACACACACACACCCACGACCCGCACCGAATGTACCGCATTCAGTGTAGCAATGGAAGAAGTGGACGAAAATGCGCGTCCAGCGACAGCCCAACGAGTTACCCGCCGCATCCCTGGCAGCTTTGACGACGAAAGCCTGTCGCCCTTGAAGGACGAATTTGACCATGACGTGAAAGGAGCAGACGAGCAAACACCACATCCTCTCAGGAAAGAAAACGTGCCGCCATTGCGTCCATTTCACACCATCGAGAACAGCTTTGCGGAGCATCCAAGTATGGATGATGACGGCCATGTCGATTCGATGACCGAGGAACAACATGTTCGGGCCCATCTTTCAGAGATTGAGTCTAGTTTTGTACCGCCCATTTCTCCCATCCCGGTGACGGGTCCTCAGGCCGGAATCGACGACACCTATCTGTTCGAAGGCGGAAGCTCAAGGGGTCACGATCATCACCCCACGTCACCTGCATTGGATCCATCGTCGACTGCAGGTGGCTACTCTGATTCGCAGTCAGAACAGCACCAAGGCGACGATACAGTAGCAGGACCACAACAAATAAGTCATGCAGAGCCGTCGACGCCCAACCACAACCACGAACGTCCTCCCACCAGCACCACTCCTCTTTCGCAACCACGACCCACGGCTTTTCCCAGCAATGCCCAACCGACACCATTGGACCGCTCCCACTCCCGATCTCCAAATCCTCTATCCACACCCAACCCAGATGCTTCCACGGTACAACGCGACGCCGAGGCTAGCAACACGACATCCGAGCTTGAAGACTTCCAATCCTCTCCTACCGCCGCCGCCGCGGCACGATCGGTTTCGAGGGCCATATCCATGGCCAGCAACCCAATAAATACTAGCGAGAATGGCGATAAGACCGACGCATCCATATCTCAAGACAGCTCGAGGCTAAGGGAATCGAATAACGCCGAGTCGTTCTCGACTGACCTGCCTACACACCCCGAGGACGGCTCCGATTCGGAACAGGGAAAGCTCTCAGTCGACGCAGGAAACACACCAGGCCAGGCGCTCCGCTTGGCCAACCGACCTAAGTATCTGCACAGTAGGATCGCCAGCCAACGGTCCTCCACCTCGTCGAATTTTCTCGACCATGAAGACGGCGAGAGTGATATAACGGCGGGCGCAAGCACTGACTACGCGATACAATCGGGCGGCGCAGTTCCTGCCTTTGGCATGCAACGAAGTATGAGCAACATCCTGGGGCGGTCAATAAGCATGGGTAGCATGGCGTCTGGCATCGACGAGTTCCACGATTCTGGGCGAGGGCTGGATCCCCTAGAGCCTCTGGAAGAAATTGAGACAACAACAACAGCAGCAGCAGCAACGAATGGGCACGATGAAATGCTCGCAACCCCGAAGGCGAATAAGAAGGGCCTCACGATAGATGCGACAGATACCGTCATTGCGAGACATGTGCGCGACGTCGAAGTCCCCGAGTCCCTTGCCCGAGAATACAAGACCCAACGCGGTCTCTCCACGCCCATGCAGCAAAGCTACCGCAATGTCTCAGACTACACGCCCGCCCCCGGCACTGTCTCTAAGAACGGCAGAAACCTCACTCTCAAAGAACAATCCAGCACGATAGACCGTCTTTCGAAAGAAAACTTTGATCTCAAGCTCAAGATCATGTTCCTGTCTGAGCGTCTGAACAAACTCTCTGAAGAAGGTGTTAAGGAAATGATCTCAGAGAACGTTGAGCTGAAGACCTCGCTAGCAGTCATCCAGCGCGACAACAAGATTTTACGGCGGCGGGTCAAGGAACTCGAGAAGCGGCTGCGTGACCGCGACGAAGAGGATCGACCCAGCACGGCAAGAAGCGGGTATTCATCCGACGGTCAGACCGAGAGGGGCTTCGACCAGGATGCCCACGAGCGTGAGGAGGAGCTCCTGTATCTCCGGGAACGGGTCGAGGAGTACGTGACGGAAATCGAGGAGCTGAAGAGCGAGAACATGGCCAAAGAGGCCGAGAAGCGGAAATTGGCCGAAGTGGTCAGGAACATAGGCGACCGCGCTAGTGAAAGACTCGGTGATAGCCTAGGCCGGCAAGAGGAGGCAGATGTTTTCAAAGACCTACTAGAGCAAGAGACGGCCCGCCGGGAACAGGCAGATGACGACAACCGAAAGCTGCGTGACGAAATTTTTCGCCTCAAGCAGGAGGTGAATGTTGCCGCCGCTGGTGGTGCAGTTGGAGGAGGTGGAGGAGGGCCCGGTGGCCTGCATCATACTACCAATATCTACAACATCACCAGAAAAGGGCGCCCTGCGTCGCCTTCAAGGTCACGGCCCGTGTCAGGGCTTTCTGGGGAGCTTGACCAGGGTACATTCAGCCAGGCAAGCACGATGGTGGATGAACTCCGCCGGGAAAGCGAGCAGCTGCGTCACGAAAACGCCGAGCTTCGCCGGGAAGTTGGCGCACAAACCTCGATGCTCACCTCGAGGAACCGGGAGAAGGAGCGGCTGTACCAAGAGATTGAAGATCTCAAGCTGGCGCAGCGCCGGGGTGGCACGGCATCATCCACTGTTGACAGCTTGCTAGACCGGTCGGCATCCCGGGCGGGTGCCCATGAACGGTCTCAGTCTCGTGCTAGTGGCAGGACCAAGTTGACTATGGCCATCGAGGACCCAGATCGTGAAGAGCTTGAGGAGAAATTGGCTGAACAGCGCGACAAGATCAACGAGTTGAAGCTGCAGAACCAAGAACTTCAACGCGAACTCGAGACATGCATGGAGGATTTCGAGACTGCGGTGGACGCCAAACGCCAGGTAGAACATGCCGCGCTTGCTCTTCAGGAAGATCTGGACAACACCGTGAACGACCTCATGGCCCTGCAAGCCGAACGCGACGAAGCTCTGCAGGACCAATCCCAACTCGAGAATGAATTCGAGGTGCTCAGGAGGGAAGCCCAGGAAGAAATCGACGCATTAGAGGAGGAATCCGACCAGCGCAACGAAGAAATCCAACGCCTTCAGGCTGAGGTACAAGACAGATCCGAAAACTTCGATGCCCTGCAGGAGGAAATGCGAAAGATGAGTGAATCTTTGGTACGTCTCGAGGATGAGCAAGAGAAAAAGAACCGCAAGATCGAGCAGCTTCAGCAAGAGTTAGCCGATGCGAACAAAGAGGGGGAAGAAATTGAGGCCAAACTCCTTGAAGCCAATGAGAAGGTCAACCGCCTAACTGTGCAGCTGGAGTCGAACCAAGGAGAGATTG